ATTTTTCCTGTCTTTCTGCAGTAGCTCGAATCCTTCAGGTTGCATGTCAGCTGTTATAATTTCTACAATGTTGGAGCAAGACGTATGCACTTACCCGTCCCTCTACGGCCCGAACAGGCTTCCAACAGGTCGCTCGGCATCAAGCAGGCTCCCGATATGCAGTATGCATCCATACATACGAGCAAGCCTAATCCCACCCAGCCGTCCAATTACCCCTCATCTTATCAATTCTTCAGCGCTGGACTGGTGTTATGCAAGGCGAACCACTCACTCGGTGTAGAGCGAATTTGACACATCAGTTTTTAGCAGCAACAAATTGCAGCAGCGATCCCTCAATAAATTCTGAGGTTAAGAGAGGCATGGTGACCGGACCGGCAAACAGATGTGGAGAAGTCTGGAACGAGATGGCCAGGCTCTCTCCAAGCTGACAGTCAGACTGAGTGGCTTGCTTCCTCTCGCGCGGAGATACAGAATGCCACAGTATGGAGAGAGAGACTTGGGTGTACCGGTTGTCTCGTCTGATTGCTCGGCCCGCTGCGCGCCTTGCCACGTTCCACATCCCATAGGCTGTCTCACTCATGTTCTGTTGCTGGAATTTGATATATCACAAAAGATTAGAAGCAGCCAGGGAGTTGTGTCCTGGTCTGTCTATCCCCAATGGATTTAGAATCAACCTGACTGTCTGCTTAGATATAGGTTGGTGGAAATGATGTGGCTGCTTTTCATTTGCCTTTCAAAATATGTCTGTCTCACTGCGTGTGTCTACCTGTCTTATTCCTCAATTTCATGCTCATATCGCGTTTGCATCACACAATCACTTTTCACGCATCAGCCGCAATTAATCATTCTGTATTTCCTCATTCGCTGTTTTGTTCGGGCCAAACTGTAATTGTCTCTTACGACAGCCCTCAGTTGACTGGTGTTGCACAAACGACCCAAATGGCACCTGAAAGCAACGCAGAAACAGTCTCGGAGACCCCGCACCCTCGAAAATAAGATATCGTTCCACAGCAGAAGAAGAACAAGTATGTCTCTGCAGATAAGGTGAGAGACAGCAGACAACAAGGTCTGTTTGTCTCACCATTCAGCGCCACGAGGCACAGCCGTCCACGCTTGAGATAAGAACGAAAGAGCAAGAAGGTCTGCAGAACAATACTTTGCTGCCTGACGACGTTGTACTTGGGCTGCAGAAAAGCATATTGGAGGTCGTACCGATCAAGTACCTGCTTTCCCCTCACGCAGACAAACATGAGATGCAGGGGCCAACCCCCGAAGATGGGGTACAAGACACCTCCAGACCCCTCATTCCCCCTCATTCCTGTCCATTTTGCTTTTCGTGTTCCAGTTGTACTAAGCACACCTTATTCAGCCAGATAATGCAGGTGCCCTGGGGAAGAATGAGCAAATTTTACCACAGCTGAACCTAGGCTCTGAGGGTTCCTTACTGCAAGCTGTGGCAGGTTACTCAACAGGTGGATCTGAACACTCAAACGTCCAAACAAAGGAGGCCGGGACGGCGCGGCCGGCCGATCCCCTTCTCTTCCCGAGACATAAGGCATGAGATGAGTGTGGCCAAATGGATTGAGACATTATCGGTACCTGATCAATTGTAACACCACATGAGAAGTGAGAAGTGAAGTGGAGAGCTGGATGCTCAGGACATGGGCTGTTAGCATGGGGTTGTTTTCTTCACATGCAAGCTGAAGTGCGGGGTATTTCAAAGCTTCAATCTAGCTTTAGGTCTAGTTCTTGGTCTGTAGTGAGTCTTTGAGTCTAATAGATAAGAAGGGCTTGAAGTGAAGTCAAATTGGAACGACCCTGCATGTACATGCATTGTCAGCGCTATGTTTCTCCGTAGGCACCAGTATGAGAGTTCCAGAATCAACTCCCCCTCATTCATCAAACAATAAAGAGGGGTATGAGACCTCCAGTTACACAGCATCTCCCCAGCACCATACCAAGAAAACAACAGATGTGGAAATCAACATTGTCTCTTTTTAAACCACTGTGACAGTCAGCCCCCACATCTTAAAAGTGCAATATGACGGAATTTAGGAAGAGCTCATCCCCTTCCCTACTCTTATTATCATATTTCTATTGTTATCAGAACCGCAATATTGTTCCTCAAGTAAGACCACCACCATCGCATTCGCACTGTGTGACCAACGGTCTTCCCCTCCTATGCCGACTCATAATCTTCAAGCTTAGGCTCCCGATCCTCCAACCTCATTGCTTACCACCTAAGGAAAATTCCGGTATGGGACTCTACAGTCAGCCCGCATATTCATGCTTTACCTAAGCAGTCTGCTCGCACTAACCGGTGAAAAGAGTGCATATGCGTGGGGGAGTAGGGCTGAGTCGCATGAAAAATCCTGGAGTCTTATCACCTGGTATATGGTGATCGCAGTCTGGATTTGTTTCAATGCGGCACAGTACTTTTTAAAAGGCGCTGCTACCGCGAACCGCTGTATTTCGCAGTGGGACATTCTCGCCATCTCCGTTTGGAGAGATGACATAAATCGGCAATTTTTGTGTCAGCTTTTGGTTTTAGATACTTGTAAACAAGTAATGGAATCTCATTTCTCACACGATTGTACGTCACACTAATGGTATACGTGAATGAAATGCCTAATAAATCGGTGGTTCTTGAAACTGACGAATGAAGGAATGTAAGTCAACATGGGCTCGCTAAATTTGTTAGCTTGCAAGTATACAAACAATGCAGAACAGAACATCAGCTTCGCTTTTTCTTTGGCACATATACGGCTAACCTATTCCACTTCCATTGATATGTACCTCCTTGATAAGTGAAAGAATGCAAGCTACTCAACTAATTTGCACTTGATTGGTTTGTTGACTCACTCGAATACGAGGGACGGCTTGAAATGGTAACTTTCTCTCCACAAACATGTCCACTTTTTCTTCCTTCTCTTTTTCTTCTCCTCTTTTCCGCTGATCTTCTCGGCCGAGAGCGGTATGAGCTAAAGTATATGTCTCGGATAGCTGCGGTTGCGAAAGGGAAATTCGACTCGTTTTCGGATCTGCTGGCCGGGACAAGGAAATTAGGATCTGGGGAAAAGGGAAATTTGCATAGCACATATGTGAGCGACTCGGTCTGGCGATCCATGGGATTCATTGTTGGCAAAAAGTAAAGAAAGGAGGGGCTTGTCAACGATAGGAAGTCGCAATTGTCAAATGGACTATCCGTATTTTGACTTTCTTGATGGCTGGGCTTTGTGGATTCGCGACAATATCTTGGTATCTTGATCATTTCACATCACTCATTCGTGATCTCCCTCACTTGATTGGATTTGAGGAGTGTGTTCGTAAGTCTCTCTGTACATATCCATACCACCATCGTCTCGATCCCTGATCGCCAAGGGCAGATCTTCCTTTAACTTCCAAATTCCGACACATTGTCTATCTTCTTCTAATGCACCCTATCTCTCACCAGTGATATCCAATTAAAGCCTCCTGCGAACAATATATCAGCAGGTCTAGTATCATTGCTCATCACATTCTCAAATAAACAACCTCGGGCCTTTCGCCTCATGCACTCCGCAATGACGGATAGTTAGTCACAAGACGAAGATCCAAAAAGGTTTTGATTAGTCATTCGTCGTCGAAATCGGCTCTTCACATACATCCATCTGGATGAATGAGAATGTCTCAGACGTGGCAGCCTGCCTCTGGATGCCGAATTGCAATAGAGTTTGATGTGACAACGGCACGAGTCAGGGCTCAGGAGTCAGCCTAGAGGAGGAGAAATGGTCGTAAGCAATCACTTGCAGGATGATGAACAGATCATATGCCATAGTGGTCGTATAGTTTTCTTGGAAATGTTAAGTTGAGGCGATCCCGTAGTGTTGGCGGTCGGCAGTGGAGCACTTGAGATTCAAGATCGCCTTTCTCATAGCGCGTACGAGGAATGGGCAACCCGCACCTGGAATGAATCTACCCCGCGGCAGATTTCTCTGAGATTTAGAGCAATAAGGCATCGTGAGAGAGGATTCGGTAAAGCATGTTGAATGAAAATTTGGGGATTTGAACCATTCGTTCTCCGAGTGACTGGTTCGATAAAAGCAAACGAAGAATAAAAACACACGTGAGAAACTATGACAAGTTACTGCTATGAGTCTAAATCTGATACGATGTATAATTTTAAGCTTGAAAGTATCATCAGTATGTTGTTTTAATTAAGTTTCTCCAGGAGCGGGCCTATGAGCAATAACATTACTGATACAATCTGGCATCCCGTCCACATCATCCCCAGGAAGCTGGTAGGCTTCTAGGAATTGCAGATGGATAACCACAACACAATTAGTATGGTTTCAATTCGTGGGATTACATCATGTAGTTCACTCATAGCCCTCAAAACAGAGGTAACTTGACATCGGAAGTGCTCAACTTACTTTGCCCGAACTGTGAGTACTGAGGTCGCTGCATACTCAGTGATGTCCATTCTGGGAAAGGTCGCTTGTTCCCTTTGATAGAAGAAAACCAAGTCATTGAACAAATCCGGACAGGTCAGTGTGATGGGGGGATGTTTATCAATGTTGAAATTTGGTCCGAAGTGATATCTCCTAGCTAAAGCAAGTTTGCAGAAAGGGTTAGGACCCTCCCAAAAAAATCTCTAGGTGTAAGCAGAGCTGACTGTACCAAACTTCTCAAATTTTGATATGGATCGAGGACACTGGGCAAAAAGATTAACCTTTTTGGCATGGTCTCTTCTCCTGATAAGCGGCTGGCAATTTGTTGACATCAGTTGTTCATAAGCGAAATCCACGACGTGGAGAAAAGTGTAAAATTTTGTTGGAAATCACAGGATCTAATCTCTAGATATAATTTCTCCAAATCCCGCGGATGTCTCCTTCTGAAGTTGCAACTCATATCGCCTCGATCTTTTTGGACTATAGCCGATGCTTGCCCTCGAGTTTTGTTTACTGACGCCAACTCAGTAAAAGCATGTGAAGGCAATTCCAAAGCATACAAGAGTCCAATTAGATAATCAATGAAGAAAGAAAGGTTTCCCAGGGTCCCATCTCTTTCATCCGCGTAGCAGGAGCAGTTTTGGAAATACAAAGAAGCTTTTGCTCCAGGATCTCACCAGCCTGAGAACCTATCTATAAGAAGTTAGTACTGGCACTGCCAGATTTCCCGAACGCGACAGAGGCTAATCCCGAGAACCTGTCTACTCACCATCATCTGACACGATGCAGGTAGAACTTCTTCGCTAGCCACGAAGCTCGCGAAATTTCTCAATCGTTCCGCTACATCCGGAGGAAGTGGGGAGGTAACTACGTCGGGTAACTGGGCTATTTCATGCACCATGAAATCAATCGTCTCTTGCTCGGTTGAATCAGCTTCAAGGTTTGCTGTTTCTGAATTTAAGATGAGCGCTTCATCGTATGATCTGGTTTAGGATCAGCTAAGGGCAGCCACGAAAGATGATTCTTGTCACTTCCACTTGTCACTTACTTGTTCATCGCGGATATCCAGTTAGTCAGATCGACATGCCGGGTCTCGAAATCGGCTTTGCTGTGTAGCCATAGCATCCAAACAAGATATATCCATACCGTCCAATAACTATGGTCCCAGTCTTCAAATAGAATTGCCCAGTCGAGCGGAAGAGACTCTTCTTGATCTTCAGAGATTAATTGCGAAACTTTTGATGCCACCCTTGGATAGTTTTTATGCAACCAGCTGAAAGCACATTCTAGCGAGAGGAATTCAACATTATTGTGCAGTGAAGCGACATCGCGTTCGGACCGATTGGTGTTATGAGTGGTATGTTGGCAGAAGGAACTGTACGAAAAAGCAGACCGAAGGATAGTTGTGACTGGCGGGATCGCTGTTCGGAGAACTTGAATTTGTCTGCTTCGATACTCGACAGCTGTTTCCTGATTTTGCGTTGTAGCCTCCCTACATAGCGACACATTAGGTCTGTACTTTGATTAGGAAGCATTAACTAACCCAATGTCAGCGCCACATTGTTCGATTCGGGCAATTTCATATTGTAGCTTGTCGTGAATGATTCGGAGTACGAGGATCACGTTCCTTGACAATGGACTGCCAAATAGATTGGAGTCATTTTCAAGAGAGTAGTCGGGGTTGTTGAGTATGAATCTTTGCTCCCTCTTGTTGGCTAACATGCATGACATGGTGTCGACAAGGCCAGCTGAAAACATATCTAACTGTGGAAGACCTCTAACATGTTTTGTTGCATCATTCAGTATCCTGACATGGAACATGAATTCTTGATCCGGCTGATTTGCATCCAAAGCATGCGAAGTCTGGGAGCGTCGCAGTTGCACAACTTCGGGGCTAGGCGTCAGTCTCAAGTTGATCGTATCCCTCTCTGTACCAGGTAGTGTGAAGCCATAAGCAACAAGTAACTCGCTGTTCGACTTGTTGCCATAGAAATTGTAGATCTGACTGCCTGGTACAATACTTTGGCAATTCGAGAGGCAGAAATGACCTGTGGCAGAATCTCTTGACCAGTCAACGTGGTTGACGCCATTGTGATTACCAATATCCATAAGAGGAAGAAGGACAGAAAAACGGTCCTTCTGGATATGTTCTAATATCAATGGCGATTCCTCAGAAGAAGTTTGTGGGCCACTGATCAGTTCCGGTGGAATTGTCAAAGAAGCGCGAAAACTTCTGCTCCCAAAAATACTGGCTGCCCATTGGTAGAGATGATAGGTGTACTTGTCATGGTTTTCAAAGTCATCACCTAAGAGAGCAATTCCCTGCTTCCATTCTTCTTCCCACAGCGCCTTCCGTTTCTTGATAGGGGGCTCGGCGTTTGTTCCATCTAGGAATTTGAGATCTGCTTCTGGCCACCAGACCGGAAGCCCAAGTGCGTCCGGAGCGTCTGGCTGTGGAAGTAGATGAATGTAGTGCCACCAGAATGATTCTTCGCCAAGAAGGTACTGTTGAACTAGGAAAAAGTGACCGATAATGTTTGGATCATCCTTTTTCAGGGTATTGATGAACTTGGAAGGAAATGGCGGTGAACGGCTTAAGAAAGATGAGGTTATTTCTGTTGTGTTGAGATAGGAGAGAGTTGTCTTGAAAGAGCAGTTGACAAGTTTCGTTCCAGGTGGAATACTTCGAAGAGATCTGAAAGACAGTCCTGTAATGGGATCTTGATAAATCTCAACACCTGGGTCAAGTGATGTCCCGTGGACTTGGCCCCAATTCACGAGAGCCTGCACGAGTGGAGATATCTCGATCATTTTTACTGACATTGGTGGGTGGGATACTCTGTGAAAATGTGAGATTCTGCGATGCTGGAAGATGAACGTCGATCTGGTGAACTTGAGGTTGTGTTTAGCGATTTTCTCGAGGTGGATATATTATAGGTGGTCATGTGACCTAACTACTCTTTACTATCCTTCAAGCAACTCTAAGGCTTATAAAAAGTGGTAACGGACCGGGGAAGTGGATCAAGGTGGCAACCGTATTTGTCCTCCTCTACATACCCACAGAAAGCCTACCTTCAGCTTACCATGATTGCAGCACTAAAACCAATTTTCGCTTATTTGCCCCTTCTGACTTTTGTTAATCGTTCGATTGGGACACACCCTGTTTGCCGCTTAGAAATTTTATTGACGGAGTGTCTTGTTTATTGTAACAAATTCTGTATCTTCACGCTGAGCTCTTCATCAGTCAATGTTAGTTTTCCAAAGAGAGAGGGCCGCGCTTCTTAGAACGTTAGTAGGGTACAATCCACTAAATAAGCAACTAGGAAGATTTGTGGACTCTCCTAGATTTTGGATTTACATACCCGTACTAGATCTGAAAACTTTCTTTCTTTGAATTTAGATCATGTATGATGTATACCTGGATCCGTACATCACTCGTAAGTCGGAATCATTTTGATTCGAGTAAGTTTCCTTGTGCAACAACGCATGAGACGGTGCTGTACCGCCTTTGAACACATACAGGCAATTCCGTGGCACAAATAGAATAGTTTGAAGAAGTTTCTCTTTTTGGAATAACTTTCGATTATCTAATTGTAAATGTAACGCCACCCGCCCTGGCGGGGAAATTCATTGGATCGTTGACTGCCACAAGCCCAAAACTCCAATACAGGCAGCTCACTTCAAAGTGCCTGGCAATGAATCGCCTAAATGTACAGGAGGGCTGAAGCAATGTATAAGAACTCAACTCATCCCAGCTATCCAAATCGCTAGCACAAGTACATAACACGCCCGAAAACTAGCCTACTATCCATGCAACTCCAGGATTGGTGCTGGAGGAGGCAATGTCAAAGAATATGCCCATGCAGCAAATCTCGCACTGGGTTCATCGCAAATCTTCGCTACAATCTCCGCAGCCCACAAGGTGAGCGGCAACAAAATCAGATGAGGAACCAAGAATGCCGGCTCCAGACCCATCGGTCCGCTATGCGACAGCGGAAACTTGTTGACCCAATCGGGGATGAACTCCTCGTGAGCTTCCTTATACCATCCAACGGCACAATACAGCCTATCGCCTAGTGTCCACAGGATAGGACCATGAACCAGGTAGAGCGAGAATGAAATCCGGCCAAGATATTGGTTGAAAGAAGCTTCGAAGAAGGCCTTTAGCCACCATATCCGTGGGATACCAGCGACCAGAAACATAGCTGCCCAGAAGAGGAAGAACCATTTCTGGTCCCATGGTGCTTCAGGTTTGAGCTTGCCCAGGTAGTGCCAGCCAGGTGCATTGTGCAGAATTTCCATGTCGATGATGTGGGAAGGGCATCCACTAAAAATTAGGGACACAACAAAAACACTGTAGTAGAACGGCATTTTCCATGATTCGAGTTTCGTAATCAAAATTGGCAGGTCTCCGTTCCGGGCAAGAAGGTCGAGGTCGCAGAGCAGTACGCCACCCATGAACATGGCTCCAAACCAGCCATCAACAACATACATGAAGTAGTAAATCAACCCTACTTCAACCCAGAGTCTGGCATTTCTTGTGGCCCTAGAGACTGCCATGAGGGTAGTATAAACAATGATCGAGCCTCGGAATTCGACTGGGATGGACCAAGCCGGGAAGTTGTATGTCAGCCAGGCATCTCCGCCTCCTCTGAACACAAAGGAATAATTCTTGAATTCAATGTACCAGTTCCAGAGCTCTTCACGGAAAGTCAGTTTATGAACTGGCGATAAAGTCCAGATGCCGAAGAGATGCCAAGAGGTAAGGTATGTGACTGTGATAAAAATAATCGGTAAGTGAAGTCGTGTCCAGCGACGGAATAGAGCCGATCCCATATTCTCCCCAAGTTTGCTGTACTCGCCAGCTTGAATCAGAGCTAGGGGTTTCACGGAGAGAACGTATCCTGAAATGACGAAGAAGACAGCCACAGCAAAATGGCCTCCGGTAAAGAATGTCCTGACGACAGGCAAAGCAGCAAAGTAGTATTTGCCTTCATATCCCCAGCCCATTTCCATGATCCGACTTGAAGGAACTTCACGAAGAGGCCACAATTCGTGATGCTGCCAATACACCAAAAAAGCTGCAAATCCTCGAAGACCATCAAGATAAGCGGTCCGTACGGGTTTCTTCTGGGGAGCGCTTCTTATCATGACTGCTGGTCGGACAAAATCGAGAGCCCATTTTGCTGCGGAATGCGCAGACGACGATATGTCCTGCTTCTCCCATCGCGAATCGAATGTGGAAGTCATGATACTCCTTCAGTTGGATTTCCACCGAATTATCAGGGTAGCGGAAGTGACTGGAGTCTCCAGGCAAATGTGTGAGGCTAAAGCTGAGGTCGCAAGCGTAAATGTACCTTCGTGGAAGATGTTATCTCGCACAGGTACAGGAATCGATTCCTGGTGCACAAGAGTCGACGTTCGAAGTGTCTGAAGAAGTTCGGACACCAGGTCTAAGAACTCTGCGATTGATTAACACAAGGCGATTTTGTTCTGAGCAAAGGGTCGAAGCTGGCAAGCAAACAGCTCTGATGCTAGTCAGAGATATTTTGAATCTTAGTTGAAACACGCAACGTGAGCACACCCCAGTCCGAGGCCAGAATGCGCCTTTGCGAGAAACACGTTTCATAGTTAGAGTTCGTGTATCTGGCATTGTTGCGGACTTTTCTTGTCAAGCGGTGGTTGGCCGATTTCGCTGTTCTCTTGGAACTGCTTCTGTTTCACCATGTTCCTATCAAATGATCAGATCGTGCGCCAAGAGATCGCAACACTCTTTAGTACTCGGCTTTCAATTTGCATGTGCATAGCTTAAATAACTTGAATTTTGGAACTCCGATGGATGGCGGGAGAACAAAGTAGATTTCAACTTGTGAAGGGCCTCGGTCATAATTGTTGTGTTGTTGTCAGATGCTCTAGCCGAGCCGAGCTGTCTCAATCCTCCACGAATGACATCAAGCTTCGAAGCAGAACATAAACTTTGCGCACGATATGATTACTTCTGCGAAGTTTGCTGTGAAGATCATCGCATACGCCAGGGATTGAGCTCCAGGATACCCATTCAAACGACTACGAGTTACTTTGCTCATCGTTCGTGACAGCACTGACAATGTAAATTGACAAAGATCGTACTTGTCTACCACGCTCCACCGACAGAGTACCTGCGTTCCGTCGACGGAGACTTATTGCTTCAACAGGTCCTTCGTTTGTTCCATGATATTGGTCTTGACATCGGAGGAACATGACAGAATAGAAAAGTTCTTGATGTGCCGAGTGGAACTTCTCAAGTTTCGTGCACGGCCACTAATTTTCTCCATGTTTTTGGAGATCCGTCCCCGTCGAACAAGCAATTTTATCCTTGTATGCGAGATGATCTTCGGCAGCTGTCCGTTCAGATTCTAGGATGATGCGCGTCGAGGATGTTTCAACAGATCATGCGAGCCCCTACTCAAAAATGTGGCGGAGTTGGAGACATCCAGTGGCACGGCGCACATAGTCGCAAAGAGTTTTCCAGATGGAGCTGTTTCTAAAATGTGGGCTGCGACAGCCGAACCTGATACCACTCCGGGAGTAACAAGTAATATTAGTTCAGGGATACTAGAAAGAGCCTCGGATTGTAGTCCCCGGTCAACTTAGCTCACCTAGGATATCTTCTGGCGATGTCAGCAGTCTGTTGCTCCAAAACTATCTTGCAAACATATGAACAACCTCAATCTTCTGCCATTGTTGGAGCGACTGCATCTTACCCCTCGCCTCTCAGTGCGACAGAACCTATGATTAAAGCAAGCATGCATATCAAGACTCCGTCCATTGGTGGTGGGAGATTCCGGAAGCAAAGCAAACGAGCAGCTCCACTGTACATTGCATGCGCCCTTCTCCTTCTACTATACACTCAAATCGACCATTTCGAGCGATTTCAACACACTCCTGGCGAGGTACTGAAGCGTGTTCTGGCATATCAGCAACCAATTGTTCGCGCCGAGCATACCAGATTTCCAAAAAAGATATGGCAAACTTGGAAAACCGACCCACTGGAGTTTGAACAGAGGGAATCTGAGCGAGCCAGAACCTGGCCACAATTCAATCCTGGTTATCGATACGAAGTCCTGACCGACAACAACGACCTGGACTATGTTGAGACTCACTTTGGCCGCGATGGTGTAATCTATCGTCCAGATATTATTGAGACATATCGAACTCTGAACGCAACAATTATCAAAGCCGACCTTTTGCGATATCTGGTCATGTACGCGGAGGGAGGAGTCTATGCAGACATCGATGTTGAGAATCTCAGAGCTGTCAATACTTGGATTCCACCGCAGTTCAACGAAAGCGATGTCGATCTTGTAATCAGCGTTGAGATCGATGAGCCTTCGTTCGTCAACCACACAATTCTTGGCCCAAAATCCCAGTCTTTCTGCCAGTGGACCTTCATGACCAAGCCAAGACACCCGGTAATGATGCGACTCATCGAGCATGTTCTACACTGGTTGAACGAAGTTGCCCAGAAACAGGCGGTACCAATTTCGGACATCAAACTCAACTTCGACGAAGTGATCACCGGTACAGGTCCATCAGCATTTACCACCGCGGTTTTGGCAGAAATGGCTGCACAAACCCATCGCCGACTATACTGGGACACATTTCACGCTCTCACGCAGCCTGTACTTGTCGGTAATATCCTCGTCCTCACAGTCGACTCTTTCGCAGCAGGTCAAGGGCATTCGAATTCCCTAAGTCATGACTCTCCAAACGCCTTGGTAAAACATCACTACCATGCTTCACTCTGGCCATCAAGGCATCCTAGATACAGCCATCCGGCTTATGGAATGGTGGAAGAATGTAACTGGGAGCCGAGCTGCGTCTGGAATTGGACCGACAACACAGCTGCATTTAACGGCCTGTCTTTCGATGACAAGGTCAAATTGATCAAAGAGAAGGAACAGATAGACAAGGAGAGATACGATGCAGAGGTGGCAGAGGATGAGGCTGCAGCCAAAGAAGAGGCTGCGAGGCTACAAGCTGAGCTCAAGACTGAATGCGAAGCGGCATCCTATGTTCACATTGAGCAGATCACTCAAGCACAGGCACCACCAGCGCTCATTCAGACACAACCTTGGTGGCCAACAACCCAAAACCCAGCAGAACAGCAGCCGGGAGCTCAGCAACCGGCTAATCAACAGCAGTCGAGTCAAGGAACGGAGTCGCAAAACACGCAACAGACAGAAAGTCAAACGCCGCCACAGGCCCAACCCCAACGAGAGCTACAGGTACAACCGCCTCCTGAGCAAGCTGCCCCAGCTACCGGTATTGAAAGCCAACCCGAAGTGCGGATATGAAAGAAACGGGCGGATAAATTATGACTGGAGTCGGCGCACAGGTATTGCTACCAGGCAGTGAAGCTCCAAGAATGTGCACAGTCATAAACCTTGTTGGACTGTCAGGCCATATCCTGCTGGAGTGTGGTTTGAGTTTCAGAAGACAAGCTGGGAATATCTTCGAGACGACCTGTTGTAGACTTCAGCAGGCTGGAGGGTCGTGCCAGACGGAGAGCAAAGGGCATGGGCGTTGGTGGGCGTTTCTGAATCATAGATTCTGGTGTCGGTGTTTGATATCTTGGGAAGTCGAGAAGTGAGTGGGCTGTTGCGATATACCCCTGAGCTAGTCCTAAATGAGAACTTTTAAAACCACGACAGATGTGGAGGAACCGATCTTGCAAAATCTCTCTGTTGAACCAGAGAGTAAACATGTACAATCACGAAAATAGCATAAAAAGACTATTTGAGGATGTTGAGACCGTATGCCACCAGAAAGTATCTGCGTTACATCATTTTCAACGTGATCTGCATATCACACGATGCAGGACCCGACGTCAGAATAGCAATGCCCTCATAAGCGGATCCAGTCGAATCCCCAGCTCTCGGAGCAGAGCTATTGCTCGCATGAAGACTCTTGAAATGATTGGTCTGATTTTTCTAGGAACGAGGCTGAGCTCGACCCCATACGAGGCTGCCGAAGAAAGTGGCATGACATCGTGATATGAGTCGGATACCTAGGAACTTGATATCTCACGGATGTTTCGCCACAATCTGTTTTCTGTACCCGAGTAACACCGCCGAACTCCGAGTCATAACCAGTCACCACACAGGGCAGGTAACGTGGTCTAGGTCACCATTCGATTGTTCGTACGACAAACGAAGAACGATACCGTGGGTAGCTTGTTGTCCATGCCACAGCCTCGCGCTCACGACCTGTGTGACCTGCCTGCATCACTTCCTCAATTTTCTTCGTACACCTTCTTCTCTCATCCATTACATAAAAGCTAGAAGTACCAATAGCTGCAAAGTCCCTTCGCATTTTAAAGGTCGAGCAAAGTCACGGAAGTATAGGTTTACTTCTACGTTGTCGATATGTCCGACTTTAATCACTCAGAATCCGTTCATCCAAACTCTACTTTGAGCGGTGTACCTTCCAATTCTGCTGATGGAGCTATGACACCGCCCTCCAGAGTCCCAAGTCCTCTTCGGAGTACACCCCGGAGTCTTCGGCCCTATGTCTGGGCTCTAATGGCATTCAAAAATGGCGCTCGATTCCAGACGAAGCCTTCGAAAACACGAGCTCGCAGAGCCAGCCTCCTCGCCGATAAGGAAGGCCCTTTTGCTCCTTCTCTCATGGTGTGTGGTTAAGTCTCAAGCCGTACAACCAGAATATGCAAGCTGACTTGGTGACTTTCGTTCAGCCCCTCTTTGCAGGCATTGCCGTTGCTTTCAGCGATAACGACTCAGCCGTAATTGCAGTTGCTATCCACGATAGTACATATCTGACCGACTTCTCGGTCGAAACCATCCAGCTCAAGGATGCTGTCGGAAAGGGCGAAGATCCAATTGCAGACTATGTGGTCACCCAGCTGGAAAAGTATGAGCATACAAATATTGCAAAGTTTATTGGTGCTGGACTCCCTGCGGAACTCTTGAAGAAGTCACCTCGACTCTGTTCCAGGCTATGGCTTGAGCTAGACATTGTCCCTGTTACAATCGTTCCTGAGCTTGAAGGTTTCGAAAGGAACACCAAGGGTAAGAACTTTTGGAGCTCAAAGTGCGTGGATGAGCAAGCCGATTCAATGGCTCGAAAATGCATCATGTAAGTGTGCCCTAGCTTCAATCAATGTCTTGTGCTACTTCAGGTACTTTGCATCGCGGCACAATTGTTTTTGTTTCTACTTAACGAATGCTAACAATTTTGAAGGCACTTCGGCCCCAACCTTGCTCCTCTACTGCAAGTTGGCTACAGAGGCATCGTCGAAATTGATTCCGGTGGAAGAGCGCATATCCTAAGCATCGATGATTTCAAGCGGTTGTGTGATGCTCCTACGTGGGACTCCATGATGCATTTCGCCACCAATCTCAAGAAGATGGGTACAAGAATAGCATTCTTTAGCAGCACACCACAAGGTGGTGGAGTAGCTTTGATGAGACACGCACTCGTCCGACTTGCGGATCTTCTAGGTGTTCAACTTACTTGGTACGTACCAAAACCGAAGCCAGGAGTGTTCCGTATCACCAAGACCATCCATAATATCCTTCAAGGTGTCGCGGAGCCAGGTGTTTGTGTCAGTTCCGAAGAGAAGCTGGTTCTTGTGGATTGGATCGCAGATAATGCGAAGAGATACTGGCTATCTCCCGGCGGACCTCTACGCCCGGCCGAAGAAGGGGGTGTAGACGTCATTATGGTATGTCGAAGTGCCGGTCTAGATTTCCTCTAGAAAGCAGGAGCTGACATTGCCAGATTGATGATCCTCAAATGCCAGGGTTGATTCCTCTCATCAAGAATTTGACTCCAAATCGACCAGTTCTTTATCGAAGTCACATCCAAATCCGAGGTGACCTTGCTGTACAAGAGGGTACTCCACAGTCAGATGTCTGGCAATTCTTGTGGCAAAATATCAAACTTGCCGATATGTTTATCAGTCATCCAATTCCATCTTTTGTTCCTAGCAATGTTCCAGCATCAAGTGTGGCATATCTTCCTGCCACTACAGATTGGTGACTTCTGACTCCCAAAGTCCTCAGACAATTTACTGATATTGTCAGGCTCGATGGTCTCAACAAGGACATGAATGAGTGGGATCAAGGCTACTACGGTCACATCTACAACGAAAAATGCCACGCCATCAGAATGTCCGTCCTTCCAGCTCATCCTTCCTAAACCCCATTGACTCTCACAGGACCCAACTCAAATGGCCCCTCAAGAAATATTTCATCCAAATCGCACGCTTCGACCCCGCAAAAGGTATTCCCGACCTCATTCAATCCTACGCAGAGTTCCGCCGTCTGCTCAGTAAACACGACCCCAGCCTCGAAGCCCCTCAACTCGTAATCTGCGGCAACGGCTCCGTCGACGACCCTGACGGAACCATCATCCTCGACCAAACCATGAGCACACTCGAGACCAAATTCCCACACCTCCTCTCCTCCATCTCAGTCATGCGTCTCGCGCCCAATGACCAGCTCCTCAATACCCTGCTCTCTGCATCGCATACAGTCCTCCAACTCTCCACTCGAGAAGGGTTTGAAGTCAAAGTCTCCGAAGCCATTCATAAAGGCAAGCCTGTCATCGCTACGAACTGTGGCGGTATCCCGCTACAGGTCCAGCATGGCAAGAATGGTTTCTTGGTCGAGGCTGGGGATTGGTATGCTGTGGCGAGGCACCTCCTGGAGCTGTGGACGGATGAGAAGATGTATGAGGAGATGTGTGCGTATGCGAAGATTAGTGTGAGCGATGAAGTTGGGACGGTGGGGAATGCGCTGGCGTGGTTCTATCTCGCCGATAAGTGGGCAAATGGCAAGGGTGTTGTCCCGGAAGGACGGTGGGTTAATGATCTTGCGAGGGAGGAGTCGGGGATTCCTTACAAAGAGGGAGAGAATAGATTGCCAAGGAATTTTGGGAGTGCTTGAGTTGAGTCGAGGTTGGTGATAGAGAGGGATAGGGGGGGCAATAAGGCCTTGATCCTTGGTGTTTTCTTTTGCGCTGGCGCTTTCATACTCACTCCGCTCCGCTCTTTTTCCATGGGCGAGATAGCAGTCGGGCATTAGAATGTGCTGTTTTTGGTAGCGAACTGCCCAGTTGTTGACAAGAAGCGAGGATTTAGCGATCTGAGGTCAACTTGCTACCAAGCCCTCTCCTTTTCTTCGGAGGCTATATCAGAGACACAGAAATAGAAAACAAAGAGAAGAAGAGATGATAATTGCACTAACATCATGGCAAAAATCTCTTAAATGGCGCCAGGAAACTTGGGTGGTCAGATCTCAGCTGACTGGGGGTAATGAATCCAGACACGAGGCGGAGATGGCTAGAGTAGTGAAGACAACGAGAAATGAAAAAGACGTTTCATACGAAAACGAAATGAATGTTTGATAAGGTCATCAACTCCCTACGCTAATTTCGAGGTTCAGATTGGCTCTGTTGAGCCTTGAGCTCTTTACGTGTGTTTTGGAAGAGCAGCGAGGTCCTTGGAGCTGCTAAAGTGCTGAGCGTGCTGTGAGTGCCAGGATTCCAGCAGTGCCAAACTCGTCCCTGTATCTATAAAAGCATTTGGAATGGAGGTGAAAAATCTCGGCGATATCCGAGATATCGAAGCTACCGAAGACATGCTCCTTCAGCCATCTTCTACTTAACCTGTGAAACCACAAGGCAACCCAATGCAGCACTTCCACAGAATTATCTTGACATATCCTATGTTGTCGCCTATTACTTACTTACATGCTTTACGTACATACATACACCTATCAGTTGGTATATACCCACTCTTCTCTCACTTACGTCCGTAAATGCAAATCAATCCAAACGCCTAGCTAGGGTATCCATTTCCATCCAACCAACAATGTACTGCCATCTGCCTTTCCATTCACCCGTAGGATACCTGTCCATTGGAAGGATAACAAAATAAGTAAAATCAAATGCGTCTCGTAACTTCGTAATGGACAATCTCTTGCCCCTGGTGTATGCTGTGGTGTGCCGTCCCGTGCTCCAAGCACCCCTGGCCTCTCTTGGTCTTTGCTATGCTCCGGATATCATTGCTGACATGCCCTTTATTCGTTCCATGGAAAATCCCTTTCGGTTACTCTGGTGCAGACCAGGTAGCTCACATGCGTTCCCTCACCAAGTAAGCTGCTTCGCATAAGAGGTCTCACCACTTCCCTCGCCAAGCTCTTCATCTCATCCAGTCTCTTCTCGAACTTCTTCAGATTGTCACGAGAGTACAGCTCTGGCGTGAGTTTGAGGAATCTCTTGCACTCATCATGACCGAGATATGAGGAAGGCGCGGACCCTAGTGTGCGAAAGACACGGCCAAGATGCGGGTTGGTGTTTACAGGCCCGTTAGACGACGAGGAAGAAAGTGATGACGAGGGATGGAATTGCTGTACTGTTTGGTTGGTATGGTGGATTGCTGCTATGGTTACTTGGATGGTGTTGTTCCGCGCATGACCACCTCCGTTGCGAGACTGCGAGGCTCGTGGAATAGGTGGAGGAGGAGGAGGTGAGGTGGCGTCTGCCAGCCATTGTCTGAATAGAGACATGGCCAGCCAGTCAAGGTAGTTGTTGTGGGGGGTCACTCTCTCGCCTCTCGAGGTGGTGAGATTCATACGGTAGAGACGACCTTCGATTTTGCCTACTAGGTCGTCTAGTTCATCCACTTTGTCTTCGATGATGTGGAGAACCGTGTCAGGGAGTTGATGCCGAATGTGGCGCTCTCCCATAGGCCATGCGCCTACAACATGGATGAGGGCTTCTTCAAAGATGGTCTTGGATTGCGCTAGGTAGCCAAGTCTTAGATATGAGGAAGGATATTTAGCAATCTGTTTCCAGAGCCGCGATTGGAATTGAAGAAGGTGGTGATCAATTCTTGGACCAACTACAGCGAGGGCATCGTACAGGTCCGCAAGTGTGAGAAGGGACTTGCACTGAATGTAAGCGGTTGCTATGTCGATTGGATCAAGGGCTGGAGGGTAATTGTAAAAGATTCGGAAGAGGTTATCGTAGTCGTTTAAGAGATCTTGGTCCTGGGGACTTAGAGGAGGAGCGGATGAGGCTTGCGGAGTTGAAAGCGAGAGGTTTGCGACTGATCGAAAGAAGGAAGGGTTCGACGACGGTGGTTTGTTGCGTACAGGCGGAGGCCGAGCATCTGTTGATCCGAAAAGAGATGCTTGCGTATTATCTTTCTGCACCAGCATGGGTATATCATCGTCGCTGGCACCAGCATCCAGCTCATATCTCCATCGTTTCTTGTTATTCCTCGCAGATTCGCTGCCCAAGTCCTCACCTATCCTAGCCAGTTCCACGCCGCCTTCATTGCCCGCTTTCGACCATTCCTGACTTGTGCTTGCCTCGAAGAAACCGGAACATTGTGTGAGAATTATACGATGGAGGAGGTATCGATTCGTTTGGGAGCCAGCCTTGACTAGTATCTCAACGTCACCCGTATGACTGAAAACGGGGAATTCGTTCTGCGGAACGAATGAAGACCCTCCAGCATGAGATCTGCCATGCCGACGATGCCTGGAAGACCTTGAGACGACCGAGGAGGGCCCTCGAAGGGCCAGGGACTGGGAAGGCTCGACTTGTGAGACCATATTTCATGCCAGCCTTTCTGTTGCTACCATGGTCAGTTGAAGCAAGGCTCGGCCGAGGCAGAATAACATACCCGAAATCAATACACGGTTACCATTTTGCTAGAGTGAGGTGCGGCTGTACCAAAGTCTTGAGATAGCTTTCGTAAAGCGCAGATGGGTGGAGTGGTCCTTCTTTCCCAGATGTTTTGGTGCTCCTATCCTATTGTCTATCACCACGGTCTCGACACCTCGAAGGACTATTCGAGAACAGAGCGCCTCAAGTAATATATGCGTCTTGTCACGAAACGCGTCGGAGCTTCTCAACAACAAAGACAAAGCAGGAACGGCAAGATAGTCGGCGACGCAACGAGAACTGACTACAGTCCTTCCCCTGAGCGCGATGCACTCGCACTGCATTCCCGCTGCTTCTGTCTCTCAGTCTGTTGCCCTCACGCCTTCACGCTTGCAGCAGTCAATCGCGCTCAAGCATGCAATGCAACTGCACTCACTGCGCAGCGGTGCAGCAGTGGTGCACCGCAACCGGGCAGTTCCTACGATTCGGTTCGTGGTTCAAGAGTGGCGACTGGCATCCAGCAACAGGATCACAAGCAAGGTCTTGGTTTTGGTCTTGGACCTGCCGTGGCCCAATAGCCGTGCATATTCTAGCAGCTGCATCTGGGATTCCTCGAATCAGATCCTGGAGCTGCCGGTTGCAGCAGCGCACATCGGCCAGTCCTTTTGCCGGCAGTATGCTGACCTGAAAATCTGGACCAGGAACCTGAAAATGCGGTGCGAGTGGAGGCTGGAGGGTGGCAGGCTGGCAGCTGGACCGCAAAGTGGGATTGTCTGCTTCCAGCATCGAGACATTATTATTCCATTGGCATTGGCCGTCCGTCAGCTTCGGCCCAATCAGTGCGAGCCGGGAGGGTTGTGAGATCTGCATTGGCTGTGCTCCGTTTTCATAAGTCCTGCATTATTATTTGTGCGCTCTAGTTCCGTACCTATAGTACAAGTGTGCTGCCCACAAGGCAAGGACAGAGAAGAGCCAGTAGTTGAGCCGGAGGCAAACACCCACGAGCACCAGTCCACTTCCGTTCGCCTCACTCACTCCGAGTTAACCTCGAGTCAGTCAGATCACTGGATTCTCGTCACATGCCGCCTGGTTCCTTGCTTCAGGTCTTCGTTACTGCTCACAGGGTTTTTGCAAGACTTTTCAGTGGCAACTTGGTTTGGAATCGTTTTTATTATATCATGTATTCACTGATTGACCGACTTTTGCTTCCGAAGGCTGTCGATGCTAATTGCTGCGTAGCTAAAGGCCGTAACTTTGCCTCCAGCTGCCTACCGCCAAACATCCTTCCCAATGATCCCAGAAATATTGTACAAATGCTTTGTCCCTTCTCTGAGACCCTCCCCGACCAACCTAAATGCAATAGCCAGCTGAACTCCAGATCGAAGCAGGTCCCGCCCAAATTTTTATACCCCGTCCAATGTGTCGTGATATAGCCGTTAACTCATATCCATTTCTACCTCAATTGATTGAGGTGGCTTATGTACGCCATTCAGATTGCCAATGTCATTGGCCGATGCGATTCCATTCATCACTTGTACCCCGTTGCCAACAATCCCATTCGAACTAACTCCCCCGTTGGTGATTGGCGAGTCAACAACATCAGTCATTCCATTGATTGTTTGTTCTCCCCCAAAAGGTGGATTGATGCCATTTGCGACCCCAACGACCGGAATTCCGTTCATAGCGCCCTCGACGAGTAGTTGCGCGTCAATTTTAGGAGTCTGGCCAGCCTCCATGACCAAGTCACCATCGAAGACAGGAGCAGGACCTCTCAGATTGACCCAAAGTCTCTCGAGGCTGGTACTGACAAGTCGTCCTTGCTTGAGATCTTCGCCGAAGAGAAAGTATCCCTCATTCGCCTCGACGAGATAGCTTGATAATCCTTTGCTCTGAAGCTGTATCTTCGCATTGGTTACAGGGAAGTGGTTTTCGATGAACTTTGCCCAGCCTCGGGCTGCAGCCTGAATGTCTGGTCCCGCATTATCCATCGAAGACCATCCGATGCCCAAGTGGAGTGTGAACATATCAACGGTAGGCTCTGTATGACGTTCTGGCGATCCACCGGGAGACGCAGCTTCTTGGGAGACCTCCTCTGGGATAGCAGGCGTTGCGCTCAGGTTCAGCCGTTGACTCTTGGTAGCTCGAATCACTGGTCTCTCCGCGGCGGCAGCGATCTGAGCGGCTAACTTCGCTTGCTCTTCCGCAGCCTTTTCTTCTTGCCAGGTACCGGTCTGGCTCGTTGAGTCAGTGACGTACCCTGTGCCCTTCTTGATCAACACCATGCCCTCTCCGTATTCCCATTCATCCTCGTTCTCAGGCTCGGGGATGACAGGCACTGGAACTTGGAAGTAATCCTCTTCGAGATTCGAGGAAGCTTCGTCTCTTGATCGCTTTCTACCAGCAGCGGATCGCGGTGTGGACTGGGTTGGTGTCAAGCTTGACCAGGAGGAGTTCGCTGGCGACTGGTGGATGCTGTTGGTGAATGGAGTGTTGAAGACTGGTCGATTCGAATCCATGTTGAACGAAGACTACAGAGTAATCAATGTCTGGTGTTCAAGTGGGGAATGGAGAACTGTAGAGCTTCACTGGCGCCTGTAGGCATTGATAGTGAACTCCACACGCGGCTGAGAAGAGAGTGAACACTTACTTGGTGAGGGTGTTGAGCCGGTAGAGTGAGGACAGGATCAGAGGAGTATGATTGCTCGAACGATCTCATGATGAGATGAGATGATATGAATGATAGAAGAAGAGTAGAGGTACAATCGGTGGAAGTCCCAAGAGGAATTGAGACGTCAGAAGTGGAAGAAGGAAGTGAGGGAAGGGAGAGAAAAGAAGAGTAAGAGGATGATATGAGAAGGGAAGAAGTGCGGTGTGTACTTAAATGGTGTGTGGGTGAGAGGGAAGGAAAGGAAAGGAAAGGGACACAAAGCCTAGAGATGGATGGAGAAGTAAGAAAGGGAAGGCTCACGCTCGCTCGCAGCGCTGGGCTGGTCGGTCTCTGGGGACGACGGAAGCTTCACGGGCAAGGCGAATCAGAAATGGCAGAAGGCTTTCCAACCGCAAAGAGCTTGCGATTCAAGGGTGACCTGCGCTAGGGTCTAGCTTGACAGGGATACTCGAGCAGCCTGAGGCACCAGAGTGGGAAGAACATGATTGGCGATCTGCCTCTAGGGTGGGTCTTTGTCAGCAGGGCGGTCAATGCAAACCCTGGGCTTCCCCGGCTGCTGCATCTGGCTTGGGCTCGGGTGTGAAAATCAAAAAGGCTGGTCTGCCAAGAGCACTTTTGCCGGATGAAGAGTGGTGTGACTTTCCATTTGGATGCGGGCCGGAAAGCGACGAGACACGTGCTAGTTTGTTCGAGATGATGAAACTCGTTTCTTGACACGAGAAATAAGATTCAAGACACTTAAACCAGTATACAAAAGATCTCATTGTCTAATATTGCTGTTAAAAAGAGAAGAGTGTCACATGTACCAGCATCACGCTTCAGTCAGGTGCTCTCAAATATACTTGCCTCAGGGCAACCTTCATTTTCGTCAGGCCAGCCTTCTGGCCTTGGCAAATATGCCAGCCCCGCCACAATTCATGCGCCCGCCTGCCACGCAATAATGCAATATTGAAGGCGAAGGCGAAGGCAGAAAGGAGTTTGTATGTTTCCTCGCACGTCGACGGACTTTGATCCTTTGTCATACCACAATCAACCGCAATCATGGCCTCTGTAACTTCCCTCGACAAAGATATGCGCAAATTGCGCTTAGATCGATACACTCCGCAAGCCGCGAACGAAGTCAAAACATTCATAGAAGATTCATTAGGAGAGCGCCTTGCCCCTGGTGACCTTTTGGATAGTCTCAAAGATGGAGTGGCTCTTTGCAAGTATGTTTCCATGTTTTCCCGGCCTGTGCGGTCTGTGATCTGATATCTACGTCAATTACTAACATTATTTACTTCAGGCTGGTTAACCTTGCGGTGCCAAATACACTACGATTCAAGGCCAAGGCCGTAATGCCTTTTGTGCAGATGGAAAACATCTCACTCTTCCTCGATGCCTGCAAATCCGCGCCTTTCAACCTTCAATCCCACGATACGTTTCTCACAGTTGATTTGTTCGAATCCAAAGATCCGGCGCAAGTATTACAGTGTTTAGGCGCGTTCAGTAGAGCTGCGAACCGTATCAACCCTTCGCGGTTCCCAAGTCCCATTGGTGGGAAGTCACGGAATGGATATATGAGCCCGCAAGGAACCGGATCTGGCGCAGTTGGAGGGGGCAGTTACGGGAACAGAGGACGTGGGGCGTCGAATGCCAGCAATACATCGTCAGCATATGCGAGACCCCCTTCTTCTTTAACGCCTACGAGAACCGGCGATTCCAATAGCGGGAGATGGAGTCCAACGAAGAATAGCACAAATCCGATATCACCGGGTGTGAGCAGTTGGAGCAAGAAATCCGATGAAGGAGCTACATCTCCAGCTTGGAATATCGCACAATACGGTTATATGGGTGGTGCCAGTCAAGGAAACTTGGGCGTGTCTTTCGGAGGAAGACGGCAGATCACAAGTGCTGGTCCGAGTGTTCCGAACATGGCAGAAAAGGAGAAAAAGAGAAAGGAGCAAGAAGCTGAAGCAGAGCGTCAAAGGATAGAAGCTGAAGAGGAAGAGCAAAGACGAGTTGCAGCGCAACAAGCCGAGGAAGAGAGAGCACGAATAGAAGAGGAACAGAGATGGGCTGAGGAGACGAGGAAGGTCAGAGAGCGCGAGCGGCAGAAAGCCGAGGAAGAGAAGCGAAAATGGGAGGAGGAAGAGCAGAGATGGCGTCAGGAAGAAGAGACGAGGCAAAGAGAAGAGCGCGAGGCCGAGGCTAGATTGCAGGATGAGCGCAAGAGGGCTCGTGGTAATAGTGATGCGAGACTTAGGGGACAGTTTTTGAGCCAGTACCAAGCTGAGAACGGTTTCTCGAGAGGGAGCAGCAACGGAGAAAGTTCTGAGAGCAGTCGTATCAAGGAACTGGAGAAAGAGCTTGAGCAAGCTCGCGAGCGAGAACGTCAATACGAAAGAGAGCGACAAGCGAAATTGAATCAACGAAGCCGACAGGCCACGGAAGATCATGACATGTCGAACCGGATTAAAGAAGAGAATGCCAAAGTACGGTCTCGCTCAAGAAGCCGCCCACGTGCCCCATCACGAAAAGATGAGGATGAATCTTGGCGCGAAGACGAGAGAGACTATCTACGAAAGCAATGGCAATCACAGCATTCCGACGAACCGGTGCATACTCCACAACCTGCTAAATCGCCTCGTCCGCTCCCAGAGCCCACACCATCTCTCCCACCGAGAGTCGTGAAGCAGAACACAGGCTCCTCACGACCTCTTCCCGATCCCGCAAAATACGCTTCTGCCAAGTCCCCAGAGCAACACTTCAGCCCCAATCAAAACCGCACAGATCGGTACCTATCGTCTAACCCGGCACCTAGACAAGCACAAGCGAACACAACGTACTCCAACGAAATTGGCGGCTTCGACAGCGCAGCCGAACGTGATGCCGAAGATCGCCGCCGTGTAGCCTCGCAGCAGAAGACCAAAGCTTCAGGCTGGGCATCAAAGTCTCTGCTTGAAAGAGAGATGGAGATGGAGCGGCAAAGACAGCAAGAGTGGGAGGAGAGCCAGAAGGAAGTCAAGAACAAGGTTCCAAAGGGCGATGGTGTTGATGGGATTGGTGGCGGGATTGGCGGCAAATGGGATGTCAATCAATGGACTGGATATACTGGAGGTGATGGTCAGAATAGGGGTACTCAGGGTATCGGGTCTGGCAGGAGACAAATCGTCGGTCCGAGACCACCTCCCGGACGATAGTTTCTGGGTGTTTTTAGTACGGGAGTGTTGTTTTTGGGATACGGAGCGTTGTTTGGAATTATGAGGACATGGCATGGCGTGGTATGTGATGTTATGAATTGACGCGGCATGGATGGACACGGCCATTGTGGCCTAACAGGATAGAATGATCGATGAACTGGCTTGGTTCGATGAGCACAAGATAAATGCTAAAATGAAAGAATGAGCCTATTGAGGCACAACTTACCCATCTATCGACCAACATTCTTTTTCAATAGAGGTTAAACTAGCGAGGAGCAAGTTTGGCTTTCGAGCAAGTGACTGGCCAGTTGATACTGGCTATCTTGTTCTGTGTAGATCTATCTTATCGTGAGAACATTGTTGCTCGCTGCTGTTGCAATTTTACAAGCACCTATTGCAGCAAGTAGCACATATGTTTACAGCTACGTAGAGGAAAAGTGTCCACGTCAAAAACACAATGGATTTTGTTCTAGTTCTACTTTCGTCATATTCGTTGCTTCAATTACAGTACTTAATTAACCTCCACTTCTCTTCCTCCGTTCGGTTCTGTATCTTTATTTCCTAAATCCCTCAAGACCTATCGTGAATCAATCACCAGCCAAATCCAACATCTCGACTTCGCTGAACCTCCATCGCTTGACTTCCTTCATCTTACTCCTTCCAGCTCTCCTCACCTTCCCCTTCTCCTTCTCTAGCATTTCCTCCTCACTAATCTCCTTCCAGGACCCTTCTAGACTCTCGCGCAATGTGATGAATCGCTTGCCTTTCTTCGGCACTGCTTCGGTTTTTGCAGATGGCTGTTCTACGTAGGCCGAATCGGATTTCGGGACTAGAGCTGATTTAGTGGATTGGGAGGAAGATGTGAAGAAGGATGTTATTGGATTAATGGCCGAGTAGGATTGGGAGGATCGAACTGGTTGAGGAGGCGAGGAGTGGAGGCAAATGACAGTTTTGGTCGTTGTTGACGTTGATTCCGACGTGAAAGATGATGTGGTTGGACCTGGGGTAGAGGCAGGAGCCGGGGACAGCATATTTTGGATGCTGGGGAAGTCGCTGTAGCTTTCATCGTGATCTTCAGGTTCATCTTCATCAAAATTTTCCGTGCTGAAACTCGAGCTTTCATTTCCAGTACTCATCGATGGGCGAGGAGAAGGGGACCGTGCAGGAGCAGAGAATGATGGTTTTCTCGCTAATGGTTCGGAGCTCAATGGCCACGTATCCAAACTGGCCGGTGAGCTACATACAGTTTTATGACCTGGCGACATCTTCTTCCTAGAGGACGGCCGAGATGGAGAATTGGATCGGGAAGATGGCTGGCGAGTAGCAGTTTTTGATGGAGTGTTGACAGGGTGAGACCGGATTTTTCGCGTGCGGCGAGAGATAGTTACAGTATCTGGGAGGCTTATCTCTGTTTCAGAAACCTGTGGCGGTGTTGGTGATGATGGGGAGCGGTTATGTTTTCTTGAGGTAGCCCGTAATAGTGTAGGTGCCGACTCCTGTGAGGCTAGAGGGCTGGATGTGATGTAGTAAGGTTCTTGCTGCGATGATGCTGGCGGACTTCTTGGTTTCAGCATTCGACTGCTTAGAGATTTAGTTATTGAGGGATTGACCTCTGAGGATGTCGTTGGTTTAGCGAGTGACCATGGATTGGCATTCGGTCTGGGCTTGATGGGAACATTCATCTTGGTTTTGGTGCGTGGTTTCCTGGCAAGTTTCGAGGGAAGTGCATCTGTACTGGTTTGTGTTGAGTTAGAAAACACCTTGCTTTCAGATCTTGAAACTGGTTGAGATGTTGGAAATCTATCCAGAGAAGGAGCAAGAAAGACAGGAGGGAGAACTGGCTGTGAGGCAGCAGTTATTCTCGCTGGCGCTTTTGTGAAGACGTATTCATCTTCAGCTGGCTTGGAAACTTTGACGAATTTGTCCATGGCACCTTTGGGCATGCCGCCCACGGCTGCTGCTCTTGACTTCCTGACAGCCTTTACTTTTGGAAGTTTCCTTTTCCTCTCCTCTTCTTCGTAATCTTCCACCTTCAGAGGTACCCCAACTTTTACAATCGATTCGGGTATCCAGGCTTTGTCCGGCTTGGTAGGGTCGTACGGCGCTGTCGCCCTTCTACCTTTCGGTGCTTCGTCCTCGGATACATATGCCTCGATCTGGTCATCGTCATTTACTGGCGCAAGACCATCTCGTCCGTAGTCACCTGAATCTTCATCTTCGTCTTCCAAATCTAGACCGACGATGTCGAGTGGGGCAAAGACAACTCGCAGTTCTGGTTTACCATCCATACTAAAATGCTCCCTCCTCCCACAAATTTCTCTCACGTACTCCATCTCATTCATCTGTGTAAGGACAAGATCACCATAACCAGAGTCTCGTCGATCGGCTCGAAGTCGTAACTTATGAACCAACAGGGCCGGAGCAAAATTTCGAATGAATTTTGAGGCTCCTGCCTTGTTTGTCCACTCAAATGCTTCCTTGACATAGGCTCGAAGACCAGGAACATCCACTTCGCCGTCCCATATGATCTTATCTTTTAGCTTCTCGATTTTTGTTGCCGATGATACCACAGGGTGAGTATAATATCCCAGAATCTCCCTGCTTGGAAAATCGTCCGGAATTTTAAGACTCCTGTGCTTGGTCTTGAAAAACCCACCCTCATTGGTTTGAAGCTCGTGCACCAGATTGTTCCTCCAATTGGCCAAGCCATCCTCGTCGGATCTCAAGATCCTGCATAGTGACTTTCCATATCCTGCTCGGGCAGCCTCACATGCTATTTTTGCACCGAACCCCTTCAGACCTTCAGGAGCATAGTCCCCTCCACTTAGAAGAGCGACGAGAATCATGCCTTCTCTATCCAGCCCGGCTTTGCCCTCTTTAGTTTTCTTCGCATCAAAAAGTGAAACGTGAGTTGGAGCTTTATTTCCCCTTGAGCCCTCAGACGACCAATCTCGTAACGTGATTCCAGATCCAAACATGAGTGTGTCAACATCCTCACTCAGTACAGCATCGACAATCCCATGTCGTTGTAAAAGAGCACATTCCGCTTCGGCCTCTCCTGGAGCGTTGTGGTACGAAAAGCCGAATAATCTCAATAGCTGCTTGGTGGCGATATCCGAAGCCGATGCTCCACCTCTTCCGACCTTCTTATTTCGTTTGAGTTGAGGTCTCTTCGGGCCATCAAAAACGAACAAGGGCTGTATCGATGTTGCTAGTAAGCGTATAAGACGATAATACAGCGTCCGAATAGCTGGATTTGATCCTCCTTGTCCAGCTTGAATTTGGAACTGCCAAATGGAGACATCGATGGCAAGCCTGAATGGACGACCTGTCTCCTCGAACTTCTCGATAGCTAGCTTGGATAAGGAGACTCTTTCACCCCGTCCAATTTCGTCGTAGATCCCAGGAATACCCATGGTGTCAACAAAAACAAAAACAACAACAATTCAGCTTCCAGTCCGCTATGGGCGAGACTATTATGATTTCATGCTTATGCACTGCAATTTACTGATATCGAGTAACAGAAAATATAGTTATGTAAGGAAGAAGCAACGCACGTGAATTGATTGCGGAGTATGAGGGGTTGTTGAAAGATTGTCGTTGAAATTGACTTTCAAGGCCGAGTCGGCACTGGTGGGCACGGTAACCGTAATTTTGCCGGCTTCAAAGCAACCTCACCACGCTTTGAAATTCAGTAATGCTTATAGCGAATTGAGATATTAACGCACAGCTTGGACAAATGTAACAAGATGTCGAATCCAAGTGGACCATCTCATCGAAGCGTCGCGAATATCCGGTCACCGACGTCCACTCAGCCAGGCGCACCAGCGAGCCCCCATACCCCTCTGCGAACGATACCATCTACCTTCGGATCCCCATCCACTCTACGTGCCGAAGAAGATTGTGTAATACTCGAGCTTGGGAGCCGATATCTGCGAGCTGGATTTGCAGGAGATGCGCTGCCAAAGGCAGTGGTAGATTTTGGGCCAGAGGAACAACGAAGACCAGGGGATCTAAGGAGGTGGAGAACAGACTATGAGCCATCGGAGGACAGCCATGTACAAACGAAGGGCTGGGGAGAAGGCTATGAGCTTTGGAAACCTGATCTAAGAAGTCTTGACATGGGCCTAGTTGGGGACAAACTTGATAGGGCAGTAAGGGAGGCATTCACAAAGTCAGTAGTTTGCTGAGACCGTTTAGGATATATTTCTAATCATTCATAGATTCCTCTTAATAGACTCCCGTCCGAGACGTATGCTCTTGGCTATTCCTTCTACTCTGCCGCTTCCTCTACTATCTACGATACTTGACACCCTTTTTGCGAATTTCCAACCACCGACTATATCTTTGATGTCAGCACCAGTCCTCACAACAGTCGCAGCTGGCCTACGGTCTGCATTGGTTGTAGATGTCGGATGGGCTGAGACGGTAATTACTGCAGTGTATGAATACAGAGAAGTCCAGTGCACGAGATCTGTCAGAGGGATGAAGATGTTGGGAGAAGCAACATTCAAAATGCTCTCAGAAGCTATCGACCTCATAGGGACTGCAGATAAACCACAAGATGAGGAATTGCCAAGCTTTGACGAGTGCGAGGAGGTTCTCAAACGGATGGGCTGGTGTAAGCCAGTAAAGAAGCTGAAACAGAGGTCGTTTGACAGGGGGCTTACTCCTGTTGTTGAAGAGGATGAATTGAGATCAAGCACTAGAGATCTACAGATCAATGAGAAGGTTGATGAAGATGCTACTGTCTCGGTACCTCTTAGGTCGACTAAGCCGCGAAGGACTTTGGAGCTCTCAACTTCGGACCTAGCAGAGCCTTGCGAAAATGCTCTTTTTGCACTTGGGACACCCGAGAAGGAATTAGACGATGAAGAATTGCCTCTTCACTTATTGATTTACAGGAGTCTTCTTCAATTACCGGTTGATTTGCGAGCGGTCTGCATGTCCAGGGTCGTTTTTGTTGGAGGAGGTTCACGCATTCTCGGACTGAAAAATAGAGTTCTGTATGAGGTAGCTACTCTCATCGAACAACGAGGTTGGGATCCAGTTACAGGCAAAGCCGTGGAGCAGCTACGCTCAAATACGAAGTTGCAACGAACCCGGCCGCGGCAAGATGGCCCTACTGAGGTCTTACAACTGGACGAGAAATCAGGACCTGCAACAAATCCTGCAGCTCATCAGGGGCAAGAATCAGATCCAATCGAGGATGTGCTGAAACGAGAAGCCAGCAAAGGCATTCCACCTACTGAATCTGGCTATTTGAGAGCCGTGGAATCCCTCGGAGCATGGTCTGGAGGAAGTCTACTCTCACAGTTGAAGATTCCTGCTATATCGATTGTTGAGCGAGAGCAGTGGCTGCAACAAGGTATCTCAGGGGCGTCAAAGTCTGGTGAAATCAGCAGCTCTTCCCAAAGACAGAGTATGGGCGCAGGGGCATTCAACAAAACTGGTGGTGGTGAAAGATCAAGTTGGACCTTAGGTTTGTGGGGATGATGGGCAAGGTAGAAAGTGATGTCTGTCATAAAGTGTCATGTTAAGTCCTCAAGTGAAAATTTATGATACCCAAAGTAATGTATGGCTCAGATCAATGGCTGAATTAAATAGCGCTCGTTTTGGTGAACTGCCTTGTGACACCGCATATGTATCTAATCCCATCATGACTCCATGGGAATGTAATGCTACTAGTGGCCCAGTCGTGGTCCCAGTGAAGAGCTCATGTGCCAAAATTCTGGGTGAACTCCTCTAAATAAATACCTGCTGTGGGGCGCTACCTTTTCTGAATTGGGGTTGAAGCTCGGATAGCTGAGCTCCAACGTTGAAGCTCCTAAAGCTAACGACCTTCGACACTACAAAATGTCAATACCTCGACGCAGCTTCACCTGTCTACAATGTCGTTTGCGAACTCTTCCCTGCCCTCCGCGACGTCTATTTCACTCGTCTACATCCTTCCGATCCGAAACCCCTCGCCCCTCAGTTGCCCCAAAATTCTCACTCGATGTCAAACACATCCGTCAGAATGCCGCGCTGCACGAAAAAAATTGCCTCGATCGCAACTACAAAACTCAGGCTCAGTATCCCGCACGGATAAACAGCCTATTCGAACAATGGCACGCCTATCAGCGTGAGGCGCGCAGCCTGCGCGAGCGGAACAATCGATTGAAGCTCCAGCTCGCCAATCCGACCACCCTCCGTGATGAGTCCTCTGACGAGGTCCAGCGCATTCGGCAGATGTCGAAGCAGGAGATAATTGATGAAGCTAAAATATTGAAAGAACAGCTATCTAAGATTGAGGAACAGGAGACAGCTCTTACGACGGAAATTGATGCATTGGCAGCAGCAATACCAAATATTACGAGCAACGAGACACCCAAAGGAAACGATCCTACAGTGGTGGGATATATCAACGACCACCCGGAGCCAGATCCCACGGCATCAGATCGAATATGGCGCTCGCATGTCCACATTGGTACTGAGCTTCACCTGCTGGATTTTGCTGGGGCAGCAACCACAAGTGGATGGGGATGGTATTATCTTCTGAACGAAGCAGCGCAGCTCGAGCAAGCTCTTGTACAATATGCGCTCAGCGTAGCTAGGAAACGAGGATGGGGAATGGTCAGCCCACCGAGTATGGTGTATAGTCACATCGCAGCAGCTTGTGGATTCCAGCCAAGGGACCAAAATGGAGAACAACAGATTTACAATATCCAGCAGAATGCAGGCGATGTGGGACGGAAGCCAGAACTCAGTCTTGCAGGGACAGCCGAGATCCCTCTAGCTGGAATGAAAGCAAACAAAATTCTCGAAGAGGCAGATTTACCCATGAAGCGGGTGGGTGTCTCAAGGAGCTACAGAGCGGAAGCTGGGGCAAGAGGTGTCGACACCAAGGGACTATACCGAGTGCACGAGTTCACCAAAGTAGAGATGTTTGCATGGACAGCCCCTTCGGCTGAGGCTTCTACGATCATCTTCGACGAAATGATATCTATCCAAACAGAGATCTTCACGAATCTCAACTTGCATTGCCGTATAATCGAAATGCCTAGCACTGATCTTGGCGCCTCAGCTACACGCAAAAGAGACATTGAGGCATTCTTTCCTTCACGAAGACCCAAAGATGATGGGTGGGGAGAAGTGTCATCGGTGAGCACGTGTACGGATTATCAGACTAGAAGACTGGCCACCAGAGTCGACATTCGGACACTCGGTGGCAAGATTGCCTTTCCCTATACTGTCAATGGAACTGCCTTGGCAGTACCCAGAGTCATTGCTGCTATTCTGGAGAATGGTTGGAACGAGGCCAAAGGAGAAGTTGCTATACCCGAGGTACTTTGGCCTTGGATGGACGGGCAGCATGTCATCCAAAAGAAGAGCCGTTGATATGACGGAAAATGGCCTTGTAAGATAAATTGTACACCATCTTCGTTCACTTTATACCTGATTGGCATTCAGAACGACGATTTTTACCATGTTCTCTGGATGTTGCCGCCAAATGGCTGTGCTTGAGCCACTGCGGAAGATATCTAAAATTGAAATCTACTTGAGCGAATTATGTATTCGACATCTAGTAAGTGTGTGATCTTTAGTTTGGCTCCTGCACCACGGTTATGGGATCACGAATTATTCTCATGTTTTGTTCCAACTCATTTCTTGTTGTTGATTTCACTGGTTTGTGTGCATTATAACAGCAGTTGAGGTTACTGGCAGCCCATTTGGACTGATGGTCCTGTTTTTACTGCCATTTCCAGTTGTTCATGCCTCAATCTGTGGTCTTGATCTCGCAGAGGAGTACATTATCTGGAGCAAAATCTGTACCAGAGCAGATTTCGCACGATCATTACACACTATCCTGACATTGTCGGTGTTCACGTCTTGCTTTCTTCAATTGCACAAGTCCAAAGCGAGAGGCTCACCACCTGAAAGCTCAAAACAATGTCCCTTCTAGCATCAATCAAGGCATGTATAGCGCTCTATATTGGGTGCGGAGCTGTTCCCTCCCCGACCTGGGTGCAGAAACGGTCAGCGAAGGCCCGGACAAGGACAGATTCCGAGTAGGCGACGGGGCACAGGGAGAGCATATATCAATGGCTTGAGAAGGAATTCTCGCGACGCCTAAATTAGCAAGTATTTTAAGTACAAGCCGTGGGCCTGACAACGACCAACACGCCATGAAGATGCCCTGTCCGATAACCTGATATTCGAGTGATTAGGAGCAGTGGGCCAGCATGAATACCATGCAAGTACCACTATGCCTATAAATCACTCACAACTCACAATTAGGAGACAGTGTCAGTCTTCTTTTTTCATGTCCATGACTACTTAATATGTCGAGGATGAAATTATGATCTTGAAATCTTAATGAATATCCTCCGAAGATCTAGAATGCTGTAAAGTTTTGTTGCAGTCATCTGATCATATGGGATATTACCTGGTAACCCAGACTTTGTTCGTTTCCGGATGGTCACATCGATGTTGACCGTATCGTCAGAAAGGAGTTTACAGTACAGGTTTTGTCAGATGTGCCGATCCTAATATCTGAGAATCATTGAATGAACGTGGTCACTAAGGGAATCACGGAATATATAGCCACATATTCAGATTGCTGGAGAATTCTCCTTTGCGTACTTTAATCAAATTTTGTTAAACATTCATCCAAGATTCTGATAACCTGGTTAAGGAAGTCAGTAGCTTACCGAGCTAAGCCCTGTCGAGTGTCGACATTGCTACAACAATAAGTAAAAATCCCTCCCTCGATACAATGACCACCAAATATTCCGAGATCAATCCATCGATGTACGACATCGTCAAATACGGGACCTGTCTTAAGCGGCGATGCTGAAGGCCAACTCAAAATCAAAGACCATGACTCAGTGACTCCGAATGAATACAGTAAGTCTAGAGTTTGCCAATGCTTGAATTTTGGCTATCTCGCGTTCGGTCCTCGCCGCAAGCCCCTGAAAAGAACCTCCGTAAGGAACGCGCCGTATTTCGTATTGACAAGACATCATAAGCGAGAAGCCGGCCGGACGGGGTTACGCCACGACCCAGTCCGATGGCTACTTCCGTTGCACAAACGGGACTCCGTAGGTGTACCCCGGGATAAAAAGTGCTATGCTGATCTCTTTGTTGCGATCCAATGCGGATCTGCCTTATTATGTGGATCATAGGGTCTGATAGCTGCCCAGGATGCTGTTTGGCTTGGTGATGTCTTTTTTCGGACGACCGGCGGAGGAGGACCGTTGTTTTTGTTGTAATAATGCTTGGGCGGACTAATGCAAGGGGTACCTGATTATTAGGCATGGTAGATTGTGGATTATGACAAAGTTTGTGCTTTGTTGCGGAAAGATCCTCTGGCCCGGAGAAGTTCATGCGACACTTTGACTCCAAAATGGTTGCACTCTTGTTGAACTGATCTAGAACTTGGGGGCGAGGATTGCAGATATCGGAGATATCATTATTCATGGAAGAAGAGACTTCCTTGAAAATACATCCACTCTGTAGGTGCAGGAGTCGCCAAAGAAGTACCAGTAGGCTCAATGCTTCCAAGCTCACAGACTTTGACTGAGACTCCGTTCTTTATCCCCAAAAGCAACCCTGAAGAGGACTCTTTTTCCTGTTTTCTCGCCCGTAGCTCCTCCTGAATACCTTCCCATGTCCATGTTCGTTATGTAATCCCATATCTCGCTCGATTTCAGTTCCGCAAAGCTCCACCCTCCGTCTACATTCGTGAACATCTCTGGCGCTGCTATGACGCCTCAGATTAACCTCCTTTGGACCTGGATCTGTATAGACATGATGTGCCGCCAAATTCCTGATGATGCCCATCAGCATGAGTCTCTGAAATACGCTCCTGGTAATGTGTACCTCGGAGGTGATGTGTTTTAGTGCTTTGATTGGCAAGAGCTCGTCATTCGACTTCATGATGAGGGAGTCTGGCCAGCCATTTTCACCGAGTAATTGTGTAGTCGACGAGAACATGAGGTAGAAGGCGCTCCCAGGGACTCCAGTCTTGTGGATATGTTACCAGCTTGAGGCGGAAGTTACCTTCGCAAGATGGCATTGACTCTCTTGAAAACAGGAGCTTCTAGGTCGGGAAAGTCTGCCAACTGACTAAGTGCTTGATATGTAGATCATACTCGAGAAAGTACCGTCCAGAGATTTTCCCTTCTTGCTCTGTTAGAAGCCGCAATTGTGTTTAGACCCATCGAACTCGAAAGGGATTGTAGGCATATTTAATAGTATCTGCATTAGTTATTTGATAAGCTAAGCTATTCGGGAGACCGGGCTGTCAGAGCATCCATATCCTACATATAATGACTGTCCAGTTACAGATATTGACGAAGAGGAGCCTTGATTGCGATGTTCCTCGTACGCAAACAATGATCATTCTGTCGCGGCGCGATCCACTCCGCCAAAATTGACCCTTCGAGCATAATAACCTGACAACTTCCAAAAATTCGGTCCTCGGATATCCAGCAATGTCGTTGCTATGGGTAGTAGGCCGAGCCTGAGACCCTGGAGTATTTGGAATTGTTTGCTGAAAATATTTGGACTGAGAAGTATAAAACTTAATTTACACCGACTACGAATGAGCCGGCCGAGGCCCAACTCGGGTCACAGAACGAAGAAACATGTTTGCATTAAAAGTCATGAGACGAGAAGTAGTGACGAATCATTGAATCCCCGTTAAGGGAGTGCTCAGAGGCGAGAATTAGGTTACTGATCTAGCCAATTAGGTGTGGTCCGCGAAACAATGAAACAACGAGAGGATGGCTTAAGTCCAAACTTGCTGAACTGGCTATTAATAGCCTCAATTCGAAACAGGAAACAGTCTTGTGTATACAATTACCAATCGGCATCCCGTTGTTATAAAATTGCTACCCTTGAAAGTTCAGGGTGGAATTCCGGACTTGATATCAGCGACCGGATATCCGAGCCTTGAGGCCGGCCGTAGTGTTGAGATGCGAAAAAGCTCAGACTGATTGTCAGTGCACCCAGTACAAAATTTGTCCGACAGGACGAAGGGGCGCGAACAGATTGTACGAGATACAGGTAGTTTGTAGGGCACACTTCATACACTTTCGTAGAACGGAGTCCGTAGGCCATATAACACATTGTGTATCCCATACTAAAGCCATAAAATATAATAAAGTAAAATAACGAACCTCAACACCATGGTTAGAGCCATTCATACTAAACATCATTCTTCCAAATACTGAACCATGGGTTCCATCGAAGTGTCAAATGGAGACTATCAGATTGGTTCACTTGTTGGGAAGGTCGCACTCGTAACTGGTTCGGGACGAGGTATTGGCCGGGGTATCGCACTTGGTCTTGCACAGCGAGGAGCATCAGTAGTTGTCAACTATGCCAACACTTCGAAGGGAGCCGAGGAGCTTGTCAAACAGATTGAACGGCTTGGCAGCAAAGCATGTGCGATCAAAGCTGACGTGACTAAGGTGGTTGAGGTTGAGCGCCTCTTCAAAGAGGCCATTGATCATGTGCGTACAAATCGGTCAAGGGCATTTCAACATATTCCACAATTTTTAAACAGTAAACGCAGCTGACTTGCTCTCAGTTCGGGCGATTAGATATTGTCATGTCGAACAGCGGAACAGAGAACTTCAAAGCCGCGGACAAGATTACGGAAGCAGACTACGACAAAGTTTTCAATCTAAACACAAAGGCACAGTTTTTCGTCGCCCAGCAGGCTTATATTCACTTGGAGAAAGGAGGGCGGATCATACTGATGTCCTCAGTCGCCGCTACCATGTCTGGTGTGCCAAACCATGCGCTCTACGCTGGCAGTAAGGCGGCAGTTGAGGGCTTCACTCGAAGCTTCTCTGCAGATTGCGGTCCTTCCAAAGGTATCACTGTGAATGCTATTGCCCCTGGCGGCGTCAAGACCGATATGTTTGACGAGTAAGTCTCCCTTGGCATTGGCCTATCAGCATTAGCTAACCACTCGGTAGGAATGCGTGGCAGTAAGTTGTCCCAGCCAGTCTTTGCATATGTCTCACGAGTATACATCTCCGCGATAATATGCCCACGACCTACTGCGTGATCGGACAGTAAACCAATAGCGTTCGAGACAGCTCCGCAAATTCTCCGTTGAAGCCTATGCTAACCCCTCGTTATTTCAGTTACTCACCGGGAGCTACACCTGAATCCTCCCCAGAATCAATCGAAGCAGGAATAGCAAGACTGTGTCCATTGAAGAGGGTCGCTGTACCAGAGGATATCGCCAGAGTTGTGGCATTCCTTGCGAGCAAAGAAAGCGAATGGATCAATGGTAAGGTGCTTTCCGGCCAGCCTCAAGAACGGAACTGACGCTACGGACTCGTACAGGTCAGATAATAAAGCTCAGTGGGGGTTCTATCGCATAAACTTCCGGAGGTGCTTGTACGAATACGTCGTCGTGCCGCCGAACGAAGCAATATCCGAAAAGGCTGAAAGGGGGAGGTTGGTGATGCTCAAGGTTGAGAGATGCAGATCTCAAGGTCAATGCCATGCCATGCCTTTTTGGCCGGCCAGCAAGCTGAGTTATAGTAATATTTAGAGTTCGGTAGTGGAGACGAGGAGCAATGAATAATGAATCTCGGATGTTGAGCGGATATAAACTTGGCCTACCAAGCAGTGAATATCTTCATCGTCGTCAAATCCTGGGCAAACCCCTAGTTTCACGGAAGATAAGGCAATGCACGAGCCCTATCATGGCACGTTCCCTCGCTTAAGTAAGCATAGAACAACATGAAGATGAAAGTTTCGATGCTTCAACCGTTGTCACATCGACGATCAAACTTCTGTGTCTTCCGTCTCTGTGCTGCCAAAATTACGGCGCCTACTCGATATCCATATCAGGCCGCTGTCAAGTTTGACTTCATTATGCATTATCATGAAGGATAAGCCATCTGATGATCTGACGTTTCTTGAAGGGGGCTTTGCTCGTGTGTATGATTTTCTAACGTGTTTTGTCTCATATTCTTCGACCCTGCAAACGGCTTCTTCCTTTTGCTTGTCCGCTCGCTTCTGCAGCAGTGTTTGCTTACCTGTCAAGAGATTAACCTTTTGATTCTCGGACGGAAGCGCGGGGTCTATTCATGATCCGGGGACGCTACCAGATAACTGTATTTTGATTCGCAGATGGCGATCTAGACTAGGATGTGGTATCGATTCGGCATTGTTTTGTTCGCGTTTGGCTATGGTCTCGAGCCCCTCTTTTGACACTTCCGTTTGCCTCTCACGTCCTTATTGTGTAAATGGAGGTACACACAAAATATCTCCTAGCGTTCCCGTTAAAGGCAGGAAGTCATTATGACAGATTGTTTCCTTGCGGTCTTGACCAACAAAGCATTGTCGCACTTCCATGCATATTTCTCCGTTGGATTTAGCCGATATCTAGAGAGGCAAACGGATCTCTCTTCACTGTAACCATAAGGCAGTCTCAGATCCATACCAGGATCTTCCTTGACTCGAACAGAAACAACAACCGGGGTATGACCCAATATGGCTCCACCATCGCAGGGCAGCCCAGATAGTCCTGTTGGATATCTGCCACTTGTACGTTTACAGGTTTCATCCCTACCACACAGATGCGGTGATTCACTACTCGAAGTTGGAACAGGGACATGTCGGCAGCTCCCAGCACCACAAAACCTTGGTCGAAACAGTATCTTCCCAGCTCCGCTGCACTGCCTGACTGGCCGACGAACGACTAGTCTGCAAGGTACATTGTTGATGGTTGGTATTCGACTTAAGAGCCCCGTCTCGCAAGGTCTTCCACTCGCAAACGGAAATTCTTTGAAGATATCCAATCGCAACAATTCTACATTCAACTTGCAATCTTCTGAATAATATCTTGTAGAGCAATGGTCAACACTGGCAAGCCAAGTAGGGGATGTTATATGTGTCGAGCTCGTCGTATCAAGGTATGTATTATCGTAGAGCTCAATTCATTCAAGTCATGTTAACTGTAGAAACTGTAGTGCGACGAAGGAAAGCCAGGATGCATGCGGTGTCAAAAGTCGAAGAGAGTATGCCCTGGTTATCGAGATGCCTTCGAGCTCAAGTTGAGAGACGAGAGTAAAGCGACAAAGAAAAAGCTCAATCGGAGGGCGCAAAATCACCAGAATCTCGCTGTCAGCAGTGATCGCAGTGGAGATGGATTTGTTGAGCCCTCACCATCCTTTCCGACTTCCACCACAATGGGCACACACTCAAGAAATTCCTCAATGTCGAGTGTAGTATCTCGTGGGCATGGGTACACGACAGACGTAGCCCACAGACACCATAGCTTTACTGCTGGGCATATGACAACTCCACTCTCTCAGCAGGCCTCCTGCTATTTCCTAGCCAACTTCGTCCTGGTGCCCGAAGCCGGTACAATGAGAGGTTACTTGGACTTTGTGATTCCTCTATTGAAGCAAAGGACTCCGCCTCAGTCTCTTGTTTTTGCTTTCTCGGCCGTCGCTTTGGCTGCATTAGGAACTCGACCAAACTCGAAGGCATTGCTTCCAACAGCCGATCTATGGTACCTGAAAGCATTGAAAGAGATCAATCTGGCCCTGCAAAACCCCAAGACAGCATCAACAGATTCGACCCTAGCTTCAGTCATGTTGATGGCATCCTTCGAAGTAGGTAGTCCAGTTTTCGTTACAATCTTTCTCTCTAGTGACACTGAGATAGCAACTGGTTCCTTCGCAACTGCTAACCCACGAGCAGCAATTGACGCCATCTCGAATGAAAGTGGGAGGTTGGAGCTCTCATATTGACGGAGCTGTTGCCGTTATGAAGTCTCGTACAATGGAGCAGTGGAGGACACCAGTTGGCAAGGAGCTTTTCATTGCAGTAAGGGCTCATATGACTGTACATTGTATCGCCAACTCGAAACCGATCAACCCTGGAGTCGATTGGATGGGTGTCATTGCAGACGACCCAATCGTTCAAACTTTTGCAGCAGCAAACCTCAAAATGGCCCAGCTCCGTGCCGACAACGATGCAACAACTACCATCAGGTTCAGATCTGCGGAGAACATTGAAAAAGTCTTGAAGTTGCTTCAACGAGCCGAAGCATTAGACAAGCAGTATATTGATTGGATCCAGTCACTACCTCCAGCGTGGCAGATCAACACTGTAGCGTTCATCGATGGTGAAGTTCCCGATCTGCCCAATTCCGTCATTCACCCAGGTCGAGTTGATGCATATGGAGAGATGTGGATGGCCTACAAATACAACATTGTGAGAGGATGCCGGCTTTTCATCTACACAACGATTCTGCGCTGTGTGGCTTGGTTAGGTGACAATAGTGATTACAGACTCACACCAGAATACGCAACTGCCACCCAGATCTGCCGGGGACTCATTGAGGATATCGTAGCGAGTGTTCCATACTTCTTCGGTTGGAACCGTGGCAAGAACCCCTCAATGGCTGATCGATCGAATTTTGCATGTGGCGAGCACGATCCCACCAGAGTGAAGCCTCTTGCTGGTATCTTCTCCATGTGGCCAATTTTTGCAGCTGCTAGTTCCGATTTTGCGTCGCCTTCGCAGCGGATATTCCTTCGGGGGAGATTGAAGCACATTGCGGATATGATGGGGATCAATCAAGCTCTCATCATGTTCCAGGTATGCAGCCCAACTCTTGCCTGACAGTGACAATAGCTAACAGCTTCTAGGCGCAACTAGTTCATCCGTCTCTCTATATTGCTCGCGAACGCATGTCATGGGACATTCATCCTTGCCAGAAAGAAGACGCAAAATCCCCCGTTGTTGGTGGAGCTTCGGTCGCGGCGACCACATCACAACAATCACCAACAGTTCCCTTGCCTCCAGCAGCTGCTCCAACAGCTCAGATAAGTCCAACATCAGAAACTCAGCTATGGAGGCAAGCGGCCTTCAATCTCCCACAGCCAGCCCCAGTGCCACAGACTCAGACTTGGGTGCCATCGCCTCCCTCGGAACTACTCTGGAGTCCCCCACCTCCAGCAGCTCATTTAGCTCCCGCTGTATCAGCAGCACAAGATCGAACCTGGAGCACATCGCCTCCTCTGGATCAGTCGTGGAAAATGGCTCCTGAGAGCGCGGTTTCCACATCGGGTTGGATTCCACGCACATTTACCGAGCCTTTCCACCTCCAAGACTCACGGTCTGCCAGGCGAGGCCCTACCTTCAGTTTTCAGAGTCCCCCGGAATATGAGAGGGACCACCATACTTTTGAGCATGCCGGCTTTGGAGCCGTTTCTAGCGTTTGAGACTGGACAATTGTTCATCTTAATTTGTGTATTTTTAGCGAAGGGGATTGGCATCGTAGACGAGGGACTGGCGTTTTGACTGAGGAATTGGCATTTTCTTCTATTCCTCTTCTTTCGCTTATGATTCATAGCATTCACGTACTGTACTGTATGCAGCGAACGCTGGACGATCGATCGCCTTTGCTTGAGTAGCAGGCATTCATTCAATCATAACTATATTCTCCAAGAACCCACTTTGCCTTATTCTCCATCCATTTGATCTGGCGACATCAGCGATCCGCGCTGAACTTTCTCCACTATATATGGTCAAAGTCTCGCTCATTATCAAGTGTATTCCATTACACGGCATGAAGCTTCAGAGCGGCATCAGGTTCCCATCAGCTCGTCCATCTACTCCCACCTCACCGGCCGTGTCCAAATTCCCCACTCTGCAAATATCGACATCCCAAGCCATTCTTTTCCTGATCTATAAATCTTCAACTCAGCGTGTACAACTCTTCTCGTGGCATATCCCTCTAGTTCCCTCATCTCTGTTGCTGATCCAGTAACCCCAATCTGCTGAACAGCTTTACGTGCAGAGCCCACCCACGAACCTTAGCTCTACCATCACTCCTCAAATACCACGACCCCCAACTCCAATTTCCCACTTCTCCACTCCCAGTATTTCCCCATCCCATCCCTTCCATCCCACCCCACCTCAGCCCCCCTCACTTCCCCTCTTCGTTCCCCTCCCCTCCCTCCTTCCCCCCCTCCTTCTCCCTCAAAGCCCTCAACCTCGTCCGATTCCTAACCCCAATAATCCTCACCGTGTTCTCCCTCTCAATCTCCGCCATCTGCTCCCAATTCGATATCCGGCTCAGCGTCCCATCCACATTGACTACCATCGGGCCGAGATGATCGAGCTTGACGGACGTGCTGCCGGAGGATATGTCGAGTTGTGTGGTGTTGAGGGGTGCTTCGGGGAGGGCGAGGGGTTGCTTGGGGGTTTGTGTTTCGTTGGATTGGGTGGTGGTTTCTTCGGGAGGAGGAGGAGGGGGAAAGGTCGAGTAGGATGTTGAGGAGGAGGACATATTGGATGTTGTGAATGGGAGGCGTGTTCTGGAGAGAGGCGTGGAAATGGAGAGGGAGAGGGGAGTTCGCCGAGTGAAGAGGCGGAGGAGGGAGTGCATCGACGTCAGATTTGCGATTTAGTATTGAAGATACGTGGCTTGTCCGTGGAATAGATCTGTCGTTAATTTGATTTGTGATGGTGGCCCGAAGTTGAAGTGGTTGGTAGATAGATCCTGCCACGCAACGATTTTCTACACGAGGCTCTGGTTCAGCCTCGTGGAGATTTAGGCGAGTTGACCCGGTTTATATTGTGGAGTGTAAACAAAGCTACAAGGAGAAAAGGAGCAGCTTCAACTAAAATCCTTAAGGTTTAGTAAATCTTTGAGTTCAACTCTCCCTTGGCCCTGATCCTGGATGTATTTCAAGCTGTTTCCACTGAATCAACCACAGCCATTAAACTATGGATCCAAGAATGAGGCCTCGGGACAACCGAATAGTGAGACCTTCGTTGACCATTAGTCTGAAGTACGCTACTTATGGGGGGAAAGGGCATTAAGAGCATTCTCTAAATTATCCCATATGATGCAATGTTCTCTTATGCCCGATGCCTCGAAGCCCTGATCACCGCTACAGCTATTCTCCGAATACCTTACCTCAGGTAAGAGCAAAACGTGTTGTAGGTACTGGAGAAGCTTACTGTAAATTGACAAATCATTTTGGCAGATATGAGAGAGGCGGTTTAATTTAAAGAAACTGGTATCATTGAGCCAACTAAATTATCAAAAGAATACCATATGTGAACGACCGGGGTATCCTGCCAAAAACTAACAAGAAAGACACCGCACGTCCAATTCCACCCCACTGTCATTACTAAAGCTGTTGCCCATACTCCCCATCCCATCTCGGATTAAACCTTTCCCCTCCATTCCAATTCATCGTCGCGATCATCAAAACGCAAATACATCAAAGGCAGGATATTATAAAATACAGCAGAGTAGTGTGGTTGTTGCTGGTAATGCGCAAAGTCGCTGCTGCCAAGTAGATGCGAGCACCTATTTTGTAGACCAGGCTACAAAGACACCAAATCATCAGTATGGTTTTGCCTTAGATGTTTTCAACTACGTGAGCATTGATAGCACGTTGGAAACCGGAGTCCTGACCTCCAAAATCGTTCGTGTTATCGAACTTCTGGGCGGCTGCTGAGAGGCCGCCGTTATGTTCTAGCCCTTCGCCAATCGCGCTTGCCATAGCCATGGATGATCCTACGTTGGAAGCACCAGGCAAGAAGATAACCTTGGAGTTGGCGGATTTGGCCATGGCTTGCATGGCCTCGAGATATCTGATTTGCATGGCTGGTGCGGAAGAAAGAATGTCGGCAGCTTGTCTCATGAGCTTGGCAGATTCGACTTCGGCGCGGGCTGCAATGACCTTCGATTCTCCGATACGCTTGGATTGAGCGGCCATTGAGAGGGAGTCTTGCAACTCGTTGCTGAAGATGATGTCCTTGATGAGCATACTCTCAACTTGGACACCCCATCCTGAGGCGACGTCCTCGATAATCTCTCCGATGGACTGAGCAACTTCCTCTCGGCGTTCGATAACGTCCTGGAGAACTCGGGCACCAACAACATGACGGAGTGTAGTTTGGGTACGTTCGACCAAGGCCTGACGGACGTTCGAAATACCGAAAGCTGCCTTGTGTGGAGAGGTAATGTGGTAGTAGATGACGGAGGTCAAATGGAGAGTAACATTGTCCTTGGTCATGCAGACTTGCTTGGGAACCTCTGCAGATTGTATTAGCTTTTGAAATTGCGATTTGGGGGATTTTTATACGTACCAACAATCTGGATCTTTACGTCGACCTGGATCAGGCGCTCAGAAAGAGGGTTGATCTTGACCAGACCTGGATCGACTGCGCGATAGAAACGACCAAACTTGGTGACGAGACCAACATTACCCTGCGAAACGGGCTTGTAAGGGTTGGGGCAGATGAAGCAGCATGGAATAGCTCCCATGGTCCCAATACAAGAACCCAGGGTGTTGATCATGCTTCCATACCAGCCATGGGCTCCTTGGTCGCTTTCGCCGGCGAGTGTCTGTGCATATGATGGCTGGAGATCTTCTCTCCTCGGTGGCTCGACATTGATCAGAGGGTTGTCGCGACCAGGAGTGTTCTGTGGGCGAAATCCAACACCGTTTGTTGGAGGAGAGCCTTGCTCAGCTGGCTTGCGGATATCGTCTTTGGCAACGCTGCCAGTGTCCATGCTTGATGCCATTGTATGTGTGTATGGGTGTATGTATGTATGTATGTATGTATGCGACGGAAGAATCAACAGAGGCGCTTCGATGATGCTGTGAGGAGTTAAGGTTAAAACACTGGGTTGAAGTGAGTTGTGTTGTGTGGAATGAACACCTCTTTGTCGCACTGGGAGAGCTCGCGTTTAAGTATCGGACGATGCAAGCTGCCTGTTCCTTTAGTGTTCACGCTAGACTGGGCTGTGGTGATGCGGGGAAACCACCGCGGATCGTGAATGCGAGGAAGGAACCCAGAGCTGGCAAGCTCCCAAGCAGAGGAAAGGGCAGGATGGCAGGATGGCAGGATGGCCTGCTAGACACTCTTGGCTGGTGGAACACAGTGGGATGCAGATGGCTGTGGGCCTGTGGCACAGTGCGAAGGGCAGACTGCTGATACGCAAGGCAGTAAATCAATCTGCTGTTCGTTCTTTAGCAGTTGAGATGATGACTGGATGAAAGTTCCTCTACTATCATGTGTTTTATCTTCGTCTCGAGATGACGCTGAGACTTTTGGTTATCTCCCCCTTCGACCACACTCCTCCTCCTCCACCCTGTACATTTTCTGGTCGCCCCCAACCCCGTCCCTCCCCCTTCCCAAGCTCCCGTCAAGCTCCAAGAGTCCGACCAAGGGTCTAAAGCTGCTACCTAAGAATTTCCAAGCTTCGGCAGCACTGACAATCGCAAAGAAGAATGATAAAAGGTCCAGTAAATTCTCATTGGCCAGCCAATTCCCTCAATTCCAAAGAATTTGCCTCACCGTATGACCAAAGTGCCTTTCTCGTTCGCTTCGTGAAATAATAATGCCTCTTCTGATAGTGAAGCACTGGTGCGCTGTAACTGCGCCCACGCCCACGCCCACTCCCGCACCTGTCGAGCCGGGAGCCCATCGCGACCAGCCTGCAGGGCTCCACAAAAGCTTAGCATTCCGCTAGGCCTCTTCTCAGACGCCGAACCCCTGTGGCAGCTTCGCACTCGCGCCGTTTACGGTTCTTCGCCCGACGATCATCCTTGAACGACATCATTACTTGCTGGACCGTGCCAATTCTTTACGTCTTACTCGGGGGGAATTGACACTACACTGCCGCTTATCCATACGAAGGGATTGTCAGAAGTATAGCAAGCAGTGAGAAAGGGGCGATGCGGAACAGACAGGCTGTTTGCAGGAGGAAAGCGGCTTCCTTTGCATCCAGGCAACAAGATAATGAGTCCTTTAATAATGCCTCATACTGAAGAGGAAGGTTGGTGGAGGTTGAGCAACACACCACCCGTATGATTCCGTTCGACCATCTACATACGGTACGGTATCATACCAAACATCAAACATCAAACATCTTGCTCGGACCATCTCGACGCCGGCTTAGCCCAGATTCTTTGAACCCGGAACCACAAACCACAGGACACATCTCTCATGATCTTCTGACCGTGCCGCCTTAACCACTAGAACTGGGCCACCTTCTATCCTTCTAGAAGGATGCCTAACTCGTCCAAGAGCTGTATGACAGCATGTCAGTCAATGGACTCTGTCAATTCTGCCTCATCTGACAACTTTTTACATCAACAAATCACGATCATCCTGGAGCTACGAAGCAGTGCCGAGGTCAGCCAGGCTAGCTCCTAAAGCTCAGCCCTGCCAAGCGTTTTTCCATTCTGGCAGATCTACGGACTGGGAGTCTCGCCACTAATTTGTTCTCTCCATCGAATCCCCTCCCAGAGAATTCATCTGCCTATTTCTCAAATCTCGTAACCTTCCTAAACTAGGAGACCACCGAACCCTCATATCGTTCCAAATCACAATCGCGATACACCGCATGTGTGCACCCGCCAACAAAGCCCTGCTGCTCTACCGTGGAGGCGCAGCGCAGCCTTCCATCGACACCCCGGTTCCGTGCAGCGTGCCAGCGACAGCAGCAACATATCGCTAGGGAGTATCTCACAATCGCACCAATTATCAATTCTCCTAAGAGGATTCTCTGGCGGCTCCGGTGTTCCGAGTGGGTCATGGTCTCATGATTTGGTATTGCTGGTCGTGCCAATTTATTTTTTCATCGTGCTGGACTGCCAATGTTCCCATGGATGTGAGTGAGATTGCTGCTCAGTGGTTGGAGTGCCTTGATGCAAGGCTCGGGTATGTCAGCCGAGACTTGTGGGCTTCGAATCACATGGAGGACTTTCTTGGGTAATTTACGGGAGGCTGTGTTCTTGGCTTCAAGAACCAGAATCGATTGTTGACTTGGGAGTCTTTAGCGGGTCTCGAGTTGAATCACTTGAGATGGTACAGTGATCTCGAATGGAGAACCTTGGTGGATTACTTCAGAGTATTCTCCTGTTATGTTCAGCCATGTTTTTACATCCTACCCTTTGTAGTCCCCTTCTGCGTCTCCTCAACATAACGTTTTAAGAAGGAATTGAGTTGCTGGACTGCGGTACTGCATTTGCTCTCTTCTTGAACTTTATCTCTTTGACTTATCTCTTAGTCTCTCTGCTATTACAGGAGCCGCACAGCTTGGCGGAATCTTCGCAGTGCTTCCCATACGTATTCCCTTTTTCCACGCATAATCTCGTACGGGTGATGTTCTCTGGAAGCTCCCAGTCGATGAAAACCGGGCTTGATTCAGAGCCTCCTTCCAAGTTCTCAAGCTTTCCGAAACGGTAGAGTGTCCTCCCTCTTGCTCAAGCGTTCGACTCTCGTAACTGAGATTCAGCTCGTGTCGTATGTCTTTCTGTTGTTCACATTATCAGTTGCTCCAAAGTCTTGGCGTACGACCAGTTTCGTATCATCATGCTAGAGGGATTCCCCTACTAGGACTCATTCAATTGAAAAGGCGTTCTACTGCTTTCCGTATTAGATGGACCAAGACATGGAGATCTGAAAGCTACCAAGAATTCCTCGGTACTTCAGAATCATACCCCACAAGTAATCTGGACAAGAAAGTCGTGCTTGGCTCCACCTATATCAATTAAAATATATTTGACTTGTTTCTTCTCTTTTTTATACCTTCTGAAATACATAAAATGCGTCCATTACTTCATAGTTCGTGAAATCAAATGGCAGGTATCGCAAAGTCATGTGTGGTTCACGTGCATTCCAAGTCCTTGGCTCCTCCCCCACCTTCTCCTTCCAGCTAGAACCACTGCCTCCAAGACACCCCGCCTTCTCAGACACAGATGTCTGGCATTTTAGGAAGGTATGAATTCGTGACGCGGCAGTTGAGTTAGTGGCGTCCATGAAAGCTTGATATCGAGGTTCGGAAAGCATTTCGTACGTCGTGCCAGTCAAGTTCTATTCTTGTGTTGATGCTCAGAGAAACGCTTGCAAGGAACCATTTGACTTAATCTTTAACTTTTCCGAAACTCAATCGAGGATAGCAAGACTTTGCGAGAGAAAGCAGGATGTTTTCATTGAGAGTTGTTGGAGCATTCTCGCTGCTTCGATGCGTTCTTTCTCAAGAATTCGATAGCCCTATGCAGATTGTCAACCTTATCAACCCTCTCTGGTAAGCTTCTATATTTTCTCTTGTCTCGTTCCTCTCCTTTACCATCCTTCCATGTCATCGACCGAGGTGCCACGGTTAACGCAATCAGGGCTCTACCAGATGGCGAAAATTCCACAAGAGGGCTTGGGGCCTCAGTTGTCAACGTTGTATGTTCTCCATACCTCCATTCCAGTCTTGACTGAAGCAGATTCTGACTACGTCGTTACAGGACTCAACAGCAACAACCTACGCTATCAGCTGTGATGCCACCGCTGAGTTAGTACCGGGTCCGACGCCCATAACATGTATATGGGAAACTGTTGGCGCGCAAGTGTTCACACAATGGGAGACGAGTCTGCAGTTCTCTCATAGCTTCACTGGCTTCGATGATGTTACGTAAGTTTTCCCCACCTCTGTTGTACATGTATACTTAACTGTGGACGATATCTAGCTCTTATGAAGGCGACTTTAAATTTCCTTCCACACTCGCACCTTCCGTTACTGGTACTTTCACCCTGAGCGTCGCTGCTCAAATTGGAGTTACTCAAGATGAGGGGACCATTACTGCCATGACACGGACTAGTTTGCAGACTGGCACGACATCAGCGACCTGGTATGCGATTCTTATCACAGCTGGTGGGGAGAAGTTGGCTGCTGCCTCAAGTTCAAGAACAGCTTCTGGAACAGCTTCCTCTGCTAGTAACAGTCAGGTTACAGGAACGAGCAGTCAGACCGAGACCTCGAGCACGGCGAGCGGGAGTGGTACGGTGACTTCTTCTTCGCCCATTGTCACCTCGACACCATCGACGAGTTCGGGGACTGGAGGGGCTGATGCAGCGAGTCCAAGCACGACTTCGAGCATTGCTGCGGCAGAGAAAGTTGGAAGGAATATTGAATGGCTTGGTGGTGTCGTGGGTGGGATTTTGGGTATGTTTTTTTTGTGATCCGGGTGGGGGACTCCCGGCTGTCACTAGAATCTGCTCAATCTGATTTATTTTCTCCTTGGGACCTGGAATTAACTGAATTCGTTGTTTCTGTGTCCCAGTTTGTCTTTATAGGCAAAAGGCTGACAAACCTGAAACCGCAAGCGAGATCTCCCTTCGCATAACCTTATATAGTGGACACAGTGACGCTGACAATTAGTCATTCTGTGGATGTCAAAGAGTGGAGCATACGTTCGTTTCATTCTCCATCTCAACAGTAAGCATTTACTACGGGATTTGGATCAAAAACCGGGCCTCGGAAAGTGCGGAAGTGGACCGCTAATACAGCAAGACTCCACACCCAGAAAAATCTCGTTATGTATCGTTTGACTGAAAAGCTGGTTCATGTCAACGAGTGTGACTCTGAGCTTGATAACCATTAAATAAGCATCACGGCAGGATAGGGGTTAAGGCAAGTAGTTGGGTGGTTCCATCGTAACCGAGGAAGGTACAGCTTCTCATTGGCTCATACAACACCCGTAAGCAGCAAAACTTTGTGTTACTAAGCACCATGCAGCATTCACCTACTGCAGCTCAACGTCAAAACCAAACTCAAACGGGTGAGACTATTTCTACGTCTAGAATATCAAGCTCTTTCAATTCCGAATCAGAAAAGCCTCATGTTCAATCCTCCGGGACTGGGTTCGTGAAGCACGAGATGTTGCTCATATTCCATCCTACACGTCTCTACCCCAAGGCAAACCAACGGCGCATTCATGGCAACGACAAAGACGTTAAACCCATTAGGCGGAATTTCCTGAAAGCGGCTGGGACCAACTTCCTGCTTCTGCAGCTGCTTTTCTTCACGCTGTTCGTGTACATCTTTGGAGCGCTGTATCAACAAACGGAGAGGATACACTCACTCGACATTCTTTTCGTCGATTACGATGGAGGTAGCATTGGACAGGCTGTGAGAGACGCCTATGGATCTCTGAAGGGTGACGGCTATCCTACGTTGAAAGAACGCCCAGCAACCCAATTCGAGGTTGGGGATTTGAGAGAAGAGGTCTGCCAGACACGATACTGGGCAGCGCTCTACACGTCTCCCGGGGCATCCGCCAGACTGGAAGCCGCGTTGGGAGGAACAGACGCGTCAACTTATGATCGTTCGGATGTGCTTACGTACGTCTGGAATGAGGCGCGTTACCCAGCAATCGTAGATTCAGCCATTTCCGCAAATCTCAAAAGTTTGGCAACAGCTGCTCGTGTTGTCTATTCAACCAATGGGACTTTTGGGTTGGTCGATTCGACGAATTCTGATGCCGTTGCTATTTTCACAGATCCTTGGACTCTTGGGGACATCAATATTCAACCAACATCCCAGGGTTCAAGATTAATTTACAACACTCTTGTTATCATTCTGATCCTAATCCAAGAGTTCTTCTACCTGGGCACGATCAATGGACTGTATGCCCAATTCAAGATCTACAATATGCTCTATCCCCACCGTATCATCGCCTACCGATATGGAATTTCGATGGCATACACTTTCATCGGTTCGCTGTGTGTCGCAGGAGCAATTTGGGCATTCCGAGCAGGCTGGGACGTCAACGGTAATCAGTTTGTTCTCACTTGGATCCTCCTCTGGCTTTTTGCCCATCTGAATTTCCTGGCAATGGATCTCTTTACTGTCTGGCTGGCTGTGCAATATGTCCCGATGGCCCTGATATCATGGGTCATTCTCAACGTCACATCGATTCTCATGCCGTTCGAGCTTTCGAATGGGTTCTATCGATGGGCATATGCCATGCCAGCCCATGAAGTCTACCAAGGTTTGCTAGACATCTGGTCAGGAGGATGCAATCCAACACTACATTATGCTCTCCCAATATTGTTCGCTTGGGAAGTTCTTGGCCTGATATTCAGCGCCATGGGTGTCTACAGACGGTGCCACTACGCCATGGTAGCAGAAGATGCACAAGCAGCAGCGCTCCGTGAAAAAGCCGATGCAGCTTTGGCGTACGAGAAGAAGCATGACCAAGAGCGAGACGACACATTAGAAGCAAGAAGAACCCTTGGTACAGTACAAGAAGGGAACAGTGTCGAGGAGGTGGCGAACATGCAACGGATGGAGACTGCTGAAAGAGAGAAGCTCGAGGGTGCTATCAGAGATGAGGATGATAATTTGAGGAAGGAGCAGACTAGAGCGAGTAAGGTGTGCAATTTTGGGCCGTCGTTCGGTTTCAGCACGTATGGGAATCCGAATGATGAATAGTTATGAGGTAGATGGCAATTAAAATGTACAGAAATTTGTAATAGAGATGTAAACATAACTGTCAGTCGTCAAAGTAAACTATACCTGGACAGGCTTCCTGATTCGATTTCAGGTAGTGAGACGCTGCAAATACAGCGCTCAGCTCGCTAAATCGAGAGGTACAGTCGCTGGGAAATCACCCCACCAAGCTGTGAGCACCTGAAAGGGTTTAGCCTACCTGAATTTCATCTCACTCCTCACGACGCCATTTTCTCATCACCAGAGTCACAAACCATACTCAGCTCAGGAACAAGCTTGTCTAGCTATGAATAAATCACATAATGTTTGAATCAAATATACTGGAATGGCTTCCCAAACAGCAACCTCGAAGCAGCGGCATCACTGCGATCACGATGGCTGCAGCAAGTCTTATCTTAGAGTGGAACATCTGAATCGCCATCGTCTCACTCGTAAGTGTCAACTATTCCATCAAATATTTCTCAACTCGTAAAGTGATAGCGGTTGACACTTATCTAGACCAAGAACGTGCTTTCTCGTGCTTTCTCTGCAAGAAGCCTTTCACACGCAAGTGGGTCAACCCACCCAGCAAAGGGAAGCAGAAATTCTGAACAAAGTTACAGTGATCTCCTCCAAGCCCACATCCGACGACACGAAGATGTCAACTTGGAGAATGTGGATAAGCCGCGGGAAATCACTCCACCACCTTGTGATCATGGTGACCATCAAGAGCCTTCAAGGAAGCGTACGAAAGCTGGCTGGGATTCAAGCGCTCGACCTTTTGCCCCTCCTGGAGAGATTGACTTTGAATCTGCACCATTGCAGCAATCTGCTCGTGTGGATGTTCGCTCAGATCCATATTCGATGGCTGAACCTCAAGGGTTTCCGCTGGAGCGAGTCATTTTTGGTGCGCCTGCCGAAGGTCCACTTCTTGTCCAGGATGATATGCAGCAGGTATATGGCCGACCAGCTCGTTCTCGACGGTAAATTGACGATACTTAGGATCCAGAATTCCAGCTCGATGGGCAGCAGATGGATGGCTTTGATGCGAAGCTCATGATATCTGATGATCTGTATCAACGTCTTGTCGCTGAGCTTCCTGTAGGTCTTGCCACTGTTTCTTCGATTACCTATAGTATGGCTTCCTGATATCTGTTTTGCATAGCAACTTGCACCTCTCACTTCTGACAACAAAGGTTCTCTACACATGCTCTTTCGTCGTGGCTTCGAGTATATGGAAATAGTCATGCCAATTTTCCACCGGCCAACATGTGACGTATCCGACTTGTCGATCTCAGTCATCCTTGCAGTGTGTAGTTTGGGTGGCATTTTGGAGGGCAACTCAGACGACCATGAACTTGGCTTGGTCATTTACAAGCATCTGCATGGCAGCTTCTATACTGTATATATGACTCTTGCTAGTGATGAACGATCTGACAGACTGAAGGTAGCAAAAGATCAAGACAGTGATTGGTTTTTGGCGAATATCCCGGCTGTGTAAGTCCTGTGACAGTTGTACTGGTATTTCACAAGACGTTCCGGGCCAACTGACAGAGCTACAGTCTCATGATAGAGCACATTGGGTGTTATACACTGGATCATAAAGAGCATGTACTGACAGATTTCACCCGCGCAATGACGACAATGGTGAGTCTTGAGAAGTCTATCTAGACAAAAACTTGCCAGCCAGACATGCTAAATGAATATTTTTCGTTGAAGAAATTCAGACAAGGCAGTTTCCTGTCACAAACGTCACATGGTGTCGAAATGAGTGCGCGAAGCTTGGCTGAACGATGGAAGCAGTGGGTGGAGAGCGAATCCAAGATAAGGTATTTGCTTGACGAATGGTCCGCAGATCGATGCTAACCTATGAGATTTGCATACTACATTTTCCTAGCCGACGTCAAGGGCTCCATACACTTCATGCGTCATTCAATGCTATCGACGAGTTTGCTAGATCTTCCACTCCCCTACACAACAAGTATCTGGCAGGCCACCACAGCAGTAGAATGGGAAAACGAGTTGGTGAGGTACAAGCAGGCAACAAAAAACTTGGCTACACCGAAAATCGGACAGCTGGTGGCTCTATTTCTTGGACATGGCATATTAGGTCATGAGCATAAACTCCATTCTCAAGACCCATTTATATTGGAAATCCTAGTCCATGCGATTGTGTCAAAGATCTTAGATCTTGGCCGTGCCATTCCAACAGCATCTTCCAAAGCTATCGATCTACTCAAGAGATCAGATTTGGCTAATGGACTGGCACGGTGGAAATCCTACTTTGACCAAATTGACGTTCAGGGTCGAGAAACTGAAACTAGACTTTCTGCTCTGGGAACTTATCATCTGGCGAGCATTCTCCTTCGAGAGGAGATCTCGGATTTGATCGCAGTTTTTGGAACATCTCATCTGGGAAGTAACACCGCGGACTTCTCACCAACCAACAGCGATGACAGAAACAGCAAGCAAGATCCATCTCCAGTTGGCAAGGATGCATGTATACATGCAGTGAAGATCATCGAAATATATCTAATTCAGATCTCCTCGACCACAGTCCAATCGTTCTATCAGAAACGTACGGCCATCATTGCATGTCTAATTCTCACCACCTGTTTGTCCAAATCGCAGCAGCCACAGGAGCCAAAGGGACGCCAGGTGGTCTCCCACAATGGGAGCGCAGAAAACAAAGTATCGCAGTTACTCGACTTGCTAGGAGATCCAGAAAGCCACCCCCTTGATCGTGACTCTCACCATTTCGAAGCGGCGCTGGCAGTAGCTACTCAGCTTGTGAAGTCGGTAAGAGATCATGTTGCGACCGATCCTGGCGACATATTTGTGTCCTCCACTTCCAAACATGGTGTTATAATGCTGAAGTTTAATAGCTCAGAACTCTTGCCTGGCTCTGGACGAGTTCCTGAGACGGCCTTGATACCGAGAGTGCACAGTATCCATTCACGACATCCCTCTCAGACTCCGAGTTGGCGTGCCAGAAACATGCGGCTTATAAAGGGAATGAGATCTGTCATGTTGACTTGCCTCGACATCAACCGACATGATTTCCAAAGAGCGACTGCCTCTAGCATAGGAATGACGACGTTCTCTAGTCTCGCCCGTCAGAGGAGAGCATGATGACCTACGCAGAGACCAGGCGGCTACTGAGCAGGAACAGTTCCAATCGTCTTTTGAGAACACATCTATCGACTGTCAGTGCCTATATCAAAACGTGGATGGTCGCAACTTACGCAAGTCTTGGCTGTCTTGGTATTGGAAAGACAGCTTCGAGATGAGGAAATCTCGAGATACGACATTTGTGCATACGCAAACTGAGGATTAAGTTTCTGCGTTAAAGACACTTCTCCATGCTTGATGGTACTCGGGAGGACTGTACTGAGATCCAAGTGGGTGATCGGCCGCGCAAAGACAAGTCTGAGCTGTAGATCGTGGAGCCGTGAGGAAGCGGTGAACTGGATGATCGAACGAATAACATCACAATCAAGCGGTGCATCCGGGCCAAGATAAAGTGATCGTAGGCAATTTATGTGAGCTTGTAAGGCTTTCATCACAGGAATTGTGACATGCTGTGATGGAATAGTGCTGGCCATATGGTGAACCTCGACTCTCTTGAGAGGATGGAGCTTCGCAATCACCTCTGCAGTTAAAGAGAGATATCTTGGAAGCTCAGAAGTGATGATCGAGTGATTTTTGTCGCTATGATCGGGATACCGATAGATGATGATAGTTTCAAGTTTCGTTAGGCTGCAAAGAATGTCTGCTGTCTCAGCAGGTGTTGAGGTAGAATACCCGGTGAATCGCAGTGTCCGGAGATCGTGGAATTTGCTGATGTATTCCAGAGAGATGAGGTTGGAAAACACACTGAGCTCTTGGAGACGCGTAAATGTCGCGGCCATCATATCCAACAGAAGCTGCTGCTCAAGGTCGAGTCTTCGTGTAGGGTTGGGATAACTACCGTCCTTGAGCAAAATCCAGATCTTCCGAACCTCACTGATAGAGGTAAAAGCTTTCCAGGCAGTATAAACTGGCCGTGGATCATGGGTATATTCTACCTTCTGTTCGGATATTGTCAGAGAATCTAGGAAGCTTGCCAACCAAGAATGCCTAGGAATCTCGTCTGCGGTCATAGGAGCCCGTCGAGCGTATTCAGCTTCCCACCATTCGGCTGTCGAAGGATCATAGCACGTGGAATCTGCTATGTATCTCCTCGGAGTATTCGCAATCGGCAAGAGCGAGTCTTCGAAGATATGAACGGATATATTGGAGACCATAGGTAGCAAGTGGGACGGCCCCTTTGCCGTCCATTTTGCCAGGAGTTCCAGACTGTGGAAATATTTGCAATTATCAAGAAGCATACGTAATACCTCTCGCCGCATTTGTTTCGAGACTTCTGAGATAGCAAAGTAGCGAGGTGGGTTATACCCAAGTCTTTGGTCGAGAACAATGGTGTAAATCTGGAGTCGTGTTTCTAAGGCAATGCGGAGGAACCCAGGGACTGTTCCGGCCATTGTGAAGTTTGTGGAAGAGCTTGATGAGTAGAATGTTGATTGTGACAGGTTGTTTGAATTGTTTGACTTTGAGGGCAAGGTCACCTACTTTTATCTTAGTGCTGATGAGTCAAGCGGGGAGACTCTCATAATGCAACCCTATATTCAGACTATTATAGATACTTATAAGCTATGAAAGGCGAGACTGATGGAGTCATAAAGCCCATCATAACTCCTGAAAAGAAATTCAGGCTGGAAGACGTCGCTGGGGCAGCTTACCTAGGTGTAATGGAAAGTGTTGTTTACTTGCGCTCCACGTGACGCGGATCGTGAGCCGATACAGTTGACGTCGAGGCTTTTGATGTTACAGATTGCTGAGCGAAGATGGCAAGAATGCTATCATACAGGTATCTGTTATTTATTTCTTTACTTGTAGGGACTGCCCTTTTCAGGACTTTCAACAGAATCGGAACTGAAGCTACAATGCCCCAAACTTCGGGAGTCTCCAAGGAGTGCCAAGTCGCATTCGGTGATCATCAACAAGCCTGTATCATTGTCCCCTGGCACCTTAGAGACTACTTTCGAGTCTGGGGACTGTCTGGCGGATATAGCGCCCCATTGGACCTCAGAAGTAGAGTGCGCCCCCGGATACCCATCTCTCGTTGTATCTGGATGGCAAGCGGCGCTGATTACCACGCTACATCCGCCAGCAAGCGGAATATCTCCTGGTAAGCGTCGACAACCAAATATCCTTCCCCCTATCAGAGTAAGAGTCGAAACCAGAATGACGAAGAAGAGAGCAATTGGCGAGTAACCAGACGCAGTCAAATTCTCTTTGTAGCCAAAACCCTGGTACTTTTTCAGTTCCGTCCATCTGCTGATATGTATCAGGACGACAAATAAGCTTTGACTGACTAGCCAATGGAGAACAATCGATATTGTGATGAGGGGAATGCCGTATGTGTATGGAAGTTGGAGGTAGTAGGATGAACGTTGTACTCCTTCCGGCTTCGACGATACTCGCAGTCCCTTGCGATGTTGAGAGAATCGACCATACTCTACTGCTCCAAGCATGCTCGTAAACAGGCCATTGTACGTAAGATAAAGGAACGAGAGAATAAGCTGTGGGAAATTGGCGAATAGGACATTCGCGGCGAAGCCTTCCACTTCTACCGCAACAATTGCCTCTGGCATTGCTGTGCCAAACCCGAGGGACCACAAATATTTCATAAGTGGAAGCTGAGAATTTGGGACCGACTTGGTGCCAACAATAAAGAATGCAACTGAGGTTATGAGAACTGCGGAGCTACTATTGAAGAGTCAGTAGAAGCTTACCGACATGGAGGATGAACTCACAGTCCGTAACAAAACCACCATCTCCCAGTGCTAGCAGCATGATACCAACGTAATTTTGATTTCGAGTACCAAATAGGAGCCGCCTCGCCCTGAGTCCACTTCCCTGAAACAACATCATCTCTTGACAGCAAGCAATACCCTTTCGTTGACGGGTCCGCATTGTCGAGAAAAGACGCAATCGCATCTCCTGTCGTGACAAGCGTGCTGGTACGGTGCCGCCACAAAATCAGAATCAAGCAGAGAATCTTGATAACATTGCAGACAATGACAGCAGTCATCAGCGAAGGACTGAAGTTGAACTCGCAGCGTTCTGGCCACGGTTCGCTCAGGCAATAGTCCACGGTCGATAGTTGTGCTTTGGAACGCTCGCCGATGTCACAGCCCACTGAATTGCACAGAAACCTCATCGTTTGTCCTTTTTCATACGCCCATCTGCGATCATAATCGCGAACTACCAAGTCGGGACCCTCGAAGCCGTTGTCGCGGTAGACCGAGGAGACCGCGATGACACTTCTCCTCGCGGTCAAGAACCTCCTTGAGTAAGCATTCCAGCAGTCTTCTGGTGAGATTCTGTCCCATGATAGTATATCTTGCCGCATATCATATATGAACTTGCGAGGGCCAATGCCGTACTGCATATTGACAAGCTCTGAGGGATAGGTATAGTTGCCATCGATGAACGCAGGCGTGACTACACCCCACATGATATCTGTTACAGCAAGGCGCGAATAGAAGACAGAATTGTATCTAAATAATCATTCAGCATACTCATTGGTTGAAAATAGTTGAAAGACTACGGAATCGAACATCCCTGAATACTTACAGGAGATGAAGTGGGATACTGCTCACCAGCAGCAGGGTACAGAGGACATTCCGTCCAGTTCCGACCTTTTTCCAGTTCCTGAAGCTCCAAAGTCCAATATCCAGCCATTTCTGCTTCCTGTGTGCCTCGTCGACTTCCGCTCGAGTGGGCGCACAGAGGAGTTGAGTGGCATAATTGCTCGATCCGAGAAGCAAGGAACTGAGGATATTGATCGCAAGATGTGTCCAGAAAGACAGTCGCTTCGACTGACCACAAGACCCTTCGTAAATGGAGACCTCATCAGATATGGAAGAACTATGGGCTCTATGCATGAGCCATACTGTCATAGACAAATTCACCACAAGGACTGAGATGGCCAAGGAAAGGCCGGTTGTAATTGCACCTCTCCAGCCTGATGCGCCGTGCTGAAGTCGAGCAAAAAATGATCGCGAGGGGACATCGGAAGCCATATTTGGGTAAATATTCCCATGAAATCCTCGGTACTTGGAAACATCACATAATGTGTGATTTTTTTATATTTATGAGTCTGAGCCGTCTGTGGTCCCTGCTCTGGATCAGATGCTGTCACCAAGGCCAAGAAAAGCCTCATATATTTGCTCAGCCCTCCTTAGAATCAAGCACAACTGGGTCCCGATGCAGAAGGATTCTCAGCACCGCACTATGGTGACTTGCCAATGCCTGTGTCTGCCTCGTATTATGCTCGACATGGCAGCTCCAGAGACAAGATGTTTAGTGGAGACAGGAGGCTGTTCGGTGCTCACAGCGTGCTCGTCAACCACTGCACCCAGTGCCCACGTGGGTTCCGAATCCAAGACATCTGCTGTCACCAGCAAGTGCAGCGTTGGCGCGCTAGGCTATGTACTGTAATGCGAGCCCACCCAACCAACTTTGATCGAATTTAAAGGTGAGAACGCTGCACAACGGCAGAGAACATAGTAAAGCCAGAAGATAGTACAGGGACCTTTATTCTTTATAACAAAGACCCCAAAAGAGGGTAAGGACACCGCTTTAAAATCCGAGAAGCCGGAAGTACAATATACAATTTTTGAAGACTGGGAATCGAAGAGTGGTTCGAGGTTCACTACTGAATGTCCAGAAGTTCAAGGTTGCTTGCCGGAGATAAGCCCAAACTACTACAGTTACTCAAATATCACGAGGGGAATCACCAACTTTGATATCGACTATTGTTGCCTTCGAATGTGTCTCTAAGATTCTGGGCTTTGAGTTCTCGAGTAAAATCTCTCAAAGGACTTCGTTACGCTCAGTAAGTCGTCGCTCTCCTGCTCAATCCCACTCTCTGGTCCCTCGGCCTTCCGACATTGATGTCCAACTCCTTCCTCTTTCGTATTGTCTCCTTCTGCTTTTTTCTGCCTGCTTCATCTCTAAATTTTCCAACGATATCCACATTTCTCAAGCCCTCTAAAATCTCGCCAACATGCTCTACCGTTCCAAATCCTCCCCTCATTCCATTCCTAGTTCTCTCCCATCTCTCATACTTTTCTCCAAGTCAGCACGCACTGCGTTGCTTCAATATTGTCCCTCATATTTTATGAAAAGAAGACAAGAAAACGGAACAGGGAAACCACAGACGTACCTCCCTCAAAACTTCCTCGTGCCCTCCCAATTCTATTACCCTATTTAGATCCTCCACTAGACTCTCAAATGCCCGATTATACTCCATCAGCGGCGTCGAGCGGAGTGGTTTCTGTTTTGGCGAGCGAAGGTTCGGCGTTAGTAGGTAGAGGCCGTAGACGAGGAGTGTGAATGCGGCGAGGAAGATGAAGCAGGTGGTGAGAGGGTGCGAGATGAGACGAGTGAGTGAGCATGTTGGTAGTGATGATGTTGGAAGATGTGGTCGGTATGATGAGGAGACTGTGGATCCTGGAGATAGTGGTGGCTTGCTGGAAGCGGCGGCCGACAAGCATGGTATGTGAGCAGGACATTTGACTTTGTAGCAGAGCTCGAGTGTACTTTGATTCATTTTGCTGGGTGCAGCCATTGCTTCAATATTGATACCGTGTCTATTGTCCTAGTTTGGATTTCTTGCAAAGCTGTGGCGCTGGGGTACAAGATGGTTTTCGGTTTTTGTTTTTGATATGAGAGAATTGGTGACGTGAGATGCAAAATATAAATCGAGGTTGGCATTTTCTGCAGATGTACTAGATCAATGTCTCTAGTCTGGAAGGAAATGAATTCGTAGATTGCTTTTACGGTCCCAAGAATTTAGTAAAACTAGGTATTTGATATTGTGGATGGCTTTTCACCGGGACAATACCAGAGGAGTAAGCGAGGTCGACCGTGATGTTAGTGCCCGCGTCAGAATACGGATGACCCTTATAGTGAACACAAAGACACTCGGTAATAAGGAGTTTATGATGAGAGGAATGTTATCTACGAAGACGAGGACTTTTGAGAGCACAATTTTTTTCAATGTCCATTTTCAGCAAATGTTCTCGATCTGCTGCTCGACTCCGTCATGAGCACCGAGATCTAGCTTCAGTGTGCGTCCAAACAGCTCTAGTAATATCTCGAAGCATATCTTGGTGATTGCTGGATCGTATCTTCCCTTGGAGAGCTCGTCCCGAATAAACGCGTCTGGCATAGTTTAGTGACACCAAGTAAGTCTCGGCATCGAGGCACTTACGCTGAGCACCAGCAACCTCATACCAGCTGAAGATGACGCCCTTCTCTCTCAAAGTCTTCCTGATAAGATCACGACCCTCGGGTGGTACATGATTGTCTAGAGTTCCATGGATCATGGCAAGCTCTCCTTTGATCTCGCTTGCGCGAGCTAGACTGTCGTCTTTCATGCCGAGTCCGAGAGTCGCACTGTGCAGATCTGTTGCAAAGTATGTTACTGCTGCTGAGACACGAGGGTCTAATGCACAGCGATATGCGAGGTGGCCTCCTAAACACATGCCTGTTGTGCCGATGCGTCCGTTGCAGGTCTTGAGGGAGAGGAGGTAGTCGATGGAGAGCGTTGAGTCTTCATCGTAGCCTGCTAACGTCTGGATGTTGGTTAAAATATGTGCGCTCCGAATAAGCTGGAAACTTGTTACCTTCTTAATCTTATACTTGTTCCCAGCATCTGTGCCAGGAACATCATAAGCCAGTGGTTCAGGTCCTGTGAATTCATGGTAGGATGAAGGTGCTGCAACTATATAGCCTTGACCGGCAATCTGACGAGCGAATCTTGCAACTGGGCCAGTGACTATTAATCAATCAGTTTGAAGCTTGTCCATATAACAATAGTTTGAGATTATGTTATTGAAGAGAAAAGAGTCCCGTATGATCATATGATGTTCCAATGTCTTGTATATTCTAACGTGAGATATAGGAGATATCGACGGAAGAACATTGTTATGAAAAGCAGTCGTCCTGACGTAATTTGCCTGGACTGTACCTATGAGAGCATGGAATACCGCATACCCCGCGGTGGGTCTCTCTTGATCAAGCGATGCTCCGATTCAAGTGAGCAGAGAATACGTTGGGCCTACCTTGGTAAATCTCACTGAAGAGAACAACACCAGGAAAACGACTAGAGCGAGTCAGTCTCCTGGCCATGAAAGATTCTCAGGGAAGAAATTGAATACATACGCATTAGGATAGTGTGGTATGGTGGGGTGGAAGAGGAAAATCCCTAGACTTCATCAGTTTCTCATTATTTATTATCTTTCCAAGAGAAAAACATACTCATGGAACCCTCCTTTCCATCCGCCTTCGTCACCACATCCTTATGAGTCTCTTTGATCAACATCTTGAGTGTGTTTTGCTTTCTTGAATTGACAGTCGAGGAGGCCTTATCTGATGAGAAGACAGCCTTGGCGGGTCTTTGCTTAATAAGAGGCAGACTAACTTGATACAGGAAAAGAGCTCTCACAGTTCCTCGATTCTGCCAAGTTTCACCGCGTTCGTGTCCAATCAGAAGAATTTGGATGCGAGTCAACGTGGTGACTTTAACATATAAGACCTTGTATATGTGAAGACTATCGGTTTGGAAGGCATAATGGATAACTTATGTGATAAAGATTTGCTTATGTTGAGTCTGTCTTTTACCAATTTTTCCATAAAAGATCCAGCAGGAGATGACCTCAACTTTTCCTACCCAGGTAGGTATCTATACCTACCTACCTAGGTACTACCTAAGGTTGGTACTGTTCAGTGTGCACCGTGACATACCGTACCATACCTTTTGCATTTAAAGCTGCATTGGAATTCTCAAGGGGAGATTTGTATCTGAAGATAAGGGTACTTTACCTGAAGTGTATGAGCTATCTCTGCTCTTTCAGGGTTCCAAATGGAAAGACATGGTTGTTGTCACGTGACCAAAGAAACTCCCAACCAAGTCAAAGTTTAGGTAGGTTCCATGGGCTATCGAAAACTTACCTAATATTATATCTCTACAGACTGAGCTGTGAGTGCTGATTGATCCTATTAATGCCTTTCCACGCCACCTATTGTTCCGAAATTATGATCGTTGTGCTGTGCCTTGAACTTACTTAACTCCCTCCAACGGCTGACACTCCAGCAAGCTCAGCCTGGGCCCAGGCGGCAACCAACGGCCGAGTGTCCCGAAATGTTTTATTTTCCGCCATGGCCAGCTCCTCTCCTGGCGATAAGCAGCACCACCACCCCAAAAAGCAGTCCAACTTCAACACCTTCCTTTTCAGCAGCTTTCTTACTCACTCACCTTTCAACCCATTTCTGCCTTGTAATCTTCTACAAGTTCAACTTCTTTCACCTTTCCATAACTGTCGCGGCCAATCGCCTCGAGTCTTGATCGTAGACAAATCAGGAGTTTCCAAATACCCAATTTCGAGGACAAGAGGCTCGCACGCGACAACATCTGACATCTGCGAAATACACACGATAAGATCTATAGAAAGATATGTCGAGTGTAAGAACTAGAAGACAGGCGGCTGCTACATCTACACCTTCCACTCCTACACCAGCGCCGAGGGACGAGCAGGTCATCATGAACGGGAATGGGTCAGCTCACGCGTCAGCAAAGAAGGAGTACCCTGATGAGAATGTATTCCTCTTCTGGCCAAACGTAATCGGTATGTTATGTTTTGCTGGATTCGCAGACTCGAACTAACCTATTTTCCAGGCTACGTACGAATTGTCCTGGCCTTTGCGTCATTGTACTATATGCCCCTTCACCCTCGAACCTGCACCCTTCTCTACAGCATCTCCTGCCTCCTCGACGCTCTTGATGGATATGCCGCGCGTTACTTCGAACAATCCACAAGGTTCGGAGCTGTGCTGGACATGGTGACTGATCGCTGCACAACTGCGTGTCTGCTGGTCTTCCTTTCGTCAGCCTGGCCTCGTTGGGCTCTCCTATTCCAAGGTCTGATCTCATTGGATCTTGCAAGTCACTACATCCATATGTATGCGACTCTGACCATGGGAGGATCTGATACCAGTCACAAGAAAGTCGATAAGAGCAGGAGCTTTATCTTGAACTTGTATTATACCAACAAGGTATGTCTACCCATCCCTGTCGTTGGATGCAGCAAGGATACTGACCAGGTGCTCAGACCGTTCTGTTCCTCTTCTGCATGTTCAATGAGGTCTTCTTCATCGCCCTTTACCTCCTGTCCTTCTCCTCACCCCTCCTTTCGCCATCCCTCCTTCAAGTCACAGATAATGGTACCGGAGCTGCCTCTTCTCTCCAACCTGGCAATCCCTCCAACCCCTCAGCATCTTTCCTCTTTGCCAATCCCAACAGTGCTGGCGCATTGGAATTGATGCGGGCGAACAAGATGGACTCGTTCTGGCCATGGGTCATTGCTGGTGTCAGCTTCCCAATAATGTTCGGCAAGCAAGTCATCAATGTCGTGCAATTAGTCAAAGCCTCAAACTGGTTGGCAGAGGGCGATGTGGAAATGAGAAAAGCCGCCGGACTACCAAGAAAGAAGAAGGAGAATTAGATAACGCACGCGAGCCATCTGGCTCACATCTTGCTCATGTACAAAACCTTTTCGGCGCATGATTGAATGGCTGCACTTGGACATTGATGATTGAATCCTTGGGCTTCGTTGCAACATACTTTCGCTTCTTTCCTGTGTTTTATTGGAGAGGTATACACCTGCTCGGGCATTTGGGATCTTGCAGTTCTCCACCCTGTTTCTTTTGATCTCTTTAGTTTCCGCTGTCAGTCAGCCGGCCAGTCAGTCAATAGGGTCGTTAGAGGATTGGCGTTGCATGGAGGTCTTTATTTTTGCTGCTCAGGAAGGATGAAACAAATCTGGTTAATCCTGTGAGGAGGCAGTCGTCAAATACATAATACTAATATCTGCACGATGTGTCGCTGAATGCGTGACCTGCACGCCCCTGAGTCGTGATGTACGTAATCGGGAATGTTGAATGTTGAATGTTGAGGGTATGACTTCGGTTCCTGGCGTGAGACAAACCTTTGTTTATTTCGAGCTTCATCCCATCCAGGACCAGATATACCAGCCTTGTAATCTGGCTGTTCTTTTACAGTGGGTCGAAATTCATGTGAAATCTAGAACTGCCACTGTTCCCAAGCTGGGGGAATCTCTTGGGGGATCTTGGACTGGAGTTGCCCGGTTTGTTGATCCGGGTGTCTGTTGTCTTGGTTGTCCGACAACGAAAAGCCCACTTCCCATCAATGCTAAGTTTAATCCCCTAAGCGCATAACATAACGAGAAGCCCACCACGCCAGCCATGCAGCAGTGCCAGGCCACGCCGCCAGCCCCTCAGCCCCTGTCCAAATGCCATTCTTCTCTACCTTACTGTACTTCTACTTCCCCCTTTCGAGACGCCTCGTGATAAACAAATTCTCTGCCCTGTGGCTAGTACTAGTACTATTACTATTACCCCTTTCTTTTGTAAACATTCAAACTCTCAAGTAATATTCTCTCTCAAATTACGTACGGCCAGCCCTCCCCGCAGTTGTGGACAATATCACCTGAGAAACTTACAAGGGATTGACATGTGGTCGAGCTGCAGTATCCTTACGCTACACTACCGGTTGAGGAAGTCCCCAGTCCAATCACCGCCACCCCGTTGACCCCATCCAGCCAAATCCATCAATTGGCGTCACCTCTCCTTCCGAGGGGGACGCAACCCGTACTGCACCGTACTGCAACGCACGAGCTACTGTACCAACGAGCACACCGTACTTTCCAGGTCACAAGCTCTGCCCTAGGTACTCCAGAAAAGAGGTCTCAGGAACCTTAGCACCTCTGCGCTGGTTTGGAATGTGTCCAGCTCCTTGGAATATTATTCACGAAAACTGGAATTGGAACAGCTTCAACCAGTCCCGTCCTGCTGCTCCGGCTGGGAATCGAATCACGAACGATGTCTGAATCGTCACCCCCGCCAACATCGAGGCGCTTTACGCCAACCCCAGTGGAAACAACGGTGAAGAGGGTTCGACGATTCGCTGTTGAGCCCGTGGAAACGACCACAAGAAGTAGCAAGAAGGAGGAAAGGGAGGACAAGAACGATGGCGGGGTTGATAAGATGGACTTTGCCCCAACGACAGCTGCAGCAGGAGCTCCTCCCAAACGACGATTCGTACCTGAACCCGTCGAAACGACTTTTAAGAGCAACAGACAGCCCGTCAAGCCATTACCTACTCCTGAGCCTACGCCTGTCTCAATTCCTCCCCAGGATTCTCCGGCAGAAGCTCCACCAAAGCCAAGGAGAAGATTTGTTCCAGACCTGATCGAAACCACGAAGAGATCCAAGAAAGCTGGTGACTCAAGACCAGCTACCCTTCCAACAGATAAGGTAAGCGCTCCTACCTCTCTTGAATTGCTTCAATGTGCTGATCATAGCTGCAGACCGACCTCACACCTGGAGTACCAAATATATACACCCGTTCCAAGCGGAAGGCCCGCACTCCTGTCGTTCCTATACCTTCAGACAATACTCCCAACCAAAGCTCAGCAAATTTACACACTGTTCAAATACCACCTCTACCTCCAAGACGGCAGCCTTCAATGCGTCCCCATCCCAATACAAGACGAAGCACGCGACAGAACTCCTTCCAGCCCGAACTGGAAGCTATAGCTTCTGATGAGGAGGAACCAGATCTGGAGGATGGATTCGAAGATGAAGGCACACCATCACTATCGGGGTCCCTCGGATCATCAGAGGATTCTATGATGAGATTACAACTGGCACGGACACGGGAGAGCTGTGACGACAGATTCTCGGGATATCTACTAGCTCTTGCAGCAAAGGCAGCTGAAAAGCAGTTACGTGAGCAAGCTTTGGCAGCATTCCCCAACGAGTCTATGCACGAGATAGTGGAGCATTTCTATGACAGAGAGATCGAAGGAGCTTCAGATGAGGAATCTGTGGAAGGTGTTGGGCTCCTCGTCCTGAACGATCCCAAACTGGAAAACATGCGACGGAAATCTACAGAGGTTGGATGGGCAGCCAAGGAGATGCAAGAGCATCAAGAGAAGCTCAATCGTCTCCGCGAGGATGAAACCAACAAGAAGATTGCTGCTGAGGCTACCAAACCTACCTTCCAAGACCCATTCTGGACGAACGGCATGACAGTCAAGAACTCAGGATTCCCCCGCGCCGCCCAAGCCGACCCAGTGGACAAGCAAAAGGAGGCAGAGCTTAAGCGCATGCGCTCAGCTGCATCACCCCCAATGCTCGGCAGCGATCTGAAGTTCCGGATGTGCCCGTCGCCAAAAGCCACAAAGTTTGAATCGGACCAGAGAATCGATGTCCAACCCAACAAGTGCGACAATGGTGGGGGTCTCTGGGGTGGCTACTGTATTGCTGAGGAGCCAGGAGAGTTTGTGAGCCCAAGCGTGAACAAGCAACCCCCGCTGATCCAAACCCCGCGTGCGGATGGAGGGGTAGATGAACCGTTTTCTTCCGCTTTCGGAAACCATACGCTCCCGAACGGCACTAAGACCCCGTCGAAGCAGGAAGGGGGCCTCCGCATGCTGGCTGGCATCGACGAGAGGCTCAAGGCCGAGGTAGCGAGGAGCAAGGCGGAAGAGGCGTTGCTAGAGGAGTTTGATGATACATTTGTGACGCAGGTGTATAATTATCTGTCCCTCGGCTACCCCTCTTTGGCTCGTGCCTACGACGAGGAGCTATCACGCATCAGTCGTTGTCCTCAAGACGAGCTGCGAGCTGATGACAACAAGCAGAACGTCAAGGGGTACATTGGGATCGCCGAGGGTGTGCAAGAAGATCACTGTCCACGATGGAAGGCATTGAGAGTCTATATTCTGGAGTGGGCTCGACAACATCCCAGCATGTCCAATGGTGCAGCAAGCCCAAGTGCATGGGGTGTTCGTGCTAGAAGGGGCAGTTGGGCCATTTAGTCTGTCTCGCCTAGATTGGATGTCTGGATGTCTACAAGAGACTTCAGCCCTCATGACGAAATATCGAAGTGGTGGATTGTCGATCACAGACTGCACAAAAGGGAGGATAACAACCAAGCAAGCGAGGCGTTATATGGGCTACGGGCTTATCAAGATCGAGCTAATTTCCGATTTCCTTTCCTTTCTCAAAACACGTTCGACAAGAGAGGGCCCAACAGAGTTGGGATCCTGAACGTCAACTTCTTCGACCTCATTCTCATTCTTCCTTGTATACATCTTCTATTCATTTTCATTTCCTAATGACAGGCGTTTCTGTCTTGTCTCACTTCGAAGTAACGAATTCATGACGCATATTGGGAAGTGGCTATCGCATTTCATGGTTGGTAGTGGAAATCAGACGCTGAGATTGTTTCTTGCCCTCTGTTTTGGGAGGAAGGTGTTTATAGATGCTGGATGGAGGGGTGACTGGATGGATGGCGGAAAATCGGAAGGGAAGATAAAATGGCTACGTGCTATATAGAGAAGAGAAGTGGTTGGATTGTGGGAGAGACGGTAAATAAGATTGAGAGTTGATGAATGAATGGACCTCCGAAGTTCCATATCAAACACCCACCCTCTGATTCTAGTTCGTGCTTCATTGTTGACAATGGTATCTTTTGTGTGTTGTTCTGTGCTGGTTGACCACATTCAAAGCTCGCTTCCCTCCAGTGACGCGTTGGTGGGGAGTTATTTGTCTGCGGAGTACTAGCAGGTCCTTATATCCCCAATTTATCCCCATTTCATCTTTGCGCAAGATAACGATTGTCGTTTTGGATAGAGTATGCTACGTACAAATCATGCACGCGACTTCTTTCCTTCTTCGTTATCTCGCATACACACCCCTGCAACAAATATCCAGCCTTACCTACCACGTCCGAAGTCGGATGGTGGTTATCGCGGATAGCCTGATATGCCACGTTCTTTGTGTTTTCTTCCTTTTTCGTACGGTCGGTGGCCCTCCGGTCATTCCAGTTTGTTGATTGATTGGTTGGCTCGCTTCGGGTACTGGTTTCAAAGGGGCACATGTGTGGGTGTGGAGGCTGTTGGATGATATGGGGTGGGTGAGAGAGGGGCTCTGGAGAGGGCCGTAGATGGCGAAGTTGGCTGTGGAGGAGGCTGTTGGACTTCTTTCTGGCGCTGGAGAGGTGGGAGGATTCAGTTGGTGTTTCAGTGAGGCGCGCTGAAGATCCGAGTTGGTCTTTGGATCGCATGGCGATACCTTGACATTTGTCACGAAACAACCTTCAGGCGAGTCCTCTTTGTTGCCTTGTTGTCTTGGCTCGAGTGCGATGAAATTTTCTGTGTAGACACTTTCCCTAATCTGAACTTGAATTTTCAGTCAGAGTGTTTATTTCATCACCACTCTCGACTTCAATTGAAGTACTAAATCAGAAAGATTTCCAGCTTCGTTGTCCTCGTTGTATTCGTGTAATTAAGGGTTGGTTCAGCCGTATTGGTGGCCACACAGCTGCGGACCTCAATACTGGTCCAACAATGACGAGTGCATTGGGATATACATAGATAGATCAGCACCTTCAGTTGGGTTGATATCTATTTACAGATCATGACATCTGGCAAGATATCAGATAGGTATAGAACAGAATTTTCTGAGGAGTTCCTTTCTTTGTCTCCCAAAACCCTCTAGGTTATCTTGCCTCTATTTTGATCTCATCCTTATCATCTCTTCCGACTTTATCTTTCTCAAAACATTGCAATTGCTGTGACCTCTCACATTCAAGTCTGCTACGATGTTTTTGTCAAACCTAATCCTTCCGTTCGCACTCATGTCCGGTTGGATAGTTGCAATTGCCACCAAAACCAGCATCGTCGCCGAGGACAACATGCCATTGCCCAAGCCTTCCGTCGACACTGCTACAAAATCTGACGTTGCTATGTCATACATTGTAGATTCTTCCACTTCCGACACGATGACATCGAATTCGGTCTCAACCATAACTTCGACGGTGCAGACAAAGCCCACCTCAGTAACACTCACGAAGTCTTCCGTTTCACCTCCAGGCGACAGTACACTTTTGCCTGAATCGTCTGATCTTTGGATACCAGATGCAGTATCTTCGACGAAGTAAGTTCTCACTAAACTGCCGCATCAATGCCATGCGTTCAACCAGAACACATACTGATGCCTATGGAAGGTCATGCACCGACGACGACAAACCCAAAGACAAAACCAAACGACCACATACTCACCACACGCATACACCTCACGCGTCAGGTTTCCACACCAAATACAAAACTCACAGCAATTCCAAACACCCAGCTCACCCTACCACCTGTATACCACCCCACCATCTCCCAATAGCATCATCCAACGACCATCGCAGCGACATAGCCACCAACTCTCCTGCCTGTGCCATCCCAGGTCTCAATAGACTCCTCCGCCGTTGTAATATTCCCATAGATCTTCCAAGCCTAGTCCCAGAACCATATCCATCGACTGGGCTATGTGTCGCTCCATATCCAATTGTGGGTACGGGATATCCAGTACCGACTCCGACATCAACTTCGACAAGGATATCAACTTCGACATCGACTTCTTCCGTGCCTGAGATCAAGACAATGGACTATACGTCGCAAGTTGACGGATATGGGGCGTCACCGACAGTGGTGAAGAGTGTTACTAAGAGTGTTAGTGGGAGTGTGCAGCTACCTGTGGAGACTTTCGATCCTGTCCCGCAGGAGGAGGTACCTGATGATGGCGAGGGCGAGAGAAAGAAGGAGCCTGCTTGTGGGAAGGGTATGAGTACGAAGACCTATCCGCCTGTTGATGAAAATATGTGATTTGATGTGGCATATTTGGTTTTCTTGGTTCGTTGCCATGTTGGATGATTGTTTACGTTTGTTCTGGTTTTTGGTTTGAAGGTGGATGCGATATTTGAAAAGTTGATGGTAGCAAATAGGTAACAGAGGCATTCATACATTTTCACGTGGATATTCTATTTATGGACTCTAAAAATCATTGTCATTTGAACAAAGAGGGTGGAATGCCCGAAGCGATAGGTAAACAAACCCCTGGCCCTCTCGAGGTCTTAAGCGAAGCAGGGTTCCCGAATTCACTGTGCCCGCTTCACTTGCTCTTATTTATCCGGGTACTTGATATGATGTAGTCATTCTAAAATCCAATGAGCACCTGCCGAATCTACTTAGTGACTGCGGTTTACTTGGCAGCGCTTCCTTGGCTGTCCAAATTAAGAAGGCGAGTTTACCTCCCATTTTAATAAGCGAGGAGTGGGTGACGTACTATCGCCCTGCTACCTCTGTTCCTCGTTTACACGACGTTATCGCAACAATAGGAACAGCAGATACATTCTCGCATATACTGCCGAATAGCAAATACATAAACTGATCCTTCCACTTTGGTCTAACCTTGCTCTCAAAATGGCACCCACAGAATTTTCAATCCGGCTACAAGTCGGTAAGCACCAAACCATTCGATCTAAGAAGTTTGGAAAATCCTATTTCCTCTCCTCACAACGAAAATAAGGAAATCATACTTATGCCTCACCAGGTATCACAGGCGGTTTCGCTCCTCCCTCACCGTCGGCAATCCACACCATAAGCCGCTCATCATCTTCCCCCACTATGGACATCAACTCTCAGCAACGAGCTGAAGGATCACATGACCTTCGTCCTCAACCCACCAAAACACTTCCTGTTCAAACCCACAGCGAGAATCTAGACTACATCTATAACACCTTGAAGGAGTTACCAGTCGAAGATCCTCCTGGAAGTGAGGATATCTATGGATTAGATACGGGAGTAAACTGGAATGGCGAGGGGTTGAAGTGGAGTAATGGTGGACCAGAAGGGTGTGGCAGTGATTTCTCAAACGTACAAGCTGGGAAGGGGGAGAAAGAGAAGTTTGGAGAGGTTGTAAAGTTGATTTTGGAAATTGCGAATGCATCTGAGTAGAAGGTGCCATAAATTATCTTGCTTGGGGCCAGAGGAAGGACGTGCGGAGGGACAGTCGACTTAGTTGTATTGTAACTGAATTTCACCATAGAGTGGTTCTACGGCTGAGTGGATTCTGGATGATCAAACAAGAAAAGTGGTCAGAAATAGCCATTCCTATTCCCCTAGCTTATGTTCATAGCTTCAAGCGCCATCCTTCAAACCAATTATTTCCAAAGACTTCGCCGACAGCTTCTTATCTTCCTCACTCATATGCTGTAGAAGTCTGGTAGCTACGCCACCAGGCTGGAAACTCCGAACAATTAGTTCTTGTGCATCAAATCGATGCTTCGACCTCATTCGCAGTCCACAGATTGCAAGTCTTGCTCTGACCATTGTTTGACAGTCAAGTACCTACATACTCCCAATCAAGCTAGCCTATAATATTCACCGCCTCCAGTTTAAGCGCAACTCAAGTGGCAGGAGCAGCACATCACTAAATCCTCCCCCACAACAGCACGACAACAACTCATACACACCATGCCAGCCGACGAATACGCCCCCGTGGTGCGTGGCGCACTCAAGCTGAAAGGATCCGCGCCTTCGGGTATAAATAAGAAGAAGAAGAAGAAGCCCAAGACTAGTGATCCGGAAGCTTCAAACTCGAAGAAATCCGCGCTGCAATCGGCGCTCGAGGAGGAGGATGCTCAGTCTTCGAAGGTGGTGGTGAAGGGGAAGGGAGAGGACGGTGCAGAGGAATTGGACGAGGAGGCTTTAAGGGAGCTGGAGGAGAGAGGTGGCGATGGGAAGACGGCTAGCGAGAGGGCTTATGACGAGATGAGGAGGAAGAGGGTACGTTTCCCTCTTCTCTGACTGTCATACTGGGAATTCTTGAAGGCATATCGGAACTTTTATATGAACTTATGCTAAAACGGTTCTCAGCTGCACGATCGCCTGCAGAAAGAGGGTGTCAAGACGCACAAGCAGCGTGTCGAGGAGCTGAACAAGTACCTCTCGAATCTCTCAGAACATCACGACATGTATGTCCTTTACCGTTTCATTCTCCCGTTGCTTCTTTGCATCATACTAATGGACGATCTTAACAGGCCTCGAATCGGACCAGGATAACATTCCTCCAATATCAAGGATGGTGCAGGCAACATCTTGGGCAGCAAAGACAGTTTATGTGGCACGCATTCTATAATTTGGGCCTGGAAGTTGGACCGGAGCAAATGCTATTTCCAACAGACGTCTTTGAGGATAAATAGAAAGTCTACTCTAGAAATCTGCACCCGTGGTGACCATAACATATTCCTCATCGTCGGCCTCATGCTGGTCATTGGCATCAGACCGGACAGGCAGCTTCCTCTTCTTCTCAAGGCAACAGTTCCGTCTACACCAATATCCAGCACGGCACTGAAACTGACGAGCCTCCAACTTTCCATCGTCAGCTTCTTCTCTATCTTCCTCCAACGTAGGATCGTCACAGACCTCAACCTCCAATCTGCTCTCGATCTCTTCCACTTGTCTCTCCCGACGATCCACTTCCATCTTCAAGCTCTCAATCACGTCGCCTAGCATCCGAATGGTGGCGTAGAGACGAGAAATACGAGCTTGCTCGCGCTGAATCTTGGCTGCTTGGTTCATGTTGTTCGTCTCGACTTTCTGTGGTGTCTGAGCCCGCTCCTTGTAAGCTGCCTTCATAAGTTCCTCCCAGTTCTCCCAGCTCCACGCAATGTTTACGTTGCTGTCCCACGATGATATTGGTAATTCCTTGGCCTTCATCTTAGCTGGGATAGTGGCTGATTTGGTCTTCGACTTTGAGGCCTCTTCTGCAGCCTCCTTTTTCTCTTTCTCCTTCTTCTCCTCGTTCTGTGGCATGTACATCATGATACCGCTTGCGATGAATAGCCAAGCAATTGCTATGGCATCATGAGTGTTATCGATGTCGAGCTGAAGTTGCTTGTGATACCAGGCTTCGAGGATACAGTAGACAGCTGCAAAGTATACATAGACAAACGACAGTGCAAATGCGATATGTCCCCCAACAGCTATTGAACTAATGATTGTCTTTGGCGTTTTCTCCGAAGGTGTTTGAGGGTGGACGTAGTTTGTCATGGTCAGCCCATAGCCACTTGGAATTATCTCTTGAAGCCGCATAATATGACGTACGTAAGTAAGGTAAGTTGTAAGGTAACCAGGAGAGGTGATAGTATGCGAGTCAAACAAATTTGCCCAAGTTCGAAGAGTAAAATGAAAAGGTTTGAGATTTAAGTGGAATGATTTAAGTCGAGGAGAAGAATTTCCCAGAACATATAGTGTGCGAACTGGAGCTTTTACAGTCAAAACCGTACCATAGTTTTCTCATGCTCCTAGCACTTCTTGGGCAGACAAAACAATATTCCTTAATCCCTAGACTGCTGGTACTGCGTACCTAGTCATGACAAGGCTAAAATTAAGCGAACTACACCGGGTTTCAACTTACCAGCTCTGGCCTGGCTTCTTCCGCAGCCTGGCACTTCTAAAGGAATGACTAGTAGCGCCGGAAATCGAAAATTGGTTCACTGAAAGACGTTAGATGACTTGGGATGACGAGACCATTTTTCCAGTTTGGAATTGTATCATAGCAAATTCCTCGACTAGAGGCTTGGGTGTTCTGCTAAGACTTCAGTGCACTCTGGCAGATATTGCAGCTCTCTTCTCCAGTATGAGAGCGTGCAGTTGCTGTCACATACACAGCGAGATCAAGTGAGAAGTCATGTCATCATAACAAGTATGCCAGGGTATTTAAAGACAAAAAACAACCCATTAGCTCCTTCGCTGAGAATGCACCCGCAAAACCACACGATATACCTCTCAATGCTCGTAAAATCATAGAATAACCTTAGTAGCTCCTTTGCCCTAGGCATGAATGAAATCCTCGACTTCCTACCGCCCACATTTGAATCCCAAACCTAACTTCCTATCAGCCTTCTATCACTCCAATAACACTTAATTATCGTCGAGAGCAACCGCATCATCCATGGATGTACCATTTCCTTTGGTCTGTGCTTGGTGTTGCTTGTTAGACTTGAAGTGAAATTTAGGTCCTGAGTAACTCGCCATAGGCGGGGTAGAAGGTCCATTTGCTGAGCCAAATTTCTTGTTGAAGAGCTTAGGCGTGTTGCTGCCGCTCGCTTGGGCAGTATGAGCAGCTAAGAAGTGGCTGGTTTGGTGGGGTAGAAGTGGCGCAAGACTTTGCGTGTCACTCGAGATAGCTCCGTACTCGAGATTGCTCTGTGAGAATGGATGTGGTAGCGTCGGCAGACCAGAGAATGTTCCAGCAGCCATCTGGGAATTGCCAACCATGGCCTGTACCTCCGTTTGCCACTTCATTGACTCCATGTAATCACCCTCGTGATCTGGTTGGGAGCTCAAAGATTGTGTAGAATCCAGTACCAGCTCGCCCCAATTATCAATTAAATCATCATCAATATCCTCCATGTCGCTATTGACGTGATTTTCGAGTTTCTCAATGCTAGCTTTGATTGTGTTGGCATATCCAATACCAAACTCCTTGCAGGCCTTCTTAACCATCTTTTGCGACTTGTCGCGTGCATAGATCCACTTGAAGTGGGCTGGTACTGTTCCTGGGCCCTTGACTTTCTTGCTTGATCCGGTGGGGTCTTTGGAAGTCGATGACTTGCGTTTCGGTCGCTGCTGCTTCACCTGAATTTCGACGGTTGGAAATGCCGCTGGAACATATGAAACCCCGAGAAGGACTGTCAGTTTTTCGGCCAGATTGTTTTGCGCAGCTCCCGGTGGTAACCTTGGATTTATTCCCTTGATATGGCGCAGCCAATAATCAGTTGGCCCAAAGTTCAGTAACCCCGGATTTTCCGAAACCCATTCCCTGACATATTCAAGCACTTTCAAGCCGTTGTGCTGCCAATATGTTTGACTGATCTCTTTCCAAATGTGTTCCTTTGCCTGTGGGTCCGCGAATCTATTCTCCAGCCACGCAATCATAGCGAATCTAAGAGTTCTAGATTGGACACGAGCTTTGTGTGCCAAGTTCCTAGAAGTTGGGCCAGTACCCTCAAAGCCTGGTTCATTTTCCCACGGCATCGGTGCACCCAAAATCATGGCTTGAATGCTAACTAGGACAGAGAGGATTGTACTCTTGTAAGGCTGCCAAGCTTGAGAAGGGTCGCCAGGCCATGTATTGAGGAGGGACAAGCAGACAGTTCCTGAATGGATATGAAGGTTAGGATTGAACGATTCACCATCCTCGTCATTGCCATGTAAAGTGAAAGTCATCTTCGGAGGTGTCGCTGGATACCGCTCATCAAGGAATATATCGAATCTTAGAAGAAATTAGTCGAAGTCTCAATGGTTTTTAGGATGCGACTCACATGAAGAGGCCTCCGGCATAGGGTGAGCCTTCTGACCCAATGATAAGGACTTTCATGACATCTGACCGAGACTCGGCAACCTTAAGGAATATTCCGGTAGGTAGTGAAGTCTTTAATGTGGCAATCTCCTTGCTGATCGTGGTCAGCCGGCCTCGGTTGGACGTTTGCAAAGCTTTGAAGTTGTCCGTGTAGCGATGTCGCAAGAGTACGTCATCTGTAAAGGTAACTCTATTGTCTTCCGCAAATTTGACCCAAGCCTCTTGCATAGATGGCTCGGTGACAGGGGCAACAACACTAGAAGCGATTACATCTAGAGCTTCAAAGCATCGAACCAGTTCTTGCAGGAGCTTGTTTGATTCCTTGCTTCGCCAACTTTCCTTTGCTTGCATTGTTGCCTTCGGGTTCTGGGACATGTCAAGAAAGGTTTTCGCTTGGAGGAAGGTATCACCATAAGAAGCGATCAGAGGTTTTGATGTTGACCCATTGTTAAAGCCTTCGGTGGGTAAATACGACCCCTTGCTGAGTTCACCTAAGCCAGGAGTATTGGCCTTATTTGGTCGCTCTTCAAGAAGGAGCTGAACAAGTCCGGGGTGGCTTGCAATCTTGGTGATAAATCCAGCTGTTGCCTGATAGACGTCGAGGCGCTCGGTAATATCTACTATAGAGTCATTCCGAATCAACTGTATGATCTTGTCGAAAAGCGTACCGAGTCGAAACATGTCAAGCTCAATCGTAGTATCCGAGTCCACAGAGGGCAAACAAGTACCAAGAATCTTGACCGTGTCCGCTAAAAGATAGTCTTGGGAGTCATTCTCATCAAGTATATCTTCATCTCTGTCTGCAAGGGATGACTGCAAGAATGTTAAGATTCATTATGCAGTAAAAGCATGAGGAGGGGGCCTGACCGCAGCAGCAGGATGTCCTGCGAACATTGTGTGTGCCATGTGTCCATGTATAAACATTTCTTCATCAGACCAACTATCCATACCTCCAAAATCCGTGCCATAGCCTACCCCAGGCACGGGTGCCTTAGCTTTCGCCTTTTGCTTCGGCTTCGACCTCGATTTCTCGCGCTTGTTATTCGTCTCCTTATTGAATTGTGACTCGATGCTCATTGTGTCGAATTGCGCTAAAAGAAACCAAACGGCGAAAAGCCTTCCGTCATTGCAGCAGTGGTTTACGACTCCCAACGGCGTGAAAAAGCTCTCTGAGCTGAGAGTAGGTCTACTGCCACATCCAACACAAGTGGAATGGCCATGCCTGCAGCACCATACGGAGAATTGACTTGTTGGTGGGATAGTTTGCGATCCGGACAGCCATGCATCAAATATTTTATCATATGTCAAGGGTGGAACCGTCTCCTGGCAGCCCGGGTGACTGCACACATCGTGGAAATGCGCGCGCAGCGTCTGGACGGACTGGATGGCCCCGTCACGATGTCCAGAGACTTCTTGGATGCTTTGGTCGTCGCTTCTGCCCTTGCCCTTGCGGGAGTCGATCTGCTTGCTCGAAGCGCCTCCCATCACTGCTTGTCGAAATGTTAACATCTCAAGTGTCGGGAGTTCTGGATTGACGAAAAGGCAACGAGATAAAAGATAATTTCGTTGGTAGCGGGAAGACAGATGTCTAAAAGGACGCTAGCAGACGGCAAGCAAACGAACAGATTGGCAGGCACGTGTGGCGAGTCAAGCCCTGTGAATCAATATGAACCATTCATTGATTCTCTCAGCGTAAAGGAATTTAGTGCATTTCGCATCGAACAACTCTATGATAGAACAGCTGAATATATGACGTGTCAGAAGTCGCATGTTAGGCAGTCGAAGCATGGCATGATTTGCATTTATGCGACGACTTTCGCTTTGCCTCAAAGCGATCTTTGCGCGGGGCTGCTCCAAATGATGAGTAGCTTCCCAAGCATGCTTCTTGATGACAGTCCTGAGCTCTTTGGAGACCAAAATCACGACAGAAGAAAACATGATGAGACAGGAAGACTTGCCCGTACGCCTCAAATCGGGACTTCTACGAGGACGGACACCTTTCTTCATCACGTCTGACATAAAGTCTTGTCTCCGTGGAGTTGTTGAAGGCGTTACGGCCGTTCGATCTCCCAAGCCCAGGGTTATTGTGCCTTTAGGCAAGAACGATTCTTCGGCGTGTTCTTACCTGCCTGCACAATATTTAGAAAAGGTCCAACCACGGACGGCTACGAAATTGGATGTAACTCACAGATAACTCTTTCCATGGACACTAGGACTTGCGAATAATCTGGAACCAAAAGGGTCATCGAGCCACGAGAAACGAGTTGAGAAGTGCAAGTTCTAGCAGCAGCATGGAGACGTCGTTCCAGCTCTCAAATGAACGACAAACACAAAGATTGATTGAATTGAAGAGGTGATCTTCAACAGGTCAAAACCAGGTCTACAAACAGTTCTCGTGCTACTCAGGCGATGAGGAGGGCTCATACATTTAATCTCCTGAGTGCCCGTACGGCGCGCACTGGGCAAGGCTCTGGTCGTTCGCCACGTGCTCTCTGGGACTTGACTTGTTCTCGGTCAGTTTGTGATATATCATATATGGTTGTTTGTAAGTCTCTGAGAAATTGAGTGACACTCTCAAGCTCAGCAGATAATTGCTGCTTGGGGGAAGAGCGGGTGAGGTTGGGCTTGGAGGACTAAGGAAGCGAGCATTTTAGGTAAGCAAAGCATGTGACAGCAGACCACGTGATACATAGTCCTTCCAGGTTGGAATAGGAGGCCACAACAACTACAGAATATCTGGCAAGATAGGATAGCTGGAATAATTTGAAGAGGCTGGATAATAATCTTTACCCTACATTCGTGGTTGCTTGCTTCTGAGCCCTTTCGCCTGGTTCCACTAAAGAAGTACATCTCTCTGATTACACCAAATTGAATGCTCATCTCGAATATAATCTTCCAATTTAAGCATTTGTGTTATGACCGTTGAAGAGTAGGCCGAATCTTCAAGACCTATATCGAGAGACAATTTTATGGTTGTGGTTGATTTACGCAGAAATCCTCCGCAGGCCATTGAAGGCAAATTCAGTATCTAAATGCCGACTTCTCACAGTGACGATGCGGAACTGATCGTCCTTGAAATGTTTTTTGGAAAGGCAACGCGTCACGGCAACTGTCGGAAGACTCGACCAACTTTCCAGAGAGCATGCGAGAGCCATTCTTAGTTTCCGGGTCTGACGGCAATAGGGAGCACAGAGGTAAGCAGTTGAGTCTCGAAAGTGAAAAGTGTCATGAAAGGCTGATGTTATCTGAGTTGGTCCAGACCTAAAGATAGGCTCTTGGATACAGTTTCTGATTCGCGTGGGTATCACTGATAGCAGTATTGAGGCATATCAGAAGTCAAAGACAAAGTCTATGCTGTGTCCATGCTTTCAAAATGTTGTGGAAATGGTTGTTAATATCAGAAAGTGACAGCACGAACCACAACTCCATACAGTCAAGGAAATTCAAGCTCGGGCTATGAAACTATACTACCGGTACTTCAAGTATGTTTTAACTGACCAAGTGAAGTAAGTCTACGCCCACCGCTGTTAAAGTCAGGAAAACCTGGTCGTCTTGTCTTATGCGTACAACGAATCAAAAAACAAGGAGATTGTCCACGACTTCGCCGTGGCTATTTTCCTTGGCATTCGTGAGGAAGAATACTTCCCGGTGAGTAGAGGAGTTGTTAAGTTGGGAACATCCTGTACAATCTAAACTCTGTCTTTATCCTCCCGGGCTTTCGCAGAGATGAACTGTGCGGGGAACTGAAGACAGCATAATCCTATCTCGGCGGCAGTTACATTCAACGGCCGATGTGGTATCAAATGTAAATCGGAGCTATTGACTGCTAGGTCACCCTTGAATGATGGAAGGAAGGACTGTTCCAACGGGAACTCTAAAGCATAGGACATGGACTTCGATATCGTCATGAGCTGTTCTCCGTGTGTAGATAGCGTCAAACAACGACCGTTCCAGTCATTTCCGGCAGGTTGCCATCGTGGAAACAATCGGTAATCGACACTGACTCAGAATACACAACTGTAAACCATCTCTCCCACAATGAGGCCAGATCCTCCGAAGACATTCATAGTTCCACCATCAAGGATTCGCAGGGAAGGCACTCGTAAGGACATTACAGTATGAACCCCTAAGTAGATCTTGTCGATCTTGAGGCTCGCGACCTGAAGAACAGTTTGTGTGCAGCTGCAACGACGATCTTCATGGATGATGAATACTCGGTTGGGGATCGGTTGCCAAGAGGCTGAATGGGTGGCAGAGTCTGCGAACCATGGTGCGTGAAAGGAAGTGCCTTGTTGCTGACAGGAGCATAATCCAATAATCGATCAGGAGATGTCTCTGCTGCTTAACCCTCCGGACTTTCTTCGAGAGGAATAATTAGCCGAACATCATGGCCTGTTATCGAGACGAGGGCTCCGACGGCTCTTGAGTCTTAACACTTGCTAGCCGAACGGATATTGCACTCGTACTCGTACGGAAATTTCCCATCCTGCGGTGGCAACTGCTTTTCTTACGGAAGGTACTTCTTGCGCAGGCTTTAGAAAGGCAGGAGTAGTGTGCTGTGGTCGTTCAGCTAAAGGTGCGGGAGGTGCGGATCGTAACTGGTGCAGTGCAGTGCAGTCTGGCGCCTAGCCACTGGCTTTCGTGAAAGCCTCCCTCCTCCCCCACTCGAAAGGGGGTTTCGCGACTGGCCCGCTACAGTAGAGCTGTTGGAGCAGATGTCCGTGCTGCATAGTACTGCGCGGCCCGTCAGAACGAAATATCTGGTCACTAACGAACCCACGATTTCAGACCGAAGCATCGGCTTAACTTGCAAGGGCCGGACCTCAAGAGCCGGACCGTCTCTCTCCGTCGCGTTCGTCTATCACTACTGTGACCAGAGCCAGTCTGCCAGTCCAGTTGTCGGATATCGCTGCCCAAAGAACGACGTGACACTCTTCATGTCAAGGCTGCCTCCTCTCAGTCAGAGTCCTTGTGCTCCCCGGCAATGATTCATGGTGAGCTCAACTTCAAGGAGAAGATAAGTTCGGCATATTGTGCAACCATCTCGCATCACCGAGTACTGTAGGTTATGCGTTGTGAAGGGATGTGGTAGAACTTCAACGTCGTCATACCCAAAGTGTCAGTGTGCCAGCATCGAACACATCACGGGCTGCGACCAAGGCAGCTTTCAGCCGGGCGTCGCGGTCTGGTCCATGAATGGTGCGACGAGGTTGTTGATGCAGCTCTGCGTTGATACTTTTGCATGATCTCCAATCAACCATGATTCCACCCACACTGACGGCTTCATTATTCGTCGTGGCCTGCACCTCAGCAGGCGGGCTCACTCATCACCAGAAAAACCGAGGCAAGAAGGATTCTTGTGAGTGATGACTGAATTTGGCATGGAAACAAAACTCAAATTTGAAGCTGCAAGGTTACCCCTTTCTGTACGAGTCAAGTCTGATCCGATTGTTGACAAGATCATCGGTTCTGGGGAATATCCCGAGAGGATCAGCAGCAACAGGAGTTCGGGACAGGGTTGCTCCAGAGCGGTTCCCCAGCACATAATTTACAAGTTGCAGTGTTGCACATGTTGATAAGCTTAGCTCGCAAGAAGAGGAAGGGAAAAAGGGGAAGGGTTGGAATGGAAATCATGGCGGACAACATGAGGGGCGGCCCGTCGTGTTTTTCTTGCTGCTGCCAAGGGCGGGCGGCCAGCCAGTTGTATGCGCCATTATTTTGCTGTTTGACAGCGGAGACACACACCGCCCCGCTGCTGTATCACTTCCTGACCTCTATTGGCAGCGCAAGAGCCTGTGATGCTGTGGCCTGCGGTGCGCAGCTTCATCGAGCTTTCGTCTGCCCAAATCGAGGCGCTCTCACTCGTCTCCTGCTGGTCGTCCTGCGGGCGGCGTCTGCCAGAATCCTGGCAACCGCAACACCGCCATGGTGCGCGTCAATAATGATTCGTGACTTCATCTGCACGAGCTTGAAAGTATCACGCCCTTAGCTCATCCGTATCCATGCAATATTCCAACCAAAATCCCTGCTCGGAAACACTGCAGCAGGCCCGCATTTCGGTGCGAGTTGATATGTTGGCTAAACTAAGCGACGGCGGACAACGCATCGATGTCTTGCGCAGCCTCGAGATCATAAGTGAGCGACCCCCCCACTCCCCGTCCTGGCAAACACTTTCCTCTTTCTCATCATCCTGTGCACCCCTTATGCCTCAACTTTCTCACTCCAGCAGAACCTCTGCCATCGACACTCTTACTTGCCTCAGCCCCAAGCACCTGGACTCACTTCCGTCAACTGCATCCGCACTGTTCTCTACCTCCACTACTGGCCACTGTACTTGAATCTCAGAAAGCTTTCCGTCGATCCAGAAGACTGTCCATTTTCTTTTTCAGGATTTCATTATCCCAATGACTCTTGTTCAAACTCAAACCATTTGTGGGACCCTACACCTGGATACCAGTATGACAGGGTACAACCAACTCAAGCAATCCGTCAGGACCAAGGCAGGATCCGCCAGGTATATTGTTATTTCCTTCTTCGTGCTTGAAAGTTTTTGGTGTTTTACGAGCAGAATCATGTCGTCCGAAAGCAATGTTACCAGAGACTTTTTTTTTGCGCAACATCTCCGACTGCCACAGGAAATATCCGGACCAAAATCACTTGCCCGGGAAGATCCCAAAGGTTCCATTCTCCCAGGTCACAGCCTAACCAGGCATTCGTCATGTGACCAGTCCACCTGTGACATATACCTTATATTATCAGAAAGGTCAAGTGTGAGTATCGCCCTACCCAATCAACGACAACTCCAGAGTGTTCCTTACAAGGACTCCCATTGGATATGTAATCTGGACTGTACGGATCATCTAAAGGCTTTCAGCGTGATAGCCTCCGGCTGAATCACGTGCGACTTTCCTGGATTCGAACCGAGTGGAACTGGTCTTGGCTGCTACATGCTACAAGCATCATGTCAACTTCATAGGAACGCCACCACCAACCTATATCTGTGTAAATACACCTTACTGTCCTGTTCTGACATCGACATGGCCATGTTGATCTACTCGTCTCCTACTTGAGATGACTTGCATCCGCGATGGAACTTTGCATACTCGACACTGCCAAGGACGTTGAAGCTCAGCTACCCAGGACATCTGGCATTTCTCCCAAAGAAAGGCCATTAACCCACGGATATGTTGTAATCCATGTCTGTCACTTTAGACAGCCTTCAAGTCGCCTTCGACTAGGATTGACCGTCCCCAGCCGGCGACACATGGTCATCAGGGCATTTATTCATGCCAATGTGTACGTACATCTCAGCGCCATCTTGGTGCCTTGAGTGCTATCCCCATGTTCGCATCTGAGCCTACACTAACCAGAGTCGTTCTTGTTCTGTTTGCAGAATAGACGCCATCATCCCTGGACATGGAATTTATCTCCGTTGAAGGACCCAATGGAACCTAGCATGAATCTTGTTCGATCCATGGAACCTTGCCTCTAGCCATCCAACTTTTGAGATAGTAGGACTCTGCCACCTTGTCTGGACACCCCATACCAAGGTACCCCTTGTTGGTCTGTAGTCACTTATGATCCCACCTAGACGTGAATATCAACTGACAATTCCTGTTCTAGGCTTGTTGATAAGATGTTGTGCTCGTTACTTTTTGTTCCTTTTTTGCGTTGCAGTTGATTTTTAAAACATAAGTGGAAGCACAGAACACTAACCCAAATATCCAACAGCGGTTTTTCTCTCCAAAATGGACCACATTTCTCCCATGGACTGCCTGGATTTTCTTTGAACCAAACAGAACCTACCCAGGGTCAAAACAGTGGACATATCTGGAAGGTTGAAGGTCAACAGTACTTGCACCAAGATCCAGTTGCATCCCAAGGCACTACCCAGAATGGACTTTCTGATTCTTTCAACTCTTTCCATGATACCCAGGAGAGCAAGACAGGTCAATATGATGGCCGTGGCTCATTTTCAGGCTCCACCCGGAGCCAATGGAACAGCGAGCTTGCTCCTCACCTGGAGGCCGTGGCAATGTCCCGGAATGCCTCCCAGGATTCTATCGGAGCTCAATCCCAAAGGACTACTAACTCATATGATCAAAGCCAATCAGCGAGGATGTACCCCAATGTTTCCCAGATGTCATACCACATGTCTTCTGCAAGCTCAGAAGTGACAGGCAGGTCCAACAGTCCTGAAAGCTCTGCTATGTATACTCCCACACAACAGATGGAAATGCAAGTATTCGACAATTTCCCATATCCAGGAGAGGACTTTTCGGGGGCCCACCCCATGTTTCACAGAGGATCAACAACCAGCAGTGTCACGACACACCCTATTGTCTCATTATCTGCAGGTCCTTCTTACGGTTTGTACTCGACCGCTGGTAGCGAGTCCTTTGTACCGACAGGATCAAACTCCATTGCAGCCCAAGGTCCAGTTCCGAGAGACTCTATGATGTACCAGGCAGGTACAATCTTGGAGTCTCCCACACTGTGGGACAACGGCCCCGGGTATCTGGATTCTCAAAGATCATCCCCTATTCTCCTTGAAGATCCATGGACCCTTCCCCCAACCCAATTGGCGACATCTGCAACAAACAGTCCTTTCGAACACTCACCGAGTGTAGAAGGCATATCTCCTAGGTATGTACAGGACTTTCCAGATTTGGTGGACTTGCCCCCTTACACAACGACTGGTGACAGGGTAATGAGAAAACCTATTGGACCCCGAGCTTCCAAGGTCAACAGTGACTTGGCTGCCAGAGGTCAACGCCTCCCAGGAACTTCTGAGGCTTCTGATGAGTCCTTCAAGTTGGGCGGCCGCCCCAATGTGGATCTGGACAATACTGCCCGAGACCATCACCTATACCACAATGTCACTCCACAAGCTGATGGACTGTACCACTGCCCATGGGAAAAGGACCCTCAATCCAATTGCCAACACAAGCCCGAGAAGCTCAAGTGCAACTACGAGTACGGCATTCTACTCTCCCCCTTCCGTTCTTTTGCAATGCTAACCACATAACCTGTGCCAGCAAATTTGTCGATTCGCATCTCAAGCCATACAAGTGCAAGGTTACCGCCTGCAAGGATCTCCAGTTCTCATCCACCGCATGCTTACTCCGTCATGAGCGTGAGGCTCATGGTCTCCATGGCCATGGCGACAAGCCCTTCTTGTGCACCTATGACAGCTGCGAGCGAGGACTTCCTGGAAATGGCTTCCCACGCCACTGGAACCTGCGTGACCACATGAAGCGTGTCCATAATGACCCAGGACAAGCTCAGAGTAAGAGCAATGCATCTGCATCTCCGCCACCATCTGGAAGCATCAAAAATAAGAAGCGTAAGGCTGACAGTGTTGAATCATCCGTCATGTACAAGGCTCCAAAGAGGATTTCCACACCCCCTGCTGTCATACGTCAGCCACAGGAACCCAGCTTGATTGATCGTTACCAGGAGAAGCACCAGGCGCTCCAGGATCTCGTGAATCAGCTTGTTGACCCCACACGTGTGGACAACATATCATTGCTCCGCAATGCAATGGATTGTATCAAGGTAATGGCCCAGACCACCCAGCGTATCAATGCCGCTCCAGTCATGGGACAACACATGTTCACCCAGCAATCCGGCTGAATGACCGATAATATTTCTACTTGACGCAACAAACTTCGTAAGTACTCAGATACTATCCACCCACGCCCCTTAAACTCTCATCTTTCCTAACATCTTGACTCGACCAGACAATCTGCAAGACGGAGATGGCCACTTCGATCCTAGACATATTACGGAGACAGTACAGCGTTCCCAGTCGCGTACCTCCCCCACAGGATATCGACAGTTTCAAGTCATGTACCAGTCATGCACACAAACCATAGGATACAGCCATAGGAACAAGCCATGGACGTTGTTTTGCCGAGGACATTTGATGCCGGATATACAGCCGTGGACAAGCCCTATGGATTGCATGGACCGTTGCCAGGACTTTGAGCCGTATGAGCTTTGATGCCGGATTGCTTGCATTACTGTTCCATGCTGGGGTGATGATGAGGATGACAGTGGCTTGCGCTCGCATCAGATATGAGGAGGAGAAAGAGGAGAAAGAAAGAAGAAGAAGAAGGGTGGAATGCTCATCAGAGTATCGCTCGGTTGGGTTTTGATTCTGTTGTTGCTGCCTTATTAGTCCTTGAATATTGTTATGAAGAGGAGGCATAGTGAGATTTAATCGTTGGGGAGGTGGGTAGCGCGGAAATTCCGAGGATTTTCGTCGCAATGTGGAGGAAAAAGTTGGTTGGTTATAGCATAGTTTTATATATAGCATGGAATTCACCTTCGTCGCAATACAATCTCACTATAGCTTGCTCCATCGCGTGTGTCCTAATCTTGTTTCGTCTCAGATGTGTCCTTCAAACGAGCGACGTCATGTCGTCGTCATTCTGTAGGATTCTTGTCAAATCTTTCTTCCTACCTCAGATATTTGAGAGCCATGTGGGGATCAATTCAGGTCAAGTAGCGTACAAACAGCAGCGGAAGTGATATCTGACATTACAAAGTGCTTCCGGCATGGATCGAGGAGATCGAGATTTATTTCATTTCCGCAACTGGTCATCATATACCTCATCGCAAACTATTACTTTTGATGTGATCACTATTTGATTTCTGAGTTCACGAAAGGAGATACATGTTGGCATATTATGTGGCTCACACAAATGCTCGCTTACTGACCAAGAAGGCCCCGCGTTTCACCTGTGTATCAAATCCAGTCTTCGCCCACCTCCTTCCTTCAATTCTGAGAAGCTTTCTCGTACAAAACAGATCAGTCAGTAGATGATCTATATCTACATCCCATGCTAACAGGTGCACCACCAACTATGACATCATTTCCTCCTTTCCACGACAAAGTGCGGTTCCCCGCATTCTTGGACTGCCCTGTGATCGACAGCCCAGCCGATCCAGCAGAGTGAGCTTTTTCTTGCTACCATATATGTCAGTAGATACACTAACAAGTCCAGCGCCTCCTATTATTTACTTGGTACAATAGCCGAGAACATGACTGTTTCCGCTGCGCCGACATTCATCCTCAAAGATCGAAACAACGTCTCCTTCGCACTCACCCTTAGGATTCCAGCTGACGAGATCAAAGAAAACCTTCCAGGCGGTGGCTTTGATGCTAGAGGCTTCAAGAAGGGGTTCACTGCTGTCGTGGAAGGAGCGAGGAGGAGTGGAGCCAAGGAGGAGAAGGCAGGGTTTGTTGTGGCGCCGAGCGGTAGTGTGAAGGTCTGCTTGCCCTCAGAGAACACATGAGAGCGGAAACTTTAGAGCTGACGTCCTTAATAAAGATCATCCCAGCCAGCTACCAGAGGTTGATTGAGATGACCGAAGTATATAATACAGACTTGAATGTTGCCTCAGAGTATTGCAGGGGATGCTGTACGAAGAAGCCGAACGAGAATCTCTCGTCGTGCACAGGTTGCAGATGCGTTTATTATTGCAACAAGGTACATTCCAAATCCAGAGTCTTGGATGTCGATACTAATATTCCGGAATTTGCAGAAGTGTCAAGTAGTGGGTTGGCAAGAGAACAATCACAAGACAGATTGCAAGATCCTGAAAGCCTGTCAAGAGATCTTTCCCAAGATACGGGGCCCCTGAGACGAAGCATATTCTCAGAACCTTACCTGAGGGAGGATGCGTCAGAACGTTAACGGCGGCATACGATTGACAGTTGTCGAAGGCGATCATAGAGGCCTTTTACCATCGTCTCCTGAGATTTCTACCCTGCTTTATTACAGAAGGTTTTCATATAAGTTTCAATTCATTTGCCCAAGCTTCGTCTGGTTCCGAGCTTTAAATTTCGCTCTCTCGAGCGGCCCGCTCATCCACATCCCAGGTTCTTTTCCTTTTTTCAATTTTCTGGTCTGGTCTTATACTTTGCTATTGGAACATGTCCGCAAGTTCTTTTATATTACAATGCTATCACATCATTAAAAGTGAGATGAATGCGAGATGAAAGGGAAGTTCCAGCACAGATTATACAGTATATACACTAGCGCAGTGACCTCAGCCAATTGTATAAGCTCGACCCCTGCAAATCACTGGTCTAGTGACTGCAAGATTCCTATCACAGCGTAATTGGAAAGCCTCTCCGCGAACCTGAAAGTATCGTCTACCTCCGTAGCTTTCCTCCAGGAGATAGCCGTGCACGATTGCCTGTCATGATACCAATTTAAGCATTGTGGGATATTTCTAGCCAGTCCTTGGCTCTTCCCTTTTGCATCCTTGACTGCCACTTACCCTCTCTTGGCAATTCATTACGAAGTTTCTGTTCTAGAAATGCATGAACAAAATGCCCACGACGAGGATCATTTCGTCTAGTGTTTGGGACAAGTATAAGAAAGGGCTACAGTCTATTGAAAATGAATGAGCCTAGTACTGTTCATTATCGTCTCAAGCTAGGCCTGCTTCGCCTTCTTCACGATGTTGTCTAATAAGTTTGTTATTCTGTTCGCCGTGCTGATAAATCTTTCTGGGGCTGTGTAAAGTGGCACCAAAGCTTGTTTGTTGTTCCACAAGTCATGTCATGATAAATCTTCAATAGAAATTAAGATGATAACAGTAGCAGCGTCTTCCTAGTTGTTGAAACTCTAGAGTGAGAACTAGATTCATGCAAGTGCGAGCAATATCTCCTTCGACTTTTGTGACTCCACACACAATTGATCTGCCAACTAAACCAAGCTCAGAAGACATCAAAATACGGCTGGGTATATACTATAGTAACAACTACGCCGGCACCAAGCTAATAGGGGATATTCTCTTTGGATTAATTGGAACCAGTCAATGTGCAAACTTCCATATCCCGTTGGTATTCTCAAATTTGAGCTTTGTCATCATGTACTCAGGCCTGAAATTCAATTGCTCTTTTCACAGCTCTCTTCGGCGGGTTCAAAAGTGCTCTATCTTACAGTCAGTTCATATTCAGCTTCTTAACATTCAGATACCCACCCCCAATTGTTTTTGTCGAAGTCCGTATTAGCCCCCGTTAAATCCGTAAAGTCTTTGGTATTTCCCGCTGCATTGCCTTTCGTTGGGATGCCTTGATTTTCACATATCTTCAAGTGTTGACGGGGAATGCTTAGCGAGTTCTGTAGCTTTTCTGGTGCCTCGATGAAGGTAGCAATAAGGCCGGCTTCAACGTGCCACTCGATGTGACAATGGAACAGCTGGATGCGTGCTGAGGACGTTAACTGCGCATTCATGCAGCGGACAAGGGCTGTGACTTATCTGGATTATCTGCACGGAATCGAATCACGACGTAGCCATTTGAGTGAACCTGAACAACATCACGACGAACTGGGGTCTTGGATAGCGGCACGACGTTGGCTGGATTGTATTTTGTATCGGATGGCGATCTATCGATTATCTGGAAGTTGTGCCCGTGAAGACTAGTGGTGTCAGCAATATGTTTTCGGGCTTCCAATCCGGCACACTTACTGCCATGGATGGTGGCCGTCATCATGATTGATGAGAACCACTTCGACAACTTCATTGTAGCGAAGGACGTAAGGGTTGGAGTTGGCGCCATACACCACAGGATTCGTTGCTTGTTTTCCTGCCGACAGAGCTGTGTATAGCGTGGGAACTTTCTGTGGCACGTAACTGCTATTGTTGACGATTGCACTTCCTCTCATTTAGCAATAACCACGAGGTAGGTGCGAAAAACACTCACCGATTGACTCCAGCGTCAGAAATAAAGTCCATCTCCATGATAACCTGATGATCAACTTTACCCAAAATTCTTTGGCGATCATTTGGCTGTAATTTCATGTCGTCAAATGGTGACAAATCTCTTAGTGGGGCAACAGCAGGAAGTGGTTTCTTGCTGTTGTAGACGAGATAGCCGTTGACGTCAGGTTTCGCCCAGTCCGGGATCGTATCAAACATATCGGTATCCAGGGTGCTTTGAATGCCGAAATTCCTATCTGTACTTGTCTTAGTGGTAACTAGGACGCTGTATCGCTGAGCAACTGTCAGGTAGATCTGATTTGTCTTTTGAGGCTGAGTGTAAACTCCGTCTACTTCAACTATTGTCATATCGTGGTCCTCGAAAGCAAGATAAGAACCAACGAATGACCCGATATTAGTGATTCTGAATAAGTATGTTCGGCCAGGCTTGACATCAATCTTGCTGTTTTGTCCATCCTGGATCAGCGCAGAATTCGGGATAGGTTCGGCTCCGTCGTGATCGATTACATTTTGAGGAGATTGAAAATAATGTATAAGGCCCGGTGCTTGATCGTGATACCAGTCCGATACAGTAAGGACGACTTCTTCATCATACTTGAAGGGAGCCGAGCGATCGTGGACGATGAAAGGGCCACGTAGTCCATCGATATACTGACCGCGAAAATGAGAATGGTACCAGTATGTGCCTGGTTGTTGTACCTGTGGTCTTGTCAGATATTTTCAGTCCATTAGACTTGGTTGTATCAAACTAACTTACAACGAAGTCGTAGGTGAAATGTTCTCCAGGGGGAATTGGACATTGAGTGACAGCTGCTGGCCCGTCCATGCTGTTACTTCCCGTCTGGAACAGGCCATGAAAATGTAACGAAGTGCTTTCGTTCCCCAATTGATTCCTGAGATTTACGACGACTCTATCCCCAATTTCCACCTGCTTTCCGTCAGATAATATGAAGAGTAGGAGGGTATTTACGAACCGAAATCGGAGGGCATGGCCATTTGCCGTTGACTCCAATAACAGGACGTGAATATCCATCAGGACTCGCAGTGACCCATGACACATCCCAATTGTAAGTAACCGTTCTGGAAAACACAACAGGGAGGAAAGTAAACAGCAACATAAGCGCGGTCCCGAAGCGACATGACAGGCCGGGGACAGGGTGTGATTTTGCTGTATTTGGCATTAGCGGCCGCTGACTAAGAGCTGACTACACGGGCTTCTCACCGGCCATCTTGGCGATGCTTGTGTTGAGACAGGGAGAGAGGGAGAGAGGGAGAGAGCTCAAAGGACAAGCTTTCTGTCAGGCTATGGCGCAGGTGTCAGATACACTTCCGAAGCTTGATTGATAACTTGCAGCGAAAGCGTGAAGAGGATTGAATATTGGACATCCACGCTGCACGCTCTGCTCGCATCGGGGCTTGGCCATGCCTTTATTCTCCTCCAGCACTCCATAGCTGTGATCTTGACTTTTCGCGATCGTGCTGGCGGCAGCATCAGGTACAGCTCGATGAACGTGGACCGATATCATGACCCGAAGGAGCGGCCCAGACATTCCGATGATCAGCAGCGGCGAACTCGCATCATGAGGTTCTTCGGGATTCCGTGTGAAGATGGAATGTCACAGGTATATCTTCTATGGTTGTGAACAATCCAATGGCTTGGGTCAGGAATAGAAAGCGAAATAGCTGACATCAGGCCAGCCAATCGTGGGAATTCTTTTTCAAATTACGAGGTCGAGACGGTTCCGCATGACTTGGGCCCCTTAGGGCTGAACTTTTCTGTGGTTGGGGCTTGGCTCTTGGAGCCTAGTTCATCGCTTCATCCAGCGATGCCCCCAAAAAAACGATTCTAGATTCTCCTTGGCGACGATGCCATTGGCCAACAAGATCTGCAGAGCCGTGCAGCAAACTACTGGCATCTTGCATATGTGGTACTGAGGGCTGGACTGTTAACGCCTGATGCTTCAGCCGCCCAGATGCACTTGAACGGTTCGGAAATGGCTCTTGCTGTCTGCTCAAACAGTTCTCATTCCCGGTGTCTAGATCCGCCGAGGAATCTGAAAATACGACTCGTTGTCATTCCTCATATGCAAGTCAAGTCTTGCTTTGGCCTCCGACCCTTCGTCGTACAGAATCCACCCCGCCATTGCCTCCACATATTCTCAACTCTCTTAGACATCGTCTACCATAGTCCGATCTTTGAAAGCCGTCCACCCACCGAAGCAAGTGAAACGACTCGTTTCCACTGCGTTGAGAACTCTGCACCGCATTGTTTGTGTTTATACTTTTACAAAAAATTGCAATATATGGTACATGCACACATGAGAGTGGACAGAGTATGTTTAGAAGGGATAATCTCATTCGATTTTGGTATGTTGAAAAAGAAACCGTGAGAAGAACTACCTTATGCAGGTGTGTAAAAGCAGCTGCTAAGATGCCAGCGGCGATCTATTGTTGGGAACGGGGGGTACACTGTGTATGAGTGACTCGCCAGCTCGTGGAAATTGAAAGGACATAGGAGATAGAGCAGAACGTTCCACCAAGCACCTAGAGGAAAGGGAATAAACACGATACCAATGAATCCACACTACATTGCTGATATCTGGCCAAAGGCAGTTTTATACGAGTAACTCGCCCAGCTCGTGAAAATATCGCAACCTCCCAAATCATGGTCACTTCAGGGGCTATCTCATCATCAGCGTCCACCACCAACCTCACATCCCCGACTTTTCTGGTTTACAGCAGCGAGTACACTGGAATTGAGTCCAGATTCAACACTCTCACAGACAATTAACCCATAATTTCCTCCTCCAGCAAAATGGCGAAAATGTGATGTTCCCAAGCAGCGGGGTTTGTTGGTTTGACAGCTTCGTGTGCTCTCAACGCGTGGTATTCAGTCTGGAATATGAGGATGATAGAAACTGGCAATGACCGACGCTCCACAAGATATCCTGGACTATCTGAAAGACACTCTCTCTCTGGAGTGCCTTATCCGCTACGCTGCCATCAGGATTACCGTGGGTCCCAGGGCGTAATAACAGTTGCTCCGGAGGAACGTCAAAAGTTCACCGCGGTATTGATATAAAAACAGCCCTTATTTCCTACTGAGATTCGTAGTTTTTATTATTACTGTAGTGACAGAAGATACAGGCCTTAGTTCATAAAATTTGAGAGATATTAACGAACGGCTTCACCTCTTCCTGAGGGACTATAGCTCTTGTATTGAAGAGAATTAACCGAAGTACGGTCTAGGGTAATCTTGATGGCAGCGTGGCGGATAGATTCTGGGATAGTAAATGTGCCGATCATAGGCAGTTCCTGAATGGACGTGTTGGGATAGAGGACTTAGTTGAATTGGAAATTTCAAGTAGTCGCTCGTTCACGCAGCGGCACCACGATGAGCAGTTTATCGTCTTGCTCAGGACTTAGTCATCCTCCGTGCCTCGTCGGCGGAACAGTTCGTCCATAACAGCAAGAAAGAGTTGCTGCTTGGACGAAGAAATTGGACAGAGTTTCCAAATGTGTTCGAAAAGTGATTCCAAAATATGCTCGGATTTCTAAGAACATAGAAGAACGCGCGACACGGAGTTTTACTGTGCTTTTTATTCCGTCTCTGGTGCTGTACCCATCGATCTGATACGTCTGGAGGCCGTTGGTACATTCTTTGAAGCTGGCTGAAATCTGGGGGTGCTCGCGGCCTGAGATGCAGGAGTTTTGCAATGTTCTTTTTGCTCGATTAGCAAGCCTACAGATCGCTATGGAACTCACTCACAAGCAATACATTGGAAAGCATTCCGAAGTGTAGTCTTGCTTTGTCGAGACTCAAACTACCGGGCAAGGTCGAGTATATCTCGCTTTGCAAAGCAAAAGCCTGATCCTCTATCTCCGTAGCGCTGGTTTGTAAGCATGGCCGAAACAGCGTATAACGTGCTTCGGACGCGTGCCAGGCACACACTCTGATATCCAAGATCTGATTTCTTAGACGAGAATCCAGATAGCTCGCAATGCGTAGTGCCTCAAGTGGGAGCTGATTATCCACCGGAGCGTCTTTAACCAGATCGTGAATAATTCGATTCGTTGCTGTGGCGTCCGTGTATCGTTCTTTTAGGTTCTGTAACAGTTGTTGCCGCTCTAGACTCGGAGCTGACAAGGTTATTTTGGGGTATCCATTCGAAGGTAAAAAGAAATATTCTTGTTCAATAGCTTCCAACATCTTTCATAAATAAAAGACCTCACCAACACACTCTCATGCTCTCAACAGTCGTCCTTGAGTATCTTCTCTCAAAACAAACAAAGTCTTATGATTAACATGCGATTTAAGATGTCGCTTCGCATTGTCCAGTCGCCTAGAGAAACCGCCTTTGATACCAGCGACATGCCAGGGACAGCTTGCCACGGGGCAGAAGTATCGTCGGATCTTCCCGTGGGTGTCTTGATGGCGGTCGAGGTCCCGCTGTGTGGCTTTGCTGACGCCGCAGTCACAGGCATATGGCTTCGTATGAGTGTTGATGTGTTTACTGCAGGGATATGTCAGGCGTCGTTAACTTAGGCGAGCATAGTGGGTACATACTTGAAAGATGCCCTGGTGGTGAAGGTCCTGGGGCAATGTGAACACCTGAACTCATTTTGAATTGTACCTTGCGCCACAGGATCCGCCTCACCATCTTGAGGGGGAGCTTCTGGCATCGTGGAAGTGGAAGCAGAAACATATTGACCTTGACTTGTGGATGGCGTGATGATGGTAGAAGATGGAGACCAAGTACTTGAAGAAGCGGGCCCTGAGATGGCTTCTGGACTTTCGAAACTTGTTCGCTGTACTGAGAGAGATTGTGACGAGGCTGCGGCCTCCCATGGCACATTGTCATCGCCATGGACCGAGCACGGCTCGCCGTTATATGGAGTGAGCAGAATATTGACGGACTGATCGTACCATGTCCGCAAATAATATAAATCACTTTGACTGTTGTAAAGGAGAGAGTGGTTGATGAGATCGTTATTGTAACCTAATTGCCGATCATTTTGGTGTGAGATGTGTGGTAATGCGCAGAGGCCGCTGCGCTCGGGATCTTGGGAGTGCGAAGTCTCACAGAAAGACTGTGGACTTCAAGGGGAAGAAGCAGGCGGGAGGCCTCTCCTTCAGCCGCGTGTGAGAGCGGTGGAGGGAGAGGCCTCCGATATGGGCTGCTCTCGTGTACTGATTACCTTAACCAGGCTTGACGCTAGTTGAGGCCCTCTTCAGCCTTGTTTGGTGACGGATCTTGTGGTTGGTTGGTAAGCGAGGCAGATTTGCTCTGCACAGGATTTCCCCAGGCTTGTCTCTGCAGACTGCCTGGATAGGGCATGTGGAACCAAAATGAATGACCACCACCTGGTTGGACTGTGAGCGGCCTCAAATGGTGTTCTGGGACCGCCAATCAAAGCTCGTCACAATAAAAGAGGGCCTCAAGCATGTACTTGGCAGCACGGCCAACCATGTTTGGGAGGCCCACTCGGCCAGACAATCGAGCGGATGGAAAACCAGAAGAAGGCGTGAAACAAGTATTCTGACGTCCTTCAAGCCCAAGAGTGCATCACCGGGAAGTGAGGCCTCCTGCCGAAAATTCGTCTAGCGATTGGTCCATCAAGTATATGTATTGCAAGCCTAAAAGCTCGGTACCAAGCCCTAAGCTGCCCGTCATTTTGGAGCCGCAAATTTGATATGCTGGTAGAGCAGGCGGCCTCCCATTTTGCACTATTCAGCATGCGATTCCAGGGTGCCTCGACCAAAGCAAAATACGGTCAGAATGACAGGTTCATCGCGCGAACGACAAAGCAAGTGGCCTCCTATCTCTAGTGACGACTCAAGGTCTATAAATCCCAGCGATGTAGCTGCCACCACACCAAATGAGTACTCGCCGAGATACACTAGTGACTCAAACGGAGAGCAATAGTCATCGTACACTTGCTCATCATGACTTCTGGCCAAGCAAGACAAACGAGAGGAATATCTGAGCAGCGAAAGGGGTGAGCCGTCTTAGGGACTTTGTCATTAGGAAAGACAATCGACTAAAGTTTGAGTAGGCGATCCAGCGAAGTCAGCAATGAGAGAAAAGAACAGGGACAGCACAAGCAAGGAGCATCAACTTCATACCAAGACCGGCCAGATATACCCCAACAGCCTTCCTCACAAGCCTCTCAAACAAGCCATTACCAAAGTATCTTTAGCACCGACCTGCCACCCTCATCAACATGGCCAAATCCAAAGGCTATCCCCAGCCACCGAGAAATAGACTACTCACTCCTCGGCTTAACATCGTCTACTTCTACTCCTTTGCGAGACCAATCAACATGCTCTTTCTCTCCATACTGTCGGACAACCCACCGGCTCCAATATCAGTGCTACACCATCGGAGCTGCTCAGTGGGAAGCAGAGAATAATGGAACTATCACTCAAATGCATGTGAGCGACTCCTCTATGTATACCGACGCGCCTCCTCCTGGATACGGCATGACAGCCATGGGACGATGGAGCGCTGAACGGCAATCGCAGCAAGGTGCGTTGCTCGCGTGGGAGAAGGAGCGATTCGAGGATTCAGCGGTAGCAATCAGGTGGGGGCTGAAGAGATTCTAGGAGGCTGTATTGGACGAGCAGACAGAAAGTGTAACGACAGAGGTTGGTAATGGCGTTGGGTTGGATAGTGCTGGAAATTAAGTTACTTGCGTATGGTTTCTGGTACTGTGGGATTGCGAGCGTAACGAAGTTATCACAAGCGACATGGTATACCACTTGGTAGAACATGAAATAGGAGTAAGATTTCAGGTATTCAGGCCCCCTCACCCGGAAGAGGTTTTCCAGTATGTGTGCTCAGTGATTGCCCTCACTTAGGCATGACAACGTGGACCTGTAAACAAAAAGCTCGGTTCTCGTCTAATTGTTGCTGCATCCATCTCTTTCCAATCCCGGTACTAGAACACTTATCCTCATAGGTTCTTCTTGATTCCATTTTGCTTAGGAGCCTTAACAAACCTCTTCTTGACTGCAGCGATCATCTTGCCGAACCAGAAGACGTTTAGGGCTTGCAAAATGACGTGTCCGCTCATGTACATCACCACGAGCCACGTCGGCAGAGTCCTGTCGCCGGCAAATCGCATCATTTCCTCGTTGCCTCCGACTTTCAAAGTCCGATCAAAATACAGTGCGTTCCACACATCTCGATAGATATTGAAAGACGAATACGCACCCCATAGCAGTCGACAACAGAAGAACACCACTATTAGAGTAATGCCGTTGTAGAGTTGAGGTTTGCTTCCTGTCATTCCCATCTTGTCGAAGAACCAGTGAAAATTCAGAAAAATTGTGCTGAGTTCATAAAGCATGAAGACGCAACCGTAATAGTTGAATATTGGTCGCTAAGTAGAAGATGAAATTAGCAAAAGACACTTACCTTGCTTGGGGAATGGATGGACTGGTGAGTAGGTTTCCCTGTCTGGTCTAAACGTACAAATCCCAGGGTGTACGTGACTAAACAGCTTGAAGCGTGTGCAAGCATACTGAGTCCGAAGACATCAAGATAGCGCACCATTACGACCAGGTCGAAGAGAAAGTAGCCCGTTGCGAGAGCCTGCACCAATGCTGCAGCCCCTGTATAACCCCACATCCTCTCCTCGAGATTCATGTTCCTCCTCTCATTGTCTGAGTAAATAGTCCACAATGCAAGCGCTGTAATATTACAGCACTGCACCATGGACGCACAATGCATGTTCCATCGTAGCCTGCTTTCATACAAGAGCTGCTTATACTGCTTTGGAAGGAAGAAGCTGGATAGTGAGGGGGCAAGATATTCGAAGATGATATGGTAAAAGCCGAATGCGAAGAGGATCTCGTGGATATGAAGCGGTAGGCTCTCGAGGGAGAGGTACTTGCAGAGGGGTGTGACTGCCTCCACGAGGATAGGTATCGGCGCAAAAAATGGATCAAGCATACTATAGGAGTAGGCAGCCTGCTCAAGTTGAGAAGGCTGTAGGATCTATGAGGGGTCATCAGTACCCGGCAGATATGGGAAATAAGCCCCAACCAGAGAGGGGTAACTTACAAGCACTAGACAGTCTATACTCTACATACACATCCAAAAAGACATAACGCAGAGGAAAGAAGGAAGAGAGGAATGGATGGCCGAGGGGCAGGCAGAGCTGACGATACTGTATGTAGGACGGACATCTTCCACTCCGTCCCGGCTTTAGGACTGGGGTGATGATGACCGCGAGGCAAGAGCCAAGGACCAAGCGCGAACTCTCCATTGGTAAATTTTGCGGATGGCCGTATTATTGAAGCCTCCAGTACGTTGGCCGTGAAATCAGGGAGCGACGAGTTCCAAGCTTGCTGTTAGCCTGACTCAGCCTCTCAGCATGTCTCACTGTTTGGCTGAATGGATTTCCATCTGGGAACTGCCAGCCGTCTATGTTCATCAGGCTTCAGCAACGTGGACACACGGACGTTGGCGAACCCCCAGGCGTCTTGAGCATTTGCAGTAATTTACGATGAAGGATACGATGTACGAGTACGACTGTTACGAATAGCTGGGAAAGTGCTTGCATAAGCGATTCAGGGTCCAGCAGGGATCGGGCTCCCCTGGGCAGCAGCCGAACGGATACTTAAAATAAACGAGTTCCCACGTGATACGTCTTTTCTATAGGTAATGATCAATTCACGACCCTGCGAACAATAATGACCCATTGAAACCTCGAAAGGTAATGGTTTGTACGCATCTTCAATAGTATTCATTTTTGTCTGCTTGGAGATACCAACTTTCCGTAGGAGTCTGCATGTCAACAGGATCTGGGGATTACCCGAGACCTCGAAAATCACGCTTAGCGCGGAGAAGGCCCGGGGCGTCTTCTCGTCAGACTTCATCACCAAGCTTGAAGAAAACAATGTTCAAGTTATTCACGGCCGAAGAGAAGTGGAAGGTATTAGAATTCATTCTCGAACCAAGGCGAGCAAGATTTCCGCCACGATCGGGCCATCGAAGAACAGGATCGTTTGGAGGAAACCACTGCTCCTCGGAATACTTCCAGACATATCGATCTCGAGACTTGTAGACACTACGAGGAGACTCTCGTGAGGTCTGAGAATGAACAAATCGTGTAGACATCATCGCGGTAGCTCAAACGAGTAGGGCAAGTCATGACTTCGAAATAATTGCCGAGTGTTGAACAGAAGCTGTGAGACGCTATCAAAACAAATTACAGCTGACTGCTCGATGCCTGTGCTGCTGTAAAGACCCGAGAGTCTCTGGTTGCTCCGAAATTTGGCACTTCGATGGCAGTTTTCCCAGCGAAGTCAATCATTTTTCTGAGAGGCGATTCCACGGATTCGACTTGATTTATTTCAAGTTCCGTGAACGCAGTTACAGTTGCTAAACTGCAATATTCGGATTGCTGAATGTTCGAGCAGATCTTGTTAGATAGGCAGGTTTCCACTACCAAAGCAAGTCATGCAACAGATGATTGAATTAACCGGGTGTTTTCCACTGAGTATCAAAGTACAACAAGCTCACGAGTCGTCTCACGAAGACATGTGAGCCATGGACGACAGTGACTCAAGATCAGGGCAGATCCAGACTCCTCAAAAAATTGCCAGCCAACAGAGACAAGGACATAGATTGTATTCAGTACAGAACAACTCAATACGTGGTGTAGTCGGTGTTTGAAGGACGTTCCATTACTGATTGCACCTTCCGCTGTTTTGACCCCAGTGTGGAGCATTATGACGACTGGAAGAGGAAGGAGAATTATTTTGTTGACCGCTTGGGGCCGAGTTGGCTTTTCTAAGTCAACTTGTCGGAGGAGACTGCGATGAATGCTTTGCCCCTTGTTTGTTTGGACATGTGTTGAGGATATGTGAGGACTTTCAAAAACATGTACGGCTGATTGGAGGATGTGAACCGAAGCAATTTGTTGCATGGATGTTTGCTGTATTGAAGTAGAAGAAACTCCTCTACGAGTACTGATCAGAAAGGAATTGGTTGGGTTAATTGGTATGTCATGAGCTGCTCTTGTGACTTGAGGAAGTAGCAGGAATCTCGGGCAATTCAATGCTGGGATCACCGGTGCAATGAGCTCTGCACTCCGTCCCAAGGTTAGGAGGAAATAAATGCATTCTTTCCATTTCATATGCACCATATCGAACGCCTTGGGGTGCAAATCCATCCCATGCTCTTCTCCCACGCCATGCCAGGCATTGAGAAGCCCAGTCACATAATACAATAAGTAGAAAACGCCCGTCCATGCTTGTTTGCTTCGCTCGCTGAGTTGTTACTCGAATCCTAAGCACCCGATACCGCCAATTCATGCATACAAAGTCCCCAAATCTTCTTCTCAACCACCCGGTACCACCAGTTTTACTCGTCTCAGATCCGCGTATCTTTCAAGTCCTCATTATGTATCGACACAGCAAAGCCTCAATTAGGCGAACTCAATGTCTGACTACTCTCCGACTGGTCCCTAGCTGTGCTTTTTGAGTGCCCATTCACCATTCCGCTACCAGTCCTGATCTTCAGCTTTGTAGGATCTGGAGGAAGCCCTGGGACGACGTTTGTTGTAGTGCCGCTGTTACCGTACAGCCACTTGCTCTTCGGCTTAACCAATTTCTTTACAGGCTTCAATGATTTGGCCTTCTTCTTCGCCTCCACAGAAATAGACTTCTCATTGAAGTCACCATCTCGATCGTCGTCCCCGTCATCAACGAGATCCTCTTCATCACTTGCCGGAGGCTTCGATTCGAAGCTCAATCCACTAGCTGATAGCTGACTTGGATTTTTCGTCATTTTTGGAGCCTTCAACTTGGTTGCTGGATTCTTCTTCAGAAGCTTCGCTTTCTTATGGGGAGATTCTTCGGAATCGAAGTCATCACCGGCATCACGCTTGCTCGGACTACTGCGACCGTTCTTGTTAACGGGCACTGTAGGACCTGGAGTGGAATTACGACTCGTAGGAGGAGTATTTCCATTCTGGCTACCATTCCCGTTCCCGTTCGCCATCTTCGTTTTTGCATCTCGTGAAGACTGTCGGCCAAATCCACCTATACACCTCGCCATGTGATTGTTCATGCGTTTGATGACGACATGAGTGCCACAATTATTACATTTCGACGATGGGAACGCAATGTTTTTCTTCTCTTCCTCCTCACCTGGAGGCGGAGATGAGTCCTGACTCCCATTCGGTGTATTCTCTTTTTGCTGCTTGAGAGGATTGATCATGTCTTTTTTCTTCTTGCCACGACCAGGGCCCTCGGGAACATATGTCTGACCGTATACGTCGTGGTATGGCTTGTTGATGAAAGGGTGTTTCTCACAGTACTGAACTCCAGGTTCAGGTCTTCTACCCCCGTTGCCGTCCGTCGGATGAAGAAGGCGGGGAAGACCACATTTTTGACACCGAATCTCCTTTGTGGTATGTAATGGGTTGCCCTTGAGGTATGTGATGCCATTCTCCCAAGTAGCACCTTCCGTCTCGACGACTTTGTTTTCGCTGGATGTATGGGCGTCCTCGTCGTCAACGACAGAATCAGTGTCTGTAGCTTTCTGCTCAACCATGATAGCAGCAGAGGAAGCTCTCAGCATCTTCTCCTCCCTAAAGGTCTCAAAGACCAAGTCGTGTAAAAGATTATAGAATGAATCGTCCAGAACTCCATAAACCTAGGCATGGTAAGTTAGCTGGTTGTACATTCCCTAGGCAGCAGAAGGAAGGGCAAAAATCGTAGAAAAATTACCAATTCAGTCAGAGAGTCATGTTCTTCAGTGGGATCTGGGGTTACGAGTCCCGGTGTCTCGAAAGTGTCGTTGGCAGACATGCTGCAGAGAGCGCTCTTGAACAGGCTGTGGTGCAGCGCTTGGAGCTGGGAAAGGGAACGGTAGCAGTTCCAGTTGTGATGCAATCAAAAGCACCGTTGCAAGAAGATGCAAGAACGAAAGGCAAGCCAGGGAGAAAAGAGGGCATTTTATGTGTTTGTTACCCCGTATTCACCGACCAAAGAGCATGTTGGGAATAGTTGATATTGGCGTCAGAGCTCACAATAGGAAGACCGGAAGATAATGTGATGATATTGTGGTCTCCTTTGAAACCAGCTGCTTGGGCAGAATATTGCGCTAAGATTAAGGTTTGGGTACTGTAATTGGAAAGCGGTGACCTACCTGCCCTCCACGCAGCAGTGAGCAGGAGAAGAGATACTTATACAGTGCAAATGCTCCGCTGTGATCAATTGAATGGATTCGTGTGCAGCTAGATGAGAAACACATAAAGGCCAAAAATGATGACTTTTCAAAATTCACAATAAAGTTAAGCTTATTTTGAAGGATAGCTCAGTTGTTGATTCCTGCCCCCTCCTTCAATAAGGGGTCTCTAGCGGGACATCGGTTATCACCTCGTCATCCCGACTTTTGTTTGGAATCAGACGAGGAGCCTAGACACCACATTCCGCGCGCAACAACGCAGCATAAACTCCCTCGACTTCCCGGACCTCAGTCCAGGGGACTTTGCAGGCACTCAAAGTTGTTGCTTCGGAAAACGAGTTCAATATGGACAGCAATGGCGCGACGAGCCCGGCGAACACGCGAGCTCAACCCTCCATACGATCGTTCTTCCAGCCTCGACAACCCAGTTACACACCACCACCAGGATCTGCGGTGACAAAACTCCCAGCATCAAACTCCTCACACATAACAAGTCAAACGCCCCCGACTCTCACACCACCAGTATCTTCAAATACCAGCAATCCCACTTCAAGCCCAACGTCAATATCAACGAAGCCCTCAACCCTCCCATCCCAAGCTACCATCTCCCCAATTCAACAACCACATATCCAACCCCTCCGCCGCATAAATGCCCTCCTCCTTCCCATTAGCTACCCCGACTCCTTCTACCACAAAATCCTCGCTCCCGACCCTCCTACACCTTCCCCACCACGAGGCTTCTCCCGCACAATTCTCTGGACTGACCCCACCAGCCAGGAAACAAAAGTCGTCGGTGGTGTAGTCTGCCGCGTCGACCCAGCTCTCTCGTCCTCCTCAACTGCTCAGCAGCCAATCTATACGCCTGACGCGCACGATATCTACATTCAGAGTTTATGTCTGCTCTCGCCGTACCGTGGGAAAGGCTTAGTGGCTGCGGTGCTAGATGAGGTCATCGAGGCTGCGGTTAAGCAGGATGAGTTGAGGATCGAGAGTCTATATGCGCATGTCTGGACGCAGAATGAGGAAGCGTTGGACTGGTATGCTGCACGAGGCTTCAGAAGGGAGGAGCCTGTCCTACATGGCTATTATCGTAGGCTGAATCCGGACACGGCATATATCTTTCGGAGGAGGTTGGTGCCGTCAGACCACTTGAATGGACAGGTGCAAATTCAGTCTCAAGCTCAATCACAGTTTCATAAGGAGAATGTTAGGCCGAGTAGCACTCCAGCTTCTCTTCAACCAACCCCAGCCACAAGTGGTAGGCCTCCTATCCCAGGACATGCACGGTCATTCCAGGATAAGGGACCAGAGAGGGAGTGGAATGATTTACCTGAAGATGTGTTGTTGAAACCGCCGAGTACACTTACTTCCAGAGAAGGTAGTGCGGCGAGCTCGAGGAGTAGTTCACGGAGTGGTTTGGAAGGCAAGGGAAAGAAGAAGAGAGTTTACCCTGCGGCTGCTTTTGGGACTTAGAAGGATGTCAAACGTAGATCAAAGTTTCGGTATAAGAAGCGTAAAAGAACTCTATTACAGGAGTGGCGTTGGAGCATAAAACGGTGGCTTGGGTTCGGAAAAGGCGTAGACGGGAAACATCAGGGCAATTACACATCTAGATTTAGAGAGCTACAGGTAGAATCTCAAAAGCCATTTCAGTGCCTATAGGGGAAGACTTGCCCGGGTCATTACGTCCAGAGTATTTCTCAAATTCCTAACCATGATATTCCTACGCCATTTCTATGCTCGCTCCATGCAGTAAAAAAATAACAATACACTACCTATCCTGCCCCAAAGAACCTTCGCCCATCTCTCAACCCTTAAATCTTGGGCGTCTTCGCCGGTAACCCGTCTCTCGGCGCTTCAAGCGAGAAAAGGAAGACATGATGCTTGTGCTCCTCACTGATCTTCTCGATCTCCGCCACATCCCTGGGATGATCAGAACCAGCAATAGCCACATCATCACTACCAGCTTTCTCCTTGATCTCAGCACTACCTTCGCCTTTTCCCTTCTCGGCTTCCTCCCCGTCTTTCTTTTTCAAAGGTTCGAGCCCCCACTCTCCATCTTCGGAGTACTCCCACATGAGGCCCACCTCACCTCTCACAAGCGCAGTGCCCCAAAGAGCAGTCAACACACCGGGGACAAGATACAAGAGTGCAGGCTGAGCGTGATTGAAGATATTCATGACCACAAGTGTAACCAGCATCGCGAGGACATACCCCACCAGACTCGCTTTAAAGTAGACTTTCGAGAATCGGGCACCATCCGCAACGGTGTCAGCATCTCCCTTCTTTGCTAGCCGAGTCCAGAATCGCTCGCCCCATTGACCCGTAGCTTCAACGTACGGAGCACGGATGATCGTGTCTGGCTCAATAGCACGAGGCGGGATGGTAGGCTTGGAAGTAGTGCGCTGCTTGCGCAGGTAGTGGAGATAGAGGTCGAAGCGGAGTGCGAGAGCCATCATAATGCCAGGGAGGACAATATCGCCTAGACCGAGCATACTGCCGCGTTTGGGGCCCGGGAAGACAAGCTTGATCGGCACTTCCAGGGATGTGGCGACCGTGATCATGAGTGGTGTGTAGAAGACCATTACGATGTCGTAAATGAAGAGACCAGCCAGGACGAGGGTGCCGGTCCAGAAGGTGGTTGGTGACATTAGCTGTAGTGTACCGTAGCAGAATCCGAAACCCATGATATTGGTGAGCCACCATGCTTTGCCTAAAGCGTGGATCAGCATCAAATCAGAAGTGGAAGAAGTACAATTTGGTACCATTCATATTGTAGAGAGCAATTGTAGCGACTCCGATAACAAAACCAAGAACGTCATTGAGCTTGATGTTGCCCTTCGCACTGAAGATACCTACGTCAAAATTAGCATAACAGATTCGACAACCTAAAGCTCCCTAACACACCATGAACAAAAGCTTTGAAAACCCAATGATTCTTCAACATCGCGCGAAGCGACCACAACTTTTTGTTGATAGCTGGTGAGAATTGGATGCTAGACAAGAATCCTGGGAAGGGGTTCGTCTTGTCCTCCACAAATTTTCGGTGAATTTGTACCCGAGCTTTGTTTACACATCCAGTTACCTGTTGGGACAGCAGAGGTTCGATGAAGTATGTCTCCGTAGCAGATGACCATACATTGGGGAAGATGAATGTCGTCGCTACATTCAAACAATCTGCTGCTAGTTTACCGACCCCAAAGATACCGAGACCTAGGTGACTGTCAGTATGTGTAGATTTAGACAACAGAGACTAGATCCGGGAACAACTAGAGACTGGATGCCAACTAAATTCTCAAATTACGAAGTACGTACCAGAAAAGTAAACATTCAAAATCTTGTTCAACAGCTTGGGATCATCCAGCCACTTTATCACCAGATACAGGCCACCCAACGTGACACCCGCCAAGATCGGGAACAGAACAGCATCACTAGGCGTCATGCCCTCAATCTGGACTTCCTCCTCATCATCTCCGTCCTCGCCCGGTGCCTTCTTCTTCGGTACAGCAGCAGAAGGTGGACGACGTAGCGAAGCGTGAGAGCCAATGTAGATAGGGAAAACGGCCGCCAGGATCAGATGGATGTACATCTGGATAAGCTCTTGTCGGGTATAGATGAGGTAGCTCCATTTGCCGATGAACTGGAGGACTGGGCTGTCCCCTTCGAAGTAAGAGAAGAAGTGGTCCATCTTTCCTGTCGAAATTCGTTTCTCTCGGATTGAGACCGCTCGCAGAGAATGAGTCGCAGGTGTGCTTGTATGGCTGTTGACACGTGAGGCACTGGCCTGGTTGACGAGATGAAGTCGGATAGAGGGCCAGATCGCAAGCACAATTTCAAAGCATAAAAAAGATTAAAAAGATTAAAAAGATTCTTCTAAGGTCCTTGCATTCACGCGTTATCAAACCGCGACTTTTGATGAAGTGAAAAAAATAAAGGACGTTGCAGTGCTTGGAAGCTGGAGAACACACGTAGTCACTTGGTTGTTTGCAGGGATGTCCACACGAGGCCAGAGAGCTTTTCAGCCTCGTCAAGATAAACATTGGCAGCCTTTATACATCCAGCATTCAATATTCAACGGGGACTCAATTAAAAACTCGAGCTGCAACAACTGAAACGAAATCCAACCATCTTGCTCCTGAACTATTGAATCTGTAGCTCCTTGTACCTAAGATTATTTCTTCCCGGCGCAAAACATAAAGCCTCCAAAATGGCGACCAACATCGCCCTCGAGACAACCATGGTATGCTTCGTTACCTTGCTACGATTACATATTCAGCAACCCTAACACTCCTACAGGGTACAATATTCGTCGAGCTCTACAATGACCATGCACCAAAAGTACATTCCCAATTGCCCCCTCCACTCCTCCATCCACGCCCTCACTAACACCCTTCGTCTCCCACCAGACATGCAAGAACTTCTCTACCCTAGTCTCCCGCGGATACTACGATACTCTCCTATTCCACCGCATTATTCCCTCTTTCATGCTACAGACCGGTGATCCCACGGGCACCGGCCGCGGCGGCTCCTCGATATATGGCGAGAAATTCGAAGACGAGATCTCACCCGCGCTGAAGCACACAGGCGCAGGGATCCTCAGTATGGCGAACAGCGGCCCGAATACGAATGGTAGTCAATTTTTCATCACGTTGGCGCCGACGCCGTGGCTGGATGGGAAACATACGATTTTTGGGAGGGTGACTAGGGGGCTGGCGGTTGTGAAGAGGATGGGACTTGTGAGGACTGGGGCGGAGGATAGGCCGGTGGAGGAGGTTAGGATTTTGAAGGCGAGGGTTGTGGAAGGTGATGCGGAAGAATGAGGATGGGAAGATCTTGGGTCATTTGGTTGGTGGTGATGCATGGCATGGCGTTCTGGTTGTTGGTTTGTAAAGAGAGTATCAAAAGTCGTAGATGAGGTGTCTGGCCACAGAGTCACTCAGAGAGAGAGCACATTGAATAGATTAAAAGACCACTTGCTCTCATGCTTTGTGCATGGGATAGACTTCCTAAGCAACGCCATCTAGTCCGTGAAACGCCCCATATACCCAACATACACCTCCCTTGTTTATATACTTTTCAACAAGTCGTCAAGAAACCGTGCTCGGTAATCTCCAAGCGACCAAATCGTCCCTGATATCAAACTCATCCAACTCCGGCGCCTTCTTGAACCCAGTCCTTCCTCTTTCAGAAGAGTTCTCCGAAGAAGTATCATTCATGTCTACTGCAGACTGGGGCGAAGGGCCTAATGTCTCTCGACTTCTCGAATGCTTGTGCCCCATCCTCATAATCCTCTTGCCAGTGACCGTACTTTGTGAAGTGCCACTCTTAGAGCTTGCATTGGAAGTTGATCGGTGATGGTGTCGGAGATTTCGCTCTTCTCCACCGTCGTCGTGTGTGATTCTGGGAGTCAATACTTTGTCATGGGTCTTCCATCCATCTCCTCCGTTGAAAATGTCCTCCAAGCATTGATCCGCAGGGAGTTCATCCGCGTGTGCTGCCCAGGAAGCAGCTAAGGCCCGTCGATACATGTCCTGTAACTCGCCATGGTCTCGCGATTTACTAATCGTAGGCATTTCTTTCTTCATCAGCACGTAGACCTCTACATGAAGGTAGAAAGTACTCACGTCCAACATCATCCTGTTCCGCTTGCTCCCCCGCCATGATTCCCGCAATACCTCCAAACACAGGGGCAGTCTTCAAGGGAGGAGCCACAAAGTTCCTCTCCCCGTCCACCTGCTTCATCAAGATGCCAATCTTCAGCGTACTATTGATCTTACTCTCTTGCATCAAGTACCTCCTCACAACCCCCTCCTCCCCATCCGACCCAATCTCACTCTCCTCCACATATTCCGCCAGGTTTAGAGTCACGTATCCCAGCGTAATCTTCTCCCCTCGCATGCCAGCACTATTATAGTCTTGGACAACCTCGAAGTTGACACTGCATTCTTGCAGATTATTGTTCTTGTCAATTGTAAGCCGCACGGGGATCGTTTTCGTGTATTCCCAGCTGGCTTTATGCTCTTTTATGGGGGAGGGATTGGTTCGGCCGCGGTGTTCGGCGGAGGTCGAGGAAGGGAGATGCCATTTTACATAGGAGGTTCCGTTGGCGAGGGGGACGTTATTGAGATCAATTATCTGGTTGTGTAAGCATAGCGACACGAATAACCAATCGCTCCAGACATACCTTGAGAATGAGGTCGAATTTTGGCTGTGAGAAGTCAGTATGCGATTGTTAGAATCGAGGTGCATGGAGGGGTAGTGAGGAGGGGCGAGATAAGAGCTGGGGTGTTTACGGACCCGTCTTGCTTTGGAAACTATGATGTTAGAAAGTATGGTCAGCTTGGGGTTGGGAGATGGCATGTTTGCGTGTTTACATTTGCTTTGTTATCAGGAGTGAGGGCTCACATACTTAATGGATTCATACTCCTGCTGGGTATTGCTGACTGGAATGCGGAAGTCGCGATAGCGCTTCATGTCTCATTGTGGTTTCTACTCCGTTAACAGCGTGAAGGGTGCGCGTGGGATGGATGTGATGGATGCACTGGGAAGGGAAGCCCGGAAGTACTGTATGCGCGGCGAGGCTGTCCCGGATGACGTCTCGTCTCGCCTACACAGCCTATCTGGCAGGATCTGGCCCCTGAAGCTCGGGTCCACAGCCTTTCGCTGAAAACAACAACATCTCCTTCTCATGTGATGGACATCTCAGGTGATGAAATTGCGGATGTGGTCCTGAGGGAGTTCGGCCGGTGGCCTAATAAGAGGAAACCTTTATTGAGAAATGGTGGCGTCAAAGAATGGGTCCCGTTGAGCGGCATAGTGGCACAAGGTTTTACCCCTGACACTATTGCTGATCACAAGGCTGAAGGTTGGGACAGGAAGAAATGGCCTCACATGTCTGGCAGTAGCGTACGTGTGTTCTTGTTTACACCAAAAAACTTTTACTAAGAACTCATCAGGACTGGGATGAAATGTCTCCCACAAAACAAAATTGCCCAAGCGGACGGGGTTACACTTCATGACTGGCACGCCGAAGTCCTAGCTATTCGCTCTTTCAACCGATTCCTACTTGAAGAATGCCATGCCTTGGCTTTATCCGAGAAACCTTCATCGGACTTTGTTCGATTCAGGAATCAAGATGAGAGAACTCAGATGAATTTTCAGCCATTTGCATTGAATGAGGGTATCAGCCTTCATATGTACTGCTCGGAAGCTCCGTGTACCTTTACCACCTACCTCCTTAATCTCATCTGCTAATTTGGCTTCTAGGCGGAGATTCAAGTATGGAACTCACTATGGCTGCCCAAGATGATGCCACGCCTTGGGATTTGCCTTCTCGAGTTGATGTACCCGGCCACTCAACACCCGCACCCAAGATTCTTCATGGCAGGGGCTACTTCTCTGCACTGGGCTCGGTGAGGCGCAAACCATCTCGCCCAGATGCTCCGCCTAGCTTTTCAAAATCGTGTTCTGACAAAATCGCTTTGAAGCAATCGACGTCATTGCTCAGTTCAGTTACGTCTCTGCTCATCTCGCCTAAGAATGTTTACATCCGGTCCTTAGTGCTGCCATCCACGCAGTATTCCTCTATCGCTTGCACCAGAGCGTTTTCAGAGTCAGGTCGGCTGTATTCTTTGAAAGACAAGCAGTGGTATGGGGGCTACTCTTTTCGCCCCTTCGAAATTTTGACAGCAGACGTGGAATTCGTTTCCAGTCGGCGACAGCCATTAAATGTAGGCGAGAAGATCGTACCATCCAATACTGCGACATCCTGGACACCAAATCACGCGGAAACCTTGATCGGGGGGTCTCTACAAGGTAGAAAGCAATTCTCACTCAAAGGCGCCAGTCGGGTCTGCAAACGCCGCAGCTGGAAACTAGCACTTGAAATTGCCAAGATAGCTTCCGTCCAAGTTCCCAACATTGAAGAAGCCCTGAATGTGGGGAGTTATGCTTCATTGAAACAATCGGTGTTATTAAATGACAGGAGAGTCGTCAAGGCAGACGTGAGAGCAAGAGCTTTGAAAGGTTGGATTCAGAACGAAGGTGGCGAGAGTTTCGGGATTGATGGAGTCGTGGCCTGAAATGGCACATCTCGAAACCATATCTCCAGACTTGCTTCATTCTGTGCACTTCTGGATCGCGGCATTGGGCATCACTTGTAAGGCGAAGCCACTCGGTGACTCTTCTGGTAGCTCACCTGATGTTATTCTTTCCCGTATAACCGAGCCAAGACTCTCAGGGTCTCAATTGGGCCAAACGAGGGTACCATTGCGGCACAGCCACAAAGAGGTCATTGGCCCTCACGATACTTCAAGAAGTGATTCCCCCATCAATATAATATACACTTTTGAAATTACATGTTAAAATCGTATCTGACTATAATGCGACTAGTCAAAAACGCCCCACGGCCCCCTTGAGTTCAAAGCTCCGAAGGAAATGTCTTGGGACAGAGGACATGCTCGAGCTTTGCCGGATACTGAGGAAATTGGAAGACCTCCTGCATATCCAGCAGGAAATGAAGACAAGCCTCCTGCCTACTCAATAAGGCCGCCTTCATTGCCGGCGCCGGCTCACCATGCTCAATCTACTCGATATTCTCACACCACATCTGCTGGAAGTGCGCACATGCCTAAAACCATTCGACAAGCAAACCACAAAAGAAGACTGATTGATTGGTGCTATTGGTTTAAATGGATCTTCTTCGGTGCCTGTGTCTGTGCTGCAGTCTTCACCGGTTTATATGTAGGACTTGGTGTTGGAAAGGAAAAAAATCAGAGCGACCGTTCTTCAGTATATCCTCCAATTCGAAATGACACGCTTTCCAATGCGACAATATATGATCTCGCAGCAGCTGAGTGTGAGCCTGGCACTTTCATTCTACACCAAGACATGTTTGGCGATGTCTGGATCCGAGGCGAACTGCACAATTCGTTGGTGGCTGATACATTTTCTATGGCTCCCACGAAACTCTACTTTGCGGGTTCTCTATCGCCTCAAAAGCCAACAAATATAACTGCTGTATGTTGGCCACTGCCCAGCATTGATACTGTTGTAAGTTCCTACTATCACTTGGTACTCGGTAGTTGGAAGTGACTTTTGTTAATGTCTCAGCAACAGAGAGTAGCCCTTTACTTCGTCAGCCCATTTCCAGATCCCGCATTTAAGTATTCGATCATTGAAACTATCATCGACATCTACACCACAAACTTGACGCTTGTTGACTATCCGGCATTCTCGGATACACACCGAGCGATTATCAAGGTTCATACCGCGTCAACAGTCGCTGCAGTCATCCTTCCCAGCGAAGGCGTACGTTTATACTACTCCGAACTTCTCCCCGACAGCAAGAAAATTGGCGTCATGGAAGTTGCCAGAGGATGGCCCGAACCAACGGAGTATTTTGCTGGCGCATCACAGAACACACGCGATCTACATGCGAAGGCTTATCGAACGTGGTCTGCACTGACAGCGGCAGCTGTGGATAGGAATGATGGCACAACTCCTGTTGAAGTCCATGTGTTTTTTGTGGATAACAAATCGAGGCTATCCAGGGTCGTTCGGAAGGGTGCTGAGACGTGGCCCGGTAAGTCAAGGACTTCCCAGCAGCATATGCACTTCTACGCATTAAAGGAGTAGATACTAACTCAGAATCTAGCACAACCCTTAGCTCAGTACTCCACTGCCGGGGCCTCGGAAATCAAGATTCAGAAAATGATCGCCATAATGCCCCACATTACGAATGGCCACCCCGAACCCGACCTCTTCTTCATCAATAACAACCGAGTGACCGATATCTTCGGCAACCCTAATCCTCCTACAGGCGAGGACATCTCCGAAGCTTCGTTAGTCTATATCACAGCACCTAGAGTTGTTGGCGGCGACGTTCCCGGCCCTACCAGCATCCCCCAAGCTGTACAGTATCCGTCGCTATTAGCTGTGACGTGCTGGAACTTCAATGACAATCGTACGATGGGTCTAGGTACTCGAAAATCGCCCAGTGTACCGAGCAGAGAACGCTTGCAGTTGTTCTATCTGAAGCAAAGTGCTACTTGGTATGATAAAGGAAAGACATACGAGAATGTACAGAGTCTGGGGCAGGGGATCGTGAAAGTTACAGCAAGAAGTGATCCTTACCTAGGATACTCCTGGAATTTGAACGAAGTGGCAAATGGGACGCGGTGACTGCGCTATTAATTGTGGCACTGAGATAGTTGTGCTGGCAGGAGAGCTAATGAGGCTGATGTGTCCTCTGGCAAGAAGAACAAGACTTAATGATAATTATCAGTATCCTCACTGTTAAGCTAGGATGCATCTACTCAAATAATCACACCTCTTTTCGAATTGAAACACGCCCAAATTTTATCGTCCTACGAAAAGTTTATACGCCTAGTGTAGGGTTACAACAAACGATAGGTCGACTCGCTTAGCATTGTTGACAAATATTGAGCATTTGTTTGGTGGGCTGGCAACGCCCAGGAAATTCTGCGTTTCGCCAAAGATATCAACAAAGCTTATGAATCCCACATAGGAGCTGTCCATGTTATCAGAGACACCCACATGGAGCTCTGTTTCTCATCCCGTCGTCATCCCGTCGTCCTGTGATGTATTCGTTAGGGTTTATTCGACGTCATCATGCTCAAACAAATGCAGATCATCTTCTGAGCTCTCACATTTGATAACAGAAACTGGGTACACGCCAATGTCAACAGAGAAGTTGCAGATTTTGCCAGGAAGTGGAACGACAATGATCAAGACATAAACGAGCTAGTGGAGGGAAATGCCAGGCGTAGGAGATTTTCATTTGGTCTTCCTAGCTAAGATACGCGAAAAAGGCAGAAGACCATCTTTCCCCTATTCTTAATTAACACCGAGCTTGTACCAACCGATGTCGCTCCAATATTGTCGGGTCCTAAAATGGTGATGACAAGTGGAAGGACAATTCCGCCTATCGCTTCTCCAAAGATATTCTCGAAGTGGCCTGCTAATATGACGGCTGAAAGAGTGGAAATCCTCTTTGGAGACTACGAGGAGTTAGGCTATGTTGGTGAGGGTGCAGTCAGCTGAAACCAGGGGGAATGCTGTTGTTGCAGCGACTCGTAGCGTTGGGTCTGGGTTCAGACCTCATAAACGACTTGATATGCTCTGCTATAGCCTCAAAAACAGTAAAGAAACAGTGAGACGGATGTTGGTGTATTCGTAGGACTGGTTTGCGGACCAGATTATATAATCAGTCGTGCTTCTCATCTGTGGCAGTCTTTGTCTCCAATGTTGCTACTGGGAACATGCATAGGGTAATTTCAAATAAAACGCTCACCAAAAGCAGAACTACCGCAACTACAATCTGTTGCATACACTCTGTGTCTAAAGGCTCTAGATTTAGTCTATGCGTCTAGCTTCAACTTCTCTAACAAGTTGTCGATTTTTCCAAGTAGAACTTGGTAATTCACAGCATCAGCAGCGAACTCATCACCTGCCACTTCTCCGTCCAAGGTTCTAATTTCGCCATTCATGAAAGGGCTAGAAGCAAAATCGAGAGCTTTGCCTGGTGGGGAGCTTATATCAACAGCCTCATCCGGATTCTGAGATTCACTGGACAATTCTTCGGTATCGTCAGTCTCATTTTCATCCATCATATCCTCGAGTCCCGAGTCCTCAAATCGTAATCGAAATCGATCAGATAGGTAGTGCCGAATGCTAAGATAAGGTAAGTATCGTCTAGACATCGAGATAAATCCCACTTACTCGTCCAAAAGTTCAATTGTATCTGTTTCCTGTCGATTTTGAATCCTGGAGGCACTCTCCTTGATCAAGTCCTCAAACTCTTGCTCGTCGATATAGTCTTCCAACCGAAATGCTAAATATCTTGCACTAAATTCCTCCAATCGTTGAACCTTAAGATCCCAGGCTGCTCGAATCACATCATACACATTAATTGGCTCAACCTCAACTGCCTGATCTTGACCAGCTTCAGTATGTGTCCGATCCGGCAGTCCTCCACTACCCATGCCTACAGTACTGATGACAGTCGCGGCTTTTGCTTTCAGTTTCTCGATGAGTAGCATATCGGCAACAAAGAGAACATCCAGCGCCAGTTCGATGGGTATATGGGTTTGCTCAGTATAAATAAAATTCAAGACAACCTCCAGCACCTCTGGTGTACAGTCGACCTATAGATGCTCCTTTAGTATATCTCACGCTACAGTCATTGGCAAGGCGCCTAGTCTCGACACCCAATCTAGCAATGAATGGATTTGCCACGAATGGATTTGCGGGGTTAGATAGAAATGCCCACCTTGATAATTTGGAGGTATTCCGTAACCTGTGCCTCCTTGAATGACGAGGCAAACATAGTCTGGAAATACTCGGACCTCAACAACATCGCTCGATGGCATGGAAATAGGACCGCTTGCTTTGATTTCCTAGTCGCCGAAGGAGATCGTGAAGTTGCAAATGGCCCAATAGGAATGCCATTTAAAGGTCCAAGCGTGTTCCTCAATTTCGGTGTTTCTTCACCAGAACTTGACTCGTTGGATCCTTCCTCGTCTGCGCGAAGCAATACATCTGCGAAAATGCTATTATCTCTTGTCCACTTCACGTCGTTTGCTTTGCTTGAGTCCACGTTGATTTTGTGCTTCAAAACATTATTCCGGTACCATGTCTCAATTTGATCTCGACCTCGTGTGACTTCGTCCTGATGTCTCTGCCTCGCAATTCGTCTATCACTTCCTGCCAATAACCCTTCCCAGAGAGATTCGATCTCTAATTGTTTGCTAACTTTATCAATGCCTTTCAGAACCTCTTCTTCTGTGACGAAGCTCTTGTTGCTCAAGCCAAGGTCTGCGGGTACGTCTCCAAGGTATAAGTACCGTAAAGCAATGTGGAAAGCCTCAGGTGGTATTGTGTTCGCCAATTTCCAAATTGTTGTTTCCGGTGCAGTTGTGAGCTTCTTAGTAAAGTATGGTGAGCGAGCAGAAAGGATGAATTTATGAAGATTCCACTTTTCTGAACCTGCCGTGAGGCAGATATCGGAGGTGTTGGGTGTCTGTCGAGTGAGGAGCGTGGTAACATGTGAGGCTAAAGGCTGCAGAGGATCGCTACTTTTAGAATAGTCATATTCCAGTAGAAGATTTCGAATCCGATTATTGAGGGCATTGTACAGGCATCGCTCGCCTTGGAAGGTATCTCGTTCGCAGAGTGCACCAGCTTCGAGGAGAAACTGGACTACTTCGTAATGTCCACAAAGACTGGCCTAAGAGCACCATATGAGTGAGGTATGTTCACGTAAAAGGCCTTTGACCGCCAGTCTCCTACAGGACTCACCAGTATCAAGGGCGTATAATCAAAAACATCTCGGGCGTTAATGTTAACTCCGGAAGCAACAGCTTCCTGGCAACCCTTCAAATCTCCAATCCGACAAGCGTCGCAGAGTTTCCGGAAGCTGTAAAACTGCTGTTAGCAGATACTCGGCCTACTTGACATTGGCATTCACTGAAAGTATATCCGGCCATCAAGGAATGTTCAAGTTAGCTTCAGGACATTGGACTGGGGACCTACTCATTACTGACGTCAAGAGGGCTGTCGTCCTTGAGCACTCCATCTCTGATAAGTTGATGTTCATCCTTGAGCTGGACTTCTAGCTCGTCTTTCCGAAGTACCATCTTTCTCGATGCAAAATATTCGGCGCAATGAACTGTGGTTTCCCCAGCTTCAAGAAGTTCAAGCAAATCTCGAAGAGTACTGGAAATGGCGGGGACATTTATTAAATGCTTATCGATTAGCCATGTCGCCACTCCAAGCCCTGCCAAGCTACAGGGGAGCTCGCTGGCGGAAGAATATCGGGCGTTGCCGGGGGCAACCAAACCTGTCCTTGTTGACACCACAAAGTTGGTCGCGAGCGAACTTCAGAATCCGTGGATCAGGTATTAACGACAAACGACGACGATTACAACAACAATCCGACCCGGACCGGAATTACATAGCCAAATACTCGCTCGCTCATGGCACTGACTTTTTCGTCTCTTTGTTAACCAATACAATCCAGAACATCGCATCTGGAATCATGTCTGAAGGAGAGAAGTATGAGGTGCTTGAGAAGATCGGTCGGTTTTTCAATGCGCTGATGCGTCGCAAGAACTAACGGACCTTAGGACATGGATCATTCGGAGTGATCAGAAAGGTACGAAGGAAGCAGGACGGCCAGGTGCTCTGTCGCAAGGAGATCAACTATGTACGGATGTCGCAAAAAGAGCGAGAGCAACTTCACGCCGAGTTTGCGATTCTTTCTTCGCTTCGCCATCCCAACATCGTCGGATACTACCACCGAGAGCATTTGAAGTCTACTCAGGACCTTCATCTATACATGGAATACTGTGGAAATGGAGATCTGGGGCGGGTGATCAAGGACCTTCAGCTCAAGAAACAACTGGCAGAAGAGGGGTTCGTCTGGAGCATGTTCGCACAACTCGTTACGGCATTATACCGATGTCACTACGGTGTTGATCCCCCTGAAGTGGGGAGTAATGTCATGGGTTTGGGCAACTCAGCAAATCCCAAACCACCTGCTAGCAATGTTATGATTCTGCATCGCGACTTGAAGCCAGAGAATGGTAAGTGCTTTGATAATGGTACTCAGAATCCTTTCTGACATGAATAGTATTCCTCGGCGAAGATAACTCTGTCAAACTTGGAGACTTTGGACTCTCCAAAATTATGGCCTCGCACGACTTTGCTTCCACATACGTTGGCACTCCATTCTACATGTCCCCTGAGATATGCGCCGCAGAGCGATACACTCTCAAATCCGATATCTGGTCACTGGGTTGTATCATCTACGAATTATGCTCCCGGGAACCGCCCTTCAACGCCAAGTCGCACTTTCAGTTAGTGCAAAAGATCAAGGAGGGAAAGGTCGCACCATTACCAGCAGTCTACTCGCCAGAGCTGAACGCAGTCATTAAAGATTGCTTGAGGGTTAATCCTGATCGACGGCCAGATACTGCCACATTACTTAACCTTCCCGTCGTTAAGCTGATGAGAAAGGAAAAGGAAGTTGTGGAGCTCGGGAGAATGCTGAAAAATAAGGAAGAATTGGCAGCGAGGAGACTACAAGATGCTGAGAATAGGCTGCGCAATGTCGAAGCTGAGAAGGCACAGATGCGCCAAGAAATCGAGTCTACTGTTCGAAGGGAGTGGGAAGTTAAAGCACAACTGGAGATCAATCGCCTCGTCCAAGTGGAAATCGAGAGGCTGCAGAAGAAATTCGACCATGAGGTACAAGAAAAAGTGGAACATGAGGTACAAAAGCGATCAAGTACAAACAGTCGCTCCTCTGCCAAGGAAATTTCTGGATCAGGGATATTGGACGTGAACGATATTCCACTATCGTCTGTCAGCTCGAATGGGGGTGACGATTTCCCGAACTCCACGGATTTGACGGACCTGTCGATCGACTCTCCTGAGCCAAACAAGGCGCTCAAGAAAAGTGCTCGAACTCCCTTTGGTCGAGCTCAAACGATGTTTGCTGGCACGCCAATGGACATTGAAATGGCCGAGCCATCACCAATTTCCATTGCCTCATTATCATTGTCACCTCGTCGCGCGGGCGCCACAAAAGCGCCCAGCACGGGACGCAACATATTCGCTGCTGCCGCCGGAGCTGAAGCTCGCTGGCAGCCGACCCTTCTCACTTCCGATGAATCAGATGATGAGGATCTCCCACCAATGTCTTCACCAACTAGACAAAAGTCTACAAAAAACCCCTTCAAATCCAATGGTGTCCGACCACCTTTGATTTCCCAAAGGACTGCACCGATTCAGAAACAGGTCTCACAGCCTAGCATCTTCGCTGCAGGAAAAGCCAACACAGCTCCGTCATTACCTACACTTTCCAGCGCACCAGACCTCCGACCACAATCGAGCCAGGCTGCCCTTCGAGAACGAAGCAACTCACCGAATCGGAGGCTCTCCAAGATCCCGTCCTCGACCAATCTCTTGTCTCATGAAAACGCACCAACCTCGCCACAGCGGAAGACCAGTTTGACAAAGAAGGCTGTTGGTGGTGATGACCTGACCAAGATGGCAGTCAAGAACAACATGGCCATCAAAGCAACTAGTTCAAGCAATCTTGCGCCTAAAGGTCGAACCCTCGTCGAACTAGCACAAGCCCGAGCAGGTGGCCGACCTATCTCAGAACTTCCGGACGGAAACAGAAGTCCCGAGCCAAAGGGTCGTGCATTCGCGGCTCGGATGGCGGAACGAGCAGGAGACCCAATGGTCTGGGATCCAGAACGAGATGAGATGCCCAGTCCATTCTTAGTGCGGACTCGACAGCCAATACGAAGATTGTAAAGAATTGCAGATAATGAACGTGATGATTACCTTTTAATCATTGGATAGATGGGGCAAATAGGGCTGGGATTAGGAGATGGAGATGGACACATTACACAGGTCTACCGTGTACCTTTCTTTTGTCAGAACAAACACCATTGCATACACGGGTTATTGGGAGCAAAATATGCCTACCTGGGTACTCTGCTCCTCGAGAGTAGGGAGGAGTTGCGGTGTAGTGGCGTTGGTTGGATACGGGGTGCGTTTCTATCCTTTTTAGTCAGCTGGGTTGGGATATGCTGTATTTTACCTGGTTGCGAACTGGTTGCTTGGTTGGTCGGGGTTCGGTTAGCAGTACGCTGTGTGGGAGTGTGATTACCTCTTGTGATTAACATAGACCCATACCGGAATTGGAAACCAAAACAAACTCACACACCCACACTCAACGTCGCGCTTGTACTTGTACTCTTACTTGATATGCCATCCAGTGTTCCTACAAGCTCTCGTGATCAAAAGAAGCCTTCCAGGTTCTGAGCTAAGCGAGGAATTCAAAAACAAAACACCACCAGCATAGAAAACAAAAAAAAAAGTGAGAAGCAAAAACTTAAAACTTAACAACCCTCATACGCAACGCGCATATTCAATTGATGTACAACATCCACAGCGAAGATCGAATAGTTTCAGATCTGTTTCTTATTATCCCTTTTGCTCGTAACTTAGCACCGATTCGTGACTATTTCCTCTTTACGTATTTATAACAATAGAAAATATACTATCTCATGTATCTGTTTCTTTAATAAAGAGTAGTGGGAACGCCGTAGACCCTGAAAACCTCGTGGGAAAACAAAGTAGTATCTAAAAGCGAGAGTTTCGACTCTCACCTCAGAGCTGTCTCCACCCCCCTGTTTACCCCCTTGTTTTCGTCGATATTCGCTGTGGAGGCTGTGTAGAGATTCTGTAAAATGAAAAGTAGAACAATTCCGTTCTCGTCTAAAACGGCAAAACTTATAGACCGATCGCAATGAGGCGGAATTTCTAGGAGATCCGACCGGGAAGCGACTAGTCTGTTAGAAACCATAAGCTTGTTATGATTTTAGAGAGGCATCACCGTGACGTAGAACGCGGGTGCTTGTACACGACAGGAAACTCATTATTCTATTAGATGTAGCTGGTAGTTGCGGCTTTTGTTTGAGCACAGAGGATCAAGGGGTAGAGTGAATGAACAGGTGAAGGTGAGAGGACGAAGGAGTATGTGAGAAGCGAGGAATACAGCGGTACATGAGCAAGGTGATGAATCTTATGATGCAATAGCATTAGCCATCATTCGAAACAGAAAAGAAAATAAAGCATGCCGAGACAATATGTCATATCACATTCGAGACGTTGTATTCATATGCTCAACAGGTCACAGAATCTGGAACCAGCACAAGAGACCAAAGCAAAACAATCCAGGGGCAACAAACAGCACCCAGGATTCGGCAAATGCAGGCTACCGACATCTCGGTTTTTAACCTCGGAGGCTCAGTTCGCTCTTTGAATCAGAACAGGCTGCAATATCGTTAGGAGATCCTGACACCTCTTTTTTCAAGATAGACAGGGCTTCACAGGTATGTCTGTGCCTGGTCAGATGAGGCAGCGGATTCAGATGACGGAAGTAATTGTGAAAAGCTCTTTGTAGCGAGGCAATGTAATCATGGCTAAGGAGAATGCAGTTGATTTTAAATCATTCGGAGGCTAAGATGAATGGTATCAAGGTAGCAAAGCACGAGAGCAAAGACTTCAACAGAGGCAGACAGGCGCGGAAATCATCATTATCATTTCAAAACTCCGACCCGCTTGCACAATGCATAGCAATGATATCCTCCCACTCTGAGCCCAAGTTAGCTCCTAAACACCACCCGCACTCAAATCAAAAGTCCTCACTAGGCTCATCATCATATTCATTTGCTCCTTCCCGATCCTCAAACCGCATAAAGGTTGCTTGATCCACATCACCAACGATACTCTTCCACTCAGCCTCGACATCATGGAGTACCTCATCATTGAATGCCAAATCCAGAGATACATCAGATGGCTCGGAGTTCGCACTTTTCGAGCCTTGTTCTTGCTCATAGTAGAGAGTGTACAGAAGTTCTGCATTATCTTCGCTAGACTTGATGAAGGTCGAAACAGCGCTTTCGAGAAGCTTCTTGCCATGTTCTGAGTATAACATCGTGACATAGAGAACACCTGACTGATGGTTAGTCATCTTGCTTCCATACGAATTTCGAAAGAAATAATTGAAAAGTGAGGAGCATCATCAGTATGTCAGAGGTAGTTATCGTCAAGAAAATTCAGACAATGTAGATAAGTATTCATAAGTTGAATCATCATGTAATGCATTGAGGGTAGGGAACGAATGGAAGAAATGAATACTAACATTGTCCATTTGGGCATTCTCCTGTTTCGCTGGAGTGTACCATTATGTAGATCGGACTGGGTTGAGGCACCGTATCGACGGTGAGAGAGTTGGGTGAAATGACCACGACGGATACTGCAGCTAGTGGAGCACCTTCGACGGAACTTTGGAATAGAGAGCTCAGAGGCGATGATACCACGGCAATGACCTTGGACACAGACTTCGCATTTGTAGACAATGTGTAGGACATTTTGACCAAATGCTGTGTTGTGACGACCTCCCCATTGGAAAGATGCACCTGTGTGCGCTGCTCAGTGTCCTCGGGAACAGAAGAGCTCTTCACCCCTGTTCCAAGAACATAGACGCCCCCTCCAACAGCTCCAGCTCGACAAGAAACTTGTGATATCTCGGCACCGCCACCCCACTTTGGTACGACAGCTCCGAAACCAGGTCCGAAGACACCGAGCGACGAGAGATGTCGAGATATCCGCGGCAGTGCCCACCTGACCGAAGTCACATCAGGCGGGTCCAACGACAAAGTCAGAGCTGCAATTACCGTCTGCAGGCTTGAAGGAAGCTGAAACTGCGACGAGAGGAACTCTGCCAGCCCACTATCACCGTGGGGCTGCCAGGTCTCGGGTTGGTTCTCGAAGTCAACTACAAATTTCAAGAACTTCATCAAGCTCCGCTTCGCGCGATTATCGATGCTCTTGTCCTGAAAGATATCTTCTCGCCCATTTGGTAGTCGTTTCAATGTGTTTCCACCTTCACCGTCGAGTATCCACCAGTTTCCGACTGCTTGGAACTCCAGCTGGCGATAGACTTTTGACGACACAAGTTGCGCTAGGAGCTTTGACTTGGTGTAGATGATATGTGGAGAGAGTGTGAGGGTGTATGCTCTTGAGAAGGACAGCTTGCCTGCTGCATTCAAAGGCCCGGCATCTGTCTTCCACAGCGAGGCATTTCGAAAAGGTTTAAAGTACTCTACCTCTGTCAGCTCAGATCACAGGCGTCGACGGCGCATCACATACCTCTATTGACCTTCTCTACCCACTCGTCAACCTCCTGCAAGCTGAAAGCAGCTTCGGCACCGCCATAATATTCATTCTGGTCGACGTGAAGGACCTTCTTATCGGAACGGGACAGGGCTCTTCATGAATAGCTAGGTCAGTCAGAGATGATCCATGGCTGTTTTGCGCGACGGAGTCGGAAGCTCACAAGGCAAGCAGAGAGTGCTGTAATCCTGTGCCAGATATCACAACATCCCATCTGGTTTCGCTGAGAGATTCCATTGTGGGAAGGAAGGTCGCGAGAGAAAATATATAGGAAGAGCGGGTCAAGAACGAAATTGATGTTGTTAGCCTCGATCTATGCCAAACTGGGTCTAGCGTTTCAATGTGGATAACTTCGAATTTCTTCTGGCCGAAAAACTTCTGGTTCTTCATCCGCCCGACCACCTTCACAATTCTGCCTTACAATAGAGACTTGTGTGTGTGAGACACCTTTCATTAGGCTTCTCAGTGTTGGACGGCAGACCAATCAAGCTTCCCGTATCTACTACTCTAGAATCACAGATCTGAAAGAGTAGTTCGAAGTGGATGATACATCTCAAAAGGAAATAGAACAAGGAGATTTAGATGATCTCAAGACTCGTGTCTCGAATTTGAAAATTTTTCACAGCGTCACTACGAGTTGACTGGACGGAGATTGGAGATGGAGGGTGGCTGTCTTTCATACCACTCTACCGTTCTCAATTGGGACCACCCGATTTTGTACTGCCTTGATTTCACTCAAATTCCTCAAATCTCAGCGCATGTGATATTCGTTGCAATGCCACAAGGCCAGCTCTGAGGCCCAAATACGGGTCTGAAGCTACGAATCCAGGATATCTCATGCCAAAATATTGCGTATTACCAATATTTGTCCGTCTTTAGCTCTTCCAATAGTCAAGCGTTAAAGTTGCTTCAGCCGTCTTGGAGTTTGTATGGTCACCAGTCAATATGAGATAGAGTATGTTCGTCTATAAGAGAGGATTCATTTCAGGTCATCTCTCAATTGGATTCATTCCATAATTAACAAATATAGGTATTTCCCCATCCAATCCTGAACTCCCACCCAAAGAGATATCCAACCGTCGCTCAAATAGCATAATTCTCGGTATGTAAGAAAATCTCATCTTTGCTATCATCACCCCAAATATCCGCCTGTAGTCTTGCAACCGTGTTTGCAACATCAACTCTCATACTCGGTGGTCCACACACAAAGACACACGTCCTCCTCCCGAAGATACCTTTCCCATCCGCACCTCCAGTCGCCATGTCCTTCAACATGTACCCGAGATCCGGACGGCCGTATTCTGTCGACCAGCCCTCCTTTTTCTTGGCTCCGACAAAAGCAAACCGCATCAAATTCTTCTGGAACTCGGTTGGTGTCGTGGGGAAGCCGAAGTCGAAGGTTGAGGAGGCGGTCTTGGTGGGGATTTGGATTTGGAGATCCGCGGACTTTTGGCGCGTGTGCGCTGGTTCAGGGTAAGTTGGGGCTGTTGGAGGAGGGGCGAATGCGGATTGTGGTGGTGGGAAGGGTTCTGAGGGAAGGTAGGAAGCTGGCCTCGAGTCCGAGGACATGTACGAAGCTGGTCTGTATGCGTTGGGAGGTGGCCCTGGAGGTGGCGGTGGGTAGTTCTGCGGGTTGTACGTGCTGTTGCTGAGTCGGTTTGGCGATGGAGGCGCAAATTGGAAGTGTGGTGCATCATGCCGGGGAGATGGTGCTGGGAAATGGAAATCTCCTGGGCGGGACGATGGTGAGTGAAATTTATGGGTTGCTTCGTGGCTATCGGCTTCAGAGCCAAGCATAGAGTTTCTCTTCTCTTTGCCTTCAAGCTTCTTGAGAGCATTCTCCCGGAGTGCTTTTTTGGGCGGAGGAGGGAAGAATGTTGTGGGTGGAGGTGGGAACACCTTGTGTTGCAAATGCTTCTGTTGTGGGAGGGATGTAATTGCATCCTCGTCTTCCTGTCGAAGTTCTCTCTCTCGCTCCTCGTCTCCCTGAGCTTCGTCTCGGATAAATTGCGAGTTTCTCTTCGATGCGATTCCGGCCACGAAGCCATCTAGCTTATCATGGAAGATTGTGCTAATTGGCCTTGGTGCCCTCTCGCTCATTCCGACTCTCGACTGCCTCTTGGCTGCTGTGACGTAGAATTGGCATGTTACAGTGTCCGGAGGAGCATATTCTCTGCAAATCCGGAGCTCTTCTCTGAACCAGTCCATTGCCTCCAGTCTCTTCAGAGCCCAGACAACCTCGATCTTCTTCGTTACCGCCTTCCCGTCTCTCATTCTCTTGATGAGATTCAAGAGTTGCGAGACAATGGCTGTGATACCACTGCCACCAGCAAAAAGAATGACTGTGTCGAATGCAGCTAGTTCTCGTTGCATACCACCGTATGGTCCTTCGAGGTACGCACGATATGTCTTGAATGGTCCTTTCTCAATGGCTGTTTCAAGAACCCTCCTTGTAAAGCCTCCGAATGGTCGGAAGACAAGCGTGCAATCTCTGTACAAATCCCCGTATTCTGAAGGGAAGTCCTCGCTACACAGCGACGAAATCGTAAACGGATGGTTCTCGAAGACTGAGATGCCAGGCATTCTCAAGTACACATATTGTCCTGGTCTCCACGTCATTTGAGTTGGAATGGTGACCTTAATGGCATTCTCGGCCATAAGCGTGACAGCCGCCTCGTCGCCAATAAGCCAAGCGTTTCTCCATGGCTTCATCCAGTTCAAGTTGAATACTCGTACAAAGTATGAGAGGACCCAGATGGCAACAGTGGCATACAAGTAATCCCATGAGGTGAGATAATTTTTGCAGTGCCAGAAAAGGAGTCCGACATAAGCCACTGCTACTGGAATATGTAGCATGACGAAGAGCTCGTACGCAAGCGATCGCAAGAATGGTAGCGAGGCAATACAGAGCCACCCCAGGGGTACGAGGCATGCAATTCCGGTACCGTAGATAATTCCACTGCCAGAAGGGAAGAGCTTTGAATAAACATCCATCCCACCATCTTCCCAAACGGGCTGAACGTAAAATGGAATGGCATGGACTAAGGACAAGAAGAGACATAGATATCCGCCCCATCTGTGAAAGACGCCGAGTCTCTCATGACCAATTCCTGTAACCATCGTGATGAGATTCGCTTTCATGCTTGTTGCAACGATCCATGGTGTCATTGCAATTGCGATCATGCCAGCCCGAATTGCGAGAGGTGGGGAGCCATATTGGATGCTTTGCCAGTAAAGCGGTTGTGGTAAGAAGCAGTATAACGTCACAAACGCTGTTGCGATGACCAGAATAGCAATAACAGCCAGAGATGGGAAGCTGAGAATTGTCCTCTTCTTCCACTTGACCTCAGCAACCGGCCGGTAAAAGATCCATCTGAATAGAGCCAGGGTATCGTTGACCACGCCGAATGATGACCAATGCGATTGGCCTCTGGTCAGAACGAAAGACTTTTCCTCGGCGTCTCGAGGGAAAAGTTGCTGTGCGGTTCCTCCTGTCTCAATATTTCCCATCGCGTAATCCGCATCGGGCGAATAGGTCACCATATGTTGTTCCACCTCATGCTTGTGCATCGCTTGTCTGATCTTGTCGGTCCAGAGATGGTAGCATCTTGTGATACCCACGAGCACGACCAGTACTACACAGAAGTAGGTCCATCCCAAAGCGTACTTCCCAGACTCTTTCCACGGATCGACAGTGTTTGCTTCGATTAAACCGGGAGGACTCGTGGGTGTTAAGGGGATGTTTATCCGTTTCGCAAGCCCTGCCAGTGTCTGGGAACCAGCCCTCACTGCAGAAATATCTCCAGATTTGAACATCGTCACAATTGCTGCTTTCTCTTCACAGATGTTCTATCTGAAAGAGATTTTGGGGTCCGTGGCAAGTGATAAGTGCCGGCAGTCTGAGACTTTGTTGTCAGCTTACTGCAGCGTTAAATGTAACCTTAAGCTTCACACCTCTAAAACAATCGGACAAATCGGAGATAAACAAATTAAACAACTCGTTCCATTGAGCTTCCAATGATTCGTTCGCGAAATGGAAGATATGCAGATGCGCTCAAAATTACAGTCAAGCGTTCGACGAGCAGCGATTCGAGGAATACCAGACTCCCCAATTAATACAATTTCATAGAGAGCGAATATCGACAAGTGAGCGCACAAGAAATGAAGACTGGAAAATGACACGCACAAATCCAAAGAGGGGGTCGCACACGGATAAAGAGGCGATGGTCGAATATGTAGTGCGGTGGTCGATGAGGTGTGGGGGAATGGAGCTATCGAGGCCGACTTCGAGTACCACGGCCCTTCGGACCAAGTTCCTGCAGGTGAAGGCCAGGCCGTCACCCCAACCGCTGGATCTATTGCTTTGATCGATAGGATATGCCTGTCAAAATTTATGAAGGTCCGAAAGCACCAGTCAGATTGAATTGGCGTTCTGAGGAACCAGCAGAACGTGGTTGAGAGCTAGAAATGGTGGGTAGCCGGCGGTTCAGGGCGAGTCTATATTGGTCTTGTGTTTCCCTGGACCCCAACTCCGAATGCCTGTCTTATCGAGGCACTAGTTCTGTAGCTGCCGTTATCGCGCATGTAAGTCACAGGGTGTGCGGATTTCCAGGACGTGCGTACATATGTTCAGTTGAACCTCGTCTGTGCAATCGAAGAAAGCGAAAGTGAGTCGTTTGGCTTCAGAAGTTGATGACAACGAAGACAGCCAGTACGGGGGCGAAAATTGACACAAACAGTCTTTTGAAAGCTTTGGAAAGGAGCTTTCCTGCAATTTCATGAGAGATTCTGGAGGCAAAATGGAAGACAATATGGTGGAAGCGAGTGGTCGGTTGAATGGCTTGGCCAGTGTAGATGAGGAATAGCGGATGTTTGTCTCACTTCCAACATAGCGAATCAGAGCTCATGCGCACACAGCAACGATGTGATGTCCTTGAGGCCATAGACCAATACGGTGACTTCGAGATGTTCTCGGTCTTTTCTGCGTGCAGGACGGGCGGTTATTGATTCGCCCAGTGCTCTTCGCTTAAGTCGGACCCTTGCAGAATTGACTGCAAAGGCGACGGACCGAAGCCGCCGAGCTCCCGCTCCACCCATTCAGATGCTTGACTCCAGATCAACGTGACCGCTCAGCTTGCGTTACCCAACATTCAGAAGCTCATGGGAAGGGACGAGTTGGAAGCTTTTACCGCTCTCTTTGCCATGGAGATTGACATTACCCGCAACATATGGAAGGATTTTATTGGCCTGACACAGCCACCACGAATGCGAGGTTGCAATCAGATAAACTGGAAGAGGCTCAGAGTCACATTGACACAGCTCCAGGGCGCTTTCATTCGAAGAAATTGCGAGCCAGCCGACCGCATTTGGCAGGAAGGGTTGGCAATGACTGGCAATGGCTTTGATCCAGACTCAAAGCATGATTCTTGGGGCTGCGCTTGCTATGGATGCACAGTTGACTAATAGCGACCTGAGAATGGAGTCAATAAAGTGTACAACACAGCGACTACGAACTCGAACAGTCGCGGTTCCTCATTTCTGAGATTTCGCCTGGACGTTGTTCGGTTCAACTCGTGGGATAAGAGGTCTGGGCAGCTTTCCAAAAGTGATGATTTTACGCGAATACCAACAAAACTTTCAAGCCACAAAGATTGTGCAAACTTGATTTCTTTCGCAAGCAGTCCAGTTCAAACGGAATGGACAGACGCAGCTCTCTACTCTATTCCACTAGAATACCGAGCTTCAAAGCCGATACGTAGCCAGTACTCCACCTTCAGTCGCACAAAGTCCTTGAGATGGTGCAAAATAGATGGAGTGCTTATCCCAGCCGAATTGGCTTGGATTCTTGAGAAGGATACTCTTGTGCCTGACAGAAGAAGGAAACTACCACTAAAGAAAATGCATCATGACAACAGTAGCGAAGTATACACTGTTTTCAGGGAACTACACTGTCAACGATAGTCACAGCCAAAAGCTACCACCTCGGTAAATTTCGTCAAACTGCAAAACTGTATGCTCAAGTATGGCATCAAATGCACTTTGGTGTAGTGAAAAGGAAACAAAAGCTGCTGTCGTCAACTTGAAGTTCCAGACGAATACTGGAAAACGTACTTGAAAGAGATGGTGGTTTGGGGTCGTCGTCAAAACTACAAAACAGAAAAACTGGTGACCAGCCACAGCCTTGTGAGACAGCCTTGCAGAGAACAGCTCCCCATTGGCCAGTTACCCTTGCATCCAACTTTAGCTCCCCTCTAAAATAATCGCGACTTCATCAAAGAATTTGCCCTGTCGAGCCTCGTACAACAATCCTAAATAATGGCTGCTACCGGCCCTCCTTCGACGCTTTCGTTTCCCAGGGAGACCTTCGCGAAACTCTCACCTCATCCGTACCTCCTTGCGCACCTCCAACCCTCCTCCTCAAGCACTCCTTCCACCCGCGCAAATGGCAGAACGCCCACTCAATTCCGAACCCCACACATCAACAATGGCTCTCTCACACACGCCGAAGGTAGCGCCGTGGTACGGATAGGAGACACGACGGTCGTATGCGGTGTCCGCGGAGAGATTCTGCTGGCGAGCAATGTTGCTGGGTACCGTGTTGATAAATTAGCAAATGCGCCGTCGTCGAGACCTGGATACAACGAGGCTAAGGAGCTGGATCTGCTGGTTCCGAATATCGAGTTAGCTACGGGATGTTCGCCGGCGTTCATGCCAGGTCAACCGCCCAGTACGTTGGCACAGAGCTTGAGTACAAGGATATACTCACTTCTGCATTCAAGTGGGTTGATTGATGGCGAGGACCTACGGATATGGTATCAGCCACCAGATCTTAGTGACCAAGATAGGATGGAGGAAGATGAGCCGGAAGAATTGGAACCAGAGGTCAAGGCGTTTTGGACCCTGTATATTGATATCCTGTTCATCTCTCTGGACGGAAACCCGTTCGATGCAGCTTGGGCGGCAGTTGTATCGGCTCTGAAGGATGTGCGCTTACCAAAGGCGTACTGGGATGCGGATCGGGAAATGATACTATGTGAGGATGCTGTATCGGAATCAAAAAAGCTGCAGCTCAGGGGACTGCCTATTGCTGTCACTACGCTGGTATTTAGGGCAAAGGAGCAGATCCAAGGACGGGATAAGAAGCATTGGATATTGGTAGACCCGGACACATTTGAAGAGGGATTGTGCGATGAGACAGTCACTGTGGTTGTGGATTGTGGGAACAAGAAGACGACAAAGTTGTTGGGAATATCCAAGTCAGGAGGCACGATCATCGGTCGTGACGAGATGAGTGAGCTTGTGAGTTTGGCGGAGAAGAGGTGGGCGGAACTGAACAAGCTCTTGGGACGATGATGGATCCTATGGGATGAGATATCCTTTATAATGCCTGACGAAGATTATGGTGGATGCCTGGAATATGTGCGGTGCAGTTGAAGACTGGACATATCGGGTCGCTTTGGATGAAGGTCGATCCAGAGAGCACCCAGCTACTTGGCGTTGCTGGAAGGAGTGATTGTCACAACGAATGTGCAGACTCTGGGGTACAACTGGCTCGGGCGATAGCATCAACTGGGCTGTTGAATGCTCAATCAAGCATCGCTTTTGATGAGACATGTCGTACATGACAAGAAATGTGGAAATATGGAGACCTTTCCATTCTACACCCTCTTTGTTCCTTCTGTGGAAACCTACTACTTCTCAAAGCGGCAGGGCATATTGATATACAGTTCCTGTGGATACATAATGACCAATATTCCTATCGAACCGAGGATGTCGAAATATTTTTCACACTACTGCTTGGTAGCCTTCAACTTACCGTTGCAGTGAATCATGCAATTGACTCAACCTTCGCTCCTAGAATTTATGCTATATACTTCTTTGTTGACATATATGCATGGATAGTGAGGTTCCGCAAGTCCAAGCTGTTGCTTTGGTTTCTCGCTTCCATCGTTTACGTCGTTTCCCTCGTGGAACTCCGACTTGCAACAAAAGGATCTCAATTCTGGCCAATGAACAATTAATCATAGGAGCTCCTCAGTGGGTGACAGTCTTGAGCTTGCGTGCTTCATTACGTTACTGAAATACAAACAGTTCGCTGTGACTCCGTGAGTATTTAGTTTGACGACTTGACGGAAAACTACTACCCGGATCCCGTGGACAGGTAGGTGGTACAAGCCATATATGCGAAACAATTGCCCGTGGGTGAAGAATTGATGAGTGGCGCGAGTGTATAGACTCCCATAATCACACCATGCGTGCTCTTCTGACTTATGCTTCTAGCCATATTTATCTCTTTCGGATGTAGCAATGCTTGATTCACCATTAATTCCCCAGTGAATGGTTTGAGAACGAGAGAGGCCTAATCAGGCTGAAAGTCAACTGCAGTCAAACCTCGTTCCTTATAGAAAATTTTATGGTCGTCTTATCCTGCTCGTCATTAATCCAGAGCTTCTTGATCTAATGCTCCTATAATTCCTATCAACTTCTTGTCAACTTTGGAAGTCAACCGAGAGATCAACCACCATTCAGCCTACCAAAGTCACCATCCAAACCAACCGGTCCTTCATTTATCACAACAATGCCCCGTCTCCCTCGAATCTCCCCCAAAGCCCTGGCCCCAACCTTCTTTTCCCTCATCTCTTTTATCCTCATCATCCTCTTAATGGCGATCGGCTCCTCACCCAGCTGGCAACCTTTCGCCTTAATATCTATCGACACAACCAGTCTCAAGGTGGCGTACTATACTGTCACTGGAGCTGGCCTACCAATCCACGACGCTTACAGTCTACATCTGCAGACGACGTGTGAGAGCTATCTATTTGAAATGCAGGAGAGCAGGAGGTTTGTGAGCGTAAGTTGCATGGAAAAGGGCACGGATGGTATGTTTGCATCATTCTCATGTCCTGAAGTCCAGAGCAGATCCGGAGAGACAAAGAGGTCATCTGGAGTGGAAAATTACCAAGGAAAGAAATGCTGACTATGAAGTACAGTCAAATTCGAACCTCTTACGCTAATCCAAAATGACCTTACCACGCATTTCAGTCGTCATACTGTTCAGTCTCTCCGTATCCCAGCTGCAATTCAGGAAATATTCACCAAGAGGTATAACGCCATTCTACACATAGCGTTTATAATCTACGTATTTGCTATCACATCGACCGGTATAGGGTTCCTGCTTGGTGGCGCCGCCGCTATGGATGTGAATGTGCCGGGAAAGGAGGGCATTTTAGGGCTCGGGAGTGCAGTAAGTTCTTCTCCGCATCGCCGTTCTCTCGCATTTGAACATGTCAATGAATGGAGCAAAGATTTTCGCGATGCCAATATTTCAAGTTTAGAAAGAGCACATGATTTTGAGTTCAAGCTCAGCTAAATCAAATCACCAGGCCTTGTCAACAATACTTCTCTTCGTGGCCTCCATCATGACAACCGTCATTCAATCCAACGCCACGTCACTTATCAACGCAGTCGGTGCTCCCATCGGCATCTCTGCCTTTCACGGATCTGGGTTTATGGCTTTGACGTGGTGTTCGTGTGTTGCGAGTCTGCTTGCGGCGGGTGCGTGGCTGGCAGTTGTACAGAGATAGGGCAGCAGTTCGAGACGGTGACAGATGAATGAGTGCTATTTAGGGTCAACAAAGGCGTGGGTGGCCCAAAACTAACATATATAGATTGAGGAAAATATAACATCCAAGATTGTATCCGGGACTTGCGTTGATGACATGTAAAACGGGTACAGCATCGTGGTGTATAGATTTCTCATCTTGGAGAGACAGGCTTCGGTGCAACAACTAAAAAGAGTGAAAATAATGAGACGCCGCACTCAAAGTACAGATTTTAAATGAAAGAGAAGAATAAATAAGCATCAACGGTGTCAAGGATCCAAGACTCAAATTTACGTGCTAGGTACTGTACATGGAATTTCTGATCACTAGCTGGAGCTGTTCATCCTAGATTCAATTTTGCATTATTATCTCATGTGGACTGATTCTTATTGGAGCTCGTTAAGTTACTTCCCTCGGTTTCGCTGCTTGTAGGTCCCTTGGGATCTTTGTTGACTTCGACCCACTCTCCTGTCCTTTTAAGCGAGGATGGAAAAGGGGCGGCTGGTGGCCGTCTTGTCCCCTTCTTCCTCTCAACATGATCAAAATAAAACAAAGACCAGGGTCTTCACCTGCCATTATGCTATTGACTTGTTTCAGTATATGCAACCTCAATCCAAACTACCTAGAAACAATGGTCCAGCAATCTCAATAATGTCTCTGCTCAAACCACCGTATGGTATTTTTATCTCTTCTCTGGAGTGGCTCATATTATATTAATGTCATCTCCCTGAGAAGCCATGATCTAAATAACTACGTTGCCAATGAGGGGCACCTGATAGCGCGTTAGGAATTTTCGTTGCCACATTTTGTTCTCTCTTGCCAAATAATTGAGGCAGTCGTCTCGATGGCTTACCCGAGCAGGAGATTCAGGTATTCACGTCCCTAGAAGAAGAATACAACGCGCATTTGGTAACGCGTTCTTATTTGTTACGACAGAAACGAGCTGTAATTGAAGCATCTGATCTGAACAAGTAACTTCTCGGGCGCGAGATATATCAGATGCGCTGTAAGCTGTCTGGTATATACCGAAAACCATCGGAAAAGGGACTGGGAAGAAACCTAGCCTTGAAAATTCATCAAACAACAGTCATTAAAGAACCAGTTTAGAGCCTGGAGTTAACAGTAAGCGCCCTAGCCTCCAAAGGTTTATTGTTTTCACACCAGTATCAGAAGAACTTACGGAAGGTTCTCATATACAGAGTCAAACTCCAAATCCTGAAATTGCAGCGCTCAACCCCTCCACAAATTGTCGCATCAGAACCACACGGCCGCATATGACAAGTACCTTTGATGCAAAGCAAACTCCTCTCAGCTTCTTCCTGTTCAACGTAGCATTATTTTACATCCCTAGTCCTTGGCCGCGTATCAGCCATTACTCTACCATGTCTACACACCGACCCAATTCTAGCTTCCCGCCGGCAATTGCAATTTGCATGTTTGAGCTCGTTTAGATGCCGCTTCAGGATATGCAGCTACTGCAGTTTCGATCATGACTTGGGTTGGACTTGCGTTTAGTGCTCTTTGGGAGAGCTGGTTACAGAATATGCGGGTTGCGTTGGGAAGAGGGGTCAGACTGACTCTTTGGAGTGTGGCATGCGGTGCGTGAGTCGATCTGCTTCGTGTCTGTGATGATTGCGTTTTTATTTGGGGGTTTCCCGATATCCTGAAGGCAGGCCATTGATTCCAGAAGGCGGGGTATCTGGGGTAAATGGTTGGCTTAAATACGTAGTGTGTAGAATGTTAGACATGGCGATCCTCTTTCGTGGACAGCTCATTGCTGACCTGTTAGTAATTAGTGGTGAAGGCTTTGATATGTGTATGCCTAGAGGAGGACGGCGTTGAAGATCTGGGTTTGATGTGATGGCAATGAATAAAACAGATGCACTGTGCGGCAGTTCTAATCTAGCAACTGAAATGTCAATCTTGATTAACAACATATCCATCGGTCCCGAAAGTGACTGTTGACGACAGAGATCATCCATCTTGCAGCCAGCGAAGATCCCATGTTTGGATCAACACTCACTGATGCTGATCTGCAACGCTTCAAATACAACGCTGTCTCGAAGCTATCACCAATGCCTCAGAACGCTATTTACTCTACCCTTACCTACGATTACAAACGGCAGACCTTGTGCTATAACCCCCTCGAGCAGAGTTCATACTCCCCCCCCCGGCTTGAATGTTAAATGTGAACTTCTGCGGGTCAGAGGCCTGGATTTCAAGTGCTGAGTGGTCAGAGGCCTTAGATATAGCCAGAAGCACGAGCTAGAATCAGGTCTGTTATAATAGCAAGGGTGCCTTTAGAAGGTTTGAGAGACACCTGAGCCTTGCTTAAGGCTGATTCTCTACTGAATTATTAGATAGACACCCCTAGTAGCTACCCACACAAGGTCTAGTTTTCTACACATTTAACATTCAAGCCGAGGGGGGGGGGATAGAGAGTAGCCATGTAGCACCCGTTCCATGGAACGACCTAGCGAAACTCTGCTCGTCAAGCAGTGTTTGTCCACATTTCTGTCAGGATCCTCAGATCTACAGATCCGAAAGTCAAGTCAACGAAACCAAACTAAAGAACAGAGGTCATACATATTCTTACCATGTGATGGGGTATTAAGCCGATCTTAACGTTCCTGTCACAGCTGTTGTGCGAGCGTGGAAGGACGAGACGACAGGTCATCATGCCTTTGAGATGTTTCTCCTGTCAGGACGTCATGCCATGTTTCATAGCAGAGTTATGGCACCGAAGCCAAGGTTGGAGTTACGATCTTGCTAAGAGCTTGGGGACTTGAAGCTTAGGCTCGGAGCAGTAGTCAGTGAGTTTCGTGTCTGCTTGAGAATGAGTACAGGGTCAGGCAGGATCTCTGTGCGCTCCTCCTTATGCGGAAGAGATGGTGGCGAAACACTTCAGAAGTATGCGATGATATGCCCGACGGAGAATATCTTCGTCGGGACTGTCAAAACAATCAGACGAGACACTTGGAAGAATGATGTTCGGGAAAAGACAAGTCCGGGCGGGCAAGGATTTGTGATGGAAGGAATAGCTCGAGTTGGCAGAGGCCCGTTGGCATTGGTAGGTGATGCTATTGATGTTTCGAAAGCTTGGACTTGGGGTTTCAGGTATTGGACAAGGTTGAGACGAATAGTGGTGATTGACACTGGTATCTTTAGACTATTCTGTCCACACCAAGATATCGTGCTGAGAATTGAGACGCTATATAATTGATGACGAGTTGAGACGGATAAAGTCCGAATGGTCGCTTGCGGACCACAAGCCCTACAAGCTCCCCGTCGAGATGTTCTCAACAAGAAAGGAACAAATCATGTGATACGATGTAACATCAAATTCCTGGCTGTGGGCATTCCACATGGGATCAGGGGATAAGTTTGCTGATCGCTCCTTGTTCGGGAAGATCATTTGTGGAAGACCGCGATGTTACTCAACGTCCAGAAAGAGAAGAGTTGCAATCTATGCATGTCCTTAAATCGTCTCTTCCTTGCCACGGATCCCCCAACAGGTGCCGTGCCATCCTAAAGCAATACATCGCATGTGCTCGGCTCCAAACTCACAAAAGTTCGGTCATTGTGGACGATCAAAGATATGTCCCGAGATGAAGACTCGTCACCCAGCCGGACCAAACATTCGTATGCAGCCTAAACTTCCGGCTCTCATCAGAAGAGGCTTTAAACTTTGCACCCCCTTCCATTTCTTCTGCTTAAACCCAGTAGCTGCATGGTCCAGAAAGCTCTGTTCAGACCTTAATCCGTGAAATCAAAGAATTACGGCCTGTGCTCCTAAGCGATGCCACCCTTTCCAAGCCACCAATACCTAAGACATTTAGGGATTCTAGGAGGGCAAGGAGGGTAAGGCGCGCGCTACTGCACCAAGAAACAAACCGCGCCTCTTACCCCCATACTGTCGTATGGCTTTTGACCACTCTCCACCACTGGAGCGAGATTCTGGCCTGTCTCATAGAAGCAAACAATGAAGTGATTTGGACTGCATGTACAAAGAGGAATAAGAAATTGCTCGTCAGGGTGCTACTATCTTTACACGGCTTTTGACCGAAAAGAGGAATGTCGACCGAAAAGTTGCTCAAAAGCATGATTTAGAGGTCGTTGGCACGTAAGTGCTGTAAGGAGGAGCAGGGTGGTATTAGGCGTAGGTGGAATGGTGTGCTTGACGGTAGCCGGCAAGACGGCTCAAGCAGAGGCCATGAACAGACACTGGTTTCTACCATAGGTACTTGCTGAGCTGCCCAAGACCACCACTTCGTCCCCATTCTGATGATATGCTCGAGGTTCTATGATTATGTTGGCTTTGCCTTTGCCACAGCAAATAGCCGAGCGGGGTGCAAAGTGGAATATGCCGAGAAGGTGACGACTGAGAACCTTGTTCTGTGGCAAGAACGGAGTGTACCCTGGGAATGAAACTTTGGTATGGCGGTTGAAGTATTGGCAATCGCCCACCGGTTGATTGAGGCCATCTTGTTTCTGCCTCTGAACAGAGTTCCTGTTTTTAGCAGGTAGAGAGCAGTCGGAGATCCTGAAGAAATAGACATCAAATGACGATTTGTGTTCGTATTAACCCAGGAAAGCTGCCAGAACCAGACACCGTTTTGAAGAAGTGGATACCATTTCCGTCCGTCTAATGCAGGTTTCCAGCAAAACAAGAACAATCGTCCGCAGGGGAGTTCTCCGGGAATCGTGATCGACAGAACCACCATAAGGTCCGAGTTTCAGGGGTCCTTGACTCGAGAATCCAACAGAGTTGGACGGGCAGCAGCGATGCCACGATGGCGATGCTGACCTCCTTTCGATCCAATCTCGCCGCAGCACACCTCAACGCCCCCACAATCACGCTGAAATCTCCGAATGGAATGTTCGCCAGTACCAATCCTGATTTGGAACTCCTTCTGCGGGCTGTGTGATCGTGTTGTTTCTAGTGGGAGAAAAAAACGGCTGCCAAAGTTTAGCAGCTCGGCTACGGCGCGCAGAGAAGGCATAGTAAATGGTGATATAGGCATGGTTCCAGGTGTGGAATCTGACGCTAGGAAACAGAGCTTCAACGGCGACACGCTCAGGTACTGAACGATGTGGATTGCCCTTCAACCTGTTGATTGCGTGTAAAATTTACAAAGAGTCCGAGAGCAATTTTCCCCTTCCTCTCCAAGCACCGGAGGGTTTCTTCTTTTGTTTGATATATCCATGGACGCGACGCTGGTGTGTCGATCGCAGGGTTTACGAGAGGTCAGAAATGGATCACTTCTGATGTCTGGATCGTCTGCTGATGAAAACAAGCCACTTGAAATATAGATGGGCACCAGGGCCCGTATTTTATCCGCATGGGAAGAAGGTCTGAACACTCGCTTGAAGATCCTCCAAATAATGAAGCCAAATCTGACCATGGAACCGGTAGACTCTGGCCAGGTCCCCCAGAAAAGGCTGACTGAAAGCTGACTCTCCACCAGATGATTTTGTCGGGAGATCGGCCACCCATCTGGCAAATGTTGCCGTTCCTTGATTCAAGAGGTGAGGCCTGAGATCCAATAAATGCAATAATGTTCCTTTCTGCCGTATCGAGATTACTTTGCGAAATTCGTGTGTAACCCCCCTCTTTAGTTCTGTGAGTGGGCATCTTATGTTTCCGAAGGTCACCCGGAACCACTGTCGTGGCCATGGGGTCTGACAAGGATACAAGACGAACCGTGCAGTGCGCAGGACCCGGTCTTAGGGACTCTGTGGTACTCTTTAATGATTATGTAGGGCTGGCAGTGAATAGATGAGGTTCCAGGACAGCATCACTGCCACGGAGATTTGCAGACTGTCAAATGCACATGATAGGGAGCTGTGTTCCGCAGCATGTAGTATCTCGGTACGAAATACTCCTGATGCTATGGTATGACGGTGAGTGTGTATAAGGAAACTTTGAGAGACGAAATGGCACTCTCATGTGAACATCAAGCTTCTTCCTTGTTTGGAAAGGGCCAGAAAGAAATCATGAGAATCCAGGGCGGTGACTCGTCGAATCTGATCTCCTTACATCCTCAAGAATTTTGACACCAATCAATAGCCTGATTTTATGCTAGCGGATGCTTGATGACGACAATAATCCGAGATGGCCCCTGAGAAGGTGCGCAGCTAAAGCACAGCACACACCTGAAATGGAAGCAAATCTCAACAAATTAGTTGTAAATCCCCTCCTGTGATATGATCTACAGATCTCTTAGGTTCCCACACCCTCTCCTAGAAGCGGGAGCTGTGTAAAATCAGCCATGAGGATCCAATTAATGATGAATAAGGACCGAGTGCGTGTAGGAGGGAGCAGGATCAAGATCGAAGCCCGCCACTCACCTGATCGTTGTACTGCAATAACGTACGGACGAAGAGCAATGGATTCATTTCCGAGAGCAGCAGACAATCAACACAGCCGCCCTAGATTGACCCTTGCTCAAAGCATGCATAGATTCCTTCCATGCCATGCCTATCGCCATGCACATGCGGCGTGGTAAGCCCACCATTCCAGCTTCTGATAAGGCTGGGTGCAGGCAGTAAGTGGTGCACAGCACTAAGACATACAGTGCCTTCAGTCGGCACTGGATTAGGGGCAACAATGGACGGCAGCAATGCAACTCTCTCTCGCTGACCAGCTGGCTGGCAGCTGTACCACGACTGCATGCGGAGTGATGCAGAGTCTTGAGGTCGCACTCGTGGGATGGGGACGGGACACAGGGATGAGATGTGATGGGGAGCTGTTGTGCTCTGGTTCGGAGCTCAGTAGTCGGGTCAAGGCATGGTGGCCTTGCATTGCCTTGTGTGGATAATAATGGATATGATGAGATGGATATCATGGGATGGAGGGGAGGGGAGAAGGAGGACAGCCCAGTGCCAGTCCAGTAGTGCCCGGTGCCTGTCTGGAGCGCCAGCGCCGATGCAGTGACACTCCAGTCCAGTACGGTTTGGGAATGGCGTCTCGTTAAGCGAGGATGGCCCGAAGTCACTCCCGCTGACTTGGGCGGGCATGCGAGATGGGCCATGGGCATAGCAGGGACAGGGGCAAGGTAGATTTACAAGGCAAGGACAAGGCCAGCGAGGGAACGAAAGGAAAGGAAGAAAGGATACACGGAAGAACAACAGCGAAAACAAGAACATGTGTTCCAGAATTTCATGATGGCTTGGAAAATCGAGTCAGGATGTCTGCGACCCATGGGCCATGGGCCATGGAGCAGCGCACCATCGAACGGCAGGAAGAACGAAGCCCCGATGGGCCAAACGAGCCGGACGGAACATGCACGCAATATCAGAGAGAGGGGAGTCAGTACGCCCCAAGACTTGTGCCAACCTATTGGAGCCCGCGGCGCATCATGGCATATGCGCGGAAGGCAGGCTCTCTCCTCTCCTCTCCTCTCCTCTCCTCTCCTCTCCTCTCCTCTCCTCTCCTCAATAATGCAACAGTGGCTGGTATCATCTGGATTTGATTGACCAGTGTCGAGTTTCAAAATTGGCGGCCGGAAAGCTGCAAGAACGATCATCCGGTCTCTCATCGAACATTTGGAGCCAGCTGGCATGACTGGCATGACTGGCATTAATGTGGCATCAAGACCCATGGCCATGGCCATGAGCACAGGACAGTGGGTGCCTCCTGGATATCTTCCCTGCCAGCAGACTCGCGATGAACGAACCAAAGAACTGACGAACAAGCCGACAACGGAACGCCAGCTGGTGGCAGCAGAAATCAAATATCATACAAAGGATGACTTGCTCAGAGAGCAGACCCAGAGGAAGACCCGTCGCAAGACCTGCTCTTTATGTCGTAGGCTGCCCACGGCGGTAGACTTGTGTTTCTCCTCTCTCTCCAAAATCTGGCCGTGCTCCAGCGACCACCGAAATGGACCCTTCCCGTGCCCGCCCTCTGACTCTGAGTGGCTACCAGATGCGATAACGGCAGAGCCTGTGTTGTTCCGTACGCACCTCAGCTCTCCTGTCAACTGCTTGATCTGCGACCAGGGATCAACAATGGCGCTTTTAGCTCATCTGCAAACCTCCTCAAGGATGGCAAGGGCAGGCGTGGAGCCCCGGCAGAGGGGCGTGACCAGGGGATCCGATTCGAATGAGGTCCGGAACCTGTCCTGCTGGCCGAGGATGAACCCAGGGATCACTGCAACCGAAAGACTCGTGTGCGCCCAGCGCCCGGACAGCGCCTCCTCGTTTCTCTTCTAACCGAGGACAAGGTATGCTGGTGGAAAGCGCTGTAGGGTAAGGGGAGAAGTTGGTGGGGTGGGATGGTGTAAAGTATATCAGTTAACAATTTTTTATTTGCGAAAATAGAGGCGCCATTTGCAAGCTAAACTACTACTGGAGGTTATGAGCCCGAAGGCGCCATGCCATGTCTAATGTGCCGTTGTCCAAGAGTATGACCAACCTGCCTAATTGTTATTGCGAGTTGACGAACGACTACGAACTGTACCTGAGTTGAATATCTCCCTGGCAATTATAGACGGTGGTAATTCGCAGGCGACAAAGGCAGATCACTGGCTCTGATTGACACATCGATATCTTTCCGAGCCTTCCAGAATCTCCAGCAATCTGGAGGAGTTCCAAGGCTGCGAACTGGCTGGTGCTCTGGTGCTCTGGTGCTCTCCCGTCCAGCGCAATAATAATATCCCGCGTCCATGTGCTGTGCTGTGCTGTGCGGTGCGGGATCGATAACGGTGGTGTGGTGCCAGAGGAGGCGTGGGCGTGGCTTTTTCTGCTTCTGCGGCCCGTCAAGCGTGGTTGACAGGTGGATATTCGTACCGGCTGCCATGTTCATGTTCTGGCGATGCTCTACCTTAACTTTCTACTAGCTGGACGTTGCCTACCGCCTTCAAAGCCAATCGTCGCCCGCACTACAGTATAGTACTGCCATCAACCCCTTCCTCAATCGTCATGTTAGACCAGCGATCTGCAACGCTTGATTCTAGCTGCGGTTCGTCTTTCCCATCTTGTGGCTGTCGACTATTGAAGGGTGCTGTACGGTGCTGTACGGTGCATTATTGCACTGCAGTGCAGTGCAGCGTCTCACTGTGAGAGCGGGAGTGATGTGTAGGCGAAGGGGAGAGGGAGAGGGAGAGGGAGAAGGAGAAGGAGAAGGGAGAGGGAGCGGGGGAACAAGCTCTCCCGCCTGCTAGGTGCAGCGAGTTATTGAATTGAATAATACGGAGTACAAGTACACACTGCACCTGCTGCATCTGCTGCATCTGCTGCATCTGCTCTTGTCAGAACCCAGAACCTCCCCGACCTGGGCTGCTGGGCACCTGGGCACCTGGGCATCCATCCTGATTCCTGTCTGACGGTTTTGCAACGCCAACACAACCACAAGTTCACAACCCCAACCCTGCCCTGCCCGGTCCTGCCCTGCCTGGTCCTGCCCTGCCCTGCCATGCACCTTCTCCTGGACTCTCACGGGCCTTTTTGACCGTCGAAGCGAGCTGTACAGACGCCCCATCGCGTCGATCGCTGGACAGGCGACAGGGTTGCGATCGTAAAAGCGGTAGAGGATTCATTTGCCGCCTTCCAGAATTTTATCTTTTGTCTCATTTACCCCAAACATCAATTTGGTCATCCCAAGTCAAGTAGAAGTGTGCGTGCTGTCCGTGTCATGATTCAATTACTTCCCTAGGTAGCCGTACCGTACCGTACCGTAGCATACACTTCACGACTGTCGGAGCTTGGAAAGCATAAATCACGAGGAACGTCGTCCCAGTGGTGGGGAGACTAAGATACGCCTACGCCTACGCCTACCTTACCTTACCTTACCTTACCTTACCTTACCTAAGGCACCCTCAGCATTATTATTCGGCATCAGCTCGATCGGTGGTCTCGCTTGAGACGGCTGGCATTCTTTACCATAATAGTCAGGGTCGGAGGGGGAACAAGAGGGAAGAGGACGAGGACGAGGACGAGGACGAGGACGAGGACGAGGACGCCACGCCCAGATCCGCCCGTTGGAGATAAGTCGGACGTTAACAAGCAGAATCATAATCCACCTCCACCATTTGTGCATCACCCTCGTCTCATGTGCTCCTACTTAGCTTGTCAGCATCCTGGCCCAAACATCTTGACTTGACAGGCAGGGAGTCCCTGAAAGCCTGAAAAGAAAGGTTGCCTCGAAAGGGACATGCTCCGAGGCATGCCTGCACTGAACAAGCATTAAAACCTAGCCGACCGACATCTTCGCCTTGGGGCCCTTGGGGGTCTCCTCCACTGCGGGTGCTTGCCAACGGCTGTTGCAGGCATCGGAGATCCTTGGACACTCCCTCGCACATCCTGGGAAATCATCCTTTCCTCGTCCGTATCGAGCTTCAGTGCCGGTGTAGCGCGGCGAAAGATCCAGTTAGCAGGTATCATGCCCATGCCCATGCCCATGCCCACTGGGTGCTCCGGATCATCCCAACCATCGAGGGGCAGTACTGTACTGTATTAATGTGCAAGGTTTCAAGGTTTGGAGCACCTCAAGTCAGTCCCAGTTGCTGACCCACACCAATTTGTGACAGCATTGTTACTCTGGAGCTTACCAGGATCCATGGTGGATTCACTTGGATCGCCCACACTGTCCGGGAGATCTTAAATATCATCAATCCCTCACGCACCTCTGAAGCCTTGCATTCGCAGGCGTTCCTATCACCACCAGGGTCACATACTTGTGTCGAAGCAAACTTAAGGAATCGAACATAATATCCTAATCACGTTCAACAACACCATACAAAACTCAATCCCTCCACTACATCGATCTTGTTTTTATCAACGACTTTCTTTCGCATTGATTCGGCTTTGCTCATCTTTCTCGCCTTCAGCACATCAACTCCGGGTCATGAACCTCTCCAGTCTGGTCCACTCAGGTAGACATCAAGTTGAACAGCAATTCCAACCATATCCATCAAGAGCACACATCATGGCGTCTTCTTTGGTAGCAAACCCATACACAGCTCAGCCACTTGGTCAGAGCCCTGGCTACACATACGTTACCGCACCTCAACCACCACCATCTCCTCCGGTCGATGAAGTCGCAAAATGCTCTTTGCCATCGATATCAAGCTTGTTAGGACTTGCTGACGGCTCAAACCCACAAGAACAGCAATCTCAACAGCAAAGTCAGCAACAAGGTCAGTACTTCTGGTCAAGTGAAGCAGAGGAGCCCCCGACTAACTGCCAATAGTTCAAACCAAGACAGAGTACCGTCCCGATTCTGGTCATCAGCACTATGGACCATCACCAGTCATGGCATCTAGGGGCGCGCTTCCACCTACTCCACCAATGCAATCAGAATCTGGGTTCGATGGCAGACAGTCACCTTCAGCGGGGTCGAACTCTGGATACTCAGTTGCCTCCGCTCCGGGATATTACTTTGCACCATCTTCAGTCTCATCAATCAATAATATCGAGCCTCATGCTCAGCGCCAGCATGTTCCCCAACTTCAGCGTAGAGTCTCAATGCCAGTGGCCGCCATGGCATACGCCCAATCGCCATACAATGCGTCCCAGTACAGTGTCTCACCCCAGCAATCGATGAGCTCTTATTATCCAAGTCCAATGCAAGCTACTCCTCCTCCGCAAGCACAAATCTCCGGGCTTTACTATCAGAGACCTCTTCCTCAGGTTTGTTTATCTCTCGACATTATCTCGTCTTTCAAAGCTAACTTCGAAAAAGCAATTCCCCCCACCATTAATGCCTGTCTCAGTCACCCTTACCCCATCCTCTGGCGCAAATCCATGGCAGCATCACCACTACATCTCCCCATCATCCGCGGCCTCGTTTCCTCAATCCCAAGATCGTTACATTTGCCAGACCTGCAACAAGGCCTTCTCCAGACCCTCCAGCTTACGAATCCACTCGCACTCTCATACTGGGGAAAAGCCATTCAAGTGCCCACACCAAGGATGCGGGAAGGCGTTCAGCGTCAGAAGTAACATGAAGAGGCACGAGCGAGGATGTCACAGCTTCGAAGGTGGATCGATGATTTAACGTTAGCACTGGACACAACCTACACCGCAAACAAATGGAGAGCGAAACTCTCTATACCCCTTAATGTATAAAGTACGATGTTTCCTTAATTTTCATTCACATCTGTTGTGTTACTAGAGTGGCGCCTGTCGCTGATACCCACTCATTGTTTCCTTTGGGCTTTTGGTGGTTGTCGTCATATCATGGATCGGCGTTGGCGGGTAATGTCGCATTTACACCGGAGTTAATGGCTATTAGTTCCTCGAGATTGGCTCGAGAGAACACTTAAAGGAGAGATATCTGAAAGGGAGCAAGAAATAAAGGGGCACGCACAGGATCGCGAGATCCCAATGTCCGGGGAAATGAAACTGGGAATGGAAAGGAAATGAAATGGATATGAGAAAGATGCTTGCTGGTCCATCATCACCCATTCTCTGCTCGCACAGCAGAGTGACTGCCAGAGACACCGAGCTCGGGTCACACAACAAAAGAATTAGATAGTTCTTTAGTATGGGTGGCATTTGTAAAGTAATTGAACTTAAATCAATCATATTACCCAAACTGGTTATTCTTTACCGTCCACCATCATCTATCTTACTTTCGTGTTGTAATCACCGTCCACTGCATCACCTGCACAGTGAATTGTTGATCTCGTACGTTCAGGTAACACAACCTGCCCCTATTCGCCTCACAGCCGTATGTGTACGAGGCCTCAATATCACTTGATAAATGTTTCAATATGACTTTCGGTCTAATAAACATCTGAAGGGACATTTCCCCCCAAGGTCAGTAACACCACACCCATCCAGGACACCCCCTGCCTATCCACCTGCCATCCAATCCCAGCTTCCTAACAGAGTCACAGAATCGATTGACTTGTCTGAATCTCCGGATTGACAGAGTAAAATCTCCCTCCTAGATCGCTGTCGGAAATTACAGAGACCGTATCAAGATGGCGGGTACTCAAGCATGATACTTCGCTGTGTCATTCCCGTGATGGCGAACATGCATCACCCTGGCGGGCGGCGATTCAGGCATAATGCAGCCCTACTCGCGGCGCCCCCTAACTCCAAAGCATGGAAAGGCTCAAGCATTCAAGCATTCACCATCTACGGACCTCCACTTTACATCGATCCTCGGCGGGAAGCTCATAATCAATATTATATGTGCCTATGTATACCTATACGGGTACCTTAAACGACCAGGAGCATGCCTTGATAGCCTCATATAATTCATGTAATAAGCACTGCACAACACATCTAATTTAGATTGCCTGAGCTCGCTTGGTACCTTACTGCTACATTGCAGTAAGTAAACAGAATGTTCGTTAAGATAGGTTAAGCCCGTTAAGCTAGAAGCCTTCTAAAGGCATGGACAGCAGGCGAAGTGACGTTGTGGGTGGGGTCGACCCTGCACCACCATCACCAACCGCTCTCGCCGCTCTTTGCTTTAATTTTTCCCTCGTTCGTCGCACTCGCCCTTGCCTCCTCCCCGAATCACGGTCGCGAGAATCTCAGCACCTCGCTTAGAAGGAAGCACGTTTAGGTGTCTTAGAACAGTCTTAGAAAAGGGGAGAGACATGCGTGCCGCGGCGTGCTTCTCGGGCGGTGGAATTAGGAAGGGATCATCCTTGTGGCAGGCGGCTGAGACCTTTCGAAAATGTGAGAAATTGGTGGCCTGGACCTTGAACGGGTCAGAGGGGAACTGCATAGATCGGATGTGTTTTTTGCTCTGCTGCAGTTTTACTTCGGATGGCAGACCGACGGCGAGGTGTCTGTTGTTCTGTTACCACGGATGAGCTTGCCTCACGGACGGATTTCCGATTGATGCGCTCATGGGGGCCTTGGTTTGGAAGACTGCGAAGGGTGTTCTTGGAATGAATCACGATTGCATTGCAAAACGATCTCCCAAACAGCGTCATGCCATCCATCACATCAGTCAGATCCGAAATTCAATTGCAATAGCATTGCCGAGATATCACTCTCCCTTGCCGGACAATGAATGTATGGGACTCAGGGAGTCGGGCAATAGGATCGACCAGGTATGAGGTATAACACAGATTGAAGGGGTATAAAACGGGGTGGGCAGCGTCTATGCCAAATTGGCCGGGATCCGGAGATGAGTGACAAGTCAAGAAAAACCCATAACAAAGGTTGTTATTATTGTAATTATGGAGAGATCAAGCGGGAATCGTCAATAAGGATTAGGCCTGCAGCGTCCGCGCCGAGGCGTCCCAGAAAAGGTTGAAACATTGACAGGCGCAAATCCCATAGCATGGCGTTATATGAGATGATTTTCGAAACGTTGACAGATCTTATTGCTGTGTTGACCATGGGATGGCAAGTCGGGATGGCATGGGACGGGATGGGACAGCCATGGCCACATGCAATGCAAGAGCATCAGAGCGCTGATGCTGGACGGTGATCTCGCGAGCGGGCCGCGGGGGACTGGTGAAACTTGGAGAGTACGAGTCCAGACGCATGACTTGTCCGTGTTTGAGAACACATGAACTTAACCGGAGCTTCTACCTTCCACGAGTGGTGTGTTTTGAGATTTGAAATGGGAGGTGGAAAGCAAAGAGCGGTAAGTAAGGTAAAAATAGAATGTCCGATCTTAGATGTCGAGAAGGGCGGCAAGTCAGGTTAAAGTGAGGGGGCGAGGAAAGCTGGGGATGATGTTGATGACAACAACAAAAAAAAAGATTTCAACGGTTCGTCGATCGCGACAACCATATACTGTATAAGCTTCAGATGAAGTGGAAACAACGTTTGCAGATCCCATTAGAGTGGTTTCTCGGGGATTCTGGTGATCTGAGAGGTGGGATAACCGCCCTGCAGGGGCGAACGGGAAGGCTGTGCAATTCTGAAGCAGCCCGTCGAGAATAGGCTGGTCAGCCAATAGTGCGTCGACACCGGCAGTTGAAGAGTACCAATCAAGTGTTCTACAATGCCTCCATCCATGGTTGACTTGCAATGCGTTGCCGAAAGTCTTCTGTGATAGCAGTAGTATTCAGAATGGAGAAAATGTATCATCTTTCGGAGTTGTTGCTTGCCCGCTTGCAAGTTTATCTCATGCAATCATGGCGTTCTCTCATGTCACATTTCCTGTACTGGCACTTCTTTACTTGTACTTGTTTGTATCTCAGCATCTGCATACCCAGCGTGGATCTCAGCCGGCTACATGTTCCAACCCTCAATCTTCATAATCTATTCTCTGGCTGCTTCTCTTAAATTCACTTCTGTACCATCGAGTTGCGCTTTTTCGTATGTTTCTGCCGTGTTGGGTGCTGGGCATTGCCGGCACTACTCCCGAGTGAGGAGAGAACTGCAAGACCAAGGGTGGCTCCAGTCACAACTCTTCCTGCCACAGGTCCTGATATACGCTTGCTATCCGAGTTCTTCTTCGATGCAGATAGTGGCTGTAATGTCAAGGACAATGGGATTTGTCACTGTCAATCGGTAGCAACCGAAAGGAAGCCACTTCGTGAACCACAGGTTGGCGAACTTACTTGCTAGTGAAAATGCAAGCATTGAAAGTTGATGTTAGTGCAGCCGTCGTAGTAGACATGGAGGTGATGGAATTGTTCGCTCATATGCATCACTTCATTTTGAATGCTTCAAGGATTCAGGGTGACTCTCAAGCAGCCAGTGTTGCAGCTTCAGAAGCCAACAAAAAATGAGGCATTGCTGCACGTCGAGTTACAAGGCAACAGCTGGGACATTACGACGTCAACCTGTCTGGAAGTAAACAACGAATAGAGTTTCAAGGAGCAGGGTGAGAAACTGGAGGGTTTCTTACCTGTGGGAGCAAAGCTGAAGACCAAATCACTGCAGAGGGGTCAACTGCAAGTTACCCAGCTTGAGAACTGGACAATGGCCAACGAGGAGAATACTATCCAGTCCGCTACAGACGTAGCAATGGTGAGAGTAACACTGGAATTCTATAGACTATGGGTCAAGTAAAGATAAGACAAATTGAAGAGGAATTAGTTCCAAGTAATGACTTTATTGTGACGTCTTTGTTTATACCCGAAATCCATTTACTGCGAGACAGAACAAAAGCCCACCAACTTTATCATGCATAACCGTTTCGGCCAGACCACAGATATTCTTCAGTGGAATAGACTTTGTAATGTATCCGAAAATTTTGGGGAGTGCAATAAAAGCTGGATGAAAGACGCACTTCCCAGAAACCCTCTTCCCATCTTCCCAGACCTCACTCCCAATACAAGGTATCCTCCATAGCATCATATCCAGCGTGTAAGAGTTCCTCCGGTCAGAAAAAAATAATCCGAAACCACGCCACATCCTCCTCATTCCATCTCAAAGACTCTCGAATGTGAGCGTGAGAAATGACTAGGCAACTCTGCAGGGTTGACTGGGGCGTGCGTTTTCGGGTTCTCAGCGTCCTCAGCCTCAAGTTTCGCAAGGTGATTACGAATGGCATCCGCGCTCATTTCACGCATCATGAGAACAGAGCCTCGATTGGAGCGCAGCGAACGCTGCTCGTCCTCGGCAGCTTCAACCTTCTCCTTGTCACGACGTTCTCTCCACCGAGCGAGCTTCCATAAGGCGAGGAGTACCACGATAGTCAGTCCTGCAACGACGCCGAGAACTATGCCCACTATTGCTTGGTCTGACTGGCCTTTCTTCTGGGGTGCATTTGCTGGAATGGGGGTCGTTGTGTTTTGTGCTCCGAGGGCGATATCCGCTGGACTTGACTTTGGGGCTGTCGAGATTGCCAATGTGTCGGTAGGCCTGGTGGAGCTGCTCGAGGTAGTGCGTGTGTCGGAGCTGGTACTGTCTGAACTCGTATTCCGCGTGGTGGTTGCAGTACCGGAAGATGGATGTGATGCGCTTGTAGATGTGCTCGAAGTAGTTGCAGGTGGTTCAAAATCGACAGGGAGCTTTGTTCCACAGTGGACATAATAGTCAGTGCTGCATTTGCCGATCTTAAGAAGGCTTGTACCAGCGTCCTTTTTGCAGTTCGCAAATAGCTGTAAGCAGATTAGAGTGGGCATAGTTCCGCGATATGTAGTGAGATCCGGAGTTCCATAGTTTTTGCACTGGCATTCGTAGGTAAGCGTCTCACTGTTACAATCGTTGCTGTTGGTAACTGAGCTGCATAGTGTATCGCACGCCGAGCTCTGGGAGCGACACCAGTCTATGCGTACGCTTGGGTCAACCGAGTTTGTGTCCAGTTGTGCGCTTGCTTGGGTGTCGACGAAGCCAGAAAGTAGCATCCCTATGAGGATGACGAGGAGGGCGGGAGAAGACATGTTGTGGGCACAGCTCCAATGAGAGGCGTGGCTTGAAAGAAAATGTTGATTGCAAAATCAAGGTCGAAGTCGAAGTTGAAGTCGGAAATTGCGAGCTGAAATGACGTGAAGCGTGAATTTAAGGTCGTAGATAAGGAGGACTGGCGAAGGAAATGATAAGCGAGACTGTTGTTGTTGTTTTGACATTGAAAAACGGTGAATTCTCAGCCATGTCCAATGCTCCGAAGCCCAAGCTAGGACTTGAGTGAACATGTACAGTGACCTGACTAGCAAGGCTTCGCCAAATATAGAAAGCTTCCGCACTGCCATGGTTCAGGGACAGCTCGATTACAGGTTGTGTCTTCTGTGTTGCTCTTACTGGTAATAGGGAATATCAGTACCTTCTCTTTTGCTTTCAGAAGAATAGTTTTTAATTAGCAACTTAGCCCGGTGACGTATCGCACCGGAGGAAAGTAGAGCACCTCTGTTATTGCTACTCCTAAGGTGAATTTATTGTCCCATCATTCAGAACGTCGTTCAAGAACAATATCAGCGTCCTGCTCTGCATTGATATCATCGGGGCTTGGGCTTGTCTGAGATCCTAGGTAGAAGACAGCTAGCTCTAATAAAGACCAGAGTTCGAAGAGCACCATCGAGTTATCGATGAACCTGTTGCTAAGGACTTCGAAACGAAAACAGACATGAAAGAAGCAAGACTAACGGCACTAAAAGACATGTATTGCACCAAGTTCAAAGGGAGCCCGAGAAGAGTCAAGACTTCAAGCAAATGAATGAATTCACGCCAAATGCAAGAATAGCTCAAAAAAATACAAATTGCAGCTGGGCTGAGCCAAAACTTGTATTTTCCAAGTCATGGAAAGCTGTGATCTGGAACCTCTTCGCTTGAGAGCTTTACTTGCAAATTACATGGTAGGGTCAGCAAGGGGATGAAAGAATCGGCGGATATCAACATGGATGATGGATCTGGCTGACATGCGAGGTCAGTCTTCTCTCCTAACACGGCGACCTGTAGAATATTCTGTCCGGTTGTAACAATCCAACAACGCGGAGGTGGTGCCTCCGTCGGCAGGCAGCATGCTTCTGTTCTGCTTCTGCGCACATGGAGGGACCGGCCGGTGAGGTTCGAGCATTGGTGGGTCGTCGTTGAGGCTCAAAGTTGGCTGTTGATTGCTCGCTATCCTTACTCTAGTATTTATGCTCAGACTCCACAATGCACGGATTTGTGCATCTTGTGCACAGCGATCAGAGATCCTCGGGCTCGATTGTTTCACGTTAGCGCTAATGCACTCCCCGGATTCCGCGGACTAGTCTTGAAGAAGATTTCAAGGTTGCTTTTGGGGAGTGAGCGAGACGAGATCCCCAGGACCCGCCCGTTGATCCTCGAAACGACGGGAAGCGTTTATTCAACCTATTATTGCCTCCATTCACGGGCGCCCTTGATCGCATCGCAACGCTTCGTCTCTGGATGTGTACGAGCACAAAGCGGCCGCCTTGCCTTTCTCGAGAGAGACCAAGGAGAATATCCTGGGGCTTTATGCTATATCAGACGAAGTACATTACTGTAGCACCTCACATCACATCACATCACATCGATTCAGACTAAGGACCGAACCGCCCACGGCTCGAGCTCGAGCTCTCAGCTGATCCACGCTACTTACATCTTTTTGATAAAAGCAAAAATTCCCGCCTGTGCGTGGTACAACCTTCGGTCTTGACCGCATCTCCTAATCTTTTACCTCCAGGCCTCATCTCGGGGAGCTCCAGCAATGATCCATCCACCATCTCAATTACCATGAAGTTTACCGCGCCTTCACAGCTCTCTGTGAGGGTGTCTTCGCCTTCATTTATTGCTCGGTTCCCGAGAGTTCCACGCACTCACACCCAAAAGACGCAGCCGTTATGGCATCACCAGCCAATGCAGTCCCCGATACCCAGCTCGGTCTGACCAACGACGAGATCGCCCTCCTGCGCCATCACCAGCAAGCTGCCGCATCAACTGCTGGCGGATCTTCATCTCGTGCAGCATCCCGTGCATCATCCCAAGGCCTCCTTCTCCTCGATGGCCATTCTCTCGCGGCGCTCGGCCGGCACTTTGATCGATTGATGCAGCAGATACAAGAACGACTCGACTATCTATCCGAACAATCCCAGATGGTAGCACAACAGCAGTACGACAGGGCAGGCAATGCGATTGCCATTGCAGATTCCGAGATCGCCAGGTTTCATGACATATTACGGCAGATCGACGAACTGGAGGTGGATTTTGACAGGATAAGACACATACGAGATATTGTGAGAGGCTATCGGCAGAGAGTGGAGGAGATGGAGCAGCAGATGGAACAGAGTGGTTCAAGTGGCCGGCACAGATCTCGACATCACGGCGAGAGCTCGGGGAGCTCGAGTAGGCGACATCACAGGAGGTGAAGGGAATATGCTTTATATATTGGACAGGGGCATTATGGAATACAGGTTCGGGTCCCACGGCCAAACACACAGTACGAAGGCATTGTTTGGATATACCAAACTCCTTCGGTTATAGGAGCAAGAGATATGGGCCTCACGGCTGGAAGATGGAATAGCCTCACGGCTCACTGATTTGGCGTCTTTGTTTATTTTCTGGGTTGTTTGTGCAGCGTTTAATACCCAAAAAGCGTCTGGGACTGTTTTGAGAGGAGGCTTTGCAGAACCTTGTTTGGATATGCGGATAGTGAGATGAGGTTTCGAGATCCATTTGCGGTCATTTCTTGTACCTCGATTGATGCCAGGACTCTGTTGCTCGATTTTTAATGATTTCATAGCCCTGATTGAACGCGCTCCTAGAGCAGCTTTATGAGTCCTTCAGTCATTGTTGTCCTTCCAGCGTACAGTCGGTGCTGAATATTTCTAGAGTCGAATATTTATACACATACAGGGAAAACAATTCATTTGCTGAATGTGTATCCTAAGAATTGTGTTATATCTCAAACCCAAATCTGCAATTTGTTGCCGTTCCATTTTCTGAAGGTACATCAGCCAAACCCGTGAGCTGGTAGTCATATCACAGGTGGCGAGGAGTTTTAAGCACCAGCTTACGTAACCTGGAGGTAATTCCGTTGGTCAACCCTTCAACAATTATCAAGAAATGCAAAATCCACAATCCACGAGTTTCAATGTGCAAAATCAAACTTAAAAGTCTGGACGATCAGAAGCAATCACCACGATGGTCTACCTTGAGCGAGGCTAGACAAGGCTGACTCTTGGACCCAGAGAGGTCTAGCTTCAGTCCCTAGCTCGGTTCAGCCGAGCGGAAGCTCTCAACCTCGTCTGGAAAGCTGCAAATTCCAAAGCCAACTCAACACCAGCTCGCATACAATGGATTCAGACGATAGAGACCACGAAATGGCTGATGCCCCCCCAGTGAGTGCTTCGAGCGAAGTAAGTATTCACCTCATCCGCAAGAAAGTCCAGGGTAGCTGTCTTCCAAGACGTCTCACAACGTTTAGCCAGCTCGCCGCCCAAATGACTTTCCACGCTCCTTCAGCTTCCCTTTCAAAGTTTCACAAGATTGTCACTGACCATGAGTCGCTGCTCTGTAGCAACCAAATGTAGCTCAATCCAGCTCACACTCAAGTCCGAATGCCTCTTCCCCGCACCCCGCTCCTACATCCAATGCCCCTACGAACGCAGACACAGCAATCGGAAGTCTAGGGATAACCGACCCCGAAGATCCCTTCTTTGTACACTCTTGCAATTCTGCCTCTTTCAAATATAAATATCCCCAGGCAAAACCAACGCCAGAGGGCGAGGATGACACCGTCTGGAATCGAATTTACACAGCGGCCGATTCCCGCATGTACAACAAGCATCATAAGTCTGCCAACGAGTCTCGAAAATACCGCGACTCGGGAGAGACACGTACCCTCGCGCTGCGCATGCTCCTAGAGAATAAGGAAAAGCATTATAAAGCTGTTGCAGCAGCTCTTGCTGGTGGCCATACTTACATGCCAAAGGCAGCGCAGAAGGCAAAGTCGCCAGCTGTGAAGCCCGAGCCCATCAAGAAGGAGCGATCTGAGGAGCTCTACGATTTGGCGCCAGGCGCTGTACCTATGAGTATCTCAGAAAAGATCAAGGCCGAAGGCCGAAAAAGAAAGGTCCCATCAGCCCCTTCAGACACAAGTTCATCTCAGCAAGGCACACCTGCTCCGTCAACAACCCAAAAGCTGAGCAGTCCCGCACCTAAATCTGGTAGTCCCGCGCCTACAAAGATGGATAAGCCACCCATACCTAAGAAGAAGGGAATTGCTGCTCCTGTCAAGAAGCCGGCTCCTAGGCGACCCAAGACCGAGGGTATGTTTAGTCAAGTATACATGACTTCTTCAGCCGACTAACGTTTTGCAGCAGAGAAAAATAGTACTCCTTCAGGTTCCGTCCGCCAGTCGCCAGTTGGAAGCCCCGAAAGTAACGATGGTGGGGAGTATTGTATATGTCGTGGACCAGATGATCATCGCATGATGGTCTTTTGCGATGGAGGTTGCGAAGACTGGTACCATTGCTCTTGCGTTAATATTGACGAGGACGACGCAAAGGAACTCTTGGACCGATACATTTGCCCCAAATGCACTACCAATGAACTGAAAACTACGTGGAAGCGAATTTGTCGATATATCAACTGCGATAATGGCTGTAGGAGGGCTGCACGGGTGAACGAAAATAGCAAGTATTGTAGCGAAGAGCATCTCAACGCGTTTTTCGAGTGGTGCTACAACAAACTTCGTGGCGACGATGCGCCATCAATGGGAGGTGCCTTGAACCGACAGGAGGTCGCGGATCTTCTGACATCCATTTCTACCGCTGAAGAACTTCATAACTTAGGGAAGAAGCCGAGACTTTCGATAGAGGAAGGCGATCAACTTGGTAAGTCTGAAATCATTGTATATGCCCTTATTCATAACTAATTGTGACATTAGAAGGTCCCGTCGGTCTCCGTCATATCCTGCCCGAGGACAAGATTTTGATTGAGGAGATTCAGCAAAAGAAACGATTGCTTGAGGCCCAAATTGGAGGGTACCAAAATCAGCAAAAGCTTTTGTTGATGATCAGTGCACGCGCACAAGCTGCTTCAAAGCACCCGAGTCTCGATGTCAAAGCAATCTGTGGCTACGATGATCGCCTGGCCATGAACCAGGCAGAGTTCAGTGCCTGGTTAGAGTCAGAGGAGGGACAGAATGCATTCTCGACGAACAAACTTGGACCACGAACCGAAGCTACCAAAGGGATTGGAGCGCATATCTTGTACCCCGGCCAAGCTGTCCCTGCGCCTTCAAAAACTGTCGACGATGCTCTTGACAATATCTGTGTCAAGCCTCCGAAGAAATGCAAGCACCAGAACTGGCGTGAGATCCACAATATGGATTTTAAGCGTATGGAAATCATTTTGACGGAACAGTTGAACAGGCTTACTGAAAGTGAAGCGGAGATCATCGAAGAGGCTGAGACGCGTGAGGCCACTAAAGATTATTACGCGGACAACATCACAATTCAACTTTTCTAATCTCATTCTCAACGATCGCAACAGATCTACTAGCCTACCACTTCTGAACTTCTGTGGTTTTAACTTTTCTTGATAGATGGGCGGGATTCTTCCATGTCCTACAGGAGTCTTCTCACTTCAGGATTTCCACCTGTTAGTTGTGCATTAAGAAGTGGCGTGTGTACCAAAAGCAGCTTACAACAAGCTTTGGGAATATGACTTGGCGTTGTTGGATCTGGGTATTACATGCATATGGATGATTGATGAAGAATACAAGGCGTACTCGTGAAAGGAATATACCCAGAATTTACATAGAGAAAATGTTAATGATATTATTATGTGGAGAGATCACAAATGCACCTATGCAGAAGTATGACGAGAACTGAGAGAAGTCCAAGTATGGGACACCTTCCTGAGACCATTGGCAAGTGCCCTTCCTCATTAGTGTCATATCTTCTCGAATTATGGTCAGAGCTCAAGGGGGCACACTGCTTTTAGGTGGTATTCTCGTCATCTCGTTATCTCGTCAAACTTAATTTACATAGCCTTGCGAGACTGCTTATAACTCTGCAGAGAAACTATAGTCAAATGCATCTCAGCACGTTGATCTGCGTGTTTCCATGAAGTCAACCCTTAGTACGATTTTGGAAGTCCTAATACTCTCTCCCCAATATAATTTAAAATCATCTCTCGGCTGACAGGTGCTATTCTAGGGATGAACACCTCTCTCATATATCTCTCGACATGATACTCCTGCGCATAACCCATTCCTCCATGTGCCATGACGGCTCTCTCGCAGGCTGTAAAGGCAGCTTCTGCCGCTAGGTACTTCGCTACGTTCGCGCTACACGTTTAAAGTCAGCGCAGTGTCTCTATCAGGGGTCTTGCAATCACGAAAGACAAAAAGTCCAAGACAACACTTACTACTCTCCACTCGGATATCCTTCATCATATAGCCTCGCAGCTTGGTAAACCATCAACCTCGCAGCTTCCAGGTTCATTCAGCTATCAGCTAGCGGGTGTTGAATCCCCTGATTCTTCCCAATCCGTCTTCCAAACACCTCTCTCTCGCCCGCATAAATCGCCGCCTTTCTCAGAGCCGCAAACCCAGCCCAAGAGCCTCAGCGCCTATCAACACCCTCTCAGCATTCATACCATGCATAATCATCTTAAACCCATTCCCTTCTTCCCCAATCCGATCTCTTACAGGCACCTTCCATCCATCAAAGAACAACGTATTAGTATCAACCGCACACCTCCCCGTCTTCGGGATCTCAGTAACATCCACCTGACTTCTATCCAAATCAGTATAAAACAACGAAAGGCCCTGAGATAGTTTCGTCACCTAATCAAGCGGCGTCGTCCTCGTCAATATCAATATCTTCTCCGCGACCTGCGCTGTCGAAATCCAAATCTTGCTCCCCTTCAGCACATAATACTCTCCATCTCTCGTAGCTGAAGACTGCAATCTCAACGTATCGAGCCCCATATTCGGCTCCGTGATGCCAAAACATGCTTTCTCCTCCCCTTTGATCAATGGGACGAGAAATCTTTCTTTTTGCTCCTCGCTTCCGAATTTCACGACGAGTTCCAGCCCAAAAATGTTCATGTGCACGGCCGAGGAACCAGTCATTCCTGCGCCGGATTCAGAGATCGTTTGGATCATTACAGCGGCTTCTGAGATGCCTAGCTCAGAACCGCCATATTGCGAAGGCATGCATATTCCTAGCCAGCCGTCTTTGGCGAGCGCGGAGTGGAGCTCGATTGGGAAGCTTTTGGTTTGGTCGGTGTGGAGCCAGTAGGAGTCTGGGAAGCGGGAGCAGATTTTAGAGATGGATTCACGAACGGTCCTTTGTGAGTCAGTGAGGTCGGGGTCACTGGTTTGGAGGAACTGCGTGGCTTGAGCGTGGGCATATCGTGGTTTCTGTACAGCACACAGAGAAGGTCGATTTCGTGGGCAGCCAAGGATGAGAGGGAGGTGTTTGGTGGGTGCCAGACCTTGTGGTGCCTATGGAGTCTTTAGTTGGATACTTGCATGTGAGTATGAGCCAAAGATATACCCTGATCATAGAGAATGTTGACTTCATTTTGCCAAGTGATGGTCACATTGTCCTGTATGGATCAGGAAAACCTCCGAATTATACTGTTGTAAAAAGTCTACCAACGTCTGAAAACAAAGTATAGAGTTATGCTCATTACCGAAATGTTGTCCAAGCTAATTCGAGTATAACTTTTTATGTTGTCATTCAATGTACGAAATCAAGGCGGTGTGTAGAGCATGTATGTCTGTACCAACATGTAGTGCGGGGTACTTTACAAGTGTGGGGTGGTTAAACGCTACTTGGATTCCCGTCGGCTCAACAGGAACTGCAGATCCCAAAAGTACGCAGACCTCGCAATTTGAGCCTCTGGAAAGCATGTAACTGATAATTCTAGTCTCTCAGGTACGTCCCCTCGCGCTCAAACCTAAACTCAAATCAGCATCTTCATGTTCCCTTCGGCGTCCATGACCGAGCCAGTCGGTAAGTGTTCACGAACACCAAATCACATATAGAATGAAAACTCCTTGGAGATTTCGAAATTCCCTTAAAGCATTCATCATTTGTGAAAAGTCACCAAAGCTACGGCCTTTCTCCACGATTTATGCAAAATCGCCCAACCTCAAGACCAGTGTTAGTCTTGTGAGCTCTGCTTCCAGCATACATTAGGAAAACAGCTACCTCGGCACTTCCTCCTAACCCCCAAAACATCAAATATGGAATGCTTGTACAAGCAGATTCCTAAAACTGTATTGAGATGCATTCCAAATCGTCGAGGGTGTTCCCACCACCCTCGGCAAATCTCGACATCGCAAAGGCTACACGACTCCCATGGAGCTTTACACGGCATTAAAATCCTAGACATGTCTCGAGTTCTTGCGGTAAGTCCACCATTCTGTGTCCTTTCACAGCACCAGAGTCAAAGCTGATATCACCAGGGACCTTTGTGTACTCAGATCCTAGCAGATTATGGTGCCGACGTCATCAAAGTCGAGCAGCCAGGTCAAGGAGTAAGTACATTGACATCAAACAGAAACTGAAGAGAGTAGCATATTTTGAGAGCATTCAAATTAACTTAACGAAATAGGATGATACCCGATACTGGCGAGTCGATGGTGAAACATCAACTTGGGGGCACGAGGAGAAGTTGTCGTATTATTTCGCAGCTGTGAACAGAAATAAGCGATCTTTCACCCTAGACGTTAAGCAAGAGGAGGGGAGGAAAGTTCTCCTGAATCTAGCAATGAATTCGGATGTTTTGTGAGTTGCTAGGAAGAGCATTGCCGAATTTTTATTTACTAAATCGACCATCTAACAGGGTTGAAAACTTTATTCCAGGCAAGATGGAGCAGTTCGGGCTGGGCTATGACACTCTGGGGAAATTGAATCGTTCACTCATATATGCTAGCATCTCAGGTATTATCATCCAGAATTCTTTTGTGAGCTTTTTTTGACCTCCTATGCAGGCTACGGAGCAGAAGGACCTTACTCAAAACGAGCAGGATACGACATCATTGCCGGCCGCCGCAGAAGCAGGTCTCCTCCATATCACCGGCGAACACGATGGACCACCTACTGAACCAGGCGTGGCTCTCACCGACATCTCAACGGGGCTCTACACCCATGGCGCTATCCTTGCTGCTCTCCAAGCGCGACACCGTACAGGCAAGGGCCAGAAAATCGACTGCTCACTGTTCGACACCCAACTTTTGCTCTTGACGAGCGTGGCGAAGGTGTGGCTGAATATGAAGAAAGAAGCCACTAGATTTGGAACTGAACACCCTAGTATCGTGCCGTATGCCGCGTTCAAGACGAGAGATTCGTGGCTTGTGTGTGGTGCTGTTAACAATCGACAGTTTAAGAATCTTGCTGGATTGCTGGGATGTGGAACTATTGGCTGAAGACGAAAGGTTTGGGACGAATGATAAGAGGAATGAGAATCGGGCTGCCTTGAAGGTAATCCTGGATGAGTGTTTTGCGAGGAAGACGACAGAGAAGTGGTTAGAGGCACTGGAGTGAAGCGGAATGCCATATGGGCCTATAAATGATATGGAGCATTCATTTCAGCATCCTCAGGCTGAAGCGAGGGACATGATTGAGCAGGTGGATTTTGAGGCTTTGGCGGATGGGAAATCGAAGACCGTTGGTATTCCTGTTAAATTTGGGGATACGAAGGCGAGTATTCGGATGAGACCACCGTTGCTCGGTGAGCATAGGATGAGATTCTCCGAGAAATTGGGATGGAAGCCGACAAGATAGAGTGGCTCAGAAGGAATGGTGTGGTATAGAAGCACCGGTAGAGAAATACTCATGTGAATCTTTAATCTCCTAAGAAAAATCTAGACGATGAATAGTATACAATTAGCTGCATGAAAAGGAAAATTGCGAAAAGAAGCCCAAACTTAGCCTTCCACCCCGTTTAGAGATTTGCAGCATTCTTTATGTCAGCACCAAACATCTTCCACGCTTTCGCAGCCTCCAAGTCAACATCCTTCAATTTCCCGGAGATCATATAATCCCTCTTCTCATCCTGCATATACAAAACACATTCATCCTATAAACCCAAGTTTGATCAGCTGTGGTTCAATCCCATACCTAAAGAAACCCGAAATAGAATGAGTAATTCCTTACCTTCCCCAAACTCAACTTCAATAAGCCCTCCAACACACTCGGCACATATTCCACCAACTTATCCTTTTTTCCCTTAATCAACGCCACAATATTCCCTCTTACGATCTCTGCCTGTGCACTGCCGGCTCTAGCGAACTTTGGGCCTCCAGTCTCGGCCACATCGCCTAGAGCGAAGATGTTGGGGAAGGTGGTGCCGAGTTTGACATCATCGGTGAGTTGGAGATTCTTGTTAACGAGGATATGCTGAGTGAGTGGTGAGATGGACGATGGCGAGAAGGAGGCGACTATTGATGAGTTAGGCGTTTGTCCTGTACAGGGGATCTAGCGATCTATCAGCTTTGTAAAATCATAGGGACTGAAAAAGGAAGAGAGAGACAGACAACCAGATGAAACTCCCGCTTATCTCCATTCTTAAATTCCAACTCCATTGGCTCCCAATTTGTCACTTTGGGAAGCACCGGTCTCTCCCCCAGCACAACCTCAATCCCAAGATCATCCAACTTCTTCATCACAAACTGAGCCAACCTCTGTCCAAAGCCACTCAAAATCCATTGCCTCGAATGAATAACCGTAACCTTCTTCTTCGGCGAGAAAGTCTTGATATCAGTCGCAAGCTGCACACCCACGGCGCCCGCTCCAACAATCGCAATATTTTCCGACTCCTGGATCCGTTTCTGCAAGATTTGCAATTCCTTACAAGCACCTGCCTTCTCAGTCGAGAGCAGCTTAGCAGGAGGCGACTGCATAACACCTGCAGCAATAGCCAGATACTCAAACTCCAGCACATCACCATTCTCCAACAGGACTTCCCCATCTCTAATCCCCACAGCTTTCCCTTTCACCTGCTCGAATACCCCGTTGGGTATTTTCGCGAAAAGTCCCGCATAAGGCAAGAAAGCATTCTGTTCTCTCCCCTGTACGGCAGAATACCGCGGGAAGTTGAACGTATAATTGAAATGCGAGTTCTGCTCTACCAGGACGACTTTGTAGCCTGAGGGGAGAGACTCAGCGAGTTGGAAGGCGAGGTAGAGTCCGGAGAAGGACCCGCCGATTATGACGATGTGTTTGGGCGAGGGGGAGGAGTGGTAAGTGTGTCTGTGGATGACGGCTTGGATGCGTTGGGAAAGGAGTTTGAGAGCGTAGGCGAGGATTTCGGGGAGATAGCGGATGATGAAGTTGGGAATGTCGGAAGATGGGGTCATGGTTGACTGTGGGATGTTTGGTTCTTTGTTTGGGTTGAGGATTAGGAAATAGGTTCGAAAGGATTGAAGAGCAAGAGATTGAGATGGACGGAAACATAAAAGGCAAGTGAATGATGAATGCCTCCCGTTATTCTAGCCTCGCAAGTCATGTCCGACGCCGGAGCGAACCTACCTAGCAATACACTGTCACAGGCGTCGTATTCCCAAAAAGATCTTTGGGTGTCCAACGGAGTGGTTAGATACTATGCTATCACTGGTCCGGATGATTGATGAGATTTGATCCGCATACATGACTGGCTAAAGAGGTCGTTGGAAGCCTGCGGACCTGAGCGATGACTGACATTTCTCCGCTGCGACCGACTCCGACTCTTATATCCGAGTTGACCGGACCGAAGCGGGTATGCTCTGTTCTCAGCTGATGGCTCGATAGTGATGTTCAGTTACCTTGTGCTGAATTGGGATGAGGAATGGCTCGGCCTGATGTATGCCCAAATAAGTAGAAACTAAGCAAAAGTAGAGACGAGAAGAGACCAAGATAGTAACTGACCAGTCACAGGACGACAGGTCCAAATCCAACCATATACAAATCACAGCCAAATCATAGCAAAATCACCAACGTCACAGCAACGAACACCAAGTCAAGCAGATGAATATAAGGGGGGAATCGCATCGCATTCAAGACATCCATCTTTCTCTATCTCCCACGCCCACCGAGACCAGAACACCCCAACACTCTCCTCATGTGGCCACCGCATAGATGAGAAGACGTTTCCACATTGTGAATCGCATCACTTGACACAAAATCCACAACCAGTAAACAGTTCCCTCAAGCTAGCTCGCGATGACCTTTAACATTTCACCTCCACCATCCACTCCATAATCCATCATCCACACCTCTCAGTCCAAACAGTGAGACTCGAAGCTCGCCATGCTTGAGCCCACCAATTCTTTCTCTAGCGTGTTGCCTTGCCTGCTCTATATTCGCCCCGCAGCTCAGAGGAAGAGCAAATTGGTTCCCATGCTACAAGCATGCAACACCTCACTCATCAAATCCAGGCAGCGTAGTGCACCAAGCCAAGCCAGTCAACCCACGAGCGATCTACGGACCCAATACGGTCGATCGTAGAGACGCTTTCACATACATATGTTCCAGTCGAGGGAGAATAAAAGAAGAAAAATGAATGTTAAATATTCCCTTTTCAACCCAACCTCATTTATTGAGAATTGGCATTGTGTTGATTCAATACAAGATTTGTTTCGTGGTGACGGCATTGGCTACTCGTTCTCTCGTTCGGTCGTCCGCGCTCTCTACTACGAACTGTCTTCGTTTCGTGAACGCGCTCTTTCCCCCTCGATTCGTGACCCTTTCGTTCATCGAACCCACCTCGAATCCGGAAATGAAATATGGCGCGTTGGTGTAAGGGGTATTGTTTGTGTAGCGGCGCGGTTGCTAAAAGGGGAGGATCTTTGTGTACAAAATTGTGTTCGGGTCGTGTTATGTTGTGTCGTTGGTGCTGTGCCGGGTGCGGTTGCAATACATCATGGGGTGGCCTCGTTCGTTTATGTGATTCTGGTCGACTTCGCCGGAATCCGAAGGAGGTTGGTGACAAGACATGGCGAATATCTGTCGTGTATGATGATTCATGATGCGATGTGCTGCTGGGGGTAATAAACAAAGAACGCCTTTCAGACGTTGGTCGAGGACAAGACCCCTCATGTGACCGGTCATTCTGACAAATAAAAGAAGAAAATCTGAAGGTTGGAAGAAGCAATGAAGGCCAAGATCAATTGAGGACCCGAGATTCTATGGTTTGCGCCGGCCCTAGGGTATTAAAAATTGTAATCTTGGACGCATGATCTTTCGTAAAGAAGAGCAGCAAATCAGGTTTGTTGGATACCTTGGGTGCCACCAATTTGGCGCTTGACTTGTTCACGAGCCCAGCGTGCAGTATCGATGGTTCTTGACTGGAAGTCACGGTTTTGGCGAGTATCCTTGATCATCTGGGTGAGCCATTCGGCACGGTAGAAGCCGGAGAATTCACCGTTGGGGAAAGCCTCGGCGAGATCACTATATCTGTCAGCTAGATTTCCAAAGGTTGAGAGTCTCCACTTACCCGATGACACCCATGGAGGATCTCATAAGAGCATCGCTCTTATTTTGATCCAAGTAGACGATATTGAGAAGGCCAAAGATCGACTCGACATATGGTTGCAACAATGGAGTCTTGCCTCCAGCCTTCATGGCACCAATGATCCCACCCCAGGCATCCATGATACCTTCGCGCAACGAGATGACGTAATCAAACATCTCATACGATCCATCAGCGCTGGCTTGAACACCAGCTGCTTGCTGAAGAACCTGGGCGACAACAGAGAGGTAAGTCTCAAAGTGACCACCGATGGCACCAGCAATATCTCCAAAGCATTGAAGGATCGCAGGCTTGAATTGGTTGGCAAGTGCAGTACTCTGTTTTAAGATGTTAGTTTCATTGCATAAGTATAGCAGAGGACTTAGACGGAGGATACGTACTCTTAGATTGTTCAAAAGATAGTTCATGAATGTATCACAATATGGCTGGCTGGGAGGGCCCATCGAACGGGTGATGTCGCTGACTAGACCAATAGCCATGGAGCAGAGAGCTGGCTCTTCTTGGTTGCCCAGAGCATTGTAAAGGAAGGGAGAGAAATGCTCCATATACTTGGAGAAATCCTCTTCCAAAGCATTGGCAAGACCGCTGACAGTGGCGAATACTGCATCAGGAACACTTGACTTGGGGCCAGCAGTGGTGAGGATCTGGAGCAGAACAGCCATGATACGATCGCCTTGAGGAGCAACCTCCTTCTCGAGACGCTGGACAATGGCCAAGAGAACAGTGCACAAACTAGTTTGCATCTCTTCGAGGGTAATCTTGTCTTCAACGCTGACGACTTGTGATTGAAGAGGAATAGTATCTTCCAAACGCTTGATAATTATCTCCGATAGAGACGCAACAGCGGGCAAGCTCTCATTGGCAGCATTCTGGACAAATGTGTTGAGCACTTCGTAAGCAGCAGTTCGAAGTTGGTTATCAGCATCTGGTCTCTCGGTAACTTGCAAAAGACGAGAGATGCTCTCGTTGAAGTGAGGTGTGAGTGGGTTCTGCTGGCAACCAATTTCGCCAGAGAAACGCTCTGCAAGGTTCATCAAGGCCCAGCAGCATGATCCTGCCATCTTCGGACTGCTGACAAGACCCTCGAAGAGAGACTTGATCAGGAGAGGAAGGTGTTGAACGGGGTCAATCGCTTCTGAGCATGCCTCGGTAATACGTCCAAGAGCATAAGCAGTGGAATCCTTGACGTGAATGACTGGGTCTTCCATCATCTTGATGATAACTGGAAGCGCTTGCTTGACGATTGGTGCAATGACCTTCTCCTCTGGTCCCTCCATGATAGCACCGAAAGCAGAAACAGCAGCATCTCTGTGATGCCAGTCCTCATGGCGCAAGTTAGCCTCGACGAAAGCCAAGACTGGTTGAACAACAGTGCCTCCGACAGCCTGTGCGTAAAGTTGCAGACATTGGTACGCGGCTCTTGAGATGTTGTATTCATCATCGGCGGCATCCTCATCTTGTTTGGTCAGAAGTTGTAATAGAACTGGGACAACCTCATTTGTAGCCACAGAGCAGAAATGGAAGATCTCCCGCATTTGGTCGACATTCTCAATCTGATGGGAATATGATTAGTGTGCGGTCGGAAAAGTGGGGCATATGAAACTCACTTGTGCGTTATCATCCTCAATGGCGATCTCCTCTTCTGCAACAGTGCTCCAGAATTCAACGGCTAGCTTAGCAACGTCTTCCTCCTCGCTCTTCATGCCCATGATCGTAAGACCAAAGAGAGCTTTCTCCATATAGAAACGCATCAGCTCGTAGTAAAGAGCCATGATTCTGTTCAAACATCCAAAAGCACCCTGCTGTATCCGCATATCTGGAGCTTGTGTGGCCTCGCAGATAACCTGCATAATGTAGTTTCGCTCGCCCTCATTCTTGAAGTTGCTATCGACGAACTCGAGAGAGTCTCCAAGAGCGTATATGGCCGCCAGGCGGACTTCTGGGTTTGGCTCCTCCTTGCGAGCACCTTGCACAACAGCGGTTAGAATAGCGTTGGAGTGCTGGACGAGACTGGATCTGAGGTCTGAGTCTTGACTCTCGCAGATGAAGCCGATGGTGGTCAGAGAAGTCTGTTTGAGATGATCGCTGCCCTCGCCAACATTTCGCACCAAAGTGGGCATCAGCTCCGGCCATTGATCACGAGGAAGCTCAACAGCAGCTATCGACGCGACGACTTGTGCAGCAGCGGCACCAGCTTGTGTATTGCTCGACGAGAGCGCTTGTAGAGTCAGGTCTTTGACGCGCTTCTTGGTATCTCCATCCTGTTGAAGCCATTTCTCCTGTAGCTCGTGTAATCTAGCATATTCGCGTGCGGTGAAGGCGTTCTTCAGCGCGATACCGGCTGCTGCTCGGACAGGTCCTTGGGCTTCTTCATTTGCGAGCTCTTGGACGAGGGTTACGAGGTATCCGGCCTGAAGAGGGGTTGAAGTTAGCAGGTGCTATATTGCGCGCAGCCGGAGATGCGGTCAGGCAAGGGGGAACTTACGAAGTTGGTCTCAGCAGCTTGTGTGAGCTGTGCTTCGGCAGCTCCTCTTATGGCCGCGTCTGCGTAGTATTAGCATTGCGACCGAAGTATAATCTGGGCCCTCTGGAGGCAAACTGACCGGCCGAGAAGGTGTTCAAGAGCACAGAGTTGACGTCCATGATGGCGGTTCACAGCCTGCGCGCTGTGTGTGCAGAACGTCTGTAAGGTAAGTAGGGTTCTTGTAAGGAAGATGATTCGTCAGTTTGTTAGAAAGAGGTTGTCTCCTTGAGGTGGTTGGGTGAGACGGTGAGGGTCAAGAAGTAGGGAAAGGTGAGTGGATGTTGTTTAGGTTTGTTGAAGTTGCTGGACGATCTGGAAGCGAACTGAATTTCGCGTTCGACCAAGGCTACAGCCGGCTTCTAGAAGGTGCCGCAGATGCTGGAACCCGTCAAAGAAAAAGTCTATGTTGCCTTAAATAACGGCAAATGAATGTAGAAAATCTCGTAGGGCAATCAGTGTCTATTCAAAGCTTTGAAAGCCTCGTGCACATTGAATTTGTTCCTTCCAACAACCCACCGTGAGCAGTTACGCGCTAGAGCCGTATTAGTGATAGTGCCTCTTCATGGATTGCCGAATGCTGTCCCCTGAAAATATTTTCAGTATGGAGCAGAGCTGCATGAGAGGGGAAATTATTCTGAAATCTAATTTTGAATGTCAATAAATACCATACGAGTGATTTATTTTGAGTGGATTTTCGAAATGTGGATTTATTCTTTCAAAATCACTTTTGGTTCCTATCATCTGCAAATGCAGCCCAAGCACCAAACCAATGAACATCACAAGCAAAAAGCTGAAACTATTTACCCCTCCAAACCAAAAGCCAGAGCAAGGCCCGTCCCGTCAACGCAACTCCCCCGCACAACATTCACCATTGTAAAGCTCCTCCTTGCCTACATACCGTTGGCCTTGGCCTCCAAAACAGAAATAGCATCTGGCCCGCTTCGAGGCTGGCCATTTGGCTTGGGAATAGAAAGTCCGTTCTCTCTGGGGCTCTTAGGACTTCCGTTCAGATCAAGGTCCTGGCTCATCGACGCGCCATGTCTACCTTTGAGCAAGAGAGGCGTGTTAGGTCGCGTGGTGATGAACTGTTCAGCATTAGTAAACCAGATATCTTCTCAATCAAGAAATTGCGACTCACGTTACTAGCAGCGCTCAAAAGTGCAATAAGAGAACTCTGCACCACATCCTCGTGAACTCCCACACCCCAAACCTTCTGATTCGAGCCTGCAGCTGTGCACTCAATGTAACTTGCAGCCTTGACACCCTTTCCGCCTCCAATAGCATGCTCCTTGTAATCCGCAACATCAAGATCAATCCCAATGGACGAGAGAGCGTTGGCCAAACTGGAAATAGGCCCATTTCCTATTCCCTTTAGCTTGTGTTCTTGACCATCGAAGGAAATGACACCTTCGAACTGCCGCTTCAACTTGGTCGTGTCTTGCGTCTTGCCGGGCGCAGGTGGAGCCGGCGACGCTGAGCGGTCGGTGCTGATGCTGTAGTCCACTAGAGTAAACCTTGGGTTCTGCTTGAGGAAATAGGTCTGCTCGAACAGATCTTGAATCTCGTTGGAGAGCAGCTCCCGACCCACTGCATCTGCCCGCTTTTGTACCACCTTGCTGAAAGCCACTTGTAGACCGCGTGGCAAGTCGAGCTCGAGATTCCGGAGAATGATCCATGCTGCTCCTCCCTTGCCACTTTGCGAGTTGACACGGATGATGGCTTCGTATGTACGGCCGATGTCCTGAGGATCGAGCGGGAGGTATGGAACCTGCCAGTGATTCTCGTCTGTAGCACCTTCCTTCTTTCTGACCTGAAAGCCCTTCTTGATTGCATCTTGATGCGAACCACTGAAAGCGCAAACAACGAGCGAACCACCATACGGTGCTCGAGGATGAACCGGAATCTTGTTGCTAACCTCCACAACATCTATAACTCTGTTGAGATCAGAAAAATCGATGTTGGGGTGGATACCCTGGGTATAAAGGTTCAAAGCCAAGGTAACGAGATCAACATTTCCCGTTCTCTCTCCATTTCCAAAAAGGCATCCCTCAACTCTATCCGCACCAGCCATCTGCGCCAACTCCGCCGCTGCAACCGCACACCCACGATCGTTATGCGGGTGGAGAGACACGCAGAACTTCTCCCTCTCCGTCATATTTCTGCAGAAATACTCAATTTGATCCGCATACACATTCGGCGTCGACATCTCCACCGTAGCGGGAAGATTAAAGATAATCTGATTCTCCTCCGATGGACCCCAAGCCTTCTTCACAGCCTCGCATATCTTGATCACAAACTCTGGTCTGGAGTCCGAGAAGGTCTCAGGCGAGAACTCGAACGCCCATTCCGTGCCTGCCTGTGACGGATCATCCTTCGTAATCGACCGCGCGTATTCCGTACACTTGACCGCGAGAGCCAATCCTTCGTCCTCAGTCATGCCAAACACGATCCGCTGGAAGCACTCGCTGGTAGCAAGGTAGATATGTAGGAGGGCCTTCTTCGCGCCTCTGAGGGAGTCGACCGTTCGTTTAATAAGCTCTTCTCTGCATGGCGAGAGAACCTGGAGCCAGACATCATCGGGGACCGCACCGGGTGTTTCGACAAGGCGGCGTGTGAAGTCGAAATCAGTCTGTGAGGCTGAGGGGAATGAAACCTCGATTTCTTTGTAGCCAAGCTCCACTAACATCTTGAAGTATCTCCATTTCTGCTCTCCGTCCTAGATTTTCATCATATTTTAGCCTCTAATAGTCTCCAAGTACTCAATGGTAGGGAAAGCGTACCATAGGATCGACCAAGCTCTGGTTGCCATCGCGCAAATCGGTCGAGAGCCAGCGCGGGGGCTTGTCAATGGTTTTGTCTGGCCATTGTCTATCCTTGAGCTGGAGAGGGGGAAACCTCTTGTATTTCTTCGAGGGGTCCTTAAGCCTAGCAAAGCAGGAATCAGCAACCTGCTTCAAGCAAAATCGTCAGAAGTGGTTGTGGTCAGACTTACATGGGCATATTGAAGTTCGAGTGCCGATGGCGGGGTCAACTGCACAATGGCAAAAAGAATTTATGCGCGAGCGAGCTCTTTGCTTTCTGTCCGAACGCTTTCGAATAGCTTCTTCACAATAAGTCGGCAAGTATCTTAAGATGTAACAGTGACACGAAAAACGGGCGCCACGAGGAATTGTTTGTGTGAGTTGTTCAGAGTTTCACCGGAATTGAGTCACCCAAAATTGTTTTCACCCATCCAGTCACTGACCCCCGAAGGGCGGGGGAGGAGTGGCGTACTATTTTGCAGGATTAGCGGGCGTCTAACCTGGAGCATCCCGCCTGGGCAATCCGCAGATACCGCCTGACTTCACTTCCTTACCTGCACTAGGCGTCAACTACTCGTGCAAGTTCATTTGAAGTGAAACGAACATTTCCTGTTAGAATTCAATCAATCAATGAATTTATTTCCATACTGTCAAAGAAGTAAGTTAAACATATTCAGTGTCCTCTCTCGGTCTTTTCCCACTTCAATGTAGCTGACTGACATGACAGAGACAGAACACCCGCAGTTATCGCGTAGTCCTTCCGAACAATTCATCCCACCACACGGCTTTTCCGTCCCTGTGTCTTGGCATCCTCGATCTCTGGTAAAGCGATTTGAATGGGCACAGGCACGACAAAGGGTAAAGGTAAGGTAAAGAAAGAGAGAGTATGAAAGGACGTTTGTTCTGCCACGTGCTTGTACGGCTGTTGATCTGTACCTCATGTTGAGTTCTTGCATTCGGAGCTGGCGTCCAATGAGTAAGTGCAGATGAAGGTTGGAGAGCGGGGAAGCAGACATGGCGGGAGCCGACAGGCACAGGAATATATTAAGGAAGTGTTGTACTGCAGATGGGACGTCATCTTGTATGCATGGTTGCGAAATCGGTATGGAAGTCCAGACAAATCATAGATTCACTAAAGAACATGGCAAATAGCCAAGATTCCAATCGATCAATCACTGGTAAAGGAAACGATAAACTGGTAGCTTGAGCTCGAGTATGGGTGTCCGATTCTAAACACGGCATTCCTATCTACAGTGACTCTTATCTATCCTGTCCTCTTCTCTGCCATCTCTCCTTCTTTCTATGTGCAAAATGAAACGTCTTATTATACAAGTGATCTAGACAAAAACCGTTTAGAAGCCAAACGTCGTCTCTATGGGTGGTGCGCCCGTGAACAAAATTATGTGCATGAAATATCGTCGTACTCCTCGACCCTGGTGGTCCCAATTCCTTCTTACTTCCTCAATGTAGCCCGTGACGCCTCGCTCGCTTCGCTGCAGTAGATGGATAAGACTAACTCGCTATCAATCAATCAAATAGGTCGTTCGTTCGTCGATACGTATCCGGACAGATGAAAGGATCAATCACCAAGTGAAAGACTCCTCAATGAAATCCACCACACCGTACTCCTGTACTCCAAGGACCGCCTCCCTCACATTATCAGCCAGGCCACCAGGTCCGCAGACTGTGACAGCCATGGCGCCGCACTGCTCCTTTACCTCGCCCTCCATGATGAGCTTGATGTTCGGGCGTCCAGGGAACATCTGCACCGTGTTGCTGGGCGAGACGATCTCTCTTGGGTTCTTGGGTCGCGTGACGAACAGCTTAATCGTGAGGCAGTCTCTACGCCCTTGAAGGCGGAGGATCTGATCCATCCACGGGCGGACCCATTCAAGGTGCTCTGAATCGCGGACGATCCACACGAGAGTGATCTTGCGGGTGGCAATGGAGCCGTCGTGAAAGCCGTTGATGAGGTGCTTCGTGAATCCGATTTGATGTGTGATTCCGGTTGCACCGGCGAAGAGTACCACATGCCCGTAGGAGTCGAGGGAGTGGTGGCCGGCGTATGGTCCTTCCATTGCGGCTTTGAGAGTCAGGAAGCGTGGAGAGCAGGCGTTTGCTTTGTTGAATAACTTCCTTGTGAAGCCGGTCTGGGCGCCAATGACAAATGAGACATCGGTAACGAGCTCATTGTCGCGAAGGATGATCTCACCGTTCTTCTCGGCCATGGGGAGAGATCCATTTGCTGGCTTGTCCTCAACCCAGGCGATGGAGAAGGGGTGGCACTCCAAGGGGTTGATGTTAAGGAAGCGGAGGTAGGCGTGACATCCAGGCTTGATGTGCATCTTCCTAGGGAGGTGCATCGTGACTCTGCAGGCATCTCCTGGAAGAGCTTCAACAGTGGCGTAGGTCCATCCCTTGGTAGAGTAATTGGCTCGTAGGAGTACAATGAGGCGGCAGGCACGCTCCGCTATCCAGAGATAACAGGTAGCCTGGACGTAGGGTAGAGGTGGGAGATTTGCTACTGAGCAGTGGATCCAGGTTCCGGCTAGTGCAAAAGCTGCCATTATGATGTGGATATCCAGGAAGGTTTCGTAGAAAGCGTGACGGACAGGAGAGAAGGCAGTGATGAAGATGATGACCATGGCAATAGTAGCGACCATACCCCAGGTTGCGAAAGGATCCACAGCAACTTGGTTGAAGAGTCCGGACCACCCGACTGCCTTGTACTTGACATATGCCCAACACCATGTGTGAAGGAGCGCCATAAAGATGACAATGCGACCAAGCCATCTGTGCATGAGGTTGTATGTGTCGAAGCTGATTTGGAGCAGACCTATCAGGGGGTTGTTCCGGCCAGCAAAGATGATCAGAGGAATCATGTTGATCACGGACAGCATTCCGGATCTCCCACGTAACTCGGCGACAACCTTGTAATGATTCTCTTGACTCCAATCGAGTTGGAGTGTGTATCCAAGGTTACTCGCCAAGTACAGGAAAATCAAGATCGAATGGAATCTTGATGGGAGGGTTCCCATGTTCATTGCCGAAGAGAGCCTGAACTCTCGGTTGTGGCGTTTGTTGACTAAAGGCGCGTACAAAAGATACTTCTTGAACCACCATAACGGCGATGAATTCCTTGCCCAATACGTCTGTACTGATTTCCCCATTGCTGATATGTGCCGTATATGCGCATTGAACCTCTGAGATAACCGAATAGTAAGTATGAGCATAGCCAGCACGCCCAGACTCCACCATGAGCTTATCCGGTACATGTCGTTCATGACCTGGTTCACGCCATTGAGCATGGTCGCATAGGGCGCAATCGTTCCTGTAGGTGCTGCGGTGTCATTGGTATGGGAAGAACGGACAGCGACCACTTGAGTCCCCCTGTGGAGGAGCTGGTGTACATGGTGGGAAGCCATCGTGCTTTGGTATAGTCGCTATGCTTCTTGTATACAAGAGGTAGGACTGGAGAATCGAAAATGAGTGTGTATGGAACTGCTAGCCTTGTTAGATATGAGGTCTCGGGAAGGGTCGCAAGTCTTAGTATTGTCGCTTGCTATTGTGAAGATTTGGGTTGAGGTTTGTCGAAGAAATATGAGAGTCTACAAACCTTGCGCAGGATCCGAGGTTTAAAATCTTTCCGAGTTCTTTGTCTTATTGTTCTATTGTTCTTGATCGAGTAACAAAGAATTGTTGTTGTGAATAAATGGCATTGTTTGACTGTCTTGGCTGCTGGGTGTGTTTGTCGGGGTCTGAAAGAATGACAACGTTTTTATTTTATTTTAAATCCAAGTACCTAAGAACAGTGAAACGAATGAACTGTCTCCAGGACTATGAATTGAACGAATGTGGTGACCGTTGTGAGTGGTCGGTGAGTGAGGGTAAACGAGGGACGCCTGAGAGAGCAGGAAGACCAAGCTGGTGGAAGAGGATCGGCGCCAGATCTTATGGGAGAGTCTCGCTTCCACTTTGGGGATTCCCTTTCATGAAAGTGAAATGGTGGCTTTCGTGGTGGGTCGAAAAGTGAATTGCGCACTATATTTGAGGTTGGTGGTGGGGAACTCCCACGCGCTTTCGGTACGGTCTCCGGATGCTTGGATGTTTCTTGGGATCAGATTCCTAGTGGGCTCGTTCAGGAGGTGGTTCGAGCGTGCGAAATGGATGTCTTGGTACGCGGTAATCGTATCAGAAAGATATGAGCTTATGTTGGTGGTGGTGAGTTGGTGTGGTGATGCGGTGACGAGGCGATGCTGGCCAGCAGATGTAGGGTCTTTCTTGTCTGTTTTGTCCTGACGCAAATTGAGGAGACTCGGCAGGGATTGATTCCGTGAGGGTGAATGTGAATTTGAATGTGAAGTGTTTTGCAAACAAATGACAGTCGGGATCAACACGACTTTTGACTCCGCCAGTGAGGTTGAACGGCAATGAGAACAACGAGCAGAACAGGGTGAATTCGTGCAGAAATCAAAGGATAGAGAGGAAGATGAGAGACTGTCTCTGCCTAACAGCGAGACGAGGTAAGAAAAGAAGAGATCGCGAGGGATGAGGTCAGTCAGGGCTGGGTTCAGGTACGGAGGGTGAGAGTTAGCTGCATGCCAACAGCAGGTTGAGAGCCAGTCCTTTGGAATCTCACTGGGCCAGAACTGCCCGTTGACGCGCCGTGCAGTGGCAAAAGCTGTTCCGCCAGAAGCCGAGGGCCTATCAAGGACCTTACCTGGGTTGCGTTCCTACCTTAGGGGCAGGATAAGACAGGGCACGACAGCTGCAGCGGAGCAGCGGTGTCCAGTTGTTGAGCAGGAGGTGATGTGAGCAAAAGGATGGAGGGGAGGGGAGGGGAGGGGAAGGGGAGGGGAAGGGGAAGGGAGGAGTGTTTCTCGATGGACGTCTACAGTAGAATCCAGGATCCAGGGGTGCAGGATGTCGTGTCGGTGGCGCCCACTGTCCAGTGGTTGGCTTGCGCAAGGGGCCGGGAGCATTAGCCTGCCCGCCCGGGCTCCCTAGCGCCCTAGCTCCCTTCAGGGGATCTGGGTGGGCAAGCCATCCGATCGTGTGAGTGGCTGCACAGGGAGAGACGAACTGATCGGATTCAGGGGCACCAGCAAACATCGCCGTGGATTGGAGGATGGGCGGCACGGCGGGGCATAGGACAGTACTGTATCGATGTTTATGCAGCCACATGAGGGGTTCGATGAGCTTTTCCTTGGGGCAGGGACTGTTCCAGGTAAAGATCTGTCTTCGGTACGCCAAGATGTTACTGGTACTTGATCATTCCAGCTGCTGGCTGATTGATGGCTACAGCCGTGAATCCGTGATATGATTCCATCGTTATGACAATGTCTAGAGTCTCTCCGAAGTCGATTTTTCCATTCTTCGGTATCTCCTCAATCCAAGACAGTCCCTCGCCACTCCTTAACACCCTCCCTCTACTGTATATCCTCTCCCAGCCTTCTCCCAGCCTTCTCATAGCCCGATAATATGATCCGTCTTATGATCCAAGCCAGCCAGAGACTCGACCCGTAATCCCATAGGGATACGAGCGGCGGCCACGCCATGCTGACCACACGCGCGGATTATTCGGCTGACCGAGGTGCTACTCTCGCGTGCTCATGCTTGCGCTTGTCCGCTCGCTTGAAAGACCTCGACCTCGACCTCGTCGTTGTCTACGTCGCCAAGAGTGTTTTGAAACACAGAAACCTTGCGCCTGCGTCCCCAGTATATTGACATCGGCTTAAGAGCCAAATAGGGACGAACCGACAGATTCTGAAGAGATCGGCTCAGAGCAAAAGGCTTGGTTTCCGAGCACAGCCGCCCATGGACTTTTCTTCCTGGCTTCTTGGATGTTCTTTGAGGAAGCCGGTGGCCCGGTCTGGGAAGAAGAGCCTCAAGGCGCTAATGGGTACGATCAGAAAAGGTATCTTGAGTTACCCACTCTACCAATAGTTTAGTATCAGAGGTACCCATGAACGGCCAGACTCTGCTCAAAAGGTACGAGATAACGCGGCCAGCACATGCAAATTTTTTGAATCCCAACTGTGAAGGACTGGTCACTCCTGCCACTTCCATTGTTCAAGATTCCAGCACGTGCCTAGGAAAGTGGGAGTTTCAGAGCGCGCGGCTGGGAAATGACGAGGTTTCCTCACCACCACACAGCGGCAGTCATCAATCTTACTTATATTGGCCATGTATTGACCTGGAAATACTGTCGAATGATAGATTCATGCTTTGCGGCTTGTTCTCGTTTCAAATATCGCTGTCAATCTTCCAGTGGGAGTTGGTTATGCAGTGTAACGGCTGATCAGGAGTATAACAAAGGATCTCGATCCCATGCTAATCTCGCTCCGATTTTCTACAAAGTACATCTGTTATCTGAAGATGTCGAATTTTCCCATGAGTGGGAGTGAACAACTCATTTGTATCATTATATTGTGCTCTGCCCTGCTAATCTAGAGTAAGAGTGCCGATGCTTCTCGGGAGAACCAAACTTGAATTTCATCCCTCTTGTTTTTTTCTTCTTCATTTTGTTGATTGATTTTGATTCTGCACTTGCCTTGCTATCGTACTGATGGGCACCCAAAATGTTGCTCTTCTACCCGTGACTCTACTCGTTGGAGGCATGGCGATGATCCTCAAGGAAACAGGTCCTTTCTTGTGCATCTCATTCTATATCTGCAAGCTTGACCCTTGCCTTGCGCTGTCTTACTTTCATATCACTGAGTCCGTAAATACCTACTGATCTACTACCTTCGCTTACATCTAAATGCTGAACAAAAGGTACGGTCTTCCGAAGACCACCCTTTGTTATGCTGAATGCCTTTTGTTACTGCACCTCCTTTGTGGTCCATCACATCACAAAGCATGCGAATAATTTCGAGAATAATATTACCAGTCATTCATGTGTCCTTAAGGGACAAGTAGTGTTTGATTTTGTTGTTCCGCCATCAAAACCTACTTCTGCTGCTCATTCATCAATCGTCAATCATCATAATCATCAATTTGCCAGCATACTCGCCATCGTATGCTTTTCGCTCAGAACCCATATGACCTGACCTGATCGTACGCCAAATCAAAAGAGAAGAGAGAATGTGCCAACCTGGTCAATGGTAGTGTACCATGAAAGGCGTGCGAACACCACAACACCATAAAATATGCTTCATGAATCGTCAGGATCTCGTCAAAATGAAATAAATAACACGCTGAAGAAGGGAAAGAATCTGAAGAACGATTTTGACCATTTGGCAGAGAAGACAATCTGTGCGTCATACTTGATCAAGAGATCAGATCAGCCGCTTTTGTACGCACCAGGACATGTGATTGACCTTTATCGCAAGCAGTGAGTTGTTTGCAAATGTTGTTAATCGAAACGATCGTTTCGAACAAGCTGTCTCTTCTCGAAAATACCAGAGAGCTGGCATGTATGAGTCTGTGGCCGTTGTTGAAGAATGACTGTCGAAGTCGACGTAAAGTCGTCATACAAATGTCAGAATGTGCGAAGAATCTGACTGATAACAACCTAAGCACTTGGTCCAGCAGTCAAAGCAGGAGTCAGAGCACGGCGTAAAGCCTGCTCGATCGCAGCCCATTCGGCAGATGCAACCTGAGCTAGAGTCAAGGTTGCGAACTCCTTTGGATCTCTAGGAAGATTGATGAGTTTCACAAGTTCTCCGAACAAGCTTGGTGGTGCGCTCTGGTGTCCCTTGGCGGCCTTCTGAGCGAGTGTCAACTCTGGCTTTGCCCCTATGGTCTCGCGGATGAGTGCAGCATAGTACTATCAATAAGTCAGAAACGCACAGCGGTCAAGATATATCGGAAAAGACTTACCAGAATGATATCGCTTGGAGCACCAGGCTTTGGTCCAATGGTCCAGAGATCCTTCCAAAACGCAGCATATGCTGGAACGCCCATCTCGGAAGCAAGCTGATCATCAATACCACACTTCCAGCAAATGTCATCCTTCTGGGAGGGAGAGAAGCCAGGGCACTTCAAGGCAGCACGCCACACACGCTTGAGAAGCATGGGGGTGAGATTAATATTCTCATGCTCGCTGTTGATGCGTTCTTGAAGGAGGTCGATCAGTTGGAGAGTGACTTTATGGAGCTGGTTGCGGTCTTCGATGGTGATGTACTCAACCATGTACCAAGGATACTACTAAGTGTTAGCAGATACAGATGAAGCGACTCAAAACCAGACATACCTTGAGCAGGGTGCTGATCAGACACTCGAATGGACGTTGTGGGCAATCCTTGGAGAATGGCGACTACATAAGTATGTCAGCAACCGCGCTTTCAACCGAATCTTGGTCGGTACTCACACGCTGGGGAGCCTCCACATGCTTTACCAGCATGACCAATTCCTCCTTAATGATAAAACCCTGGAACCCAGAATTGTACTTATCATTATCATCTTTCGGCTTGATAATCGGCCTCGAACCCGACCAAGTAACATTCTTAGCCTTGGGGAACAAATCATGCATCAACTGTTCCTGGCACGACAACTCAACCTCCACATGTCTCTGGCCCAGTCTACCGCCTCGGCCGCCAGTCCGATTTGTCTCGAAACGATTGACAGCATTGACAGCCTCGGTGAAGTTGACGAATTCGACATAGCAGTCCAATGTCTTGCTGGTAACACGCTCCATAACTATGTGTACGGGCTCGAAGTCCTGCTCGCTGATAATCCGCGCGTTGCGGCCGAGGAAGGCAAGAACTTCAGGTCGATTGACGGAGTACGGGATGTTCTTGATTCTGATGACGCCCCATGTGTCTTCTCTAGCTAGGCGGCAGTATTCAACCATGGGAAGGTTAGCAGGCTCAAGAGCATCGGAGATTGCGGGCTTGCCGTTGACAGCCAGACGTCTCAGCGGAGCGCTGACGGGTGGCTTCTGCAACAGACTTCCCCCTGTGTATGGACTCAGGTGCTGTGGAAGCGGAGCAAACGGATTGAGAGCTGGCTTGATCGGAGTCACACGCTGAATGGCGGTAGTAAATGGATCAGCATCGCTACGGAGACCAAGTCCAGCTGGAGTAATAGATGGTAGAGTAACGCCAGCCTGGGCAAGGATATCACCGCCCGAGAGCTTCGAGTCTGCCGAGAGCTCCAAACTTGACATTTTGGGCGGCGGAGTAGGGAAGACGTTCTCGAGCCAATTGACCATGGCCTGCTTGCTACTCGGGTCAGTAGAAGGGACTAGCGTCTGACCACGTCTCGATCTGAGAGTTGGAGTTCGGCTGTTGCGAGGCTCTGAACTGAACTCTTGTGGGCGGCGAGCAACTGGTGTTGGGCTGCCCTGACCTGAAACCTTCTCTTCGATGGAGCCAGATCGGAGGGAAGAAGATGGCTCGGCGGAGGAGTCGACTGTGGATGCCTTACTCTTGGTTGGACTTGTTGAATTAATTCTTGAAGGTGCTCGGGATGGAGGTCGAACAGCACCGCCGTCCTGGATTTCGTGGTTTTCGTTCTCAGGGTGACGACTTTGATAATTGGCGTTGACGACTGGAGCAGTTGTCAAATTGGATGGGTGGTATGGAGGAGCAGCGGCGTTGGGCTTCGCGCTACCATAGTAGGTAGACTTGCCACGGTTGATGTTCGAGGGTTGAATGTAAGGAGCTTGAACAGCATACTGGTTATGACCTTGGTACTGTCCCACCCAAGCCTGACCAGGTGGATAATATCCGTTATCGTTTGCGGAGCCATACTGACTATTCTGGTAGGTATGACTTGTGTTCGCTACACCATAGGTCGCGTTGTTTGGATAGCTGTTATTGGTCTGGCCATTGGTTTGGTATCCGTATCCATTCATCGCCACACGTTGTCCAAAGTGAGCATATGGGTTATGATTCGAAGCGCCGTTATATGAGGGAGGGCCACCAATCTGAGCTGAGCCGTAAGTACTGGAAGCTGGGTACTGAACAGCACCATTTCCATGACCATACGGGTTAGGTGCAGGGAAACCACCGTTCTGCGACTGATACCCACCCATCGATCCTCTCCGATCGTACCCACCATGTCCGTTCTGAACAGCCATTCCATAGTCAGACATTTGCTTCTGGGGAGGAACGTAGTTGCCATAAAACGATTGAGCAGTCTTGAGCTGAGTAGAATACCCATTGTTGACAGACCCCCCATACGAAGAAGCAGGCTTCTGCGTACCCGCAACAAACCCCAACGAAGGTGAGGCGTACCCCTCACCACCCACCGGCGGAGCAAAAGGCTGCGAGTTGGGATTCAAGCCCTTACTCGCTCCTGGAACAGCACTCATGAAAGTCGAACTGCTATTCAAATCAGGAGTCGCAAACGGCAAGGCACCATTATCGATCTGGCCGTACCATTGCTCCTCCTGCATAGCTCGCTGCTGCGATTGCTGGTGGTACGAGCCAGGGACCTGTGTGCGTACTGAGCCTTGCGAGTCGGTGCTGTCGGTACTGAGGTTTGTTTCGACGGAGAGGAATTGAGGGACTGCGGTCGGGGCGCCTCCTTTGCCTGTGGGCAGGTTCAGGTTGGCGACGCGGCGGGACATCTTGGAGGTGATTATGGGGGGACGTTTGGGTTTGTGTGTAGGTGTTGAGGAGGGTGAGAGGGAAGTGGAGGAGGTAGTGCAATTCAAGAGTAAGCTAGGTGGTGAGGAGGCAGGCAATGCCACCGTGGGGGTTGTTGTGTCGTTGTTGAGCGGAGGTGGTGGTGGTGTTGCAAAAGTTTGCAAGGTGGGAGGGGAAGAGAAAGAGCAAGGCGGTGGAGGTGATGTTTTCGGTGCTGCCTCGATATTCAATTTTGAGAACTCAAGATAGGCTAGACTATAGTCGTTGGCGCCGGTAAGGGTGTGGATTGTTTCTTCAGGAGCGCTCTGCTTCACAGGCGGCAGAACAGAAAGTGAATTCCTGTCGCCCGTCAGCAGGTCAGCCTTGAGGAAAGTCCCGTGGTGAAGCAAGGTTCGCGAATCTGCAAGGCTGGCTTTGTTCTGATTGTGGTTGTCACTGAAGCCTTGTTTGTTGTCTTGGAAGCTTGGACCATGACATTGACCTGAAGTCTTGTTGTCGATCTGCTCTTTTGTTTTCTTTCGTTTTAGCGAGGTTAGCCGAAGGCTTGAATTCCGCCGCTTTCTCCTCAATACGTGACCCTCCATGGTGGGAATTCTGGATCCACTAGAAATATCTGGTGACTGTTGAAAGTTGAATTGTCTTTTAGGTATGTCCTTTGTGCTGATGCGTTTGTCTTCTCCTGTTCAAGCTTGTCAGATCAGTCGTCCCAAGTTTATTTGTTCCAACGACGATGTACAGATTGAGTTGTCTTCCATTGCAGGAATTGGGGTTGAAAAAAGAAGAAAGGTAGGCATGGTATGTAAACAAAAGATGGGAGGAAGCTAAGGTCTTACCGAGGCACTAGCTGGCACATGGCATGACTAGATGATGGTCTGAAGCTAGTCTTTTCGAAAGTCCTTTCAAAAGTCTTTTCGAAAACTCTAATAGAAGTGGAAGAAGGACGCGTTAGTACCTGGAGACTATCTGGTGAGGGATTTAAAGAACATCAACGGTCGTTGACTGTGTTTAAAAGTGTGTGGGACTTAAGGCTTCAAGGAGGTCTTCAAATGAGATGTAAAAGAGAGGATTCGAAGACTTGGTTGAGTTCTAAGAGGTACGTCACCTCTTTCAAAGAGGTATATTTCTAGACAGCTCGCTAACCTTTACCCTTTAAATGCAAAAGAAACTTGCTTAGCTTTACATCAAGGACGTTAGTTGTGACTTGCCTTCGTGGGCCTGTTGTGAATCATCAGAGCCCGCTTTAACGATGAGAATATTCTCGATGTAAGAATGATTGTGGCAATGTAAATTGCCGTAGAGCCAAGGAACAATGTTCTGTACACTCAATTGATGAGTTTCCGCCATATTTTACCCACATATGCCAATACTCCTTCCCCATTGCGATGCTGTGAGGCAAACATAAAGGCGTCGTGTTGGAATTACACTAGACAGATTGAAGGAAATAAATATTTTGGAACGAAACGAAGCATCTTGCATGACATTAGTTAACACCAAACAAGATAAGCCTTTGAAAGGAAAAAACCCCCCGATCTTCCTTCCAGAGGATGAGAACAGGAATTCGTCCTCAAAGGTCAGGAACACCCCTCGGCCCAACATCCACTCTCTTCTTAATAATCGCTTCATCCTCACCATCCTCCAACCTCTTCACAAATTCCTCCGGATCAAAATCAGCACCAATCGGATTCTCCGCAAATTCTTTACTCCTCATGAACCTATCCGCCTCATCCAGGGTCGCAAAATTCTCAACCTCAGTCTCGATATCATTCCCATCAGGATCATGATAATACATGCTCGTCGTCGGGCCATGATTCACACACCAATACGGTTCGATACCATTCGCTTGACGCTGTTTATATGCAAGCGCCAAGTCGTGCAGTGAGTTGAACGTGAATGCGAAGTGGAGAAGCCCAGCTGCTTTTGGATCACGGGGCTTGATATCGGGCATTGCGATGATGGCGATTCGGTGGTGCTCGTCGTCGTATGAGAGGAAGGCAAGAGGGCCGGCTTCATAGCGAGCGTCTGCTGAGAGGAAGGTTTTGTAGTAGCTGACCATTTTTTCGAATTGCGCGGGCTGGGTTTTGAGGACGATGTGGGCGAGGTAGGAAGGCTTGATGACTTTCTTTCCTGGATTTGAAAAGGTCGCCATGATGGAATCTGTATGTTACGTCTTGGACTCACTGATCACTGAATCAGGAGTTGAACTGTGGAGATGTGAGTAATATAATCCGACATGTAGGGTTGAATGATGATCGCCCCGGGTAAGCTCGTGGTGGTCAGGTTAGAAGTCTTCGGCTGAGAAGCCGAGCCTAGATCATACCCGAAGCTGAGCAATTGGTTGCCTTCCCGAAACGTATGTAAGACTTATTGACTAGTCGAAGTTCACGCGCCTTTCAAGATGTCAGAGACGGAATTAACGTCGACTCCGATTTGCTCGAAGCCTGACAAAGGATTAGACGTCCTGTGAGGTACACACCAATTGGCCATGACAAACCAAATAGTGATGATGACGAATCGGGAAACCATCATTGCTAAGCTATGCGATGCTGAACATGTCTCGTGCTGGTGAGGATAGCTTCTGCAATTTCGTTCCCACTGCAGCAATCGTAGTTGAGTCATTGAAGCTTCATTCTGCTTGACATACATTATTTTTTGGACCTCGCTTTGTGTATGTGAAACCCTCATAGACTACCGCAAATCCAACTTTTAAAAATACAGTCCTACAAGAAAAATTAGGTATGAGAGCCACATGAATTTCGAAAAGGGGTATCCGCTGAACATTTGCACTTTCCTGTGTGTCAAATGTTATTCATATATACCAAATCCTCCTAGCATTGCACTAGAAATATGCAAGATGCCGAGTCTATACAACAAAAGAAATGAAGAAGACCGCGTGCTGACTATGTTGTTCCGAAATTGATGGGATGAGAGCGCGCAAAAGATCGAGTTGTCATGATAGGATCGGGTGGAGACGTGAGTATTCAATCAAACCTTCCTAGTACCCCGTTCCTGCAGTGACGTTGGATTCTGGACAGCTCCTGCATGCTCCAGATGTGAAATGACCTCCCTGAGAAGATGTACCAGTACACTATCGGTTTGCTTGACCGCGTCGTCAAGTGCATTGTAGGTAGCATGTAGAATGCTCTTATCATATACTGCGTCATTGTCAGATTGAACGGAATAGAGCAGCGTTGGGAACGGCGACATACTTGAATATGCGTTGACATTGGCGCCAGCCTCGATGAGACTTCGCACAGAGTCAGGCCGGCCACGAACAGCAGCATGATACAGAGCTGTGAGTCCTTCTCGGTCTTTCATGTCCACGTTGACTTTATTCTTAGTGCGGGAGCTTTGGTCTTTCCACAGGATCATGTCTAGGTATTTTGACATTGTTGCTCCTGTTTCATGCTCATCCCATGGGCGGTCGCAGATGAAAGATTTCAATGGGTGACTACCCTCGCGGTTGTGAGCATTCAGGTCAACCCCCTTTGCGATGAAGTATTCCAGATTCAAGAGCATGTAGTTGCCCTCACGGTTTGGTCTGTCCTGGGTAGATCGGTTTGACCTCAAATGGTCGATAGTGGAGAGGACTTTACTGCTGGAAACAATCCTAGAGAGCGCGTGAAGTACATTTTCACCACTCTCGGTATCAATATAAGACGGTTGGTGGCGTGCTTTGACGACGACAGTCTGAGCCTTATTTTGCTTAATCCTTTCCAGTCTAAATTCAGCGACGATGATTGCTCCACAAGTCATCGCTTCTCCGTTTTCTTCAGAATCCTCAGGCACTTCTTTGATCTGATGGAGTGAATTGGTCGGGACTGGATCAATGACTTGACCATGAGAGTCGTAGGTCAGGGGAAAGACTTGCTCGGGAGATCTCCCAAAACGATCCAGTACCGTGGAAGAAAATCCAGAGTATCTAAGAATACTGGACGATTATTAGCACCCATAAGTCACAAGCCGTGCTTTCGGAATAGATGGCAATTTCGCTCATATCAATGGCGGTATCACCAGCTCCTCGGGAAGAAATGTGTCTCACGGACGGAATGCCAAAGGTGTCTTATAAATCAGAATGTGAAATATTGACTCACTCGAAAATCTTTGTTTTGAGATCTGGCTCGGAGATCTTCAGTGCCAATGCGTGCATCACGGTCTGTCCGTCATTGTCTCTCCAATCCGAGACTCTTTCAAGATGCAGCAATCCAAGGAGCTTGATAAGGTCATCTCCTCTCAAGCAATCGGAGTTCGGCTCAAGCGTGAACGGTTGAAGCGGTCTCAAGCAGTAGATAAAAAGTTCTCCAGCGGAATTGGCTAAGTAGGGATCCACGCCAACATCTATCAGCGCCTTCAAATGCAGGAAGCTAGCACCACCAGCAGCGGCATACTATTACTAGAGGTTAGCCTAGCCCTTTCCAATTTCCAACTTTATTCACTCAGGTTTGAAATGGGTGTCGCTTTCGAAGCTAACGAGCCTTCCTGAGCCATAGAGAGCTCTGGAGTACTTACATGTAGCGCTGTGTTGCCTGCTGCGTCCAAAGCCCCAAAGTTGTAAACACCCTCCAGCCTGAGCTCGCTCAAGAAGACTTCGAGCTTCAAATATCTTGCTGACCAACCGAGGTTATGAATTCCGGAGTAATGACATGAGGTGCATGTTGGGATGTCTTTGCACTGAGACTTCGCTTGAGGCTCGTGTAAGACCTGACAGGCGACCCGATACAGTCCATTAAATTCGTCTAAGGACTGCGAATTGATCCGCCTGACTTCTTCCAAGGTCAGCGAAGACGCATGCCCACTTGCATACCCCGAATCCTCTGTGGAGTTGGTGAATTGTGAAACAGCATAGCGTTTTCGACCCCGGTTTGAAGCGCTGGATTTTGGTCTGAACAATGATCGGATCTTGCTACGTGCACCAGTGTTTGATGCACCGATGAGCTTCTGAAATGGAAGTTTGACAGAATTGGAGGAATCCGAGCTCGCAGCCGAGAACTGAAAAGGCGCCGAGTTTGTGTCAAGATCCATCAATGAAGGATTAGGAGAAAGCGGTCTCGGTTGAGCTGTATTGATCCTGGAATATTCAGAGCTCGGATTTAGAGCAGGCAAATTTTGCATAGACGATTGCTCGGGCAGAGAAGAGGGAAGCCCGGAATCCGTCTCAATGCCAAAATATGAGGCACCATTGAGCTCCATACTTTGGTCGGGATATTGAAACGCATGGTCGGTAGTGTTTGTAGGTACATCAAGGCCGTTGCCATTGGACAGCCATGAGGGGAAGACCAGTCCAGGCGATAGGTTCGTTCTCAAAGATGAAATACCAGCAGAAGCATCGCCAAAATTGTTGTCTGCTACCGCCTGCTCGTCTCTCAACTGTGTTCCGCCAAGGATATCTCCTGATTCAAAGAATTGTTCAGAGCTGGGCGTACTCATATCATAACCATGACTCCAAGAAGCTCCGGCATCACTGAAGGTAGAATTGTTGAATGGGGAGTGTAGGCCACTATCCAAAAAGTGGTTGGTATCGAATGGTGGAGATTGAGCCTTCATCCACACACTAGATGATGTATCGACTTCCGCTGGAACATCGGAGGTGTATCGTGAGTCGAGGAACTTTGTCCGTCCAACAGGATCAGTGGGATATCCCATTTGCTTGAACTTGAGATAAACAGATCGCTGACTTGGTACAGTTAGAGACCATTTGAGCCTGAATGAAGATGAGGTATTACCATGGCTCAAAGCCATCACACTGAATAGCTTTGTGTATATCTGGAATTGAAGTCTGGCTGTTGTAAAGCTCGATCATCCGAGGCAAATGAGCTGCCCAATCCCATTTCTGCTGTCTGATGCTTGCCATTGTGGTGTCTGGCGCAGCTATCCCACATACATCAGACGATGGAGAGCTTCGTCTGTTGCCTAACCTTGAACCGTACACTTTGTCGTTATGCCACCTTTGCAGAGCGCATACCGGCACAGCTGACTTGGAATTTGATTAAGGACTAGCCAAATGTTCAAAGTTGGGTCAAATATGATCGTGCCCTCAGAAGCCACTCGACGAAGGCAGTTCACAACGGAGGGTGATGGGACGCAGAGTGACTCGAGATGGTGGGGCGTACAGTAGCGATTTGCAGCTGACGAGGGAACACTTCAGCTCTAAAATGAAGTCAATCGGTGTCAAATGATTACGGTGGAAGGTTGCGCTTTTATGAGTGTCAAGACGTCGAAGTTCTATGATGAAGGAACTCGACGATGTCAATAAACGTGCAGAAGTGAAGGTGCCTGGGGAAAGACGACCGAGCACAGAAACAGTGGCGGATAAGAACCAGCGGGGAGCAGGGGGCGCCTTCGAGCTTCGCCCTGCCGCCTGTCCAACAAATTCGCACACTCCCTGTCACAGCTTCTAGAAGGATGATGGAAGGATTCACGCGCTAACGCCCCATTTGCAGCAGTTCAGCCATCCAATCTTTGACAAGCCTGATAGCCCAAGGATACTTGATGCTAGCGATGAAGTGCGTCGGAAGGGAAGCAAATGATGAAAATGCAAGCATGGGGACAGAAACCGTGCTAAGACAGTGGAAAACCATCCGCAGAGTAACCGAGTCTCGTGAGTTTCGTTCCCAGGAGTCACCACCGCACGCCTGAATGGTACAAACGGCCAGCGTGCGAGCGCCGTAAACGTCACTATTGTACGCCGACAGACGCTGCCTCGATTAAGCCCAGCAAATAGAGTCCGAGAGCGCACTGCTGATCTCGTCTTTTAAGTTCGAGTACAACCGACTTGGGCATTATTATTCAGTGGTCTCGGTGGTGCAAGCCTTTGGTTCGGTGAGAGAGACTTGGATATTCAGCCACTTTGCAAGCTTGCATCGCTGACGAGCAGGGATCTGTCTCGGTGTGCAACGACATGCTTCTTCATTACGAGAGAGAGCGCGCGTTGAAGAAAGCTGAAATCAAAGCGGGAATCATCCACTAGGTTGAAAAGAGCTTTGCAGAACTGGTGGCAACGATGAGAATACTCCACAGCAACGGAGGTCCAGACTTGAACCAAGGACGACAGCTGCAGGGGGGAGGCTTGACGGCAAAGAACACGGAAGGGGCCGCGAGAGCCTGTACTGTACCACAAGTACAGGCTAGCCGGATAATCATGAAGTTGAAATGAGATTCGAGTGCCGGCAAAGATGTTGAAGGTGTGGAGCGAGAGCGAGAGCGAGAGGTTTGGCGTCGTTCCGTTTGGCCTCCGCTTGGACTGAGAGTTTCCAGGACCCGCTCTTGCATGTCACGCTTTTTCCAAACGGTGGGGAAGTGGAACACAGATTGCAAGATCGCACCGACTTATTGTGTACAAAATCTACAAATCAGTTTGTTAACAGCCCTACATACAGCTGTTATCTAAGGTACCCAGACTTGATAGCCCAATGTGTGAGGAGCCAGACCATCTCACATGATGCTTTCACGTGATCTGCCTGAAATCACACTCAACTGTCTCAATTATTTCCTTGCGTGGCCCAAGTAGCGATTGTATCGTCTCACAGATCTTCAGGTTCTATGGAGGTATATTTTGGATCTATTGCTAAAATGTGAGCAGACTCGACGGTCTTCTCCAACGATTCATTTGTTGACTTTCTGGCAAGTCTATCGACGCTTCACATACCCAAAGGAGATATGCTGTCCAGAACAGGGGACACCGAATCAGAATCAAAAATAAACAGCAAAAGCTTATCGTACTTGATGGATCCATCCGAGCAGACTGTGTCGACTTGTCAACGAATACCAGAATCCTTAGAAAGATATCTTGGAGGTCCTGTCGTCCCTATTTCAAGATCTCACTACCGGTGGATGGTCGATGGTAAAACGAAACAACAAGGAATTTCTCGCATGACTTCTATATTAAAGAAAATTAGCCTGTAAATAACTGCTGGGTAGGGCTTTCGACTTGGGCTGGGGTGATTTGAAGTGGTAGGGCTCTGATGTATTCTCTTTTTTCAACAATATAAGACACCTTAAATATAGAAACCAACTCTAACTGATATTCACAATACAAGAACAATAAATCTTATATTAATCATATACTCATGATGATCACAGTCTGATTCTACTTCAAACTGATCAAGTGTTGATATCAACCTAGGTAAGCGAGGCATTCCACGCCGGCAGCAAAGGAATTAATATGAAGGCTCGCTTCTGAAAGTAAAAAAGCCTGCGAAATGCAAAAGAACTTCTTACTTCTTTAATTGAGAGAATGAAATCACTGATTAGTCGTGTTGTTGTGCGTTTTGGAGGTGAATCTGAAAACGCTTTCTTGTCGTGAGCGGGGTTGGTAGGAGTTCACTTTAAACCCCCGGATTGGTGAAGCAATGTGGGCACATATTTCGCTGGTTGTATTTATGTTGTAAGATGATTATTTGCTGCCAGGGACGGAGAAGATGTAGTCGACGTGAAAGAAGTAAAATTGTCTCCGCTCACATGCAGAAAACCACCGATACCAGATACGCCAAAGTCCAAACCGTTCCACTCCATCATCGGAGGTGTCGATCTATCTGTTGCGTCCGGCTTTTGTCTCACTGTCACATTTCTCATCACCAAACTGGCCATGTTTTACACCTTCTCATGTGCTGCATAGCATGGGTACAAGTTGCTAAGGACACTTGAGCACAGTGAAAATGCTTCGAGTGAAATTCCGAATGACTACTAATCTTATCAGAGAAATGAAACGATAGATCAGCTGTTCGAATCATGCAAGAGCTAATGCACCTAAATCGAACATATCCAGGGTGAATGTCATTCATCAATGGAACCCATAGCAAGGCTTCCTAAAAGCAGTAGAGCTCAGAGGTATATAAATGCCACATACTTCGTCCTACGCCAGAGCACCACCGCTCAAAGCAACATGGATAAAAAAGCTAGTGCTTGGTTCTACAGAGCTAGGCTTGAGCAGTGTTGCCTGAGAGTAGAAAGCTGGATGCCAGTCTTTGACAACCACATTGTAGAGAACATGAGCATTGAAACAGCGCTAAGGAGGCAGACAGGTACGACTCAAATGTCCCGGGAACTTGCACCGTGAGAGCAAGAGTGTTGACTGTCAGTTATGAGACGACCGTCATCTCTCGGTTGACCGTCAAAGTCATACGTTCTTGAAGAATATAAAATGCATGGATCATGTACCGATTTAGAAAACCTGCGGACTTTATCACTCCCACACACTGACTTCAGGAATTAGAGGAGGACAAAAACGTAGTCAAAGGAACATGCCCAAGAGACTACCAGGCCCTCGCCTCTCCCATTCGAAAATTCATTCCCACATTTCCCCAGTCCGAACGCCAGCTGTGTCATTTTATACGCGCGTCACCATCTCGACCTTCCAGATCCAAATTCGATTCGCAGAACAGGGTCCAAGCACAAATGCATAACGAACCATACCGCACCTCTCCCAAGCCCAAACCCAAACACCTCCCACCCTCGTGTAATCCTTCCTCCCGAGCGTCATCAATCCCCCACACCCACACCCTCGGAACCATCCCCCCATCAGATCTCAAACCCAATCTCCAAACCATCTCCCAACCTAAAAATACACTCCTCTCCTCCCCGGTCCCGGTATCTAATTTCTCAAACCCCCCATCTATCTCTCACATCTCGGCTCAACCTTCTCCTCCCCACCACTCCTCCAAGCTCACCCGTCCTCAAACCCAAACCGCCTCGCTTCAGCCCGCCGCCGCCGTGCCGCAGCAACCACAATCAAGGCCAGGTCTCGGCACATCCTTCCTTCCCATCTCTAAAAGTTGACTTTAAAAGGGAAATTCGAGACGGGCTTTTGGGGACGACGTGCAACAAAAGGGTTTAACTCATGTGTTGTTCATGCTCCTATTGAGTGGTTGGCCCGTTTGTTGTTGGAGATGAAGTGGGTATGGTATGGTATGGTATGGTATGGTATGGTATGGCACAGGACTTTGGATGGGGAATTAGGCTGGCTGGCTGGCTGGCTTGGAGAAGGGGGAAGGGGCTTGAGGGGTTATTTTGTTGGTTGGGTTTGTTTTACTTCTTTGTTTGGGAATGTACGATTAGTTCAACATTCATATTTTCGAATTGTACAATACGAAAGTGCTGGAGCTCTGACAGTTGCCATAAATTGGATTCAGATTGATATCAATGTTGATAAGGTAAGGTATTTATTTATATTCATGTACTCCGGCAGACAGGAAGAAACGCACGGATACAGGTATGCGCACAAGCAGCAATCAATCGATCTGATCAAAGAAGAAAATACCAAGAAGTATGGGGAATCAAAACCAGAACCAAAGGTGCGCATTGCATTTACCCGCCTCCTTATATATGACAAAACATCCGCATCAGTAGACTCGTTCTCGTCCCCGTCATGCATGTCATTCAGTCATTGATCTCTCCTTCCGATCATCAACCCAGCGCGCATCCATCCCACCCATCGAACATGAGGGTATTCTTTTAAACTGCATGACCTGATTGGCTTACTGTCCATACTCGTCGTGCTCAAGCTGACTTGACTGTCTCGTCCTTATCCTGATCCGACTTCAAGTTCCTCAACTTCCTCTTCGCATCCTCCATCTGATCCGGATCGTTAGCAGCCTCCATCTTCGCCGCCACAAGCGCAATCAGCGCTGCACCAACACCCGATCCATCATGCGCAATACCAATTCGAATTCTCCTCTCACCAGCAGCGCCAATCTCCGGCATCGAGCGGAGAGCCTCGCGCATTGAGTCCATGAATCCAGGGTAGAACTCGACCAAACTGCCATCCACACCAATATCAACGATCTCATCCTCATTCACGGTGAGTCCTGCAGTGTCGGCCAGCTTGTTGGCCGTGGCAGAGGCGGCGGCGGAAAATTTGAGGTTCTTGACGTCTTCGACGATGGATGCTGCGGACTTGGGACTAGGGTTCGAGGATGCACCTGTATTCAAGCGGCCGGTATGGATAACGATTGCTCCAATAGCTGCACCAGCTAGGCGTGCTGCGCGGAGACCGATTGCGTGGGAGATGTCTTTAACGGCTTGAGCGTCCTCGATACTGGCTGCTGATACACCGAGGTTCTTGTAAATTGCCTGTCGAACGGCACGAAGTCCGTCGCTGCTATCGGCTTCTGAGAAGGAGAGAATACTGCTATCGACGGCATTCTTGATGTGAAGTGGCGAGTTCTGCTCAATGGATGCAGTAGAGTGGTAATCGTTCTGAGAAGAGTTGTCGTCGCGGAAGAGAGGGATGGCAGGATCCTTTCCCATAGAAACGAGGGCCAGACGGAGAAGCTCACCAAGGAACATACCAGAAATGCGCTTTTCGAACATTTGGATGCCTGGGTTGATACTTTCCTCATCCAATTGAATATCGTAACGAGTGTTTGGCAGAGTCTTGAGACCATTGTCAAAAGAACCCCACTCGGTGTTTATGACCATGTCTCCAGTACTCTTGTCATAGTCTCCTTCCATAGGCTTGGTGATCTTCGACAGCTTCTCGACATAAGCGCCGTTTGTACCAGTTCCAAAGATGGCTCCAAGCAAGGTCCCGGTCTTCCCGGGGGAAGCATATGAGCGGGCCATCAGTGTCCCTACAGTGTCGTTCACCAGGGCAGCCACTTTGACGGGTAGGTTAAGAGCATCGATCTCCTTTTGCAACAAGTCACAGACATCCTTCCCAACAGCATCCGCAATATCAAAGCCCTTTGTCCATCTCATAAGATGGCCGCTGTTAATGCCGACCTGATTCACAGGGAAACTGAAAGTGAACCCTAATCTAAAGACCTCCTGTGGACGCCATCCTTCTGGTGTGCTAACTGTAGGGCGTCGTCTGGTGTGACGCTCGAATTGATCCTTGTGGTGAGTCTTGAGGAATAGTTCAATCTGCTTCGCTAAGAAAGAAAAGAGCTCTTGTGCCGTCTTTGCTCGCATTAATTCAGGTGGCACAGCTACTTTTGATTGTACCAAGTTAAAGGTTGTGTCGCCATTTAGTTGAATCGAACAGACTCTGAAGTTGGTTCCCCCAAGATCTACAGCCATGTAAAGACCCTAGAAAATGTTAGTCGTTTGACATTTGAATGTATGCACCATGCTTACCTTTTCTGTCCCATCTGGTACTGCTGTGACGAACGTGGGGATTTGGCTCATGGTACTGCCATTCTTCTCCAGTCCCTCGTCTATATAAATGTTAGAATGCGCTCCTTTGAATATAAGCATCCGGCAGACATACTCAGCTCGAATACAAACTCCTTCACAATCTTCTGCAATTGCTCGTCTGACAAAGTAAAGTCTTCTACCACCTTCTTAGTCGCAGCTTGAAGAGCCATTGTGTGTGGTTTCGAAACGGGCGGTTCAACTGGAAACGGTGTTGGTGATTCGCAGAATCCTTCTTCGACGTGGGCTGGCGGGGAATATGATGTCGGAGAGAAAGAGACGCTCCTCAAGTATCCAGGCTGCAAATCTGCAAAGAAGAATTGGACAATCTGTGTGGGGAAATAGCGTCAGTTAACCATAGTAGCTCGGTCACGGTTCAAATAGCGTACCAGAATAAGTGCTAGTAAAGCAAAGGAAGCGAAGTGGACCAGGCTGATAGGGTTGCGACTCGAGACCTTGTGCGGCTTGTACTCGTAGACTCTGGACTTGTCAATTGATGGTGGGAGTGAGTGTGAGCGAGAAATGATAGGCGAGTTCGAGGAGGGAGGGCTGGGCGAGGGGGCCCTTCGAGTTCTTAAGGACGACGTTGTGAGGTTGTGGAGTTGTTCAAGGCCAGAGTTGGCGGGGCAGAGGAATGGCATTCAGTACTGTACTAAGGCGGGATGGAAGGAGGGGCAGAACAAGCGTCACGCTTCATTCGCTGTAAGCGTCAGAAAAGGGCCGGAATGCCGTACAACTCCAGACCAGAAGAGACGAAACTTCAAGGTTGGCTGGCTGGCTGGGGTCGGATCGGGGTGACCTCCTCACTGGTGCGATGATGCGCCAATTGTCATATGGCTGGGCCTGTTCCGGCACATCAGAGGATGAGTGAGGAGAGCAAAGCTGGCTCCGTCCAGTCTGGCAGTCTGCTGGTCTTGTGCTTGTCGTCTGAGAAGGAGGGGTAGCTGTCGGCCGTGGTGGGATCAAAGTCAATTAAACTGGTGACGGCTGGGATAAGAATGAGATGGTGCCCGGCGCCGCTGTCGTCAGGAGGCCCGAATATTCAGAGCCTAAGTAATTGGCATGCCCGCACTGGTCTGCATTCAAGGTCTGGATCTGAATTAGAGAGAGGGATGGAGACCAGCCAGGTATGTTCTGCAGAATCTCGGTCCAATTGTGACGATGGTAAGATTTAGGGTTCTGGCGATTAGATCCACAGATGACGGCACTGCGTACAAATTTGCTGGACCCAGTGTTTCGAGGCTCGTGTCAATTGAATCTGCTGCGGATGGCCGACGTTCACCGGAGCTTTCAAGGGTGGATATTGTTTTGAAGCCGGGAGTACAAGTTCCTCAATGAGAATTCGAGCACATAGGCAATGAGGGGGGGATCTCATGGTTTGAGGCCAGATAGCTCATGGCGGCAATGCGACAGTAGTGTCAGATCTGTGTTTCCAGATCATCCAGCCTCTTCTTTTCCCCAGTTTTTAGGAAGTCCGGGAATAGCTCCCGCCAAATGTTTGGTAGCATACTCGTCTGGATTGTTTATCTTATCAAATCTTCCAATAAGATTTTAAACAAGATAGTAAGGGCATGATGAACATCTCAGAAGGTTGGTTTGGTGTGGGCTCCTATTGATTGGCGTCTCAGGGTCATCAGCATGTGATTCGGAATAAGTTCTTCATGTAAATTTAGGTACGTTGCTCTCACTCCTGAGACATTCGGGATTGAAACTCTCCTAATCTAGACTGCGGGGAAATGCGAAGCTTTGTTGGATACGTACAAGGCTTTGGCCAGCAAGTCATGCTCTTTCGGGTTCGGTCAGGCCATACCTTGTGCTACTACTGTAGAAGGACCTCGTCTAGGTACGGAAGGCGTGGATGTGTAGGACAGAGGGGATTTTCCGAGCCAGTGCAAAATCGCTTTCGCCAAAGCTACAAGCAAATTTGGACTTCTTCGCCTGATCTTTTGCAGGTCCTTCCTTTCCTGTTGTAACGTCACGCGAGAAATCCAGAATAGATAAGGTAAACAAACCGTAACTCACAGCAATGTCCAGGATTGCCGCATCAGGAGTCTGAACCACCTCAAATGCGCCAAGAGGCTGCTGTGTTCTAGCCCAGCGCAGCGTCCAATAACAGAACACTTGAAGACTTGGGGGCTGAATAACTGCTTGCTGTGGTGATTTGGGCAGCGGGACGACAAAAATTTGAATCATTGAAAAGCACCCTTTCTATGATCATAAATCAGCTTCAGGATCACTTTGGCTCATGTCATCACTATTTCTAGGTATCTCATCTCTACTTGCCCTCTCACATAAGTCAAGTCAGTGAGGCAGACTTGCTTAAAAAAGACAGCCTGATAGCGGGGCCGGATGCCTTTCCTCTCCTCTTGGGAGATGCAACTGTGAGGCTGAGCAGAGCAAGTGAAAGTCAATCTCAGCCACTCGGAGACAACAGAAACAGAAACAGAAACAGAACCATCGCACCCCCCAAATGAAATGCACTGACTGGCTCAAACCCCACCGCCAAAGCTCCCTCTGTCTCTCCTGCTGCCTCTCGCATTCAATAATGCCAAAGAAAATGCGCCAGCGAGCCGCTGCAGAGTCCTGAACGTGAGCGGTCTTCTCCATCTCACCATTCTTTTCTTCTCTCCTCTCCCCTCCTCTCCACCAATGCCATGATAAACCATTGCCACAAAATCCACTCGTTTCTATCTACAGGACTGCAATACAATTTTATCTGCTTCGCTTGGCGTCTTCAACTAAATTTACCTGCATCTGGAACAAAGCGAGAAGGATCTCCCCTTCCTTAATCCTGCCCACCCCACCGCCGCTCACGAACTGCTCGGCCAGCCTTCCCTTTCAGCTCGCTATCTTGTGCCGCCTCACCTCAACTCACCTGGCACAGCGCAATTCCGACCTCTTCCCTTGCCCTAAATCACCTTGTCTTGCCTTTGTTCTTCCCTCGTTCATCACAGGAAAACTCAAACCCATCTCGAACCACTGCTCGAACCACTGCCCCGATTCCTCCCCTCGCACTCTGGGCACGGTTCTCGCTGCTGAATATATCGTTCCTGCAGATTGACAGGGTGCCGCCACTACTGCTCCGTAATCTTGCCCTGCCCTGCCCTTCTTGCAAGGACAAACCCAGGGACTATCCCTCCAGGACTTCCATCCAGGACGCAACGCTCAAAGCAACGCAACGCAACGCAACGCAACGCAACAAAGAAGCTCGCTCACTGCGCAGTGGTATTGCTCAGCCTCAGCTCAGTGGACTCGCTAGTTTGACGTTGGCTGACATCGACGACTCTCCAACACGAACCTCACCCCTCCTTTAGCCCTCCTCTTCCTTCTTCCTTTTTACCTCGCATTGATTACACCTTCTCGACCTTATGAGTTCTATGAACTCCCGCTTCAAAGGCCTGGGATTCGGCTCCAAACGCAAATCGAGCGCCAACGTCCCGACCATCGCACAGAACCCCACTACATCTTCTTCAGCGCCACAACTTCGTCCCATTTCCGCCTCGACAACCTCCTCAACGACCAGTCTCCCAATGAATCACACCGGTGCAGGCGGGCGACCGCCGAGCTATACAAATAATTACGCTCCAGCTCCTGCTGCTGCGGGTCGCACGCAAAGTCCCATGGCGGGGAATCCTCGCACACCGCCGACGCAGGTAATGGGTGGCCCTCCGCCGATCAATACAGCTGCGACTGGTGGTTATCCTCCTGGACATCCTGCTGGTGGAATGGGAGCACCTCCACCAGCTGGCGGTCCTCCAGGCTACGGACCACCACAGTATGGAGCTCCACTTCCCGCTGGAGGCAACAGTGTTGCTGCAGCCCAATACGCAAACAGAAACAATGCGGTTGAGGTTGAGGGAGCTGGACGCAGTAAGGCACAGTTGATCGTTGGTATCGATTTTGTGAGTCTACCGGACTTTTGGATTGTTTGGATCGCTCTAACCTTGCGCTAGGGAACCACCTTCTCTGGAGTTGCTTTCGCATTTGCTACAAACACAGAAGCTAAGGAGGACATCATCACGGAATGGCCAGGTGCTGGATCATACACAAAGCAAAAGGTACGCTAAGGCAGGGTAAAGTGAGACTTCATGAGCTGACACATTCAGATTCCAACTGTCTTGTACTACGATCAGTACCAGAAGGTTGTGGGATGGGGACCTGATATTGCTGATGCGCTGGCGCCAACTGGATACCCCAAGCCTGGTGTGCAGAAAGTTGAGTGGTTCAAACTTCAACTAATGCTCTCCGGAAACACATATATTGATCCCATCAACCTTCCCCCCCTTCCTCCTGGAAAATCCGAAATCGATGTGGCAGCCGACTATCTTTTCAAGCTTCGACAGGCGATGCGCAGTCAATTACAAAAGACGCTCGGAGAGGTTTTCAACAGAGAAGAGCGGAACATCAGATACTACCTCACCGTACCAGCTATCTGGAATGATGCTGGAAAGGCTGCAACTCGCGCTGCTGCTATTCAAGCTGGTTTCTTACGTGATGAGAATGACAACAGATTGACCCTCATTACTGAACCAGAAGCAGCTGCGCTGTTTTGTTCGAAGGCTGGATTGTTAAATCTCAAGGTTCATGATGCCGTGCTCATCGTGGATTGTGGCGGTGGTACAGTCGATTTAATCGCTTACGAAGTTGAAGAGGAGTCTCCCTTCACGGTTTCTGAGTGTACAGCAGGTTCTGGTGATTCTTGCGGGTCAACAGCACTGAACCGAAATTTCAGCAACATTCTCCGAACCAAGATCCGAAAGATGAAGCTCCCAGATGGATCAAAAACAGCTGGCAGAGTCTACGCGAAGTGTATCATGGATTTTGAGAACAGAATCAAGGCTGATTTCCGGAACAACAACCAGAAGTGGGCAGTGGATGTTGGTATCGAGGCTGAGTTCCCCGAAGCTGGTATTGAAGAAGGCTACATGACCTTCACCAACGAGGAGATTCTGCAATGTTTCGAGCCAGTGGTTAACCGAATTCTGGAATTGGTACGGAACCAAATCATTGCCATTCAAGCACAGAACAGGACTCTTCAGAACGTTCTGGTTGTTGGTGGATTTGGTGCTTCCGAATATCTCTTCCAACAGATCAAGCTTCACGTTCCACCTCAATTCCAAGCCAAGGTTGTTAGACCCATGGATTCCGTTGCTGCTATTGTTAAGGGTGCCGTCACTGCCGGTATCACTGAGCGAGTCGTCACATCCCGTGTTGCTCGTCGTCATTACCTTATGGCCACTCTTCAGCCTTTCAAGGAGGGACACCACCCAGAAGCGTACAGGGTTCCATCGTTAGATGGCAAGGACCGATGCAAGTTCACTCGACAAATATTCGTGCAGAAAGGTCAGAGAGTCAAGATTGGGGAGCCTGTGAAGGTTTCATTCTTCCGACAAGTTGCTCCGGGTGCCACTCTGATGTACGAGGATATCTTGTACGCCTGCGATGATGATGTTTGCCCCGAATACACCAAAGATCCCCGTAAGTTATTTATTCACTGATATTGAACAAACATTCTGACCGTTACACAGGTGTCAAGGAAGTAGTTACACTTACCTCGGATCTTTCCCGCAAAAATCTGGAGAAGGACTTCGAGAGGATGGACACCCCACAAGGAACTTTCTACCGGGTGTACTTCGATATCTATCTCACGCTCGATGGATCAGAGTTCAATGCTGAGCTGGTTTGCCAAGGCGAGGTGATGGGACGTTGCACATCGAGATTCAAGTGAGCCGAAGACGCTTCGCTTTTTTCCAAAAAGATACCACGGTTGTAGACGAATTTCTTTCTTGTCTTCGGAGAACATGACATGAACGGATGGATGAACGGTGATGACGGATGCATGACGGATGCATGTCGGGTGATGTGTTGATGTAATTTCCAGACATGGGAAATTGGGGAATGGAAAGCGAGCATGGACGGATAGGTGGATGGAATGGAGAGGATATATGGAGAATTCACAGGGCAGGCGTGGTTACATATCGTGTGTTTTTGGTGGTTCTTTAACTTTAAATAGGTTAATGGTTGGTAGAGACCCCTGAACTGTTTAGCCTTGAATTCTAAAAGAAGTCGTACTGTCAGATCACTAGTAGAACGAAGAAATGATCAGGGACAGGTGTTAAGTTAGTGGGATAGCTACAAGTGGAAAGCTGGGTCTTCATCCGTCTCCTAGCGTGGTCCTCTTAGCTTTTTATAAGAAGGGAGCTAGATTTGACAGCCTCGGAATAGCTTCATTTGAAGCAAGCCGATGCAAAAGTAAAAGAGCACCATCCTGGTCAAGGCACAGAAACATCGATATCAAAGTCCTGGATCAATGGTCACAAGGCAAGGCTAGGATCGTGCCTTCCGCTGTCGTTCAGCATGGCGTCCCCACTGCCGCCAACCTTAACTCGGATCCAGCCGAAATAGAAATGACGATGGGAGCTGCCCCTCGCACCTGCGTCATCAGACTGGGATAGGACGGGACGGGCAAGGATTCCAGACCTCTGGACTGTTTTCTCTCTTCTCATCGCTCGCTGGCCAAACAAGTCGAATCCAGTCTTGATACATGAAACGCCAAACATTCTTTTACCCCTCCTAATAGTCATCACCCACACTCTTTTCAACACTCACCTGCAGTTCAATCGCTTGGCCTTTGCCCTTCAACTTCTTCCCTCCTTATCTGCTGGTATCTGCAACAATCAATCAATCAACCGCGGCGCTGAGAGCGACAGGGATTCTGCCTTGCTTCACAAGACAAGCAACAGACGAGAGACAAACGGACAGGCCCTGAGAGCTCCAACCATTTCATCCCTCCGCCCCAGCCCGCCTCTTCTTCGGCTCAAGCAGGCAGGCAGTTCGACGTCATTGAAGATGCAGGTCGTCTCCCATGTGTGCTGATCGCGCGCTCGTTGGACCAGACAGAAGTGTTTCTTTCCACGGCCATTGCGAGGCCTGCGAGGCTGTGCGCGAAGCTGCAAGCTTTCATTCCTTCTCTTCTCTACCCTTGGATTATTGCTGATCTTCTCCGACCACCAGGACCCTGATCTTGGATAGCCATAACCTTAGATCTTGGTTGATAGTGGAGACAGGCAGACCCCGGACGGGCTTGACGCCTCGATTCTCTTTATTTCTCTACCTTCGATTCGTATACTTGTATACAGCTGAGCGCCCTTTCTTACTTGGATCCCTACATCACTTTTCTATACCTAAGAATTCGCGAGCTGAACAGAAATGAGCCCTACGACACACAATCGCCGAGGGAGGAATCCCTCGAGTCTCCTCACGACGCTTGTCCTTCTGAACCTTGTACCGACAGCCTTATCATATACAACAAATCCATACTTTGCGAAGAATGCAAATCCAAAACCAAGGCCTGTGAGACCAGGTCCGCCTGTGAAGCGAGATGGGACGGTTCCTCTCAAGATAAGCAATTACTGTGAACAGACTATTTGGCCGGGAATTGGTACTCAGGCAGGAACTGGTGCTGGGACTGGTGGATTTGAACTTGCCTCTGGAGATGTCAAGGAATTGACTGTCAGTGCAGACTGGCAAGGCAGAATATGGGGAAGGACAAATTGCACATTCAACGAGTTGGGAACTGGAGCAAGCAATTTGAATGGGAATAATGGTGCTGGAGCTGCCTGCACTACTGGAGATTGTGGTGGAGTCCTGAGCTGCGTCTTGACTGTGCGTATTCTACTTCAGTGGTTGAATGCTTGACTGACAGTTCCTAGGGCGAGACACCTGTCACTCTTGCTGAGTTTGATCTCGCAGGTGGCGTTAATGGTGATCAGGTCTTCTACGACATCTCTTTAGTAGATGGCTACAACATCCCTCTCGGAGTTGTCTACATACCAGGAGATAATCCAAAACTCCAAGATATCCCACCAAATCTCACGAATTGCGCTTGTATAGCAACAGCAGGATGGCTCGCTGAGCCAGCTGATTCTGGACTCTCAGGAAATGCGACGAATTCCACGTTCCCTCTTCCGTATGAAGGCAAACAAACCAACACACAGATCGCAGACTGGTGTCCATGGGACCTTCAAAAGCAACAACCCACCAAGCCAGGTGATGGTATCTATCCCTACCCAGATGACAACATCCAACGACCCATCTTCGACCCCTGCCTCTCGGCCTGTTCTAAAACCAACTCTCCAGAAGACTGCTGCACAGGCAAATACAACGACCCAAAAGTCTGTAAGCCCAACCTATACGCCACTTCTGCCAAAGCCGTCTGTCCAGACGCCTACTCATACGCCTTCGACGATCAAACATCCACATTCATCATTCCCTCCGGCGGCGGTTGGGAAGTCAGCTTCTGTCCACCTGGCAGGAGCACGAATATCCTCGCTACATTCCATGATCAGCTGCAGGCGCTGAGCCAGCAGGGGAAGATGAGCAAGGCGATTCTGGCAGATTGTATGAATATTACAATCATTGAACAGGCGGCTACTGGTGCTGCTGATGAGAATCGCGTGGATAGGAGTTTGAGTTTGGGGGCCTTGGTTATGGTTGTTGCTTGGGCGGTTTTGTGGTAGATTGGATTAGAGTGCGAGTCAAGTTTAGGCGGTAGAGTTGTTTTCACTTTTAAGCGAGAAGAGCTTAGAGTGAATTTCTGGGTTGTATAGACTGGATGAATTGCTGGGGTTCAGAGAAGACAATCGCAGAGAAGAGGGGCATGAGTAGAGGAGGATGAGCATTTGTTTTCGCGAGCGCAGATACCCCCTATGAGTTACGATACCAAATGATACGTTTCACTTTTATTGCATTACCTTTCGTTTCGATACTCCCTATTGCATGCAGACTAGAAGATTGCTTGACAAGAAGATTGCTAGATCTGGGAAGTAGGTTAGATGAGGAAAGAGACGAAAATCGTTTTACGAGACTCTAAGATGAGGAATAGGGAATTAAGAATGGAGAAATTTGAAATCAATTTGGAAGCCCCAGATGTCTCGGGGATAGCTGAAGAGGGAGGGAGAGTACAAGAGCCGCAGAGGTGGGAAAGAGGACTAGGCAAGTCTGTAAACAAAGCAAGCGAGCAGGGCAGAGGTCGTTCAGGAGCTGGAGATTGCACCCCGATTTCCTCACTTGCCACGTTCCTGTTAACCCAGGAGAAATGATTAGTGAAGACAGGTTGAGTCAAGTCAGTCTGTAAAGTATGCGATGCTATGCTAGATCAGTTTCCTGAATGGAACTCCTTTGTAGAATTGATATTGTAATCATCGGGACTGATCGCTGATAGATGCAAAGCAACGCTATCTACTAACCTCATAACCACTTATCATTGTATAAAGCACCTAAACAAAGACTTTGCGATCATCTGCTCCGTTGATGCAAAACGTTGAAGCGCTATGCATAATAATGATGACGGCTTGTATAAATCCAACATACACAACACCTGTGCCGGTCTGTCCCATCCTCTCCCAGCGCCAACCAATCCAGATGGTCTATGCTCCACTGCAAAATTCATGAACTGATTTTATCAGCACAAAAGTGATTCTCACCCGCACGAACCTATTTCCCACCCTTCCCCTTACTACTCTCCTTCCTCCTCTCCCTCTCCCTCCTATACTCCTCCGGATCAAAATCCGAATCACTCGCACTGCCCACATCACCATCCTCCCCTCCATCCGCCCCCTCATAGCCCCCCTCCTCCACATCCTCAATATAATCGCCCTGGTTCTGCACCACATCGACCGCATCCTGCAACTGCTGTCTCAACTTCTCGTTCCGCGGATCGACCAGCTGGTAGGGCGTGAGGTTGGCTTTGTTGCGCAGTCGTGGGTCCGACCCGGCTTCGATCATCATGGTGATTAGTTCGGTCGAGAAGGTGGAGATGGCGGGTGTGAGGGGAGAGGATTCCGTGAGGGAGTTGAGGTAGCGGATTGCGGAGTGGAGAGGTGTGTCGTGCTCGATGCGGGAGATGGGGTCGCATTCGAAGCCAGGTTGGTCGAGCAGCATGTCGATTATTTCGTCTGGTGGGGGGAGAAGATATGTTAGCATTAAGTTATCTACCATAATCATACTTCTTTCGACTCTAATCTCCCATCATCTGGCAATATCTGGGAAGATAACGGTATAGGCAGAAAGCGGCATAGACGTACAGTTCCCTCTCAGAGCGGCTTCATGATAGATGTAGTTCCCCAGCACAGTCTTCGTCTCATTCAGGATCTTGGCTACTTTATCTTCGTCACCGATACTGTCGATTGTTTCTTTTAGGAGGTCGGTGTTGTTGCGGCGCGCGGCTTCGATGAGGATCTCGCCTACTGAGGCGCCCTTTGCAATGTGTTAGTACTGTGACTTCTGGTTATAGTAGAGACGGAAGATTTGTAGCGAGGCTTGAGCTTATTATAGTCTATGGTACTGCTCTGGCAAATAGTGTTGACGTGTAAAGGTGTTGGGAGTTGAGATATCGTGCGGCAGAAGTGAAGAACGTAGTGGGGTAGAGGGGTAACGGTGAGGAGCTCCAAAATGAGAAAACACACCTCGTGTTCCTGATCCTGCTCAGGGTGAGATCTCAAGTCTTTCGCCATCTTTCCCTAGGCTTCCTGCCTGAAATAACCTCCAAAGTCCCTTCTTTGTAGCTAGAGCGGTGCTTCGTGGCTTGCGCTCTGTAGTCGAAGGCTGACGTTGCTGTTTCAGAGGCTGGGAGCGATGGATTGCTGGATGTAGAGTGCTGGTCTGGTTACTTGAGAGTAGCTGCTTCAAGAAGAGTAGTTGGTAGTTAAAGGGTCCTGAGATCAGGAACTGGTAGGTGTTGTGAATGGGGCTTGAGGCTTGGAAAGCGCTTCGATGCTGATGTTGAAACTGATGGATTCAGGTACGAGTTAGCGCAACTGTGGTTGGATGTCGGCGTTAATTTTCGCCGATGGTGGGATATTTTTGGTTGGAGATGTTCAGTCACTGCGACAAGTCGATTCGAAAAAGTCCAGCGCTGCACACCTCTGAAGCACTTTTTCATACCTACAAAGCAGTTTGCTTCGAACATCATGCTGCTCTGTAAGCCCTCCTTGGACTCCTTGAGTCTGCAATAAAGGCATAGCTAACCCCCTCCTTCTTCCAGTCTGCCCCTCCTGCAGCAACGTCCTCACAGTCTCAACGACAACCCACGGTCCCGAAAACGACCCCATCAACCGCCTGGAATGCCAAACTTGTCCCTATGAATTCCTGCTCGAGGGCCGCTACTTCGAACGCAAAACTTACGTGCGCAAGGAGCGTGAGGATGTTTTTGGGGGAGAGGACGCTTGGGATAATGCCGACAAGACGAAGATTCAGTGCCCGAAGGATGGATGTGATGGTGATGAGGCGGCGTTCTATCAGGTGCAAATTAGAAGTGCGGATGAGCCGATGACGGGCTTTTATAAGGTGAGTTTGTAATTGGTCTGGAGGAGGAAAGGGCATGGGTACGGCAAGATTTTGGCTGACGATGCGGTAGTGTATGACTTGTGGTAACCGGTGGAGAGAGAATTGAGCTGATAGATGGACGGAGGGAAGGTGGCTCTCTAGGGAGGAATTGAGCTAACGAGAGAGGTTGTACTCTTTATTTGTATGCGATTCAGCGAGGCGTATGGATGGGAAGGCTGCATTGTGATTGAAGAAAGGTAATGGAGAGCTTCACATATTCAGAATTTTCTCTATTGGCGCCAAAATACAATATCAGATTCGCAAATACCCTGAAGCATGTCCCTTCATGAACGCCTAGTAACCGGGTATCAAAGTCTCAAATCTCCATCCCTCCTCCTACCACATAATCAACTCCCAGGTCCCTCCAACGCCTTCTTGACACCCTCCTCAAATAACCTTGCGACAGTATCGGGGCTCAATATATCTGTTCTGAACTTCTCTTGCTGTAATAGTTCTAGATTCTTCAGAGTCGGACCAGGGTAGTTGAGGAACTTCGAGTAGGGAGGATGTTTCCAGTATTGTAGGTAGCTGAGATATGCAATGAAAGCTGGGTTCTCGAGGTATTTCTGCGACGCGAGATGGTTGAGGTAGAGGGGTGAGGCGAGGGATTGGACGAACTGGTGGATGAGTGATGGTTAGCTTGTGATGATGAAGTCATTACGGCTGGAAATGTGCGAAGATGGAGTGGAGCTTTATTGGGTAGCAGGCAGATGAAAACAGAGACGATCAATAAAGGTGAATACGAGGCTCAAATTGGAGGGCGGGATAGCATACCTCCAGCTCAATTTCAAACCTCGTGAAGCCACCATACTTTGGTTCGTCGGATGGGATGGGTGGAGGCGTTTGATTGTGGTCCATGTTCAGTCCCTCCATCTTCGTGTCTGCTGGGGAAGAGCCGGACATGATTGATCGGATCCGGGAGGATGTTGTGTTTTCGTGAGAGTTACGAGACCCAAGGCTGACGTTTGAAGGTGTGCAACTCAAGAAACGACGAGGCTGAGATTAGTTGTCGATCACTCGCTTAGGCTGGAGCGTGCATGTTTGGCTCTGCACATAGAGTATCAACACTTGGGTCGTTGTGGAATGGGCTTGTATTACAAGGAGATGAGCTCCGGGACTTCCCCAAATTCTTTTTTGTTTCCTTGTTTCATGTTTTTCCATGAGCTCGTTGGTGCGGCTAACTGAGACTCGACGATCGACTTCCAAAGATTTGTCGATTCGACAGTCCATGGCTCCCTTGACCCTGTCTTCCCCTATCATGCCTTCATGCAGAGAGATTATGTAGGTTCTGCCTAGGACAGGTAAAGGTACCTCACCGCCCTCTCTCCCTCTCAAATCATAAGAGCGAGATGAATCCACACAGCTGTTTGATGTTGTTGGAAAAGGCTAGAGCTAGATGCCCACATCTACGGAGGTAAAGTACAGGAGACGGTCTGAATAATTCCCTAGCTCTGGTGGTGTAAATTTACCTAGCAGTGGGGGCTAGAGCACCCCACGTTGACGCTATCCACCTCCAAAAACCAACGCTGTCTCAGAGCCATCGGACAAAAAATGAAGCTGGCGTCATCGCAAGCGTTGCCCTTTGGAACATTTGAGGTTGCACGAGGAAGCCAGCAGCTTACAATTTTTGGGGGGGGGGGGGCTACTGTGAGGGCTGGAAAGCTGGTCATAGGGGCTAGGCTCTTAGCCTGCACCAGGAGGGCGTCTCCAGAATAGGAGAATGAACGGCTCCGCTCAGGGGCATTTGAGTGTGCACCAATCATGGCTGTGCCTGAAGCTGAACTCTCTGTAATTTCGACATAACTTACTTATGCAAATCATGCAAGCCTGTGCACAATCCCGTGCAAGGTTCCCCGTGAAGGCTGGGCTGGCTGGGCTGGATTGGGACTCGGGCTCGTCGGGCTGCATCGCCTGGTGATGGGCGGGTCCTTCTGGTGATTCTCACCAGCCAGAGTCCGCGGCTTCCTCACCGGGCCTGGGTTATGGGTTAGGGGTCTCGAGGTCTTGAGGTCTTGACAAGTCAAAGATGCTCCCTGTCCGCATTAAGGAGGGACAGCTTCTTTGAGCCCTGCCCTATCCTACTCGACCTGACCTTCTTCACTTTGAAAACTGCATTGCATCTTGAAATCCTTCAGAAAAATGAAATGATAACCTGTACAATACAATACATATGATTCTCCTTGAACCTCTTTTGTCTCCAGCAGCCTTCGATCGTTATCTCACCTAGATACCGCCGCCCTGCCCCTCCGCACCCCTCTCTCTCTATCCTCCTCTTCTCCGTCGGGATCTTGACCTCCTGAACGGCGGGTCGCTTGGATATTATTTCTGTACTACACCGACTCTGTCCAGCTGGGCTTAGATTGGGAATACGAATAGCTTTTCCTCTCCTCTCTTACCGGCCAACCTACAACTGAGAGAATTCCGATTACTCTCCGCCTCCTACACTTCCATCATTTCGCTCAGGTCGGGGCATCATCGAGTCAACAAGTCGCTGCAGTTCTAGGTTAGAGTCTAGTTATCCAGCTCTCCCCTAGACGCCTCATCTGAGACCCCACACGCCTAGAGAAACAGCCAGGCCATATTCTCTCTCAAGACCGCTCATCTCACGCCTACTTGGTCCATCACAAGACCAGAACGGATAGGCTCCTGAATATCATCTCTCCCCCCTGAGCCTCACCGACAGCCGGCCCATCACCCTCTCTCGGATCTCCACATCAGACCAACATCAAGAGCAACTTTCCGCCGGTCTTTATTTAAACACGAGCACGGGTTCAGGGACGGATGCACGCGTTCCTACACCAACTCCTTTAGCTCGTCTTGCCTCGGTCGCTAGCCACCTGGTAGCCACCTAGCGAAACGAAGCGGAGCGGATCCATACCAAAGACAAGTTCCATTTCGCGCGCGTGCTCTGGTTTGTCCAGACAAAGCAAACAGAACATCAACTTCGAACTGCATCCATTCCTCCTCCTGCACGAAACATCCTCAAAACCCAAAAGCAATCAGTTCGACCTATCTTCTTGCGATCGGGCCAGCAGAGTTTATCTTCGCACATACCCTCTCATCGACATCTTTCCGCCAAACATTACGACGACTATCCCTCCCGGGTTGAGCCAGTCGCCACAATGTCGCTCGCCCAACCAGGCCAAGCAGGTCAGTTCGCTGGTCCCCATCCCCTGATGATATATCCTATGGTGCGCTTCGCCGCATCAACGACAGATGTCCAACCCCACTCCTGGTCATGTTGGGCGTATCATGTTGGCAATCAGCATGTTTCAAACGCTCACCCAACTGGCTGTCAGGGACATGCATGAATCCACCGGCTAACAAGATCCTGTTTTGATATAGAATCGCGCATGTCCCCAGGACTACAGCTCAATCTGTCTTCGAACAACCCCTTTCGCAATCGAGCAGCATCTCCTGCTCTTTCGAACGGCCAACGTTCCCCTCTCGACGCTCCTCCACGACCGGTTTCGCGAAATCCATTCCTAGATACTTCCTCCGAACAATTACAGCCAAATACCTATTCGCAGAGACCCATCGGATCCCCTGGGAAGATGCCTTTCGCAACAGATTCTCAGCCAAGACCCGCATTGACTGGCAATGCTGCCGACCTATTCGTACGTCATCCTCATTCCAAGCAATTGTTCATCTCACCCTGGTTTGAACCACAATCCTCCTCGACACCCATCTACTGGCATAATTTATTGTCTTTGCTTCTATATCATGTCAATAACTCAAGCCCCCAAATCGCTAACCATGGCATTACAGGACAACCTCACTCTTGACGACAAGCCAGCTGCCAGTAACACTATGCGACCGGCCCCGACGCGACCAAACGGTGAAAAGATGCCTTCCCCTTCCTCTTCTCGCACAGAGAATGTTCCCCCGCGAGGTACTCCAAGAGGACCACCTGGTCATCGCCCATCACGGTCTCAGGAGGAAGCAATGCGTGCTCGAAGACTTGCTGGAGGATCGTCTATTAGCAAGCCAGCACCGTCACAACAAGAATTAGACATCTTTGCCGACCCAGTCGACTCCTCTACAGCCCGGAGACTTGACGGCAACAGAAGAGTACGAAGAAATTCCGAATCCTCAGTCGCTGATCGTAAGCCACTTGATCCGGAGGAGGAGAAGAAGCGACAAGAGAGAAGGAGACGCGAGCGTCGAGAGCGACGAGAGCGCGAGGGCAAGGATCCCAAGAGAAAGCCGGACCGAAAATTAGACATCATCGATAAGCTGGATGTTACAAGTATTTATGGCACTGGATGCAAGTTTTCTCTTCCCACTACTTCTTTCATAGGCTAATTGTACTAGTATTCCATCATGATGGACCGTTCGATGCGTGCAATCCGCACCGCAATAGACAAGGCAGCAGACGTGCGCCAATGCAAGCCTTCCCCAAGGACTCATTGAATAATGTGCTGGGAGGTGGAGGACCAATCAACAAGAGACCGGATCATGCAACCTTCCTTGGCCAAGCCGATGAGGAAGCCTTCAAGGACTATTCAAAGGGTGGAGCGGGAAGCATTGGATACGAGCCTTATGATGCTACGGGTCCAAGACCTGCAGGATCCCAACCAGTTGTTCAAAGTGCTACCACGCGTGTTGAGCCTATTCATGGCGAGGAAACCCTCGGCCTGGGAACTTCCACTTTCTTGGAAGGAGCACCTGCATCAAGAGCGGCACTTCAACGCCGGGAGAGTGAGCAAACATCTCCAACGGAGCCAGGAGGGTTGGGTCGCAAGAAGTCTTTGGCTCAGAAAATCCGTGGAATCAATGGCAGACGTGATTATGGCCCTTCAGGTCGCATTACCAGTCCTGAAGGAATCTACTCCCCAGAGTTGCGCACCCCTGGCGGCACCAAGGTCAACGAATCAAACCCATTTTTCAACGAGTTCAGCAAGGGTGACGATAACAAGAAGGAGAGTATCACGATTGTTGAGCCGGAGAAGACAGGAAGAGCCAGAGCACCAAGCAGTCCCCCCAGACGAGGATTCGGCGAACGCCTCGAGCGACGTGTTACTGGTGACGGAACCGATATGCCACCATCTACTGCTTCAAAGACTGGCGGTGGTTTCCTGTCTCGAGTCAAGAGTTTGAAGGGCGGTCCCCGAAAGCCAAGAGGCGAGAGATCGACACCTCAAGATGCTTGAGTCTACTCTTCACATTCTTACGACCAAACAAATATTCCGAACAGATGCCATGAGCAAAAAGCGATAGAGGTCCATGCTCTCCTTCAAACGATTTCATTTCAGACTACACATTCTGCCTCTAGATACCTGCCCTGCTCTGTCCGCCTTGGATAGCACGGTTAGAGACGGGGCTTGGAGCTTATTATCAGAAGCTTTCGTGCGTGGAGGGTTTGGTAGGGCATGTTCTGCATCAGACAAGACCACTGTTTGGTTTTCACGACCAGTGGCACTTATTGAGTAAACACAAGCGGAAGGCGTTACTCCCAGGTGTTCCTTTGCATGCAGACAGATAAGGAGGCGCAAAGACGGATATGGTCTGCTTTTATTGTTGGCGCTCTCTAACCATGCCTTGAGGGAGGGAGTCGAATAAGAATTTTGAGAGAAGAAGTCAAGATACCAAGGGAAGGAGGCGGAGGATGAAGTATGGAGCCAAGTTTCTTGAGAAGAGCTCAGCTCCTGTGGGATATGGAGGCAAATTGATTGCATGAATGAAATAACGATGTGTTCTTCCTCTCACTGACTTTGCCATTGACTGTTGTAACTTCATTATCTTATATCAATTTATGAGCGGAGTGAAGAAACTGTCCCCGAAACTGTCAATTGTAGCTCCATATCTTGACTATATATGAAAAGTACACAGAGGGTCTAGAACAGAGACCATGGCATTCAACCCTGCTTGTCTTTCATGTCAGCAGCCGAAGGAGCCAGCCATCTTGCCCAGAGTAAAGCCGCGAACCCATCCCGATCCTATGCAATCAATCCCAAGCGAGCAAGCGAATCTATCTGGTTTGATCTACCCTTTATCCCCCCTTTTTATCCTCCACTTCTTTCCCTTACCTCTTTGAACTTTTTTTGTTGCACGCCGTAAAAGGCCAGAACCATCCAGAGGCTCGCTCCCCCTGCTCCGGGGTCCCAAGGTCATAATATCATGTTACATCTCAACGGTCTAGATCCAGACGTTTGGGACGCCCGCAGGCGGACCCCCTTCCCCTTCCTCGGCTCGAACCGCAGAGGTGCTTGGTTTACTGTAGGTACCTGGCGGCTAGAGTCTGTGGCTGTGGCTGTGGCACAGTGGAGGTAAATTTCGCTTTCAACGGTTTTCTGTTGCATGTCGGAGGGATTCTAGAGCCGCCTCTTTTTTGTTGATGTGGATTTGGAAACCCTGTTTGAAGAGCGTTGGAGGAGATGTGTTGCATGTCGCTGTGTTTGGGCTGGAAGGGTCTGCGATGCGGGTGGAGGGGTGAGTTGTGGAGGCGAGGCGTGCAGGGGCGTGGGGGCGGGATCTAGAGCGTTCGCTTAAAGGGGTATTGTGGGTTTGGGGGTTTGGCGGGGGTTGTTTGGAAGGGCAGGATAGGGCAGGATAGGGCAGTAGTTTATGTGAGAGGGGTGACTTTGGTTTATTGGGATGGTGATTGGATGGTGGGGTAATTGAGGGGGTGGAGGGAAGAGAGGGAGGAGCTTAAGTCACTTTGATCCGAATTGAGATGAGAAGACGGGTTAATTGAAGTCGTGTGGTCTGGATTTCAAGCTCTGAGCCAAACCCATCCAAAGTTATGAACTTGATCTGTTCATTCGGTCGTGCCTATTGACCGATTTTGGATCTGCGCAGCCAAGGTGTGAAAAGACAGATTCCTCCTTCAATCCGTTCGATCTCTTCTCTTCATCAGTGTTGCATACTTGGAATCATACTTGTTGCCGAAAGGGAAACTTGGCTTCTCGCACTTCTCTGTTGATTGTTTGTCTCCGCGTGAGGGCAACGAGAGTTTCGCGTTTCTTCTTGTGACAGTCTGGCCTCTCACACTTCTTGGGGTGCTCACTGCATACCGTGGAAGTTGTAACAGATGTGGCTCAACGGTATGGCAGGCCTTGTTGATGTTTGTCGAGATTGGATGAGACTCTGACATCACTTGTTAGAAGATATCGGTGATAGGTGATAATGAGGATGTAAATGGATATATTGTTGATTAGAAAGTTTTCGTTGATCAGAATGTTTCGATTGAAGTCCTGCTAACTTCAGACAGGGCCTGGAACGGTATTGTATTCTGTATCCATTGAATTCCAACCCATCAGAAATGTACCAGAGCATTTTGGGTTGCCAAGGATTTTTTTCTCTTCGGTCTGTTGTATGCCCGATCTCCATAGATAGGGTCGACTGGTAGCCCTGTGATCTTTGACCTCGACTCCAGCTTTAGGGATTGTACTTCATTCAAGGCTTGGGTATCATATATTGTCCATGCAATACAATGTACCTCCTGAGAGTGCAACGACAGCATTCAGTTGTCAAGTGACGACAATGAATCACATGGCTCTGGACAAATGCTGCGTATCCGACATCTTGGAGAGAGTGCAATATCCCACTTGAGCCAATGACCCAACTCTGGCTATGGCGTCAGTCGTAAGGAGGGGAACCATGGTTTAATCAAAGCGAAGTCCTGTTGAACGACAGCTGCGCTGCATCCTGTGTTACCAATGGCTGCGCCGTTACCCCTCTGGCATTTCGTCGAAGCTGGCATTGTCCCCTCTGTCTCCACGTTGCCTGAACTTCTAGTCAACGAGTGTGGACTCTATATATCTCCAGAACCTTGAACGCGCAGTAGCAACGAGAATTTGTTCCTGGTTAAAGCAACCGAGGAAGTAAAGTAACGGCTCCTTCGTTGTTTTTTTTGGTTGTCAAGGAGCTGGTAAGGTGTTGTTGTAGAAACTTATGACAGCCAGAGTTTCCTTGAGCATACTTTTCGATATCGAGACTTATAACAATGAATCGACGCCGTGGGCTCTTGCTTCTGTTGGGGTCCAGGCACGTTACTCTGCAACTCGGGGAGAAATTGGAGGGTGTCTCGTGATAAGGTACTGTGCAGAGTATCGAGGGCTTGGGAGGTTAGCTCGCTGTAACATATCCCTAGAAAGACAGCAGTAGAGGATGAGGGTGGCAGTACGAACCTACTCATGTCGCAGGAACAACCAGCTGGATAGTCAGTGCCATCTATGAAGCTTCTTGATACCTGCCTTTGAGAATCTGATTACCTGCGACAATTGCTACAGCGACTGCAAGTACTTGGTCATCCAAGACGAGACAGACTTGGCGATGGTCATGCCAGTAAATAGGTCCTCCATGAAATAAGCCACGAAGGAGAGTTTCGAATACTTACGAGCGTAATCTTGGACGGCTGTGTCTTGAGCATTCCTGGGTAGGAGGACCTTTCTTCTGGAGCAAATGGAAAGTTCAAGAATGAACAGTACTTCGTGAGGACAAACATGCAAAATGTGTATCGCTCCTTTCCTTGGGGATTGTAGAGACGGCTGTTTTCAGCGCTCGACAACTCCGAAACAGTAGAACAGCCATCAAACCAAACCCGAGCGGCTGTGTGCCTTCTTTAACTTTACAAGCATCTGAGACTAGAGATCTAGTCTCTTGCGCAAGCCAGCAATGGTCCAGAACACACTTGAAGTTTGAAAATCCCGCACCCGCCTCCAGTATAGGGAAGCAGCTGAAAATGTTTGACGTAAGTGCTGGGAACCTAGGCTTTGGTATACGGACCTAGCTGCTTTGCTATCAAGCCACATACAGTACAAGTTCCCCAATCAAAGGAGAAGAATTAGACTGATGCGAAATTAATATACTCAAAACAATCTCTGAAATGTAAGATAAGAGCGTAGCGAAACTTCACCATACAAAATAAGAAGTTCGAAGTCTAATTCCTTCGAATAATCAGGGTTTTTATCTCGGAGCAACGTCCTTCCAGAGGATAGTGAACACTAAGCGAGTCTCCAAAACGCCTACGGGCAGCCGTCAAACAATGCTTAAACAGTCCCAACCAAGCCACCACGAAGCGCTCGGGGCAATCAGATGAATGCTAGAGATTCTGTTGCACGTCGACAGCGGTGCCGAGCCTTTCTAATAAACACCGTTCCAGAGTGAGGGCGTCAGCGTGTGGAGGTAGCTCGGTTTCCGAGAGGTGGTGACCGGACCGCACGGCATTCGAGCAGACACACGAGGCGGGGTGTGGAGAGCTGCATATTACCATTGAAGGTTTACTATTCGTCGAGCGTGACTGAAAACTGATTTTGATGCATATCGACAAAAATGCCCAGGCGAGCTAACGGTTTGCTGGTTTTCTTGTGTGATGACTGCTCGTGATGACTTGCTCCTGCTGGTACTGCAGAGTCGGATTGTATGAGGCACTTGGCAGCGATCTGGCCTGGGCAAAAGCCGTGATGCTTGGGAGACGGCCAGCAGATGAAGCAGACGGCCACGTTCTACTCGCAACTTATTCTATGGCAAATGATAAGAGTGGTATGAATAGACGCATCAATTGATATATAAGTGAAGACAAGTGAGGTTGCTTTAAGATGAAAATGATAACTCGATGTATCACGGCAGTCAACTTCTGCCAAGCCTTGGCAAAGCTTGTCTTGGCGCTTGTCATTCTAATCGACGCCGCAAGATCATTTCACGATATATCGTCATCTTCCAGGTTTGTAGATCTCATTATTGGTCGATTGAGATGGGCTCAACTTGCAGACGCTCGAGTTTTGATGCATATCGCAGTTGACCCTTGGCAGATACGCATCATCTTTTTACGAAAACTTTTCTGTCAAGAGGACGCGGGCTTATGTCGGATGCTTGGGGTCGGGGTCAAGACGGGGTTACGGCACCATTCTTCCTGACCAGCACACTCGCCTCGAGCTTGCGCAACGCAACACTCTTCTGCAAAAACCCCGCGGAAGGAGACATCCTCTAAAATCGTAGCGTACACATTTTTCTGTTGCACGTCGCGTTTTCAGCCAAGATACCATAAATGTGCTTAGAGAGGAAGGTTGACTGCGAGATGCTGCGGGGGCGGTGGTGCACAAGTGGACGTGGTGGACATAATCTATTGGACGCCTCCTATTGTCGGTGAGACGGAAGAGAAGTTCTTGCAGTGCCAACAACTTATTCACGAGTCACGATAATTCGCGATTTGAATTGTCGCTGGAGACGTTTGTCAAATGAAGTCCTTCTTGTTGTGAATGTACATCATGAACCCCCAAAAGGAGTGATGTCGATTTGTTGCCAAGCTAAGCGAGAGATTCCGAGGGACAAGACAGTTAAGAAGCGACCTGCCAAGCTGGAAGTAACCATCCTTTTCACTCAAGAAAGTTAAAATGCAGAGACTCTGTTGCACTTCGCAGTAAATGCCCAGGAAAAGAGGCGTCAGATCCGTCGTCTGATTGCTGGGATTGAAGCGTTAATTCATTAGGAGTCTTCCAGGAACAGGTGTCGCCCTCACGATAAACTACAAACAGGTCGCCTCTGAAGGACATAGACAGTCAGCACGCCAATGACGTGGTGTACATATTTAATTATAGTGGACTTGGGGGGTCTGATCAATAGGAATTGAGATATGGATGTTTTGTTGCATGTAGCAAAAATACTCAAGACTTTTAGACTGATGACTGTAGATGACTACGTAGCGTAGGTAGATAATTGACGACGCCATTTGGCGAATCCAACTCATTGTATTGGCAAATTGTCATGCTAGATTATTTATGGATCATTACATCTGTCGCTGCGTCGGAATAACACAGCATATCTACCAATAATTGTGCCATTCCTTATTTTACTTGCTCCTCTGCTTCTACCTAATCACCTGCTTCGATGAAAAGTCACGTGAATCTCATTCAAGTGTAACCCCTGGACAAACGATAAAAGAGGGTCGGTCCATCGGCCATGACACTCAACATGAAAGTTGAGGTCTTGTATCGATTAGGTATGTTCAGACTCCGTTCCCTATTCCAACGAGTGGTCACGTTACTTAGATAACCGGTCCCGTGGCTCCGTGGCTCCTTGGCCCCATGTCGTGGTTGATTAAACTTTTGCAATGGTTGATCACAGGATTGTTTCAAATTCTCCTCCCGACTACAATTGCTTTTTCATTCATTAGTTACTAGGTATATGTCAAAGTCAACTTCAAGCAGCGACTGTCAGTATACGTTCTGCTTCAAGGCAATGATTGTGTCGTCGTGTGTCATGGCCACGAGCAAACATCAACTTAGACGATCGCCAATAACATATACCTTTGTTTCATTCGATACATTCTTATGCATACGGCAGCGAAGTCTTGTGGACCAAGTGGCAGGGGTTGTTGGAGTACATAAGGAGAGCTTTGCCCCTCCAGATGCCAGAGATATTGTAGTAAGGCTGTCCGCTCGAGTGAGCTGATCAGCCGATTTCATCTGGGTCTCTTCAACAGAGGTTCATGAGATGGTTCTCCCCAGAAAGAGAGCTGTAGCTTGGATTTTCTGCAACAAATTATGAAGGCACCATTGTTATCTCATGTTTTGTGTCCATCGCCCTGGCTCATAGAGCAGGGTTCCTGTCGTAGTTTACCTTTTGAGTACTGCGTAAAGGGGATTCTTTCCCTAAATATGAAGCGAGAATTCCGAACGGGCATTTCTTCCTTCGGATGCGAGTGAACTCAGTCACGATATCGACCTTCCTAATCCGTTCGCCAAGTTCAGCCAAGAGACATGAGGGGAAAGTAGTGGCGATACCAACGAAAACGACGTGCAGGCTGGTGCAGTATGGACATGGGAGAACTGCAGAGTCTCCAGATCGCCAGCCACCACTCCAGTGACTCCACTGATATATCCATGTCGGGTACTACATTTACTACGCCTCAAGCAAGATTTCGACTTTGTCCTTTGGTGTACGGTACTTAGATGCATGAGGATGTGAAAGACTCCGTGAGGCTTGGCGGTGCGGGATTTAGATTTCCTGCATGAGTCGCGGGATTCTCCTTGGAAGAAGTTGTTGTTCTGACCGACTTTGCAGTTTTATTATTTCCCGTGCTACTTCGCAAGGAAAATACCCAGAGGCAGAGTAGAAACATTCTCAAGCGAAACGGAAACTTTTCTTCGAGGTAAGCAAACTTGGCTTCGTTATGGCGTTTGACAAGTTCTCGTTCGTTTGGTGCGCACAGCCAGCCTCCCGTCTTGAGTGTTGAACAAGGCCTCGTTGAAGACAGAAGCACGAGGCCTTGATATCTTGCCATGCCATTGGCACCTGGCGCGGCACTTGGCGCTTGTAGTCCTCGCGCGTCAAGATTTGCTTCTCAGTTCTTCAAGTGTTTGGAGTATTTTTACTCTGCCCACAGTCCGCTGAATTTTACGTTTCATGTCCTGGTTTTAGAGAACGCCCTTCTTGTCAAAACATCAATTCATCGCGATTGGGTCTCTCCGTGGATTTATTTCTGTCGTTTGGTGAGAGTAGTCAGTGTATCATCAGCGGTGTTGCACAGAGTTCACAAGACCATTTCTATGTCCTTCCAAGAATGTGGCTTGCTGCCCAGTCTCACGCCGAGTCCGCGCCGAGCTGGATGAAATCTACAGAACAAATCAAATCATATGGATCACCGGTCTGACCGATGGCATGTCGTGATCCATGATTAGCTCACTGTTATCATAGAGTTTCGCGTGTACGGTCTTCTGTCCGCTGTTACTTGGCTGCTTCCGGCTTATTCTCTACGTCTTCCTATTCTCCAACAGGATCGCGGCCGGTAGTACCATTTCAAGTGACTTCCCCTCGATGCATACTGGGATTGTGGGGGATGTTTGCGGGGTTTCTTGATGAGTAAATTCGTGGCTGCGATGATTGACCAACAGTATGTCTCCCTCACGAGTCAACGTCAATACTTCTACGGCTGTTCTATGCATTAGCTTCAATCCTTTTAAATCCTGACAATGTTTACTAGGGGAACGAGTAGAAACCCACAACGCCATGGGCCCGTTTGATGCCTGCCAAGATGAATCAGTGTAACATATCGAGAGACAGAACTTACTGGGCCCTCTTCCCTCGCCATGGGGTTGGTTCTGATGGCGCTTGGAACTCATCCCCAGAGTTCCATACTCATGGGAACGCTATATAACCTTCGTGCTGTCCCCCGACTTTTGCAGGATCATCGGCACTATACTCTCTCACATCCTCCTTCCTCAAGATTATTTAGCTTCCTCTTACCAAAACCATCTATCTCCTCTTACACACATGTCTACCATGGAGAAGAAAGATAACCTCGGCGGGGTTGTCGTCCAGAACGAGGACGCGAAGCCCTACGTTGACGAAATTGATAGCTCGAACCGTGACTACTCAGGTGCTGTGCTGGTGCTCAGCCCCGAAGAGAAGCGACTGGTCAGAAAGCTTGACTGGAGAATCATGGTACGTGCAAAAAATCTTAAATATCCCCACAATAGATGTATCATCTAACATATCCAAACAGCCCGTACTATGGCTCATGTACTGGCTCAACTACCTCGACCGAAATGCAATTGCCCTTGCAAAGCTCGACCACATCGAAAAGGACCTCAAAATCACCCCTACACAATACTCTACCTGTGTTTCCATTCTGTTCGTCGGCTATATCCTTGGTGGAATCCCATCCAACATGTTGATTACACGGATTCGACCTTCGTATTACATGGGATCTGCTATGGCTCTTTGGGCTATCGTGTCTACTCTGACGGGCATTTCTAAGAACTTTGTTGGGTTGCTTCTGACAAGATTCTTTTTGGGAGTTACTGAAGCTCCTTTCTACCCGTTAGTGATCCAACTTTTTGGGCCTTGAATGGAGACTGACTAAAGCCAGTGGAGCCCTTTATCTTCTTTCTATCTTCTACACTCGAAAGGAAGTCGCTACTCGGATTGCCATCCTATACACCGGTAATAGTAAGTAATCTCCCGATGATTGATACTCCTTGACATTCTTGAAGTATTTCGATATCCACGATGTTTAGAATTAAAGGCAAACACTGACCTTATGCTTCTCCAGTTCTCGCCACCGCATTCGCTGGACTCATCGCCATCGGTATTTTCAAGTTAGACGGAGCTGCTGGTCTAGAAGGATGGAGATGGCTCTTCATCCTGCAAGGTAAGCCTAACTTTCTTAAAATTTCTGATGTCGCAAAGAGTTGAATCATCAGGAGATCTGTACTGGGGAAGGTATCCCAACAGATATCGCTCAGTTCTCTACACTGAAATAAGCAATGATTAACACATACACCAGGTATCTTTACATTCGTTGTGGCGATTGTCGGGACCTGGTTTCTTCCTGATGACCCAACTGTCACCCGCTGGCTCACACCGGAAGAGCGAATCTTGGCAAATGAGCGCATTAAGCGTGATACCGTCGAAGAGAGTGGCAAGATCTCTACTATCAAGGGTCTTAAGGAAGCTCTTAGCGACTACCGAGTATGGATCTTTGTGTTCATGCAGCATATGCACTTGGCCTCCAATGGTTTCAAGAACTTTGTAAGCAGTCCCCCTTGTACCTCTCGTCTCGCATATTCTAACAACTAGAAGTTCCCGTCTGTGGTCCAAGGTCTCAACTTCAACCGTACTATTACACTCGCTCTAACATGCCCACCGTACCTGATTGCTGGTATCATTTCTGTCTATTGGTCATGGTCTTCTGGACGCTTCAACGAGAGGACTTGGCACATCACTTCCGCGAAATGTGTTGCCATCCTCGGTTTCATCCTGGGCTTCGCCATCAACAACACTGCCGCCCGTTACGTTTCTATGATCATCTTCGCTGTTGGTACATGTAAGTCATTTGAACACTTGATATTTTAGAACTTTCGAAAGCTTGAAGAGCAATTGCTGACCAACCACTTTCGCAGATGCTGTAAACAGTATCATTCTCGGCTGGGTTGGAGCAACATGTGGTCAAACCAAGGAGAAGCGTGCTGTAGCACTCTCGATTATCGTCTCAACGAGTAACGCAAGCTTCATTTGGACTCCGGTAAGATCAAATAATTCTGAAAGGCTCGACTCATAGCTGACTACGTACAGTATCTCTGGACAAACGACTATGGAGGAAGATACACCTTGGCAATGGCGACATCCGCTGCTTTCTCTTTGCTCTGCGCGCTGGCCGCTTGGGGCATGCGATTCGCACTCATGCGTGAGAACAAGAAGATTAAGCAAGAGACGGAGGATGAGTCTGTGCTTTACTATGCCTATTAGACTATAGACTCTAGATTATCGCTCGTTGAGTGCTGGATGCTTTGAGAGGGTTGTTTACATGACAGGGATCGTTCGAGGCAAGTCGTTGGATCTAGTTTATGAAGTTTCGAATATCAGGACTTAGTTATATACATTGACACAGCTCCGCATGCATCCCAGTCCCAGTGACTTTTATGACTTCGGATACGTTGAGCCCTTTCTCTAGTATCGTGGAATACTGGTCAAGCAGCTCATCTCACTCACACATAGAAACTTGAATGAAGGCAGCCTCGTCTTTGGTTTAGGAACGCTTGTTTTGATTATCACGCCATACTGGGTACCCACTACTTCCAGTCTGAATGGAAGATACCTGTTGTACCTCAGAGTAGCGATTTCACGTGACAAGTCACACTACTTCTCCTCCTCAATACTTCCCGTCTCTCACCAACTTTCTCATAGCCTCAATAGTGCCCTCCACAGCCAGTTTACTCATTCCCTTCTGCTTCTCCTTCAGTTTCTCCAACTCCTCCCCCTCAACACCAGGATGTCTCCACTCAAACACATACGTCATGTACAAGCCATCCGCACCTTCGCTGACAATGTTGCTGACATGGCTTCCATCCGGCTGCTCAAACTCGACTCTGGTGTCTGCATATGCTGTGACGATTTCCTTGACCTTGCGCTGATCCTGAAGAAACGTGACTTCGCGGGTTGTGACTTCATTGCCGCTGGTCTCGTTGGTGGTCGTTGAGATGACGGTTGTGGATTGAATCGCTGCTGGAACAAAAGTCTGTGCTGAGCGGATCTTGAGTTGAAGCATGGCCCATATTTGGGGACGTGTGAGGATGGGGCTTGCGCCTGGTGGGTTGATGGGGGAGGTGAAGGCGATGTTGTTTATTGATGGTGCCATCTTGAATGATTTAAGCTGTAGTAGACTGTGTATATTTAACTTTGTTCTCGTTGTTGATGTTTGAATTCTAGTATGGGGAAGATCTTCTTAAATGTGTTTGAGAGATGTCGTCGATTCAATGACGCTGATCTGGTGCCATATTTATCTCCTCGCAGCTGACATGCCAAGGCCATCTATCATTGGGCAAACTTCCGAAAAGAAATTGGGGTCAGCAATGCGGAGTTCGAAATGTGGATTTCTTTGACTGTTGCCACATTGCTTTACAATAATGCTTACTTATTTCTCCGAGAAGTCGTAGTAAATGAGCAGTCCAACGACAGACATCTTTTTCTCTTGTTGATGCTGTTGTGTTGACCTTGCGGCTTCGCGCTTCGCGCTGTTTCTCCGAGAGCCGAGTTGCGCTCTGCTGATAAATCAGCAATCAGTAAGGTATGCAGATCAGTGGGGTACAACGTTATTTCCACGACTTGGAGGATTCTTGCTTCTGTGAAGGAAATGTCAGGTACTGTACATATCTCCAAGTTGTAAGCGAACGAGATATGGAAGAGGGCTCAAAAAATTGTCCAGGATCTAACATACCTTGGAGAAAGCTGCTTGGTACGCTTACTGACAACACTGAACCTACTTGATATTGCCACTAAGGATCAGCTCGATTCTGTCTAATCACTATGCCTTTGCTTGATAAGTACCATTCTGGTTTGAGAGATTCTACGTCATTCTTTACTCGGATGCTTTTACTCAAACAGAGAAGTCGAGGGGACGAGACGGATGGTGGCCGGAAAGCCATTACTCGAGAAGTCACATTTACCGCTGGAATTTCTTGTACACCATTCAACAAGCCGGTTACTTCCTCATGGAGGATTAATTCAATATTGATGAATAGAGAGAGGTTAGAATAATACTAGGTGGCTCGCTTAGATTGTTGACACCGTTTCAAGCTGAGAGGTTCACATAATCGACAACAATTCTTTCGATTTATGGCCGAGATGGAATATTTTCCATCCTGCTTGTTTGACGTAACTCAGCGTGGTATCTTTTATCGATTTGCCCAACTGACTAGCTATATTCACCACTTCAATCCCTTTCTCGCTTACGTTGCAAGGAATGGGTACCATGAGTCAGCGAGCACAAACAGAAAACATTAGTAAATCAGCATATTCCCTGGCGATACTCTTTGCAAAGGGATTTTCTGCCTTGACTGCTAGAGCAGCGGGATTTATTTTGAGATGGCTGGCATCTGAGATGACGGGTTTTAAACAAAGCCAAGGAGGGGTCGCTTAGCCTTGCCGTGCAAGGACCACACTCCATCACTTGAAGATCAACAAATTAACTGAGATTAGATATACCGCTTTATTAGCAGAAGATCTAACTCGTCTCAAGAACAAATAAATATCTGATATAATCGAAATTGGTGAACGCTTGGTGCTCATGAGGAGACTTTGGGGTGGGAAGGAGCATCATTTTCCAGCGTCTGCCTGATCACTCCTCCCTTTATCAAGTGGATATACGAGATCTAAGTCTACGAATGGATCGGCTACTCATGATTTCTCGAACCACTATATGTGAAAGTCATGTATAGTAATGCCAAGATGTAAAGAGGTTTTTGCGGAAAGCTCGCTGTGGTGGAGAACTTCTGAAATACGGGGTCGTGCTTGACTCGCGGATGAGGATCTATTTGATGATGGTTGCTGTACAAAAACCACCCTAGAATACCCCACCTCCTTGTGAAGGCCAATGCTCTGTCGATGTTTTCAAATACGATAGCTGAGGACGATCAGATGAAACTGACATCTCTACTTGTCACCTCGCTTCTCGAGTCAGCAAACTCTACACTAGGAAATCAGCTCTTTTTTTATATTTGAAAGAGATGTACAACACCTTTTCAAGAAGCTTAGCACTTGGTATTCTTGTGATGGTTGAATGTTTCCTAGCATTTACGAGATGATAGGCGGAATGACAGTGGACTAATGGACTCCGAAGCTAGGAACAGTTGCCTTTCAGGCTACAATCAAGCCTTTGAACACTTTACTTCTTCCACCATTGTTACGTATCACAAGTCATCAGCCATTAATACGAGCATCTACACAGCGATCGGAGTATTGACGTGCGTAATATTTTCTTGTCGGTGGAATTGGCTAGATTGGTAGCACGCGGATTGCGATGGAGGGTCAAGTACAAAAGACAAGGGGCAACCTCTCAAAACCTCTCAATCTGATCACTTCAATCAGTCTCCAGTATCTCACTCCCGCTCAAATATCTAAAGGATCATCCATTCGCTATCAAAATCATTTGTACTCCGCGTCATTACAACATTCGCTATCATGCAATACCGTATTTCAATGATTGCTACTCTGCTAGCAACAGTCACCCCAATAACTGCTCAAAGTATTCGAATGAGAGCAAATGGGACGAACACATCTGCCTCAGGAGCTCTCAACATCATTATATCGCGGTTCAAATACTGGGCAAGGCCAAGACCATGGGGACTTTCTGTGTGTAATTGGTTCATAAGAGAGACATTGCTCTGAGTCTGAGTAGCCGGTACTGTTTCAATACACTGTTCTTCACAAAGCATAGTTACTGTGTGTATTCACATGAATGCGAATTTTCAACTTCGAGCCAGGGTCCTTCGCTCATTTGAAAGAAAGTAACCTTCAGATACATTGAGATTTGACGGCTATTGTGCACATGGATGTCAAATTAAACCAGAGTCGCGATCGCGAAAGATACCATCAGGGCGTTAAAGTTCCGTGGATCCAAGGTTTTGTTACTTACTCAATTAGCCTCCACGGTGGTGGCCGTGCAGTTTTAGCGAGTGTCAACAAGGGGAATAATGTTGCCGTGCTTTCCGAAGTGCCCTGGATCCACACAAGTTGACAAAAAGGGCAAAGTTGGCAGTCCCAGCTTTGAAATACTGCGTAGGTAAGTTGACTGTGGTAGGGAGAGTCAAATACCCAAAAAATGCACAGCTTACGATCTCAACTTTCCAATTGCCCCACATTTGAAATGGCAACTGCAGGGGGCGATGAATATCGTCTTCATGTCATTGCTAATTTCAACTCTTCGAGATCTGGCACGTTAACTGGCAGGGTTAAGCAACTGAAAATATGAAGAACTATCCTGGAGTCCAAACCAAAGTTGCTTGCCGTGACAATGTTACCGACTTCGTTCCAGGCTTCATGGTATGAAGACCGGCCAATGCGTCGATGAGACCCCAAAAATACCAGAGCTTTCAGTCGAAGCATTTGCCAAAGACTGACTTGTCAAACAACAAAAAACGACGTCAGTGCATGGAAGCCAGAACACCCCTCCAATTTCGGAGCTGCATTTCAACCTCCCATCGGATGATGCAGATGTCAAGTGCTCAGTCGGAGACTTCCGCTCAAAGATCTTCAGCATGACGGCAGCTCAACGGCAATCGACCGCCAATCCACTCATATGGAAACCGGGCGTCATATGTATGGACACCAAATAAACCACTAACCTGGTTACCACTCATGCATTACTGCATGTGTGGCTGGAAAGGGATGCCTCCCCAGGGTTATGACCTCTTTTCGGACAGGACCTGGCCATACGTTTCGAACCCCACTCATACGAGGCGGGAAGACCATGAAGCCGATCACCCTCTCTACCGTGCGCTACTGACTTATACAATCCATTGGATCAAGACGATAGGATCGATCCCGCTAGGAAGTGAACTGGCTACCTCCCGGCAACAGCTTGCAGTATCAACTACATTCAGAAATCTATGAGATTGAACGCTGGAGCGAAGGCCATTCATTTCATTGGTCCAAGCATCAAACTTTCGAGAAGACAAATAATATTCAGATGGAACGAACCAACCAAAGGTCACCTTCGGTTTCCTCACAGCTTGGTCAAATCTGGGACAGGAGCAGTAAGGAGCAGCAGCTAGAAACGTATTCCTTGACGTTGGGATTGGCTTTCGCAATTTGCAGTAAGGGTTTTCAGTGCATTTCGCCAGGGTGGTACGTGCAGTTTTCCGCAGGATATGGGTTGGCTTTCGGCCTGTGCCACCGTTTGTTTGCGATCTGCCGGGGACGGCTTGCCAGGTAGAATAATTCAGCGCTCAAGGGTACCGGATGCGAAGAGGCGGTGTCACTTCAAGCGGATCGGAGAATTTCCCATGTGGAGAAACGGATAGAGAAGGCTGGGGTAAGGCAAAAATGGATGGTATTGCTTTGAATGAGCAGGGAAAGTATCCGTGCTTGTTAATCCCTTGTATTGCCATGTGTTCTGTGTTTTCTTGTGGCGGAAAGCTTAACCGACCGAGAACACTCTCAAGATTTCTCCCTCATCGATGAGTGGACCAATTGATAACCACCATGCGATCAAACGATTATAATACAAAAAATGGGACGGAACGAGCCAATGGTCGTTTGCAGGAAAGGGTGGGAGGACGTGGTACAGTCCAAGCTCGGCCCTGTGATGCAGCCAGCCGTCGTTTGCACCTTGTCAAAAGCGGGGGCTCTCTCACACACATACACGCCAGGCCATCTCAGAGGAACCAATGCCAACACAGGACGGCTCAAGCTTCAGGACAGCGAACAAGTTCATTCGCACCAAAGATCTGTGGCGGACACGTGCAGCGGAACTGGGAGATTTTAGCCGCACTTACAACGGCGTCTCTGCCAAGCAATGAGGCAAAGAGGACACAGAGCAGGTCTAGGTGTTGATGTAGCCGATATCATCACGCCAGAACTAAGCGAGAATGATGATTGATATCTTCGCAGTATTGTTAGGGAGGCTGGTCTTTGTGGATTTCTGACGGAAGGCTCGACGGAGCGGCAACTCCTCATGGACCCATAGTAGTTGGACATGGCAAGCATGGGGAGGCGTGATGGTAAATGCAGAGCTAACTCGGTCACTACCAGTCGTTGTTACTTCTTCGATACCTCTAGAACCTTATCGAGAGACTAATAAGATTTGGCATCTTACATTGGTAAAGTTCAATTCCAACCATTTCTCGTATAATTGTCCATGTCCTTCGCTGGATCCCTTGTTGTTAAAATGCCATTGTTCGTCCTTTCTCTGACTGTTGTGATCTGAATAGTAACAACTACTAATAACGTGGTACGCCTAAGGCAATACTGAACGTCTCGGCGTAGTCTGGTAACGAGGAGGGAAACACGCCTGGCCCTAGGTAAACAACCTCACTCCCCTACTATGCTGGCGGTGTGGCAGTACCGTACGGACTAATGACTGCAAGTAGACCTGATGTAGACTGCATATCGGAAATCTAACCAGAGAGTTGTTCTGTACATTCCCCGGTGATCGACATCTCTTCCACGACTGCCGATAGTCCAGTGGGATCATCCCATCCACTCAATCTCAAGAGATTGAATACCTGATCATTGACGCAAAGTCTCATCGCTGACCGCCTGCAAGTTTGACTCTGTTTGGAGGCTTTGTTGCATAGCATTACCGGCATCGAAGGGCACGGGCATCCTGCTTCTGAAGTACGTCAGACGTTCTAGGTAGAAGCCGAATCAACGCAAGGCTACATAGTCCCTGAAACAGTACAGCGGTGAGAGTATTACCACAATGTTTATCAACGCGGAGCCCGGATATGTCTCCAACGGCTTCGAAGCCTTTGTCCCATTCCACGGAACGGAGGCGGCGTTTCATCAAAGACTTGTTGAGATGGCGAACAACGATGCCAAGGCTTGGAGTATCTTCAGGCCCGTGTTATCGTCAACTAGTGGCAGCTGGGATGGAAACCTCGATGAGTACAGCAACAACGAAAACTTTCAAGTTGGCAATCCTCGATCAACAAAGGTCTTTCTCATAACTGACAACTCGACAGGTTCACAGCCTGTACGGAGGATACTACCCAGAGACATGTTGTGTTACCCCGAGCCAAGCTGTAGATTTGCCTGGAATCGTGGGCTACTCGCAGGCACACCAACCTCAACACCAATCCTACGAAAATATCTCCACCTCGCAACCACCGTACCAGGAGCAAACAAGCGAAATGATATGTCTCGGAAGACCAAGCCCAATGCTAGGGAATGACTATTCCCAGATGAGCTTGGTCCGAGGACGAGGAAGCTTTGCTGAATTTTCGAGCGTACGAAACGTCTTGAAGAATGTCGGCCATCAACCTCAGGCTAACGGCGGCAATTCATCGTTCACATCGCCTTCTGGTTTACCTCAATCGACATATGCTGAGAGAACCTCCATGCAAGACAATTCAATGAAAATCTCCGCCACAAGCGCTGAAATTGTTCACAGCAGCTACTCAGAACCGCAAGCATTTGCCGACTGTCGAACGATAGACTCTACTAATACCAGGAGCAGTGACATATCGACTATCAAGGCCTACTGTTGGCCAGACAATTTGCGCGGAAGTAAAGGGCCTATAAGCTCGTTTGAGCTTCCTTTTAGTAACGACGGATTGCCGAGATGCCCACCGCAGCAATACAGCGATCCTTGGAGCTCCACCTCTGGATCAACATCGACATGGGGTCCGCAATCCCTGGCTTCCAACACTATATCTCCTAAGTTGCTGACTTTGAACGTCTCGTCAGCGTCTCTCTCATCCTCTGGATCAAGCCAAGACTCATTGCTGGCACTGTCCGACTCCAGTCCTGTCATGGCGGTTGATGGCCCTGGAGTGAGATTTATTCCGGAAGAACTCCAACTTGTTGAGCCACAACCTCTTCGTCGGCACCGTACAGCGCTTCCCGACTGCGTCCCCAGCTCTCGCAGATTCGTACCGGTAGTGCCCAGCAATGATTTCCCTCCGAGCAGAAACGCCAAGAAGCATTCGAAGGTGATCAAATTTCCACGTTACACTCGCAGAAAGAGCAGTCCTCCACCAAAAGACATCCAGAATCCCTCCTACAATCACAGTCCGAGTCCGAGCCCACGTATTTCGGAGGCTTGCTCTCCAAGATCAGTTGCCACCCCCGCGTGGATTGATCCAAAGGCCTGGCAGCCAGCGATTTCACCACAGCCCAGAGCTGAAGCACAAGTATTAGAGACCCGAGAATCCAGAGATGAGTTCCTAGTCAACTCGAGATTGGCTGGAATGAGTTACAAAGACATTCGTCGGCAAGGAAACTTCAAAGAGGCAGAATCAACCCTCAGAGGACGTTTCCGCACCCTGACGAAGGACAAGACTCAACGAGTAAGGAAACCAGAGTGGGAAGATAATGATGTGAGTTTCAAGTGCCTAGCAAAGCAACTACAGGACTGATTGCAAAGCAGGTTCGGCTTCTGAAGAGAGCTGTACTGAAGCTCAGCAGAGAATCCGACAGAGCCAAAGGCAAAATTCCCTGGAAGCTAGTCGCTGAATACATCGCCAATAATGGAGGGTCGTACCACTTCGGCAATTCTACGTGTCGCAAGCGTTGGGACGAGCTTGAAGGAAGAAGTCGATGGCAATTAGTGGGAACAATCTAAGCACTGTTGTCCGCTTGCATGCTTGCAGGGGAACATGTGTAAGACCAGACCTGTGGCACATTATGATGGCTGGCACGTCAAACTGACAGCATCAATTTCAAAGCTCGGCTTTCCAATGAAGTAGCGCGGGTTCCATGGTGTATCCTAGGATTTAAAAAGTGTAGGAGTATGGTTTGTAGTATGGCGTGGCCTTTTGCTCGTCTATGAGCCATGTATTGTAGTAGAGCGTTTGTTTTGCAGGTCAAAATCAAGGCAATTCGTCCGTGATTTGAATTACAGTCGGCCTTCTTGATCCAATGTAGGTGGTACTCCGATGGCTGCTAATATGTTTATTAATTTCGATTCATCTTTCTGCAACACATTCCATTCCTCTTCACTCTTAACGAGTAGAGTTCCTCCGAGGACAGTTCCATTCAGGGCAATGGGTCCAATAGCGTCACCAGAGCTGGCCTGAATTTTCAAACCCTCAGAAATGCGAGGGCATAGAACGATTGCTCGAACAGTAAAGCCAAGATTGTAACTGATAGGTGATTCTTGTAATGAAATACCTGCACTTGGATCGGCAGCTTCAATATTCTTCACCAATCGACAGGCTAGACCATGAAGATCGGTGTAGATCCGATGAATGTCTTCTCCTGAAGCATTTTTGGGGATCTGGGCAGAGAAATATGAGAAGGGTAGTTCTAGGACTGTTAGAAGTTTCGCAATACAGCGGGCAGGTTGTCGCATACCAGGTTTTGTTTCCTTCACCAAACTATCTACCAGGACGTTCCACTTGGCATCCGGTCCAATGCCACTTCGCATGGATTCAACTGGCAGGAACTGGATATGCCTATGCGGTTGGCTCGCGCCCGAGTGTTCACCCGAATTGAAGAAACCGAACAATTCCTCGCCATTGTCTTTGTAAGCCTTCAGGCATGCGTAAGCGGCTTCCAGGTCGTCCTTATCCAGTAAGCCGGTTTGCTGTTTGAAGTCCTTGGTGGCAAGTATAAAGTGGTCAGGGATGACTGGGAATTTGTTCAGGACAAGGAAATGGGACGGTGGGAGAGATGTGATAAAGAGGCCTGCTGGAGGATTGTCGAAAGGATCGAATGGTTTCGAGGAAGGAGACTTGGGTTTACTAGACTTTGGCTTATTTGCAAGAGCTGGAGAGAAGCGCAATTGAAACTACAGGTCTGTCAGTATTGGAAGTAGGAGTGGACGGAGGGGTCGATATCGCATCACATACTGGTAATCCCTCGCATTGCAGGATGGAGACCCGAGTTGCATAGAAAGTTAAATCTCCGCTCTCTTGGGCAGATATGAATTGCTTCCTGACGAGTGCTGGCAGGTTTCGCAAGGTTGTCATGGTGCAATTATTAGTTGAAGAGCATAGGTATGATCTGCCTTTGTTCCACGCGTCTTGGGATGACGACGCGCACAGACCTCTTCGCAAGGCTGCCGAGGCTTCCTGGGCTTGTTGTGCTCAGAGTTGTCACCCATCTTTGTGCTTTACGAATAGAATCAGCATTAAAGTGGAATAGAGGAGACACTAGCCCAACTCTCCAGAAAATCATCTAGAAGTTGCGAAACAATTTCAACAAAACCTTTTGGCGTCCAAGTCAGCTCAAGTTCTGCCGTGCTGAGTCGTCCCTCGTTCACATCATTGATACACATGACAAAGGCTATGTTTGTGACTATGGCTACATTTTGGTCAGAATCCAGACTAAATTTCCTGGGCGCCTCCTGCCATTTGGGCTTCAAGCAGGCTGTCTGGCCTCATGGCACCAATTTTCAAGAGCAGCAGTCTCGCTTAGTATCTCGGCAAATCGTGTCCCAAAAAAACTCAACAAAAACAAAGGAAACGAACAGTATCTTCTAGCGAATTGTATCGTCACAGAAGGGCAGGAGAGGAATATTCCACTATAATTAGGTGGACTGACGATGCGGTACAAGCTAATTCGCAATCATTGCACGGTAGCTGCCCATATCTGATTTACAGAATCCCGAGATCCAAAATCAGCCTTGGAACGCCACCATGCAGCCACCAAACTCAACTCCGCTCAGCCTCGCCTTCGAAGCTGAACATATAAGTCCATCATCCCTCCTCTTACTTTTGCCTTCCATTAAGTCTTAGCAGAGCACATCACCCAAGTAGAATCCCTCCACAATGGCGGGCGACCCCCTCAGCATCGCAGCCAGCATCCTCGGTGTTTCAGCCGCAGGCTTCAAGATAGCCCAAGGCCTCTACAACATCGCATCCTCCATAGGATCCTCCGGCGAAGAAATAAGGCTCTTCGCATCCGATACCGATATTTTCTCACACATGCTGTACAGTCTCAGTCAGACTCTCGAGTCAACCGCGGCGAACTCCACCTCGCACTCACCACGTCTGCTCGTCACAACGGAAGATGCCGTCAAGCTGTGTGAGCAGGTATTGCAGCCCTTTGAGAGGATTATTAAAAGGCTGAATCCGTTGCTGGTAAGGTTCAAAGAGAGTCAGAGGAAGTTAAAACAGTTGGGGATGAGGATTAGGTGGGTGTTTAGGGAGAAGAGTAAAGTGTTGTTTTATCAGCGGATGTTGAATTCACTCAAGAGTACCTTGACGTGTTTGTTGGCATCGACTAATCTGAATGTGGCATCTGACCTGGGTGCAGAACATACAGCGTATGTCAAACTTATTCTTTAAAACACTGTGTGTATATTTTATTGACTGGGGACTTAGGCTTCTTCGTATCCAAGTTGAAAATGCTCAAGGAGTCATCAAACACAATGTTGAGATGGCTCCAACAAGACTCCTCGAGCTTGGAGCTACAAATGCAGTAGCCTATCCCGGTCGCACTTTACAGGATGTGCCTTCTGAGTCTCAAGTAGAGATGGACGGCCTGGAAGATGATGCATTTATTGTCCCCAGAAGTGACGCTGGACCGTCGGCGTCTAGAAGAGATACAAGAGTGGCAGAGGACAATCTCGACAGCCAAGAGTCTTTTGACTGCCAGATTGACGAAGCACTACAGAGTCCTCCCGGATCGACGAGTTGCTCACCACAGGCACTTTATGAGGATATCAGGAGTCTACAACGGAGGATCATCGAATTTGCGAGCCAAACACTTGAGACAGCCGATGACTTACCACCTTCTTATGATCTCCCAACTGCTGGCAATAGTGATGGAAGGATCTCAGGCCTTCGAGAAAACACCAATTCAAATGTCGTTGACAGACAGGGGCTCTCAATTATGATTCCATATCAAAGTCCGAGAGCAAAGAATTCTAATCGTGGAATGACCCTGCTGGAGCTCCAGGAGAAAAACCAAATTCTTATCGAAGATACACTTGGATATTTCAATTACATTCCTTCATCAGTCGGCGCTAGCTGGGAGGTACTTCTGCCTTTTTTCCTAGTACACGCGGATTATGTTTTCCCCGCCTCCATGCTCTAATGCACAAAATGTATGGCTGTTTTCTGACTGTCGAACAGGGTCTCAAAAACTTTCTCCAGGATTGTTACAGTTATCAATTCATGTACAATACCGAAACTGCTCCATCCTACGCTGGCCCTCGATACATCGTACACCCACAGGCTGTCCAAGGCATGGCTGGGGCTAACCAGGAGGGTCGAATATACACTATTCTTGATTTCAAATCTTTCGAGACCGAGCACGGCGTAAAGATGCAAGGAGATCAGAAACTGTACCTTAAGCACGCTTTTCAACGCGCCATCGAGCGAGATCAATATCTGCTGGAGGACCATAGTGGCAATGGAGCACACGTTCAGAATATCTTCCGGAAAGAGAACTGGACGAAGCGAACATGGCTCAATGCTCAGCTCCTGTTGCGGTTCGATAACCCTTTCTTTAACGATGTCAAGGATGTGAAAGTGTCGTGTTGACTGCTACGAAGCTGTCCCGTTCCTAGGCTGTCTTACTTCGAGGACAACGGGAGGGAATTTGGATATATAGAGTTAGTGAATTGTTTTTCATACTTGATATTGACTTTAACGATGCTTCATGCTTGGGAAAGGCCACTTTAGTGATGTTGTAATTAGTGTGTTTCCATAAAATGGTTGATTTACCCTGGTGTTTCCTCTTATCTGGACTGGTTCGTGATATACCGTACAGCTGGTACATAAATCTTGAGATTTTAATACCCACTGATACCCATACTCTTTAACTGGGCAACTGTGACCAGACCCTCATCCACCATTTCGGCCAGCAATGGACCTCCTCTCTTCGCAGCAAGCTGTTTCAACTCGTCGCCATCTCCCAGCAGTCCCTTGACCAAAGCGTCCTTCACTTCTGCATCCAGGCCCTGTTCGAGTCAGTAAAGTTTCAGCAAGATAGACAAACTGTCTGTCATGTCCTCCAAAATATCTCATCCAACAATAGAGCAAACGCACCTCTTCAGCCCACCCATAAGTCCTGGCAAAATTCTTCGCACCCACATAGAACTTCCCAGCGTTTCTGAGCAGCACATCCGTATTATCTCTCGCCGGCTCAAACACTACATCCAACTGTCCCAGCTGGAACCGATTGACCTCAACATCACCTCTAGCAATATGGATCTTGACCACATTCTCAACATCTGGTACTTTGGTCGCAGCAGTGAGGTTCTTGAGTGCTGTGCTAAGAGCAGACCAGCGGGCGGATATGGTCTCGCGAGAGTTGATTTTGGGGTTGTTGAGCAGGCGGAGGGTCGAGTTGAAGGCGATGAGTGCTTCGGCATAGGAGCAGAGACCTTCAGCGGAAGTGCTGAGGTCGAGGGCTGAATGGGCATTTTCGATTGCGGAGGCGTAGGTTTGGATATCTGTGGGATTGGCTTGGAATTGGAGATTGGCAAAGGCGCTCAGGAAAGAGGCGCGGATGATTTTTGCTTCGAGGTTTCGGTCGGTATTGGTTAAATATTGATCGAATCTGGATTGGAAACGTTAATTGATTGGTACTGAATAGGAAGGGAAAGATACGACAGGGTAGGCTGTCTTACTTGACATTGATGAGATCTTTAGCATAACCCTCGACCCAGCTGATTTCCTGCTCGGAGACATTCAGCATCAGGCCGCAAAGTTGCGTGAGAGTCTCCAGTTGGGCGAGGACAGTGTCGAGGAGAACGTCGTTATCAACCGGCTCTACAATGCTTGCCCATCTCTCATCCTGCGCTGGCTCCTTTCCATCGTCGACATCCATAGAAGACTCGCCAGAAAGAGAGACACCGCCATCCTCTGTATTATTGGTATCTTGTGAGGTCTGAATACTAGACTCTTTGCTAGCATTAGACAACATGGATTCTGCCAATTGTGCTTGAGCTGCGGACTCTTGGGCTTGCTTTTCTTGGACTTCGAGACAAAGCTGGAAGAGTTGCAAGGCTTCTTCTATCAGTTGAAGAGTAGATCCATCAGTAGATGACTCGGACAGCTTCTCAGTGAGACTTGTCAGGATCTGTGCGGTATTGCTGAGTATGTTAGCAACTTCAGTCTTGGCACCTCCGGCAAATTGCCGCGAATTGTGGTGTTCAATTTGGTACAGAGATCTTCTTGCCGTACAGAAAGAAACAAGAGCCAGAATTTAAGCGCAGTGATGTGTATGAGAGAGAAGTAGAAACTTGTAGAGTGGTCTTGTTTGTTGAGAATTTCGCTCTCTGAAAGCCTGGCTCGAGCCGAAAGGCGAACATAGGAACAAGCGATACTTACAAAAGGGCATCTGCATTTTCGCCATTCAGGCTCAGTGCAAACTTGCTACTTGTCAAAGCAGTTTGAAGTAGATCCAAAAGACTGCCAGGTAACTGTTGCAGCAGCTTTGGATGCTGAGTGAGCTCATATTGGACTCGGGCTCTGAATCATTTACTGAGCAAATGTCATTTCTCAAAATCTCAACACGACTTACTTGTTGTATGCTAGATCAAACGAGTTCGGAAACTTCTTCAGAGCCTCATCGTAGCATTCAATGGCGCGAACGAAGAATCTTGTAGACTGAAAATTCAATCAGCCGTTTGACGTCACATGATTTCCGACACAAACTTTGGCTGCATCACCACCTCTCCATTTTCCCCCAGCTTCCTCAAAGTCTACACCCGCTATTAAAGGTGAGCTAAGACATGCAGAAACTGGGGACGGCGATCTCACCTGCGAGGTACTCGTCGGCAGTTTCTGGGGCCTGGTCCTTGTCAACTTCAGCTCTCAAGTGTCCTTGCGGAACTCCAACCTACCGCCTGAACGTGCTTCGACTTCTTCTTCGGCACCTTGGTAAACTGCTTTGGCTTTGGCATCCTGAGTTCCGTAGGTCTTTAGGAGGGCGGTGAAAACTCTTGAGTCAAGGTTGATCAACGAGAATGCTGTAACGAGATCAAGCGCTAACAGATACCTAAGGTAAGAAGAAGTTGTTCATAAATTTCGTAATGATGCTCTATTGTGCCACTAAGCGAGCCTCACTAATTTGCTTCCTTCGAGGTTGCTGGAATAAACAAGGAGACAAACAAAATTGCTTATGTGCTTGTCCTCCATTCATACACAACAATAAATAAAGTCTTTCGCGGCTATCAACCCATCTTCTCTTTCCTCCTGATTCCGATGATTTTCTCCACAGGCCAGACGAAAGCTGCGGCGGATAAACACCCGAACAAACTACCTCGAAACCGTTAATAATCCTCGCACATGCACGACAGAAATTACGCGGTGAACCGGATCGAGGTTGCAGGTGCCGCATTAGACGCCGCAACATACTGAACTACAGATCCTCTCGTACACTGTACATTCGAGGAGGCTCGGCGGGGCATTTTGAAGACGAGTATGACCATCGCCTTGACAACTATAATTTTGTGCGATCGCAAGTATATCCACAACAGAGCTTTCGGACAAACCTTAAAAAATTGACGCGCCGATCATGAATACAAGGTTATTTGCCACGTTTCAGGGGTTCTGGAATGGCTGCACTGGAGCGCTCCATGCAGTCTTCCACGTGTTGGAGGTGTGTTGCAGTGCAGATTGATAACTGGGTGCCCAGGTCAGGGTATGAGAGGGGCGTAGGCCTAGCCTCTAGCCTACCTCGCCAGTGAGACAAATGCACATCTTTCCCGCATTCCAACAGCATCAGCCCAAGTTCTCCTCAGTCCTCACTTCACAGCACATCTGCAGCCCGAAGCCTCATTTTCTTTCATCTTCGGTCCGTGAAGAAGTCTCGGACGTGAGATCCGTATTGCGGAGTGATCTTCCGCCCCTGACCATCATCTGCTTTGCCCGCTCCTGTTGCAGAGACAACTGCGTTGTATCCTACCTTACCTACTTTACTGGGTTGTTGATATCACGGGCTAGCACTGCAACGTTCAAAATAAGCCCAAAAGCCCCTCGGCCCAGCATCGTGGGAGGAGTCTCTGACCTACCTCCTTTTTTCTGCTCTCCCTCTCCTTTCAGACATTATTCTAATTTACAACATCGTCGGCGATTATACAAAGCTTGACTGAGACCGCGTCATTCGCCAGGAATCCGCGTTGTCACTGTGCTCCGCGTAAATTTACCTGGCTCTGGCCCGCCTTTCTTCCTTCGAGAAGCACCTTCTCCCACCTCCTGTTTGAGGTTGAGACCCAAACCCATCGCAACCTCGTGGCAAACCCGACGAACCCCTTTGATGACCTCCACCCCGACCGAAACCAAGACGCACTAAGGCCAATATCAGCCTCTGACCCTCGCCGTCGACATCATTCCTCTCCTCTTCCCGAACGGCACTCGACGATTAGTCCCATATTGTCGACCAGCCTACCGTCCAAGCACGTAAAAGTATCGCGGCCAACTCCACAATTCTCAGCGTATCCCTGAACAGAACTAAAACCTGAAACGGACGTCAAAATGGGTGCTTCATTGGAATCTTCTCGCCCTATAATGGCCCCAAGTGTGAGTCCTCTTCCTCATCTCCAGCCATTCATCGCTTCATTCCAATACGCAACTTTCCTCGCACCGCATAACTGTCTCCTATCTCCAGCATAGCTGATCATGTCGTCCCCCGAGAAGGTCACCTCGAAGCGCACCTCTGCCCGCTTCAGCACCTACAGCGCAGCCCCCTCCGTCGCCAACACCGTCAAGACAACCCTGTCCTCCGACTCAGCCCAGCAAGAGATCAAAGATATCGAGAACGGCCTCATTAAGCTCGAGAATAAGAAGCTGGCCACTCAACGTTTCGTCCCCACGAAGGAGAAGAGCGAGCACTTGAGCAGCCTGGCATTGGGAGCTAAGTTGGAGCGTGCCCTAGGCAGGAGAATGGGCGGCCAGGATGCTGTGATGCGGGACCGCAAGAAGCCCGTTCTGGAGGAGAAGGTCATGGAGAATGAGAAGTTGGCTGCGGCATGATTGGACACACATCATATTTCGCTTCGTGGATATCATCTTTTGGGGAGAATACACCAGATGGACGTCTGTGGAGGGGCACGGCATCCAGAAGGAAACGGCGGACTTCGACGACTGTTCATCACATGGACATTGAGCTACGGAACGAGGGCATGCATTGGGCGTTACACTTTCCATTTCTCTTATCCATTTTCGGTGGGCTTCACTAATAGTGTTGCGTTGTTACGAATGCTGTTATTTCATGAGTTATACCATCTGGTTTTGCATTGGGTTTGCTGCTACTTTTCATGTCAGGCACGCGTGTTGGTCTACTGGGCTACGTTTTGCTGGGAAGGATACATGCTCTATTTCAACTAGAGTTTGCAAACGGAAATGATACATTTTCTTCGAATTCTGTCCTCGTTGTCGTTGCTTCCTGGTTTCATCTTGTAATGCTGCCATGATAAAGCATATTCTGACATTACAAGCCACATAACATTGGCAGAAGCTCAAGTACACTCAAAGTAAATGACGGTATATGACGAGAAGGTATCGCAGTCACATAGCCAGCATCGATACTGCTCTACCAAGGCTCTCCATAAATTCATTAGGTAAGCCGGCGCCTATTCGAGACTGCCTCGACGAACGTTCTTCAAGCCTTCCCAGTTCGCCTGGAGCATAAAAAATCTTTTCAAGTCATTAGTTGTGGGCATTAGCTGGAGAATTTTTACGTCCATTTCAAAATCGATGCCCACTACTTCTCCTTACACTCTCTGTAGCACTCTCAACAGAGTATGCCTGCAACCTTCATGGCCCTCTCTTCTTTGGTGCATTCTCGGAGAGATGAAGGATCTACTTTGCCCAATACGACCTATCTATGCGAACATTGCAAAACGCTCGAGTTCAAAATCAAAGCTGTATGTGCGGGGGAAACGGTGGAATTCCAGACTCGCGCATCAATAATCGCGTCTTCCTCAACGTGTGTATTGTGTAAATACATCGTTGAAAATGGGCTCGACTCCATTCCACCAAGCGAAACCCCACTGAAAGTAACAAGCTATCTCTTCCAGGCCTGACGAATGGTACCAGCGTTTTCATCCTGACATATGAGCTGGATCGACGCGCGGCTGGCGACGAGGATTTGTGGCTTTACCTGCTAACACCAGAAGGTTAATGAAGGGTCTCTATTTCATCATAGTACTTACTGAAGAACGAACAGATTGTGCGCCAGCCACTGCCAGACACGTTTCCGGACGATGTATACCAATCGAAACAGATTTAGCTCGCGCGAGAACATGGCTGAAAGAATGTCTCGAGCACCATGACCATGGTCCAAGAATTGCAGCTGATCGTCCTGCGAGGCTGATTGCAGTCGGTAGTGATGACGGACTGAAACCTATCAGAATCGTGGATGCCTCGAAATTGAATGAAGAATATCTGGCTCTTAGTCACTGCTGGGGTGGCAGTCTCCCGTTGCGGACAACCACAGCAAACTTACAGGGCTTTACATGTGCTATTCCATGGGATCAAATACCAAAGACTTTTCAGGATGCTTTTAAGATCGCCCGATCGCTCGAAGTGGACTATATCTGGATCGATGCTCTGTGTATCATTCAAGACAATTCTGCTGATTGGGAGGCCGAGTCAGTGAAGATGGCGGGTGTCTACAACAGCGCCATATTGACAGTCATGGCCGGCTCTGGATCTGACAGCCACACCGGCCTTCTCAATCCTCGCTCCTGGGTACCAAATTCCGTGTCCATCCCTTATACTGACGAACACGGAACCAAAAGCTTCAGCATTTACATCAGCAATCTCAGTAGCTACCTCGATGAAATCCAGAAGGGACCACTGTACAGCCGTGCTTGGGTTCTTCAAGAACGGCTGCTCTCTAAGCGCGAGCTGATTTTCGGAAAGCAGCAACTATACTGGAACTGTAGCGGCCGCGTGCAGCACGAGACAGGTATTTTGAACAAACTCACATTTCTACCTTACTACGGCACAGGGTCGGAGTACCAAATGTTCGCGAATCCGCAAATCCAAACGCCCGAGCCCGCAAACCACCTCTGGGTGTGGCAAAAACTTGTCAGCGACTACTCAATCTGCTCCCTGACTTACGAGAGCGATAAACTTCCTTCACTGAGCGGACTCGCACAAATTTACGCCCAGAGAACAGGCAAGACATACGCAGCAGGAATGTGGCTCGAAGAAATGCCCTCTTCCCTCTTATGGTGGAACCTCACTCCAGCGCCGCAGCTCGCTCAGAGTACCCAAGCAGAGCAGAACTGCATCCCATCATGGTCATGGGCCTCCACGCAAGCAAAACGCGACACGGTGCGGTTCTTAAACGACCATAACTTCGAGCTGGAAGTCCTTCGCGCCAAGGTCAATCTAGCAAGCACTGATCCTTACGGTAGAGTCTCTCCAGGTTGTCAACTTTTCGTCAAGGGGAGACTTCGCGCTGCTCGCCTTGTGAAAGGGTCTGCTATTGACTACCGCCGCTTCTGTACGTTCGATGTTCAGGATGACCAACTATACCAGACTCGTTTTGATTTGGAAAGTGTAGATGGGTGCTACTTAGGTTCAGCGCTTCTAGATTATGATAGAGATGAATCTCCTTTGGCTGTTTACTGTCTGGAGGTTGCCCCATCGGTTAACGGGATTTATTATTTGGTACTGGAGCAGGTTGGAGACATTGATGAGTTTCGGAGGCTGGGAATTGGAAATTACTATGATTCCGGCAATAAAGTGAAAGAAGAAGTGTTCTCTGGTGTCGAGAAGACGAGGATCGTTCTTATTTGACACTACTAGTACGTCCAAAAATTGTTATTGCTTTTGCTTCTCGAAATAGAATGCATAACAACAACAAAGACTTAGGATACCCTCAAGGGTTACCCTCTAGATGTTTGCTTCAAGACAAAGGATTGATGAGTACTGTTTTGCGTCTAAAGGTAGTAAGCTCCCACTGGGGCTGTCAAAAGAGGCATTTTCTCTTAATAAACATGCCAAAAGAAACCTTGACTCAAGGACTATATCTCGCTACAGTCAATAACATCAAACAATCACGTCTACTCAAAGCTGAATTTATCTGCTCGTTGAATGAATCTCGGGACATATGTCCACAGGCACGTGATACAGAGCATTTCGGTTAGCGCAGCCGCCAAAATCCGAAATACGTCTTAGCTCCTGACAAAATCGAACAACTTCCATTTCCACCCTCTGCAAAAACAGCAAATTGGTCCCCCACCCCTCTCGATCTCCAGTCCTTCCCAATAGAACTTCTTTTCAGTTCTTCCTTTCAACTCCTTCCTAATAACATTGTATTTCATCTGCCTCTCTGAGTTTCTCCTGTAGAAGCATCGTCCCGTCGTCCTTTCTTCAGATTCCAGCATCTAACGCGTTCGATATCCGTAACAGGACTTGACAGCCTCGACCCGCCGATCCCAGATCACTGCACTTGTTGGAAGATCTACAGTCTTCCTTAGTACTTGCGCGCCAACTCTAGCCTTACACCATCCACCTCCCGATTCCTGTCTTGTGAGGTCGACAACCGTCTTCCTCACCTACCCAACTTCTTCCACGATGGCAACCAATGGCAGTTTCGCTCAACAGGAGCAGTACAAGAGTACTACTGAGCAGTACCCAGCTACCTCAGGTGCCGCCGATTCCACGAGTGGTAACGCCTCGGGCAATGACCTTTCGAAGGATGAGGTTGGATGGTACTTTGTTGAGCAATACTACACTACCTTGAGCAAGTCTCCAGAGAAGCTTCATGTACGTATCATATGGCTTCTATGCGCTTAATATGCTAACTAGTTGTAGCTGTTCTATGGAAAGCGATCTCAATTTGTTTCTGGCCTCGAGGCAGAGGTCGCTCCAGTTTCTGTTGGCCGAAGTGTAAGTTTTCTGCTCTTTGACATCTTTTCTCAAGCTAATGTCTGCAGGCTATCCAAGAGCGCATTAAGAATCTCGACTTCCAAGACTGCAAGGTCCGCGTCTCCAATGTCGACTCCCAAGCTTCTTACGACAACATCGTCATCCAAGTTATTGGTGAAACTTCGAACAAGTCGGCCGAGCTCAAGAAGTTTGTTCAAACTTTCGTTCTTGCTCAACAACCTACCGGATACTTTGTCCTCAACGATATCTTCAGATATATCAATGAGGAGGGTGAGGAGGAGCCTGTTGACAACGCCCAAGAGGAGTCTGCTGCTGGACCCTTGGTTGAGGATGTCGAGATGCCAAAGGCTCAGGCCACACCTGAGGAGTCTGCTGCTCCGTTGGATGCTGAGGTTGTAGACAAGAAGCTGGAAGAGGTTGCTGAGCCCGAGCCAGTCGCTGAAGCTGAACCAACAACCAACGGAACTCCAGCTCCTGAAGCTGAAGAGACACCAGCTGCTACCGCTAAGGTTGAGGAGGCTACTCCAACTCCAGAAGTTGCCGAGAAAGCGGTCGAAGAGGAGATCAAGGAGCCAGAGAAGCCAAAGGACCCTGTCTCAACCCCAGCAATCAGCCGCGCTCCATCGAACACCAAGCCAGCAGCTCCAGCTCAGCCAGCTGGCCCACCAAAGCCACTTAGCTGGGCAAGCAGAGCCGCTGCAGCTGTTGGTTCCGCTCCCAAGCCTGCCGTTCCAGTCGTCGCTCCTAAGACTTCCACACCACCTGCCCAAGCTCGTCCAGCTCCACCAGCTGCTAAGCCTGCTCAAGCTCCTACTCCTGCCCCGGCACCTGCCCCAGCTGCGGAGAAGGACAAGGAGAACGGTGCAGGATGGCAAAGTGTTGGAAGCGACCAGAAGAGACAAAACCGTCCACAATCGATCTCTGGTCCACCTGAGAAGGAGGGCACCATGGGATATGTCCGAAATGTTACCGAGAAGGTTGGAACCGAGGAGCTCCGTGCTGCTCTGGGTGGATTTGGAAATCTGATCTACTTTGATGTTAACCGTGGAAAGGTAAGTCTTGAGTTCATTCACCACAACTCCATAGCTGACTGAAAACTAGAACTGCGCCTTTGTCGAGTATGCTACACCTGAAGGTTACCAAGCTGCCGCTGCCGCCAACCCGCACCAAGTTTCTGGAGAGGCGATCTATGTTGAGCCTCGCCGACCCAAGCCAAGTGCTTATGGTGGAAACGGATATTCTGGAGGACGTGGAGGTCTCAACCAACGGGGTCGTGGCCAGTTCCAAAACCGAGGCCGTGGTGGTGGAGGTGCTCCTCGTGGCCGGGGCACGAGCACACCCACAAACGCCTGATTGATGAAACCAATCCTGATCGCCCACATCCTCCCTCATACACGCTCTTCGACTTTCGACACTGTATCATACTTGGACTTTGGTCACTAATAAGACCAGACTTGTAACTCTACCTTCACCATATCGCACCATGCATTCTATTCTTGGTTCTCTTTTCTCGGAGCAAAAGTTCAGCAGGCCTTCTTCTACATGTTATGATGCCTTGATGTCCCTATTCCGCATGCGTCATTTTGCATTTTCGAAACGGGATGGGCCATGGCCACAGTTGTAACGGTTGCGAATCGACGAATTTCCCATCAAAATCTACTGCGCGGTGCTTTTGCTGGCCTGGTTCGGATTCCCCTTTTCTTTAATAGTATGATAGGGTGTTATTGGTGCTGAGAGGTGGATGGATCTATATGTGCAGGTGATTTGCGAAGTTGCTGGAAATGGAAGATGGATAGTTTATGCGGAAGATGGTGGCTTTGATGGTATTCTGGGATTGAAGAATGCGATTAGGTGCTTGGGGTAGTGATGGTAGATGATATTTGAGAGAAGCCTGAGGGGCTGTAATTATCCAATAAAGAAATAACAGCAAAATCAGATCCAGCCCATCTTGTCTAATCTCGCTCTGTTCACGTTGAAGGTATTATATGTAACTATATAAAGTGCTCGGCATGGGCATTATAAGGCTTTGCCCAAGACGCAGGGAGTAGATTGCAGCTTCAGAAGCTTTATTGCTAAGAACCAGGCACTATCTAGTCGTGGGGAAGGAAACAGATACTAAGTGCTCTGGTGTTGACTCCGCCTACTTAGGCCTCGACAAATATTCAATTTCATCAAGTGCATCTTATGATGTATCTCTGTTGCTCAAATTTTTGTGCACTAATCAAACTGACACTTTACATATGCCGAACTGCTTTGACAGTCTTACTTCAAAAGCTGTAAGATGAGCTCTACCTACCTACTCCTAGATGGGATGGATATCTAAGAGTCACGTGGTATGCTAAAATGTTCAGGCGCGTCGAACAGCATCGCGCTTGCCACTTTACGCGGGAATCAATGCAGCTGCAATTCACCTACCCCCAACAAAGCAAGCAATCAATCAATCAGGCAACTACCCCCCTTCCTTCTCTTAACATGGCTCTGTAAGTTCCCGTTCCTCTCCAAAAATCTTGCAACGCCATCGAACAGAAGAATCCCCAAAATGGACTTCGACATCACTAACATCTCTCGTACTGGTAGAGAAAGCTTCGACAACATCTACCTCGACCTCTCCAAGGAATCAGGAAAGTGCCGATTCGCAGAGAATGGTTTTGGCTGGAAACCGTCTGGGGGCGGCGACACCTTTACGCTTGATCACAGCAACATCGGTGGTGCGCAATGGAGTCGCGCAGCCAAAGGGTACGAGGTGAAGATTCTGCTGAGAAACTCGGGCGTTGTTCAGCTTGATGGCTTCTCCCAAGAGGTTGGTACATATATTTCATCTTGATATCACGATTCTAATGGAAGTAGGACTTCGAGCGCATAGGCAAGGTTTTCAAGAATTGGTACAGCACGAATCTCGAACACAAGGAACATGCGCTGCGAGGCTGGAATTGGGGCAAGGGCGAGTTTGGAAAGGCAGAGCTACAATTCAATGTCCAGAATCGACCTGCTTTCGAAATTCCCTATTCAGAGATCTCCAATACGAATTTGGCTGGCAAGAACGAGGTTGCTGTTGAGTTTGCTCTTCCTGCGAATGGCGATGATACGGGTACAAATGGGGCATTGGGTGGTGCTCGCGGAAAAGGCAAGAAGGCCGGTGGTGGCAAGGACCAGCTTGTCGAGATGCGATTCTACATTCCCGGTGTCACTACGAAGAAGGAGGCTCTGGAGGGCGAGGATGCGCCCAGTGATGCTGAAGGGGCCGAGGCCGAGACAAATGCTGCCAATCTCTTCTACGATACTCTGATGGACAAAGCCGAGATTGGTGAGGTGGCTGGCGACACATTCGCAACTTTCTTGGATGTTCTACATCTTACTCCCAGGTATGACAACTACAACGCTTGTGAGAATCTTACTGACAAGTCACAGAGGACGTTTCGATATCGATATGTACGAGAATTCCTTCAGACTTCGTGGCAAGACATACGACTACAAGATTCAATACGACAATTTGAAGAAGTTCATGATCCTACCTAAACCAGATGACTTACATTACATGATCTGCATTGGACTCGATCCCCCACTTCGACAAGGTCAAACGAGATATCCCTTTTTGGTTATGCAGTTCAAAAAGGATGAAGAGGTTACGATTGATCTGAATATGACCGAGGAGTTGATGAAGGAGAAGTACAAGGACAAGCTGGAGCCACATTACGAGTCACCATTACATCAAGTTGTCACCCAGGTCTTCCGTGGACTTACAGGGAAGAAGGTCAATCAACCAGCCAAGGATTTCCGAAGGTCAGTTTCATCAAGGATGCATCATGAATAAATCTAACATTTACAGTCACCATCAACAATCTGGTATCAAGTGTTCTATCAAAGCTAGTGAAGGTTTCCTTTACTGCCTTGAGAAGGCTTTCATGTTCGTCCCTAAGCCTGCAACCTACATCCAATTCGACCAAATCGAATACATTGTCCTTTCTCGAGTTGGTGGAGCTGTGTCTGCGTCTCGAACATTCGATATCACTGTTCAGATGAAAGGATCTGTCGCCGAATCTCAATTTTCAAACATCAACAGAGAAGAGCAAAAGCCTCTAGAGGACTTCTTCAAGATCAAGGGCCTGAGAGTCAAGAACGAGATGGATGAGGACAGCTCGGCCCTTCTCGCGGCTGCTCTCAGAGAACCGGATATGGCATCCAGTGACGAGGAAGTTGTTGCAGCTAGAGCAGACAGAGGAAGTGCAGACGAGGACAGCGAGAGCGCGGATGAGGACTTCAAGACAGACAGTGAAAGTGATGTTGCGGAGGAATACGATTCCAATCACGATAGCAGCAGTGGTAGTGACGATGAGGATGGACCTGGAAGCGATGCAGAGGAAGAGCGGCCTAAGAAGAAGGCTAAGGTTGCTAAGTAGGTGGGCCTGGTTTGTAAAAGTTGCATACTTGGGCGTTTGGGGCTTGGGAATTTAGCAGCAGATACTTTTATGCCATACCAAGTGTGGTCTTCTGATAATCAGACTCCTCGAGAGTCCTTCATTCATCCCCTGCTGTTCAGTTTTCGTTCAGCCAGTTCAAGTTCAAGTGCAGGCGAGTTTGAGCAATGTTCGTTCGCTTTAAGATTATATTCGCCGTTCCTACAGCATCTCCCAAAAATCTACCTTCCTCCAATATCACTCTCAACTCATCTCACCGCACATCTCCACCAAACCTCCTAAGCCCTCAGGGCCCTCGCCATCTTCTTCCCCGGAAAGTTATCCGTAAAGCCAAATTGGCACACATTATTCGCATCACAGCCATTGTTCGGCACATTATACGTAAATGTATTCGTCGGGTTCGTATACGTTGCCGCAATCCCTTCGTTGATACTATTCCACTGGTATGTCAGGGTGTAGCCTTCCATGCAGGGGATACTGCCGGAGGCTGGGAGGGGCGAGGTCGATGCCGTGCCGGAGCATTTGGGGGCGTCGCCGACGAGGCCGTTCAGCACTTGGAGGGTTACGAGGGTGGGTGGACCGGTCTGATGGGGGAAAGGAAGTTAGATCAGTGAAGGAGATGGGAGGGAGGTGGATAGGGAGGTGGATATATAGGGACATGAATAGGGAGGTGGATAAGGAGGCTACTGACTTGACCTGTGCCTGTGATGGCGAAGATGCCGTCAGCTGCGAGGGTGCTGCCGGCGAGGGCGAGGACGGTGGATGCGGTTGTGAACTTCATCTTGAGATCTAGAGTTGTGTATGAACTGTTGTCTGGTGCGTGGATATATCCTTCAATAGGGATCTTGCAACTGAAGAATGGTAAATCTGAATGTGTTATTGATTATGGTAACTAGGCAGAGGGTGGTTTTTGTCTTTATATATATCCGATATTTCTCTTCCTGCTGATTTCCAAACTGTAATTACCGTCACATCTCAGCAAACCTCGTAAAAACCTCGTACTTCCTTTTGAAAGGAATGTATATCTCGTCATATCTGCTAAATTCTGGCACCCAACCTCGTATTCTCTTCACACCTTTTTTCAAGAGCTCTAAGATGTGAGACTCCCGATCTCACGACGCTGACGATCTGCCGATTGTACGTGATACCCCACACTCAACTCCGCAAGCGAGCGACGTCATGAGGCTCATTCACGGCTTATCTTACTCCTCTTCTGTATCTGGCATAATGCATCTGAGGTCATGGCGGGGAAAGAAAGTCACAAGGCTGAGATGAGACTTTGGAAAGGTAGAAAGATATTATTAGATACGAGCGGGTTTGTTGATCTTGGGGTTGTGTGGTTAGTGTTGTTTCGCTTAATAGTGGTGAGAGATTATTTGGTGCTGATATTAGCTGCTAACAAGCGAGAGGGGCTCGTAATTCTCGAAGGACGAAGTGCCAGATAGATTCTGATGAGGTGCAACTTCATAGTGAATTGGAATGAATGGCCTGTTCAGAGGGACTTCGTAAACTAAGGTATGGACGAAGCGAATCAACCCAGCAAATTTTACGTTTTGGGACTCCGTAGGGGAGGCTGCGCATATGTCGCTAACAGCGAGCCTGAATGTGCAATTCAGATTTGGACAATCATGGAGGAATATGCCGAAGAAAATGAAATCTTGAATACAGTTTGGAAGGCATTGGGAGATCTCGTTAATGATCACAAGCTCTGGCAACCTCCTCTGGGTTTGGCACAGAGTTCTTTCCAGCAGGAGGTGCTGAAGAGCTCACCGAGAGATGGTAAGACGAGACATGAATTGCGTTAAAGAAGAATGGTGTGACGACAATAGAGACTCTGGTGGCAGGTGCTGGAAGAGCGGAAATTCGACTTCGGCTCGACTATGGAATCATGCGACTACGCTATCAAAAAAAGGGCAGATGTCCCGCTACCAGCTTCGCCATGATCTGAATATTATCATGCCATGCTACTGATTAATAAGGGAATGGTTTTTCTTAATTATTCTGAGACTCTTCTAGTTCCAAGTGATCCCTGATACACCAGTAACCGAAAGACGAGACCTGAACGTACTTACTCAAGTCGCCGACATGTCAATCAAGACTTTCCAAGAGCCTCATGGTCAGCATTCGTACCTCGTTTTTCCTGGAGAAACAGCACGTTCTTCCTCATGCGAGGTTTTGCTGGCCTCCTTCCATGTCCAAGTCAGGAGCTTCCGCCGCTCCGTCGCGGTCAATCTCTCTCTACGTGACAAGCGCGGCTGAGCAAAGCCCCACAAGGCTTGGTGAGGCATTTTTGGAGATGTATCAAACGAAACTCTCCTTTAGATATTTCTGTAGAAAGAAGTGGCGCGGTTGAGGCTCTTGCCGCTGGGAAGTCTTTGTAAAGAGCACCGATCGTTGTCCTCAGGCTCCGCTGAGCCACGACCAGTGGGTCGATGAACTGCTGAGCCTCTGAAGGAGAGAGCTCTCTTTGATCGGATTGCTGGAAAAAGTGGTAACTTGAGCGCTAGAAGTCTTGGCGATCTCGATTGAGCAGCTGTTGGAGGTGTAGGCTGAGGGCCTAACTGAAATTTTGCCTCGTCGGATGGTTGAGGGGTGGGGGAAGTGCTTGGACATGTAGAGTTTGGTGCAGGGAAAAGCAGTCGGCTGTTGGCCCCGAGCTCTGACTACCTTTCGAATTTGACGAACAATCGCTGAATGATTCTTGGTGCTTGAATGCTGGATTAGATGCGAAGTTCCCAGGTGCATCGCTGGCCGCAGCTACTAGCTTACCACCACCAGAAGTAGCTTGCCTCCCCTTTTGCTTTGACTTACTTCGAAGTTCGGACATAGTTCTCCTTTTTACTTCTTGTGGTCATTCAAGAACCATGCTAGCAGTCTGTTATCCCTTCCTCTTCGACGAAACAAATGTGTCAAAGCAGCAGGATTGACATCTCTTATCAAAACTCGAACAAAAGTTGATATTAGTTTCGTGAATCACCCACCTGAAGCTATATTAGCTTGAGTGAATATAAAGCTCGGCCGAGATGGCGTCAGAAATCCTCTAGCCGGCAAATTGACCGCCACGTCAGGTGAATAGTTCAAGGGGAAACAAGCTTGCTCATGGACTAGAAATCTTTCCAGAGACTCACCAGCTTCGCAGCCGCAAGAGTGAGAATTCCGCAAGAGTGAGAATGGTACTCTTGCCGTATTCTACCAAATCATGTTCGTGAAGTGGATAGAAATGCTCAGACTGACATGGAACATTGCATTTATCGGATAGAACCATATCATCGATCTGCTCAGAAATAGGATTTAAGTACAAGGAGGCTTCCGACCATATACAATTCGCCTAGAGGTATCAGCCAGAATGTTCTCAGGACTTTTTGATAGTTTCTGGACTCACAGTTCAACATAAGCATGCACGTTACGGTCCCTGACATCCTTCCTGACATTAACCAAAAACGCTTCTGCTTTGTCCACTGACCATCCCAGGCCCCTCGTCAACACAGCTCGCGTCGAACTCAATCCCTCACATAAATCATGGCAGAACCAAAGCCCCAACGTCTTCAAATGCTTGTCGCGTGGCCAAGTATTGAGGGGCCACTTCAGAACCTTTTCCTCCACATCAATAAATCCGATTTCCTGCATCCACTTTTTGTACTCTTTGACACGAGTCCATGGACGTCCAGCCTTGGCAGAACCTTCAATGATGTACTGATTCCAGCTCCATAAATCAGTTCCAACCAAAGTATCGTCGACACTTTTCATGGGAAAATCGGTATCTTGCATTTCAAAATAGCCGCCCGGAGCAAGACTTTTGAATGCCTGTTCAAAGACATACTTCGGATCTTTAAAACAGCTTACCATAAGTCTACCATGTATAAAATCGAACTTTTGAGAGTATGTCCATTCGTCTTCCGCATCCTCAACCTCAAACTGGCAGTTCGGCGGAACACTGAATGATCAGCTCGGATCTTTCGAAAAGAGTATCGACTCACAATTCCGGCTGTATTGGACTCAAATCACTACCAATGACTTGCGCTGAAGGATATTTGTTTGCTACAATTTGTCAGTGAGACTGCTGAAAGAAATAAACGAAACTGACCAAAATCAATGGCCCAGATTCCAGTCCCAGTCCCGATATCAAGCACATGCTGGGGATTCTCTACGATGGGTGCAAGAAAAAGCTCGTCATGTAAAGTCATGTGCCAAAGATGATGTTGCATATCTGAATATATCAGTAATGTGTCTGACAAAGCCAATGTGGAAATAAAATACCCAATCGTTCTTGCTCTCTCTAGCAGCAGATGTGAATCAGCAAATTTAATCCTGTCAGTTTGGTGTGGCAAGTACCTCGTCGTTGGGCATCACATAACCTATAAACGGGGATCAGCAATCGCAAACTTCGTGAATGTGTCCATTAATCGTACTGCCTTCTTTGTATCTGTGATATGTCCGGCCATCCTCCTCGACATAGTCATACACACTCGATCGTACGGAAATCGTGGACCGTCTGTAAGTAAAATTCCATAAGCAATCGATATATGAAGGATCAGCCTCTCCCCATCTGACGCCAGAACTCACGGAAGCGTCAAGTCTCCTATCGCAGAATCGTCGTCTTGACTATCAATCTATTATCACACAAGAGCTGTCAGAACATGCTATCCCAAGAGCTAAACGAAAATCGTGGTTCCACTCACGCTTATGAGACCGTCCCCATCACTTATCTCCCCCAGATCGTCCTCCGGTATCGTCCTCTCCGGCGAATGTTCGGTATCACCAGCATGGGCATGGCCACTATTCTCGGCTGCATTTTCCGCTGTCTCTGGTTTCGATGCCATGTTGTATACAGCTGGATATAGGAGCCGTGTCGTCACACACAAAGTGGAATTGGAATTCTTGCATCGATCGTGAGATATCTATTAGCCTGTTCGGAGATTGGGGTTAAATGCGAAAGCAACCTTAATTGGTAGGGTTTCATGAAATCAGCAAGGATTCCGATTACCATTCCAGGGGTATGAATGTGGGGATCTGATGTGAGTGTGAGCGCTGATCTGCAAAATTATTTGAGGCGGACGGCATCTAGCTCAATATCAATTGGATCAAACAACTATGTATCGCACTTAAAAGAGAGGTCAAAGCCTCATTTTCCCTCCGTCCCGAGATCACTAAAATTGTACTCCACAAAATGGCCGGAGGTCCGGCACGAGCCGTGCCTAGCTCTTGGTAGTACTCCGCACTCTACGTGTGGCTGGCGGGGAAGTTGCCAATATGTTGGCAGAATCGCAAGTCCACTAAGGCGTTAAAAGATCTCCCCGGCAGTTGATCTGGATGTCAGACATTTAAAAAAAGACACTCGATGGATCTAAAAGTCATAAAATCTAATACGGACATTTAAGTAGGGTGTAAATATAACTTTCGGCTTCTTCCAATGGATTCTTAACATCTTACGAAAAGAAAACAAAGTCTCAAGGGAAGTTCGACTGTTTACTTTCGAGGGGAAAGGACGGGGTTAACTTTGGCAGTAATTCACGGCGCAGTGTCACCACATCATCGTCAGATGTGAGGATCCAATTCGTTCATAGAAGCGATCTAATCCGCTTGATCTTCGTGAGCTCTTTAGGCAGATCTTCTCTCTCTCTCATAGGGCTGGGCATTTGAACTGGCTGCGAGAAAGCACTCCCCTGTCTGTTCAGTAAGCATTGTGTGACCTAGCGATGACCCCGCGTAGTTAAAGAACCCTTCAACTTCATTCTCTTTGCTTTCCAAACTTTATCTTCTTACACCAGTGGTATCGTGACCCCAAATGATCCAACAGTCATGAAAAATTTTCCTCGAGTTGTGTCCCTTTTGATTTTGGTGCATAGTATTTGTGCATATCCAAGTTCGGTTCACCACGCTCAACACCTATCTCACTCTGGCGGACTCCGCTCGTCTTACGATTATGTCGTAATTGGCGGTGGAACTTCCGGATTAACACTTGCTGATCGTCTCACCGAGAGTGGTAAATGTTCGTGATCTCTCTTTTGGTGTTTCTTGCCACTAATTTGTAGTCATATAGACTCCGTATTGGTTGTTGAGTACGGCTACTTCTCAGATATTCCCACCCTGCCGTATGACCCAATCAATCCAATAGATGTATCTCCTGAGTCTTTGATGTATAACATCACATCTGTTGGTACCAAGAAACAGTTAGTTGGCATTGGTTGTGTTGTCGGAGGTGGATCTGCCATCAATGCTCAGGCATTCATGCGCGGTACATCTGAGGACTATGACCGATGGGCCGCTCTTGGAGGCGAAGATTCGAATTGGGGTTGGAAGGGTATTTTGCCGTATTTCAAGAAGGTACGGATGCTGAATTTGAATCCTGAGAGGAGAAGATGACTGATCGAAAGGATAGAGCGTAACTTTCAACCCGCCTGATCCGAAACTCGCTGAGGAATTTAATATAACATACGACATCAAAGAAGCATGGGGAGGCAACGGTCCTGTCTTGGCCAGCTACGGCGATTATCAGTATCCTCCTACCAGTATCTCAGGACTCCCCGAGTAAAACTCAGAAAAGCACTGACTCATATACAGAGATCATGTATGAAGCTTGGAAAGCTTTCCCAGGGATCACCTACCCACGAGACGGCTCAGAAGGCAAAGCAGGAATCGTCTGGATCCCCTCGTCCAAAGATCCAATCACTGAGACGCGGTCCTACGCGCGAACAGCACACTGGGACCCTGTGCAGAACAGGACCAATTATGCGATCCTCACGGGACATAAAGTTGCCAAGATTAATTTTCGTCAGACTAGGTTGGAGATAATGGCGACAAGCGTGAAGATCGTTTCCCGGACTAACAGTTCGTCGACCAGGATCGTGAAAGCATCAAAAGAGATTATTCTGGCTGCTGGAGCGATTCATACACCTCAGATTTTGCAGTTGAGTGGCATTGGGCCGAGAGACGTGTTGAAGGCTGCAAACATTTCGCTTTTAATGGATCTCCCCGGCGTAGGCTCAAACTTCCAGGATCATTCGTGGTTTACAGTGGGATACAATTGTGAGCCTGCCACTAGGTAGCTGTGATATGCGTTTACTGATGTGATATTACAGTCACAACTCCCGTTCTTCCCAACAGAGCATCGTTGCTCAATAATAAAACATTCGCCTCTTGGGCGCTGGAGCTATGGGAAGCCAATCGCACAGGTCCACTGCTTCTCGGCTCCAATTCCCAAGATCATGCTGACGTCCTCAGGCCCATACTCAATCTCGCAAGGAGGAGGAGCTGCTCTAGCCCAAGTCGGTCTCCCGGTGATAGCGCCCACTACGTACTCTTCCATTGCATCGGAAATCGAGTCTCTCGATCCGGCAAGCATCTTGTCCCTGGGAACACATCCAACAATCGTTGCTGGATACCGCGCTCAGCTCAAACTTATGGCAGCGGCAGCACGCTCCAAGAATACTGCATGGCTTCAAATGGGATTAGGCGGTAATCCGTTCGGCGTAGCAGATCAGTGGGTGTTCAATATTCATCCACTAAGCCGAGGAACAGTCCACCTAGACCCGTCAGATCCGAACGGAGAACCGCTGGTCGATTATCGCATGCTATCAAATCCTGTTGACCTGCGTGTAGCTGTGGCTCTGTTCAAAGGCATCAGAGCATACTATGGTAGTCAAGGAGCTATGAAGAGATTGACACCTGTGGAGACGAAACCTGGAGCAAACGTGACGTCTGACGCTGATATCGAAGAGTTCTTGAAGAAGACGCTCGATCCGAGTCAGTACCATCCTGTTGGAACATGTCCTAAAATGCCGTTAGAGCTTGGAGGTGTTGTTGACGAAGAGTTGAGAGTGTATGGCGTGGAGGGTCTTAGTGTTGTGGATGCTAGTATCATGCCGTTGATTGTTGGAGCGACGATGCAGTCGACTGTTTATGCCGTTGCTGAAAAGGCGAGTTGTAAAGACTACACTGCAAATTGATGATCGACACTGACGGAGATGAGTAGGCTGCGGACTTGATCAAAGCCAGAGCATAGCTTCCTCGAACACGGAAAAATGCCCGGTCAAGGTTTTTTATTACCGATGCGTGATCTCATTCTGTTGACTCCTGTTATTTGAAATAAGAGAGACAATATTCGCGAAGATTTTCATCCTTTGGTGACCTTGTAAATTGACGATAAAGTTAGAACTGATGGGAGTGAGACGGATTTCCTGCTGCCCTCGCTTAACATAATGCAAAATAAACAAACTCATCTGTTCCCCACAGAGTATTTAAAAAGCAGAACTTTATGCCCAACACATTTCAAGCAGGAAGCAATGTCCCAAGATTCTCGATTACAGAGGGATTTGGTGAGTTGGCTTATTGATGCGGTGAAGGGAGGGCTGATCAGTGGATTTGGAAGATGCAGGCCGTGGGTGCTGGGACCTTGCATGAAGAGCCTCGAACATACAAGAATTCTCGGCGTGTATTTGAGTCATATTTGTAATAGATTCAGGTCTATACTTAACATTAAGTACGTATTGAGTAAAGTAAGTGGGTATCTATCGATCTCAAAACGTAAAACAACAACAGATCGCTCGCTCGCTCACTAAAAGCAAAACATAAAGAGCGTCTCTCATCCCATCATAATCATCATCGCATATATCCAACCCCTCATTGCAAACCTATCCGTATCCTCCCACAAAAAAACAAACCCCCCCAATTTTAAACCATTAAAGCAATGACCAGACTGCGATGATATGATGTGATATGTATGATGAAATGCCAACCCGTGACCGCAAAAGAAGGGAACAGATGAGAATGTAAGCCTGTATGTAAATAATAGGCAGATAGGAAAATGATGCACCACGGGCTCGCGCCCTTGATATCTTTCCGTCTTTGACAAGATTTATAAGATCATACCAGACCAGACCAGAAATGATGTCCTCCTCGCTATGCAGCAGACCGCTAAATGCAAATGCCAAACGACCGGTATCCAAATGAATCGGCAAGAAACGATCCAAGGATCAGGGTCAAACATAAAGAGAGGTAAAAGAGATGAAGGACTAGACACTGGCCGTCCTCCTCCGCCCGACGACAGGTTTCTGCGCGTACGCAACCACCAGTTTGAAGCTCGCATTCCACTTCTCGCTCTCCGAAAGCAAAGAGCCATCATTGAAGATACTCCGGGCTAAGTCACCATCGGGAATAACAGCCATCTCGTAGCAGCGTGTATACCACCATCGTCCGACTTTAGCAACCATCTTGGTGATACTCTCGTCCCCGGCGCGAGACTCGTCCTTCATCATGTCTGCTAGGCTGATTTCCTCCTTATGGCCATGTTCGCGTTCTTTCCCTTTGCTGCTGGTGCTCCCGCGATGGGAAGTATCTTTGGAGGCAGCAGGAATGTTTGACGCAACGGGAACACCAACGTTGCAGCTCTTGATGTCGCTGAACCCACGCTTACCGACGATGCGAAGGACGGTGTCGCTTGCGCTGGCGAGACTGATACTCGGATCTGCGACTTGCATCTTGACTTTGAGGCCGCGGACCGCTCGACGAGCACGATTACCCATGTTCATCATGTCCAAATCTAGGATAGCCATCTCGAGATACCCACCTGACTTGAGTACGCGTTTGGACTCTGCGACGATGTTGCGGTAGGATGCCTCAGACATGGCAGTAGGAAATCGGAAGACGACAACGTCAAAGGTAGATGACGGAAAAGGGAACTTATGGGATGTGGAGAGGTATTGGATCTGACGGTGGTTCGGCGGGGTGAGCGGAAATGATGTGCTCCCGGATGTTCTCTGGGAGTTGGAAAGTGGACGAGTGGGCGAGAGGTTGTAGAAAGTTGAGTTTGGATAGGTTTCTGCAGCATAAAAGGACCAATCATCTGGGAGGGATATGTTAGCTTCTTGAAGTATCATGCGGTAGGAAATGGGACGCACCATTACCAAGGCCATCGATGACCAGGATCGAATGGCGTTTCGTTGGCCCCTCGAGCTGCATTATTTCCTCTCTGGCAGGACTGAAGAGAACGTGTCCGAAAGTCAACCACTTGCTGACTGTCATTGATCCCACACGAAGGTTAACCTGCGAGATAGGAGAGCTACTCTCCTGTTCGGAGATTGTTCGAAGCCCTGAAATGGAACGCGAATGGCTGCTTGATGATGTTGATTTTCTTGAGCTGCTTTGCGAACCACGACGAGGTCTTTGGGCGGATTCGCCGTGAACAGAGTTATTTCGATCTCCATACCCAGAAAAGAAGTCTGTGAATGACATCGGCGTCGTCGGTGTTGGGATAGTGTTCAGAGCATCTCTCAACCGCGCACTCATGTCCCCGCTGTATACACTGGAGGATGTAAGGGCTGAGCGTCGCTCTGGTACTTCGACAACCTGCTCCTTGATCGGTGGTGCCGAGGTCAAGGTAGGAGACTCCTTAGCTTGCACCTTGCTCTTCCTCATCCGACGACTTTCATAGCTCTCGTATTGGAACGGAACTCCGTGTGATGATGTTGCTGACACAGGTACCTTGATAGTATCGTCGTTCTCGATCAAGTCATCGTATTCATCCCATACTTCGTCTTCCTCTAGCTCAGCATCGGCTTCAGGAATAACAGCAGTGATTCCAACGAGGCTAAGACCACCAGAGCTACTCGTAGTAGCCTCTGAATTCTTCCGGGGGGAGAATGCAAGAAAATCTTGATGACTGGCTCTTGTGCTCTCCGACCTGGACTCACCAGAGCTTTGTCGTGATACATCTTCCATATCGTAATAGGGCAATCTGGTTTCGACTGGCTCTGGTGTCGATGGCTTGGGAGGGCTAGGACCTAGGCCAACAGAATTCTTATCGACGACTTGTGGCAATAGAAGCGGCTGAGCAGTGCTTAGACGAGCAAATGGTCGTGAGAATGATTTCGGTGAGGTCGCCTCTGGCCTAGCTGAGATGACCTTGGGTATGCGTCCAACTTGTGGCAATCGACTTGGACGCGTTGGTGCTGTCTCCTTGACCAGATGCAATTCAGTCTGCGGTATCTCAGGTGTAAGCTTAATAGGCTCTGGGGAGGAAAAGATCGGTGTAGCCTCTTCCTCCAGAGGAGAAACCATATCAAATTGAACGTCATCGGTCGGATGGTGGTCTTCTTTAATCTCTCCAAACTGTAGTAAATCAAGCTCTTCGTTCGACAGGCTTATAACGTCGGCATCACGAAGGATATCTTCCAGATCGAAAGCTTCTAGTTCTTGCTGCTCATCAGAGGAATCAAGCATTGCATAATGTGGTATTGCAGCGGACTTGGGCACAGATTTTGCAACAGTGACTTGGAGCGGAGGTCGAGGTTCCGGTTTTGGGTTTGGTTGTGATCGATGGAAGAAATTCCACTTCCGCGGTGACCTTGGCCGCTTCTCCAGCTTCTTAGGCTTTGTCATTTGAAGTTTGCGTGCCTTCTCGACCTCTGGGTTCTTGTCCAATTGAGATTCGTCTGACATGATGCTGGCGTCCAAGCTTGTAATCGACGGTGATGCACCACCAGCGAATTTGAGAGGTCGAGGGAGATTCAACGTGCTACTTGAGTTCTGAATAGATCGCCGGAAAGCCAAAGAACTTTTACCAATGCCATCGTCGCTGCTGTCGGACGGTCGACGGCCTTTAGGTATTGCGATAGCCGAAGCTCGCTTTGTCGGTTCCTTGGGTAACGCTGACGGCCATAATGTAGTCCTAGAAACCTCTTGACCAAGATTCGACGAACCTTTTGAATCCATGCTAGGTCTACCAAGTAGGAGGCTGGTATTGCTTTCTGATCGAGACAGCTCAGAGCTGGCGTTGCGGTTTTCGATGATTTCGCCTCCCCCAGCGATGATTACAGGGCTCATGCGTTCAAGCAAGAAAGGGTCATGAGCACGAGTACTGGCAACGCTTTCCTGGGATGAACTTGCTCCACTCATGCTTCTGTCCCGAGCTCTGGCCAGACCTCCAGCACTGCTACTTCTTCCTCGTGGACCATATCGGCCATATCCTTCGTGTCCAGTTCCGGCTACAGGTCCCTTGCGAAGTACCTTCTCCTTCGTTTCAACGGTCGGTAACTCAGGCGCAGTCTTTGTGCGGCGCCCGAACAACCCGAAACGAGGCTTCGAACTTGCCAGACTTGGACTTGGAGTGCGACTGACTGTACCTCTTGATGACGATGGGTTTTGCTGAGGCTTCAGAGTTGGAATGATACCGAGTCCAGAAGGAGCAGGTGTTGCTTCTCGCGGAGATGGCTGGACGGGCACAGGCGAAGGATTTCTTGACGGAAGTCGGCTTGATTGTTGAGAGCGGGGACCAAGTGGAGGCGACGTAACGGCACTTCTGGGAAGTGCACTTCTCCTTCTGTCTGGTGAGAAATTGATTCCAGCCAAATTACTCTGGATCACTGCCATCGACTCGCCTAGTTGAGTTTGGAGATCAGGGAGGCCTTCTCTACTTGGCCGTATTGGTGGGCGGGCAAGTTTCGGAGCAGGAGCGGAGGGTTGTACGGCTCGTGATTTGGCAGGTGACGACTCTGCGGAGGTCATTACTGGTTTAGCGAGTGCTTGAGATGATTTGGAAGGAGACTCCTGCTCCTCGGATTGAGACTTTTTGAACTTCTGAGACGATTTTCGTGGCGGTGGACTCGGTGGTAGTGGAGACAATCTCTTCTTTTTCTTTTTCTCCTTAGTCTTACCCTCTCCTTTGACAGTCGAATTCGACGATGACGATGTTAATGATTCTCGTAACGATGGAAGGCCATGCTGATCGACTAGTCCACCTACTTCGCCCTCGTTCGGAATGCTCGCAGCTCTTCTTCTTGTGACGCTCGTGACAGGAGGTCTCGATAGAGCAGGGCTTCCTTGCCGAAGTCTTGGGGTAGTAGCCTTTAGGGGCGCGATTATACCTGGAGACTGGGATGACATGGAGGTAGGGGTCGTATCTCGGCTATAAGTTCCAGGTCCTGGAGATTCGGAGAATCTAGTTGATGGACTGGCACTATATCCACTTCCAGAATATCCACTTCCACTGTATCCACTGTATCGGTGATGGCTACTTCCACCAGAGTGAACCGGTGTTCCAGATAGAAGAGGAGTCGGTGGAGGCAGGTCATGAGTAGACAACTTTGGTTGTAAGTCTGCAAGAACTCTTGTTTGAGGCGCCAAGTTGTCCGGTCTGTTGCGGTACCTATCCAGTTCCGGGATTATGGGTGGCGAGTCCTTGACTGGAGGAGCTCTGGCTCTTGTTCTCGTAAATATTTCATTATAAGCCTCTGTTGACCTCATCGAAGCGTCAATACTTGGACGTTGTTCGGCTGATGTTTGTGCCCATTTCGTTGGCGACGAAGATCCTGCTCTCTCCATACCCGATCGGGCATTTGATACCTGTGAAATTGACGAAGGCTTCCTCCGTAGTACATTGCGAGATGATTTGCCTTTCAGCTCGGGCTGAACCCTCTCGGCTGCTGCCTTATTCGCAGCCCTGCCGAAGCCAAAACTTGATGCTGTGATACCCTTCGGCCGTTCCGGTCTTTCTGGCCTCTCTGGTCTCGCTGGCCTCCTTGTACTTGGCGAAGGTTCGCGCATGCTCGGCCTCGGTAGTCCTGTCTGCGGTGTCCTGGTCGATGGCACAACCACTCTTTTGGATTCCATCTGTCCCGAGAGATGTGCAATATCTGCCTCCCTCCGATCCTTCACGGGCGATCCCGCCGCTCCAGCCTGCATGTATGCTCCAAGTCTTCTCCCTCGAGGCAAGTCACCTGGCCTAGTAGGTGGGTCGAACCCTGATTTATATGATGCCATTATGTTCCTTCAGACTTCGCATGATCTTGCCAGTTTTGTGCTGTGAATCCAACTGCTATAATGTACGGTATTGGTGTATATTCGACATTCCTTGGAGAAATCCGCGAAAAATGAGGTATTTATACGAGTAGGAGTATCTGCATTCTGTGAGCGCTCGAAAGTCAACAATCGCGATTTAGACGAGAACTTACGTCCAGGATCTGCAACAAGAACTTTTGTTGTCCGCGAGGACAGAGTCTCTAGAACAAAAGAAAGTATACTTGGCTATTATGGCAATATATTTCCGTGTCGTCCGAAAGTTCGCCTCGAATTATATGTGGTGGCCAATGTTCCGTTCTCGCAGGCGAAAGTTCCCAGTGTTGCGTAATGTAAACAGACGGTACCGCCAGGGTTTACTGAATATGTGCTGCGATGAAATGGAACTAGGAACAAAAGTGACAATTACGCTTGGGCAGTAGATCAACAGTATAAACAGTAGAAAAGGAGGAAAGTGGATGTGATGCTGTTGTTAAGGGTCGCGCTGGATGCGGAACGGTCGAAAGCTAGAATGTGGGGACTAGCAATCGTGCGTGCCGTAAAGCGGAAACGAGGATTTAGTTGGTAGATTGGCAAGGCGCTTGTCTCTTAGCAGCGCAAGCCTCTTGTTGAGACAAAGTTTGATGGATGACGATGGAGGTATCAGAGGGCGTAGATGGGAATCCCAGGGAGAGCTGATCCATTGCTGAGATATGGAGTCAACTTTAGGGCCGCTCCACCGTGGAGACGAGTGGAGCGTGAGTGCCGTGACTACCAAGACTGGTATCAGGGCTGGGGGGAGGTATATTTGCTTGTGGCGTTGAGAAGCAGTCGACTGGACTTGAATCTCTTCCAGATCCCAGCGATATCGTGCAGAGTGCAGCAGTCCCAGTCATGCGGGTCCGCTGGAAGGCCGTGTCTCTGCCTCTGGAATCGCCGGAGAGAGAGTTTAAGCCTGAGCCTAAACCTGGAATAGAAGCTGTTGGAAAAGGAAAAGATCCACGAGCCAGGCCAGTATGTCTGGATAGGAGTACTGTAGAACAGCCGGGCAAAGTAGACAAACGGACAGGGCTAGTCATCCAAACTGGCGGGCACGCAGAAAGCATGCATCAAAAAGCAAGAACGCAGCGGACAACGGTACGATCAACTCACTCACACGCAAGACGCGCACAAAAAAGCAGGTGCTGCGCCAGCCTGCGCGTCTCTGCAACGCTGCTGCAGGCTTCTGCGAGGACTGCATGGCATTGAGACCTATGAGAGGAGGGCAAGGCCATAGGAGGAAATCCATTCGTCGAGCGGTGTAAGTGAGAAGCAGGAGGCCGGATGGGGAGGATTTTTGATGTTGGGCAAACGAGACTTGGTGGCGTTGCTAGCTCTCGAATCAGTGCTGGGCGGCTAAGTCCTGATCGCCCATAGTGGGGTCAACGGGCGCTCGGGGAGGTCCACCTGTCCACGTCCTTTGCCTTGGCCCTTGGGAAATCTGGATCCGCACTGGGACTACTACTGGGAAGCGTCAAATCCTTCCATCCCAAAGATCCCTCCCTCCCGAGTCCGACGCTACTACTGTTGGTAGTAGTACGGTACTAAACTAAGTACGGAGGTAGGACTGATCAGTAGGATAGACAGCAAAAGCCCAGTCATCGCATGAAGTGGCCTGCATCGGCTTGAGCAGTGTGCATGTGCATGTGCCCTGAAATAGACAACACAAACTTGCGACAAGCGCTGCGGCACTGCGTCTATAGTCATGTGCCGAGCCCTGATCTGGTCGTGACCTCTCACCGTCGTGTATCTCCGGGCCGCCAGCTTTCAGCGATACCAAGGTACATCACCGCAAATCGACCTCCTGACCTGTAGCACAAGCATGCCATTTGCTGCCGCGCTGTGCCATGAATTATGCCCACGGCCACCTGCGGGCCGCATCGTCCCCTCTCACGCTCAGGTCAAAGTCAGATCAGGGTTCACTCCAGCCGGCCCTGTCTGTGCCTATCTTTCCTCCTTTGAAGGCTGGAGTCCTCTGGAGAGCCTACTTACCATGTCCCTGAAGGACGGCCAGACCCGTAAACAGACGACAATCCTCAACAGTGGGGACACTTCCAGCCATCTGGTGCTTCATTCGACCGTTTTTTGCACTTGGAGTCACACGAAAATAACCATGAACCAAAAATTCGACTTCTCTGTGTGTTCATTGGTGAAGAGCCAAAGATTCTCATCCAACCATTTTGATGAAATTTTTGCTCCCAGCGCCTCGCTTAATCCTGAGCCAGCCCCTGAAGCCCCCCGAACTCTGATCGCGGACCTCATGTTTCTCCCTACCCGTTTGGCACAAACTCTTTCTAACCTTCTGCCAATCGTGTCTGCCAGATGGGCATCTCCTTTCTGTCAATTCGGAAGAGGAAACTCGCAGCCTGGAGCCACGGACGTCAATGTTGGTAATTTCGAGAGCAGCAGGCACTCAAAGTAGTGACAGGGATCACTAATACCCGGTTCGGCTTGTTAACACAACAGCCGTTGATTTGATGCCGTGCAGCGTGATATCGCACCAGTCAATCGATCTACGATCCTCTGTGCAGCAGCATCGACAATCTACAGGATCTGATGTACGTGTTTTGTTAGGTGCCAAATAGAATGCTCTCACTGTACACCGAGCCTGCCTCTCACAAATCGTCCTTCGCATTCAGCCCACCACCTGACTCATCCCGACAGTCCCATTTCTTGGAATCTTCGTGATCAGGTCCCAGGCGAGCTGAAGCGCGCAGAATTAGCGGAGAGGCACCTCTGCGTTGTCGCAATGGCGATTGTGGCGGGTGCATTGCATGCATTTATGCACAGCCTTCGCCACACCCGTGAATCCCAGGAAGCCGAGGATCTTGACCGAATGGCGACTCCGAACTTCATCGGCAGTATCGACAATGCTCGTTGACGTGGCAGCGAGGCAAAATCTGAACTCTTGCCTTTGGAATCATGATCCTGATCCTGATCAAAATTGAGGTAGAGCTGTCAAGATATGAAGCGAGCACATCATGCCCTTTAGAGCCTTTTTTAGCGATGCGCCTGAGGTGTGGACGCTTCGGAGGAAATCAGCATGGCCGTTTGACGATCAACAGGGCTTTCAAGCAGCTCATTGGTCACCGTGCAGCCAGTGTGGCTTGCAGAAACTCTTTCGCTTGGGGTTGATGCAAATAACGTGACGACGAGAGGGTGTCCTCATCCTGGTCTCATGTGCTTCGAATGGTCGTTCGAAAGATTCCAGATCCACCACCTTGCCGCACAGGATATCATGGCTGCATCTTCGGACGAGAAAGTCGCCAGTCCGAGCAAGGATGAGATCTCAGTTTGGATGTAGTGCTATCCGGCGCCTGTATCTCGCCCTCTCGTGTCAGCAGTAAGAACTCAATCTTTTGCGCCTATGAAAGGAGCTTAAATCATCCTCTTCTTCCCATTTGCAAATACAGAATCCTTTTCGGACCCACGACTCGCAATCGAAAAGGCTGACTAACTGCTTCTTGGATCTCATTTGTGGCTTTCTCACCCACAGACGTCCATTCCTTTCACACCAAGGCTTTGATTGAGAGCTGACGCGAAGCTTTACTTTCACAGCTCTAAACGAGCAAGCCGCCTGGAGTGTAGTCAAAAGCAGCCAAGACCAGGACTAATTGTTATGTAAGGCCCACATCTGCGGCGTTGGTTCAACAAGGTCCATCGTGGGAGACTTTCGAGCCTATTAGAACATCAAAGTCGACTTCTCGCTTCTCATTCGCGAGAGCCCTTTTGACGAATCCTCACCCTACCCGAGGGGAATTCGGAAACTTGGATCCCCGCAAACCATGACCATGATGAATTTCTGTAAGTTTCCGCACCTGCCGCTTGGTGTAAAGCCTCGTCGGTTCGAAAATCCAGAATAATGTTGGGAGTTGGGAGTTGAGAGGAATTGGAGAAGTGATGTATCAATCTGAAGCCATGACATTTTAGCCGGACGGCTAGGGGAAGAGAGCCTTGGTCCCCGCCAGCCATGATTTTGGATGTGTTGCATCCAACGCTGCTGCATGCAAGAATGGCGTCTACTCTAGCTGTATGATGGGCGTCGTCAAGGAAGATGATTCATGTCTTCAGCGAAGACGACGACAATCGATGGATGTCACCATCGTCGCTATCAATTCTCGCTTAACAACCCAGCAAGAGGGAGGACCGCTCCCTCCACTTTTGAAGCAAGACTCACTCACTCTCCCATTCTGCTCAGACCTCAAGCAGAAGACATCGGCAAGTAATATCGCTCCCCAGAACCTGCTCGTCTCGGATTATTGAACCTGGCGACACAACAACAAGCTGCAATGCGCAGTATCGGGATCGCAACATCAAATCATATCAACAACAAGCACTACCATAAGTCCAGGGTGATACTCACTCATGCACACACAGACTGGAATGCTCCTGTGAACATCTAAAGACCAAATCTGGGTCTTTCTCCAGCTTTCAAACCAACACCGTTTCAACACTCCGTCATATCAGCTCTGTCAAAAGCAATATTGTTGGCAACTTGCCCGAGCAAAACAAAACATTCAAGAAACGAACATTCCCCATGAAAAGACGTGCCTCCACACCTATATTGCACAAGATTTCCGGGTGTCTGTTTCGAACTTCCGACATATGTTTTGCCTGATGGAAACAATCCGACACGAGTATTCTCCATATCCAACCAACAGTCCACAGTGACACTCATTGGCTCTCGAGCAAGCCAGTTACGATCTTCGTCGTCCCCAGTGCCAGACTTCAATTAACATCAGCTCATGTAATTTTTCATCCCATTACCGAAGCATTTTCCTCTCTATCGTGCAGTTCCTCCTCGGACAAGACTTCCGAAATCCATCTGGGCACATGTTTCATGTGCACACGAAATGCTCTGCCATCATTCTCCACATGCAGAAAGCAACCTCAATCACTCGCTCATTCGGCAAGACTTCCCCTCTCACATGTTTCTAGCGTGACAATGCCTAGCTTTCCCCGCGATTACTGGATCGGGACCGCACCCCATCCCACTCTCACCCAGTGACAAGAGTCCGTCATCCGCGGTAACTCGACACCAAGACATAAGGCTTCCGCAAGCGAATATTCCGTCCCGTTTGTCTTACACATCTCTCCGAGATAGGGCCTGCCGCCGTCCTGTGCCCGTAGTGTCCGGGGTAAGGTTCGAGAATCGAGATCGATGTGTGATGGCCAGATAAGTAAGCGCCAGAAGAGTCTGGAGTGGAAGATCAAAGCTTCTTTCTTCTTCTGGACATGGCGATCTCTATCTCCACTTTGTGATGTGACGACAGTTTCTTCATCGGTGGAGATTCCCCTTCTGAGCTGCGGGGTGAGGTGATTGAGACATCTCTGAGATAGAAACTTCCAGTTCGTCATGCAATGCCATTGCCCGCATAGTCCTTTACAGACGATTCTGATAAGAAGTCCGAAATCTAACCTTCGTCCGTACTCTCCAAATCCTAACTGGCCCTCATGCGAGGGAGCCATGGGTTTGACGTTTGTCTGTGATAAACTCCATCGCCATATTCAGACCCAAAGAAAAGAACGCTGATCCACTGAGACGAACCTATCGCGAACCTTTGTTGAGGCCATTGCTTGCTACCTCTCACACACATATACTTGTGAGGCTTGCACTTCGCAAGACCTTGTGTTAAGACGCCCTCCTCAACTCCCCTACAAACATATGTTCTCGCGTCCACTCTCGACCAGATCCCACTCTGGCCATGATCTCAAACTCAACCAAATAATAACACACTCCAGCACCATTCGACTGAATACTCCAAGCCATTAACCCCACCCTTCCCTTTCCTCCCCAAAGTAAACATTCAAGCCACAACTCCATCCCACCCATCCCAATCCATCACAGCTACCATATCATACCACACAATAACCATGCCACCCTCCCGCGTTTCACCAATGTGATACGACCCTGGCAACCTGCTCCGCTTCCTTCAACTCTCATAATACAACCAGTTCGTCGGGCGGAACGGGCGGAAGACAGCCGGACTAGCAACCAGACATCAATCAATTCCCTGTCATAACATCCAGCTTACTAGTCTACAGTATCAACAGATTGGAGAACTTGCAAGGATAGGCAAGCTTGCGCTGCTGGCCGAGAACGGAGTGGAAAGAATTAAGAGTCGGTAACAGAAGGGTGCAAAAGTGCAAAACGAAAACAAAACAAAGGAAAATTAAACTTCTGGAAGGTTGAATGTGTGACGCGCATGGTCCCTTGCCATCACGTCCATACATGGAGGTAGATGTATGCACGAGGCAAGTTCGTCTCTCAGAAAAACAAGATTTAATACTGAGACACTTCATTGATGAGGTAATATCTGAGATCGCAAGAAAAGGCATGTTTGTGTCAAAACCACTTGGCCGACGCAAAATCAAGGTTCTCAAATCACCTCTAGACGAAAGTCTAATGTCGATATTCCTAGAAGGTCATTTCCCACACTCTTAACCGAGTGAGATTGGTTGTTGCAGATTCTTCATTTTGTATAACCATATTTGTACACATCCGCTAGCGAAATCCGGACCCGACGTAATCCAGTTCCCATGTGTCTGTATCGCTTTTTAATGCCCGATTCGGAAGGACCCATGTGGCGACGAGAAATGAGGTGATGTGGTAATGAATCTGCGAATTACATTTCTAGCTTCAGTCGAATTTTTTGATTCGTTGCCCTTCCTGAATTTCCGAAAAAGATGACAGCTGCCGCGACCCCCGAAAGCATATGAGAGTAATCTCCGTCTAGGAGCATCACTTTGCAGCAGCAAATCTCTTTGCCCGCGCCTCAGCCTTAGCTCTCTCCTCCGGATCATCGGTGATCTTCTTTAGGCCCTGCCCAGCAGCTGCACCTCCAGTCTTTCGCTCTCCACCTCGTCCACCACCTCTCTGACCCTGCCCACCGCCACCACCGCCTCGTCTTGGAGCCTCCGTCCTCCTGTCCGGTGTCTGTCGCTTGGCCTGTCTACCTTGCGCGCCTTCTCCTCCTCGATCCCTCTTCAACTTCCGCTCTGGCAGCGCACTGTTCAGTCCCTTCACGATATCCTCAACGACCTCTTTCTCCTTGACCTTGTCTGTCCCGAACTTCTTCGCGCGCTCCTCGAGTTTCTTCTCCTCTTCTGTCATCTCCTTGGTAGGCGCAGCCGCTTCTGGACGTGCGAAGCGCTTCGCTCTTGCGGCGCGTTTCTCTGCTTCCTTCTCTGCTTCACTCAAGCCTAGGCCGATTGTGTAGTCCTTCTTTGGCTCCTCTGGCTTCGCCTCTACCTCCTTCTCTCCCTCAGCATCTGCAGCTGGCGCAGGCGCACTTTCGGTCTTTGCTGGTTCGGGTTGCTTGACTTTCAAGTCATTCGTGGTCGATGGGTCGATCGCAGCCTTTTGGTTTGGGACCGCAATTGGAGTCTTCACCTGCCCGACTCCACCAGTTGCGATCGCAGCAGCTGCTGGCGCTGTTGTAGCTTCAGCTGCGGGTTTGTGATCGTCCTCGTCCCAGTCGATTTCATCTTCTCCTGCGCCAGCTAATTCCGAAGGTTAGTCTGTAGTCCTTAATGGAGGGAGAGCGCATCGCTGGGTAGAGCGCAAATAGAAATGAACATACAAGCAGTAGCACCGCCATTCTTCTTCGCATCATCCTCTTGCAATCGCGCGATGAGGTCTGCCTTGTTGCCAGAAATGACGAGACCGCGCTCACTCAGGAGCTTCTTGAGGTCGGGTACCTTCTGGGCGCTGTAGTCTGCCATAGCTGTATATGTGTGATTTTCCTTTCTGTCAGGTTCAGCAGGATCGCTAGGTCGCCTTGATGTAGTCGATTGTGCGATTGGTGCTGTTGAGATTGAAGTAATATGACGGCGATGATGTTGACGTCGAGGATGGTGGTGTTTTCTCGAACGCGCTGTTTGCCAGGGATGAAGTCGAGTCGCATTTGCAGGGATGATGCGGGCACTAGCGGGCTTAATTCTCCGATTCTTTGAAGCGATATGTAAATATAGTACTCGCCTTCTTTGTTCCTCGCGAACCCGCATCACGGTGTATGTATAGGCAAATGACAGTATTTATGTTAGAACTTTGATGGTTGAATGAATCATGATACTGTTATCACCCTGATCTCCGTTAAACCCGAACTTCTCGTTGCAGAACATGCGTATACGGAAGGTAATCTGTCTCTCCTTTTGTCGCTCACAGGGAGGCCTGATATGCAGGAAAGTTTCTAGATAAGGAGAACTGGAGAACAAGGATTTGATTTGGTCGATATGCAATTTCCACTTCCTCGATAGCTTCCAGCAGGAGGACAGCTGTTTGACAAGTACCAAGACTTCGTGATCTTGGACTTTTGAAAAGCAATGGTTTTCCGAAATTCAACCTCCAGCTTGACCATCGAGCACGCTGTGATGCAGTGTCTCGGCTTAACAGACGTCTACTGAAACTCGAGCCGATCCCCATTTCTCTCCAAGAGAGTCCCTCAGGATCGACAAATCCATACTCGGAGACAATATCAGAATCCTCGTGAAAAGTCCTCCCCAGAACCTGGCCTCCGCCCTCCCAGATCCAGCCGCCCGCAGTCCTTTCGAGGCAGACAATCGCAGAGAAACGCCATCACTCGCCGTTTTTTGTGCGGATTGCCCCTGAGCTTTGAATAGGTGACCCCAGGTGGATGTCTCGTTCGGTGGAGGTATCAAAATCTGTTCATCATGCTGCCAATCCATCTCGTCTCCAGTCGGATCTGGGTGCCAGTGGTCGAGTCGAACCAGTGCAGCGTCGACAAATCGTACGAGGCTATCTACCAGCGCTCGGAGTTGACGACGAATTGTTCATCGAAGTGGGGGCAGCTTTGCGTCGGTTTGGAGTGTTGGGCATTTTGGTGTCAGATGTTCGTCCCAGTCGCATTTTGTGTATATTGATCGCTTTGGGTTTCGCGTCTTCTGAATGTTTGTTTGGCTCTGTTGGGATTGTTCTTCAGCCCTCGTGGATCATAGGATCGGGGATGAGGGCCATCGGCGCGGCTGATTGGCTGAAATCGCTCTTCCGAGCTGAGATCTTCCCCTCGTGGGTGTATTGGTCTCCAGCTATTGCTTGACATGGCTGTATTTGCAGGTCATCTCCCAATTCTGGAGTTGGTGAGCTAGTCTGCGATATATAGAGGCTGAAAAGAACAATCGAAAGATTGTTGGTGATAGAGCTGAGTGGTAGATTTTCTTGGAGCTATCTAGGAGTTGAAACAAAGTCACTCCGACAATGAGAATTGAAACGCCGACCTTAGTTTCTTGCAGCGCTTTTGGGTGACTTGGCAAAAGGTTTAGTAAACTGTCCTGAGGAAGACTACCGGCAGAAGTCACCAGCTGTAGTGAAACTTGTATGTCCAACAAAGGGTCAACTCGGCTCTTGCCATCCCCATTCTGTCAATAGTTTCTTGACACGGTAGTCTGTAGCCCAGCCTAAATCTTTCTCAATTCCACGAAGGAGGTCAAGCACGACTTGTCGTTCACGGTCCTCTATAAGGCACTGGCCTGCCACAAAGAGCGGCTGCACTTGATGAATTCTGACACTTCCCTCGGGTCGAGCCAATGCAATCCCACAAATCTCATGCACATGAAAACGAACCTCCTTTTCGATTTCCCGATATGAGCGGATCCGGTCCGATAATGTACTGCGACGGGCCGTAGATTCGTGAGGTCTGTTGACGAGAAGAATCGTTCGGGCCATATGATATGACTGCATTGTGGAAGCACACATTGGAATAGAATACCATATCTCACTGAAAATGGCTCTTGCAGAATTGGGAGAAAGACTCCCATCGGTGACAGGGGGTAGACGGGCGCAGGGCTTAAAAGTCTCCGGAAGCCCATGATGCCATATCTCAAGTTCTTTCTCCAATTCTTTCCACCTCTCCAATATTACCATTTGATTGATTCCGATGAGACCAGACGGGCTTGCCGGGTCCTGTGGGAAGACATGATCAACCGAGTCACCAGACGCAATGTAGTTTATGATCTTGGACATCAGCCAGATCAGGGCATTAGAGATCATGTCTTCACGCATGACAGCTTGTCTTTCCGGGAAGTGCGAGTCCTCGGTATTGCTGGGAAGAACAAACCCTTGTTCGTCTAGTTGAAGTCCAGCAGCTTTCCAGATAGAGACGTCATTCGTGTTAAGTCGAGTCTGGCATTCATTGATGACTGGAAAACGTCAGCATGAAGTCCTGGAATCAATATTAGTAGTTCTCACATGCAGCTAGGAAGTCTTGGCGAGCAAAGTTCCAGAATGCAGCCTTTCGAGCTCTGGACGGTCTGATACGTTCGGATATCGCTCCTGGGCTTGTCGGTGATTGTACAGGCATCATTCCTTCTTTTTCTGCGAGATCGAATAAAGATTTCGTCCCGCTTAGATGCCTTGACCAGGCGGTATTAGCGTGGTCAAGGAATTCATAAACACATAGTATCGCACCCGCAGCTAGAGTCTCATCCGCGTGGCTCGAACTGGGAGGTCGTGTCAACCTTCGTCGCTTGATTCCTGGTGTTAGTTGACCTCCGTGTGATGATTGAACGCTTGCAGGGCTGAACGCATCCTCACCGTTCATCGGGGTGATAGGAGTTCCTTGGCCCCGAGAGTTTGACAGTTCCTCCATGAGGAGCGAGATGGCTCTGTCGTAATACTTGGCTCCGATGTAGGGCCAGTTGGCAGACTCAGCCCGGGGGTAGAGCTCCATGTCAGCTTGCTTGCTGGCAGTTCCTCCGACAACGGCTTTTTTACCACGAACCTGGCCCAATTGTTTCGCGGCATAAGCGCAGGCTGAATATCTGAGCAATGGGTTGGTCTTTGCTCTATTCGCAGCAGAAGTTAGCTACTAATACAGAATTCCGTATGAGAATGATTTGACACATCTCGGGTATATTCCGTGGTCTGAGATAATGAAATGCAGAAGAAGATGGACTTGCTCAGTACGTACTGAACAGGGACGTGGTGAGCAAAATAGCAACCGAGATCGAAAAGGTCCATCCTGAGGTTGTTAGCCTGAGGGTGAAATAACACTTGCAATTTGACTCACCATTGGCCAGCGGTCTCCCCAAAATGTCGAAGTAAAAATGCGACTTCATGTTCATCGACAGGAGGTGTCTCGTCAGGGACTTGTGAGGAACCAATTAGGTGTGGATCAATAGCTGGAGAAGCATAGCCTAGGAAAAATTAGTCTGAGATATATTGGCTTCAACGGTAGAGTCAAGTACCCAAAGAACTCTCTGGTCTTGTTGGATTCAGAATGAAGTTCAACTTGTTGGACTGGTGTGGTGAAGTCTGTGGATATTCTGGCGAGGGTTGTATATACTGGAAAGTACTTGTTGCTGCCGCTGATAATGCTTCCAAACCCGGAGCTTGATCATATGGTATACTGAAAAAGGTTTCCGAAGCTTTTTCTTCTGCTCGAGGGGAGATGACTGTAACAGAGCCAGGGCGATCAGGTTCAGGAGTTGGCTCCATGTTATATGGATCGGTGATATTGAGAAAGGTGACTGGTAGCTCGTCAGGCATATATCCCTTGGGTTTTATACAGCAATTATGACTACGTACCTGTTCTCGGTACATCCACCCAAGTATTATTCTCGTTGAAAGTATTCTTGTATGCGTAGAAGCTTCCTAACCTGCCGTTGCCTTCTTCCCTTTCCCCAGTTCCATTCATCGAAGCATTTTGTTGGTGACGAAACACAACTCCGTCGCTAGGCTGGCATTGCCGGTTTCCTTTTCGACATTGGCTGCACTCTGGCTTGATCTCGTCGCATTTTAACTTCCTCTGGCGGCAAGTTTGGCTGGTGGTAAAGGCAGACATTAGCATAATTTCGACTCAACTGCAGTCAGTGTTCTGTAGCCTCAGGAGCTTACCAGCCTGTGCGCGACCTCATGATCTCATCGTCTTGGGTATAAAGTGGGCATGATCATGACTTCCAACAATTGCCGCTGTTAATGTTGCTGCTGCTGTGCCAGCAGGCTGTTGAGGCGGAATTTGGTTGATGAGTCTTTGGCATCCGCCCGTCACGGCAGACGCGGGGCCCAGATTCAAGTGGGTCTGGTCTGTCTGCAGCGGGAACGGGGAAGCTTACTTCCACTTCCATTCCTCCACTGCCGACGACGATCTCAGCCTCTTCGGAAATGCATCACCGTTGGCCAGCAAAACTACTAGATACTTGTGAGGTTCTCCAATTTCAGTATGAAGAGACCGTGGAACTCTTTCTACATCAACAAAAAGGCCAGCACTTGAAGTGGTCTCCCGAGTCATACTAATCCACCTAGCCGACCTGCCTCATGCCAGAATTATATTATGGCCTTCAAAGTCTGACTGATAGGCGGAAAGACAATACTACACGATTGCTTCGAATGTAATGGCATCTTCTTGGCACATCACAGTTCTACTGAAATGTATCGGGCATCTTTCGCTGCAGTCTTTCAGAGTGAAGTGCCTGGAATTTTGGAAATGTTGGCGCCGCCGCAGTACCAGAAGTGTGCTCCAGCACAGAATTAAGAACTACCGGGTGCCAGCAATTGGGACCAGACGCCATTGCGAAGAAGTCTTCGCGGCCATGCCTGGCAGCAGTAAGCTCCAGATGAGCAATGTAAGTTCCATGCGTGCTTAATATCGCACTGTTCGTGGGCAAGTCAAGGAACCCGGCCAGATGTTGATGAAAGCAAACTTCCCAGAGTTCGAAGGCTTTCTCTTCTGCGTGTCTTCATACAAGCAGGACATCAGATGACTTTGTTTGTTTCATTCTGTGCGTTCATGGAATTGATGGCCTCGATGCAACTTCAAAAGTGTGGAAGCGTTCTGAAACAGGCTTCTAACATCAAAGTCTCCGTCTCGACCACAGCAGTAATTCGCTGTAAAAGTCTTTTCTGCCTATACAAATTCTTTGTACCAGCAGCTCCAAAACACTTAGTTGATCATTCCGATCTTGAAGAGGAGTTTTTGAACAGCCTCAAAGTTTTAGCGATGTAACATCTCTTTCACTGATGAGCAATGAGTCAGCATTTCAGGTCTTCAGAGGGGGTTCCGACCTCCAGAACTTCCGGCTCCTGATATCACCAAGAAGCTAAACCTAGAAACTCACTCTGTAAAGTACAGGAAAACACAAAACATCTCTATCTCATTCAAAAAGAAGCATGTCCAGCCTTCCCTGGGGGCTGAAGACCCTTCGCCCTACCAAAACAAAATCTCGCTTATGACAAACAAAAGCCTTGTTGTCTAGAAGTCATTTTCCTCGCCATAACTTGGATCCTAAGGGTAGTGGTATCACGAGGAACCTTTCTCTTACTAAATTGAATTACACTTGTCCGGATGAATGATTGATGTGGAAGTCAGTTCTTACGAGGATCTTTGATCTTCGCTTCGGCTGTGGTGTGATGGAAGTCAACAAACGGGAAACACAATGGCAGCAAGGTGCCTTATGATCCTCAAGACCATGATTTTAGAAAAATTGAATTTAAAGGGCTGACTGAATAATGAGTTGGGAATGTTTGGGTCCAGATAGCGCGAACGAATATCATGTTAAGGAATCAAACAATAAACTCCTACAACTAAGATCAAAACTAAAACACTCATCCACACATCTGACACCTTTCTTTCCTCCAAAACACCAGACCGCAAAAAAGAAACGTCAAAACAGCACCGCAAAACAACCCACTCATCCTCCTACCCATCACAAACTCGTCAATTACTCCCAACATCCATCGAAACTTCCTCTTCCCCCTCCCCTCTAATCCTTCCCAACTCACCCACCACCACCACCATCCCCTTCAAACAGGCAACCCCCCCTTCCCCCCCAACCCAGGAATAACCGGCACCCCCGGCACCGGCGGCAACGGCGGTATAATCCCTCCCAACCCTCCTCCAAGTCCGCCTCCTCCACTAATGCCTCCCGCCGTATTCGCAATCCCAGAAATCAAAGCGCAGAATTGTTGGACAGCGGGGAGGTTGGCTGCCACGGTACCGGAGGCGCAGAAGGCGAGGAGGTCTTGGAGAGTGGCGGAAGTGGAGGGGACGGGTGGGGAGATGGGTGTTGGTGGTGTGGGGGGGTTGGGGATGGGGAGGATGGAGACTTCGGGGGCGGCGCGCTTGGGGATGCTGGAGGTTGCAGCGTTGTTGATGTTTTGGCTCTGTGTGGGGTGTTAGGAGTTGAGATCTTACTTGGTTGGGAGTGACCGAGGAGAGGGAACACATACCGCTAGTGGAGAGGCGAGGATGATTGGGAGGAGGGCGAGGATCGTAGTGAGAGGGAGATGCATTCTTGTTGTTGGTGGGGATTGGTGAGGGAGTTGTTTCGTTTGAATTCGCTTCGAATGGTATTTGTGAAGAGAGCAGACAGATGAGGATGCTATGCCTGATGCTGGGAAAGGAGGAGATTGAAGCTGGAGAACTGCGGTGTATATATACACTTACATGCTTGTTGAGCTCTGACTAGCAGTATCTCGCTTTTCTCAGGTACCAATGTATCGCCTCTGTTCAAGAATGCAAGAATCCACCAGAAGCCCCGTCCATATCATCTATCACGTCGCACAACGATTCCACAACCCCTCCGCCAGCTTGTTTGGACTCAGACCAGCATGTGAGCAACACACGTCCTACCACATCACAACATCAAAGACAGTCGCCTCAACCCAGTCCCCGGAGCCGTGGCGAAGACCAGATCAATGTCCTAGATCTGATCGTGGACTCCGACGGAGTGGTACGCTTGTGGACGCTTGATGTGGCGTCGCTGGATATGCGATGATCTTGCGGTACGTGGAAGCTGGGATCTTGAGATCTGGACGGCGAGGTTGAAGAATATCTTGGATGGGTGGACGTCAGATGGAAGTTCTCGGTCTGGATTCTGATTTGGAAGTGGCTTCTGTGTTATGGAAGGTGGTTGAAAGGCTGTATTGAGATTCCCGATTTATGAAAATGTTTCAAGCTGAGGACTTGCATATGACTATCGCAGGTGGAGAAAATTTTGAGACAGCGATGGATGGAGGGAATAATTTGATATTGTGACAGCTGAAAGTAGATTTGGAATAGGTATCCTCATAAGGGAACGAGTTCTATGTTGGCCGACTACAGCTATTGAACTGAAAGCACCTACTCTGGAATTTGAAATGCGTCCTTCAATGTCTCTTTTGGTAAGACTTTGCACAAGACTGTGACAAAATTGACTACAGTGTATCTCCTCACTCATGGGAATACCGCACTCTCGAATGTTGAAGCCAGGCCATCAGAGTTCGGTGCTGGTGTATAGATATACTCAGCAGGAAGTCGAAAACGGACCCGTATTCAGATCCAGATGAGACCCTCCTGAATTTGATGTGGGAAGAACTGAAATAGACATTGAGACTTGGCATACATACCTAGTTGGGTATTTTCCTGCGACTCTGTACTGATTTGCGATGTTCCTCCCGTCCCCAGGCACAGATAAGAAGGGGGGGAAGGAACTGCGACTCTGCGAGAAACGTAGAAGAACATGAAAGAATGACTAAAGTGCAAATAAGCGCAAGCGAGCACGACCACTTTTCGTACTCTGGGCTAAGAGAGTAGTGGTGGAGAAGCAATAGCTGACGTACCTACCCACTTGATGCTTTACCACCTGATCGATCTTATGGTACCGAAGACAGCCACCTCCACTGTCGCTGTCACCTCCACATCCACCAGAACCAGGATCATATATAGCCGTATAATTAGATAGCCAATGCCAACAAGCTTGAGACTGTGGAATGTGTTAATTTCCAAGGCTAGGTTTTGTACTTGACGCAACCTTACCCCTAGCATTTTAACAATGGTAAGGGATCGAAGTACCTACCTTTGTATTTTGCTTCTCTTACATGTATTTTCACCCAGTCACACTCATACTCAATTGACTCTCCAACTCTCCCAGCCTCCGCATTCCAAATTGTACTGTCACTCCACTGCTGCCCCTCTGTTTAAGGCCAACCAGGATCTAGCATACCAAGACCCACCTCGTGGTAGTCCAGATCCAGCAGGTTTTGCTGAAACAAGACGGGACCAGAGGAGGAACCTTTTCGCGAAGCAGCAGGAGGCGCTAGTAGAAGAAATGAGGGGGAGATGGTGGGGCTCGAGAATTTCGACGTTGAAGTGCGATATGGAAGCGAGGCCGAGCCGCCGAGGGGCAGGTAGCAGGAGAACTCTGTTCTCGTAGCGGTGTGATTAGACGATCTCTTGGCTGTGGTATTTGGCTGAGCTGAAGAGCTGTTAGTGATGATAAGTGAAATGGATTTCATGTCTTGGACGATTTGTGTTACTTGGAGAGCTATGGTATATTGGAAGGAAGGAGAAGAGTGAAATGCGGAAAATAGGAAGTACAGATAGTAAGTAGTTGAAATCCCTGAATTTCTTCTGCTGTAGCTTCTCAACATGTCCAACAAGCCGAGGAAAGCTCAAGCTTCAGCTTGTGTGGGGATCAGAGTGGAGAGGGCACCCCACAAACCGATTCCATCACGATCCAAAGCTCCGATTCTTCAACCAAAAAGTGACAGAGCAGAGCTCTCCTTCTTTCCCAGCAGACTGGCCTAGCCCTGTCTCTGCATACATCAAAGATAAAACGACCCACATCGGCAGTCTTGGATATTGCGGCCTGAACAAAGTATGCTTCCGGATGATATCGAGGATTCGAGTGACGGGAAGGACAGCAGGGGACGGAGGAAGCTCCTGAAACGTGAGGATCCATTGCGGGGGTAGGGGACCAAATTGACAGGCCTGGTAAAGAGACGTGCGGCGATCATAAAGTAGGGTTACTCTTTTGCGATTGTGATAGTTGCTGGTCTAGAGGATGATCAAGTCAGATTATCGATGGCTATTTCGAGTGACGGTATCACTTTGTTTGATGAGATTGAGGGGAGCATGGGCTTCGAACTTTTGAGCTCGCAAGTTGTTGCAAAAAGAGGACTCACTGAAAGCGTTGAAGTTTGAAGCCACCATGTTTCCCAGCATGAACGGTGTGTTGAGGTGGTACAAAGAGTGGTAACGAGACGTCCAATCATATTGGATGACCGTGGGATAGACACTCGCCAAGAGTTTCTCATGCCCATGGCGAGAACGGTGTGGCTTCTAATGGCACAGCAGTCTTATAAAATTTGCGATTTTGAGTATGACTTCGTCCTCAAGACGCGGTTGCTTCAGAGAATGGTAAGCTGATACGAGAATCTTACTTTGTGCCACCAACCTCGATTGAACTTACGATAGCCACAGATGGACCTCCTACCTGATTAAGCAGCTTGATACGGACGGTAGGAGGCCTGTTTTGTTTTGTTTTTCCGTACCATGAGGCTTCCTCGGTCTGATCCGCTCCCGCTGTCAACTTTCTTCATTGCCGCCCGCTGTGCAATGCATCTTGTGATGCATGCCGATGCACGGGATGTGATGGGGGTCCAAGGCTTGTTACCAAAGCAGAACGGGAGTACAGTACGTCAGCCGAATCTTAATTTGCTCATCAAAGCCCTACCTATCTTATCAGCATTGGACTTTGACGAGGTTTCGTTTAGGTATCCTTCCCATTTCGTATAAACACGTACCAGCAAGGCGCAGTCAGAGAGCCCAGTGCTCCGGGGAGGACCAAGCCTGGAGAGCTTCTCATTCGTGACCAGGCTGCGAGGAGTAATTGTCCAAGACATCAGATTCAAGAAAGTGTGCCGCTCGTAGAAAGAGTCTGTCGGTGAGTCTGGTATTGGCAGATGTTCGCCGAGTCGTCTCCAGAATACCACCGGTTGTGTTTCTCGAGCTGCAGTCATTGCAACGAAGTACTTCCGAACCCTAGCACAGCACGTCGCTGCTCCTTGTTTCCAGTTTTCTGGATGCAATCAAACTTTAATTAGATTCTTGGTCACAAAATCTCGGTTGTAATGTACATAATTATGACTCGGAAATTGATACGATACAAATCTGGTATCCGGGAAAGGGCATAGGCATCGCTCGCTAACTTCGTAAAAACAACGATGCCAGCCAGTGTGGAGATATGAGCCAAGGCATGCGACAAGGATTCGGGAAGGATGGACAACGGCATTTACCCCTGGTTCCTCGCGCCAGTTGAGCTCTGGGCCGCAATCTGCATGGGAGAGAAGATCTTTGTCTGTGCTGTCCCATGCCAACTATATGTACTCAATTCAGGCAGTCAATCCGAAGTCCCTCTCGAGGGTTGCTGGAGGTTTTCCAAGCGCGGGCTCTGACAGCTTCCCCGCCTCTCTTGGCAACCACCAGACAGGAGTTTTACTGGACACTCGAATTACTGAACGACGCTGGATCCCAGCATTTGCTAGGGTACGAGAGGGCACCCCTTTGATTTGCAGGACCCGGATCGCGGTGCGTGCAGGTGTCGAGGACCCTATTTTGACTTCAGCCCAACAGCGAGCTCTGCTCTGCACCACTGGAAAGCACCGCACAGGACGGCACAGAATTTATCTGATGACCTGATCAGGCCTTTGCCCAACCGCCCTTCATCAGCTCTAGAAGGCTAGAAGCCTGAGTGGCTTCACCCTCTCCTCTGCCGGAACCTTCAAGTGCTCGGAATAGAGTGAGTGTCTGCAACACCTCAAATCTCCATCGCAGCGCTAAATCCGACTCGAGAATATGCCGTGACACCGCAACGGTGTGGCGAAGATAAGAGCTGGGGGAGCACAAATGGACTCCTTGTAGCGCAAATCCATGGATGAATGAGTGCATCATTCTGCTGGGCTGGACTCGACTTGGCTGCTTGACGACGGAGAGCACAGCACAGGTTGCAGGACCAAGCCGTTGATGTTTGGACACCTAGGCCTGCAAAGTCTCGGCCATGACAATACCTTACCTTACCTTACCTTAACATGCCATGAGGTGTGGGCTCTTCTGGTGGTTGTTCCTGCCTTCCATGGCATGTTCTCAACCAGTCGCTGAGATCCTTTTGCGCCTTCCTGAGGTGGCACTGCTGTTCTTCATCTGACCGGGCCCGGAAAGTGCGACTTCTTTCTAGCTTGCATCTCTTATGGCCGACAGCGGTAATACTTGGATTCACCTGGTCACACTTCAATAAGCTGCCAAAGCTCTGATGAACGTAGGTATGCATGTCATTCAATCAATTCTTTTTATGTCCCCCTCCCTCCCTCCTTATCTTTTCTCCATCTTCATTCTCTCTTCTGTCTTATGCCAGACCAGGTCTGCCCAACTACCCCGCCCTTGGCCGATGCCTGTCAGCCTTGCCTTTCCTCCGTTTCCCCTGCAGTCCAAGTCTTGATATCCGCGGTGCTATTCTTGGCTCATGTGCACGCGCAGGCAGTGCACTGTTCGGGTGGACTGCTGTTCTCTACCCAATTCTGGAACCGAGAGTGCAATTGACTGTGTTTAGCGACGCCCGTTTGTGCATTCGAGCTGAGCTTCCCAGTCGTCTTCTCTTCCCTGTTGTTTCAACTCAGTCGTCTTTCGAGCTGCACGTCCTTCACGTCCTGGATAATCCCATGTCCCCAGATCCTAGTCAAGGCTACAAGCTTGTGCATGTGCAAGCCTGCAGATAGCCCTGTTGCAGCAGATCTGTGAAGGGCAGGTAAGCAGTACAAGGTAGCGGGTGGCCGCAGCCAGGGACAGGAATACACACTTCTCACGAACTTCTCTATTACATCTATTGTTCAGCCCTGCTTCTGCACATCACTGCGATCCCCAGACGTTGCAACGCTCTACCGGCCGTTCCTTAGGGTCACAGAGATCTCTACTCCTGTCTGTGCTCTCGGGCCCTGCTCAATCCAGTGCTGTTCTGTTCTGTCTTGCGGCCGAGGTCTGGGATACGATTGGACAGATGAGATAAGATGGATGTGTATTACTGGTAATGCTTGAGGTACTTGAAGCCGCTGATCTGGACTTGCGTATTTCTTGTTGAGATATCTCGCTTCACACCTCACTGCCGTCGGCAAAACAAACGACCACCTCCGACCACCTCCGACAACCACGAGGGAACAACCCCACTTCGCGATATCGCGAGATAGACAAAGACTGAAGGCCTCACCTTTGAGCTAGCCGAGCAGCACACAAACTCCTATCATTCGAAATTCTCCTGACTTCGAAGTTCTCTCTTCTTTCAACCTCAACATCACAACGTCGACGTTGCTCGGCCTCTAAGAGCCACAACGCAACGTCTTCTAACTTCTCTGTATCACTGCACGGCACTTCTGCTGTGCTTCACTGTCCTTGACTCATCCCATCTTCCCCAACCTTGCGGTTGAGACCGCGTTCAAACATCCTCAGTCGATCTCAAGCAAAGATTCGCCAAGATGTTGGTCAAGGATCTGTCAGAGGACACACTCTGGCAACTTTCCATCATCGAAAGAACCGCCGCAAGCCTGTCTCTCATCGGAATTTGCTTCATCATCACTTCCTTCCTGTTCTGTAAGGCTTTCCACAAGTCCATCAACCGCCTGATATTCTTTGCTTCTGTTGGCAATTTCTTCACCTGTGTTGGAACTCTCATATCGAGGGACGCAATCTCTGGTACCTCTGTCTCGGATCCGGTGCTTTGCAAGACTCAGTCATTCTTGATCCAAATGTGAGTATGCTTAACTCGTTCAATCTGCCACGGAGACTGCCACGGAGACCACAGACTCTGTTTCGAATGAGAAGCTGACTCGATCTCTAGGTTCATGCCGGCTGATGCTTTGTGGGCATTCATTCTAGCCATAAACGTCTATCTGACATTCTATTGGCGTTACAGAGCCAAGCACCTGAAGAGTCTTGAGAAGTGGTATTGTGTCTTTTGCTACGGCATTACCTTCCTCTTGGCCTTCATTCTACTCTGGGTCGAGACAGAGGAAAAGGGACCAATGTACGGCAACGCCACATTGTGGTGCTGGATCGCCCCTAACTGGGACCATTATCGAATGTACCTTTTCTACGGTCCAATCTGGTAAGCCAATCTTGCTCTGATCTGACAATAAGTCCTAACAGGTTGCAGGATTATCTGTATTGCAACTATTGCAATTTACGCTCGGCTCTTGGTTACTCTCTTGAGCAACTATTCCATTCTTAATGGTTTCAGTAGACGACCAGCCCAAAGACCAACTGTTCCATCCAACAACGCTCCCATCACCGGTATTCGAACCACAGACATCTCCTTTCAAACAGAACCAGCGGTCGTACAACCAGCGATGCCGCTGAATGAGATGCCAGATAGGAATCTAAACCGATACCCCCGACCATCAGCCCCCGCTCGTACCTACAACTGTCAAATAACTGGCGGCTCGATTGCAGTCCCACCCTACCCTGGTGATCAAAAAGATGGAGCAAGCATTGCTGCTTCTGAGATCCCCTCGCGTCTCAACTCTACGGCTGGCACAACAGACGGTGGCATCTCACCAAGTGCAAACCCTACTCTTCAAGATCCTCCACGCAATTCTGGTCGTGCAGACACTGCACTGCAGATCATGGGAACTGTCGCACTCTTCTTCTTCTTTATCATGTTGATCACCTGGATCCCCTCGTCTGCCAATCGCCTCTACAGTGTGGTTCATCCAAAGCAGGTCAGCGTTGCACTCGAATACGCCGCATCTTGCGTTCTGCCACTCCAAGGATTCTGGAACTCAATCATCTACATTCTAATGAGCAGACACTGTTGCAGTCAAACCTGGGAGAGTATCAAGGATCGCCGAAATTGGAAGTGGACTGCTCAGGACATCAGCGACGTTCTCAAGGATGCTTTCATCGACCACTACATTTTCGATCATCCCCGCGATGAGGCTTGTATGGACTACCACAGCCCAGAATCTACTGTCATCGGTCCAACCTCTAGACCTTACAGCCCTCACGTTTTCCATTCAGAGGACGACTCAATTACTCTCCTCGAATCCCTTGAGTCATCCCGCATCAGCTCAAGTCGTCCAGCCACTGGCCGTCCTGACATGAATCGGGTTTAACTTCACATCAGCGAATCACACATACGATTTCCTTCACCTGTCCTTTTTCTTACACGATCATCATCTTTCTCTGTACAGGACTGGAGTCGATTGAACTTGGGGGGTTTGCGTTTGCTTTACCTACTCCTTTAGCGTTGGCGTTTGGAAGGAATGATGGATGGGACATCACACTTCGCATCTGCATATCTGTTTGGAGTTTACTTTTGCCTTTGTAAAGATACCATTTTCCTTTGCTCTATTCGAGGCCTGATCTACGGACTGGTTCTCTATTTTCTTCGAAAAATAAGGCAATTCTCACACATCAACACATGAAAGGAAGGACGATAAGGATGGATGGACATATTCTCGAGAGGATGTCTGAGGCACTCGAATTGGGGGACAAGCTTCTATCCCGGGCAGCTTTTCCCTGACGGGGCCAGCGCGAGGCCAAGGGCTGTTCATACCTGGAAGTCTCTACTCGAGGTAGTGGTTGATTAGAAATTGAATGCAAATTCGATAAATGTTTGTTTGTGCGTTTATTCCTGCGTGTGAAAATTTGTGATAGGGCACAAGACCTGACTGTGAATGCAGCCCTACTCTGTTCTTTCATCCTGCGCAGCTGAAGTCCTGGATGATGGACGTAGCTTTCATTCACCTGCGAGACGGCTGGGAATAATGTCACGAGACTACCGGACGACATTTCTGAGATTGTTCATCTTGAAAGTCCCAGAGGTTTAGATAACTCTACTTGCTTGCTTGCTTTGCTTGCGTACTTCTGTCTTCTTGTCTTTAAAAAGTATCATCACGGTGCTGCAGGAAAGGGCTAGGTACCTTAGGAACAATGGAAGTCACGAAACTGTCGGTCACATGCATTGGATTGATCATTTTAGGTACCTAAGTTAGGTAATTTGACATGCCCAGAGCCTCACTTTGACCTTGCTGGCTTTATTTCTTGCTTCTATCTCTTTTGAATAATATCAACGTGCTGTAGCTGGCGAAAGATTTTTAGCATCATGCGTTGTTATAGTTTGTTGTCTCGTTAAAGCCTGTTCCATCACAGCCAATCGAGTTTCTCGCCTCGCCTGTATGTACAGTTTCAATTCTTCCGGCAGGGCTGGACTGACCCTCTCGATCCAGATAGTGAGGATCCTGGTTATCAAGCTTCTGGGTTTGATTAATCGTTACCAGATGGCTTTAGGCTCTGGATCCGGGATACATTGTTGTACCTGAATAGATTGCATTTGCCTATCCAGCACTGGAAATTACTTACTTGTATGCATAATAGATCAAATCTTACCTCAGCTTTTACGCTCCCTCTCTTCTGCTGACCGCTTCCTGCTGGCTGAGCACAGATCTCAAAAGGTCCCACATTCGCATTCGTATAAGGTGGGATTATTATTGTCCACGGAGGACGGCAGTCAATTCTCTCCGCAGCTCCTCCATGGCGGCAAACTTAACTTTCTGGCATGTGGGAATTATCCGGTTTGTGGTTAGAAAGTCAGCGCCTCAAAAGCCTCAGAAGACTCAGAAGCCTCAGTAGTGGCTTCAGAAGGAAGCGTGCCGACGTCTTCGGTGCAGATCCCGTAACCCGTGTGTGAAATGCCCGTCGAGCGAAGGAGTGTGGAGGAACTGCCGAAACGTGGCTGGCCAAGCGACTGAACCTTCTGAGCCTGGGCAAAGGCAAGTTAGGCAACGCGAACACATGGCATTTTAGGTTCGAAGTGGGACATCGACCCCATACAGTATTACCAACCTTACCTACCTGCCCTGGTGAATGATTTACCTACCTACCCAGCAGCGGCCCCAGACCCCAGACTACTCCAGACTCCATACTCCAGATTCCCAGATCCGCATTACGAGGCGTCCAGTCAGACCCCAGCGATGGAGAGGAAGTTGCTTAATTAACAAGATTTTGAGTGCAGGACGACGACGTCTCGAGTTTAGGCTTAGCAGGAACAAGAACACGCGAGAGGGGTGGTTATTCGACCTGGCTGAAAGTCAATTTAGTTAGGATCGATGTGGGGCCCCTGTGACGCTGTGAAGGAAGTTCGCTGGATGGGTATAAGGAAGGCATGAAGACGGCACGAGACTGGGAAGGCAACTTAATTCAGATGCTTTGGATGTGAGAAACGGATTTGAACAGGACGTTTTCTTTTTCCATTCGTAGCTTGCGATTTGGATGATTTGATCTGGAGTCCCGAGGACATCTCTACATCCACACAGAATCGGGACTGCAAGAAAGCACGGTCACAGTTCAACGGATTTATCTGAGGGAAACCAAACAACCTACCCATCAAGCAGCACAGCTTCACAAATTGGCATCTGCATCGACGGAACGATTCAATCGACACAATGGCAGACGCTACCCAGATCTCCGAGAAGCCTCTGTCGGAGAACGTGGAGCAGATCCACGCGAAATCAGAACACTTCTCGAGCTCCGACAACAGCAATTCCGACCGAAATGTACACACGACCTCAACACCAGCAGACGATGGCCCAGCGGAGAGGGTATCAGCGTCGACTATCATGGCGATTTTCGTAGGTCCACCAGCCTCTCAATTCCCATCCAATCCCCTTTCCAGTACTCACCCCTTTTACAAGAACTCAAGAAGCTGACCAGTACCGGACAGTTCATGGGCCTTTCATACGTGGCGGCCATCTCCTGCGGTTTGATATTAGTGTCTGGCATTCTTGCACACATCGGGCAGACGCTCGGCGATATGGAGAACATAGTTTGGATCCCTGGTGGATGGTCTGTTGCGTCTGCGGTGTCGTTTTCCATTGCGGGTGGTTTCAGTGATATCTTTGGGCGGAGATATGTGCTCATTTCGGGGCAGGTCATTACGTTGGTCGGGGCGGTATGTTCTTGCTCTCTTATGTTCTTCTTCACCTTGGTGTTTGGTTGAGAGTGGTGGGTGAGAGTTTGACTGACTCGATATTGGCAGATTGTGGGAGCGACGGCGAATAAGGTTACGACTGTTGCCGCTGGATCGACGATTATTGGATTTGGAGCGGGTGTTATTTTTGTTTCATATCCAGGCATTATTGAGTTGCTGCCAAATAAGTACAGGTGGGTTCTCCCCGCTGTAATATCTGCGATCTTTTCTGACTGGAAGCAGAGGAATCGGGCTTGGATGGACCGAATTCGCGATCAACATCCCATTCGCTGGTCTCGGAGTTCTCATTGCGAACTTACTGGTCATCCACGCCAACTGGAGGTGGTGTTACTATATCGCCATTATTTACTCGGTGGTCTGTATCGTTGGAACGGCGATCTTCTACTTCCCTCCTTCACGTCCTCGCAATGATTACGACAAGACTCGTTGGCAGGAATTTGCAGAGCTGGATTTCATCGGCCTCTTCCTCTTCGCTGCTGGGCTCACCATATTCCTCGTTGGATTGACCTACCTTGGAAACGCGACGTATTCCAAAGCTGTCGTGGGATCCACTGTCACGATCGGTGCTATCGTTTTCGCAGGCTGCTTCGTTTACGATTTCACTATTCCGAAGAATCCCATCTTCCCATTCCACCTCTTCGCCATGTACAGCGAGTTCACCGTCCATCTCGTCGTCCTATTCGTTGCAGGTATGATCTGGCAGGCCATCACAACCCTCGGTCCCCAAGCAACACTCTACATGTTCACCAACGACCCGATCCAGATCGGAGTCACCCAGATCCCACAAAACATGTCTGGAGTGCTAGGAGGCTGGATCATCCCATCTTTGGTTCATAAGATCAAGCACGTTCGTCTGCAAATAATCGTCGCGCTCGTCATCCAAACTGTCTTCACAGCCGCCTACGCAGCCGTCATCCCCAACAACAAAGCCGCGTGGATGGCTTTCCAATTCTTCGGACAATGCTGTTTCGCCTGGGTTACCACCCTCGCTTACGTCGCATCAGGACTCTTCGTCCCACAGGAAGAACTCGGCGTCTCAGCAGGACTGATCGGTACCTTCCGCAGCGCAGGAGGAAGTGTAGGCAACGCCATCTTCGCTGTCATCCTCAACTCGATCATCAACAAGAAACTCGGACCAAATATCGCAGCCGCTGCTATCCAGAACGGATTCTCGCCTGCTAACCTCGGAGAGCTCATCCCCGCTGTGATTCAGAATGCTGTTGGTGTGCCGTTTGTGTTTGATGCTGTGCCGGGCATCACCGAGGAGGTGAAGGCGGCGACGGCCAAGGCGTTGAAGGACACGTATGCATATGCGTTCAGGAGGGTGTTTCTGTCGACGATTCCTTTTGGGATTATTGGGCTGGTGGCGGCGTGGTTTGTGAAGGATTGTAGCCATTTGTTGAATAATCATGTTGCGGTGCATCAGGAGAAGGAGGTTTTGTCTGGGAAGCATGCTGAGCATCATGAGCCTAATGTTGAGGGTGGGGTAATGAGGCCGATGACTTAAGGTTGGAGTTTTGTTGGTTTGGAAGTGTTGGATTTGAGATCTCTCTTTGTTTAGCTACGTCTTTGTGGTAATTGGGTAGAAACGAAGGAAATTTGATGATGATGATGATGATTATGATTATTCTACATGTTAGCGATAACCAGGGTGTTCGATTTCCCAACCAGAAGGATTCGAATCTTTGCATCTCTGGAACCAGAACACCAGCCTGAAATTTCAAATCGTAGGGCTTCGAGGGAATCGCAAGCTGAACGAGAAAAACAACAAACACCGCACGTGATGACTGTCGCTGCCCTGGCGTTGTCTCCTCCGGACGATCCGGACTCACGAAAGCTTGACCTTCGCATTCGAACTCAGCCTCTTCTCCACGTATACATACCAAATTCATACCTCTTTCCGTATACTCGTCAAGACCAATCAATGCCATCGACGGAGCAGATGTTGTTCCAAACACCGACTCGCCGAGTACATTGCCTAAAGGAGACTTCTGCAGTAACTCTCCACTGGTCTCTGGGGTGTCTATCGGAACTGGGTTGCGATAGACATGTCCGGATTCTTGAGCAGGCTGAATCCATGACTTCTTGTATGTTTGCTCGTCAATCAATTTTCGTGCATATTCCGTATTCTGGATACAGGACAGGTTGGAAAAAGAGCCAAGAGTGCTGCACAGCCCTACGGCTTCATAGTCGCGTGAGGCACTCCCACACACACAACATCCCATCTTCATTGGTGATTTTCTAGATCCACGGAGATAAGGCGTGTCCATTTTTTATATGATCCGGTGTGACATCTAGATTCCGAGAAGTCGGTGGGAAAGTTCAGAGCGCCGATGCATTTTCAGACTCTATGAGGTCTGTTATGTCTGGGCCAAGAAGCGGACGCGTGGACTACTGCATTTGCTTGTCAGCTTCATGGCCACGGATATCTTACTTTGCTATCTTGATACACACTTCAGAGTATGGAAAGTACGTCATTGATAGTTTTTGAGTGTGGTTTATTGGTAGTATGAGTCTTGATGATGCAGTACCAGTCGATATGGAAGTTCTTGCTGAAGAAGTCGGCTGCAGCTGCAAAGTCAGCGTTTGGACTTTGGGGTGGGTTGGTGAAAAGTATATTATTATACATGTCTTGGACGTGGCTATGTTTGTGGATCTGGATTCATAAGACTGATATCACTATCGTGTGTTTTGTTATCAACACAGCCGAAAGTATAAAGAATGGAGCTCCCTCTGGTGGTTTACTTGCCAAAGTCTCTACTGTATTTCATCGATTGTATTGCTTCCATCCCCAGTTCAGTACTTGCATTTTGGTATACTCTTCCGTTGTTGTTCTCGAGAACTAGCATACCAAAGTCAATCAACATGCGTACATATCCGTACTGGGTATGTGGATGACTTATCCCTTCCACGGCTTGACACGTCCACTGACATCAGTGGTAGATCCTGCCCGCCATCGCTGGCGTCTTCTGGTCTGGTATGCTAGCAACGTTTATGATCTACTGGCAAACCACTGGCCAACCCCATTACAGCACCATGGACTCCTCACAAACAATCCCCTACATCTCCGACATAGGAGCCTTCCGCCTAAAGCCACTGTTCATCACCGGCGCCGCCATCACAACTCTCTGCATGGACCTCTCACTCATCTCGGAACGATGGCTACGGCATCGAGGTCAGCTCGTACGGAACTTCACACAGACGGAGAAACGGCTCTCGATCGCGAGCATTGTGTGTGGTGTCATTGGTGGATTGGGATTACTGTTCTTGAGTATCTTCGATACTGCGGGGTATGGAAATGTGCATAATATCTGCTTGTTTGTGTTTATTGCGGGGTATATTGCCAGTGCTACATGTAGCTGTTGGGAATATCAGAGTCTTGGAGCTCGTATTTGCCCCTTTCCTTCAATTTGATTCGACTTCCTGAAACTGTTGGAATGCTTGGACTGACGAAGTGAGTTAGGTGGACGAGAGCAAAGGATTTTGAGAGTGTCGTTTTGGACCAAGCTTGCTTTCATTATTGTAGAGGTGTCTCTGGTAATTGCCTTTGTTATTACTTTGGTTACGGATACGTATAATGCTGCTGCCGTGTTGGAGTGGATTTTGGCGTTTGTTTTTGGGATTTATGGTAAGTCGTTCTGCTCTGAGGTTTCTGTTCAAAGTATCGGTTGCTCATACTTCTGTTTATAGTTTTCTCGTATGCCATTGACCTCTTTCCGGTTGCCCGAAGTGCGAAGTCCAACTTGGCATCGAATGTTGAGAGGAAATGAAGTCAAAAAGATCTTTCGCAATGAAGGCATCGACATCGGGGTGTTGCGTTCAGTCACTTCATGATAACTTTAGAGCCGAGACATAGCCTGGTCATGTAGTTAGATTTATAGCTTGAAGACAATGAAAGTATCACTGGACGCCTTCATGCCACAAATCTTATCGTCGCTGATAAACAGACAGAGTATCAACAACTTTACTGGTGTATTTCGTTACGGCGAGCAGGCGAAAAAGGGGCGGATTCAGGCGATCCGAGCTCTCGTGGGGCACAGCTGGAACGTCAGTCCAGCGCGTTTTTGGCGCGTCTCTCACCAACCATCACCACAAAATGCCCACTTTTAATTCACAAAAGCGACCTTAATATTGTAAAATAGGTCTGAAGTGTCGAGAGTTCCTCGATACCCTTGCCTGGACCACTGCTTTGGAGGTCAGCTGCTCTCTTTTCAGTGCCGGCACATTTGAAAACGTACCTACAGTGGCTCCTTAACTTTCATTGTGCTGATTGTTCTGAACCTTCGTAACCACGTACAAACAGTATGCGAAGCTGGCCCCAAGTCGAAGAAGCTGCAAGCAACAGAAAACCAGAGTCTCGAATAAAGTCCAATCACCATGGAGCGATCCAATTGCCGAATCTCCCAGGACTGATGGATAGAGAGCGAGACGTGCTGGTTGGAAAGCGGAGCACATATTTGATCGCGCATTCGGAGCTAGAACACGGATTCATGACGACCTCGAATGGATTAAGTAATGTGAATATGCTCAGTGGAGGAGTGATTCATGGAGGAATCCGACAAACGCCTGAAACAGACACGCAAGGATAAAAAACTCGTACAATGGTTGTAATGGCTGAATCTACGGAGCATCAGAATCATAGCATTGGAAGGAGGGAAGATGTACGACAGATAGCAGAATTGCCCGCCTTTAAACAAGCCGCCTTAACACAGTCTTCGGAGACTCGAGCAGTGAAATATGGTTTCCGCCTACCCAGATCAAGAAGATACTCGGAGATCACCTCAGATCAGCGACCCGCCATGCCGGATATGCTACCATGAAACTTTGACTAATGCACCAAACCCAGGCTTGGTATAACGGGTTTTGGCCCAATAGCTTTCCCGTCCCTTCGAAAGAGACATCGAGAGGATCATTGATGCGAGCAACTTATCGCAGCCCTAGGAGGCTGCAGACTGAGTTGCAGCAAAGTCGACGTGGGAAGTGCCATCACAGAGGATTGACTTGAGGAACCCATCTTGAGGCCGTCTTTTGGCATCGCTACTTGTTAGAATTAGCTCTGAACTGGAAATCGAACAGACTGGGGGAGAAATCCTCGCTGCCAAGCCGACTTTGGTTCTCCACGGATCAAACAGCGTGGTAGATCCTATGAAATGGTACGTTCGAAGTCACATAAGAAGAAATCCGTACATCAATAATACATTATGTCTAGCCTCCTCGAGAAACCTCCTGTCTTTGGATATCTGGATATTACGCTGCCATCGATACATACAGGAGGGCTCTCTCGACGCACCCTTCCCATCGCTTTATAGTGACCATGTCAAGGTATGTCTTGTAAAGCCGGCGGACGTGCAATGAGGCAAAATCTTGGTTTGGAGAGTACTGGATGATATACAGCCTCCCCCACCTGCTTGGATTATCAAGAACTTAGCTGCTTTGGAACCTAATTTCCCAGATCATAAGTTTCGTGGTATCATGCTTCCCAGCGCTATATTCAAACCAACCAACATTCCATGTGCAGAGCCAGCTGCCGGTCAACCTACTCCTGGTGAACGTTATTTATTCCGCCTTTTTGATTGCACATAGAGCTGACTTGAAGAATAGAGGACATCAAATACTTGTGGTTTCCTCAGATCCAGTGCGATGACTGTCCGGCAAAGCTTTATATTCCCGGCTCGCGAATATCAATCACAAACTTCGTCTTCCATCTCAAGAATTATACACACAAGACGAATGTTGAGAGGCGGGCGTTTTATAATGGGTCTGGCTGAATTATAAGCGCCATCATACCCAATATATGAAGCGTCCTTCTCTTCAGGCTTGCTACCAAAAAGAAAATTTCGGAGGAAGCGTCAAGCATAGTGGCAAACATTCACCAATCATACGTCATGCATTACTCTCTGTCGGAAAGGATAATGGGAGATCTGTCGAAATGCTCTAGGCATCGCTATTCAGCCGTCACGCCATCTAAACATCATGCGAAACCATCGATTGTTGACGACACAACTGCTTACATTAATTTTCCGAAATTGCCTCCGTTCAGCAGAGACTTCGTATATCAGAGCATTGCTGAGCCCATATGTACCAGTCCAAAATGCGACCCAAGACGACTACAGCTGCCAGCAGCACCACATCGAATTATACCCGGTTGTAACCTCACATCTCAATACCTTGCTGCTTCAGACCCCATCGCACCGCATCAAGAACGTTCACCACTTCCACCGTTGGCTCATGCTCAGGTACTGATCCAGCTTTATGGATGCCAGTCTGCACGAGAATACTCTTCCATGAAGATCCCCATGGACTACGGTAGCTATTAGCGCCTGCAATATCGGATTGAGGTCCATCGCCAACCATGTAGACCGTCTTCAAATCTCCCTTGGTCACTTCTCGGAGTGCCTGCTCGCCGTATTCGAATTGGAGCTGAGTTGGTTTGCCAATTTGTATGTAGTGTTCCTGATCAATGAGATCCGTGCCGGTCAAGCTTGTCCATATGCCTTTAAATGCTACCCTAAGTAACAGGGAGTCAGAATTTGTCGCCACATTTGCGGATTTAAGACCTGTCTCTGGATGGCATTCGGACATTCTCAAGGGGAAAAGATCGGCTTCTGGACAACTTACTTGAAAGTGCCCTGGCATAGCCTGGGGATGTGGTACTGCGTGGCATAAGTGATGTCTGGATTGGAGAAGTACAGCTTGGGTTGTCCATCTTGGAGATATCCTTTGTTTGGCAGGTCGGGATTGTTGTTCTTGGAAGAGACGGTGCCGAAAATGCCACGCTCGGAGAGCAGGAGGTCGGTAATGATCTGCAAGTCGAGGTACCATTCTCTTGGGGAGGAGAACACAAAAATCGCTGAGATCTGGATGCCACCTTTGCTTCCACTAGCATTCTTGGTTATTGGCAGAGCTCTGGCCGTCTTGCTGAAGTACTCACCATGGATCTCGTTGAAAGGTGAGAGGCACGGGATATTTGTTGTGAGATCTGCGCTGGTGACGACGTTCTTGAAACCATATGCCGACTCGGCGACCTGTCTGCATGCATCTCCAACTCCTCCAAGGACCAGGACTACTTTGTCTTTGTACTCGGGAGCGTATTGCTTGAAAGGAGTGTGTGCCTGGATGAATTGCTCAGCACGGATGTCTATTCCAAGCTTTTTCGACATGTCTTGTGCGCGAACAGATTCAGTTTTCCCACCACCGTTTGTAAGAAAGATAAATGGGATGTTGTTTTGGTTGATGCATTCCATCGCATCTTTCGCTCCGGGACAAAGTTCACCGGATTTGTATATGACTCCATCGATGTCGAAGGCGAATGCAAAGTCTTTTCCCTCAGAGCTATACGGGGCTGGCCTAGAAATGAATGTTGGTCGGAGTGGGCCGCTTCTTGCTTCGGACATCTCCTTCGCTATGGCGTCCGCACTGCTCTCGAGTGCTGCTTGACACTTGTAGTTCTGTGTCGTCATTGTGTGAAGAGCTGGATATAGCAACGATAGTGTAAGTTGATTGGTTTTCTACATTTGAAGCTGCTTGACCGCTGCAAATGCTTCTATCTATGTCGTTTTAAGATGGACGCTTGAAAAGCTGTTATAGTTGACACATTAAAAGCGGCTGCCTCAAAAAGAGGAGTCGTCTAAATCTCACGAAGCAACTTTACTCGATTGAGGGATTGTAATTTGTTGAACCCAAAGGAGTCTTAGTCTTCTTCGCGAGTCTTTGTTAGGTCATTTTCTCCACTTTTGTGGCTGGCCTATTCACCCTCAAGACAATGGTGACTATTCATGGTGTTGTACTTAGAACCCCATGTCGCATTACTGGTCACAGCTATAATATTTCCTATTCTTGAAGACTGCCAGATAAGTTGGAAAGAAGCACCAAAGAGTTCTGTTACCGCAAAGTGCGAGACTCTGGTAGAAACAATATCAGATTTCATTGTTTAGAACAATGAATTTGGCTTAAATTGGACTTTGAGCAGGTTAAAAATACATCTTGTTTGTTGTGGGGGCGTATCCCTACTCGTTCTTTATGCGTCAAATTGACATTCAATTTTGAGATGGAAGATGCCCTCAAGCTACATATAATCTACAGCAAAAATATTTGCTTGCATTTATGCTACTCTGTTTTTCCCAAGTCGTCTAGAACAATCTCATGCATAATTTACCTCTTGACTCTCAACATGCGTCACGACCACTTTGACCTGTTTTTCCACATCCTCCTGACAAGTACCATCAATGTCTCCCGTCTAGCGAAGTCAATCATCTGGAGTTGGTATCCATTCAAATTCTTCAGTGGGCTTTATCTTACATTCATTTACCACCACGAGATTCGTGCATGCTTGGAGATCCTGTCTGATCAAAATGGATGGCTCAAAGTATTCGAGGTACTTTTCCTGTTCAAGTTCATCAAAGTTATCGTCCATACAATCTCGTTCTTGCTTTACAAACCATACCCTCTGCCACGATACCCCTCGGTCACTTCTCAAGATGTCACGGTCATCATTCCTACTATTGGAGCAATTGACGATGTTGAGTTCAGAGAAACACTTAGTACTATCTTGGCCAACCTACCTGCGGAGATTATCGTGAGTACTGTGGGCGAAAAGCGACTTTACATGGCACAACGGGTCTGCGCCGAGGAGCTGGACAAAGCCAGGGCTCTCAGGAAAACGCGTACCAGAATGCGTGCTATGGAAATTGATACGGCATCCAAGCGTAAGCAAATTTTCGAGGCCCTCAAATAGTAAGTTTGAGACTGCTCAGCCACTATTCTCGCCAGAGACTATCTAATGACATGTTTACTGTTTTCTCAACAAGTCCGGATGGGGCATTTACTAACTCTCCGTTACCACAGTGTCCAAACCTCAATCGTCTCCCTTGCCGATGATCACGTCTTTTGGGGTGATCGATACCTCACCGCTGCTCTAGCTCCCTTCGAAGATCCTCAGATCGGTGGAGTCGGCACTAACAAACGAGTACGCCGTCTGCCATTCGAGTTCTCCTTCCCCAACTTCCTCAACTTCATCGCGTGCAATTACCTCGAACGCCATAACTTTGAATGTACCGCGTCAATTTTCATCGATCAAGCTGTCTTCGTCCTGTCCGGCCGCACTGTCTTCTATCGCACCAACATTTTTCGACACCCCCGTTTCGAACAGGAATACTGCAGGGAGACATGGCTCTTTGGTATCGTTGGAAAGAGCGGATTCGCTGTTGATGACGACAACCTCCTCACCCGGTTTACCATTGGCATTACCAAATATAAGGTCTGGTTCCAGAATTGTCCTGAGAGCACCATGGTCACTGCACTCGGCGAACCAGGAAAATTCTTCAAGCAGATGGATCGGTGGATTCGCACGACTTGGCGATCAAACTCCACCAGTCTCTTCTCCGACCAAACTCCTTGGAAGACACAACCCTGGTCTGTTTATGCCATTTATCTGTCGAGCTTCGTCAACTTCGCCCTATTCTACGATACTGCCCTCTTTACCACGCTTTGGTATGGCCTAGAAAGTGGTCTTACATGTTCTTACCAATTCTCGGAACATGGAACCCACGCCTGGTCACATCACAGCCAAACTCGGCCTGCAGAGCTCCTTGTACGTCTTCCAACACCACTCTTTGTTCCGGCATCCTGTCATCAGATGGCCGCCAACAATCGGTTCGGGATCACCAGAGGTTCTTCGATGTGCATTTTGGCTCTCATTCTATTCACCTCGAAGATGATCAAGCCTCTTCCACATTTTTGGCGAAATCCTCGGGACATCTTGTATATTCCTTTCTACATCCTCTTCGGCTACTACCACAGTTTGATAAAGTTAAAAGCTCTGTTCACTGTCTGTGTCATATCATGGGGATCAAGACAAGGGGTTGAGTGAAAGGAGGCAGCCAGTGAGTTCTTTTTTGGAGTATAAATTGGTGAGTCCTGGTCTTCGCTCTACTTCCGTGAAAGTTTCCTAAATGTTTATGGTAGGTCTAGAGACGCCTAGAACCATGGCGAATTTTGTTGTATTATTTCCCTTGCATGAAAAATCGGCTCTGGATGCTGTTGCATCGGTTGGTTGAACCTGACCCTCTTTCAAGGGGCAACAAATTAATCCGTGAATGAGATAGGAGCGAAGAACCAAAAAAGAGAAAAGATGAGTCTGGCGTTGATGGCTACCAAAGTTTGTTTACAAGTGACGAATATTTTTGGGGAGGTATTTTTGGCTTTTATTACCTGATTAATGTGCAAAAGAAGAACTTCTTGAGCAAGTAAATGATAGATTCTGTGTCATGTCCACAAGGAGGGATGAAGCCCCGCTCGAAATTGAAATATCGAAGAGTCTTCACTGGGTAATTCACGGAAGTACATACGGAACATCAAGGGTCTAACACAAAATGATTTCCATCCTTTGCTTCTTTTCTTTCGAGCCGTTTTACAATGCAATTTGTCTTTATCGTTATGGCCTCGTTTCCGAGACTGAGTAATCGATTGTAATCTCGGTCTGGCTTTCATCTCAAAGGCGTCTCGCTGGTAAGCCAGGTTTCTCATCTCAGCACACCAATCCTAGTTCACTGATGGATTCCAATTTACTCTCCTGATTTCCATGTTCCGTGACTGTCAATTACTCTCCAAAGCATATGAATAACGTTTTCTGCCCACCACATCAAGTGTTATTAGCACTGCTCTAGCACATCGTCGTGACACATTGCACCACCACGAATAGGTATAAATACAAAGCTGATTCAGAGGCTACCTTCTGTTTCTTCTCCATCTCATAGTCTTGATACCGTCGTTTGTCTCCAAAAGGCAAACCTTTTGCAACTTCAATACATACCACATATTCCATTTGTTGTGCACACGGCGAGTTCATATCCGGCCATGCCAAAACCACTGCCGAACTATCTTCACCACCGCTCTACTCTATCCACAGCTCCAGTAGCTCTAGGACCATCCATCCTCAACAGAGGCAGCTCTGGTAAATTAATCTCGATCAGACACGATGTGAGACGCATCCTTGACTTCTTCCGAAGGTTCTTTGCAACATGGTTGAAAGTCGACCTCGAATCCTTAAAAACAGCGATCACGGTCGGCAATACCATGATGAAATTAGGCAACGTCGTGACAGATTTGGCCACGACATTATGTTCTGCCTGCATGGAGTTATTCACAGCCTCCGTCTTTATCAAAGCCCACGATGACCTTAACAGGGATATCCAGCTCTGGATCGGGGCGAATGTTCTGGACGCACGGAGCCCAACATCACTGGTTGCAAGCACCGGCGACGTTGGTAGTAAGTTCACCTATTTTGGGAAGCAAAAAGATTTTTCAGATGGGAGGAAGACTCTAATCCACTACTTACCAGCTTTCGAAACGCTGCGTTTTAAGCACGACCGGAATACCTTCATTGTTAGGCGGATCAGATGTAGGGAGGACGAGCTCCGTGAAGCAAATGAGGAGCTTATGACTGGTACCGAGTCACTTGTCATCATGGTTTTCGGCTGGTCTACAGATCCTATTAGACGATTCTTGGAAACTGTCCGGGATTTTGCAGATGAACGGAGAAAGGCGAAAATTTCTGTGCGTGTCAGTAAAGTGTTGGGCAATGATCCACGCTGGTAAGTGTCTCTTCTTCCAGTGTCTCTCAACGCGCTTCTACCATTTCGCTTCCCAGTACTGATTAAGATACCAGGGAGGGCGCTATACAAAGACCGATGAGACGGCTGGAAACGGTTCACTTCGACGAGACAACAAAGGCAGAACTTGTTGCGGACATGGAGCTATACCTCGACCCAAGCACAAGGCATTATTACACCATTCGAGGAATCCCTTATCGGCGGGGCTATCTTTTCTACGGACCACCAGGGACTGGAAAGACGTCCCTTTGTCTGGCGCTGGCAACACACTTTTGCCTGGAATTGTACTTGCTACATATTCCTAGCCTCAGTGACGATTCGCAGCTTGAGATTCTGTTCAAAGCACTACCCTCCAAATGTAAGTAACTCATGATTCCCTCGTTAATGATTTCTTTCTTTAGTGAGAGTATATTAGAGCAGCAGCTGACAGCTTCTGTGTCCAGGTATCGTGTTGCTAGAAGACATCGATGCTGTTGGCGTTCAGAGAAAATCGGAAATAGATGAAATGGAAGAGGAAGAGCGCAAGAAGAAGACAGAAAAGAAGAAAGGCACAGGTAGCATAACATGTAACGCCCACGACGAAGAGCAAGAGAAACGTAGCTCACGAGTCACCCTCTCTGGACTTCTCAATGTCCTGGACGGCGTCATTTCACGAGAAGGCCGAATCGTTATCATGACTTCTAACTTTGCCAACAAGCTTGACAAGGCGCTCACGCGACCTGGTCGCATTGATCGCCAAGTGTTCTTGGGTAGTATGTCGCCCGACTGTGCGAAGTGGTTGTTCATTCGGATGTTTTCATCGGACTCAGATGCCACACCACTCACTTCACTCCTTGACACAGAACACTTGGATAAGTTGGCAACAGAGTTCAGTACCTATATCCCCAAGGATACTTTTACACCTGCACAGTTGCAAGAATTCTTGATCAGCCATCGCCATTTTGCGGCGAATGCAGTCAAGGAGACAAAATCTTGGGTAGCAGACCAGCAGCGCTTGAGAACCGAAGAAGAGGAGCGAGCTAAGCGGTTAGCTATATGGAAGGCAGCCAAAAAGGCAGAGAAGGAAAATGCAGAGGCTCAGAAGCCAGACGACGAGATGACGAAGTCCACGGATGATATTCAGACAAGCCTGGTCGAACAGATAACAACTGGCTTGGGAAATCCAGGAGCTCCAAGTTCTGCTGGAGGGGAGGCGAAGGAAGCAGACGCAGCTAGCAACTCAGCAGCATCTGAAGTATGGTCTCCAGCCAGTGAGAGCTTTATATAAGAAGAATCGTTGACGGAAGATGGAAGCTCGTCTGGATCAACCCCAAGCACACACTTTAGCGAGACGGAAGGTCCGAATAAATCGCAGCCCAACTAAGGTTAGAAGTGGGTACAAACAAAACAGCGAGGATAAGGATGACCCGAATTGAGATCGTTGAAATACTGACTAGAAGTTGTAGTGTTGGCCAAGGTGTCAGGGCGCTGATAGAGGTATACGATAACAGCTACGCTATTTAGCTGTACTTGTAAGAGTTTATGTATCAAAGTCAATGAAAAGCGTGATTCCTATGTATCTACGTACAGGTGAATTGATTGAAAAGGGAATCGGACACGTACACGGTGTCCGAGGTCTTTGGAATATAAACACGATATGCATCGTGAATACCCAAAGCAGCCAAAAGCCGCAAACCCCGCTGCAGCCAAGCTGCTGACGCTCAGCACTTGGGTAACTCTAACCTCATCAGTGCAGCCTATTGTTACAAAGCAACCAGTGGCTTCGGATAGGCAATCCTCCGCCAGCATACTCTGCTTACTACTGGAGTTACCCCTCCTGTCATACTCACGTGTTTTGGTGAGAGTAACGCGTTGCGGTTTCCTACCTACTTAAAAGGGCGTCGTGCTTGCTCCATTCATTTCTCTTTCTCATCTTCAAGTCAATCTTCCAGCATCAATCAGAGTCTAGCAGTTCCATACACCTCAATCAATCTCTGTACTTGTCTTGTCAGACTACTCTCTTCCATTCGCTTCACATCAACCTCAAAAAGCGGTACAGCTTCGACAGCCAACCGTCAAAATGCCAATCGACCACACTTCTCTCCCTGTCCAGAACTTCGAAGCCTCAAAGGCTTTCTACACCGAGATCTTGAAGCCTTTGACCTATGGGATTTTCATGGAGTTTCCAGGAAATGCCGTCGGTTATGCGCCAAAGGGTGGCCGCTCCGATTGTACGTAATGTCGATCAGCTCCCTTGCTTCCGCTCTCCAGCATTATCCCGATCCGAAACTCAAAACAAAATACATAGATATAGGATACAATCAGTGCTAATACTCTCACAGTCTGGATTTCTGCCCCATCGAAGGGAAAGGAGAATCAGAACGGTAATCTGAACGTCACGCATGTCGCGTTTGCAGGAAACAGCAAGGCGCAGGTTGATGAGTTCCATGCAAATGCTTTGTAAGTTTTCTATGCCTTATTCATCTCACACCTCCGAAAATGTGCTCTCATCTGTCCATCGTACCTTTGATATCGCAGTTCTGACCAGAAAACAGGAAGGCAGGAGCGAAGTGCAATGGTCCACCAGGATTCCGACCTCAGTACCATGAAAAGTACTACGGAGCTTTTATCCTCGACCCTGATGGAAACAACGTCGAATGCGTGTATTTTGATTTGTAGATCTGTGCATCTGCAATTTCGATGGTGGAGTTTTGGCGAACCGGTGGATGAGGGCGTGACAGTCGCTGGATTTAGGAGATTGGGTTTGGGTCAAGAGAGATTCAAGGAGTCTATTCAACGCAGTCATTGTGTGTCAATATTAGAGAGAAAATGGACGGGGCTCATTTTCAAGCAGTTCTAGCATCTTCGCAATAATCTACTGCCCACATTCCCTCTGTGCCTCGCTGACTATTAATTGTTGTTCAGTATGGCTCGGCTAATTACAGGCGCTTGAGAGGCCCTGTCCTGTTCCCAATAGGCTGCCCCTGGGTTTCAGGGTCTTGTACCCCCGCATTACCCCGCTATGTTCTCACTCATTTTTGACAACATAGACCTCGACTCATTATAAGTACTGGAAGACGTAAAAGGCTTTGTCTCCGAAGCTTCATCCAACTCTTTGTTACGGAACTGAGAAGGGCTGATCACAATGTCAGGTTTTAAATAGGTAAAATTACGGATGGCTTCATGTAAGTCCATGCCCTAGATACATTCGTCCAGCAATGGATCTGGAGGTTTGGCAAATCCTTTCTTCTTCACCTCCGGAGTCAAGATTGAATCAAACTCATAGACCTTGCCTTCTTCAAATGCGGCGCAAAGAGAACCCGGCTCGAAAATCTCCTCCTCCCACATTAAATCATCATCGCGCTCGATGTGATCGATGTGATGTTGCCACTTTGGATCCAAGTATGACATTCCCTCCCCGATATCCTGCCACTTCGTGTAGAACACCCCAGTCCCAGATTCCCCCAAGTCTTTAAAGTCTATGCGGAATTCTGTCGCGCAGTGGCCGCACTGTAAGAGTTCAGGAGACCCTCCTGACTCTCCATGCTCAGTCCACCTAGCTAGCCGGTGTAGCAACATCCTTCCCTGGTCACTCCAATCGTTCGGCGTTATTATTCTCCAGTGTGGACATACTAACAGCCCCGAGTCGCTTGGGTAGGGAACGTTTGGGAAGGGAAACCATGTTGCGTGACTACGAAGAACCACAAACAGACTTTGATGTCGCAGATACATGGAGCCATGGACGATCTTCACAGTGTAAACGTGAAGCTCGGTGGACTCCATGTAATATGTGTAGCTTGCCCCTAACAAGTTTAACAAAGGGCTTGTATCTCGTCCCTGGCGGTAACGCTGCTGGCCCTTTGAAATATCACAAAACTACACTTGCGATACCTGTATTGACGAAATTTTCCATCCAAGCTGGGGCAAGTAAATTGAGACGGATACTGTTGACAGCTTCTGACACGAAAAATTGAAAGACGGAAATTGATGTATCGATGAGGTTTATTGTCGATGAGATGGAACCGCCTGCAGAAATAGCAGGCGATATGGTTAGGGAGATCTCTTTCTACGAGCTGCAGGAAGCGGTGATGTTCAGCCTGAGGTCCTATTCGTATTTCTCTCAAGCATTGCGAACCGATGATCTTGAGTAACGGTTGGCAGGTGAGTGCCAATGAAGCGATGGATGATTGTGGCAGATGTTCTGCGATGCAAAGAAAGATCTCGCAAGGGACGTGTTTGAACGGTGATTTTCTAAGTGCAAGCATGCAAGTTTGTCGAGCGACGGTAGTGGTCTTCTGTCCTGGCCAAAAGACCGAGAGTACGATACCCATGATACTAGAACAATTCCCCCAGGTATGATTTGTTAAAAGAAATTTGATACAATGGGGCTGACCCAGATCGCAGGGGGGGGGGGGGGGGGGGGCTATCAAAGCTCAGGTCGATTTGAAAGATTGTATTGGCAAAAGTACAAGGAATTAATTACAGGACAGCATAAAGACAGAAGCCTGAAAAATGTTCGAAAGATACTACAAGGACTTTTTAAAAATAAATTCAACTCAATTGTGGGAAAATCGTTTGTTGGAACTAGCCATAGTGTAGCTCCACCCGGGTACCACACCATGAACATTCACGGTATCGGCCCCAGCCTTTCCAGCTCCTCCACAGGCCGTCGAAACAGTCAGCTCTGCTTCTAGTAGACCGAGCCCCTAGATGTGGTCAACGACTTCGCAGATGCGCCCGTCCAACATCCTGCGCAGATTGACGAGTGCGGCTGTGGCTTGTGGTTGCACAACCCAGAGCCTGAATTAAAAGGACGGCTGAAATCAGGAGTAGCATCATCGTGTCGAATCTGCCGCGCTGAAGTTGTGGCAGACATATGATGTCCTGAATATGAGTCTATGCTTGTGAAGGCGAGGAATATGATTGTACAGCGAGAGCCTGGCAGTGGCCCCGGCTCAACGAAAAGAGTTGGCCACTGTTGTAAGGAGGATGCAGGTCCTGAGGAGAAGATCTTTGACGTCGGCATGTTGCATTGAGGAGGAGGAGGGTTGTTTACGAGTTGATCTCCTGGACGATTCAAATGACTGTTTGGAATTGGTCACCAAACTATCGAGCTGCTTTTGAAACATACAGGGGAGGGTTTTAAACCCAAACAATAGCTACTATCATTACTTCGTCTCGAAAAGATAACGTGATGTACCACTCCTTATTGTAAGACTTCCATACCATCATAATAATACTCAAGAGTAAGCCACAACATTGCGCATGTCTGATCGTGAATCGTATCCCACGTCCCACCGTCACATCGTAGCTTCACGAGAGCGTCGTGAATCGACCCTCATCGTAGAACTCTCCACCAACTCCTTCTCCGACGCCATGGTCCCCTCACCAATGGATCTTGTCTCGATATTGTCAAAGCTACCTGTCTTCCACAGCTTTCCTTGTGCAGCGCGCACGAACCAGGGAGGGTTCGTGCTGTTGGGCTTGTACGTCCAGTACTCGGCGGCGTCAGCATCAGGAGGCTGAATCCTGCCTCGAGAGAAGACTTTCGTGATATAGATCAGGCCATTGAGAACAGTATAGGTGAAAAGACCAGCAATAAGGCCATATGCTACTGAATACATGAGGGGCATGGCCACGATCGTAACGAATGCGGGAAGAGCGTCGCCGATGTATGCCCAGTTGACAGAAGTGACTTGGCGCATCATCATGCACCCGACGAGGATGAGTGTACATCCGGTTGCCCAAGGTGGAATGGATGCAAATATTGGTGCAAAGAAGATAGATACGAGGAAACAGACTCCAGTGGTGATGGCTGTCAATCCCGTACGGCCTCCTTCGGTGATACCTGCTCCCGATTCGATGAATGCGGTGACAGGCGAGCATCCAAAGAGAGATCCGATAGATATGGTCACTGCATCGGAACAGTATGCAAGGGTTGAACGCGGGAAATCACCACTCTCAGGATCAACGACACCAGAGAAGCGAGCCATGGAGTATAGAGTGGCAGTAGCATCGATGATGTCGACGTACAAGAAGGTGAATAAGGCAAGTGCGAAATGTCCTCCAGCCGCACCAATGTTCCAGTCTTGGGCAACGAAGGTATTGCCGATTGGGTGAAATGCAACGACTTGTTTGAAAAAATCAAACATCTGGTCTCCAGCTTCAGTATAGGGAAAGTAGGTGAATGTGGTGTCTCGCCTGGCTGAAATTAGCGGAATGCATGCTCTTCGGGGTAGGATAACCAACGGCCAAGATATGACTGAGACGAGAGCAATGCCAATAATGATGGCTGACTTCACACGGTAAGACATAAGGAAAGCCGTCAGAACACCTCCACCCATGACTCCAATCCATAACTGCCTTGTGATCAGTAGGTAATGCAACAAAATCGACAGGTAACGTACCGTGGGGTTTTGCATCTTGTGACTGGTACATCTTCCAGTGTACTTGTCGATGTATTGTGGAGGACATCCGGCAAGGTCTGTAGGCGTTACATTCGACCCTGAGATCAAGCCAATTCCTGAGTATGACATTCCGATTTCTGTCAGGAAGATGCCAATACCAACTCCACTTGCAACTTTGACCGAAGCAGGGATGATTTTGACAAGCCATTGCCGCATGCCGATGAGTGAGAGAAAGACGAAAATCCACCCCTCAATGAAAACGGCTGTGAGGGCAAGGCCGTAAGATATGGATCCGGTGCCATGGAAGCCAACAACCTGATATGTGAAGTACGCGTTGAGGCCCATTCCGGGCCTGCCATTTGTCAGTCCCGAAAGTTTCCTTTGAATCCGAGACTTACGCTAAAGCAACAGGCAGGTTGGTGATAAACCCAAAAGCTACCGATCCAATACCTGCAATCGCTGCTGTCGCTGTGGTGAGATCGCGCTTAATGCCTGTCAGTGTCAGTAACTGATTTCATCGTGAAGTGAGTATGCCATACCAATCAAGCAACTATCATATTCAAGGTTATTGGAACAAGATGGGTCGGCTGCGTCGGTACAAACACATGTTGCTCCACTCTCAGCAAGGATAGATGCCTTCGACGCTGTCAGTGACGGAAGGGCAATGGGGATTATGGTACCAACATTGACAGCAATGATGTATGCCATAGTAAAAAAGGTTGTGAGCCCAGCTCGCAGCTCAGTAACAAAGCGGGAACCTTTCCGTTCTTTCGGCTGTCCATGAATTAGTGGTTTCTAATACTCAGAGCCGAACATGGAAACTTACATGACCTGATCCATCAAGCCGGAAGACTCGACCAAAGGTTGATCTCGCCACTTTCTTGTCAAGGATATTGACAGCATTGCCAATCGAACAAAACATAATTGCGGATATAAATCGATCTGCTTGACAGCTCATTGATAGAACGCGGGCATGCGAAGGAAGTTTATACAGCTGTCAAACAAGCCGAAAAATCATCCTTGAAACACCCGAAAAGTAAACATGCAGGTTGACATTGACTGGCGGTTCTCAACAGACACGGCACTGAAAACAGGGGGCGGTTTCCTGCCATGTTCATTCCACTAGCTGGGATCAATGATCCTTCAGATTGTGTGAAGTATAGCTATAATGCAGGAGCATGAATGTCACAACCACGCTTGTCTATCAGTGATGAGCTGAAACCAGCATACTGCATGTTTCCGTGTGGAACCGACTCCTAAAGGCAAGGCTGAAATGTAAGGAGAAGATGCGAGTACTTCTCCTCGTTCTAGGCCCCATGAGGCTACAAGTTAAGGATGCGAGAAGGAAGTTTCGCTTCAGCCTACAATTGATAGCTCAAAAGCCAGCATTTCAAAGCCTGGATCTCATCAAGCCTCACATCAACGTTCACCCCTACCAACGGTCCCGACACATAGCCACCACACCAGCTTATTCCAACCTCTGTCCTCTGACACAGGTGGAATGGATCTCTGAAAATCATCACCAAAAGAGGATATGTGTGACTGGTGGCTGCCTTGCGTTCCCGGCGCACGATGCAGTGACGAGATGCATTGAAGATCTCTGACCGTCTTTTGCGACATACAAATGGAGACTGGGAGCATGCAACTCAAGATACCTGATGCATACATCATCAATTATGTACGTAAGTCAGATCGACGAAAAATTCTTTTTGCTTCGGTCGCGACCTGTCTCTCCCTCGTCTACAGGAACATCGTCGAACCCAGTTCGTGCACTGGATGTCCCTACAGCTGATAGTCGTGGAAAAAGAGGGTATATGTGATAGCTAGAGTTAGTCTAATTGAAAGTCGAGGTCGAGTGCGAGGAGGATGATAGGAAAAGAGGTCGAAGCACAGAGACGGGATGAGATGGAGTACAGTAGTGGCTTGGACTTGACACCCCTGATTCGACCAGCCTGGATGTCGCTTGCTGCACGGATTCCTCACTCACAGAGTACCTTCATCCCAACCGCCAACGCCACCCACCGTTTGTTCCATGATCGTACAACCACCAGCTGTTGTGCTTGTCGCATTACGCCGATAAAGTTGTCTCAAGGGAAGCAGTAAAACAGCCCCTATCGAGTGCCACGTCCACCTACCTTACTCTCGACGGCAACATGCATCTGCAATATCAGACTCGGACACCATCATGCTGCCTCCAACGGGAGGTAAAATGAGTGGACGTGGTTGCTCAACCCCATACACGAGGGGAATATGTCTCGTTTCGCATCATTAAACCGCATGCTCGTGACATTCGTGGCTGGAATGAAATATGTGACATTTCAGCATGACTTTCTTTTGACAGTCTAGGTCTATGACACTTTACCTTACCATGCCGGCGCGTGAAGGGTAGATCATCTGCTTTGCCCGACTTTCGTTTGTTGATTTTCCGTTGAGACCGCTCATTGCCTTACAACAATGTTCGATGTATCTTGGACGGACCCCGCCAGGGAAACTGTGGGTCAGCGAAAGAGTCGTAAGGAGCAAGAGGCAACAAATGGAACGAGCCGCAACACCCCAGGCTTGTCTAGAGGGTCATCTTTTCGAAGTTCAAACTCATCGAGCTCAACCTTTGCGCATGGGAAGCCGTCGCTTTTGAATTTTTTTGGTTCTAGCAGGAAAGGAGCACCAAGCAGGGCGGGATACCGAACACCGACGCCGGCGCCGCTGGTGGAAGAGCCTCTCGACAATTCTCAAAGACATTCAAACTTCACCGTTGACTCGGACTCCTCTGGTCACGAGGTACCAGGAACAACTACCCGGATTCCCAAAAATGGGTTTTTCGGAAGAAGCCCGCCCTATTACTCAGAAGGAGAGCTTTCAGCTGCGTCAGAAGGTATTTTATTTGTCTATTTTGCTTGCTCAAGGACTGTAATTGACCTTGTCCTAGCTTCTGAATCAGTATTTTCTGGATGGACTGGCAAGTCAGTTGTGACAGAGGCAACCTCGGACTCGGGCCCAGAATCAACCACCAGCTCCGGGAAGGTTGTGCAGCCTCTGAGCGAAGACTCATTTGTCACTCAGAGCACTGAAAGGACAGTGTCCTCTCCAAAGAGCGTCAAGACAGCAGAGCAGACTGCAACTATAGTTCATATCTCATCCTCTGGAAAAGGACCTGTTCTCGTGAAAGGTTTATCTGACAAGGTGTAAGTGAACTAGTATTTCTCATGCAACACAAAATCTGACTATCTAGTTCCCCTCCATCCTCTGCATTCAGTTTTCCTCTCCCAGTCACAGCACCACCCAAGACTCCACCCAAAGACAATGTGAGGATCCAACAAGTAAATAAGCGAGCTGGATTCGCAGTCGCCAAACATTTCCAACCATCATACACATGGAAGCCACCGGAGACATGGGAATACGATGAGGAAACTTCCAAACCCGGTCAACGACGCTCGCCTACGCAACTTCGTCCAATCAGAGAACGACGCCACAAAACGCCCCCCTCCGAGATTGCACATTTGCAAAGAAGCATCAGACGGATGGAAGCCGCGAGTTCGAAGATCGTTCTTGAGCGTCTGAGGGAAGAATGGGTCGAGGTTGCAGATGCTTCCGTTTACAGAGAACTGGAGATAGAGAAGCAGCTTTGGATGTTGACTGCGTTGAGGACTTTGAAAAATAAGTCTAGTGCTGATGACATTGTCGTATCTGCTTCCTCGAGACCTACGAAGGTACTGTCGCTGTACGAGAATCATGGTAAGTTCTGTGGTCATCTATATACTTCTAAACGATCACTGACAATATGCCAGCATCATGTTCCTCCCTTTCAGCACTTACAACTGCTACATCAGTTCACCATCTGTCCACCAATCCGCTCTCACCAAAATCCTACCCCAACATCCATCCTCTTCTTGTCCCAGGCCCGACTTCCCAGCTACCCTACGCGTCCAACATCTTCTCGGAAATCCATGCCTTCTCCATCCCCTCTTTACTGCCAGCATCATCCATCCCCTCCATTGTAAAAGAATGTCACCGAACTCTCATCTCAGCGACTCATGTCCTTCCCCAGTCCGATACCTCACCGCAGTCCTTCTCTAAAAGCGCGTCAAGCACACTTGCAGGAACGAATCCGGTTGCTAGAGGAGGAACCTTACATCTCACAATTCTCGATCCCTCGCCACTCCCTGCAACACTCGGTCCGCGCTTGCGCGAGTGGCTGGACAACTATCTGATACTACATCTGGAGAAACACTTCCGATGTCTGAACCCCAGTCGACTCTTCCCAGTCTGGTTGTCTGATGCAGGGTTACGCTCAGAAGGCAGTACAATCGTCAATGTCCGATTCTTCGCTGCTGTTAATGTCCCAAAGCCGGGTCTAGCTTGCGCGAATGGCGGGATCACAACTGACGGGATGGAAGAGGTAGATAACACAAAGCAGGAGTTAAAGAGTATTGTGGGTAGGATGCTGTGGAAGGAGATGTGGGGTTCGTATGTGCAGGGCGATAAGTGGTGGTGGGAGGATGAGAGCATTCTGGAAGAGTGCGATAGGATGGGAACGGTGTGGGAATATGCTGTCATTGAAGCTGTGAAGGAGGGGTGAGATGAGTTGCATTTTTCTGGCTATACGTCTGTAGGGTATTCTGGGTCGGTTTTAGTGGAGGTTTGAAGTCAAAAGTGATGTTCCTGTGATGACATTGTGGTATGCCAGCAGTGTCTGCCAGTAGGATGGCTTCATTTGTAGGAATACCCACCAACGACACTTTACTCAAAAGCACTTATCCCGGTGATGAATGGGTGGAGGAATCTGACTTGTGACCTTCGCTACATTCTCATATTTTATCCTAATTCTTATTGACCTCCTCGTATTGCCATTTATGACTCCCTCACCTGTCGCTCAATTCTATAATACCACAAGCAGAGCACAGGCTCATTTCACATCTCCTCACCTTTACAAACACCACACGAAATACATGCAAAGGTCATTTAGTGCCCAGCTTCATCAACCAAAGGGCCAAAGCACTATCAAGCAAAAAATGACATCTCGTAAGGAGAATCAAGATGGGTCCATGCTACCACGAAGGACATGAGAGTAGGGTGGAGCAGCGGAGGAGGATACGATCGAGGCTGCAACCAAAAAGCAACTCACTTCACAGGACTTGAGGCCTACCGTCGATAAATCTCATCCTCACTCTTACCAGATTGGGCCGGCACTCAACCCTTCTAACTGCTGAGTATCGCTACCCCTCTCTAGCACCAGCACCCACCCAAGACCTCAAACCAACAGAGGACAGATCGTTCACCGCCAACATTTCCATGCTAAAGGCTGAGGCAGTTTCCGTATTTCTTTGTTGCAGATCGAGCGCCGAGCCTCTCTCCGTGCCATTATCGTGACAGCTGCAGCTATCCAGCTGGGTATCTCGAGGCACATACAGTAGTCAGTCAAGTAGAGTAGTTCGAGTTTGTCAAGTCCTGCCTGCTCCCCTGACAGTAGTCTCTGTTCAGTGTTTTCCCTCCCCTCGATCCCGCAGTCCCGCATTCCCTGAGCTTGTCCCGTACGGTACCGCATGATGGTGGTGATCGATGCCCCTCTTCGGGAAAGAGGATTGAAGATCAGATCCAAGGCGCGGACAAAGCAGAGCTGTATGGAGAAGAAGAAGAAGCAAGCAAACTTTTGTTGCATATCGTAAAATCGAGCACGACTCGATGTCTTTGCTGATTCTCTGGTGCTTTGGTGGTACTTTTGTGTGTTGAGGACGGAGGAACATGTGGAGATGTGGGATTGAGAAGGGATGTTTCTTTTGATGAGATGGGCCGATGTGGCTTGTTTCAGGGGTTGTCGGCCACTGCCGTGATGTTTTCTGAGGGCCTGAGTGAGCGAGGGTGAACGAGTCAGTCCCCAAAACCCCACATACAGCGACTCATGTACTCGGGATGTGGGGTCCCAAATGCGTGGTTTCTTCAATCTCGGGATTTGCAGAGTTGGGAAATCCGCTTCCAGTAACCTTGAGTCAATGTAAAAATGGGGAATTGATGGCCCTGAATCATGGGATCTATTTGGGTTTCCTGATTTTCTCTGAGTGCTTGTTGCTTTTACAGAGTATCCGGTGTGTTGCTCTAGTATGATAGGCCGCGCATCAACGACGGCACACTGGTTGCAAAACTACGTGACCTAGGATATCCCTTTCGGAGACGCCGACTTGAAAGAGGAATTATTGCGACGTGTCTACTGGCGCAGCATATGCGAGAGCTTGCCTTGCCGTTGGTATCAAATCGGAGCCTCAGATAGGGCTTCCAGTTAGACTTCGAGCTTCAGCTTGCTTGTGCTTTTGCGCTTTATGGCTGCTGCATGCAAATACTGTAGAGACGTCAGATATGCCCTTTCGAGGACCCTTGAAGAGCCTGGACTCCATTATTGACTCCAGGCCTAAACATTTCGGAGACAGTGTCCGGCACCGACAGCCAACCAGGAAATCTGGCTCCCCCAAAATGCACCAAGATGACGCCCCCAGAGAGCAAGTCTCAAAGTCTATTTCCCCTCCCAGGCTCCCACACGCGGTTTAGAGTTCCCATGTGCATCTTTCCAGCCCTTTTGAGTTTGATGATGCCCGAATAAACCACCGGGCACTGTCCAGGACTACTCCAGCGTGAGCACGGTGCAGGAGTTAGGGCACGGCAGGGCACGTTAGGGCAGGGCACTTAGAGCCCGTCGGCGCAGCGACCCAAGCAAAGTGACGGACGCATGGTGGAGGCTTGATCTGACAGATAGTTTCGAGCTTTTCGGCCTCCTCTCGTTTTTCGAGCGCTGTGGTTGGCGAGGCTGGTAAGGAGCACCACGCCATTTTGTAATGGCACCATTTCGATAATGTGACACGATTCAGTGTCTGAAATGCGACGTGCAACAAAGACGCTGCGGAATGTGACAGAGAGGGAGAGGAGAGTGCCCAGATGTGATACTTTCCAGGTCTGTGGAAGTTTGGGGGGGCAGAGGTTGGTAATTTACTTGATAGGATAGGAAGGATGGATGTGACAAGGGAGGCAGAGAGGCAGAGAGGGAGCTGGATGGGGCAAGCGAGGCGTGAGCTCAGAGCTGAGCTGTGCATCCTGTGCTGCTCCTGGGGAGGGGACCTGCTTGGCATCCGGCCTCAGGGGATGTCTCCGACTGGTTCTCTGGACGTCATTATTACAGTATTCTCCCAGAAACGCCTGCCCGGAGACCGCTGTACGGCCCTGACTCGAGCTCTTTCTGCATGTCTGATGTCTCTCGTCTCTCTCTCGATCGTCTTCGCATCTGCTGTCAGTGTGTCACTCACACGGTCACACCTCCCATCTGGGGGGAGGTGTTATCTTATCTCATCAACTCATTCATTATTGGACAGCAGCGCGATCTGGCTGGGTTTTCTTCTTTCCCCGGAAGCAGGAATGCGCATCCGAGCCTGCTTTTCTCTTCCCCTCCCCATCCCCATCCCCATCCCTCGGGAATTGGCTTTAGCGTGTTGGTCAGTGGTCATGAGGCTCGGCAGCACATGCAGCTCGTTAATTCCACTGTTAAATCCCTCTCCCAGACCAACAACACCCTCGCATAACACCCCTTTTGGAGCAAGCTTTCCGCGCACCATCTCACAACTGGCTAATGAAGAGGAGTGAAGCCACTTTGTTGCACGTCGCGATTTTCGTCGTCGAGTCGTGTACACACCTGGCATATTCTGATGGTGGGGTCGAAGTACTGGGTCTTTGATGTCGAGATGCTAGGCTGATCCACACTGCTGGGAACGTCTGATGAAGATGACTCGATGAAAAAAAGTGCTACTTGCAACAGAAGTCTGGATACTTGTGCGCGATCCCATTCTCTGGTTGGAGTGCTTTCTGCTAGTCTCAGGAAGCTCGTTTGAGGTTGATATTGGTCCGACTACTTTTCCCTCATCTTCAGCTTCCCGATTAGGAAACGAGCAACACCATTCCTGAGGTGTGTAAGTATCATGTGTCCTTGACCACAACTCGAGCAGGAACTTCTTTTAGTGACTGTGAGAGATATGCTTTCAAGTTTCTGCTCAGGAAGTCTGAACCAAGTCTTGCTTCCTTTTTCCAATCATCCTTTCGGAGCGGGCTATTCCTTCATGGCGACACCGTACAGTATGTCCACGGATTTAAGAAAAGGCAAAATGCCGCCCGCATTGTCAACACCATCCAAGACAGCACGGGAAGTGGAGAGAAACTTAATTTCCTGATCCTTCTAATTTCACGACATTTACATAGCCTGATACATATGTCGCCGATTCCTTTGCAGCAGCCCAGCCTTAACATTTCTGCTCTTAGAATCATAATGGTCACTCCGACCCGTGATGTTCACGAGACCTCCACGAGACCTCTCCTTCGACTTTCGTGACTTGGTACCTTGGCGAATCAGATATGCAACAAAAACCTCTGAGAGCTTCTGAAACAGGGACAGCCCGGGACAAGTCAGGAACACAGTTCTCGGGCTGCACGCCGCCTCGGCTTCTGGGGTGCGAAGTGCATCAAAATCCCAAGACAATGGATGGATGGGAATCGCTGTCGGGGGGTCGTGCTTCATGTTTAGGCTCGATTCGCGGATATCTTATTTTTGGTCTTGGGGGTTTTAGTTCTGGCTTGGGCTTGTTCGTGGGGTTTGGGTTTATTTGCTGCTTTCGTTTGGAGGGGAACTTCCTAATTCTTGGCGCTATCAAGTAACAGTCATCTCCCATAAAGAAGTCGAAATATGCCATCACTTCGCATCAATGAATTGATTGAGCGACCAAAGCCATTCGCATACCCATCAGATCACCAGTGCATTGTTGACATTCGGGACTTCCTCGGGCTCGGGGTAGGTACCCGATTCTTCGATCTTCGGCTAACGAGTCGCCTTTGCGCCGACAAGCCGACCCCTTTCGGATCAACAACTTACGAAACTTGCCGCATAGAGACATACGAATCTCGATTATAACACTGAAGCAGATATAGCAAAAGTCTGATTTGCGTCTTGCAACAAAAGGCTTTTGCTTTACAAAAGTACCAATCATAATTCAAGCACGCTGAAGCTTTTTTTTCTTTTTGTTTTTCCTCAGCCCCGTATGAGATCCACTGACAGTTGTCCCGGTGTGAAACTTTCTGCTTCAACGGCTGAGCTTCGGAAGAGGAATATCGTGAGTCGTGAATGCTACTTGACAATTTGTAAAAGCTTCGGCTTTTGTCTGGCAGGTGACAATTACTCTACACCGCACTTTCGTCCCATAATTTAAGGGTTTCGTGGTGAGTGGCCGAATCAAGGAGTCTCTTTTTTAATTCTCGTGTCATGGTTTTGGAAGTCGAAAATAGTTGAAACTATCTGTAGGGTTTTCGTGACATTTTTTACAACAGAAATGTACGTACGTTTAGCTTTCAATGTGGGACTGTACGAGGAGGGGCTGTTGAGCTGGAATTTACCATCATTAAGCACAGTAGAATTCTAGGAATAGGAGCAACCACGAAAGCTATGAATGCCGCTTTCATAGATCTTCAATGTGCTGTTTATAAAATTGATGCTAATTGAAACGATAAACACATAAGCACGCTGAGATTCTGGGTACGGCGGCATCTACAAACGGTCGTCTTGGCTGCCTAATCTGGAGGATCAACTCAGCTGCCCAGCACATCACTTCTTACTTCATAAGATCCTCCGCTCAAAGTTAAAAATCTACGATGTGCAACAGAAGGAATATACTGAAGCTTTACGTACACATCTTGTACGTAAGTCTGTCATTTGCGGGTTACTTGTGGATATCTTGTGGTAGGTGGGTGGGACTTGAGACGAACAGCATTCCCAGTGACGACAATTCAATGCAAAGTGGAAGGGTCGTCAGGATGGCGAGGAAGTCAATTGTGCGATATGCAACAGACTGCCATATCTGTAATTTTGAAACTTAGCCTGACGGTCTTGCTTCCAGTTCTGGCTCCAGAAAGTCGGCGATATCAAACTCTAGCTCGTAGTTTGGTTGTTTCCAGGCTCGCGGAGATGAGTCCGCACCTTGGCGCAGTTTTGAGCCCTATTTTCATCAAATAATGATCATAAGATTCGCGATAATCTTTCTTCTCCAAGAAGTCTGACCGTAACTCACGGCGAATAGATTCTCCCATTCGGTGCCGACTTCCAAAGTGCAAAGCATGTTGTCTAAGTAGAACTATATTCGGAAGGGAAAGTCGCTGATCACTGGACTGACAAATCGATCACTAAGGGCCTCAAACCGTAAGCGAAAGTCAATATGTTTACCGTGACGCAAGGCGCCAAACATAACATTCATCATCGCCGATTGCGATAAATAAGTCTGAAAGATTAGACTTTCATTCTGCGATTTGCAACAAAGGTCTCTTTGAGACTTTTGCTGTCGGCGATACACCAGCGTAAGTTCTCAAGAAGAAACGTTACGCTCGCGGGGACAACTTCGGATGTGATCACACGACATGAAGCTGAGAGTCGGACGTGGATATAAAGTTCCCGAGGATTAAGCCACAGCCACCGTTGCACCGCCCGCCACATGGTACCTGGCATTATCGCTGTGCTGCTCAGACTTGGCTGTGCACATTAGCTATCCGATCTCCATGTTCTGAGTCAGTGCATAAGGGAAACGTGTTTAATTCGGCATTACTTTTTCTGGAAGGAAGTTTATTCATTCGGCGTTTGACCGAGAGCCAAGGAAGGGACGGTGATTAGTGGGTCGGGTGGTTTGAGGGTTGTTTTCTGTGGTCCCCAAAGCTTCTTTTCTGAGATGGGACGAGGGGGAAAGGAAATGACTTTGAAGCCTCATGATCTTTTCCTCGAGCGAAGGTCTAGAAAGGTGCAGTGACTGGGAGAAAAACAATTCGATTAAGTGTGATTTTTCATGTATTCCACGATCGAATATTCTGTCATTTGACAAGGACGATGCCCGGGAGCAAGCAAACAAAAGGAATTTCAGCGTTACCCACAGATCACAATCCAATATTGCAAAGTTCATTCGCAGTATAACTAACGCATCAGAACCTCCTCATTCGTCCATTAACGAAAGAGGTTTAAAATACGAAATGCAACAAAACGGCGTACAACTACCTGAATGATCCCTTTACGAGGGACACAGTGCAGAAGCCAGCAACAAGCCAGGGTTGGGGCAAAGTCAAAAATTTGCGAAATGCAACAAGACTTACTGATACTGATGGATACACTCGTATAAAGCTCTCAAACTTCTGCCGCAGTCGCGAAGTGGATACTAATGGGCTTGAAACTAGGCGTTGAAAGAACCCATAGTTACGGCCGTTAGTGCGGATGCATTATCTATCCGAGGGCTGTTCCCTTATTGAAACAGAACGTGGAGAAAGTCATCTTGTCAGAAAAGGCATATTTTTTTTCCCACCCACTAGTCCAGAGACTTCTGTTCATATTCATTCCTCGTAGTACTCTCGCAAAACCGGTTGTCTAATGTTGAATTTTCTATTTTATCATAAAGAAGAAAGAGTCAATTCTCACAGCTGCAAGTCACTACAAAGACACTGTCAAGCACACTCCATTTCAATGTCAGTGTTATCCACTACAGAGGAGCTCGAACCTTTAAACGTACGACCTGTAATCCACTTTGAGAAAGCTTGTTATCCAGTATGAATCCACTGGGCCGGCAGGATCATTTCCCGGCGGGCAAACATGTCGTCTTGAAGCTTGGAATATATAAAGTTTCTTTCAGCGATGTGCAACAGAATACATTGCAGCCTTGTATTCTTTTGTCCGTTTTCCCCTTTGGATGGAATGGTTTTTAGAGTTCTCTTCTTCGATGTGCAACAAAATCTGTGTTTGTACGGATTGCTCGCGCGACCCTCGCGTTCCGCAACGTGGAGGCTCTTTTCTTGAGATTGGGAACTAGCGCTCTGTACATTTACTTCTACGATTGGCAATCATTTTCAAAGAGCCCGTGTTATTCTAAGTCCGGCTTCTGACATGCAATAATGGTCACTGTCTTGCGACTGCTCCAGGTGATTTCCTCCAGGAAATGTCAAGTAAGTTCCGGATGACATTCAACTGGACTGGAAGGTTTTTCTGCCACCATTTATCCTTTCACATACCCATGTGTAGATGGTTGGAAAGATGGAAGGAATGTCAATGTGGGTGCTTGATACTGACAAGTAACGCGACCTGTCAACGAGAAACCCGTCCCACCCTACGTGAATGTCTACCGCCACAACCTCCATCTTGGCGGAGAAAGAGAAACGCCCTAACCCAAAACTATTCACCGACCGAAGTGAACCCTATTCTTCGACATGCAACAAAAAGCTCTTTGGTCTCTCTCCCTCTCCCTCTCTTTCTGTCTCCGAGGGATTTGAACGGGATTTGAGTGGCATACCCTTGTTCGCGGTGTTGTAGCCGCTCGGCAAAATTAGGTCAGACAAGAAAGTGTAAGATATCGAGTCTCACGGGCCGACCCACCCACCGAATCGTGTGATTCGCAGTCCGGATTCTCGGGACCATCCTCGAGTCAGGTCGTCGTTCAGCTGTGCAGGGAATGTGTCAGGGCAATTCAGTGTCAGTGTCAGTCTCAGAGCAAGTTGACACTGCCGACATGTAGCCGGGCTTCTGGAAAAGGGAACACGTCAAGCGAGTCAGAGAATGGAATGAATGGAGTGGGGTTGAGTGGAGTTAGGGTCCAGTATGACTTGCATAATTGTATATCTTGTTGATGGATGGGTAAACTTGAGGACTTTGCGTCGAGTCAGGGTTTTGGTTGGTCAGTCGTACGAGTAAGGCAGGGAGGAAAAGACACGATGCGTTTCTGAGTTCCTGTCCGTCCGGTATTTGGGTTTTGGAAATGTCAGTGCCAGTTGCTGATCGACCATCTTGAAGCTTGTTGACACGATCGCTCTGAAGAGTATCCATTCCTACGATTGGGAGTCTGTTGTACCTGGCTCCCTTGCCTGACTCGAGTGGCAAGACACGGACAGAGTCAAGCGCATCCTCTTTACAACACGTTCGGTCCCCACACTGTCTCCTTTCGAAAACAAATAGACCCTAGGAGGGAAATCGGCTACGGTTAAATAATGAGTATTTGATAAACCAGATCAGATCTTGGTGGGAAACAGCCAGACTGAGCGGCAGCATCCAAAGCCCTTCACAAATACTAAGACAACTGCACGATGCCAAACATACCTGTAGGTAATTAAGCTCGTTTATGGGCTGGATGTTGTGCAGAACTCACGATGCAGTCTCATTTCCTAAGGAGTCTGAGTCAGGAGCAAATATTATGTTGATATCTGACTCGGAGTATTAAATGCGACTTGAATCAAAAGCCTCAAATGCAAAATAGAGTAAGAAAATGTCTTACCTCAAGCGTAGTCAGAATCTCGATATATTAGAAGACTTGGAAGTGGGCCGCCAAAAGGAGATTGCTGCTTGGGCTTGCGCTAGCTTGTGGAGGCGGTTGCTGTTGTTGAAGTGCCTGACATTACTCAGGATGGCGAATTGCGATATGCAACAATGGATTGGAGAGTTCTATGAGCTGTGAATGTGGATGTTTGGATGCCAAATTGTGTTTGAGACTTACGCGTCCCAGACCTCGCGATATGCATCAGAACTTGCTGAACCAAGGTGAAGCTCCACATGTATTGAGGATCATGAATCGACAAAAATTTGCGATATGCAACAGACAGCAGACATCATGAGTAGATCCCAAGTCCTATCTCCTTTGCATGTGACCCTACATCCACACTAAGAGTTATTCTTTGCGACACAAGTGGACCATGAGTTAGTATTTCGACCATGAAATACCGGTTCTTCAAGCGAGAAAAACACAAAATAAGAGAGAGCCAGCGACTGATAGACAAAAGGTCATGAATCCGATCATTATTACTATCATGAGCAACGCACTCCCCATTCCCCATATCAACCACAACGCCCGCCAATGCACCTAGGTATCACTCGTAACACATAAACCAGATCTCGCGGGTCTCAATAATCATAGCCGCCCTGTGCAGATACACCCTGCTGAGCATATCCTCTCTGCTGCATAGGGATTTGACCAAGGTGCTGTGGAGGTGGTCTCATCTGGCCGACCAGATCGTTAAACCAAGGGTGTTGCAAGGCATCATGAGCACTTATCCTTAGCTCCGGTCTTAACTGGAGCATTCTCTGCAGGAGATCAATGCCAACGGTGTCGATTTGCGGGAGGATAACTCGCAGGTCTTGTGTGGCATACATCTGGAAGTTTTGCTTGTACTCGGAGTATTGAGAAATTCCAGGCCAGGAGCGTTCTGAAGGAGTTCCCATGATTCGAAAGATACGAACAAGTTGGTCTTCGTTGGTTGTGCCAGGAAAGAGAGGCCGGCCGGTGTACATCTCTGCCATAATGCAACCCGCAGACCAAATATCGATGCTGGTGTTGTATGTTCGGCTACCCAGAAGAACGTCAGGAGCACGATACCAGAGGGTCACGACTTCATTAGAGAAGGTATTGACTGGTATTCCAAAAGCCCTTGCAAGACCAAAATCGGCCAACTTCAATTGACCCTTCACATTGATGAGCAGGTTTTGGGGCTTCAAATCTCGATGAAGGACTCGATTCGTGTGGCAGAAGTCGATTCCAAGAAGGAGTTGGTGCATGAACGACTTGATTGTGACTGGTGGCAATGCTCCTCGATCCCCTTGTGTGTCCATATACTTCTTCAGATCCTTGTCCATATATTCGAAAACCAACATGAGCTTATTTTCGGTATGGATGACATCGTGAAGGCTGACAATATTTTCATGTTTCAGCTCCTTCATCAATGATATCTCACGGATCGCCGTAGATGGTGTGCCTTCTTCCGAGTCCAGGTGGATTTCCTTCAATGCAACTAACTCGCCGGTCTGGCGATTCCGGCCCTTGAACACCTGCACATGGTCAGCATGGACTCCATACAAGCCGTGACACACAAGAGCATGTAGGAGAGTCATCCAGTTCTATTATCTCCACCACGAGGATTACAGCGAGAGGCTAACAGCATAGAGAAGACAGCATCTCTAGTACTCACAGTGGCATATGTCCCCTCGCCCAGCTTCTCCAGCTGCTGGAACGAACTGGGATGTCTCTTATCCATCTCTGCAGGTTCTTCCTCGCTGTTAAGATTTTGTATGCTGATGGTACTCGGTACTGAGAACGGGAGTTTCTGGGCGGTTGGAGAGGGAGGAAATGTACGGAATGGTGGGAGCGGCGAGGGAGGGAGCCTTGAGGTGTATCTCGGGTCGAAGAGAAGGGAGGATGGAGTGCAAAGCTGATTAAGGATAGCTAGCGTATCCTTTGGCCCAAGTGAAGCCGTGGTGAAGAAGTTGTATTGAGATGGTATGCTTCCCTTCTTGCAGGAGAAGAGAAGTGATGCCGAGGGGGATCTTCTGAGATATTGCCCGTTCTATTGATGGCGTGGGGCAAGATGGGATGCAGAGGCTCCGGATTGGGCAAGGTAAGCGCTTCAACTGAAGGGTGAGCGTCTAAAGTAGATTACCGCGTGTTGGCCTGAATCCAGGGCATTAGCCTGAATTACCATGTGTAACCTAAGGCATGTGCCGCTCATGCCACTCATGCCACTCATGCCAAGAGCGGGACGGAGCTGCTTATCGCCGCACACGGGACCTGGCCTGGAACTCCACTGGCGCGGGGTACGAGTGACCAGAAGGCTGACAACAATCGCGGCTTAATGAATCTTAGAAGAGACAACTTCAACTTTCAAACTTCTGTCCGATGTCTCGGAAAGTACTTTGAGATGATATGATCCTACTGCACTTCTTACTGGTGTGATCATAAAACAGTACTCCATCATGCGCCCTTTACCAGGCGACGACTCCTACTCAGGGCGGTCTCGAAGTACCAGCTTCGATAACGACCCGACTCCACTGGCAACCCGCAGTCAAGCTCCGCAGATGTCCTATTTCATAGCAGACGAGAAGACTATGGAAGCTTCAACATCTCGGTTGCCGAGTACTCCCCCAAAACAGCGAGATCTTTCCAAAAGCGGGTCGTACGGCGTTGAGAGTCTTGAAACCACGATAAGCTCTCTAGTTCAAGATAGCGACGATGCGGACGATAAGCTGCGGAATGCAAGGCACAACTGGAAGAAGCATCTAGGACAACGCATGTCAAGAAAATCAGAAGAGGATTTGTCTCAGCCAACATCGCCGTCTACTAGATCCTCAGGCGAAGCTAGCCGGAATGCCTCCCCATCCTTTCAACGCAGCTCATCCCAAGCTACAATCTCGAGGCCTTCCACTCCACTTTCATATGGCTCACCAGCCCCTCGGTCTTTCATGAGCAGCCCCGACTCTCGTCGAAACTCCGACGCTGGTTCGTTGATGGACGAAGTTGCTAGTCAAGCAATCATATCGAGTGGCGATGAGGAGAAAGACATGGGCAGAGAGATGATTGATAGTGGAAGTGCTCCGCAATTGGTCATGCCGAGTATCAAGATGCCTAGTAGGCGACCATTCACAGAAAGAGGAAAGAACATGGGCAGATTGAAGGTTTTGATTGCTGGTGATTCAGGTTAGCTGCACTCTCAATCTCGCACTCAACGTGGCTGACAATCGCAGGTGTTGGTAAGACGTCTCTCATCAAAGCAATCGTTCAAGTTTGCGAGGACATTGTTCACGTCGACCCTTTATCTGCTACTCCTATAACCATACCAGCGACCAGACGGAAGAGTTTGCGAACGAAGTCCAGAAATGGGAGTGCGGATCTTCAAACCACATCACAGATCACAGAGATATATGCAAGCACACGATCCTACCCATCTTGGTGGTCTGACCTGGAGGAGAGCCGCGTATTGCGGAGAAGGAAGAGCATGGGTGATTCGGTTCTGGAAAGAAACCTTTGCTTCGTTGATACCCCTGGTTATGGCAACCAGACATCAGTAAGTAATGCTGTTTTGTCATCAATTTTGACGCTAACATTTGCAGTGCTTGGAATGCATAACCCCGGTAATCGACTACATCGAATCTCAATTTAAGAAAGTGTCGAGTTTTGAGGGCATGAGCGAGCCAGAAATGGTGAACTTGTTGAGTGGCAATGGCGGATCACAGGTTGATGTTGTCCTATACGTGGTATCTAATAGTACGTGTGTCACCAACAATTTTCAGGCATTCAGCTAACACTCCCACAGAAATAAAGCCAGTTGATATCGAGTATTTGCGCCGACTGTCAGCCCTCACAAATGTTATTCCACTCGTTGCACGAGCTGATGCGTTCTCTCCGGAAGAGATATCATCACTGAAGGAAAACATCATGAGCGAATTGGAGACGGCAGATATTAAGCCTTTTCTGTTTGGCCTCACTCCAGAAGCTGCCCAGCATACGTCTCAGCCATCACCCCCATACGCGGTATCGACCACTCCTTCCAAAGACCACGACACTATGGATGCCAGTCTCCTCATGTCTCCGGACTATATTCAACCTCTTATTCCCTCTGAATTACATACACTTGTCGCCCAAGTCTTTGACCCGGACTCAGTGTCATGGCTTCGACACTCTGCTGCGAAGAAATTCATCACTTGGCATTCTTCCTCTACTCCAGTGTCCAGGCCCCAAGCACTTTACAAACCTCTCACATCGTCGATTTCGGGCTCCCAAAGCTTGACTGCTCCTGTCGGAGCTACAACCTCTTACGCGTTAGCCCGGATCACAGATCATACTCAACGCGAAGAGCGGATTGCCCAAGTAAGGCTTGCCAACTGGGCTGCGGATCTTCAGCGAAGTTTGCAAAACGAGCGCGCCAGATTTGAGGCACTAGCTAGAAGTGAGCGTGCCGTATGGTTGACCGAAAGACTCGGAGAATGTGTCTCTGATGGCACAATCGTTCCGATCTCACAAGCCAGGAAGAATGACCCAGACTACGATGCCACTTCGGGAGCCCTTGTGAAGCAGGGAACATATTCCAGAAGACGAGTACAGCGAGATGCTCGAGGCGGTGTAGATATACATGATCCCCTGGGCCTACTTATGCTGAACGAGGAGCTCAAGCGGAAAGGTTGGTTTGTCTTCAAGGTTGTCAGCAGCTTCGGAATTCTCGGTGGACTTGCATATTGGGTTACTCGCACCATTCAAGGTGCCGAGACCCACACTTCAATGTTCGGCCTCGGTGGGATGAGTATCCGAGACTGGGTCGAGCTCGGAGCAGTAGATTGGCGATGAGAGTGTGAAAGTAGGCGCATGCGGGTAGAACGGTGACTTTTGGGCGTTGCATTGACTGTTTGTTATGGGTCCCTCCCCCCTTTTCTAGCCTTCTTTGGCTATGGCTGCCTACAGGCTTGGATGCTTTCGATGCGAGATGAGATCAGATGATTTGTTGCATAGGGGCTAGGTGTCTGGTTGAGCATACAGAGAGCTTGGAGTATTCCCCTCTTTTTCTAAGTTTCCACATTAGCGATATTCACAACTCTGGAGATAGGCTAGCAATGAGATACCTACAAATACACTACTTTGAAAACAGAGCTATGTTGAGCTGTTTTTTCTCTGTACTCTAATGTGCTATATCTGACCTAAGTCAAAAATATTGTCAATGATAGTTGAGGCGCCATTCTATCCGAATCAATGCGACCAGGAAATCTCTGTATTCTTCAAGGAACCAGGGGGCAATGTTCCAGAAGCAGTGTGGGGCATTTACGCGAGTTTTAGTGACAGAAGTAAACAAATCTTGGAAATGGTGAGCTTGGCAGCAGCTCCTAGGTTATCCAGAAAACGAGAGCTTGTGCATTGCTCTGACTGAAGCTTAACATGATTTGTTATCCAAAGAAATTAATGTTTATTTCTTCCCCGATTGGCTCTTAGGTCACTTGATGAAGTCTGGAGGGAGTGCCAGCACAATGTGAATTGAAGCGTAGGGCTTCTGTGTGATAAGTATTCTGTTCATTGACCTCTTGCTATCGTACAGCACAGTAAGAAGGGTGTAGAGTGCCAGGTAAGGAAAACTATCCCTATCACTAAGAATGAGCAGATTCATACTCATCAGACGTATAACACTCCCGTCGCAACTCGCAAGCCACAGCATATCAAGACTCTCCTCAGAACTTTTACTTCCTTTCCTTTCGAACTGCCCGCAACATTTTGAGCTCCTAGCTCCATATAGATTCCTGCAATAATTCAAGGCTTGTTTTGAGTTATGACCACTATTGTGGCATTTCGGCCATGTTGAAAACTGTCCGAGGTATCTATAATTCCCCTTTCGCTCCTAATTCTAATTTCGCGGCCTTTTCACTGAAGGTGAGAAGGATGGAACAGAGGGATTGATATTTCCATCTAAAAGGTTTCTTTGCAAGTTTTGGTGCTGCTGGAACAGGGACATTCCTTGCGTTGGTGTTCTTGGTGGTGGTGGATGCGATGCAGGTGTAGCATGGAACTGGAAGCTTGGATCACCTCCATTACCGAGTTGCAGTGGTATCTGTTGTTGCTGAGCAACGAGCTGTGGTTGGAAGCTCATATGAAGAGGGGCATTGGTATTTGTATGGGCCGCGGTATTTGGGTGTCCCATAGCAGTGAAATTGTGGTTAGGATCTCTCGGTCTTGCATTGGGCATCTGAGACGGAGCGGGAGCAGCAGGACCGGCTTTCATCCCTTGATTGAATCTGGCCGGTAGACTTGCTGCTGCAATGCGATCTAACGGATGAGACTGGTCCTTGATATCTCTCGGATTATTTTTCCATGTCGGATCGAATATTATCTCTTCAGGGTCATGAGGAAGACCTCTCTCTTTCCGCTCCAAGGCGAATTGATAAGTCTGTGGCATTCCTCGCAGCTTTGAAGTCTCTCCATTCCCCATATGTCGAAAATCAAGACTAGTCCTGACGGGAGGTTTGCCAATCCGTCTGAAGACCAGAAAATGGAAATCTTTCACATGGTCCCGCTCCTGGAGTGAATTGTTTTGGCAACCGTCATAGTTATGAGCCAGCGTGTTGCACACCGGACAACCAGGAAGGAAACCATGAGAGTCTAGATTTTTTGTACAGTCTGCCAGGGTATGTCCACCTTCCTTACAGTTGCCACAAGTCCACGGAGAGCAGGCATCTTTCGAGCTTCCGAGCTTCAGCTTATGTCCTGCTCCATATTGAGAGGCATTTTGCTGATCTTGTGTAGTCAGGGCCCTGTGACTTGGGTTCGAAGAAGAGACTGCGTCTCCAGGCTGCGAGGAATGATACTCGCTACCATGTATAGAAAGACCAGGCTGTGGGTCGATGCCAGGAAAGATGTCCTCAGGCCCTAGAGAGGATTAGCAAATGCATGGAAAGATCAGGTTGACCGTGTGGTGTTCGGTCGAGACCGTGATCTGCGATAACCCCTGGCTGATGAAAGCTTGAACAGCAGGATTGAAGCTTGAGGGCATCTGCGAGTTGTGAATACTTACAGAAGTATGACCAAGTCTGGTTCTCTGCTCTGTATTGCTGCGTCTCTGGGGTCATCTGTGGTACAGTGCTCGCTCCATTCTGTATCAACATAAGACGCTCTTTGTAATAGATGCGCAGATTCCAATAAACGACTCCTTCATGCTCCGCTCTCGCCTTCATCAAGGGGAATATTGAGACATACGGCATTGTGGCTTATAAATATTGGTGCGTCTACTCCGAATTTGGTGAATGCCGATAAAGAGAGCTGAGCGGAAATATGCGACTAATTCATGAGCAAAAGTCTGAGAAGATGGAAGAGTTGATGGGACAGAAGAAGTTAGAGCAGTAGAAGAAGGGGGATGGGAAGGAAGGAAAGAGCGCTGGACCTCGTGTCACGTGGGCGGAGCTTGTTGACATTGGTGAGCCGGCAAGGAAGTCAACATTTACGACGCCGAAATTTCCTCGAAGGAGAGGAAAGAAAACAGAGTGCTGAGCACAATATTTGTTTTTGATACCAGCAGCTGTCTGTTTGAAAGTTCTGTAAGATCTCCTCCAATTGTCTTATGGCTACCAGGCTCATCTTCAAAATGCTGACATGACTTCAAATCAATTCTTCCTTGCAAAATATCCCTCTACTTAACGCAAACTTTCTCATATTCTTGGGTGCTCCACAAGCCAGAATTTCATTTCCCACGGGTACATGGCTCGTCAGGCCAATATCTTCCAGGATTCCAAACAAAGCTATTAGTTGAGACTCGGCAGACTTTCAGACTGGTGAACAACATAGCGACTTCTCGGAAGGCAGAAGGTGCTGCAGCGTGAATAGTCCGGTCACAGAGCCCACATATACCGCATGCTTGCAATTTGCGCATTCTCGTTCGGAAGGTGCAACCGAAGATAACTTCCCGTACAACACCTGTGGGATAGTGAATGGACTAGGCATCAACGGGGAAAAGTAATTCAAGATGGATATGAATGTAACAGATTGTCTTTTTGTTGGCATTGTGTATTTCAAAAAATTGTGTGTAAGCCAGGGCACTCCAAACCCGTGCAGACAGAGTCGAGGTAGTGTTCCTTTTTTTTTTTTTTTTTTTTTTTTTTTAGCTTTTTGGGCTTCCTTGAGGCAGCATATTTGCTGTACATGAGGACATTGCACTACTTGAGGACACTACACTCCAAGCTGTCGGAAAACCATAAGGGAGGAGTATTGTTCGTGAATGTTGAGTTTCGAGGATATACTTCTGGGCAAGGTGATTGCCCTGTCCTGAGCCGATACATCAGTCGCGAATAGGGTATTTAGCGAGGGCCATTTCCAGATCTCATGCATGATTCTCTGCATGCAACACTGTATTTCGAAGGCCGATATTGCACCCTCAGAGCGCTGCAAATTGCCTGCGAGGTACGGTAGCCATTGAAAACAGTCATGACATCAGTCACATCTTCAATCCCTCCTGGCGCCTCGCCGTCGTCTGCGACATGTACCCGTGTTATAGCTTTCTGTATGCGGAACATTGTGGTGAAAATTCGTTGCATTTATATTCAAGTGCTGGCATTGTTGATTTTGCTGTTGTGGTCGGCGGGGTGGGGAAACTAATAGAAACATTCTCAAGTCCACGACATTTAATGAGCAGCATCGTTCCTTCCTCGCCAATTTCCTGGTCATAAAAATACAAAAAGATGACTTGTTATAATCAGAGAGTTTGACACGAAGATGATCTAGTTGTTCTTATCATGTGTTGCATTTGGAAAAAGCATTTCACTGTCCAGAGTTGGACTTTCCGAAAGTTTCGAAAGTCCGTTGGAGCAAATCATCGCAAAGCACCAAGTGAGAAGATCTCGTCAATTTTTCTGTACAGTTTTTGACTAGGTATAATTTAGTCTACATGCTTGAAGATACCATAATTGCAAGTGAATGAATGTCTGAATTCAATTTCCAGTGTAGCGCGTGACTTGGGACCATTCTCTTCGCATTTCAGAGCAGATTATCTACTCAAATAAGAAGAAAGCTGCCATCCCCTGTCGTTTACGGCGCGCGGGTTGTATCGTCGGGACGCCGCGATGCGCTTGTGGGTATCAAGGATTCATGTAGTTACAGTAGGCTCATCAAAACAAATCAAAAAATCAAAAAACAAAACAAACGTGGGTTGAGCTATCAAAAGTCTCCGTAGTTTACTACGGTGCATAGCAACGGCTACTGGCTATTCCTTTCAAGGTCTGTGTACATAGCCTTCGGTCTATGGGAGCACTGGGGGCGGTCTTTCGAGATCGTCGCTGGGTTTTTGTCACTCGGCAGTCTTTTGAGGTCGCTGTAGGGCTCTTTGATACTCGCACGGCGCAGGTCTTCTCTGTTTGTGTCATTTACTTTTAATCCTGAATCTCGTTTCTTTCATCTAAAGCCAATAATAAGCGACGACACCGAGAAGTGCCAATTCTTGCCACATCTCGTTTTCAGTTATAGATCAAGGAAAGGGCTAGGTACTAGAAGCTACATACTTCGATAAGCTTTTGGATTCTGGTTGTAGGGGAAAAGGAGACTTTCTGACTCCGACTTTCTGGAAGACGGATGCTACTTTAGACTGGATGGCGCGGCAAGCGGGGTCAATCCATTTAAGCGAGCGGGTATGGGCGAATGTCAATAAACACCACAGAATCAAGAGGTCGCGTTATTCTTGATGGATATTGCACTGGTACACAGCCATAAAAAAATAAAAACCGAAGCACCTCCGCAAGAATGTTTGATCCCTACTTTAAAATATGTTACTATGAAAATAAACTTTTCACAGGGTATAATTCTCTACAGAAGTCACTGAAAGAGGCTAGCTCAACGAGTCAAAAGAGTCCGAGGTGCCGCATCATATTTGAAAGCCTTCTTCACTCTTCACTCTTGCTTTCTATCTTCCTCAAATTGCAACATTCCAACTGCTCATGTGCGAGTTTTAAGGCAAGTTTATAGATGTTGTCCGCGGCGAGCGTTCTTGTGCTGACCAGCTTGTATCAATCTCGTCTAGCTGCTGTGCATTGCGATTGCAGTCAACTTCATTTGCATATATTGAAATTCTTTAGATCAAGAAGCATTCTAGAGTGTGCTTTCTATCAATCACTTGGCGCTGTCGGGTGAATTCAACAAAGCTGCGCAACATGGTATCCGCGCTAGTGTCCTCCGCTTCCTACCATCGAAGATAAAATCCTTCCTACAACAAGTCTCAGTCCAGTTCTCGATTCCATATCTGCATATATCGTGCTTTCATCGACATCCAACATGCCTCCACTGAGAGTGTATCGATCAATCAAGGATCAGTTCTACGTCGCCGCGGTCAACCGTCCAGTTCCCATCCCAGAAGAGCGCGTGACCCGGATCTATGAAGAAGTTCACGCGGAGGTTTGGCAAGAGTATCCAGACGAAGATTCTGAGCTTCAATGCTATTTGAGTGAGTACTACGCTTGGGTCGGGCTTTGTGAGTTCAACCATGCAACATGCTGCTCTTCCCCCTTCCGTCACATTTTGGCGCCACGCCATGAATCCCATGCCGGACATTTTATACAGAATGCTAACAGTCCATAGTCCAGAGATACTCCGAATACCCGGGTGGTAATTCTTTTCACTCACTTTGGGGGGGGGGCGAGAGAGTCAATCGCCACGTCGACGAGTTAACGTTTGACAAGGAACGAGAGGATAGCGTCAAGGAGATCTGCGACCTGCAGTTTAAGAATGAGGAGATGGGAGAAACTGTGGAAGAACTTGAGAGCGAGGTCGCGCATTTGAAGGACGAAATCGAGATTCTCACAACCCAACTCGTCGAGAAGAAGCTGGAGGACCGATTGAGCAACGATCTCGAGATGAATATTCTCGCCCTCAAGCAGGAGCTCAGAGATGCTATAACCCGCAAGTTCGATTACATTCTAGCCACTCGCACTATGAGCAGTACCATCAACGATCTGAACAAAAGTCTTGAGAAATTCAATTCTGCGAACCAACACCTTAAAGCGAAAACTTGATGCGAAATCCAAGCAAAAAGTCGACACTGACGTTGAAGGCTGTCAAACACAAGTCTTCGTGGAGTCTTCTGCAGCTACTGAGGATCCTGTGAAGCTACGGACAGCGATTCGAAGAATACCTCGTCAAAGCAAAGCCGAAAAGATCGTACCATAGCTAGGTTGAAAGAGAAACCCAAGAAGACGAAGCGTACGCTGTCCGATAGAGATGACAAGGTTCAGAGTTTGGAAGCAGAGGTGACATAGATGAAGAGAGTTATCAACCACGATGCGCTGATGAAGCGAAGCAACACCGATGATTGTATGGAAGTCAAGACCGGTGACTCTGGAGCTGCTGAAGAGTTAAAGAACCCAAAGAAGCGGCAAAGAGTGGAATGAATGCTGTAGAACATTTGGCATATGCTTGTGGTATACTTGAGTTACTATGAACAGACTCCGCGAGTATTGGCAGATGGATACTTGGTGTGGTGAAAGCCTTTCTAGTCAATGTATAGTACGACACAGCAGACCCATCACAAGGTCTGTAGCAATGGAAGGATGTTATATGCCTGCAGTCTTTTCCCTAGTGAACAACAACTGTTCAATGTCTTCTGTTGAATCTCCCACTTATCAGACTCAATTTCCGCGTTTTGTTTATCTGACATTTAAAACAGCAACACTCAGTTCTTACAGTGACATCAGGACTCAATATCCTACTTGAGATCCAGGACCATAGCACTAACTCCCTTCAGCCTTTTACACTCAGGTATGTACATGCTCACCAGTAGACTCACCCAGTCGATCTATTCTTTCTCAGCAGGCCACATAAACCACGAAATAACGACAATACCCTTCAACCCCGCAGCAATCCACAAAACACCCGCGGTCCCAATCGCACTGTGAGCCAACCATCCTCCCATCACCGCACCACAAAGCAAGAAAACCGGTGCACCAACCCTGCGATTTCTCTCCACATTACGCGCAGAGAACAACTCAGCATCAGAGAACAAGTCGCAATAGATACTCGTCAACACCACACTCGTCAGCGCATTGAACTTCAGAGCTCGACTCGTGACAGCTTGTCCACAGCTCTGGAACGCGACAAGAGCAATAGGAACCAAGACATTCCAGGTAATGTCGTCTTTCTCAGTTGCAGACTGGGGACCCCATGTTAGGATGGAGGCTGCGCCAATGATGAGCGACATTTGAATCATGAACGAGGCGCACAGCACCCATCTTCGGCTGGGGGAGAAGAAGCGGTGGAAACGGCTGAAGCAGAAAGAACCGATGCAGAATGAGATGAGAGAGATACCGGATTTGATCCAGCGTTGAGATTCTCTGGGTGCTGCGAGTCCGATGCCGATGTAGACAGTGTTTCCTGGGGAAGATGTTTAGCAATTGCTCTTTCAGGGCCTGAGTGGCACCTCGAACTCACCTGTTTGCATGGAAACAAAAGAACCCCATGTGGATATTGATGCACTGTCAAGCAGACCAGTGATGATGTAACACAGGAGAAGAACGACGTCTGCCCAGTCTCTACTGACATTCACATTCAATTTCGACCGCCAATTGCCTTTGGATGTGCCATTGCCGAGCAGTGGTTGTTCCTCATCGCTTCCACGCTGGCTATGTCTATTGCCATTGCCCGTCGGATTCACAGCACCATAGCCATTCGAGGGAGCGGCCATGACGATGAGTCGTGACAGCTACCGTGATGACGGTTGATGAGAAAACGTTGGGTTGATGACTGGATGCGGGGTAATGATTTGCTACGATGAATGCACCACAAACAAATCCTTCTGGCTCAGGACATCAAATCTGCAGGACTTCCAAAATCACCAAATATGTATTGAAAAGGGGCCTGGGACCTTAATCCCTAGTTCCGATAGCTTTCATGTCACGGGGACCGAGGTACAGAAAAGAAATGATTTAAAGTGGGCGACGATCATATACCTCCAAGTCGGTTCCGACGGCGCTGCTGTGTCATCAGCATACCGTAGCCCGCGATCTCCGTACTACTTCCCTTCCAGGGATAGGGCTTCTTTTCTGATCAGTATTCGACATTGAATTGACTGCCACAGAACTGGATTTCGTCTATAAAAAGTATGGAGCTATCAGATGCATGTTTGCGAGCTTGTCACACGACCCTGGTTTCAAAACAAGCTTGCTCGGCTGAAATAAAGAAGCCTATCAAGATATCTTGTATACCAGTCGTAGAAGGGCCTCAAGCCACACTGCACGCGCGGAGAAGTGTCGCTATCCTTGGGCAGCAGAAAGATAGCAGAACCGGAGAAGCTTCGGTGGCGATACACATGTTGTGCTGTTTTTGTTTGCCTCGCTTGCAAGAGGAAGTGCATCATGGGGTAAAAGAGGGGAATCAGAGATGCCCCATGGGGTCGAAGCTCTCAGCTCAGAGAGAATCCTACGATAAAGCCACGATGGCAATGTGATATGTCTCTTGGCAATGAGCCACGATTTAGCATTGTGAACATCTAAATCCCATTTGGAAAGAAAGCCGTGTTGTTGCAATGAGAATTCGGTCAGGATTCGGGGATGGCTCGGTTGTAAGGGACTGGGCAGGGCGGGGTAGCTATTGGTCGTTTGTTGACTAGGCGGGATGAGTAAGAAGCCGTGACACCCGGCAGGGGACAGCTTCAAAGTCGTCATTGCCAGAAGCTCATGCGTGCAGGCAAGCTTGAGCTCCCCAGCTTCACATTTTCTTCTTCTCCCGATCTCTTCCGCATCTTAAAGTGCAGCTCTCCTCGAACTTACTTCACATAAAGTTCAATTATCTCCGAAGTGCTTTGACTCAATCAGCTAGAAAAGGGACCAATTCCCCATCTCAATTGACAGAATGAAGCTTCAGAATTCGCTCGTGCTGCTTAGCGCTGCGCTTTGTGAGCTTGGAATTGCAATTCCGGTCCAGGACAGCCCTAGACAACGCCTCCTAGATGGAAAACCACTTCCAGCAAACCTTCGAAAGTCGAAGCTTTCCTCTCCATATGCTCCAGGTTTCAAAGATCCATTGGACAAAGCTGTTGATGCCGTAGGTGACAAGCTTGATCCATTGCCATACCGCAATGGACAAGGTGCCTCTGTTTTGGGACCATGGAATTGGGAACGGTCTCGCCAGAGTCCGGATCTCGTGAGACCTCCCAGCACTGATCATGGAAACATGGCGAACATGCGCTGGAGTTTCGCAGACTCCCATGTGAGAATCGAGGTAAGTCAATACCCCGTGATGCACCGTTCAACATATGGATGTGAACTGAAATCTTTTAGGAAGGAGGATGGACAAGACAAACGACTGTCAGAGAGCTGGGCTCGAGTGTCGAACTTGCCTCCGTGAACATGCGACTTGATCAGGGTGTTATTCGAGAGCTTCATTGGCATAAGGAAGCCGAGTGGGCATATGTTCTGGATGGAGAAGTTCGTGTCACAGCCATTGACTATGATGGAGGCAGTTTCTTCGATGATCTGAAGAAGGGTGATCTTTGGTATTTCCCCAGTGGTGTACCTCATTCGCTCCAGGGTCTTGGCGAGAACGGTACTGAGTTCCTTTTGGTCTTTGATGATGGAGGATTCTCTGAGGAATCAACGTTCATCTTGACGGATTGGCTAGGTACATAAAATCTTATTTCACGCACATTGTTTCCAACTGACCAAATCTGCAGCACACACTCCCAAGTCAGTGGTCGCCAAGAACTTCAATCTCGCACCAGAAGTCTTCGCCCACATTCCCGATGGAGAAAAATATATCTTCCAAGGATCCACACCCGGCTCAATCGAAGACGAGAAACCAAGTGGAAAAGGAGTCAAGAAGTCCAAGTACAACTTCACACATCGGATGTTAGACCAGGAGCCCAAGAAGACAAGTGGAGGCGAAGTGCGCATCACTGACTCTAAGAACTTTCCAATCTCGAAGACCATCGCCGCAGCACACGTCACCATCGACCCAGGAGCGATCCGTGAGATGCACTGGCACCCAAATGCCGATGAATGGTCTTTCTTCCTGAAGGGTCGTGCACGTATCACGATCTTCGCTGCTGAAGGCACTGCTCGCACATTCGACTACATGCCAGGCGATGTTGGTATCGTACCTCGAAACATGGGACACTTCGTCGAGAACATAGGAGACGAGCCGATTGAGATGTTGGAGGTGTTTAAGGCTGATGAGTTCAGAGATTTCTCTTTGTTCCAGTGGATGGGAGAGACACCAAAGAAGCTGGTTATTGATCACTTGTTTGCGGATGACCCAAAAAATGGAGAGGTTTTCTGGAATAAGGTTAAGAGCGCTGAAAAGGATGAGGTCACTCTTCCTGATGCGTTGAAAGATGGAGCTGAGAAGACCGTGGACGAATTGTGAAGAATCTTTTGAGGTTCGCCAAGGCTGTAAAGATGTCTGGTGGATCTTGGAGAAGACGAGATTCAAGCAACTGTGGAAGTCAAATACTGAACATTATTCTCTGTTCTCTGGCTTTGTAATTTCCTTTAGGCTGTAAATTATCATTATCAGACATATATTTCGAGTCTCAATACGATCAAAGAGCACTTCATGTCCAAGTTTACAGATCAGATATGTGTGGGATGCATGTAAACCAATGATTCTATGGAAATAAAGCAGCTTCACTTGTTTTCCCCATCAAACCTCCAGCTCCAGATACGGGGGCATCATCCAGATCCTTCTTTTCGCCCAGCCACACTCCCACACTCCCACGCTGTCCAGAAAGTGCTGAGTCGTCATCCCACGTCCCACTTTCTGCAAGAATAGCACGGTAATCACAGCAATGCACTCACTAGCGGCTCACTAGCAAAACAACGTTCAGTAACATCTATTCTAGAAGGGCTTGTAGCGAGAATAGCGAAGAGTCCCAGCTGTGTACTTTCAGACCGATCGTATGTACTATTGCAGCTCTATTCTCAGGGTTCTCTTCTTCCTATTAGTTAGACTGCACTCGACACTACAAATCGGGCAGATTCCGACTTTGTGTCCAAACAGAACTAGTACTGTACTTCGCGGCCGCATTATTAAGTCTTTTCTATCATCTACATGAAACCGCAGCTGTGCTGCATTTGGTGAGAGTCAGCCCATTTCAGGAAGTACTACGAAGCAGCAAGAATTCAAAGTGCTTAACTGGCAAGCAGTAAACAAGTGGTACTGCCGCCTTTCCATCTTGGCCCACCTCCGGCTTATTTGACTGGCATAGTTCCCCGTCTTGGGTGGGATGGGTCTAGAATTAGTGGAATTCTGGCGTTCTGTCCAGTAGGTATGCAACAACCTGTCCCCGCACCTGACGTCCACTGTACCCGTCGCGGGGAACCCTGTAAGATGTATATCCACCTGTTAATCTACACCTATCTGCGCACATTTTGTTGGTGACAACGGCCTGTCCGTTTCAACTCTGGTAGGCCTGTTAGCTTACATGCGACTGTGAACGACGGTCCGAGCCTGGAGTTGGAGAGATGCATCACGCTGCATTGCGCTGCATTGTGATATCTGACAGTTGATAATCGGCATCCTAGAAAGTCCACTGGACGTCAGGCCAAGAGAAGCATGAGTAATATTCTCCGAATCTCTTATCCACCTAAGCTTTTGAATACCAGGGCAGCATCCGAGGGTCAGCTAAACAAGAAGTCTGATGTTGACTCAAGCTCGAGCTAGCGAGTTGTCCAGGCTGGCTTGGCCGTGGAAGCGAACGCCAATCGAGAGGTGATACGAATCTGGGTTGTCCATTTGTGTGTGTGTGATCGGGGAGTATACAGGGGCAGCATGGCAGCTTGATGCGGCATGAGTCCATCATTGGTTGTATATGGAGGGGTAGTTAATCACCCTGCATACTCGAGAACGTGTTGATGCATTCATTGGTGTGAAAACCAAGACTGTGCTGCATACGATGGTTTATTGGGAAAGTGTTTTGCTCCCATGTCAAGCATTTCCACGTGGAGGAAGGATCAGGGAGTTGAGATGTAACCTAATCGTGCCGACTCAGGCAGGCATGTCCATGGCTCTCAATCATGAAGTACTTTGCGAGAAGGAATCATCAGATGTTCCATTGTTCATATGCGAGCCTGGTAATTACAGTCTCTATTCGCTGCTTCTTTCTTCTTCTAAAACATATGGTCGCAAGGCGAAAGAAAGGGTTCGACTGGAGAGTTCGCTAGGCGAATTCGCGGTCAAAGTAAACTATGCAGTGCAAAGCATACTACAGACCTATCTCAATGAGGAAGGTGTCAAGTCTTTAGTGTGTCCTAAAAGTAAAAGTAGCGTTGTCAATCTTGTTACGTTCAGGTTACACGTGGGAGGATGCTGGAGTTGACAACCGCAAGCCCCCAACCAAGCCACTCCAATGACTGTACTTCCTACCAGGAAAGGTTGCATCCCAAAGGGCTGGATTCATCTCAGAGATGATCAGTAAGACCGAGAAACTGCGAAAGTTCGCCGAGGGCGGTGGAGTCTTGAGGCTGTCGAGGAGGAAATCCTTCTTCGTGATCGACTTTGCCACTCATTGGCCAAGCTGAGGTATCGACATCTAGTCTTCCTCAACTCATTAGACAGACTAAGTGTAGAGGTTATCCACTTCGCCCATACCCATCTCATCTCTATACTTTGCTCTTTGTGGAATTCGAGTCAAACGCCTCAAAGTTTGTCACTCTCTGATCTAGGAACTGAATCACTTCATCTAAAAGTACCCATTCTGAGATCGGAACATGGCCAAATTCTCAGTCGGCGAGAAGGTCGATGCCTTCAAGACGATGGTCCGTACCGACACCACGACCAATAGAGTCAAGGACTACATTATCAAAGGTGCTCCTCAGCTTCCATCAGCATCAGCACAGTATCTTCTCGACAAAGTCCCAATTGTGTCCTGGCTCCCTCGATATCATCCATCATGGCTTCTCACAGATGCCATTGCTGGTCTGACGATCGGCATCATGCTTATCCCGCAAGGTTTGGCATACGCAAAGATCGCAACTATCCCCATTGAGAACGGCCTCTACTCCTCCTGGATCCCAGCCGCCATCTGCGTCTTTATGGGGACTTCAAAAGGTGAGTCTCGTCGCTCACTTGAATGGACATGAACCGAGCTGACCATCATCAACTCAGATCTTTCAAGCGGCCCAACTTCTATCCTAGGTCTGCTGACCGCAGAAATCATCGTCGACCTCAAGGATGAATACGACGTTGCGAAAATCGCTAGTGCTGTATCCTTCATGGTCGGTGTTTACTCTCTCGCAATGGGTGTCCTCGGTCTCGGTTTCCTCCTAGACTACGTCTCCGTCCCAGTCCTCACCGGTTTCATCTCGGCAACTGCTCTGATCATCGGCTTTGGTCAAGTCGGCAGCTTAGTCGGTCTCAGTAATGTCCCAACTGGAGTCTTTCCCGTCATCGGAGATGTTCTCAAGCGCCTCCCAGAATGGGACGGCCCAACATGCGGAATCGGCATTGGAACCATTGTGATTCTCCTCGCTCTTGAGAAAGTCGGCAAGACATGGGGCAAAAAGCATTATATGATCAAATACATTGCAAGTAGCAGAGCCGTCATCGTCCTCGTCATCTTCACTTTGATCAGTTACCTTGTCAACAAGGACCGAAAGGATGACCTTCTCTGGGGCATCAGTAAAGTCGACACTCATGGCATCATCGCTCCATCTGCTCACGATACCGGTCTCATCTCAAAAGTCGCCACTCGCGTTGTGGCTCCTCTAGTGGCCTGTACGCTTGAGCATCTCGCCGTTGGCAAAGCTTTCGGACGGAAGAATGGGTACACCATCGATCAAAGCCAAGAACTCAATTATCTCGGAGTCACCAACATGGTCAACTCTTTCTTCGGATCCATGCCAGTAGGTGGTGCCATGTCCAGAACAGCTGTCAACTCCGAATGTCATGTCCGAAGTCCATCGGGTGGCGCTGTGACAGCTGCCTTCATCCTCCTGACACTTTACGTCTTCTCACCTGCACTGTATTGGCTTCCCAAATCAACGCTCTCGGCTATTATTGTGAGTTTATCTCACTGTGATTCAGTTAATCCTACTGACAGAAACAGATTATGGCAGTTCTCCATCTCTTCGGCCCAGTTTCCGCCTTCTATCGCTACTGGCGGATTTCCCTAGCAGACTTCATTGCGTCCATGCTCTCATTCTGGGTAACCATCTTTGTCTCTGCAGAGATCGGCATTGGCTGTGCTGCCGCATGGTCTGTCGTCTGGACCATGCTCCGCTCTGCATTCGTCACTCCCAAAGTTCACGCCAATACCGAAGACGAAGGTTTCTCTCTTCCAAGACGCACATCAAGCGTGGAGAAGGCAGAAAATTCTAGTGGTCGGGGCAGCCGCACTGAACATGCCAGCATGACCATACCCAACGACACTGTCGTCATCCACTTCAATGACTCGATCTTCTACCCTAATGCTCACCGTGGGAAGCGCTCTGCTCTCGAGGCTATCCAGCTTGTCTACGAGAAAGTTACTCACGGCGTCACCGAAGAGCGCGAGAGATCCTGGAGTGTCGCAGCGGAGAAGCGTGTCGAAAGAATGCGTAAACAACAACGCATTGTCCTGAAAGACATCCCACTCTCAGTTGTCGTATGGGACTTCACTGCGGTGCCATTCGTGGACGTGACTGCCATCCTCGCGCTTGGGGAACTCAAAGAGGATATTCGCCTGCACTCTGGTAAGGGTGTGCAGCTACGCATCGTTGGAATGTCGAAGAGTGTTCGTGAGAGATTCTTGAGGGCTAAGTGGAAGTTGACTGATCTTGAGGGATGGCGTGAAGAGGGTGCTGATGTGGTTTATCCTTCTATGGAGAGAGCTGTGCTTGACCGTGAAGGAAGAGAGGGAAGTATTTTGGAGGCTGTTACGGTCGATGATGAGAAACGAGGTTAGGGATTTCTAGGATATACTTGGTTTTGGGTTACGTATTTGATAATGGCGTTATGTCTTTGGTTATTCAACGCGTATCTGCTGTAGGGAAAGCGGGCCATCTGTCAAGTACACAGACAGTCTTTGCAAATGTATTGTTGTACCGCAACATATGAGAACATTCTTCTTCTGCCTGATGCCAGTCTTGTCTGCAGCCATTTATGCTTCTTAGTGTAAGATCGTGATATCCATCACCTGGCCGATGAAGTGCGGATAAGATCTTCTGTAAAACGTTGCGTAACCCCGCTTGCACCACCAAACAACAGAGGCGGAGTAGACTTACGTACACTGATTTACACGATTTCTATTGCCTCAAGGTCCAGCAGTCAAACTTCAAGCACCATACAGTGTCGTTGAGCGTTGGTCTAAGCTAAATGCTGCGAACGGATATTTTTGTTAGAATCCTGCACTCATGAGCACGAAGCAGTCGACAGAGAATATGCGCAATATTTCTCATACTTCACAATCGCTAGTCTTAGCTTTAAGTTCTGATGACGTCGAAGTTACACTTGGAAGGGACATCGCAGATACGAGAAGCGGGGATTACTGAATGCTGATGTACAAAAGTAGGACTTTCGCTCTCTCCTTCCTCATTCTCGAGAATTCATATTTCTGCAAATTCGAGCTTGAGTGACTTATTTATCACATATCGACTGACACCATGGCCATGTTAGCAACCATCTACAAGCTCACCGGCGTTCTGACTCTGGCAGCAGCGGCTGTATTTGGAAGCTCCATACCCAGAACTCATGAGCCGAGCTTCCTTCTGTGTACCGGCAAGAACTTCACCGGTTATTGTGTGAATCTCAGAGCTCCTAGTGGCGTCTGCGGTAATTCTCTCTCTATCTCTCTCTAGTATGTTAGACTCAAGACACTCATCGCAGTGTTTAGTCAACCTCACAGATGATCTCAATGACAAGGTCTCTTCAATGCAAGGCGCAGAAGGAAATACTTGCTTGCACTTTGTGTAGGTTGACCTAACGATTTTCTGTGGAGAGCAAGTGCTAATTTGGCACATAGGGCTCCGGATTGCAGTATTGACGATCTCTGGTTCCATTGGGACAGTTTCCCCCTGCCGGATCTGGCTGTGACACCAACGCATGACCCAGACGGCAGCGTACACAATTATGAAGATCAGCTGAGCAGTATTGAATGCTGGGCTGATGACAGGTTTGGATGATCCTGGAACCTGGAAAGGGATGAGAATGACGGAGAATTGGCATCGAGAGTGAAGGGGTACAGCCTTTCGATTTGTTCTACAAGTATGTTAGTAGCAAGAATGAATTACTTCAATTTTCTCTATCAATTCATTATGAAGCATGATGTATCTTCAGATGTCGAGCTTCACCAGAAATCGGACAACAGGTGTGGCAAATGGAAATCTCACAGCAGAAGAAACTAAATGGCGCTTGACAAACGGATAACGAGCAGACCAGAGCATACTATGCATCACAAACTTTTCAAACTATTCGGGAGCTTGATTGCAGCGTATGAGTGATTTTGATATTTGGCTCCGGAAAACACGACACGAGAGCCTCGAAGGGTCAAGAGGTCCAAGAGCGGGACTTGACCACGTGCAGAAACGTTTCTCGGGCGCGGATCATTGAGGTGCCAAAGTCTGGAACGAAGTGTATACGTGAATTTGCGACAACAATTAAGGCGTATAACGGAGCAAGAGTACTGTGGTAATGATCCAGTAATGTACGGGCCGCTTTGTTGACTGGTCAGCCAAGCCTTTAAGCGAGACATCGACAGCCGATGTTCTTAGCTGCTCGGCCCCCAGCCAGAATGGAGTTTAGGAAATAGGTCACGAAATGAATCTCAAAAACTTTCTATCAAGATCATAAGGCAGAAAGCGGCAGCAAGTTGAAGAGCCATGCTGTCAGTATCCTACTACGTACGATCTACTGGTTTTACAAGATAGTGAGGAAATGGCGCCGTGACTTGCTTCATCAGACCTTTTCCACATACAAGTCTGACCACTGCAAAGCACGAAGAAGTTTAAAATCCACTACTTGATGTACTTAGAATCTACACATGGGGAAATAGCTGCTGGTGAAAGCCCTAAATATAATTCTCGCCACTCAAAGTTGCTCACTTACGTTCTTTGAACGAAAGATGGCATCATTCCACATGTTTTCGTTTAACGATAGAAGTTATCAGCTTGGACCCTTTGATTATCTCGCTAGAAGGGCTGTTATTGCAATTTCGTTGTACTCACAACTCAGTCAACTGCAATGCTTGATACCACACGCCCGGAAACATCAGCAAATCACTGCTTCCAGCATCAACAAATCGAATCCTCAAGATGATCAATAGAGGGGGTTCTATGGTTGTAATAGAATCTGAGAAGCTATTTTAAGATCTTCCCAATATCACTTATGGCTTTTGAGTCTCAGACTTCGGGAACGGGAGGAAGCATACATGTGACTACAAGAGGTAACAGTGGGGGCTATTGACAAAACGAGAGCCTGGATATCACTAGAAAGCAGATCGAATATGATGGTTGCAGATGTGGTATTGTCAACCAGGATTGGCACACCGTCCTAACTGGGTGTGCAACCAGACAACTACCTGCTTATGTGTTCCGGCGCAAATCCGATGGTCAATTTCAGAACATACTCCGCCATAGATCAACCGAGGGGTGTTGTTGATCATCTATACACTCCTATCATCAACCAGAAAATGTAACGCTGGTTTTATAGCTCTAAATCAAGACTAAATGCTAACAGTTGGTTGCAATCGAGGTCAACAAAGGCTGAACGCCAATTGATTGGTGTGCTAGCGAGCCAATCCCAACTAGTGCGGCTGAGGATACTGGACATTTTCATCTGCAAGAAGCTTCAACATCTCTCCATCTGTGCAGACATCTCTCTGTTTCGAACAGCTAATCCGCAGAAACAGCAAGTCTCCTGTGAGAATACAAGACCTAAGCCAAACTTCAACTAGTGATCTATTAGAAGTGTGGCCAACCAATCACCATGTGGCTGATAGATACCACGACAATCAGGCTGCATTTCATTGAGGACCCGACGAAGTATAAATACGCAATCCTTTCGCATACGTGGGAAGGTGACGAAGTAACATTCCAGGAGATCGCAAATCCAGAAGTGGCCAAAGAAAAGCCAGGATTTCGGAAAATCCAGTCGACATGCGAGCTTGCTCGAGCTCGCGGCCTACAATTTGCATGGGTGGACACCTGCTGCATCGACAAAACTAGCAGTGCGGAGCTCACCGAAGCGATCAACTCTATGTATCAATGGTACAAGCTCTCAACGATCTGTTTTGTCTACTTGTCGGATCTCTCTGACCAAGAGATCCACAACTCCTTCGACCTTGTTTTCTTCCTGCACGCCTGCCGGTGGTTCACTCGTGGCTGGACTCTCCAAGAGCTTATCGCACCCCGCTTTGTCGAGTTTTACGGCAAGAAATGGGAATTGCATGGAGATAAGACTTCTTTACTGTACGAACTATCCGGCATTACTGGTATCGACGAGGCAATTCTTGAAGACAGCGAAATGGTTGCGTTCACTTCAGTGGCGAAGCGAATGTCATGGGCTTCTAATCGGCAAACTACACGGGCAGAAGATATGGCTTATTGTCTCTTCGGTTTGTTTGATGTCCACCTGCCACTCATCTATGGAGAAGGATGGAAAGCTTTCATCAGATTGCAAGAGGCCATTATTCTCGAGAGTAGTGATCTTTCAGTCTTTGCGTGGAAGTCGGACTCCAAGGACCAGGTCATCCGAGGGCTGCTTGCCTTCTCACCCTCTGAATTTCGTAAATGCGGCGACATTGAAAGGGTCGATGATCCTCTCATCTTGTCACCGGATTTTGTGATAACCAATAAGGGGGTCAAGATCGAAACCTGCTTAACGAAGGGAGAAGGCGGTTATATTATGAGTCTTCAGTGCATAGAAGCTGAGAAAAGAGTGTCCGGGGAGAGCGGCGAAGTTCTAGCAATTAAGTTGTTGAAGACAGCGAACGGCTATGTGAGACACAAGCCGGGCCATCTCGCAACTATTTCCGATGTGCTCAAACAGCCGCCGCAAGATTCTTCAGAATTCAAGGCTATATCCGTTTGTATTCCCAAGATTATCAGTCTCGCAAAATCTCAGCTGCTTCATGCCAGGTTGTTGCACCGATTCTCTGTCAAGGTGGTCAACAACTCTCCATATTGGGAGAAAGTCACGACACAGCCGGAACATCTTTGGGATGATGGCTCCAAGAGCTTCATCACAGAGCACAATGACAACTTTGCTGGCAAGATTCAAATCAATCTCAAACCGAAGCGATCTCAATTCCGTCCCCATAGCTTGAACGTCTTTGTGTGCCTTGGTCTGATGAATGAGTCGAACTTCTTGCGACCATGGGCTGGGATTTTTCAAGATCATTTCTCCCATGGAATACTGTTCGAGGACTCGGAGTTCCAAAAAGTGATCCTTGGGTCGTCGATGTTTACTTCACTTGCTAATATGCGGAAGTACATGTGCCTCAGAGCTGCTCAAAAAACATTGCCACAATGGTTGACTCCTATACTACTAGTTAATTCAGAACTAGCGCTGCCCCATGTGCATATATCTCTAAGTTTGTCTGTGGATAACGAACAGCCTGACGCTAGGTACAGGCTGTTCATCTATATCGATGGAGGAGAGAATGAGTCTCGATAGTTTCGATGATAGTTATTGTACGGTGTGTCCATGCCCGAAGAGGGTGGGAGAAATATTAAACGCAGGTTGGAGCAATAAGACCGACCAAGAGGTTGAGGAGGATTTTGTTCGTTGTCAAGGAAAACACAACTTTATCGCTTGAAATAGCGGTGCGGCTGACGTGCACGCAGCCGAAGTTCAAGATAGTCGAAAGAACTGAGAGAGGACGTGAGGACCTGGAGACACGGTTGCCAGGCATTTTTTCCGCCCAGTGTTTCCGTAGCATCGAGAATACCTAAGGGTCCTAAGCTTTTGGCCTAAGTTCTAGGCAAAGAAGACATAATACGCCAGCTTCAAACATCTTGCGAATGGAAACCATGAATTGAATGTGACCAAAGAGCACACTCATTAGACATCCAAATGCAGGTCATCTCAACCAACACGATCTCTAGGTTCATTGGCTTGAGCACTTGTCTACCAAGAACTTTCAAGGCGGAATTGATTCCATTGATTCCAGATTTGTTAAGTAATTTTTTTCTCACTGATCTCAGCCGATTTGTTGACAACTATTCAGGGTGAAGATGACTGACCTGTGATTGAAGCTCGCTTACTGTACGGCAGGTGCCGGTGCCGAAAACACAAGTTTCCAGGGTATAGCGCTGAAGCAAGGCGCTAAGGCTGCCTGGACGGGCAACGCATTATTCAGATCCATTCGCTTAATTACAGGGTTTCGCTACAGGCTTTGCACTCCCTGTAAAATGTATGTTTTGATACGGCAGTTGAGGGAATACTGTCACCTTGCGGTATTGACTGGCCAATGGAAATACCCTGGCGTATCCTGGCGGGATGATTGAGTTCCAGCTTCCACCTTCCACTGGACGAGGGCACGTACGTGAAATTTCAATTCCCTGTCGCAGGTTTGAGCCTAGTTCTGACAAAGATGTCATCTGAAGAATGTACACTAACCAGCGCATTGTCTCGCCGGCCGGCCGTGCACCGGCCCCATCAACGGACTTGCGGAAACCAAAAGTTACCGACTTAAAACTATATTATCTGAATCTTGTCTCGGGGTCCATCCATACAATCCACTGTAGTTCATGAGCTTTTGAGTGACAAAAATATGGCCTTGAAAGTCGATGAAGTACCCATCACGATGGGTGGAAGGGGTATGTGCCCTGAAATCGCTAATTTACCCCTTTCCCATCCTGTCTTCGCTTCTGCCAAATCTCACTTTCCTCTCCGTCTTGTTCCTGGACATTCTTTAAGTGAAGAGGATCATAATAACTTCTCCAGACTAAAGAATGTACAAGTCCTAAGCTGACGGTTCCACAGAATATGTACCCCGCGCCATCCCCCTCATGGCGAAGGCATTCGCGACCGACCCCATAATAACCTACCTACTCCACCACATGACTCCAGCCCAACTTTCCGCATATCTCCCAAAGTACTTCGATGGTGTTCTCACAGCCGCAGCTTTGAATAAAGGCATCTTCGCCGAAGCCGACGACTTCAAGAGTTGTACCATCTTGATTCCGCCAGGTTGCCGCGTAGATAACTTCTGGACTCTGATTCCCGCGGGTTTCATTGGCATGGTGTGGGATGTTGGGGTTGCTGCTACTTATGTAGGTCTCAGGTCTGCTCTATTATTTCATCAGTGAGATTAGAAAATATATACAGTAGCTAATCGAGCTGAATAGCGCATGCTAGGCGAACTCGGTCCCAAAGTTGACGCAGTCAAAGCCAAAGCACTTGGTGGCCAAAAAAAATACTACTACATCTTTTTTTCAGCAACCGATGCCGAAGCTCGCGGACAAGGTCTCTGTTCTAAGCTCATCAGAGAGTTTCAAGCAATAGCCCAGAAAGATTGCCTGCCAATCTGGATAGAAGGCACGACTGATAGCTCGGCGAGAGTTTACGCCAAGTGTGGATTTGAGCTTGTTGAGAGGATTACCATAGGTGAGGGGGTGGTAGATGCTAATGGGAAGGTGAAGAAGGGTGGTGAGGGTGTGGTTACAAGGGGTATGATTTGGTGGCCGAAAGGAGAAGATGGAAAGAAGTTGGTGTCTCGAGATGAGAAGAATGGGGGCTGGAGGGTGAGTCCTATAATCAGCGGATTGCTGTTTCTTGCTGTTGTCTCTGTGGCATTTTACATGAGCTGATTATTGCGCGATTAAGTCTTGAAAACATGGTAATAAGTGTAATCTGAATCTCTTGACGGTGATTTAAGGGAGCTGTTTGGACACTTTGCAATTCGAAGCTAAATTTCTCGAGTCCGCACCTACTTTGATGGAAACGCTGGTTTCTACTTTGTCGATTCAGGAACTCGCAGTCGTTTTGTAGCACGAAGAATCATTCATGACAATTCTAAGTATGCTTTCCAGCTTCAAGAGATTCATTCCAATGAATCTATCCTTGCGTGTAGAAGACATTCTAGAAAGCTCCCGTCATCCTTTTTTGGTAGAGTATGTCGATTTTGGATAACGCATTTTGCAACAGAAGGTCTTGTGTCCATCCTTTCCACAATGGCCACATTTGACCAAGCAATCAAGAAACTCATGCCCCGTCTTTCCACAATTGAAGCAAATCGCCTTCTTACCCTCAGTTTGCTGTCCATGGCCAGGAGCGTCAACGGCCAACAGACCGGAGGACTTCTTTCGTTCTAGGGAAGGTCCGACTGCTTTTGTTTTTAGGAGTGACAAATTCTCTTCCTTTGTGTCTGCTCTTCCCCCTCCCTTGCCCTCTGTCAATCCTTTATGGAATTTCTTGGCCTGTCCTTCATAGTCGTCCTTCGTCTGCAGATGTTTTATTCCCAGACTTCTATGTCCTTCTATCTCTGACAGGGTCCTGGACTCAACAACCCTAGAAGCTTTCGGACTGTAGTCAAACAAGTCTCGTCGCGGCTTCTTAACAGGCGACCAATGGTCCCAACCCACATGTAGCTTCCTTCTAGCGCCAACTGGACAAGGACTCTCCTCTCTATCCCTGCTCCAAAAGGCATGACTTTTGGCAATTGGCGTTACAACACTTAACTTTTGTGTAGAATTCGACTCGAAATCTCTATTGTGGCAAACGAAGCTGAAAGGAGACCGAGTCTTCGTGCTTGGTCTGTCCGGGGTAGCGTTTACGGACCTGGAACCAGTAGAGCTTACTTTGCGAGAGTGAGACTTTGACTTCGGTCCATTAGGCGTATTGGGAGGAAGGGATGGGCGTGAATTGAGGTTGAAGATTGTGTCGGTGAGAAATCGTTCCATGGAAGCGTCGGCTTCTGGAGATGCTTTTCTGGGGACAGTGGTGAGAGTTAGAACTGGTTGTTGAGTTGAGGTGAGGGCCGCGTTGGCCTTTTTTGAGACAACATTCTTTTGGCTGTTGCCTTTATTGGCGTCGTCAGACATCCCTAAGGCTTTCTTTTTGTTACTGATGATGTTGATTTTGTTCGAATGTGGCATGGCAGGGAAGCGATGACGAGGGAATTTTACTCAAAGGAAAGCGCGATGCTCAAATGGTGAAATCGTCCCAACGGACTGTGAATCAACCAGTACCTTAGAAAAAGTCTCCATGTTTCAGCACGATGTAGTGAGCCTCTGAATTCCTAGCAGAGCAGTCTCTTTCTCTTCAGATGGGCCTTACCAAGGGTTTGGTGACGCCACCATTCAACGAAAGAGTACCTAGGTACTTTCTAGCTACTGTGCTCATGTGAGCCTTTACGAAACTTAATGATGGTCAAAATGATGTAGCTAGAACCGACCACTGATTTCCCGATACAATAATGTCGACTTTTCTGTACGAGTACGAAGACCGTACCGCTGCCTCGGGACTTTGACTCTCAAGACTCGAAGACTGATGTTCTTTCATAACCAGGAGAAGCGACAGAATTCTGTACCTAGCTAGCCACAGGAACTATACGCATAATTTCTGCCTAGTCGCTTGGTGCGTTTCCTCGTTTTTTTTTTGTGACTCGGTCGGTCAGTTGGCACGATTCTCCATGGAATTTCCAAGCTCACCAAATCACGGGTAATCCCTAATATTACTAGGTTACTCGCGGGGTAACTTGAGGAAGCATAGAGTGCACAATGAGGTTGATCAGCTTGTAGTATTATTCTCTATGGAAGGTGTATCTCCTTATATTAAGGCTCAGGTGTAGAGTGGGTCCATCCATGAAGAGTTTTCCAAACCACGCCTATAGTCACATGACTATTCACCTGACTATTGAACCTGCAACACCTAATTATGTGAAGATCGCCACGGGTTACTTCATGAACTGACGTTGCCAATGAGAAGGACTTGCTTGAAAAGCGCTGTTCGAGATTAAGACCAAAAATGAATCCGCGTCTCGACTTTGCGAGGAAACAGCCTGCACAACAGCATCGCAGGACTGAATGTACTCTTCACCCAAATCACCTTCTACTTTTTTTGATCGATTCCAAGTTGGGAACATGTCTCGTTCTTACAAGTAGCTTTGATCAATATATTCAATCCAGCGTATCAAAAATTACTAGTCTGGTAGCCACATCTCCCAGGTATTGATTGAAGTTCAAGGGCGAAGCGAGGGCTCTGGCTGTTCTGCGATTCGCGTGGCTGAGAAGTAAAAATATTCCATGCAACTACTCGTTGCTACTCGTCTTTCACCAATTATCCGACAAATGAGAATCGACTTGAGTTTACCCGCTGGTTGGTGAATACCGCAGCAATATTTTGGCGGCGCTTCCAACCCCTGGATGTTGTTGAAACTTGGCGGCGCGTCCGTTCCTGAATTAGAACACTGGCATAACTGCTTGTCCGTCCAAAATTTTCACCCTACCATGTCTTCCACCAAATAAATAGGAATGTGACGCCCCTCACAACTCTGATATTTGTTTATTGACTCGATATGATGATTTCAGGATGGAGAATATCACTTGTATTTGCCGCCATTGTCAGCGCCTTTTTCATTTTCAGCCGGCAAAGTTTACTCATAGCAACGGACACCACGCAGCAATCAAGTCATGATACCGTCTTGGAGAACCTGAAATCAAACTTTCAATGGTCAAGTGTACCTCAGAAGTTCTCTGTGACTTCGATCAAGGCATTGCCGGACCCCACTCCCAACAGCATTCCTAGAATTCAGCACAGATTCAAGGCGGAGTCTAAGTCTGAGAAAGATACGAGGTTGTTCAGATTGAACTTGGTCAAAGGCAACTTTACGCACGCTTGGAAAGGATATAAGAAGCATGGATGGCTGCGTGACGAGGTCAAGCCCTTGTCAGGTGACTCTCACGATCCTTTTGGAGGATGGGCTGCAACCTTGGTTGATTCTCTTGGTATGACCTGCTAGACTCCCGTTGGAGTTAAAACTGACGTTAAATAGACACACTGTGGATTATGGGCATGAAAGACGAGTTCCAGGATGCCGTCAATGCGATAAAGCAAGTCGATTTCAGCACATGTGCATTGGACGAGCTGAATGTTTTCGAAACCACTATTAGATATCTGGGGGGCTTTCTCTCCGCGTACCACCTGAGTGGCAACAAATATCCCATCCTGATCCAAAAAGCAAAGGAATTGGGCGACATGCTCTACAAAGCATTCGACACCCCGAACCGACTTCCCATTGTTCGATGGAAATTCAAAGAAGCACGTGAAGGCGCAAGTCAAGAAGCGCATGATTCGGTCCTCGTTTCCGAGCCTGGATCTCTAACCCTGGAATTTACTCGTCTAAGTCAAGTTACAGGCGACCCCAAGTATTATGATGCAGTTCAAAGAGTTATGGATCTCTTTGATGCGCAGCAAGACAAGACGAAACTGCCCGGAATGTGGCCGGTGGTCATAAACTTGAAGAACTCAGATGTCAGCGACTACGGTGGATTCACGATCGGGGGAATGGCGGACTCTGTCTATGAGTATCTCCCAAAGGTGCGCACTTACATCAAGTGCATGGAAGCCGACTAATGCATCAACAGCAACACATACTGCTCGGTGGAGGCACACAGTAGTATCGAAGAATGTACGAGTACGCAATTATAGCCATCAAACGAAACATATTTTACAGGCCAATGACTCGTGGAGGAGAAGACATTCGTCTAGCAGGAAGCGTGGACAGCGACGGTCGAACGCTCGTTTCGGAACTCAACACCAAGGCAGAAATGCAGCATCTGAGCTGCTTTGCAGGTGGTATGGTTGCGATTGCTTCAAAAGTGTTTGAAAATGAGGATGACTTGAAGTTGGCGAGGAAGCTTGTGGAAGGTTGCCTGTGGGCGTATGAAGTGATGCCACTGGGCATCATGCCAGAGATCATGCATACCGTAGCTTGCGACATAGAAAAGTCATGCCCATGGGATGAGACCAAGTGGCACGAAAAAATTCACGAAACACATGAAGGCCCAGAGGATGTGGACTCCAAGATTCGGACTCATCGCCTTGCTGCGGGGGTGGTCAAGGTGGACGATACTCGATACATACTCCGGTTTGTCCCATCCATCCCAAGTATAGATGATCAAATTGGCTGATCAGGGCAGGCCCGAGGCAATTCAGTCGGTCTTTATCTTATATCGAGTTACCGGGGATCCGTCTCTCCCACAGCGGGCTTGGAATATGTTCAACGCTATTATACAGCATACATTAACAGACATTGCTCATGCAGGTTTGGATGATTGCACGGTACCAAATCCTCCGAAGGCCGACAGGATGGAATCATTCTGGATGGCAGAGACTTTGAAGTATTTCTACCTTATTTTCTCCGAGCCAAGTGTTGTTAGCTTGGATGAATACGTGCTCAACACGGAGGCGCATCCGTTGAGGCGGACTAGTTGAGACTTAGCTGCAGGTTGAACAGTTAGATGCAGGAAATTCCAAAGAGTCAACACGGAGTCCGGATAGGAACATGTTGGGTTTCGGCGCATTGTAGGATCACTGTATGAACGTGGCAATGACCAGGGTTTCGTGCCCGGACATGGTTGGGGCAGAGACCAAAAATTATGTATGAGTAAAATCTCCATATAGAAGAAGTTGGAGATGGTATACCATTACTTCAATGGTTCCGGCTACATTTATTATTTGCCTAGCGAACGTCTTGACATACTTGCAAAACTGTTAGCCAGTGCTTGGGCGCCTTATGAAATCGCGATCTCCTGACCACCAGTATTCTATACGCATACGAGTAGGAAGACAGCTCATAGGGAGAAACGAAGCGAATAGAATACAATGAGAAGATCATATCTCAGTCTCTTTTGAATCCGATAGAAAAGATCGGCAAATAGCAGAACACATTCAAAATGTTCAGCAGCAGGGTTCCAGCACGAAGTCAATTAGAACAAAGAAACAAGGAAGTCTGCAAATGGTGGAAATAGTCAAGGAATAGGAAAGAATGCGTTCAGAAAGGATTTAAAGATCCCTCTGTTTAAACTCGCACTACATGATTGCCAATGTTCCAGATTTCGAGAATCTCTGGTAGCGGGTAATTTGGATCAACTGGTCCTGTTGGTAACTCGCGGACTCGCTACACCTCAGCGTCATTGATTCGAGAGCCAAATCGACAAAATGATGAGTATCCATCCGTCGATCAGTTGTCTGCTATCTAATTGGGTATGTGATAACCTTTGGCTGATATTGGCTCATGAAAATGACAAAGATCCTGCGGCGGCGTGTAAAGGGAACGGGAACCAAGGCATCCGGACTTAGGGTTACCACAAAGTGGAAGGAGAACCTCCTTTGCGGACTGGCATGGACCATTCATAACGCTCCATCCTACTCTCATGGCATTCCAGCGGTCAGGAGGCGCAAGCACATGGTCGGAACTCGTATCTCAACTGATAGAGGAAAACGTACTGTAATCCATCAACTCTTATGCCAGGGAGATGATAACTGGGTAAGCTTGGCCAATCAAGCGCTCATATCCTCATCTCTTTTCTCAGTGCCCGCCTTCTCAGCTTCAAGGCCCTCCAAAAATACCTTAGCCTTCTCCCACAGCTCCGCTTCCATATCACGACCAACGCGCCCACTCCTGCTATTGAGCCAGCCAATATCCAGCTTGCCCAAGCTTGCAACATCAGGTTCCAGTGTTCCATCAGTCTCCCCATTCACCACAAGTTTACGGCGTCCTTGCGCAGGGATTATATTTGCTTCTTCAAGACCATATATATTCCTACGAAGGAGAACGTCGACTTTCTGGAGAGTGGTGAGGTACGACTCGGATGCCTTCTCGAACGCTTCTTTGCGCTCGGAGATCGGCGTTTCAGAGGTGGCGTGAGTGGCTGAAAGCGTTTGTAGAGCTAGACCAGCGGATGACAATAGTTGAGAAATACTCTGCAAACCGTCAGTAATCCGGGTGAGCGGGGGTGGGATTGATGGACCTTGTCAATGCCGTTGAGTTGTTGAATATGCTGCGCCTTGGTGAAGGGTTGATAGCCCGAGGGCGCCTCCGCTGGAGTACCTGTTGATGACATGTTTTTGCCTTTAAATTATATGTTGATTGGGGGTAGAAAGGCTCGCGTATGCCAAAGGAGACGTGTGGTGCAGGAAGGAAGTTAAGGTCAAGGTCAGGTTGTGGAGTTACTTCGAGGTTTAGCGCGGCTCTGCGGGTAGCTTGCATTAGTCTCTTCGGCAAGGTAATTCTATGCGACACTTCATCGCGTCCTCTTTGATTCATCACAAATCAAGACACAACAACCTGCAACTGCAAATACTTCAACCCGAATTTACCAACCCCATCACTCTTATTTCTTGATTAGTACGCGACCCAAACTGCGCTTAGTGTAGGAAATGCGCAGGGTTCAAGGTGCTGGATGAGGAGCACGTGAATTAGACGTGACGTTTACAAAGAGTTCACCATCATGTCCCATCCACCGCAGGGCCCTGGCAATGGGCCTCCCAGCGCGGGAATAGGTATACAGCATCAGCAAGGTGGACAAGGACAGGCCGCTCCAACAAACAGCATGTCTTCACAGAACCTAAATCAAATTGTAAGACAGGTCCCCTTCACATTGTTTGTTAGTCTGTCTTGTGATTGTTGGGCAATGACCTCTTGCCCTGCTTTACTTTATTGGCCGGAAAGCTTGTTGGTTGGCTTCTTCAGACTATGAGAGGTCAATGCCAAGCCGGGCCTACAAACCAGTATCCGTTGCTTCAGCCAAGCATATTTGCGCAAGATCGAAAAGCTTCGAAAATTTCAGAGAGATCAGCATGTCCAAAGGTGCAGCCTCTGTAGGAGCTTCCTCTGCGTCTTGTCCGGTGGCTTCTTAGCGATATTTGAGAGACAGTATAGTTTGCATTCAGCCTTGTCGCGATCCTGGTATAACGTTCTTCAGTCAGAGGATTGTATACGGCTAGCGATTACTTGGATTGAATTCGATGCCTGATCTTGATTTTTTTTTTCAATAACTTCACTTCCCCTATATCCACCTAGTTTACAAGACGTGGAATTTCTCCATTAGCCAGTCCCCCATAGCGAAGTCTCAATCTGAGCATTGCATCATACAAGCGTCCTCATATATCATACTACTCTTCTCTCCCTTACCTCATCGAGATTTTCTTCCCACCTCGAGTTTCTATCTGCCCAGAGTATTACCCGCGCTAAACAAGGAATAGGTGATAGAATACCTCGTCAAGAAAGGATACAATAGGACGGAGCAAATGCTCCGAATGGAATCGTCGAACCTTGACAAAGATGGGAGACCGATACAAGAACGAGTCGAGGACCTGGGCAATCTCAAATATGCTCGAGGGTTCAAAATGATCAGTGACTGGATCGAACAAAATCTTGACATCTACAAGGTATGCTTTCTTCCTCTCTAGATACAGAACTTCCCTGACAACCTGCGCAGTTCGAATTAAGACGTCTGCTGTGGCCACTGTTCACGTATTCCTACTTTGACTTGGTATTCAATGATGCTGGAGCTGAGATTGAAAAATTCTTCCGCGAGTTCAGTCCTCAATTCGAACGAGTCCATGCCGATGAGCTGCGGGTTTTCGAAACAATCAAGACTCCTCAACAATTACGTGACAATTCGGTTGCTAAGCTTTATCTCGGAACGAAGTACCGCATACCAATCAACTCAAACGTTTATTACAACCTTCTCGCCCACATCGAGACCAAAAATAAGGAAGGTGGTTCGGTCATCGAATACTTACTGCAATCTTTTTGTGAAATGAAACCCACGGAGAGAGGTCCGCTTAACCAATTCAGTTTCGAAGCAATAATCGGGCGAGGAAAAGATCGGGATTCTGATGATGCTGCTCTGCAAGAGGGAATTGACGGCGCATTCAATGGTGTCACAAATAGTGACATTACGGACAACAATGCTCTACTCAAACTTGGCATGATGCCGATGGAAGGTGAACTCGCGCAAGATGTTCGGGCAGAACTAGAAGATGAGGACGCTAAGCATCCGCCATCGCTTGGGAAGAATTCCCTCGTTGAAGAGTTCGATCAGAACATTAAGCGCGAGGATAGTGCCGACGCGCCAAATAGAAACGAGATCCCACTCCCACCATCCCGTGCCAGAGACGTCATAATGGAGGTCCAAAAGATAAAGGAGAACAGGGATCGCTTCCGAATCGATGGACGAACCAGTGGAGTTGGCGTTGGCGTTTCAGTCTGCATGTTCACCTTTCACAATACTCTCGACACGTAAGTTTGTAATGTCTGTTCATCACTGGAAATATTGCTAATCATTATCAGCATCACTTGCATGGAATTCTCAGATGACACGAATCTGGTTGCTGTTGGCACGGAGGAGTCGTATATTCGTGTTTGGCATCTCCACGGTGATCCGCTTCCTTCTATCGTACAAGCCGGCGCAAAAGATGGCCCGCCATCTAGCTCACGTCGACTGATCGGACACTCTGCCCCAGTCTACAGTGTCAGCTTTTCTCCTTCTATCGCTGGCCCCGAAAGTTCCGATGCTTCAACTCCATCAACCGCTCCGAAACTCCTCCTGTCGTCTTCATCTGATAAAACTGTCCGCCTTTGGTCTCTGGAAGCTTGGACTTGCTTGGTGGTTTACAAAGGCCACGAAGGACCAGTCTGGAATGTCCGATGGAGTCCTTTTGGACATTACTTTGCTACGTGCGGATGGGACAGGACTGTCCGTATCTGGGGACAAGACCATATTTCGTATCTCCGCCTGTTAGTTGGACATGATTCCAACGTCAATCAAATTGCTTGGCATCCTAACGGAGCATATGTGTTTTCAGCCAGTGACCATGCCGACAAGAGTATTCGCATGTGGTCCTTCACAACTGGGGAGTGTGTTCGAGTCTTCGCTGGCCATACTGATTTCATCAGTGCTATCGAATGTAGCCCCAGTGGTAAGATTCTGGCATCAGCTGATGGCAGTGGAAACATCATATTCTGGGATCTTGCCAAGGGCCAAATGATCAAGAGATGCAAGGGCCATGGCAAGGGAGGAATTTGGTCTCTGTCGTTCAGTGTCGAGTCTACAGTACTCGTATCTGGCGGAGCAGATGGTACCGTCCGGGTCTGGGATGTTGAGGTTCCTACCGATCCACACAAGCCTGAAGGAGAGGTCGTTGGCACTGGTGGACAAGCGGATGCTACTCGTATCAACGGTGCGACAGCTGGTACTCAACCGAGCACTGCTGTAGTTGCTGGCGGAAAGAAGAAGGGCAAGGATACTACGATCACTCCCGACCAAATCAGTGCCTTTCCTACTAAGAAATCTCCGGTCTACAAAGTCAAGTTCACCCGGATGAATCTGGTTATGGCGGGAGGCTGCTATTTACCTTAGGGACAACCTAGTATTGTATTTCATAGATCTTAAATCCGGATGGGAGACTGGGTTGCTTGGTTTCATGGCGCACAGTTATCTTGGAAGTTGCGATACCAGGTGGTAGTTGACGCCTCATCGGCGGTCCTTACGGTTGGCAATAACAGTTGACTTGAACTATTATCCTGCCCAGAGATGGCTGAAAAGTACCACGGTCAATTGACCTACCCAGTAATATTGCAATCCAACGTAGAAATTATGTCGAATGCCCTTGGGATACAACAATTGTGACGTGTGGCTGGCCTCAACTGAAAGTCCTGAACCGAACTCTCCACACCATTGATCATTAAGGTTACCAGGTCGTTGGTTGTTGCCTCATAGGCTTGGCGACACCACGGACGCCGTCCTGCCGATCAACTCCCAGCTCCACAACATCAAGAACCGCAAGCCAGAGCTCATGATCAGTTCCGTTGCAAGCTCAATCTTCCGCGCAACATCAAACAATGGATCTTGAAGACGGAGGAGACTCGCCTTGGGGTGGTAAGCTGCACTCCAAAATACTCCCAGCCAGTCATCATCACAATAGCTCATCCTTGTAGATGTCCCATCGAATGCGCCTACAGCAGATACCCCAGGATTTGGAGAAGAGACAGGTATGTATGCTCTGGGACACGGAATCGATATCTCAGGTCAATCTAACACATCCCAGAGTCATCCAAGCCACAGCCATCCGCACTCGACACGCCCACGTCCTCCTCACAGCCCGCAAAGTCCCCCGCGAGTCGTAATCCACGAACCCCTCGTCGACCAGGAACGCAGCAAGTACGTCTTGAAGCTCTCGATGACTCTCTAGGACCTCTAGGACCACTGGGCGACAATGCGCCGATTCCACAAGCCGACCAACCTCCAGCGCCCCCACAGAAAGAGCAGACCCTCACCCATAATGTCAGACAGCCTGTAGCTGCATCACAGAGCTCCATGAGCCGGAACATGCTGGACTCTGTGGATCTGAGCGATGATGTGGAGGCTGCTGCGGGACCAAGAATACCTCCACCCGTTCAGCCGCCGCAGACCACCCCTCTGAGGAGAGATACACAGCCAAGTGTTAGCATTGAGCAGGCTGCAAAGCCCTCGTTTGACATTACGGTTGGGGACCCCCACAAAGTTGGAGATTTGACGAGCTCGCATATTGTGTATCTTGTGCGAACCAAGGTATGGCTCCTTCGCCGTTCTGTAAGCTATGCTATGCTGATCTATGCAAGACTTCCTCTAAAGCCTACCGTCAACCCGAATTCGCAGTTACGAGGAGGTACCGAGATTTCCTATGGCTCTATAACTCTCTACATGCGAACAATCCTGGGGTTGTGGTTCCACCTCCTCCTGAGAAGCAAGCTGTTGGCCGGTTTGATACCAATTTCGTCGAATCGCGGAGAGCTGCCCTGGAACGGATGCTGAACAAGACAGCTGCACATCCTACACTCCAGCATGATGCTGACTTGAAACTGTTCTTGGAAAGCGAGGCATTCAACGTGGACGTCAAGCATAAGGAGCGGAAAGAGCCGCTAGGGGAAAGCAAAGGCATGTTCAGTGGGCTTGGGCTTTCAGTTGGTGGAGGAGGGAAGTTTGTTGAGCAGGACGATGTAGGGTTTCATTCTACGATGATGGAGCTTGGCTAACTTCCACAGTGGTTCCACGAGCGACGAATATATTTGGATGCCCTTGAGAATCAATTGAAGGCTTTGTTGAAAGCTATGGATACGGTTGTGGCCCAACGGAAGGGTCTTGCTGAAGCCGCTGGTGACTTCTCTGCCTCACTTCATGCACTTTCAACCGTGGAACTCTCAGCTTCATTATCTGGGCCTCTAGAAGGACTTTCAGACCTGCAGATCCGAATCAAAGAGCTCTATGACCGCCAAGCCCAGCAAGACGTCCTCACGCTCGGTATTACGATTGACGAGTACATCCGTCTGATTGGCAGTATCAAGCAGGCATTTGGTTCTCGTCAAAAGGCATACCATTCTTGGCATGCAGCTGAGCAAGAAATGCAGAAGCGAAAAGCTACCAAGGAGAAGCTTCTTCGCCAAGGCAAAACACAACAGGATCGCCTAACGCAAATGCACGCCGATGTTGCCGATGCCGAGAGAAAAGTTCACCAAGCGAGGCTTTTGTTCGAAGATATGGGGCGTTTGATGAGAGGCGAGCTGGAGCGATTTGAGCGTGAGAAGGTCGAGGACTTCAAGAGTGCCGTGGAGACATTTTTGGAAAGTGCTGTAGAGGCTCAAAAGGAGGTGAGTTGACTTACCATATTCGCAAGTGATATACTTAACAATTCTCTAGCTTATCGAGATTTGGGAAACGTTTTTGATGCAACTGGACGCAGAAGAAGACGACAACATATTCTACAAGCCACCTGTGGAGCCATCTGCCCAATCGACACCACCGAGCGAAGCAACCCAACCACAAGCAGCGGCAGTAGTAACAGCAGAAGAAGATGACTAGATCAAGACTGGCGAATCAGACTAGGAGGCTAGAATGAAGGCCCTGTTACTTTCTATCTTGCAACATTTGCATCCATGAGCCATGGTGGGTCGGTGTAGTATTTTTTGTACACAGAATATTCCCATTTTCGAAACGCCGTCCAATGCTTCGCTCTTCATGCACCCATCCCGTCCTACGTTGTACCTAGTGTCCATAATACAGCCAGCAAGTACATATATCGTACAGTCCTCTTGCTACCAATTGCTCCACACATTCTGTGATGGCTCAGCACCACCCAAGGGGCATCCACGCAATGTTCCATTTGATCATCATCCTCTGCTCCTTGTACTTAGCCGATTGGTCCTATTCTCGTCCCGAATCACTCACTTCTTTCCCCCCTTTTTTCCCTTTTGCTCCTTTTCCACAGCAGCCATCAAATTCTCCATCCCGCTCTTCCCCTCCCCCTTCGCCGGTCCTTCTCTCGACTGCCCGCTAATCAGATCCATCAAACTCTCCTCCACATCCTCTCTCGACGAGTTTCCTTCCTCCCCCTCGCCAGCCTCGCCCTCCTCGGCACCATCCATGTCCCACCCCCGTCCAAACCTCTTCCTGAAAGCTCTCAGCCGTCCAGCCTCATCCTGCTCTATATTCCTTAAACTGTCAAGACTGGGCTGCCACATAGGATGGTTCCGCGTATCCTTGGTACTTCGGAAAATCGGTGCGGGGGATGTGGTGCGATGTGTGTATGTACTGCCATCGGAGAGGGTGACCAGTTGGGTGAAGGTATAGGGACGATGCGGACGTTTGAGGAGCGAGGCGTGCCGGACTTGTTGGTGCGCTTGTTGTGTGCATGCACTTTGGGAAGGTATCTGGGCGCGCCGGAGGGCGGTGGATGGAAGTTTGGATGCCATTGTCTTGTATCTTGTTGTGTAAAAAAGGTACTGGTGTGGTCTGGTGTGTTGGTATTTGGCACTCAAGGATATTTTTGAGTTTGTACGGCGACCTGGATTTGCCAAATATGTCGCTAATATAAATTTGAGCTAGTTCTTTACCCTGCCAGCCTGCTTCCGCAGCTTCGCATTTCAACATCTGAATTTAAACGTCCATTCGGACTATCCTTTCGATGTTCGCTCGAAATGGAGGGCAATTGGCTGCCAATTGTATGCGTGGATCAACTGCGGTTGAGAATCGCTTCTTCGATGTTTTGTTCCGTTGGTCGAGACTTCAATGCATCGCTGTTGGGCCAGGGTCTGGATTGAGGAGGAGTACGTCCGATGCTCCCAATCCAATATATCTACTACCTTTCCTTCGTTAGATGAACTACCTGTGCTAAAGTATTTCCCGACAGATTCCACTAAATCCTCCCCGTCGCCCTCCGCTTCTCCAGCAGCGACAACAGATATACACTCCCAGAGAGTGCGACAGATAATGCGCACTCTACCGCAATCCGTCGTCATTCTCACAACGACCGCCTCATCTACACCAGGCGTCGTAGATTGGACCAAGCCAGGCTTGAATGAGGCCCCAGATCCCTCACTGTATCGTGGCATGACCCTCTCATCCTTCACATCCCTCTCGATGTCTCGACAGCCACTCGCAACATTTAACATCGGCTTCCCGTCTCGAACTCTGTCTGCGCTCACGGAAAATCAGCATTGCTTGATACATGTGCTGAAATCGAACCCGAGAGGAGCAGATCTTGCAAAAGCATTTACGAGGGGAAATATTGTGCATAGTACCATTGGAGACAGCTCTCTGGGGGCAGAGATCGATAAGGAAAATGCGGGAGGGCATGATGAGAAGTCAATCACAGCGTTCGACTTGGCGGCACAGACAGACCCAAAGGTGAAGGTAGAAGCTCACACAATACGAAGACCCCGCAGGCAGGACGTCCACCTCCCCATTATAAAAAGCCCTGCTGTGAGAGCCGTTTTTGAATGCAGAGTTCTGGCACAGAGTGAAAGAGAAGGCGGGGGCTTGATACGCATTGGTGATCATGTCTTGGTTATCGCTAGAATTACGGGTGTTGCTGAGGTAGGGGACTACAGGCCCGGCCTTTTGCAGTTAAGGCAGGGTCGTTTCTCAAGTGGCACTGCTCTGTGCTATGCTGACGGCGAATACGCTGCGGCGAATGCATGTAGGGTGTCTACAGGGACGAACGGAGTGACAGGCAAGGACGAGAAAATGGTTGGAGATCTCAGCGGGCCAGTAGGTGCGACCGGGCAAACATAAGGGAATGTGGAAGGAACTCTATAAATGAGAAGATAGTTCCGAGGGCGTCGGGGCTCGGTATAATATGTGACGACACATGCACTCCCATGACTTTGAAAGCCTGGCTGGCAAGATGATTTCCGTGTAAGAATATAGATTCCCAAGAGCTAAAAGCTATGCTAAGATAGATTGATGAGGATTCAAAAGAGTCTGAATTGCAATCCTCCGCTCTTGTCTCAGCATTGTGTCGATGCTTGACTTCCGCCAAGTAAGAGATTTCTCTTATAGGAGATATCACTCATTCACCGATTACAAATGCTTTCTTTGTTTAGCTTTTCGTTTCAGCATACTTCGTAACTAGATAGTATCCGTGGCTCAAGTCAGGACGGGAAATTCCACCACACCGGCGAGAACAACAACTGGACATCAAATTTTCGAGGTAAATGCAATCACCAGTAGTTATACATCAGTATCAGAATCAAAACGAATAGATTCAAGTTATCATATACTTGAGATTCTAGACAGCTTTCTCACTGTGCCTAGCTTCATTCAGGACAAGCTGTATCTAGGACATCCACACCTATCAATCTCGTGATGCCACGCATCAGGTCTCCCAAACCCGGCCCTCAGCCAATACACACACCAAGGCATCACCAAGACGATCTCTTGAGAACAGCTAAAACACCGGCAGTGCTTACTGGCTCATCTCTTCCGGTGAACCTAATTACTATCTCCTTGCACCTCGCAAGCCCAGAATCACCAAGAAAGCCTCTCTTAAGTACGAAGCTGTTCAAAGTCCAATCCCAACAAAGTCGCTCGTGCAAGCAGTCTTAGCATGCAAGAAGGCTGTCGGCACGCAGCCAACCAGACAAGTGGAGAACACCCAAGGACAGCCCTTCCAACGAAAGCCGAACTTTCGAGACCTGCTTCTGTGGACAGGGGCACACCGATCTCGAGTATTCCCTCTGCAGTTTACCGTCGCCAACCAAGAATCACCAAAGTCGAGTGTCTTGCCTATGAAGCAGGTACACAATGCCAACGACGGTCCCACGCAAAGCAAGCTGCAAAGAGTTACAAAGCGAAAAAGCCAGTAAAGCGTGGTGGATTAGCCGAGACTGTGGAAGTAGATGGGCTCACTGGTGGACACGGAAACAGTACTTTGGAATGGAAGCTTTCGTGGCAAGCACAATGCTTTAGATGCAATGGCAAACAAACAGATTGGAGAAGCATCGAAACCTGCCAACAACCTCGGACACATACGACTACAGCTCAAGGTGGAAGTACGAGGCATTGCATGCCGGCCGCTTTGGACAAAGTGCTCCATTCCCCTCACTCTCGCCGCCACGGGTCCAGTCCTCTCGAGCATTCGGGCGTTATTGCTCAAGTGATAGTTCTTGCTCAGAAAAGCAGGACCGAACTGCTGAGAAGGCCAAGGCCCGCAAGGTAAAGACCATCGTACATTTTTTGAGATACATGGTAATTTGAAGTTTAGGGGCGTACCACTAGAATGGTCAACCATACGCTTTCGCTCACTGACCAAGATCACCGGGAACTTCGTATGGGCGAAACTCAAGCAAACATCGACGAGATGGATCAAGCATACTTTGATTGATGTGATGCACATAATGAGACCGGTTGAGCATATTCTTTAGCCTAAGATGGAATCATGTGAGAATTTCTTGTCTATGAAAGCAGCCGATCCGAAACAGGCTCTCCGTATTCATTCCAAATCTTCCCTTGCTGGTTTTGTTGATGATAATCGATGCTTTCAAGGACACCTCGGTTAATAGTCTGTTCCCTTCCTGTTGGCGCTTTTGTAAGCGAGTGCCCGCAGCTTCACAGAGGGGAACCGACTATTATTCTTCCTCTCAATTATATTTGGGTCGGGAAACACCTTTCCTCCTTTATATCGAAAGTTGACAATTGCGCACTCATGTCGACATCAACTTCACAATCCAACCATTTGGGAAGCCAAGCAGAACGAGAACTCAGGAAATTTAACAGTATCACAGATCAAAGCAAATCAAGAAAATGCAGTCGAACGAGGAATTCAATTCCAGCCAAGTGTTATATACACGAGTATCGTCCCAAGCGGGAGACACTCAATCATCTCAACACATCACATCGTCCAGAAACTACTCCATCATATCTATCATATATATACAAGAAATCAAATACGCATCAACAACAAGCTCGAATCGACGTCTCGAACAAGCTTGTGTCCTTGCTTCTGTCCCTCCTCTCTTCACGTCCCTTCGTTGCCTCTTGGTGAAGGAGACTTACTCGCAGTCATCCTCCTCCTCAACTGGTGCTGGAGTTGCAATAGGGGTAGCAGCCTCAGTGGTCGAGGCAACAGTGGTGGAAGGTCGGACCAGAGTTTGAAGCGTGGTTGGGGCGGTAGATGGAATCGCGGTGATCGAGGCTTCGACTGCGGCACTGGTTGCTACTGGTACTGAGGCGGCGGACGAAGCAATAGGAGCAGCAGAGGAAGCAACTGGAGCGCTGGATCCGGATCCGCCGACTGTGAAATCGACGCAAGACTCATAGGTCTGGTCGATGGATCTGGCATCCCAGTAGTGCTGAACAACACAAGCACCTGCGGTAGCACAAGTGGATCCGAGGTCAGATGGAATGGTGATTGAGAAGGAAGTTTGGTTGGCTGGGATGGCATAGGCGTTGTTGCCAAAATCGGAGTAGGTGATCAAGGGGCTACCGATGATTGTGTTGGTAGCGGTGTTGATGATCGACACATTGGCAGTTCCGGCATGGGGAGCCCGCACGTCGAAAGTGAATGGGACTACTTGTCCAGCAGTCCATGACTGGATGTTTGCAGCGTCGACATCAGCGAACTGGTAACCCTTGCATTGCCAAATGTTGCAAGCCTCAGCGTTGTAGTCAGCCTGCGAGGTGGCAACTTGAAGTTCTCCCTGGATGTTGCCGAAGGAATCAGAGGCCTGGTTGTAGAAGACCTGTTCACCGCATGCAGCCTTCATGGCTTCGCCAGCGGCACGGGGTGTTGGTGAGGTGATAGCACCATGGGCAGAGACTGTGCTCAAGAGGCCGGCGGCCGAGAGGAGAATGGCGGATGTGTATTGCATCTTGATGGTTGGTGGTTCAAAAGATGATGGTTTGGAGTAGCTGAAGGTAGCTTCTGAGAACAATGACCAGCACAGCTGTAATGAATGTAATTGGTGAGGGAAAAGAATGTGAGAGTCTAAAGACTAAAAAAAGAATGTACTTGGCAAGGACGAGAGATTCAGAAATGCTTGAGGAGGACAAGGAAAAGTTGAGCGGACGCGACGATAGTTTATATGAGTGACAGCATACTGTTCATCAGCCCAGGCCCACACAGCCAGTTATTTGCTGTCTCACTCATGGAGTCGAGACTTCTATACAGACCGTCCTCTTTCGCCGCATGTGTTTTCGCTAGAACGTAGCAAATAAACTCGATGACTTGCCAAGAAAGACCAGCCCCCCCAGCACAGTGGCCCATGGTGTTGGGTCCGCCTCATAAGCGCGTCGAATGTCATCGTACCAAGATCCAAGAAACCTCGGGATGGCAAGGGATTCTGTTCTTAATGTTGATGACAAGTGGGGGTCCTCAATCTATTTGTTTCTTGAGTGGCGGGTCGTTATCTTGTTCTGCCCCATGCGCCGTTTCGTCTGATGTTTCGGTGTCTGTGCGGATCCGATTTCCAGGGGTCGGCAGCCGCCGAGATTTGAGGATTTGCAGCGGCTCGCCGAATCCTAGGAATAGATTCTCGGACGGAATGTTGTTGGAGAATTGAAACCACCCGATTCTCGCAACAAGCCCCGATTCTCTTCTATATGGCGTTGCCAACTTTGAGGGAAATGAAAGGTTGAAAGGCGAACCGACTTCCTCCACGAGCTCAACGATTGCATTCTCCTCCTATCGCTACCATCTATGGACGAGCACAGTAAGGAGATTCACGCTCTTTCATTTGCAGCTTGACGTGCATGTAAATTTGCTGACAAGGCCCCGTCTTTGCGACAGCTGGCCATGTTTTTTTCTTCTTCTTCGAGTGTCTGAGTCAATGCCACTTCAATAGGTAAAACTTCCCAAACCTGTACCAGCGTTGGATGGATATAACCACTTATTCCGCAACGAGTGCCCGACTGAGCCCTGAGTCCTACTTTGACAAAGATGCTGGACGTTACGCCAAAGCTTTCCTAGCTAAGTATTACGCGCTACGAGACATATTTTGGCCTCACTTCCACTATTGGCCCATCCCTAAAACCTAGGATCCAATCGGTCATCTGATATTCCCCCGGCCTCCGTCTGAGCTGCTCCATATCATCCGCAAGTCCACCTCCGGTCAATCTACTGCTTATCTTCACCTCGTTTGCAAATAGAAGATGGGCAAGTGCCAGTTTTAGCGCGATGTAGGACATGTTCTTCCCAATACAGTTCATTGGGCCAATCAAGAATGGAGCACAAGCTGCCTTTGCTGCAGACACGTCTTCTGGTGTTACGCCTGTCGCAGGCGAAGAGATCCAACGCTCAGGACGAAACATCCACGGATCCGGAAAAACATCAGGATCATGATGAATCACATATAATGGTGAACCCACATTTATACCCTTTGGCAGAAGATGCCCATCTATGAGTAGACCACCTCTCAATACCTCGCGTGGCAACGAGCTTGGTTTTGGAGGGTTCAGTCGAAGTGTCTCCTCCAGGCATGCATGCAAATATGGAAGACTGCCCAGCTTTGGATTGCCAATCTCTTCCACGGATGAGAAACTCTCGCAGATCTCTTTGGTGATCCTATCCATAGCGTGTGGATTGTCAAGCAGGTAGAACATGCAAGCTGCGAGTGTAACAGCCACCCCATCGCTTCCAGCAGCAATGATAAGTGCAGAGTCTGCCTGCAATTGTTCGGTGGTGAACATTTTTCCTGAGACGGGATCTTTGCTGTTAAGCAAATAGTGAAATGTATCTTTCCTTGAGGAATCCTGATCGTCCATTTTTCGTTGCTTCTCGAGTTCCGTTCTTTCAGCCAATCTTCCATTTGCTAAGTTGGTGAACTTGAGCGAGTCGGCAGCTGCCTGGCCGCCGATGTAATCCTGTACCCACGTTCCCAGCAAAGGCCGAACCAGGTCAATGAAAGGAAGATAGCCGACGTAATATAGGAAAATAGAAGCTGACTTCAAAACACCTGGAATCCACCTGTTCTCATCATTGCCGAGCATGCCGAAACTCTTTCCATACCCCAGATCACTTACGAAATCGAATCCGAAGAATGTTGCCCAGTCGTTGAAATTCTTCGGCTCTGACCAACCTTCATCCCCGTTTCCAGCAGTGAGGGCCTGGCAGAAGTTTTTTGCACTGATTGAGATGAGCCTTTCAGCTTCCTTCAGCGCTCGCTCGCTAAATGCCGGTTGAAGGAATCGTCGTCTCATCGCATGCTCGTGTTTATCAATTTCCATTTGGACAGACGGAGCTCCAGCACTGATATCCAACGTTTTGTACCAAGCGCCTTTTTTCACGTTGGCTTTTGGACCATGAACTAACGGGATTGAACTAGGTGTTGATATCGAGAGCGAGTTGGCTCCATAACGGACGATCGATCCTAAGTTTCCACTTCAGTCTTCTGCCTTCACTGTTTCCGATAAGCTGCGCACCATATTTTAAATGATTTTCGTATTCCCACAGATGTCTATCACCGCGATAACAGTGGATCACCAAGGGCCAGTCTGATATGCGAGCGAAGAAGGGCCCTGGGAATTTGGCGAGTGGATGAAAGGTCAGCCGGTATGAGAAGACAGTCATAAACTATGACTAGTCAACAAACCGACTTGTGCTCATCGAGGAAGCTTACATATAGAGCAACGGCAACGCAAACGAAGATTGTAAGTTCTGTGGGAGAGCTCGTTGCCCATTTGGGATAGAGCTTCTCTGCAGTCAACATTCTGGCTAAGAGAACACTCTGTTCCTTTCCAATTGAGATTCAGGTTTACTATGCTTCTTCGAGGATGATCGAGGCAGAACAAAGTGATTGAAATGCCGTGAATAGAAGATAGAGACTATCTCGTAACGGTAATAATGCTCCTTATCTCGGCCTGATAAGCAGGTAGCGGGGTACCTAGAGTGATGCAGCTGCATATGCTCGAATGCATGAGACCTGCAAGGCCAACAAATCAGATCAATACAACCTTAGAATTAGGCCACTGATTTCAAAACAGTATCAACTGGTAGGGAGCGAAGTTGAACTGTGGTTAAAGATATCTTTTCGCTGATAAGCTTTGTGAGAGTTCATGCCCACGCTCTCCTGCAAGAGACCCCGATCACAGAAATATGGTTTTGAAGCTCTGAAATGTCAGCTGGATTGGCTCCTAAATAAGTCATTCATTTTGTATCTTTTAGCCACTAATAAATGTACAAAAATGACTTGAACATGGAATGCCCAGCTGGCAATTGGACCTGACGTGTAACGGTTCGCTTCGGTCTTGTCAATGTTGATATTGATATGCTAACTTTGATTGTTCAGCAGTGCCATACAAATCAACCAAACACCTTGTTATTCACTTCTAACCACGAAACTTCACCACTTCGTTGAAGCTGATTCGTTCAAAGAACTGTCCATGGATTAAGAAGTTTGACCTGCTAGGACACCAGGAGCTCGCCAATACGATGGCATGCAGGTCGAGTCACATTGACCAACCCTGTCCAGCATGATGAGATTCGCTAAAGCTATTCGCCAGCTCGTGTCATGAAGCCAATCACTCTCGATTTAGGTGACTGTATTGCGTTTCATTGGAACATCCAAACAGGTGGCATCTGTAAGGCGGATGGAAAATGCGGAGCTGGACGGATCGAATGTCTCATTCGGGCATCGACTGCTGTGAAATATCATCGGTTGGCCAATCTATTTCCCCACAGAATAGTTTTATATCTGATCAGACATGCGGAGGCGAAGGAAACGGGGTGGGGCGATCATTGTCATACTGAAATCGCTCCGTGTAACCATCCAAGCTCAGATCAGTGTTCACTTCCGCTTCAGCGAGTCGATATCCGGTCGCGGAATTGAGGAGAGCTCTCTCTCGTTTATACGATACAGTCACTCTTCCTGGTTTCTGGCCGAGACTTTCTCAGAGAATTCTATGCTGACAATCATGAATGAATCGAAGAAAGAGCATGCTCTTGTAATCCAAGATGTAGCAAGCCAAGATGGTATGCCAGGTCAGCGAGACGATGGCGTCGTTCAAATCAACTTCAATGTTTCCCAAAGGCGAGGGGGTATGTTTGAGGTTCGTCGTGTCAAGTCCATGTCGACTAGATATATACTAAAGATAAAAGCGATACATTAACCCGCAAGCCATCGTAAATTTTGGCTTCACTTTGCAAGCTGCTTGGGAAGCATCTGTGGCATCGTTTCAATTCAGTTTACTCAACGGTGGGCCAGCATCGCTTGTGTATGGAAGCATTGTGGCTGGCATTGGTTCAACCGCCATCGCGTTGTCGTTGGCTGAAATGGCATCTCTGTAAGTATATCCAATTTCCAATATTCTACGATAACTTTGACACTTACATAACCCAAAGATCCTGTCGTGGGAGCACATTATCGCTGGTCAGCAGCATTTGCACCTTCGAATCCTAGGTTTTGGGGACTTTTTCAAGGGTAAAGTCAATACTCCCTCTTTGAGAACCGGCCATCTGACAGATGCAGCTGGATCACTGTTTGGGCATGGATTACAGCAACGGCAGCTAGCCCGGCTTACCTGTCCAACATTGTCACCAGTTTAGTGATATTCAATTATCCAGAGTATGAACCAAAACGATGGCATGGGACTCTACTCATGTGGGGTTTCGTGCTAATTCCAGTTGTATGGAACCTCTGGTGCCGAAAAATGCTGAACACACTTGAGATGATCGGAGGCATTTGCCACTTATTATTCTTCTTGGTGTCAATAATCACTCTGATTGTCATGGCAGATCACAGTAGCCCTGGATTTGTCTTCAACAATTTGTGGCACGAGTTCAGCGGCTGGAGCAATCCCGGCGTGGCTTTCAGCATCGGAATTATTACAGTGACGTTTCCTATTACTGCCTTTGATGGTGTTATCCATATGAGTAAGTCTCAAATTTGTATCTGCTCAAAGCACACTTACTTGCCTAGGCGACGAAGTGAAAGGAGCCCGAATACAGGTTCCGCACAGCATGATCATCGCCGTTACCTCAAACAGCATCATGCAATTCTCCTTCATGGTGGCAGTCATGTTTTGCACCGGAGACGTTGACCAAGTCACAAATACTCCTACTCTCCTTCCGATCATTGAGGTATACTACCAAGCCACGAAGTCGAAGCCCGCCACAAATCTGCTTGTGTTCATGATAGCTCTGATCTTGTTCATCTCTCTGTTCAATATCTTTGCCTCAGTCTCCAGACTGGCTTGGTCGTTCGCTCGCGACAACGGTTTGCCGTTCTCCAAGACTTTTTCGTCCATCCACCCGAGACTAAAAATTCCACTCAACTCTCTTCTCCTCGTCGGAACCGTGTGTTGCCTCCTCGCGCTCATCAACATCGGTTCCCCAACTGCTTTCAATGCTTTGATCTCTCTACCTACCATTGCGCTTTACATGTCGTATTTTATCCCGATCCTGTTCCTCGTCATCAGAAAATTACAGAATCGTCACCCGACTTATGGACCTTTCAAGCTTGGGCGCTGGGGACTGCCGATTAACCTCTTTTCTCTGATCTATATTCTGTACATTCTGAGATTTGTACCGTTTCCCGTTATGCTTCCTGTGACGGCAACTACGATGAACTACGCTGGCCCAATGATGGGAGTGATAATTGTTGTTGCGCTGGGAGATTGGGTGATATCGGGCAGGAAGAGATTTGAGGTTCCCGTTGCTGTCTCTGCAAAGGAGGAGGATTAAAAGCCAGATCTTGTATCTTTGGATGGTACCTTTGTTTAAAGCTCCTTGTTGATTTCATATTGTTCTATCGTAAGCATATACTATTACATAAACATTGGCCAATTTTCTGCCCCCTATTTATCAGAGGTTGTTAGGTAGCTACAAGATTTTGGAGAACAGTGCAGTGGTTGAACAATGTCGCTAATGCCGGCGCGGGGCTCGGTTAAGGCACTCGCGAAATCAACAAATACTAAGAGTGAGCTGCTGTTGTATGGTGGAAACCAAGAATTAAAAAACAGAGGCTACGAGATGGCATTCAATCCTTCTCCATTGTTGCCCTATCGTAATTGCCCTACACAAGTCTCTTATACTCTAAAGGACAATTAAAGTCTCCAAAACCTCTTACTCTTCATCGATGGTGCCGCCACCGTGAAGTCCACACAAGATTCATATGTTTGCTTTGCCCCAGTTCCGTACCACCACCACTGAATGACCTTTAATAAAAATATTAGTTTCGATTTAACCGTTTAGAAGCTGCTGCAAATACGCAATCAAGTGCTTGGAGATGGAACGAAACAGGGATCAGAAGCAAAAGGGAGCAACCTACACAATCCCCAGCAACAGCGCACTTAGCCCCGAGATCCGTCGGAATAGTAAAAGAGAACTTGGTCTCATTAAGCACAGTCGGTTTCTTCTCATCCGCGTATTTTGCCCAGTATACAAGATTCGGCGAAACGATCTTGTTGGTCTTCGTGTCGACAATGCTGACGTTCGCCAAGCCGAAATGTTTAATCCTGTTCACTCAACATCAGCATATGTCTGACTGACATCTGAATTGTTGCAGTAGTTCCAGTAGAAGAATGCCTACCTCAGCCAAACCTCCATATCAACCTGCTCTCCAGGCTTGTAAGTCAGAACATGATCTTTGTTATCCGCAAACTGCAACCCACGGCAAAGCCAGAGGTTGCACTGATCAGCGTGAAATTTTGGGTCTTTGGCGCCTGCTTCGGGGAGATCCTCAACAAGCGATGTGTTATCGCCTTTGATGTTGTTCGTGATACTTGGTCCGCATGCTGCGAGAGAGGCCGCCTTGTGTATGTCAGTTTGCAGAGCACAAGAATCTTGTTTTCTATTTCCGAGAATGGGAAGCACGAAGGGCATCGAAGCGTCACTTACACCAGGTGTCCGCGGCCACGGCTTCGTGATAATCCCGTGGCCATTCACTGCTTCTAGAAGCGATGTGACTGCTAAGACATTGTGGAGAGAAAAATACATCTTCGCTTTTCGTTGTGTGGGTTCTGCTAGGACCGCTGACCAAGGCACTATTTCTGCAGAGCAAGAATGAGGGGATTTCCGTCCTTTTCACCTCCTCGGTCCAGCTATGTTATCTCGGGGAGAAGGTATGAGACGCATGAAATCATTCCAGATACTCCTTGGATGAAGAGTACATTCTCATCAGGCTGTTTGTCAGGCTGTGTGGAAGAAGGGGGCGATTGATCTAGCGAGAGTCCGGAGCCAGGGTGACGACGCAAAATCCGGCACCTGCTTCAATTCCACTTTACGAGCCTGATTTATCTCACCTGTAGAGTAATTTGATATAAGAAGGATCGTAAGAGCTTTATCTGACCATTGACTCGTAGCCACTTGGCCGCAGTCCTTGTATCCCATCACTCATATTTTCCCCCACACGTATGAAGATCCCTTGGTGAACCTCTGGAGGGCAATATGAGCTTGCGATGATCTCGCATTTGACGATTCATTTTGAAGTTAAAGCTTATCAATGCAGCAGAAAGTCTGGTCATGGGACATATGTGCAGTGTACTTAGCCAACTTGTCAAAGCAGAATAGCCAGATTGAGCCGCAATATCGACGTTTCAAGGTGGGTGCAGATCAGATAAACAATCATAGATACCTCTCAGAAACTTTTCAAACACTTTCCTCCAATTAACATCTCTTGCTTCAGACGCGTCTGATTCTCTCATCGGGAAATTGACAAATCATGGTTTCATGTGCCGTGCGCGACCTGGACCACTTGGAAAGTGTGGAAAGTGTGGAAAGAAAGAATTTGATGCGAAAACGTGCTGCATGACAGTGCTTAAGAAATCCCAGCTGGGAGTTGGATATCGATAAGCAACAAATACCGCGTAGAACTCATGCTGGTGGTAGAAAGAGACATTTGGTGGTGAAGGGCTATTGTATTCCAACCGAATCTCAGTAGGCATGGCCATCAAGCCAAGCTCAGAGCCTGTGCTTAAGGTTAGCTTTTAGCCCTTGGCGCATTTTGGATACCGACCTCGATTTACCCCACCACCAACCTCATAGCTTCAGGAACGAATGTACAACAGCTTCTAATGGTGACATCAAAGCTATATACGACTGCGGAAATGGCATCTTCGTCTCTACTGATATAGGCGAGATTTTTGGGGTGGGTAGCGTCGCCTTGACCCTCCAAAGCTGATCTCCAATGCGCCGAGATCACCACCAGGACGACAGTGATCCGAGGCTCTCCTATGAGGGACACCACTAACGTATAACCCCAATTCCTATTTATATTCTTCCTCTCCATCTGAGAAGGTCCTTGGTTGTCAAATATCTTCTGGATTTCCCTCGCCCTTTCACAACCATGGAACCTATCTATCAATCGCTGACAGAGCGCGCTCTAGCCCTGAAGTCCAAAATCGATTCTGACACGAACCAAAATCGAGTGGTAGTCATCCTCGCCGGTCCGCCTGGCTCAGGAAAGTCCATGATAGCGCAGCATGTTGTCGAACGACTAAATAGCACATGTGCGACGCCATTTGCCTCCGTAGTCCCCATGGACGGCTTCCACCTCCCTTTATCGACCCTCGATCGAATGCCCAATAGAAGCGAAGCCTACGCACGGCGCGGGTCGTCCTGGACATTTGATGCTGCAGGTGTATCAAACTTGGTTCAAACACTCTCCAAATCGCGCTTCAAATCACCAGATAAAACGGAGACCATACTAGCTCCGAGTTTCGATCATACCGCGAAAGATCCAGTGGAGAATGGCATTGTGATCGGGCCGCATATAAAGTTCGTGCTGTTGGAAGGCAACTACTTATTAATGGATGAAGAACCTTGGAGGAATATTAGGGAACTGGTGGACGAGAGCTGGTTTGTGGATGTTGAACCTGAGTTGGCCCGAATTCGCATCGCGAAGAGACATGTCAGGGCTAGAATTGAAAAGACCATGGATGCAGCATATCGGAGGGCGGAGGGTAATGATCTACTCAATGGAGTGGAGATCAGGAGGAAGCTGAGGAAGCCTGATGTTTTGGTGCAGAGTGTCGAGGAAACAGCATGACCGAATCCATTACAGATTACCTTGTCTCGCTAGGATACAAATATGAAAGTTTTCAAACCACTCCAAGGAGCCTTTTTTCGAAAGCGCTTTAAAATGGGCAGATACCAGCATCTTAAATGTTGGAACTTGCCCGTTTTCCGTATCATGTGGCCGTCAATGCAGCCAAGCAACTGTTTCCTTATATGGACCCAGACTTCGCGTCTTGTCTGTTCATTCTCCTAAGATCTGGGCTTTAAATCTCCGATCCACCACTTTATTGCCAGTATCTCTGCGCCACTGGCTTCTAAGTTTCTAGTATCAGACATCCACGCGCAGTCATGTTTGTGCGAATCATCCACCTGACAAAAATATCAGGCGACTCTCCATCCAAGTAGAATATTTTCACCACCGTACGACTTTTTTGCCCAAAATATATTATAATGCAAATATCTTCTCAATGACCCGGAGGTTTTCGGCCATATACATGGCCAGAACCGCTGTGAAGAGACATGTCCTCCATGATGAGCCATATAACGCCATACTGTCACTCGCCACAACCCGTATGCAAAGACTATTCGGCGACCAAGCCACGCCAGCAACTGAGCTCCCAAACTACAAGAAGATCTCTCTTGAGATGCAACGCATGGTTTGGATCTAATTTATTCCTAAGGCAAATTTGTCAAAATCAGCTCCAGGAAGCACCTCAATCATAGTCGGGGCCCGGCACTGAAAGCGGACACGATTTCGCCCCTCGTGCTCTCGATCAGCAGCAAAGCTCGGAAAGTCGCTCTTGATCACTTCCCCTCTCATTCGAGCCCGTGCTTTCGGTCTGGTATACTTCAATTTTCTCACGACACATTGCTCTTTGAGGACAGGTCCAGCTGCGAGATATTCCAGGGCCGCAACATCTGATGGGGCTATTCGGCATTGCCTGGGAGTGTATTTTGAGTCGCAGGAATTTCTCTTTCTCCTTCGGCGGAATTGGAGTACGATATCAAGAATAGCAATAACCAATCAATACCTAATGCGTAGACTAATATCAGTCCGAATTATTATTGTCGCGGGAGCCAAGTGCCACGCGCATTAGCGTGCCTCGGCTGTGAATGTAAACAAACATTGTTTTCCCTGTCGCAGGGCCGCGATATCACCGCCAAAGGGGAGGGCGCTGGATCAATCTAAGCAACACCTTTTAAGGACATAACAGGTATGCTCGTCTTCCAGAAGCCGGTGATCAGGCCTTTGACTGCAATGCTCCAAGTCCGGCATGGATCCAGCAAGACCATGCTGAAAATGTATATGCTCTCGTTCTACAGTAGCGCCTCGGCTCCAATCTACATCGGCCTCGGCAGGAATACTTATGTTCTTTACTTATGCTTATTTCACTAGAGACTTCTTCCTACTCTCCAACGTCCGCGCAATCAATAGGAAGGTGCACATCATAGAGCTTGGTGACGCAAGAGCTGCAATCTTGATCGTGTGGTTCATTTCCAGAAGTTGGCTCGGATGATTCTGAGGCAGGAAACAACGTGAAAACCACAATTATGCTGAGCAAGGCGTATTAAAGAATTTTTAGTTACACGGGAATACTTTTAACGCAATGTGCAGGTTCGCGGAAAGATCGAGGAGCAACATAAGGAGATAAATGTAGGATAAAGCGGGATAAGCTGCGACAGCTTTAGAAAGTTTTGAGATTCTTGCAAACTTATTACACCTTCATAGAGCAGGTCTTTGTGCTTCAGGATTTGTCATGAGGAAAAGGAGCTTCTAAGACAACAAAGATACTGGTCCCCTCTTCATTCGAGCCCCAGTTCGATGTGAATGAGGTGCCTATATTTGCTACTATAGATGCATTCATGGACGAATTCCTGGCAAAGTGCTAGTATTCGGCAATTCAAGTTTTCACAGCAACACAACGAATTGACTTCGAGAAGTAGAATAGGAAAGCGAATGAGAAAAGGAGAGAAAAGGACAAACGGGAGAAATCCGTCTGATGACATAATCTGCACCAAACTTATTTTTGGCTTAGCGCATCTTGTGTCGTCGTCAACTGCCGTTTCAGAATTCAAGCCAGCCAGCAATCTCCATCACAAACACCAGCATCAACCGATTGGTAACATAGCTGCTGATGTTGGAAGAACAAGAACGGCAGAGAGGAAGAGGATCGGGCCTGGGAGTGATTGCGTCCTTTGGGTGCAGACTATGATCTCGGTACTTGATAATACAGTCACGTGGGCATAAAGATGGAAGTTGACCAAGACGTCTCAAAGGGCTCGAGAAAGCCGCATAAAAAATCAAGGCTAGGCTGTGCAAACTGTAAGAGGAGAAGAATCAAGGTTAGTTTCAACATACTTCTTTCTAAAATCTTCAGGGCATAAGTGAGGCTTGTGGGAATATTGTGATACCGATATAGCATGCAGCTCGGTCTGCACCAATGAACGCACCTTAATTTGAAGAAGACTAACACTTGTCATAAGTGCGATGAGAGAAAGCCGACCTGCTCGAATTGTGCCAGGCACAATATGGCATGCGACTTCTCTGTCTCGGCAGAAATTTCAAATCTGGGATCAACCCATACCCACCAACAAGCTAGACCCAGGAGAAAGTTCGTAGCATCTGGGTACGAAGTCAACGCCACGCTATACACTACTACTACAGATGCTCACTCCAGTCCGATTGGAACCAACTCTTCAATCAGCTCGCCGCCGCCCAGTAGCCAGGTCACATCGGCCCCTACCCATGGACTCAATGTATTAGAGATAGAGATCTGGCACCACTATCTGATGAAGACCTGCCCTTCATTCTCTGGAGATGGTCTCGAATTTTGGCAGGAGAAACTTCCCGCTATTGGATTCTCCTACCCTTTCGTTCTGCAACTCATACTTTCCTTGTCTGCCTTCCACCTGGCTCGATCGAGACCAGACAAGGAACATATTTTCACCCCCGCGGCAGAGATGTATCACACGACCGGAATCCAAAGCGCAACTGCCCTGTTGGCTTCGTTGGATGAGACCAATTGTGAAGCCATGTACTCGGCAGCGAATTTGGTTTCATTTTGCAGTCTTGCGAGAGGTCCTCGACCTGGCGAGTTCCTGGCTTTCAGCAGCCATGGTCCGGCTGAGTTATTCAATCTGTTGAGAGGAGTCCGTCTGATTGCGGCGGCACAGCATCAACAACTGAGCTCGGGTGTTCTCGCACCATGTGCCAAAGAAGATACACGAAAACCATTTACCAAACCAACCCAGCCATGCCCGGATTGCAAACCACCAATCAGTGCGCTTCGTTGGTTCATCAATTCCAGTTCAGACCTGCTGGAACCATACTCGCAGACATACCTCACGGCACTCGATGCTCTGCTTCGATCCTTCCATAGTGTCTACGCTACGTCAGAAGAGAACAAAGATAATGAAGACCAGCATTCGCAGATAGTTTTCACATGGCTCTACCGCGCATCAGATGAGTACATTCGGTGTGCCCAGGAGAAGCACCCGATTGCACTCATCATATTCGCCTTCTTTGCGGTCTTGCTACGCGAGACAGATGACCAATGGTTCATGGAGGGATGGGTACACCATATAATTGGAGGAGTGTGTCAATTTGTGCCGGATGAGCTTCGACGATGGCTGAGCTGGCCAATTGAGCAGTCGGATTTTGTTGCTAAGGATGGGCAAGTATTCTGATTACTTGAATGGTCTAACGCAGTTGTATGAGTTAAATCCGCATGTACTATAGCAACAACCTTAACTCAAGGCAGTGTATAGTCTGGAGCAGATCAGAAATCTATCGAGGGTGGCTTCAGTCAATACGCTAGTCACAGTGGAAGGTGCGACCATGTTCTTACTCCTATCCCATACTCACCGTCCTTCACCTTAACCTGTACTCAGCATTCACTCGACCTATCTTATCTATGGATGATTCACATCGTCAAGCGAGGTCGAACTGTGGCTAATCACACACATCGTAGTTGACTTTTCGGCTAAATATCTCCATTTGACTAAGGCACCATATCCCTACCCTCCCCTAAATAAACTCAAAAAATATCCCGGAGAAGAATTCTCTTAACGAGACTCAGATAGCATGAAGATGAAGACAAGTATTTTCAATCTTGTGGTGCCCTTGTTGGTCCTCGCCTGTTCGGCAGCCGTCCTTCCACATTTGAAGTCCTCCTCTACCAACCTGACCAACGATGGACTCGCACGTATCTCGAATCGGGCAAGTGTACAAAATTTCTATCTCCGCATCATGCCTTTAGGAGCTTCAATCACAAGAGGTGACCCTCATGCTCCTGGTGACCCTCACGGAAATGGCTATCGAAAGGCGTTGAGGGATAAATTACGAGCAGATGGCTGGAAAGTCAACATGGTCGGTAACGTCAATTATGGTGATATGGCGGACAATGTGAGTCTCGACAGAACAGTCGAGTTATTCTTGAAATGTACTGACTAGATCTAGGACAATGAAGGCTGGCCAGGCAACCGTGTATCCGAGGTGTCCAACAAGGCTAGCACTTCAGTGCCAATATGGAAGCCCAACCTCATTCTGATCAATGCCGGCACCAACGACGCTGGACAAGACGGATCAGTTGAGCCAGTCGCCACCACAGGACTTCGCATGAAAGCCTTGCTGGAGAGCCTGTTCAAGCTGGTGCCCGACACAGTCGTTGTTTTCTCGACACTTCTCCCTAATAATGGCCCTAAGCCAATTGAACCAGTCAATGCAAAGGATGTCAGCAGACAATACCGAGCTCTGTACCGAGAAATGATCGGTCCAGACGAGAACAAGCCACGTATGAAACTCCTTCTCGCCGACATGGACGATGGTTTCATCACCTTGAACGACATATGGGATGGAGCACATCCAACATTGGAAGGAGCCCGCAAAATGGGAGCTGTGTGGATGCACGCCATTAACCAAGCAAACGAAAAGAATTGGTTCTCCAAGCCTCGAGACGATGTCTCGTTTGTTGATGGAGATGGAAAGACCACTTGCGAAAAGCAATATACCAGTGGTAACGATGACCCTCGTGGCCATCCTCAAATTCTCTCGGCTTCTGATCCTATCATCGCGGACGACGGGCCATATGTGCATCGCTCAACTCTTGGGTCAACCCGCATGGTTTCTCCTCGGGGATCTTTCCCTGATGAGCGTCGCTTCTATGCACAGCTCGTTGATTTTGGTGCACCGCGAGCCGAGGGGCGAGACGATGGTAAGTTCTTCCCTACTCGCTCACAATTCTCTAGGACATCAAAGACCATGTGATCGTGAGCTGATATTCAATTCTAGAGATCGTCGTGAGCAATGGGAATGCCAAAGTTGGAAACGTACGTCTTGCCAGCAGCCGCGGCGATGGTTCTTTCGATGTGCCTGTCGATATCGACGTGAAGGATGGGTGCCCTGTCCAGGGTATTAGATGGGGTGATGTCAACAACGACGGCTTCGATGATTTCATCTGTATTGCACCAACTGGGGAGATGTTCGTGTCCCTCAACACCGCAGCAATTGGTCAAGCAGTACCCACTTTCAAAACTTTAGGATTGGTGAGTGATTCTTCGAGGGAGGATTTGGACTTCTCATGTACGGTTTGTGCTAAGACTTACACCTAGTATCATCCTGCAATTTCTGGCTTTCTTCAGGAGCGGGTACTTCTTGGAGATATCGATGGCGATGGTAGACTTGACTACTGTATTCTGCACGACAATGAAGATTTACAATGCTTTAGAAACGGAGGCATTGGGGAGCTGGCTAGTTCATGGGAGGACATGGGTATCGTATTTGCAGGGAAAGCCATGGGGGACTTCCGAGGCTTTCGACTTGGTAAGGGTTTCTTGATTTCGAAATGCAACTTCTTCATGTAGCAGTCTTGCATTGTCCAAAGCTAACATAGTGCCTACAATACCAGTTGATCTCAATGGAGAGTAAGTTTCAGCGTACTACAGATAGATCTAGCACAACGAGCTAACATATTCTGCTTGTAGTGGGCGATCGGATTTACTCTGGATATCTAATCAGGGCTCTGTGACAACGTTCATAAATCAACGCGGAGAAGGTAAAGGATTGGCTCCACGATGGCTCGCAGCCGGTGTCACTCATTCAGGTATTGGCGAGGATGTCGGCGATTCCAGATTTCGGGTCCAGTTCGGAAGAATTTATGGATCAGGACGAAGAGATGTAAGCTGTAATAGTAGCTCAAATTTTTGGGGAGAAGTGATATTATTTGATTTCTCGATTTTCTCACGCAGTTATGCTGATTCATCGTTGTAGTATGCTCATATTGCACAGAGCCTTGACCAAGCCTCGAATACCTACCGCGTCAGGGTTTTCCAGAATCTGGGATCGGGTGGAAAATTTCAGAAGGGTAAGGATTCAGAAGTTGTACGGTCTTGTCGCTAACAAAACTGCAGGTGATGGTGCGTTCTGGGGCGATACAACAGGCACAAAATTCGACGACTATGTCTGGATATCCCCAGTGGGTGTTGTTAGCGTCTTCAGAAATAAGAACACCAAGACAAATTTTGACAACTATCAGAATGGTGGCTCCTGGGAAGCCTCGATAAGCTTCGCCACTGGTCTCGACCGCAGAGCTCTACATATTGGTGACTGGGATGGAGACGGAAAAGCCGATATCATTGGCGTCACAGATAGGAAAACCGGCCAGATTCGTGTTTGGCTCAACCACTGGAATGGCAAAGACTTCGGTTGGACCGCCCAAGATATAGCCGGCAGCGCTTTCTGTAGTCAAAGTTGGGGAATTGGATATTCCGATAATGGGCATCACTTTGCCGACATCAGGTAAGACCCTCAACCAATGAATCATGTCTTGGAAGTGGAAATAAGTTAAATCCATTTGATGAGTAGTGGTAATGGCAGAGTTGATTACCTCTGCATGGAACCTAATGGCCGGACCACTGCACTGATCAACGAGGCCAGTGGCTTGAGAAATGTAGGACAAGTCAAAGCATCCGAAACTGATACACCAAGATACCGCCCCGATCTCAGATTCGCAGATGTAAACGGTAGGAGCGAAGTCCTTTCTCTTTTGAGTTGTTGCTGACAAGCGGCTAGGCGATGGACGAGCAGATATGATCTGGACCGATAAATACAGCGGTGACGCGACCACGTGGCCGAATCAAGGGGAGGTCCCCGCAGGAAATAGCAAGTTTACATGGCTCCGAACGGGACCTGTTTATCAAGGCTCATCTCGAGGATCGAATCTTCACTTCCCGAGCTTGCAGGGCCAGGGTCGAGCAGATATGGTGGAAATCAATCCGACAACTGCACATGTAAGTGTGAACTGTGTTAGTGGTCGGAGACACATTTGGCTGACATTCTTGAAGGGCTGGTTGTACTTCAACAGTTGTCCCAGAGGGGGAGATGATGTCGCAGGACCTGTCCCTGACCCAAAGCTACCGGTCTACACTCCTAAATCTGGCTCTGAGGAAGTTAAACAACACTAAAGTCAATGACCCAGCCACTGAGATAAACCCAAAATATGTAGAGTCTTCTCGATGCTGCTAGCGATTTCCATTGCTGTTTGTTGCCTAAGCGAGGGACTACCACGGAGAATAGTCCCTGGCCACTGAAGCCAGGCTGCAACAAAGAACAAACGGGTTTCCTCAAATGAAACCTTGCCACACATAGTACTTCTCTCCGAGCAGAATTTGGAAGGAATCAAGCAAATTCAGCCTCTTATTATCTTGTTTATGCTGAAGGATGGCAGGCATGCATGAAGTGACGATCTAGCTCGCTTGTCTGTTCCAACTCGCCTCAGGATCGGGTCATGGCCTAGGCGACCTGCCCCTTCTTCTTAAGTGATTGTGAAATGAGATCATTGCTCTCCGGACTCTGAGCCCTCAAGGTAGCCCTTGGTCCATGAGAGTGAGCCAAGTGGCAATTCAACCTCACCGAGACCAATAACTGCCAAGGACTGCAGATTCAGAACAACCTTGATACTCTCGTTCGGGACAATATTTATTCATTTCTCCTATATATTAAGAGGGCTGCTTCTCCCCTCATCTTGACAGACGAACAAGACTTGGACTTTCCTATCTCGTTACTCATCCATCTTCTTTAGCTGTTGCCCGTTCCTCGGTGTTCGCCTAGACTCTCCGCTGTGTCTCTGGAGCATTACTGCGATTCGCTTATGTTGATCAGCTCGTCGGAACAGTGCAATGTTGTTATGACGACGAACGGCCTTGGGTGTAGAAGCTCAACTGTAAGTACTTATCGGATGGCTGATTCGATGGAGTCATCGAGTTAAGCATCATGTCTCAACTCGGTCCCCTCAGATCTTGCTCCCGATGTGTAACTTTCAGACATATCTCTCATTAAGACCCCATAGTCGTCATTTCCTCCCGATCTCTTCTGCTTGCGTGAAAAACGGAAGGCAGCTCGAGTTCACTTCCTGCAAGTCTCGTTGAAAGAGTGGGTAGGAAGAACACCGTGACCAATCACATTCGGTGTGTGATTATAGACCCAATATTGGCGTCGAGATAAGTGGTGACTTATGCCTGCTGAGTTGAGTTTCTATTGATCTATGAGACAGGAAGAACTTTAATTGGGATAGCGTACTTGCTGTTCGCTGATTCCAGAAGATGCCAAGTAGCTTGTATCTCTTGTTGTAATCTCCTCCTACAACCCATACAAACGCCTAAGAAGGTGAGGTCTGCTTCGGTGATGTCTTTTATGACATCCCATGTATCAAAACCTTCGGCAAGAAAGCGGGGAGTGTACTTCGACATTCCCAAGCGACATAGAAGTGCTGACGTGTCTTCCATCATGTCGGGTCTGGCAGGATTCATGATTCTGATGTGAGGTACAAGTAATAGCTATGGTAATTGAGGCAAGATGTGATATTTAGTTGTATGTAAACAATGGGAGCGAGTGACATGAGAATCTTGAAGTGGAAAGGCATCCTCGATTATATAGACGTTGATATAGAGACCGTGAAAGAGAGAGGGAAAATTCAACGTCACGTCAATTGGAGGTGAGATGAGATGAAGGAGGAGATTATGGCCATGGAGCATGTTCATTGGTACAGATATGTGGAGCATCACCAGACGGAGGCCAGCTCCGCTGATCAGCAACAGTGACAGCGGAGAGAATCTCCGACAAGTTAAATTGTGGGACTTCTTCATTGGTTGGCTACTGTAATATTCTGCCAGAGTGTTTGTGGCACAACCCGAAATTTTATACCCAGGCTGCTGGTGGCTTTCCTTGGAGCCGTTCGAGGGCAGGGCTGGGCCGGCATAGTCGAACCCCCGGTCGCAACTGTCCGTGGTGCCTGCAATGAACATGTGACTGCAATCCTCTCTGAGAGCAACAGGTAAGGTCTGCAGGGTTTACACCTATTAGCTGATGCTTAGAATGTGCTTCTCCTCGTTTGATGGCAGTGTTAGGAGATGGGACAAACATCCGACTTATACATATCACTTAAGAGAGACCACTTCGAAATCACGGAAACGTACTGAGTTAAAACTCTTCCTTGGGTTCGGTAGCGGCTCCTCACGGTGTTTACTTTCAGTCCTCCAGTGCTACCGTGTCTCACTTCCGCCAGCTACCACACCCATTATTCTCACGGCAAATGGTACCCAAGCCTCCTGAACTTTAGAAAGTGCTCGCTTGTCGGTAGCATTCCGCGTCTTCTCCATTCTGTCGATCAATTCGAAGATGGTGTTTCTAACATCTTTCAACTCCGAAATCCCGGCACCTATCTCTTGTTCGCCATCAACTTCACAGATGGGAATCAGGTCGACTGGTGGGCCATGGATATGATAACTATTGGGCAGATGGTACAGAATCAATTCCTTCAGTTTTGGACACCCCATTAACAATTGTGCCCAGGACAGCTCAGATTCCTCCTCGTAATCGACCGGAGTGTCCATTGGATTCGAGCCAACATCGATCTTGAGCGCGAGGGGGTCGATCGCCAAATGACGAAGCATGTTCCCGCTGGAGGCCTTGATCTCCAAGATCTGTACTTCCATATCCTTCATGTCTCTTGTCTCGTTACCCATTGGGCACACTATATCGCAGTCCCAGTTGATATAGATATGAGGTGGCATATGGATCTGACAAGAGAAGCTTATATTCGACGAAGTTGGGGGTGTAGCTGAGAATGGCGCTTTCCCAAACGCTAGCGTGTAGAATTGTAACCCTACCATGCGAGATTCATGACAAACATGAAGAACAGCTGGTGGTCGGCAGTGTGAGGCATTGAAGTCTACTCGTAGATCGCCGCCAAATAGATCGTGAAATTTGTCGTCCAGACTATGCAATGCCTCGCAGCCAGTTCCACTGGAAAACACGTCGACCACACGCGAAGTAGAGCAGATGCGTTCCCATATTTGGAGTCGAAGTTCGAGTGGGAGTTTCATAAAGAAATGAGGTTGTTCCGCCGCTGAAGGGCTCACAACTGAATTATCTCCCATCTCGTCCAAGGGTCTCCGAGCTCGACTTTCCAGAGGCAGATCGCTTTGAATCATGTCGTAGATGTGATTGCAGTATATATTGGTTTGGTTCAGACTTTAACGCGAGGGTGACGAGAGAGAGTTGCTAACAGGCTGTAAACCAGGAAGAGGGCTATCATGCTTTTAGATGTGATGACGCAGTGTGAGATGGAGAGGGAACCGCCAAGCCTTCTTCATGCATCCAGTATCAAGTGTTCAGGTATCGATCTCAAATTGTTATACTCTCAATAAATATACCACATTAATGAGCACCTGTTCCTCATTCGGTCTTCAAATAACAGCTCTCTCGTTGACATGATCGGAAAACGCCTCAATACATGCTTCTTTGTGTGGCGTGCTTCCGATCGAGATGAGTCGCACCTGGCATGTAAGCAGCACCCTTTTCATGGTATGATAAACATCGAAGTCTGATAATTAAAGCTAGGTTGGAAGAATGATATTCATTCGTTTGTCCAGCATGTGACGTCGATGCTGGATCTTTCCAGGTTCAGGATCTGACAGGCTGCACAGACGGGCGGCGATGAAGCGCGGGAATATCTTGAGAAGCAGGCAGGCAGGATGCAAGGTTCTTTTTCCGGGACAGAACGTCCGGTTCGAAAATCTGCCGATTTGCCACCCTTGAATTTCTCCTCGATATGATAGGACCTAGCATTCATTCACAGCTGCAGCCAAGCTCATCATCCGATTCTCTCGTCATACGGCGTTCTTCGATCGTAATGATAGCCTCAAAAATTGTGAGATGAGTTCGCGATCCATCTTATATACACCTGATCTGGTTCTCGAACGCTCCTCAACAATTAGCTGTTGAAATGGACTTTCCACTTGTGCTCGTACGTCTGGAACTTCATGTTACTGGCAATCGCTCTTTGAAGCCGGATTCGAGACCTGGGAGGTATTGAAAGACATTACCGAAGCAGATATGTACGGTTGAAAGCTTGTTACCGACTAGGACGCTAACCTAGTCACAGGGCGGCTATTGGCATGAAGCTGGGACACAGGAGGGTATGTATCCATCGCCGTGAAGCATTGATAGATGTATTTGCTGACCAGCCACCAGAAGCTACAGAGAGCAATCGCTACTGCGCGGGGGTTACCTACTTCAAGTCCTTTGGAAGGCTCTGTTGGGTGTTGCTCTTGCTCCCAACAGAAAACCTGGGCGTCAAAGGTTCCGAATGGCGCTTCTTTATCGACCTTTCCATCGGCTTTTCTTCCCTCACTCTGATGAGTTTACGCAAGCTTTACTGACATTCAAAAGTATCAGATAACAATACCAGAGAACGTGCAATACACGATAAACTCAGGAGTAGGAAGCAGTTCTACAACGACACTGAGAAGTGATTCACTTCACGAGGGAGGCTGTGGTACGAGATGAGTTTCTTTGGAGGTGGATATTCCTATCTCTTGAAACTAAATGGGTTACGAACTGTCCTATATGGATGGAAAAGAACGGATTACCGCTGTGGCGGCACCTGAGTTAGCCAATGATGGTTGATAAAGGCTGTCGAAAGCGAGAAAGGGACGGAGTCAATTCACCAACGACATACATGTGGTCTGAAGAGTGGTCCCAGGACGTGCACCAACAACACAAGAAGGAGTGGTGATACCTAAAAGTAGTCGGGGGTGGGAAGTAATGGATGAACTGCCTATGTAAAGCTTAGAATACGAGAACTTAGCAAAATACGATTTCTCAAATTGTTAAATTTCCAGAATCTGATGCCTGAAGTCGTCCGTATGATAGAGAGGTCTTCGTGTATTCGCACCGGAATTAATGATCGGAGAGAGTGAGCCGATCGATCTAAAGCACAACATCGAGATACAAAACAATCAATCGAAATCGGCGGCATCTGCTGTCAGGGATCCTTAAATTCTGTGGAGTTGGACCCCTATGACCCTGAAATTGAGGAACAATTGGCACGCCTCACTTGCATGGGCTCTGGGATCAAAGTGGGGCCATGCAACCCAACACCAAATAGATCTACACAATTTTTTTTTGAGAAGGATGCTTATCGAAGCATGACCATCGGAAGAGTATCCTCACTAAGTGGATCCCGGAGGTATGAAAGTGCGTGACAGTCATAGAAATCAAGTCTTTTGGTCGCAAAGTTTGTTCGCACTTCACGCGTTTGAAGCGAGGGGAGGCGTTGTCAACAAAATACGATGACATGTTGTGCAGGTCCAGCAACGAAATTTGCTGCGCTTACTGTTTGTCCAGCCACCTGACCTCAAAATTACTAGCTTCTGATTCTTGGATAATAAGAATAGTACTTAGACGCGTCTATAACCTGACTGACTACTCAGCGATTGACCTTCCGACTGACTCAATACCGCGGCTTGAATTTTGAGCAAGTTCATTACTCTTTCTTTAATCGTTCCCGAGTTTCGGAATTGGAGCTTTTACACTCTTGAGCCTAGTATATCAGAACATGAGAAAAGTAACAACTGATTGGGTCTGGAGAGATTTGCGATCCGAGAAAGATGCTACAGGGAGAGTCTCCACGTGACTATAAATACCCAATTCCATGCCCTCTGTAGCTCAGGCATTCAACAAGTGTTACCTATACTTGTGAGCAGTATTTAATGCTTCCATGGTCTTGCCCTGTAGAATCTTTAAAAGTGATGCACTGCCAAATGATGTCTTGTAATAGGGAGAACATCTCGCAGTTCGTGCCCCTCGGAACAAAACAATTCTTCGCCGAAGCTAAAAATGCACAGCCTCGAAAAATACGCACGCCCAACAGCAACGTCTAGACAATCAACAACTTCACATGTACCATTCCCCACGCCCACGCCTAGGCACCGTTTCTCCCTGTTTCCAACAACAAATAGACTGTCTTTACCATAACGCATCTATTTTGATCGTTTTCCGCTGAAAGCTCTCTTGGCTAGGAAATCTTTCACCCCACCATGCCTCGCCGGCCTCATCGGAAATCTCGCAACGGATGTCTGGCATGTAAGAAGCGACACGTAAAGGTTTGTCTATCACGTTCAACTGTCTCACCGCGTTCTCCTGAAGCCGTACTTTCATTCTTAAGCCGAATGCTCACAGACCTGTAGTGCAATGAAGTCCGCCCTAGATGCTTGAACTGTCTGAACGCGGAATTGACGTGCGTTTATCAAAATAAAGAGCCGCCTCAATCCTCATCACAATCGCCAGTTCCCGGTATCAACTACAAAGTATCTCCGCTACCTTCACCGGCGGCCTCTACTTCCATCTCAAGCACGCCGTACTGGAATCCAGCTTCGCAACAGCGAACTTTGGAGCATGGAGTCGTCAATATGCTGCACTTGGAGCTTTTGACTCATGCCAGAACCGTTGCTGATGCCATGAACTGCTTCGAGATCAGTAGAGAAGAAACTCGAAAAGCCGTCGAGGAAATCCTCCAACATGCGCTCTTAACACCATATCTTATGCACGAGATTCTCTCTGTCTCCGCTGCTCATTTGAGTACTTTACGCCCAGCTCAGAGAGTTTTGCTTCGAAATCAAGCTACGGAATTACAAACTTCGGCTCTGTCCCTCTTCAACGCCAGTATGCAGAACACGGCCAGACATAACCCATCTTCCGACTGCGTTCCTAGATTTGTTTTCTCGTCCCTGCTCGGATCACACATGCTTCACGATACCATCATCTACCGAGATGGCGACTTCCCTGCCTTCATCGATAATTTTGTTCGGTACCTGCACGTGACAAAGGGTGTGACCCTGAACATACAGGGAAATTGGGATGATCTGCACGAAACAGCGTTGAAGCCCTTCTTAGAAGCTGGCGAGAAGTCACTTCGCGGGGGCGAACTAGAGTTCGCACCAGAGTGTGAAAAATTAGAGATGCTCCTCAAATCAGCAGATCTTGGCCCAACTGCCGCAAAGGCCTACGAAAGCGCTCTTTCATGTCTTAAAGCAGCCTACTATGCGCATCGTAAGGTTGCGAGTGTAGACTCCCATTTCGAAGGAAGTTCTCTTCTTTATGGCGCGAGGACCGGTGTGTATGCTTGGCCTATTTTGGTACCTACGGAATACGCAGAGCTTGTTCTACAGCGACGTCCTGAAGCATTGGCGATTCTTGCACATTATGCCATCTTGTTGCATCGCTATCGCGATTCTTGGATGATTGGTGATGGTGGCCGGTACATGATTGAAGCTATCACGAGATATCTGGGTCCGTATTGGGGACCGTGGTTGGCGTCCCCGAACGAGGAATTGAGAGCCAATCCATCGTCAGGAGGACCAGCACCACAGGGAACTGCCTCTTACTAACCTTTGGAGGTCTGAGAAACGTCTAGGGCTTCGCACTCTGGCGGTTACTGCTGGGGTGCTTTCGTACTCCGGATCTGCGGTTTAAATGTCATTGACGCCCAATTCGATGCTATCAGCTTCTAAATTAATCTTAAAGAAGGTTTCAAGCATGACTGGCGACAGGATTAAAATATCCCCCAAATCTATTGTCGCCGCCGCGGCTGGCCAATCCGGAGGACCTGATTTGCCAAGACGGTTCACTGCTTCCTTCAGTGCTAGGGTCGCAATTGACACTTAGGTAGATTTGCCCTCACAAATCCTGACTTCCAGCAATATTTGAGAAGCTTCATTACCACGATCTCTTCACTTCTCCAGCTCCGAGGATCTGGACTCCGAGGACCTGGTGTTGGTTTGGAGGCGATCGCAGGATACAATTACTCCATCAGGAATACGAGCTGCAGAGTTACATTCGGCATACGAGGCTCCACACCTGATTGGAGCGTCGTGTCGATGCCCACCGGCCGCGCGTATACTGCCACCCGTCACATATATAGAGTCCTCGTCTAACCCGCGTTCGGAATACGACATGAGTGACGATCCCGAAGAAAGTATGGACACCGGCACGTTCTCTGTATTCACAGTGGGCGAGAAGCCCATTGCGCCCAGTTTTGATGCCAGTGGTAATCCTGTTCGGAAGCGACAACAGCATCGAAAATCACGCAACGGGTGTGGAAATTGTAAACAGCGGAGGGTAAAGGTACGATTTTCTTGGGAATTGTTTTTTGGTTAATTCGTCTAACGATTGTAGTGCGATGAAAGCTTACCATCTTGTGTGAACTGTACGAGGCGGAATTTAAAGTGCAATCCCGCGATATCCTCCATCCGAACTGGTAAAAGCGAAAAGCCTCTTGCAGCACAACCTGAAATAGAAGATCAACCTGTACGATCGAAGTCTGCGGAAGCTCTGCCAAGTCTTTCTTCAGTTCTCGAGCAGTCAATAGCTATCGATTTTGAGTCCAATGACAGCTGGAGCCAAGATGACAAGGCACTATTTCGACATTTTCGAGACTTTACGTCTCATACCCTGGCTATGCACACTGATCTGTGGCGGACATTCATGTTGTCATCCGCATTGAATGTAGTTTATCACACCTATAAATATCAAGATACACAGCTAATCTTCTCAGGACGAATACCTCAAGAGCGCAGTCCTCCTCCTATCGTCAGCCCACATAAACAGCTCCTTACCCAAAAAAGACCCAACTCGACGGCCGGTCTTAAACCACTTCGCAAATGCCGTGTCTGGTCTCCGCGCCGCTTTAAACGAAAGAATAACAGCGCAAAGCTTCGACTCCATAGTCGGCTGCTCCTTCCTTCTCGTCCACTACTCTTGGGCAGCAGAGGAATCCGACCCACATGTCACGCACCACTTCCACGAGATTGTTGGCCTAATAAACGGCACGAAGAATTGCGTGGTCGAAGGCCAAGATCTCCTTCAAGGATCCGCACTCTATGAAGTGTTCCGCCATCGTCCTGGCTTGAAGCTCGAGAAGTTCATTGAGGAGTCTCCTATGAGAGGATCCACGAGAACATCCGCTCTGTTCAACCACTGCATGATGTGTGGACTGGGAACTAAAGGGGTCTCGGGCGCCTCTCCGGATAACACGCATGCTATTCAGAAGCTTGTCACTGTGCTACGGGCCATTGAATTGAGCCAGCCGAACGTCGAGGTAACTCCTGTTCTCCACGACATCATTCGGTATTTGTTTACTTGGCCACTCCAGTGTACGAAAGGGTTCATGGAACATATCGATGCTCAGGAACCGGCTTCTATGACTGCGCTGTTGTATTATTATGCTGCTGCGGCGAGCGTTTCGTTGGGTAGAGTGTGGTGGATGCAGGATCGTGCGAGGGTTATATATGCGTTCCTGAAGGCGAGTCTAGTAGGCAGGTGTGCTGAGTGTACGAATCCTGCGATTGCGTTGGCGGAGGGGAGATTATGATGAATGTAGTTAAGGCTTGAAAAGAGTGTATATATTGAGTTTGTGGAGGTGTGGCGAATACCCAAGTTGTCGTGTCCAGAAATTGGCTTTTGCTTGGCCGGGCCGAATATTTTCCAAGCTATCCATATCGTGATACGACTCTACCAAGATTCGGACTCTCCGACTGGAGCTGGGCCAGAAAATGTGGAGCAGGTCCACAAGAAGTTCGCAGTTTAGTATTACTGCTGTGTATAGAAACACTGATCTGTACCAAAAGGAGGATATCTGAAGGGTTTGAGAGAAGAGGTTCGCTACAGGATCCTCCAATTATTGCACAGTCCCCAACAAATATAGCGACCCTCGATACCCCAATCCTGCCAAGTAACCGGGAATCATGACTCGGTCACTATCTTGAGATACTGCCATTCTGTTTCGTAATGACTCTGGGCACTCCAAGGATATTTTATCTTCGATACTGCCTGGACAGCTTTGGCTTCAATATGGCAAGCGATGGCTAGAGAGAGGTGAGAACATCCATTGGCTTCTCATCCACAAGATGATCCTCATGAACGCCCTTGTTTTACACACCCGACCTTCTATCTCCTCTCATTAAGCTCCTCCCACTGCACCCCCGCCCACTCCTCCACATACCCCGCTACTCCAGCATCCACACCCCTCTGCTGACAATCCCTTTCACAAACCCCCACAATAATCGTCCCCCACTCCATACCATCCAGACTCATCTCCTCACTCTCCAGCTCCATAATAGCATGCGGCGTCAACTGCACCTCAAACACCCTCCCCGCACCACAATTCGCACATCTAGGAATATGGTTCCCATTGACAGAACTCGTAGTAACCTTCTCGTTTCCCTTGTTGCTGGAACCACTTAACAGCTTCCCAACAGCATCATGCTTCGAATATAGTAATGGTTGCCCCTTAAACTCGTATCTGATAACCTGTTCTGGGTTCTGCGCTAACCTATCTGCGAACTTCTGGAACGTCTTGTCGATCGTGCTTTCGTATACGTCTTTATCCTCTTTCTGGTTGCTTGAGCTGCCGCCTCCCTCATCTATATCCATTGTTTGGGTGGGGATGGGGAGGTCTTCGATTTTGTCGAGAGTTTCGTAGTCGGCGTCGGCGAGGTAGTAGAGGGGATATGCAGGTGGGAGGTCGGCTTCTTGGGGCCAGGGCTCTGGTGGAGGAGGAGGGCCGAATTTGAGGTTAGAGTTGTCATTGTTGAGGGAGAGGGCGGAGGCGAAGGATTTGGGAAGGTCAGCTGCGGGTGATGATGTCTGGGCGGGAGTTTCTGTAGGTTTGGATGGCTGTGATGATCCAGGAGCTGCGAAAGGGTTGCTCGAGGATGAAGATATAGAAGTAGAAAAGGGATTCGCAGGGCCGTTTGAAGAATTGGTCGAAAATGGGTTCGCAGAACTTGTACTCGAATTCGAGAATGGATTGCCACCAAACAATGCTGCTCCAAGATCCACCGCAGGCTTCGCAGGTTGTATCTCCGCCTTAGGTTCTGCGGCTTTCACATCTTTCTTCTTGGTCGCAGATTCCGATGTTCTCACACCCCGCAACACTCTCACACTGCCTTCCTTGCGCCGGCACGTCTTCCTCCTGCAAGTCAGGACATATAGTCGTCTCTCGTGGCCGGGGAAATGTTCTGGCAGGTCTCCGTTTAATTGTAGAAGTAGGACCATGAGATCGTTGCAGACTTTGCATTTCGCAAGAGCTGCTGAAGGCGGGGTAGTGGGGTCGAGCCATGTCTATTGAGAATGGAGGTCAGCACTGATATTTCTAAATTGTAGAGTACGACGAGGCCGGAGCAATAAGAAAGGCCCTCGATGAGAAGTGACATACAGGTCTTCCGCCGAGGTAACTAATGGTATCGTCTGAAGCTTCCTTGGAGGCATATCCAAGAAGGACATTCGTCTCAGTGTAGTCGTCATCTTCGCCGCCAGACGAGTCGCTGTCGTATGGTGGCATATTTGCTGATTCAGAGACTCCGAATGAGAGGTGGCTATGATTGATGAGCCGGAGATCGTTATAATAAGAGTACGGTGATATAAGGAGCGTGTTGTAACAGTTTTGCCAGCACTTGGGATATTTTTTTAAGCGAACACAAGGCTGAGGAAGTTTTGTCTGGCCAATCACAGGCGGCTGGACTTTTATGTTGACAGGTTATCTCGGATATGCAATCTTTTCAGAAGTAAAGGTGATCACAACATGGATAGGACATGCCAGTATTATGCAGCATTCGTAATTGCATCTAAGTTAATATACAGTTCATATAGAGACCTTCAAGTCATTCGCGCTTTTTACCAAAAGAAAATAACGAGATAATGGTATAGTAAAAGACAATATCAATACAGATGCAGCGCTGTCATTATTCGTAAAAACGTTCCAGCGCCATAGATTGCCCCATGTCCTTAGTATGCGCCACGAATCTTCGCGTACAAGTCCGTATCGAGGAAATTATAGTTCGGGTCAAGCTCGCAAAAAGGATGTCGAGAGAGAAGGGTATCAGCGGTTGGACGCTCAGAAGGGTCACTAGATATGTAGTCAGTACAGGCTTTTTGGAGAAGTACTTGGAGTCGACTTACATCGTAAAACAGTCAGCCATAAAGGCCACGGCAACGGGGCTGATATTCATTGAAACATCGTCGGGAATAGGCGGAGCCTCATTCAGACTGCCAAGTTTGTAGATGGCTCCAACAGTTTCTTCCTTGCTCCAAGGTCTTCTACCTGCAAACATCTCAAGCACCACACATCCAAGGGACCAAATATCCACCTTTGCTGAATAGCCTTGGCCTTGAGATCGGACGACTTCCGGGGCCATCCAGAATACAGATCCTTGCATAGAATTCGATGCATCATTTCCATAAATGTTGTCGGTCTTCTTGGAAATACCAAAATCAGATATTTTGCAAGTTCCATCTAGATCCAACAATATATTGTCCGCTTTCAGATCTCGATGGAGAATACCCTCTCGGTGGAGGTATGCCAAGCCAGAAAGGGTCTGTCGAGTAAGAGAGCTGACCACCGTTTCCTCAAACTTGCCATGTTTTCGCAGACAACTTCCAACACTGCCACCAGAAATATATTCAAGGAAGATACTGATAGACATTTCTTTTCGCTCACATCCAAGGTATTGGACAATGTTGACATGGTCAAGGTGCTGCATCGTGTCGATTTCCTGGTCAAGAGCTGCAACCATCTCTCGCATCTTCTCTTTGTCCTTGCCGGCAGCTTTTTGGCTGACTTCAACCTGCTTGACAGCAAGGAACTCTCCAGTTGTGGCGTTCATTCCCAGGTAGACTCGACCATAGGTACCCTTGCCAATTAGTTGACCTTTGAACCATCTGAAAGTTGCCTGCCGTTTTGGAATTGTATCCTGAGGTATCTGAGGCAAGATCATGCTGCCACGCTTCGGCTTGATTTGCACAATGTTGGCACCGAACATCTTCGTGCTCTTGCGTCGAAGCATCGTGCTTGACGGGCCACCCTGCTGGACAGGTGCGGTGAACCGCTTGTTGGCTTCATGCGCTCCCCTCGCCACCTCACGAATGGACTTCATTCGTCCCAGGCCACCAGAACGACGGACGTTTCTTTGCGCGATACTTTGCATAGATCCTGGTCGTTCCAATGCCTTTAAAGTAGATTCGTCCGACCCAAGGGTATCGCCGTCATTGTACGACAAGCTTGACCGGATTGTGTTTGTCGTCGAACTATCGCCTATAGTCATACCAGCCTGAGCAGCCGCAAGTTGTTCCATGGTTTCCTGTTCTGCTATCGGTGATACAGGAGGCGATGTATTCCCATTCGTTTCCACAACAGGTTGATCCAAGTCAAGATTGGGGAAGAAAGCATCGAGGTGGTTAATAAGTGCCTCTGCAGGAGGTCTGCTTGCCCACACGTCTTCCCTTGCAAAGGATTCACGTCGGAGCAATTTGGCACTCATATCTTCTGAAGATTCAGCGGACCAGCCACCCTCGGAATTTGCTGAACCAGGGTTGCGGCGCTGAGGCCGTTTACCAGAACCACGAGCACTATCATCCTCAAAGTCTGGCGTCCTTGCTGCGTTGGCACTTGTCGCACTATTGGCATTTTGAGGCGAAGAAAATGAGACCGATAAACCTTTCTTTGATCTAGATGTCCGGATGGTCAGACTTGGTCGTTTCCCAATACCATCCGAGTCACTCTGGTTGTCATCATTTGCCATCACTCTTCTCATGCTTGATTTCTTCTCAGGCTTTCGAGAGGCGATCGGTACTGCGAACAGTCCATCGTCAGAATCATCGTCAGAATCCGTCTGCGGTACTTGCTTGGGCGAGTTCTTGAAATTGACGTTGGACTCGGTGAAGTCCAAGTTTGGCCCATATGATTTCCGATTTCCGGGTGTATTGACTCCTGGTGTTGAGTGAGCACTGCTAGGACTCAAGTCCACAGGGGATGGAGCTCGTCGTCTTTCTTCCTCCCGGATTCTATTTGTTGCAGAATGCTCAGGTATTTTCAACGACAGTGAACGGTCGCGAGTCAGACTGGCACCACCATCCTCGCCGTAGTCCGGAACTATGAATGGTTGATCGCCTTTACTCCAAGTTGTACTGCCAGGTGTACCACTACGAGATCTTGCCGGGCTGCTACCCTGGGAGCCGTTTGTCCCAAAGCCCACGGTCGACATTGCACTTCGTCCTCTCTCTATTTGGTCACTGCTCCCAGGTGGCGATCTCTTGCTCTGAGATTGAGCAGTGCTGGGACTGGGATGGCCTACTGCTCCCAGGCGACTGCCCATACCGAACAGAGCTGCCGCAATTCCACTACTAGCTTGTGGTGACGGAGGCGGCACAGGCTTTCGTTTAGCATACTCGGACATCTCTTGGGATGGATAATGAAATGATTGGTCCCCACCAGATATCCGCTTGCCATCGCTGTCCACGCTCGTGAGCGAAAGACGTGCCTGTTGCCCGCTTCTCTTGCTGAGAGAGTTCGCTTTGATCAATGTTGCAGACTCGGCGGGAGGAGGTGGGGGCTTCCGTTGCGGAAAGAGGCTGTCAGGCTTCTTGTCTTCAAACGGAGAATTTCGTGGCTGATCAAAATCAACATTGCGACCCACGATGCCAAACGAACCGTCAGCAGAGGTGGGTGTCTCCTTGCTTGCCTTCTTTTTAGCCAGGTACGCCTTTTGTCTCCGTTCCATCTCAGCTTTATGCTCGCTAGCAGCCAACTCCATGAAAGCTTGTCTCTCGGATTCGGGAAGCTGCCTTTCACCACCTTCTGCCTGAGAATTTCGGAATTGCATTAGGCGATCACGGAGAGCGTCCGATTGTGCCTGCGCGGCAGGTGGATTAGTTGCATCACGACTCGAGGGACCACTTGCTTTGATGGTGTTTTGTCGAGAACTTGGGGGAGAAGAGCTCGAGCGTCGTCTCGTGCCATTTAGTGTCGCATATGCATCTTCATCCAGAGGAGTGGTTGACGGAAGGCGGGGTGAAAGACCAAGCTTGTTGTCGAAGTTTGTACTGAACCCCGCGGACTGCGGTGCTGGCAGTGACGGAGAGTTGGGAGCTCGTACATAAAGCTTAAGAGTACCGGATTGGTCAGCTTTCGTTCTCCTGTAAAGGAGCAATTTTTGATCATCAAGTGCTTCATCGTGCTCGCTTTTACCCAGATCAGTGAGAAATATCTGCACAAAATCATTGTCCATTACACCGATTGTTGAGCAAACCACACTACGCAGGTCGGAAGCAGAGTCAACGTCAGTGACATCGCACAACCGGTAATTAAGCCCATCTTTGGTAAGCAATATGAAGTTCCTCCCAGGCACATTTCGGCGACCGCGATATCCAGAGCTATGAGCAAATTTGTCATACTCTGAGGCGGAGAATGTTGAGGATGGTCGATCAAGAGATGTCTCGCTGGAGTTTTTCCCATTTGCCATAAAGGGTCCTGGCTTGAAGCTCAGTGACGGACTAGTGGGGGACTCGAGATTCGGCTCTTCGGGTGACGGACCAGCGCCATCTTCTTTCTTCTTCTTCCGGAAGTGCTTCAGGAAACCCTTCGATTCCTTGGCAGAAGTTGGCTGTTCCGAAGTGGCAGATCGGTCTCCAGCATCAGATGGGGAGGGACGGGCGCCATCAACACCGTGACGACGACTGTTGTCTTGGTTGCGGACAAGATTTAATTCACCCACAACTCCTCCCATTCCCCCACGAAGTATTTGGCTAGCACCTGGCGGAACTCCAGAGCCATAGATGGCAGCGTTTGAAGAAATCGAGTCCGTGCTATTACTGGCACGATGTCCAAAACTTCTGGTATGTGGGGACGCTGAAAGTCCTCCACTGTTGGGCGTGTGCAAACTCGCGAAGGCTCCTGGGCTGCTGCTTTTTGGACTACCTTCCAGACGAAGTGTTGGGCCTCTGAAATCACCTGTCTCGCTACTAGCACTAGGACTGTGACGGCGACTACCATCACCTTCAATATTTCGAAGAGCGTTGCGGTAGCCGCCTCTATTCTGCGAACTGTATGTATCTGAATCCGTCATCTGCCCACTAGCACTCAGGATGGGCATGGTCGTGCTTCGGCCAGAGAATCGCCTCGTTCCGAAACCCGGACCCGGTCCTTTGAACATGGATTTGCCTGGGCTATCATCATCTCCATTTGCAGTACTTGGCGTAGAAACGTGAATCTCGCGGCCAAGGTTTGGAGAACCCTCCACGGTACCCTCGGTGCCTGCGCTCTGGATATTCGCAGTAGACGACTCTCGACGAACATGAGATGGCTTGCCGTCTGGTTGTCTTCCCGTGACAATGCTTCTAATCAGCCGACGCATCCTCTTGCCCTCCTCGCGCTCTCGGGCCTGATCCCAACCAGTTCCGCTGCTTGAACACTCTTTGGCGAGTCGAGGGTAAACCTGCTGGTGCATCATACCAAAATTTCCTCTTCCACCGTGCCCACTTCCGAGTTCAAGGAAAACAGAACCACAAATGTTCAGAGCCTTGAACGTCTCTTGCCAATCATTTGAGAAGGAATTGTTGGCAAGCCAGAGCAGAACTTGTTCCATAGGCCATCGCGAGGCTGCTTCATTAGGAGATATTGGAGTATTGGAGTTGCTAGCACTCGTCTGCTGATGGTTTCCTCTGATCGAATGCTGTGTATTGAGGAATGACCCAGTAGAAGATTCTTGTGGGGTGTATTCAGGTAGATGAATGTTGTTGAAGCGATTTATAGGTGTCTGGGACTGGTACATACGGTCCCGGTCCTGATAATAGCTACTTCCGTCATCTAGAGGCGTAGATAAACCTGTTTCGGCGGTATTTCTAGAAGTGGACCTCGAGCTATCCGATACAGCAGAAAACTCAGCACTATCGCCTCTATTGAAGCTCGGCTCTTGAGTCCTGCCAAAGCCTGGAATTCCAACACCTGGGCCAAACGAGTCTCCGTGTGGAATGTATGTTGCTGACATCTGGTGCTCACTTGCTGGTGGAGGTGGTATCGACAATGGCGGTGGTTGGTGCGGAACATAGTTCTGTCCGGGATTGTATGCCTGATGTTGACTATTGGCAGGAGGATTGGGGGGAGGTAATGGGAAGCCCCTGGCATCGTATGATCGGCCCCAACTGCCTTGCCAATTCGACACAGGTGGAGGGCCTGGTGGTGGAGGAATTATAACGCCGCCGTGCTGATGAGATTGAGATGCAACATTTCGGAGGGGTGGAGGCGGAGGAGGTGGAATGGACATCATATGCGGCTGAGCAGGCGGGGACATCGGGGGAGGTGGAGGAGGCACATATTGTCCCGCAGCAGACGGATGCCTTTGCCCTGGTTGATACATCTGGACAAGAGGGCCAGACCGTATAGACGGTCGGTACGAGTTATTCGAAGACAAAGAGGGAGAAGGCAGCGGATCGCCAGCAGTTGATCTAGCTCGAGGGCGAGACGGGGAGCTGGACGACGCAAGAGTTGGATACGGAGATCCTACTCCGTATAAAGGTATGAGTAAATTCGAAGAGCTAGTTAAGTTATATTGAGGTACGTCGTTCAAGATAATCCCATCGGAGACTTGGAAGTCTGCGTGTGAGGTGATCCTGGGAGACGGCGCGGGAACTCTATGAGCATCTGAATTGTTTGATCGAGCTGATGAGGATCGTGGGCGCGAACTTGTCATCGTATCCGCGCATCTTTGTTCAGCAGGCCAGCCGTGTAAAATTCGGTGATATCCCCCTGCTCCTTGTTGGTCTTGTCTACCGTTCCTTCAAAGAATGAAGGGTCGAAGCGTCGCAATCCCTCGGTCGACTCGATCCAAGGAAGCCGACGCGATGCTGTCGCAAGTCGAGTGGCAGTCGACTGCCGGTCGGCGAGTAGCGATGGCTATTGAGATGGCAGATATAGCGACGATGTGGTACGGCTCTGCGGCACCGTCGACGATGTTGGAGAGGGTGCCTGTGGTTTGGCCATTTCTCTTCTGTATCCAATCCAGCGAAGGGAAGGTCTCGTCTTCTGGGCGGCGCGACAGGGGTGCGGCGCGTGGCTGCGAAACAGCGGAAGTCAGCCGCGGCCAGGCGAGCCACAGGAGGCCATGATTTGTTTTGTTGGAAGCGAGTGTCAGTGTCCCCATCATCCCGAACGATCAACATAAACCACTGGGATGGCACTGATGCAAGCATGGGCTCTTAATGATATCTGCCGACAATTACAAGAAACGTTTCTTTGACGATTTTGTACACAATTATCTTGACCGACCCAAAGCTGCCCAGCTTAAAATAGCTTGCTCCACTTACGGAGTAGACAAGCCGCCTCAAGAGACAAAGGTAGTTAGCTTCCCATCAACCGTTCATCGAGAAGGTAAAATGTGGGCGAATGACAGGAAGACCATTGACTACATGGCTTTCAGAATAGATCCAGTCTGTTTCTGGGGACTTTACCCGTCGCCCATCAAGTTCCATTCTCAGCCAGACCATTAGCGAGATCTCCTTTTGTGCTGTGAATAGTTCCTATGGACCACTGCATTCAATCGACTTCCCAGAATTCTCACATGTCAGTCCTATCTATGGTCACCTTACATGTACCCTGTAATATAGAACAATTATGAATGGGTTGAAGCTAGAAACGACTATCAAACTGACATCTGAGACATCAAACATGTTTGTCTGCCCTCGAACATGGGAACCAACTAGATTCTTGCTTCTCCCGGACCATGGTGTTGTGACATAGAGACACTCTGCAATTACTTCCCATAAGTTTGCACCAAGTGCAGCTCAGTCTATCTCTTGGTTGAAATGAAGCTCGGAGTCCCTACATTTCTGAATTTCATCAGCCAAATACATGCCATCACATAGACGCAGTTCGGAACGGGCGGAGTAGTTGCTTTCACCTTTGTGCTAAGCTGCATATCAATCCGGTCCCATACATACTCTTGATTTAGTTGGTTTGCGCGTACCGCCCACTTGGACTGAACCTTACCTTAGTAGAATGTAACGTCATTCGGAATTTTCGCTGTGCCAGGTTGATCCACATGAATTCCCGATCCGACTGTGGCGCCATATCTCAGTGTTTCCATGCTGACAATGGTATCTGCTCCAAACCTGAACATCTGATCTTGTTCTGATAGTCACATCCGACACTCCATTATGCGGTTCGATTAATATGCCTCCCGCAGTAGGATGGAAAGAAGTATCTGACCAACGATACGTTCCATTAGGTTGGAGGATATGATGAGGGGTGTGTCTTATCATATTCAGAGAGTGGCTTTATCCCGGTCTGTCAAAGCTCCAGTGAGACAAGACATCTTGGCTTTGGTCGCGCTTCGGCGTCTGTTTGTTGTCTTCCTTCGCATCGAGACAACTGTGAACTCCAGATACAAATCGGCGTTCTGTCAAGAACAGAGTCCTGCAGCTCCGCAGGTTCAATCGGATCATGAACTGGTAGCTAGCTACAACCATGTGAGTCCAGATCCTGAAATACGCCAGTTCGGCGCGTAGCCGGAACGGTGGCGTGTTTTTTGGTCTGTAAGGTATCTGCATCGTCATAGTTAGGTGGGTGGGCTGATGAGCTCAACGAGCTTCTGCGGATTTCGGCAGCTTGTCCAGAAAACCAGTACTTGAATGAACAGGAGCCCAAGTTCTCATTAATTTCTATTGTTGCAGCTTCTTTACCCACAATTACCTCACATTCATACAATTAATCACGCAGTCTTCGATTCTGTCCCAGTCACTATGACGACAACTCCCCCAGATATCAGAACCCTGGCTCTCGAGCGTCCGGTCGATGTTGCAGAGTATCTCTTCACAAGGCTTCACCAGATAGGGGTTCGCTCTGTTCATGGCCTTCCTGGTGATTACAATTTGGTAGCTTTGGATTATATGCCGAAGCTTGGGTTGAAGTGGGTTGGAAATGTGAACGAACTCAATGCTGGTAGGCCTCCAAAATTAGCCCACTTAACTATCTCTGACGTTTTCCAGGCTATGCCGCGGATGGCTATGCCAGAATCAAGGGCATTTCAGCCATTGTCACAACGTTTGGTGTTGGGGAACTCTCAGCAATCAATGCCATCGCAGGCGCCTACTCAGAACATGGTAGGTTCACTCCAGAACTGCCGCAGAAGAGACTACAATTTGCATTCGAAATCGGAATCGGAACATCATTGCTGATCATACTCTTCTCTGCAGTTCCTATTGTTCATATTGTTGGAGTTCCAAGTACGATATCACAACGAGATGGCATGCTTCTACATCATACACTGGGCAACGGGAATTTCAACGTGGGTTCTCTGAAGAGCTATTGATGAAACGAGCAATTTCAGTACGGTTCAGCATCCAGTGTGCAGCTTCTGACTTGATCTAGGTCTTTGCGGACATGAATAAGGAAATCTCATGTGCAATGGCGAAGCTCAACGATCCAATCGACGCGGCAACACTCATCGACCACACTCTGCAACAATGCTGGCTTCAGAGTCGACCGGTTTATATCACCCTCCCAACAGATATGGTGCAGAAAAAAGTGGAGGGAAAGCGACTTGACACCCCCATTGACCTCCACTATCCTACAAACAATCCAGATAAGGAGGACTATGTTGTGGAAGTTGTTTTGAAATACCTCTCATCTGCGAAAAATCCGATTATCCTTGTGGATTCTTGTGCAGTTCGACACAGGGTTCTAGAGGAAGTCCATGATTTGATTGAAAAGACTGGTTTGCCCGTTTTTGTCACCCCAATGGGCAAGGGAGCAGTGAATGAGGAACACCCAAACTTTGGCGGGGTATATGCTGGTGACGGTAGTCAACCTGACGTGCAAGAGCGTGTTGAAGCGTCTGATCTCATTTTGACGATCGGCGCCATCAAGGCAAGATCAACTACTCCTTTGGTCGATAAACTTTCTAACCCTGCGTTAGAGCGATTTCAATACTGCCGGTTTCACATACAAAACTTCTCAACTAAACACCATCGACTTCCACAGCACTCACGTCACCGTCAGATACTCAGAATACCCGGGTGTACACATGCGCGGCGTTCTGCGGAAACTGATCAACCAAGTCGACCTGAGCAAGCTCTCAGCTGTTGCTGGTCCTAAAATGGCGAACAAGGTCACCGAAAACAAAGACAGCTCAGACGTAATCACACAAGCATGGATCTGGCCAAGAGTCGGTCAATTTCTGAAGGAAAATGACATCGTCATCACGGAGACTGGGACAGCAAATTTTGGTATCTGGGAGACCAAGTTCCCCCAAGGAGTCAGTGCCATCAGTCAGGTGCTCTGGGGGTCTATCGGCTACTCTGTTGGCGCCTGTCAAGGTGCGGCTTTAGCAGCACGCGATGCTGGAGAAGACCGGAGAACTATTCTCTTTGTTGGTGATGGTTCGTTCCAATTGACTGCCCAGGAAGTCAGCACAATGATCCGGCTAGGACTGAAGCCTATCATTTTCGTGATCTGTAACGACGGGTACACGATCGAGCGTTTCATTCACGGATGGGATTCGGATTACAATGACATCCAGCCTTGGGCATTCAAAGATCTGGTGAAAGTATTCGGATCACCAGAGGGGAAGGCCAGGACATACCAGATCAAGACCAAGGATGAGGTCGAGAAGCTTTTCCATGATGAGCAGTTCAACTCGGCCGATGTCTTGCAGTTTGTTGAGATTTACATTCCCAAGGAAGACGCACCACGGGGGCTTAAATTAACGGCAGAGGCTGCGGCAAAGAATAATGCTAGACAGTAGAGTCTACCAGCTTATAGTTTGAGATGGGCTGGGAGGGAAGGTTCAATTAAGGGGCTAGGCGCATGGAGAATGGGATAAATGAGATAGCCATGATAATGAAATCATATAATCGCGTCGTCAATTTTGACAATTCTTGGATTGCCCAGCTCTGCATTCTTTTTCCTCGGAGCCATTCATCAATAGCAAGGCTGATTATACCTGTCGCAGCCTCGCGCTAATAATACGCTAACGCACGCGATTGGCTGAAGCCTTGACTTGGGCTGGTGTGGTCATTTCTTCTCATTTCAACAACAGCATCAAAACCGTGATCGATTCAAATGGCAGACTCGAGCAAACGGAAAGAGAGGTCTGGTGGTGATAAAGATGAGAGGGGTTCGAAGAGAAGTAAGGTAGGCTCGCTTTTTCTCGCTGTCTTCAATATGAGCCATGCCTTCTCCATGAAATTCATGCAAGGCTGCATGAGGCGTGATCTCGAGCCGGTGTGTGTGTGTATGCTCTTGCATAATCTATCCCAATTCCTTTCACTTTTACTTTTACTTTCACGTTATCTTAAGTCCTGTATCTTTATGGCAGCAAGTCTTTCACCTATCGAATATATCGCCTTCCACTTCCAACATATGCCCTTCACGTGCCTTTACATTCCGCCATCTGACTTCAATACAGGGAGGATCAGGTGGAAAATGGCAAACGCCACATCAGAAAGCGAAGATTGCGTCTCGAGGAAGTGGGAAGATTGAGCCAGGCGATGTTGGTATCTGGGCAACTTGTGCCAAGAACATGGAAGGACGAGCCACCGAAGAGCTAAGGGTCATGTTTGAAGAGGTGAGCAATCAATTTCAATCCGAAAGGCTATATACTGACGACCGCAAGTGTGCTGAGCGATTTTATGGCATCAAGCCGGGCTCAGGTGAAGACGCAAATGATGAAGATGATATCGAGGCTTCGATTCAGAAAGAACTCGCTGCGCTGGACAACAAGTCAAGCACAACCAAGCTCTTCTCTCCGGTTCATCTCGATATCCCTTGTGTGCTATTCTTCAAAACTGGTCCAGCAATTGAACCTGTTGACTTTGTTCATAGAATATGCAAGGAGGTAGTGGAGAAGCCTGGTGTGAGGAGGATGAAGTATGTCAATCGACTAACGCCGATGACATTGATTGCGAAGGCTACAGAGCGAGGACTTCAGGAAGTGGCAAGTACGGTACTGCAGAAGCACTTCCACATGGCTGTGAATGCTGTGGAAGAAACGATTTCGGGGGAGGAGAAAGTCATTGAAAACTTTCCGAATTACTCAGTAAGTCAAGATCCAATTTCAAACCGGGCGAAGGAAATGCAATCCTCCTGGATTATGATGCAAGATGAGCATGCAATGGAGGATCATATTCCGAAGAGGACATATTTGGCGATAGTGCTTCGTTGACATTGGACAGTATGCCATCCGGCCAACAACAAGGGCTCATACGGCTCCTCTCAGACGAGATCTGGTGATCAAGTCAATCGCCAACTCAATATCCAATGTGCACAAGGTGGACCTGACTACTCCAGACAAGGTCATCCTCGTGGAGATCTTCCAGGTATGAAGTTGCCCTGTCGCCTTCCCCTTTTCTGCAGTGCTGATTCGCAATGCATAGTCGGTGTGTGGAATGAGCGTTGTTGGCAGCGATTGGGAGCCATTGAAGCGTTTCAATCTCGCGGAGCTCTATCAGAAAGACAAAGCACTAAAATCAGCAGCTGCTGTAAAGTCGGCGGAAGCTAAACTACAAACTGCTACAAAAGACGAAGCTGACGTGGAGCCTGCTGCTGTTGCCACTGCCAGCAGCAAGTTGGAGCAATAGAGTTTGAGGTTGAGCATGTGGCTCCAGATGTATTTTTGCTCGTGGCCAAGAATCTTTGACGTTGGAAATGGAAATTTGCCATGCTAAGTGCAGTTGAAGGTAATGGAAACTTTCCTCTCCCAAATCAAGGACATCTTGAAGGGGTGCTCAAACCAAAAGCAGCTGCGAAAACTTCTTATTTTTGCCATTTACAACACAGCGAATACATCAAATCTGCATGACACAGGCACTTTGCAGTTTATGCACCAGCTGCAAGAGACTATCGTACTCCTGCAGTGAAGTGCATCAGTAGACGAGATTTTGCATACCGCCCTGTTTAGTGTTATGCAGCTTCGCCAGTGCTCACTGGACAGACTTGAAGATGTCCGTGAAATCGACATTGTAACACGTCAACACTATCTGCAGAGCTCTTCGACCTTCCTCTCCTTACCAAGATCTGATGGCAGATCTATTTTGCTCCTGATGTTGCCCAGTCTCTTTGAGACTCTGGAGACATCATGCTCGCAGTTCATGCCATTTCAAGATACCAAATTAAGGGATTCATACTGTTTGATCTATCATATTAACGGCCCGAGCCAGAAAGAGGAGCAAGCTGGATACTCCACAACTCAAAAGTCTCTGCATTCTTTCTCAAGGAGTCCTCCTCTCTCAAGATCCCAAGTTATCCCCATTCCATTGCCAAGCAACAGCCCCACCTTAGTTTCCCTCCCTGCTAGTTCCCATGACCCCTGCTAGCACGGAAACGCCAGACTCTCGCTAGAAGACTTCCAATCGGGAAGATCCTCTGATCAATCTAACCGGATGCGAGCAAAATTAACGAACGTACAGATTGGAACTGTCACCAACAGTCACACCGGGGAAGGGAAATGCAAATGTGGGCATGAGAGGCAAATTTTTCAGCTTCTGATTTCGCAAGCTGAATTTTTGACTTATGGTTGATCTGATTGGCTCACAGTGTCTACGTTACCAGAAAATCGAAAGGCGTGGCTTTCTTACTTGAACGAGGCATGTGGGGTGACAATGAATTTTCCAGGGATTGAGCGATGGCCCCGCGCTCGCTCACATGGCAGATCAAGGGTGCTCATATTTCAAGACTCACGCACCAGGGATCGCAATCCATCCTTGTTGCCGCACCCGCACGGCATGAGAATAGAATCAAAGTCCTTGGTCGGAGGGTTGTTTGACGTTGAAAGGCTGCTTTCCGAAAAAGAACAAGCAGGAAGTATAGATGAACTCCTGAATGGAAGTGTCCGTAACAGCAAGGATTTAACATCCTGCTTAGAATAGGCCTTTTGATCTCCAGATCAGCCTCTTCCATTCGTATAATTCATTTGGTCTGGTGATAGGCCAAGCCGGGCTGAACGGCCACCGTCTCTCCCAGTTGAGTGGATGGAGCGGACCTTGGACGATGTTCTCTACCCTCATTCCAACACCAAACTCCAGATCCGATCCCATGCAATTCAGTTTATTCCAAAACAAAGTTTCGAACCCCCCAGCGCAATGAACCAAATGTGTTGGTAACGAGGTCATCAAATGGTCAAGTCCAACATCATATTCTGTTCAATCGGAACTGCCATAGCTCTAGATTAAGCATAATGTTATCAAATTGAGGGGGTCGGAGAAGGCCCCAATGGTATTGAGAAACTCACACCAACCTCGTCTAATTCCCCTCGAGCCACCCAATCACAACCCCCTTTTCTCTCCATCGCTAACTGACACAACCGCCGCCTTCAATTTTGCCCCCTGACACCCCACCAAGCCAATCCCAACGACAGACATGCAAAAAGACCGCGTAAGTTTTCGTCCCTGCTCTGGCTGCATATTTGTGCATGAGCGGCCGCATACTCGACATGTACTTTTTTTGCATCTTCGCTTATTGCCAGCCAATAGGGGATTTTGCAGCGACGACTTTAACGAGATCTCGAATTCCAACAGGGCTGGAATTGTGGTGCGCGTGGATCATGCTGATGGTCATGGGCTCTGTCTTGTCTGGAAAGTCAACCAGAGTGTAGTCCCACTCCCGAGCGTTTGCATATGATAGACATAGCAGAGAGCGGAGAGAGCGACTTGATAGGCTTTCCTTGATAGTCGGTCTGCGATTTCTCGCTTACCCTGGTCGGTATCTACATGAGTTGGTTCTGAATCAACTCCACAGAATACATATCGGATCCGATAGATACTCGGCGGGAGGACAAGCACCTCTGGCCTTTGGTCGGGAAGCAATCTTTCATATGCATGATTTCTTTCATTCGATACATACACCAATTACTGTCCATGGACCTACTTCTGACCTACATCAACGCATCTAGCTAATGTACCTTCGTTTTCTCCTGCCTACTGGCTGTACCAGTGCAATGCACGAATTCGTCTATTCCACCCAATGAGTCTGAGTTCTTTGCAAAAGTCAAAGGACATGACGTCTAGTCTTGCATCTTGACCTACAACCTTTCGCCTTGGAGACTTTGACAGCTGGCCACTGGACTCCTGGAATCGGAGACGCCTTCTGAACGCTGCGAGTGTCACATATATATATGCGCTATCATCTCCAACTACCAACGACAGCGCCAATTGCACCAACATACATATCTTAATTTCCGACTTCTCCGTTTTCAGTCACATTCTCCTGGGGGCTGAGCTGGACTGCCTGCATCGAGCATTCACGTCACACAGCATAACACTCCACATTCTGATATACGCCGGCGTTCTTATTACCAGACGACTAACAACAATCGAGTTTGGAGACCACTGTCGTTTGATGCAGCATACATTCACACGCTCCCAATTCACAAGAAGGCACCCGCAAGTACGAGGACTGGACCTGGACTCCGACCCAGTCAAACGGCATCGGATCTGCCTCCCCTGGTCCAGGCACTTCCTGTTTCCACACACTTGCTTCCCGCTTCCGAGGGTTCCAGTTTGATCTTCCTACCTGTTGGTTTTCCCGGGTTTTCTCGCTCGCTACCGCCAGACAAGCCGTGGGGTCCGTTCATTCGTCCGTCCATCCACTCCACTCCTTCGGCATTCGTCTTATCTGACAACTGACAACGCCTCCAACAACGGCGTGCGTCGGAAAGGAGTACAAGGCAACGGTATCGAAGGAGGGCTATATCACCGTACTTGCATTACATGACAGCTATACGGGAGCATCGATTGCGACGCCGCCGCATCATGGCCATGTCTTGCCCCTCCCCAAGAGCAGGAGCACGAGTAGCATTAATACCGCCCCGCCATTCGCCCTGCCATTCGGCCGCACAGTCACATTCCCATTCGCAGTCGCAGCGCCGGATGCCCATGATGTACACCCTGCCCATTCAGCGGCTGAAGGAGATTGCGAGCCATGTCGTCCCCGGCGCGGTTCTCGGGACGGTAAAGGAGATCAGATCGACGCAGTTGCCGAGACTATATCTCCTCAAGATGAGTGATGGTCGTCCGCTGCTGCTCTCTATCACTCCTAGACTTTCGATCCGTTTGTTGAGGCACGAATCCACCATTATGGCGTCTGAAGCGAGTCTTGTGTATTTTCTTGCTCAGACGACGAGGCGGCCAGTATCCCCATCACCACCAGCATCGCGAGCTTCTTCTCATGATGATGATGATGATGATGATGATGATGAAGAAGAATTTTGTTCAAAATCCTTACAATTATCAGGGCTGGTCCCGAAAATTCTCCAGCATTCCTCGAATAGGAAGGAGACGCCATATCCATACAGCATTCTCGAGCCAACGAGGGGAACACCCATTTCATTGCTAGCTCCACCACTCAGTGTTACCAGCCGGCTCTCAATTGACAAACAAGTTGGCTCCTTTGTTCGAACGCTTGCTTCGATAAAGTCACCCAATGGAAATTTTGGGATGGCGAATCGGGTACTTCCCGACCCACCAAGCATCAAACAGTCATCGACGATGCCGAAACTCGTGGGCTCAGAGACGTGGTCCGAAGCTTTCAACACCCTACTCGAAGCTATTTTGAGGGATGGAGAAGATATGTCTGTTCTGCTGCCGTACGAAACCATTCGTGCCCACTACAGACGACTCTCGTGGAGACTAGACGCGGTCAAATTGCCAAGGCTTATTATCATCAACGTCAACCAAGCGAATGTGATGGTGGAACGGACGATCGAAGCAGACGAATTAGACGGGCCAATTGAAGAAGTCACATTGACAGGACTTCGGAACTGGAGTCAAGGTGTATTTGGAGATCCCTTGGTATCAAGTTGTTTCGAAAGCCCAAGCGAGGAGTTTCTTGAAGGTTGGATCGAAGGTGGTGACGAAGTGATCGAGGACGAAGAGAACAAAGAGGGCAGATTGCTGCTATACCAGTGCTACAGAGCCATTGTAGCTATCGTGACGGAATACTACAGGCCGCAGAGCGACAGTAGTAAGCGGGAGCTGGAAGGCAGAAGGAAATTGACGAGTGCATTGAAAGAGCTTGACGAACTATTTAACGACGAAGACGAAGCCATAAAACGGGTACGGAGCATGTCGATGGATATCTTGAGTGCTGCGAAAAGGCAGAAACTTGATGAGAAATAGATGGAAGAGAAGGGAAAGTCTGCAGCATACTAGCGTTGGCGTTTGGGCATAGTTAGCATATTGAAGGTTGAAGTGTGGTGATACCCATGGAACATGTAACGAGGTCAATGATCATCGCATCCATTCAATTTTGCTTCTGATTCGGTGCCGCATCGTCTTCATCTCGAGGTAATTGCATACCCATCATTGCCATGAGGTTCCCTCCAGGACCTGCCATGCCGGCCTGGCTTTTAAAACTTTCGAGTAGGTTCTTGGCTAGGTTAAAATCGATATCGATCTCTTCGTTGCTGTCGCTGTCATCATCATCCGTGTCTTCACTGGATTTCTGCACCCGATCCTTTTCTGATGTCGATTTGCCTTTGAGTGCCGCAAGCTTTCTTGGCGTGGGGTCCAGATTGAGGGCGCCAGCCTCATTTAGTTCGGCCTCCATTTGATCCATCACTTTCTTAAGCTCGGCAGCTTCATCCTCATCATCTTCATCGTCGCTGCTATCGAGTTCCTGTATCCTTTTTCGATTCATATGATTTTGTACAGGTCTGGACGATCTGGCACCTGTGTCATTCTCCTCTTCTGAAGGCATTCCCATCATCTCCCTCATCATTTTCGCAAACTCTTTCTCATCAAAGCTAACATCTTTATCCTCATCCTCACTGTCATCATCGTCTTCCTCATCATCGTCGTCGTCGATATCCATGTCATCCATTTCAGCACCATCGATACCAGCGTCATCGTCATTTAAAAATGCTTCGAATCGCTCAACCATTTTCTTCAGGTCTGCTTGGGTCTTGGCATCGCCAAATCCTGGCGGAGGTTCAGGTCCAAAAACGCCAGGAGCCGCTGGCGTCTTGTCACCTTTATTCTTCCCTTCTAATTCTCTTTCAAAGTCCTCAAAGTTAATGTCCAGCCAAGTCTCGTCATCTTCTCGTTTCACATCCTTCCACTTAGAAATATCTTCATCTGTGGGTAGAACAATGTCATCGTCGGTTTCGAGGTCGTCCAGCAGAATTTTCAATTCTCGGACCATACGATTATCTCCATTCTTAGGATCGGTAAGCAACATCTCAAAGCCGGAAGTGACTTTCATGCCCAACTCATGCTGCGCGTGGATTTTGACACCGATGTGGTCAGATGCGGCGTGACTTCCAGACTTAGACAGGATATCCTTCCATGATGCTGGTGCTGCAAACTGCTGCGATTTGAGCTGAGCATAGAGAACCTTTGTAAACCGTGTCGACACTGTCACAAGGTTGATAGGAGGAAAAATCAAATTCGCAGAACTGCTTTGTAAAGGCTTCAACGCAACCGGGTCACGAAGATAGAAAGCTTCTACCGCTGGAGCGATGGATGCAGGCCGATCATGCAAGAGGTAGGCCAATTTCCTTGGAATCGTGATAGGTGAATGGTGCAGAGATGTTGTGATCTGAGCTGGATAATTTCGGATCCGATAGAAGGCCTCCTCCTCAAGTAAGGGAGAGTTTATGAGTATCTGGGGAGTGGACGCAATGGTTTTGTTGGCTTCTTCAAGAGTAAGAGGTCTTGAGACTGGTGCTGTAGCCTTGGCCGCAGACGAAGCGGGAGCTGCACTCAGGGGGATGATACGGAGTCTATTATTATTGATCCATACCTGCAGGCTGTTAGGAGATACTCTCGAGCTTCTGGGTAGTACATGAGACTTGCCCGATTGTCAGCTATCTCAGGATTTAGCCAACGTGGCAAAGCATTGGCGGCTTCTATCAACAAGAATTCGCCATCTGTATCCACAACTTTGACCCAGAGATTTGAGAACTTGGTGCTTAATTGTTTGAGGATATATACAATGAGCCATTCATCCTCGACCGAATCGCCGTAGTTCGTGAGACCGTGTAGGTACATAAGTCCTGGACACTATTTAGCGAATTTTATCTGAAGCATGATCATCAAAATCGAACCTTTACCACTTTCCAGCTCCAACTTGAATGCCTCGCGCTGCCATATGTATTCTTTCAACAAGCTTCCTGTCAACTTCAGAGACTCTTTCCGGACTTCTTCCAGTTTCCCAAGCAGCTCTTTCTGAGACTTGAGTCTAGAGTCAATGATAAAAAGCGAATACTCCACACAGTCTTCAGGCAGTCTCTTTGGAAAGCCTTCGAAGCCACCTCCAAAGCCTTTGAATTCGTCCTGTGGAGTATCCATAATGGCGATGAAGAGCAAATATTGTCACGGTACATCCAGGACAAGGCTGAAGCTGATGTTTGGATTTTCTAGCTGTGGCGTCGAAGGAAGCTCGGGCCATGAGCAGGGATAAGCCCGCTAGTCTTGTTGTGGAAGTGGTGTAAACATTGAAGAAGTCGCGTCCGCGCAAAAACCAGAACCTCAACATCCCACCGCTACACCGGCCGACCGCGCATTTACTTGGAGTTCATGGCTACGACTGGGAATTTTGCATACTGGCGACATTGATTTATTCCTCTATTGCTTCATCGCTGAGCTGCGCAAGCTCAACTCAATTACAATATGGTGCAAGCCGGAGTTGGGGGTCTCGACACTCCCCGAACGAACCTTGGAGATGCGACTTATCTCTCTACACAACAACTAGACTTCGATATATCACAGGAGCAGTCCTTTCAGTCACCCTCAAAAGATAACAATAACCTCCTACAACAACTTGAGAATGGCAGGCGCGGCGCGATCAACCTCAAGACGCCTCGAAGTCGCGCAACGCTCAGTGACAGACGAAATCTTCCTGCAGGACTCGGCGGCGGAGAATTTACGCCCTTGCTCAAGAGTGCTACAAGAAACAGCGCGCTTCGAATAGGAAAAGAGAATGTGCCTGCAACACCAGCATTTCTTAAGCCTGGGGCTTTAAGCAACATCCCTGAAGATCTGGGTCCTCTACCTCATGGCAGCTCGGTATTTGGCGATTCTCGAAATGGTTCATACATGGCGAGTACACCAATGCCACAAATCGATAGCAGCAGTGCCGCTTCCACCCCTATGGCATTGCTTCCTAGACGCAATGAAGGTCCAGGCGTTCTGCAAGATGGTAATCAGTTATCGTTACGGGAGCAAGAGAATGTTATCGACAAGATAGAGAAGGAGAACTTTGGATTGAAGTTGAAAATACATTTCTTGGAAGAGGCCCTACGGAAAGCTGGACCCGGTTTCAGTGAAGCAGCCTTGAAGGAGAACACGGAGCTGAAGGTGGAAAAGGTCACAATGCAGAAGGAACTCCTCAGGTACCGCAAAACTCTTGCCAGCGCCGAGAAAGACGTGGAGACGTACCGACAACAATTTTTGGAGATACAAGATAAATATTCGCGGAAACACGCGAACCAGGATCAACAGAAAGAATTGGATCGCATGCGTGAGACACTTGAGGAGCGCGAGGCAGAGCTCAATCGGTTGAGGAGTCAAGGAGCCCAATTCGAGAACCTGAAGGACGAAGTCGATGATCTCAAAGCCGACCTAAGAGAGAAGGATCGCCTGCTCGATAACAGAGATGACGAAGTGGATAACCTCAAAGCCGATCTGCGAGAAAAAGACCGCCTACTCGACAACAAAGACGATGAACTAGATAATCTCAAAGATGACATTGAGAAGCGCGACAACACCATCTCAGAGCTCCAGAACACTATGAAAGATGCTCAACGCCGAGTTGTGGAATTAGAGGAGAATGCCCAAGTCAGCGAAGAGCTAGACGAAGCCAAGGAGACCATTGAGGAGCTGGAGCGGGCGTTGAAGCGTGCCAAAGCGGAGGCCGAAGATGCTAAAGAGGAATTAGAACACGATCTGAAGCGCCTTGAGGAGGAAGCTGAAGATGCTAAGGAGGAGCGAAAGGATGCCATCAAAGAGAAAGAACGTGCTGAAGCAGACCTGCAAGAATTACAAGAAGAGATCGCCAACAAATCCATGACCACCAAGGGCCGAAGCCGGCAAATCGAGGAGAAGGCGAATCGACTGCAGGATGAACTCGAAGGCTTAAGAGAGAAATACACAACCCTAGAAGACGAACATGCGGACAAAGTTCGTGACATCAAGAAGCTCAAGGAGAAGATGGAGGACCTCAAACAGGATAGTGATGTCAAGGAGCAAAAGTTGAAGGACAAGATCGAAATTCTCCAGAACGAGAGCCAGTCTTCCTCCCGGGAATGTGAGTCGCTTCTGCAGCGTGTCCAGGTTTTGCAAAACGAAAATCAGTCCTCAAGTCGAGAGCGTGAGTCTCTCCTGAGGCGTATAGAGACGATCCAGAACGAAAATCAATCGTCAACGCGGGATCGGGAGTCATTCTTGAAGCAAGTCGAGACCATTCAGAACGAACTTCACCAACTTTCAGATGAGAAGAACCTCCTCCAAATCCGCCATGATGCACTGACTACTGAGTCCGCCGGCCTCCAAAGAGACCTTGCCAGATCTCAAAAGACCATCGAGGACCTCGAAGATAAGCTTGAACATGAGAAAACAATATCTCTCAACAACGAACGCGAGGTCCGGGACCAATATCTCAAGGAAATCAACCGCCTCGGTGATGAAATTGAGAACGTTCAGGCCATGCAGAGAGAACAGCAGCGCGACGTAGATGGGCAGTATGAGGTCTGGGCCAGCGAGCGGAGAGGTCTGGAATCGGAGAAGGAGATGGCCGAAGAAAAGGCTGCCGGCTTGCAACGAACTATCGACAGGCTGCAGGAAGCTGAAGGCACACTTTCAACCAAGGAATCCAAACTCAAGCAAGCTCTTGAGAGTGAGAAAGAGAGACACGCCAATCAGGAATCTCTTCTTAATCGCCAAATTCAAGAGCTCAAGGATGACGTGGACAGGCAATTTAATACTCTTGAGAGAAACAAGGATGAAATGATGAGTCTTCGCGAGCAAGTCCGAATCAGCCAGCGAGAACAGAAAGTTCTTGCTGAAAAAGTGGAAGGTCTCGAGGATGAAGTGGAGATCCTGCAGACGAGCCTGGATGATGAGAGCGACCAAGCCAACCAGGATGTCGCAGCTGCCAAGCAAGAGTCTGAGATCCTCCGACGACAACTACAATCATTGAAGCAGGACCTAGCAAAAGCAGAATCAATGGCTGCCAGTTCACGTGCTGAGATTGAGGCCTTCCAGGGTGACTTGCAAGCTGGGGAAGGAAGCAAGCAGCAACTAAATTCCAGGCTGAGAGACATGGAGGCTCAGCTCGCTGGAGTTAGACAAGAAAAGCAAGGGCTCCAAGATCAACTTTCGAGTCTACAGCTTGAGATGCACTCTCTACGTGCTGTTAAGGCTGATGCGATAGCAGAGCGTGATGAGCTTCAGAGCCAGTTAAGGACATTGCAACGGCAAGAGGAAGGCACGTTCCGTCTGGATCAGGAAAGAGTGGATCTTCGCACGTCCAAGATGAAATTGGAGAGTGAAATTCGACGACTTCGGGAAGAAAACAGACTTGCAGCTGCACAGCAACAGGCTGTTGAATCAGAGCTCCAGCAAGAGCTCGACAGAGCCAGCGCTGAGGAAGGGCGTCTCAACTCGGAAATTGGTGACTTACAGAGAATCTTGAGAGGTTCCTCTGAGAAGAAGGAGCTAGCAGCAGCTAAGAAGACGATCCAAAAGCTTGAGGCTCGGGTTCAAGAGCTCGAGGCGCAACTTGAGTCTGCTGATGGTCAAACTGATGTTGCACACGAGCTCTCAATCATCCGCCACGACCTTTCATCAGCACGCCAGAAGGAGAGCGAGCTCCTCCAGCGTGAAGCAGCTCAAAAGGATGTTGTCCGGACCCTCAAACGCCAGATTACGGAGCTGGAACGCAAGGTTCATGAGACTGAAATCTCTCGTTTCGTATATTCATCTCCCCGGTCATCTATCAATGGCTCTGCACGCAAATCTGAAGTCGTTGAGATTCGTGCCCAGCTCGCTACAGCGCACCAGACTCTCAAAGAAGTTCGTACCCAGCTGAAGGATGCTGAGAAGGAAACCGGCAAGAAGATCACAGCGCTCAACATCGACATTCAAGCTCAGCAAGCCTCGTGGGAGTCAGAGAAAGACGAGCTAGAGCGTGCTCTCGATGAAGCCGAACTTGCTAGAGAAGAGTTGGAGGCCAAGAACGCTACCTCCGATGCAACGGTCACTCGCCTACGCAGCAAAATCGACCGTCTGGAGAAAGCACTCCAGCATGAACGTCAGAACGTTGGTGAGGACCGCAGTATCGTTGCTGAACGTCGGGATCTCCATGAAATGTTGCGTGAGACTCAATTACAAGCGGAATCCCTCGAAATTGTCGTCCAGGAGCGTGATCACAAGATCGCTGTAATCACGTCTGCCGAGCAAGAACTTCGCTCCCAGCTTAAGCGTGTCAGAGATGAGCGAGCTCTGCATCGCTCTGAAGCCACTTCCCTCCACGAGCAACTCGAAAATCTTGAGCGTAAATACAGGAAAGCCAAAGACAAGTGGACTGCGGAGAAGAAGACTTGGGATACTCAGATCAAGACCTGGGAAGCCGAAATGAGCCACTGGGATGCGGAGAAGAAACACTGGGACGCTGAGAAGAAGCACTGGGATGCTGAGGAGAGACATTGGGGAGTGGAAAGACAGCTGTGGGCGACAGAGAAGAAGAACCTCACCCGCGGCGTCAGATTCGCAAACATGTCTCTCTCCGTCAACGACGACTCCGAACAGCTACAGGCTCTCAAGCAAGCCATGGAAGAGCGCGAGAAGATGCACGTCAAGGAAATGAGAGGCAGAGCCATGCAATTAGAGTGGTTGCGAGCTAAGTGCCAACGAGAAGAGAATTTCCGTGACGACGCTGCATACGCGAAGAAATACATGGCCTTGCAGATCGAGCTGTTCAGAGCTTGGTAAGTCACATTCATCACATCATCACTTCCCCAATGAAATACACATACTAACACTTGCCCCCTTCCAGCAACGAAGCAGATATCCGCATCCTCGAATCCGCCGGCGTACCTCGCCCACCTCCCCGCGAGAAGAAGAAGCCTACCATCCGCCTCGTCGCCATCGCCATTCGAGCTACGGTTCGGATGAAGATGGGTGCTGCCAAATGGGCCGAATCGCGCAAGATCCAGGAACGTATCGAGGCTAAGATCGAGCAGCAGAAGATGCAGCTTTTGCAGCAGCAGCAGAAGGGGGATGCTACTGCTCCCCAGGTGGCTTCAGCGGCTGTTACGAAGCGAAAGGGTACTTCAGGTAGTGGTGGTGCACGATCTGCGTATGTGTAAATGAATGGATGGACGGATGGAGTGTTGGAGGGAAGACAGGGATGATTCATGACCTTTTGTTTTCCTGGTCTATTGATATTGATATTAAGATCAGTATGCGATAAGCATCCTTTTTGCGACTGATGGTTTCGGCGTTGGAGTAGCTGGCTGACTGTTTGGGAGCATGGAGCCACATGCAATGCATTGGATGAGCGTTTAGGGGTGTTTGTTGTTTGTTGATTATGTTTGGTTTACTGCCGAAAAGACGACAAAAGACAAAGACAGGAATGAATGAATATTGTTTTTTTACTGTAGAGAGGGTACCTGTCTAGTCGGAGTCGAAATAAAGATCACAATGAGAATGTCTATTACTGAAAGAGCAAGCACCGTAGAGACCCTAAGTAGTGATGAACATTTTTGCAATTCTTCTCGCTATCTCTATGTTATTAGCGGGAAGGGGGCAGATTAACAGCAGTCTGGCCGGCTTGCTTTGGGACTACCCAGGGATAATTTCATAAACCAAAAGCGTCGAGCTCGAATACCTGGCATATATTTGACACTAAAGTATATAAATAGCCAACCTAGGAAGTGGTAATGGTAACAGGAAATGAGACCCTGTGCTTTTTCCCCATATGCACATCCATACATCCATTCATTCCAATTCCGATTTCAAAATATCATCCATCCCAAAAAGAACGCCTTTCCCAGATCCCAAGCTAAGACCAAGCCCGAGCTCAATCTACCCCATACATACATACATACAACGAATGAGTGAGTGAGTGAGTGAGTGAAGCCCAATGGGCAAAATGTTTACATTACGAAGAGGAGGTTGGTGTCTTGAATGGTTGCAATCAGTATTTGTCTTGTCATTTTTGGCCCTGGCAGAAGATGAAGGGGAGGGATGGAAGGAAGGAAGGAAGTACAGAAGGCAAGGAATAAGAGACTTACTCAAAGGATGACTACAGCTCAGCTGCGGCTTCTGAGTATACTTGGTAGCGAGCTCGTCACGGATACTGTTGAGCAGCTGGACGTAGCTCTGCTGTGGGTTCTTCTTCATGGCGTTGATGAAGGCCCAGGACATGGCACCGGTAGCTTGTGCGGCAATGGTGGCGTCAGCCCTATCAAGTAAACAGTCAGCAGCTTTCTCTTTATTCATTTTGGTTTCTGGCAGAACGGGGGATGAAAGCAAGGAAGCCCCCAATCCAGCTAGTCCGTCAGGCAGGTCACCCAACGTGACTCGCAGCCCTAAGCCCACGCCTCAGCCGTATTTGGCCAATGGCGTAGCCTTAGGGCTTCCAAATTATGTTAATTAGGACATATACTACTGTTACATTGGCCAGGGGCTTGCCCTGCAGCCAAAGTGGGACACCGCCCATTATCCAGAACGCCCGCTAAAGCCCCAAAAACGCCATCCCATTACTTTTCTTTTTGATCACCCATTCGTACAAAAACATATCTACGTATGGCAAGAAATAAAAGAATGTACTGACGATGTCTGATCATCTTTGCTTCCAGACCACATGATGACATCAGCTGGTGATGTCTTGGTGGCCATGGTCTTATTGTATGCATCATCTCCTGTGGTGGCCTTCTTGAAGAAGCCCATCAAATTGCTGGCAACACCGCCCATGTTGCCTTGACTGTATGAAGAAATAACACCAAGAAGACCTTGTCCGGCTTCTTTGGCGAGGTTGGGCTCCTTGAGCACACCCTGGGTGGAGTAAATATATGGAAGGTCGAGTGCCGTTCCGGAATGGCAAGAGTCGAAAATAGCTGTCAATCGCACACCCGGATGTAATGGAGTTACCATAATTCGGTGCATCTCATCATCTACGATATGCCCAACTTGTCGGAAATCCACTGGGTAGATGACTTCGTCATAGCCGTCCTCTTCATCGCCGTCAAGATCCTTGGTTTGGCCGCCATGACCTTTCCCTGTCAGTATGCTTCTGGTTCTCAAGCACTCAAGTACTCACCGGAGTAGTGAAAGAATAAAGAATCGTTCGGCCGCGCATCTTTTACCAACCAATGCATTGCCCGGAGTATGTTTTGCTTCGTAGGTTGGCTCATCGGATTTTGCTGGTCGTCGGTAAGAATGACCATATCATCCCGTTGATAGCCGAAGTTTTCGTTCAAAAATGCTGACATGTTCTTCACGTCGTTGATGCATCCTCGCAATTGTCCTCTCTGTCCAAAATAATTTATCCCAATAAGTAGGGCTTTCCTTCGTCCCGTGCAGGCTGAGTATTGGAATGCATAGCCTTGTGGTGCGCCATTGCCAAAGCTTTGCATAGTTTGCGGGGGAGGAGCTGGAGCCGAGTGGTTTCCATTGACGTAAGCATTCGAGTTTACTGATGGCATACCTGCAGAACTCCAGTATCAGCTTTGAAACATGAATTAGTAGAGTTAACGTACCAGGTCTGCCATATTGAGGTTGGTTATTTGGTACGCCATTGTATCCACCGTACTGTTGTGGGGGAGGCTACCAAGAGCAAAATCAGAACTCGTTCTCCTTGGCACTCCGGAGAAGGTCTTACCTGTGAATATCCGTATGGTTGCTGTGGTGGCGGGGGCTGTTGATAGCCATAGTTTTGCTGTGGAGGAGGAGGTCCATAATTGTGCTGAGGTCTGCAAAATGTTAACATACGCGTCTGTAATGGAAGCCATGCTGCTCCTACGGGTAGTAGTTTGGCTGGGGCGGGTACTGCTGAGGCGGTGGTCCTCCATATCCTCCGTGGTAGCCAGAACCTGGGTATCCTGACATTTCCGAAGTATCAAGAAGTAAGTATGAGGGTGTGGATGTGGTTGCTATGTGGTCTGCCGGACGCCGAGGGCGCTCCGAAGATCCTCGAAGTACTTCTCGCGGAGAGGAAGGGGATTGTCTGAATCAAAAGCTGGTCCTGAGACAAGCCTCGAGATGTGGGAGGAGGGCGATTCTTTATAGAATGAGGCCTTGCAGATGTGTGTATGGTATGGATGTCTAGCAGCAAGTGGGGAAGATGAATTTGGAAATTGTAAGAGAGGTCTGGAAGCTAGAGAAGCTTGGGCAGGGGAGGCGGTGTTTGGTTCGAAGCGCGTGCGTGCGTGCCTCGTGTAGGGATGATGATATCGCTGAGCAGTGTGCTTCTTTGGTATACTTTGGGTGTTGCAGTAGTCGATACGGTTGTAGTGGGCGGCGGTGAGGAGGGACTTCTAGGAACAGAACGAGGCGTCGAGGCTTGCCAAAAAAGGCCGGGCTGAAACGCAGAAAGAGGACGACAGGAAGCTAAGCAACGGGGGTTTGGATGGTGACTGTGTTGTTGAGAGTGAGTGGGGCCTGTCTGTCTGTCTGTCGTGGATATGGTCGTCGAGTCGTGACGACGTGGAAGGGTATGGTGTGGTGTGGTGTGGTGTGGTGTGGTGTGGTGGCTTTTGGGGACGAAAGTCAAGTCAGGACGTGGATGTGGATGTGGATGTGGATGTCCGGGATCGAAGGAGGGGTTCTTCTGGCAAAGCGGCATGGGCTGGTAGGTGCATACACACATACACTGTCATACCTTACAGTAGCGAGAGTAGGCAAGGAGCAGCCCATGCCGTTGATCGCTAGCGGCTGATGCTCGCTTGCCCCGGGACTAAGGCCGAATCCATCTCCATCCAAGAGAGCGCCAACTCGCCTGCACCCTTCTCACGTCCCGTCCCACCGTCCCATCGTCCCATCCTTCCATCTTCTGCCAAAACAAACCTCACTTAATCATACTCATACTCATACTGCTGTTTTTGTTTTTGCTATGATTCACAACTCCTCAGTACTTGTTGCTCAGTGTTACATATCAGTCACTTCTCTGCTCCCAGCGTGCATTATCTATCTCTTCCAATCTGTCATCATTCAAATATTAATCATATCAATCTACGCGCTGAAGTCATCTGCCAGGAGGGTGGCAGGGGGACTGGCCCAGAACCTCAGACGGCCATGCAGACCACATGCGCGAACCACGTTGGTCGAAGGGGCGACGCTGCTGGTGATCTTCATCGCCAAACAATAAGTCCCTGACCCAACAGCCGAGTCGAATCACATTGGCCTGGGCCATGGCTCATATCCCTATCTTGCATTTTCCCATTCTCAAAACGGACCCCCTGTCGAGGAGTTACACTAGGATTACGAAATGTCGATGTCTGGCCATCGATTTCCTGACCCAGTCGACTGGTACCTCCCGCTCTGCCACGAGTTTTTCCGTCCGTGCAAGTCCTACTATCCAAGCCACTAACCCAATTACACCTTCCAGTGCTTGTGAAGACCCTTTTAGAGCTTTCTAGCTTTGAGCTATAATACGATAGCTTCTCTTCCCACGCTCATCAGGGGTCGTTCCAAACTGATGGGACCGGAGCGTGGTCCTGTCGAGGCAAGAATGAGCGACGTCAACCTTGACCGGCAACTATCTTGAGCTCTGCCCTGTTCTTGGAAGGCAATTGGTGTTGGCTATTATGGTATCAATTTGGGGGCTTAGAGCATGCACCAGATACAGCAGCCGTCATCGCCCAGTAACATTGTTTTCAGTACAGAGGTGCAGAAGTGCAAAAGTACTCGAACTCTTGTCATACACCAGGAGATTGTTCTCTGGTCTGACTCTGCCTCCTTCTTCGGACAAGTCGCAGCAGTCAATCCCCTGAACAGCGTGTCCGAGCCCTGCAATGTTTCAGAAAGGAGTACGGATCATGGAGAAGTCCTTTCCGCACTGGAAGAGAATGGCCCGAATGCAAGCCCTGCTGCCCTGCCCTGCTCTACTGCACTTCTGGTCTCTCGTTCCTTGGGCCATACATACCATACAGAGAGAGGCCAAAAATGAGTAGCGGACTCGCTTCCTGCGACGAATGAGCGCTGTCACAGTTAGGGTTCAAGGCCAGGCGATAGGACAATGCAGGAGTGGAGAGCAGCAACTTTGATACTTTGCGCGGAGAGGCCGAAATAGTCAATTTTGTGGCTTGCGTAGAATGGAAGTTCTCTGCGTGGTTGTGCATCGTCGTGCATGGAGGCGCTTTACCGAGCTGGTGTGATTCGTCCACCTCGCATTCGAGATTGGGAGACGACCCGATGTAGCAGATTACGCTAGCCCGCATGCAGAACAACAACACCTCCAAACTTGATCTCTTGCGACGTTACTGGATGACACTCTCCTGTGTCTCCTCGAGCTACAGGCCTTCCACACCATACTATGCACGTAGAAGCTCATCTTTGTATTTTACCGGTCGAATGAGAAGCCTCCCCGGAACGGGGAAAATTACAGACATTGCAGTTCCCCAGGTCTTGCGATGCCGAATCTGGATCGTATGTCATATTCAGTCAGGCTTTCTGCGGCCTCAGCCATATTCTGGTCTTATCTGCTTACAATCCTCACTTCATTTTTTCATCCTCAAGTACGGATACAATAAGCTGCTGCCTAATTCTTTCAATTGAGGAGGCCCTCATCGGTCTCTCCAAACGGCCCGAAAAAAGTCTTGTGTCGTTCGATATTGCGATAGATATGGACGAGTCTTCCTTCTACTTCTTACAAGACTTTCTTCAATTACTACACCAAGTACCGTCAACGTCATGCACAATGTGTCTCCAGCCTCCCCCACGTTTCCTACCAACCAATAGAGGGCATGCCGACCTCTCAGCCACCAACAAAAGCCACAAGTATAACCCGGTACTCAATACCATCGCTGCATATCACGAAGCCACATCTATTCGGATACCATTACTTCCAGTGGAATAGCTTAAAGTAAGCCTTAGGGAAGGGAGCGATGCTGATCTCCCGTGACACCTTATCTCGCTCCTCGTCTCCAGTAACACGGTGCAGTAAGCATCCACCTTTCCAGCTTCAGATCTGGTCTGACTGCAGCTGCAGAATCGCATCTCATCGAGCTCACAGATCTCTCACACCGTCATATGCACGGTATGTGTCAGTCCGGAGCTATCTATCATATCTGTGGCTATCCTCTGCTACAGGGCTGCATGTCAACAGCCTCGCACTACTTTTTCTTCCCGAGTGCATCCGTGCTATAAGAAGTATAACGGCCCGGTACTTTTGAAAGCTTGGTATTCATATCAGCTCTCCCCAGACACGCCATCTCGGCCATTGGAACTTCCGACTGCATGAGACGTTGTGGCTCAAAGAACGGTAGTTTGTGGCTAAACGTCTCATCCTGACGCCTCTCAGAGCCACAGTACCAGCTAGCATGAGAGTTTTCATAGCCTCTCAGCCTTGTAAGCCCTCTTACGGCTGTAAGCGCAGCCGTCCAAAATAGAGGCCAATGAGCTAGCTGGAAAAGGGGGTCAGGTACGATCTGTGCTTTATGCTTAATTGAAGCTGCTTCCCCATCGTTCGTCAGCACGACTAGTCGGTCCGTACCAAAGTGCAGTTGCCACCTGACCTTACAAGACTTTGGTGGATGGAAGTCGAGCTGCGGCCTAGCTACGATACAACTTTTGCTATTCGTCAAGGCGCTGTTAGCTTCACAACTCATAAATTCACCATTGCTTTTTATGGCTATTCTCAGGACGGCAGTATCCAGCTCAGTTGTGAAACTACTCTGCATCTAGTCACGTCTTTTCAACACAAGTTGTATGTCAACGCCCTGAGCTGAATCTTGTCCCAGGTACCTGGCTCAGAGCCACGCCTGCTGTACCTGCGAATCAAAACCTCCTGCTTGATCAAGTGTATGATCTTATCTTCAGAGCTGGCAACTTGTACGTAGGCGGAAGACATCAAGGAGTTCTTGGTTGAAACTCACTTAAATAAAGAGCCCGTCTGCTCTCGCTCAATGACCGCAGAGAGTAAAGTTGCTTGACAATAAAAGCAGGAAAATAAATATGCTTCTGTTTCACTGCAGTCATGCACGGATACGACCGAGATGGCGAAGTATCACATTACTGTGCATGTCTCTTCTGTTCCAAGAACACTTCGGCCAGGATTCGGACATTTCGAGACATTTCTTGAAAGGCAATGGAGCATATCTAGCGAAGGCACTTTTAAAGTGTTCTCTTTGATAGCTCGAACTAGGCACCAATTATGCGTATGCGAGAAACAATTCGACTTCGAGCGAATTCTGACAGATTACACAGTGTATGAGAATCCTCTACATCCATGCACACACAAGACAGAACTCCGTGTTTTCCCAAGCACCGTTATTTTCTGCTGCATTATACCGACTCCTCTCGTCAGCCCAGCTTTACCTCCACCGTTCTAGTAACGTAGACATCGTCCGCAGACTTTACCAGGATATCTTCTTCGCTATCAGTAGTTATGCCATTCTTAGTCCGCACTCTTCCAATAGTCGTCGTGAACTCACTTTCCGTTCCTGTCGCTCCTTTGGCCCTCTTCATACCGAGTTCATATGTTCCCGCAATTGTACGAGGTCTGCCTGATGCTATTGTGTATGGACCACTAGCTCCACAGCTGCTGGATTTCGTGGAATTGAATATGTTCGGAAGGAATCTGGTGAATAGTGGCTTTAGAGTCGGACTGCAAGCGCAGACGATGGTGGCGTGGGCTTCGATTGTTGACCATATCAGAACATCCGTTGTATCCCCTCATTACAGTCAGCATCTAGACTTGACCAAGCATGAGTTTTGAAAGGAGCTTACAAGTCAAATCGGCGGAGCCCAAGAGATGTGCTACTGACTTCAGGCGAATGATAGATATTATGCAGACACTACTCGCAAGTCAGCCTGTAGTTCAATCATCGCTCTGCGCCGAAGCCACAAACGCAAATCCAACTCCAAAAATAGCCATCAGAGTCAACCGCTGCCTCAATCTCATCTGCAACTTCCAAATCTCGTACAGCGGGAGCAAGATAACAAATACATCGGAAGTGATATTGAACGCAGCCTGCGCAAGATATGCCGCGGGTCGATTGACGCAAACCGTGGTGGGCAAAGCTGCCAGGCTCACGTCCCAGCTTGCGGCTACTGGGTTGCAGGAGAAGACAACCACGAGAACGCCGGCTGTTGCGTAGCAGCCTACGAATCCACCTGTAAGGTAGACCAGTATTCGGAAGGATGGCTTCTCGAACACTCGCAGGTAGAAGAATAAAATCGAGATTTTGGCAAAGGCGAGGGCTGCACCGTAGAAGTTCCCAACTACCATTTGTAGCTAGACAGATTGTGAGAATTTGGTTTGGACCAAGAGACAAGTTCATCTTGATTAAACAAAAAACCCTTGTTTCTCGTCTCGGGCCTTACATACCTGCAAGAATACTCCAAAGTCCTCAAGTTCCAGCTCCCACAAATGAGTACCAGTCCCATAGCGACACTGCACGATGTCGCCGATACTCAAAGTCGTGGCGGAGATCTGTCGAACATCAGTATCTACACCCCAAGAATCGAAGATATTTCGTATAAGTATACTGACTGACCCATGCAGCCAGAATCAGAAAGTCATCAGGTCCAAGTGCTCTTGAGATATGCTGCCGGGTCCAGAGTCGAAGAACTGTCCAAGTCGTTGAGAATACCATGCCAGCACTTGCTGTGACAACAAGTTGCCATCCAATCTGAACGTCGAAGCCTAGGCGTCAGTTTATTGTCCATTGAATCTGTCGAGATGCATATCTAGAGAGCCCGTTGGAGAATTATCCTCTTGAGAGATAGTACTTACATAGGCGCCAAAAGGCTCATTGTAATCTTCTGGCTTCGAACCAGCTTTAGGTTTTGTTGACAATGCCATGATGGTGTATCTAAACCTCAACTTAAGTGTTTGGTCAATAATTCGTCCACAAGAGTTAGAAGACCAATTTATCCGTCTCCTCCAAGGGATTTGCACACGCCTGAAGAGTGCATGTTTTCTTTTCGATTGCAATTTCCCTTTAAAGGAGTATCATCTACTTCTTTGATATTTTCGAAACAGATTGTTCTCTCATCTCATTTCATTCTTGTTTGGATTTATTAGTAACTTGGGCCTGTAATGTTGGCTTGGATGTTGGTAAATATATCAACACTCGCTTATTGTCGCATGGTCATTGGCTGCATGCACAGAAAAGAACAATGCGCTGCAGCGGACGGTGTTTCCCCTTGCAGCTCACGTTCCGTTGCCTGTAGCTTCCCAGTCACACTGGGCAATGTCACTGGATAGTGGAAGGAAGTCATCGGGGAACAGGTTTGCGAATTTTGCTCAGTTGTTTCGACTCCTTGCTGCAAGTCTGAGGAAACACTTCATCAATCCGATCAGTCAACCCGTGTATAACAAACAAAGCTCTCACATCTGTATAGTGGTAATCTGCTGAGAATTTCCAGAGTCTAATTGATTGAATGTTTTACGTTTCACAAGCAAGAGTTTCGATTGTACACAAAAACAAGATGTGAGCGGACAGAACAGAAGGCAAGGGTGGCAGGTACATGTTGACATTCGACTGGGGTACCTGCACGGCGCCGCTCCCGGTCAGGAAAAGAGTCCAGACCTGGCACATAGGCAACCCCAGTGCATGCGGAATTCGCGTCCCAAATTCCAAAAGGGAGCTTCGATTGGCGAGTATCTGCCATTTCATGATCAGAAGCCCCGACTGGAGCGGGACTTTGGGTCTATTGGTAACGAACTCCGACGATGCTGCATGCCCTTCCTCAACTTCCAATCACAAAGCAAGCTGATACTTTGGCCAAGCTTCAGGTGGTAGATGCGGGCTTGCACCTGGCTGTCTATTATTTGAGATCAGTTACCATAATATTCTCCGTGGGCACTCATAGAGTTGCCCTCGGATTCTTTAAAGCCGGATTGGCATCCTATCCTCATTCCTAATTCTCAGCATCACTACGAAACACCTCAATCATCTCACGATCACTTGTGCTATTTCTCAAATTTGATATTTGACAGAATACAAGATGAAGGATTCTTGGATTGATACACTTTTACTTCCTCTGGTCGTTACAGCAGTTCCACAAAGTCTACCGGCATCCTCCTCACCCCTCTCGGAACGATCCATAAGTTCCGGAATATGTGTACGTATATTTCGAACCTGACTGATGCAAAAATTATGCTGAATTTGAATGCTCTAGTGCGGTGCCTTAAGTATCGTCAGTCCGTGGAAGACAGTTTATTCTAAATCGACAGCTTACAATTCGTCAATGGAAGGATTCTGGTCTCTTCAGACGACGTTTGACACACCGACTTGTATATTCAAGCCTACCTCCAACACTGATGTATCGCTCGCCGTGAAGACTCTGAGTTTACTGAAATGTCAGTTCTCCATCAAGGGAGGTGGCCACACCCCGTGTGAGTGCTCCCCTGAGCAAGTGTTTCAATTTTGCCCAGCAAAAAACAGCCCGATGCTCGCCAATCAACATTTTGAGATATGATTACTGATTAGCCTACAACAGGGGCCGGAGCTGCGAGTATCAAAGATGGCGTCACAATTGACATGACTGGTATGAGTGCTGTAACTGTCAGTGGTGACCAAAAGGTTGCTTCAATTGGCGCCGGAGCTCGCTGGGGAAAAATCTACTCAGCACTCGAATCACAAGGGCTCATGGTCGCAGGAGGACGTGACCCCGATGTTGGCATTGGCGGACTAGTTCTCGGCGGAGGATATTCCTGGTTCACGTCGACGATGGGTTTCGTAGCCGACGGCGTCGTCAACATAGAACTGGTTCTTGCAGACGGGTCAATCGTCAATGCAAACTCCACTTCCAACTCCGACCTCTTCCAAGGACTGAAAGGAGGGGGAAACAACTTCGGTGTTGTCACTCGCTACGATCTGAGATCCTTTCCGTTCGGTCAGATGTGGGGTGTGATTAGGATCTTCTCAAACGTCACGCAAGATCAGCAAATTGCGACGTTTGTAAATTTCACGGATAATGCGCATGCGGATACGCATGCCAACCTGATCAATTTCTGCTCGTACAGCTCGGAGACGAAATTTCATACGAATTGGAATGTACTTGACTACACACTGCCGGTCGAGAATCCTCCGATATATGCTGAGATCGACGCCATTCCTGACGCCGTTGCTGATACGACCAGGATTTCTTCCCTCTCTGGCTTAACCGAAGAGCTTTCTTCTGCCACTCAAAGAGTCAGGTGAGTTTTGCAGTATACTTGTGTTTCATCGTAGACACAAGACTCATGATAGACGCAGGAACATCTTCGTGACTGTCAGTTTTGCCAATGATGCTGCGATGTACAGGTCTGCGGTTGATATTTCGAATTCCTATCTGAAAGAATTCCTGGACACGCCTGGTTTGGTCTGGTCACTCCTTTTTCAGGTCAGTCAAATGTGTCTATTACCATATTCTCACCCCACAGCACCTTGCGAACCGTCCCCATCGCATAATTTTGATACCTCGAGTACCCACTGACTTCTGTAGCCTATCCCTCGCATCGTAAGCGACGCTTCCATAAAAGCCGGTGGCAACGTCCTCGGCGTCGACCGCAACAAAGACAACATCATCAGTATACTAGCCCTTTCCCACCTCCACCCAGCGCTCGAAATTCCAGATCACTAACTATCTGCACAGTGTACCTCCTCTTCATCTCCTGGACCGATGCCAAAGATGATAAGGCTCTCCACGCAGCCGCCTACTCCGTAATCGACGAGATCAAAGCCAAGTCCGTGGAAACCGGAACTGATAATCCATTCATCTACTTGAACTATGCTGGAGAATTCCAAGACCCGCTTGGTGGATATGGCAAAGCTAATGTGGCGAAGATTGCGGCGCTTTCGAAGAAGTATGATCCGCAGGGTGTTTTTCAGAAACTGGTGTCTGGAGGGTATAAGATTACGAAGGCTAAGCCGACGACGCCGTAGATACCAGAGAAACGCTGTGAAGTATGCCTTATTATTTTCATACCTCAGCCGTCGAGTTCTCTATCTCATAAGCGCGCCGTCCCCAACTTCAAATCATCCCAATGATCCTTCCGGAAATCTACATAAGAATGCCCCTTCCCAAACCCATCAATCCACAAAATTTTGTCATACTCCTTTACCTTCTCAGGATCGACACCTTCTTCTCTAAGCGGGACTTTATTCTGCTTATTATTATGTATCGGCGTCATGTTCTTGACGACGCGTATGAAAATCGGGACGGCGTATCTCGGGAGGTGTGTCCGTGAATGTCTAGGTTGTGTTAAGCGATGTTTTGATAATTATGCCGGCGAGGAATTCGGCGGATCTTACCTGAGCAATCCAGCAAAGTCAAAATCCTTCGCCATATTCGGATCAATGTAAACAGCTGCACAGCCCGCTCTCCCATCATGTGACGGAAGCGAAACCCCATAAACATTCGCTTCGACCACACCAGGATACTGCCCCAGCACTTCTGCAACTTCAGCCGTACTGACATTCTCTCCTTTCCATCTAAACGTATCGCCCAGCCGATCCATGAAGAACCATCTCCCGTCTCTCGTTCTCCTCAACGCATCACCACTTCTGTACCATAAGTCTCCCTTCTTGAAGACATCCCTCTCAAACTTCTTCTGTGTCGCTGACGGGTTATTGTAATATCCTGAAAACTCCTTCATATCCGTGACCTGAACTACAATCTCACCACCTTTCTCATACGGCTGTCGTTTCGCAAACCCAGTCCGTGGATCCCGTGCTATAGCTCCAGACACCTGATCCACAAGGACAGGCACGATCTTATTCCGATTTTCGAATCGAATGATGGCGCCTTGGTATCCAACACAAGTTGCTAGGTAATCGCCTCGGCAGTAGTTCACCAGACTGAACACACCTTCTGACGAGTTGAAGAATTCGGTTACTTCGGGGATGCCGAATCGTTCTCGGAATTTGAACCAAACGTCTGGTCTTAAGCCGTTCCCGAACATACAGCGGACGTTGTGGTCTCTGTCGAGTGGTGAGGGAGGTGCAGCGAGGAGGTACCGAGCCGTTTCGCCAACGTAGGTTATCCAGGTGGCGCGGGAGTCGTGGACTTCGCTCCAGAATTTCGAAGTGCTGAATTTCTTGCCGATACCTGGGAAATGGGCTAGTCAGTAGTGTACAACCACACGGAATTCAAAAGAAAAGATAGTTTTCGGGAAGTCCTTGCGAGATACCAATAGACAAAACGATTTCTTTCCCAGCACTTACAGATTGTTATGCCTGTCATCAGCATAGTGACAGCTTGGACGCCTCCAGTTCCATGATACATCGGCATACAATCATACCAGCGATCTCCATCGACTGTTCGTCTATATCCAGTCGCTCTCTATTCGACTTGTCAGTATGAATCTCTGATTAGCCACCCCAGAGCAAAGGAAGTCACCCTGGTAGCTTACGGCACAACCCACATAGAAACCACGATCCACGTTGAACGGAACACCTTTCGGCATTCCTGTTGTTCCACTATCTCAAGTCAGCACGAAACAGCAAAAATAACAGAGTTGGAGTGAAATAAACACAAGTCCGCCAGCACCACACATACCTCGTATAAAACATACACATCGGCCAATCCCCCTTGACCCCATCCCTATACTCATTCCCCGGTCTCTCCCCCTTCCCCTCCCTAATCCCCCTCTTCATTAACTCATCCAGCACCACAATCCTACACCCCAATCCACCCTCCCCCTCCCCCTCCACCACGTCCCTAACCCCCTCAACTCTCTCCCTCAACTCCACCTCATCATCCACCAACATCAACCGCGCCTTACTCACCCCCAAGCAATGCAGCAGCGCCTTCCCCGACAAATTATAATTGATCATCGCCGGAGCGGCGCCTATGGCCCACAGACCGAGCCATGCGAATAGAAAGTCGGGAGTGTTGGTCAGGAAGAAATTGACGTATTGACCCGGTTGGACGCCCTGGCTGAGGAAGAACTGAGCGTATTGGTGGGCGTGCTGGGAGGTTTGGAGGTAGGTGTAGGAGCCGGTGCGGGACCAGATACATTCGGCGTTGGGTTTGGTGAGGACGGAGTGTTCGAAGAAGTAGTAGAGGGCGAGGCGTTTGGTTTGGACTGTGTGTCTGGTTAGCTCTTCCCTCTGAATTTCTAGAAGATTATTGGAGGTTTCGTGTACCTGCTTCTCGATATGCCTTTGCTTGAGCTCTACGATTCCTTATTTCACGAATGTCGCGTGCCAGCCCGAGTTTACCATTGAGGTACATGCCCCCCAGCACGGAGCTCGCAGCAGCAGCTGCAACTATTCAGCAATACCATATCAGCTATCAAACTCTCCGAATAATATAGCAAGAAAATTTCCGCAGCTACTTCAAGCTCCCTTGTCACTCTCCTTGTCGTTGTCTTGAAATCGAAAAGGAGGGGTATCAAAAAAACAAGAAAACCCCCCCGCACTTACCAACACCAGCCATCTTTATCCTGTCAGAAATTAAATCTGGCAAGGTGTATATCCCAACTAAGCCAGGTCCGAAAGACAATTCCCGATGAACCTAGGTAATTTAAGTATAGGTCGGGGACGAGAGAGGTTCCTTTCTATCCTTGCAAGACAAAATGAGTCCCAACTACAAACTGAATCAGAGAAGAGCATCGAGGCTATGTCCGGGTCGGCAAACAGCTTCTGCGTCACCGAGGTATCTCTCCCTCCCTCCCGCGTCATCTATCTACCTTACTGGACGTCCCTCAACATTCGTTCGTCATGCTGTTTCGCTAGGTAGGTAGGTAGGTTCCCCGGATTTGCCCCGCACCCGCATGAACCGAAACCAACGAACTACTGTACCTACCTACCCCACTGTTGACTTTCAGCTTCAGAATCGGGATCGGGTCGTCCCCGTCTAGATGATGATTTGGTGGAACTACTTCTCTGATATCTCGCTCAGGTAGGCTTCTAGTATTCAATTCAAACATGTTAAGCATCGACAAGTGTTTGACTTTCAAATGTTGAGTGGTTGGGCTTGTTTTTTTGATGCGATGACGATGAGCAATTAGAGATGAGGGACACTATCTAGGAAACACGGTGCCCCAGAAGGAAGGGAGGCGACCCCGACCGACTGTGGGGCGTTAAGAACATTGATCGTTTTGACAAGATGCTGAGTCGGTGTGGTTTAGGTCTGGGAAGACTATTCAGGAGTAACAAAAAAGCAATCACGATTTCTCGATCGCCAACTGAACCGGGGTTTGGGTTTAAAGCAGGTAGGAATCAATTATTCATTATATTATTCCAATATCCTCTCATCATCGTCATTTTCGTATACTCACATAAATCAAGCAGTCCAAGCTGCTGATCAAACTCAGATCAATCAATCAACCCGGTATCTACAATCCACCACACCACTCCTCTCCTCCTCTACTCATCCCACTCCATCTAATGCCTCGGCGGCAAAACCTCAACAATACCAACACCAGAGATAGTATTGGCATCATTAACCTTCTTATTTACCCCATCCGCCGTACTCAACACAACATACACCTGACCCGTCGGCGGCAACTGCCCATTCTTCCCCTTAGGAATCCTATCAATCTTCAAATCCCCGGCATTCCCCCTCGTCTGGTACGTCTCCACATAATACGTATCCAGTCCCGAAAACAGCACCGCATAAACCTTCTGTCCCTCAGTGATGAGTCCAGACTTGATAGCCTTCTTGTACGCGCCGGAAAAGGTGATGGGTGAGGAGCCGGCTGTGTACGGGTACTGAGAGGGTTGGAGGGCGATGGCTGGAAAGGCTTTGAATGGGAGGGCGGGGTCGCCGGGCGCGAAGCCGGTGATGAATTGCGCGGCGAGGGAGAAGACTTGGTTGAAGTCGAGGGGGGTGTCGAAGGCTTTGGGGAAGGGCACTTGTTTGAGGACGGAGCGGATGTAGGAGCTGTGGCGGGATTCGACGGTCAGGATGGAGCCGGCGGCTGTGAGGTAGCCTTTGTCAACGATTGCTTGGGCAGCACCTGAGATTGGATGTTAGTGTTTTCTGGTGGTGTACAATGAGGGAGAAGAGAGCTTACCGAGATAGGCGGAGACTCCAACGCCTTCGAGGACCGAGGAGAGACCGAGGAAGGACTTCACGTCGGTGTATGGGAAGGAGTAGGTAGCTTCGTGGACGGCTTTATCAGCGAGAGCGCCGGCGAGGAAAGAGACGTGAGTCTATATCATCAATCAGCCATGAGTCTCAACACCACTGATCAATAAGAAGGAGCAGAAAAAGGTCAACATACCTCCTCATCCGAAGCAATGATCTTCAAGTTATCATAGAAAGGATCCGCAAAGCCAGCAGCCACAAATGCATCACGGTTGAATTTCTTGAGACCCTCTTGGTAGAACTTGCGCTCGAGGTACTCGAGAGTGAGTGCGTAGTTCAGGATGGTGATGTCTCCACCAGGAGGAGGGTTGAAGTCCATAGCGACATCACGCTGTTCCACTGGATGGGCAATGGCCAGGCCAGCGGCGAGGACAGATGTGATTGCTGAGTAACGCATCGTGAGTCTTCTGAACAGTACTTGTTGACTTGACTGTCGAAAAAGGCCGATACTGAAACAAAACAAGTTGGGAGGAGGGAACAGCAGGTGTTTATACGAGATGAGAACTCATGTCAAGCAAAGCTAAGGGATGTGATTACACAATAGAAAGGAGGGGAATCGAGCTGGATCATCTCTAATGGATAAAAACGCCAGGGGAGAAGATGGAATTGAGCAATAAGAATGCTCGACGGCGACATGTTGACGCTACTCAAGACACTTGACCTGGAAGCTCGAGGATCCGGCTTTGCAACAGCACACAGAGCATGCCTGTAGAGGCTGAGCAGCTACCCATCGACAACGGAGCGTCCAAATCTGACCTTTGACCAGGGAGGGAAGGAGGGAGAGAAGTCCAAGTCCCCGATACTACTGTATTTGTCCTTGAAAGGAAGCTAGGGGGTGTTTGTTCTCGAGGGGAAATTGCGGATCTCGAGCCCTGTTCCTTGTCTATTTTTCGTCAAGGAACGGAGCGAGGCGTATATCGAGCTCAGAATCAGGGACTACTGAAATGAAGCACACTTCAATCGATAGTCGTACTTCGGAATTCTCGTGATTGAGTGATGTTGTGACGAAATGGCAGAAGAAGCTCTAACCCGAATGAATATCGCCAAGGTGGACAAAGCACCTCATCTGAAGCTTGTCTAGACTCACACCAATTACAGCAGTGCAAAATAGGACGAACCCTTACATCGGATTCGCATCTTGCCTGTTCCAGGCATACTTTTTAAGCTTGCTTTTAAACTTAAATTGCTGTTTGTGAGCAAGACTGTCTATTAGCGCTGTCAGCCTTCAAGGGATCGCCAGTGAAGATGCGGGATGGTCGGAAACGCTTCGATCCGGGACGCCCCTTCGACGATCTAGATCGCCCTTTTGGGGATGCTCACCATTCAGGTACCTGGTCGGTGCGATCTTTAGTATATGTGATGTGCTTTCCCCGCGTCATTCATTGCCATTTCAAAGTTCTTGTGTAAAAACGGAATGGGTGAGAGCCGGAAAGTCTCGTCTTGGCTTTGCTCCTGTGATTTGAATTCATGTCGAGCTTAGCGATTGGGTTAGTAAATATGAATTTGACGAAGGTCAAATAGATTACAAAGATGGTGATAAATGGAAGTCAAATTGTTCCGGATGGAAGCCTGATTACCGGGAAGTATTGATGTACAGAGCACATAATGTAAATGTTATCCATAGAGCACAATGCGCTTGATGTGCAAGTCCTAGAAAAACAGTCTCAATATCTCCGCAATCTCCTGCGTAAGACGTGGGCACTCATTAACGGAACGTATCAGTCAACAGCTTCGTCCACAAGTGAAATTCGTGCGCCCTCGTTCCGCCGCAATGAACCCATTGCTTAAGACTTCTCTAGCGACGGCTTGGGTCAAAAAAGTCTCTCTGCTGCCTCCTTTGATTTATTTGCAAGTCTTGATCCTAGATCTGCTTTTCCACGGACATCTTGTCCCTTGCTAGGAGGTGATTGCTTGATCTGGAGCCTCTTCTCCGTACATCTCCAGCCTGGTAGCGGCCAGCACGTTAAATGAATTGGCATCTACTCCTAGAACACGAATTCCGATGCGTGTAGCCGTAGCGTGATCAATCGAATTGACGCCTGCCGTATCCGAAGCCTTCTTTGCGATTCCAAGAAATTGCTTCTAAGAAAGCAGCTTACCCCGTAACATACCGTCGACGTCAACTCTGAACTTGACCTTACCTAGTCTCGTTCTCAGGAAGCGTCGGTCGGGACTCGATTACAACTTCCTGTTATGGTATTCTATGCTGAAGCTTGAAAGCTGGATTGGTGGGTGGACGTTTAGGATTGAAGGTCGTGGAAGAGAGGGGCAGTAGGCTCCATAGCTACGTAATATGCAGTCTTGAGCTGGCAGAGATTGACAGAAATAAGGATATATAGTCGAAAGATGGAGGAAGGGTCAAGAAAGTATTTGACCACAGTGTCACGTGAAGCTTGGAGCAGCCGGGACTCCGGGAGTCGGAAGTGGAGGGATTCGCGATAAGGGACCAGCCCTCCGGCTCGGCTGGGCCAATAATTGGCTGCCAGAGTGGAAGCCGCAACATGCCCCGCACGCTGTGCTACCTGAATCGTCATTGCGGCGAAGGGTAAGTATCCTCGAGTATAGATAGATAGATAGGAAGAGTCGCCCAGCAGAAGAGACAAGCATTGTGATGCATTCTGCTGGTACATCATTGCATCACAGAATGTTGCACAACGATGCACCAGACAATGACCAGCGTCGGCTTTCTGATCCTCCAACCGAAGTCGGCAGTCAGTCATAGACTCAGGTATATAAAAAAAAACATAAATGCATCTCGTTACCTTATCGTCGGCGTTTGAATATCATGACAATCCTAGCTCCACTCGGCGTTGGAGCGTTCCTGAGTCAACAACCCTAACTTCGACCGAACGCGACGTTTCAAGCATCAGATCCCATGTGGCGCCTCCCTTCAACAACGCCTTCTCCTGACAGACCGGCGGAGGTTTACCCCATTGTTTATCGAGGTTTTGATACGACAATCGGAGTGCAATCCCATGCGCAGTTTGGTTGGTGATCCTGTGTGACGACGAGGGGTCGTGGATCTTCGAATGCAGTTTCCACGAAGTGACCCCGCGGCACCTCCAGTAGCAGTAGCTGGTGTCTGCTTGAGACACATCGCCACCCCGTCGCAATGCCATTGACTTCGCCTGGAGGGTGCTACTGTGCCAGTGGTTATTTACCTACCCCTTACCTAGGTACTATGAGCAAATGCATGGTCGGCTGATACGGGACAAAGATGAGCGGTCAGCAACATTCGGGAAGGATAGCCGCCGTTGGGTCGTGTCGTGTATGGAGGAGGGTGTTTGCCTCTCCCAAGTCTCCGCCAGAGCGCGATAAGACCAGTGCCAGTGCCCTGAGGTGGTGGTGCTGTCTGTGGTGGTTCTGGTCTGGCATGGCTGGCATGGCTCTCCCGAGAACGGACTTGGTTGGGGCTTCCCTGAGTCCCTCCCCAATTCCATTACACATCCTGGGTCCCCTTGCCCCTCTAGCCCTCCACACCTGCTCGGAATCTGTGACTGAACATCGTGTCCTCCATCATCATATCACCTTCGCCTCCTCCTGCTCGTCCTCGTCCTCGTCCTCGTCCTCATCCTCATCCTCCATCTTCATCTCTTCAACTTCAAATTCCATCTTATCGCGCTCCCGTCAAGTGAATTGTAAGTTCATCTCATATCAACGCTACTGGCCCGCGGCTGCATGATCGCTCCCTTCAACTGCCTAAGCGAGCCTCAATATACTTTCTCTTTGTCTAACAGCTGCGTCGCCGGGGTACAATTCGAGGTCACTTTTCACTTCACTAATTATTCTTCAGAATACAAATAAACACAAATCAACAAAGTCTAAAACTCACATTCAGCAAGTCAAACGTCAAAATGGGAGACAGCTCTTCTCGAAGCAGCAGCAGCAGTGGCAAAGTCCAAACCATTAACAGTGTTGGCATGGGAAGACTGATTGGCAAGAACGCTATCGTCACAGGAGCCGCTGGGTGAGTTCGGAATTTCGGTTTTTACCATCTGTGGCCATGTCTTCTTCTCTCTCTGCGAATCTCCGCAACGACTCTTCATTTTTGTCATTGTGGGATCCATCGATGATCCCCCGTATCAATATCCACGTGATAGGGCATTTCACCCTCACTGCCCCTTTGAACGAGTCAGACAAGTTATGTTGTTCTTTTTGCATGTATATGACTTTGGCTCAAGCTTCGCGATTCTACTTTTACAACAATCCTATCAGAAAACATACTTACAAGTCACAGTGGTATCGGTCTCGAAACATGCATTCTCTTCGCCAAAGAAGGAGCCAACGTCCTCATGGCCGATATCTCCTCAGCAGCACTTGACAAAGCCTCCGCCAAACTCAAGCAACTCGTCCCCTCCGCTCACAAAGTCGATATTCAGGTAAATTCACTTATCACCTCCATTTCCACTCATCATCACATGACTACATTCTAACCTCATCCCCAGGTCTGCGACGTCTCCAAGGAATCCGACATCGAAGCCCTAGTCGCCCACGTCGACGCCTGGGGCGGCGTAGACATCATGTTCAACAACGCAGGCATAATGCACGCCGACGACGCGGACGCCATCGACACGCCCGAGAAGATCTGGGACCTCACGCAAGCCATCAACGTCAAGGGCGTCTGGTTCGGCTGCAAGCACGCCGTGCTCTCCATGCGCAAGCACAAGAAGACCAAGGGCTCCATCATCAACACCGCGTCTGTCGTCGCCTTGGTCGGTTCCGCTACTCCTCAGCTGGCGTACACTGCTTCTAAGGGTGCGGTTCTGGCGCTTACGAGGGAATTGGCGATTGTGCATGCGCGTGAGGGCCTGAGATTCAATGCTCTTTGCCCGGCGCCGTTGAATACTCCGTTGTTGCAGGATTGGTTGGGAGATGATATCCCGAAGAGACAGAGACGCGAGATTCATTTCCCGAGTGGACGATTTGGTGAAGCTATTGAGCAGGCGAATGCGGTGTTGTTCTTGGCTAGTGATGAGTCGAGCTTTATTAACGGTCAGGTATGTTTAACATCCAGATCTCCAGCTAAAATTGGGGAAGTGTTTTTTTTTTTGGAGGCTAATAATAACAGGACTTCGTCGTCGACGGTGGAATGACAAAAGCATATGTCACTCCCGAAGGACCACCCCTTGTCGGCCCAAAGAACAACGCCTCCCTTTCCGAGCAAGTCGATGCCATCCGCGGCACTGGTATCTAAACGCCTGGCAAATATCCACATCCAAGCACATTCTCGCCTACAAATAGAATATCCTCCCGTTCCTTTTCGAATACGACATCGATCCATTATTATGAGCGAATGAATCAGATATTTCTTACTTTGTCTGGTCTGGTCTTCATTTGCGAAATGGGATGGAATGGGTTTTCTGGTTACGTTACGTTGTTATTTGGAGACCAAGCATTGCTCATTATTCTGCGCAGTTTCGTGGACCACGCATGAGCTTTTGTGTCTTGTCTTCATGCTTACTGTTCAGTCTTCTGCAATCTATGTTTCTCATCTGCTGAGGTTTTGATTCGCGCATACCCTAAAGACTAAAGACCAAAGACCAAAGACCAAAGACTAAAGGACTAAGCAATATGAATGGGTTCGGTTCGATTTGCAGGCGTCTGAGATTGAGATAGCGTTTTCGATTCGATGAAGCTAAGCTAGATAGTGTTGCCTTTCTGGACTAGAAAGAATGAGATTTGAACGACCTTGGGACTTGAGTTGTCATTATGAATCGGCTGAGTGAGTGAAGGGTTTAGATGTGCGAAGAAGATCTGAAAGTTAAGCGAGGAGTGACTGGGTAAACATTGTCTGGAGCTTAGCCAGAAAAGCTTTATGATGAGATGTCGTGTTTGACTAATGCGGAGGCTTGGGATTTGCTTTCTATGGAGATTGAATATTGGGATCTAAGCCAAATTCTGATGACTGACTGGATGCAACAGGACATTAGTGTACCTTGAGACCGTTGGAACCAGCTCTTTAGGGGTCACTTGTCAATGTCAATGTCACTGACATATCTAGAAACATTGCCACTGTCATTTGTAGCCGAGAGCTTTGATTTGTATTTGGTAAAAAGTACAAGCAAGGCCCTGTATCCTCAACAGTCCTTATGAAAGGCCCACCACAAGGCCATTTCCCGACCTCATGCAATCTAACGCCATCACAATGCCTGTCCCATCCCGCTCGCTAATCCGCTGCTTCAAGCCCGTGTGAGCAGCCACATGAAGAACAACTGTACAGGGTACGAGTATATGAAGAGGAACTGCGTCCGTCGGTTCTTTTGTGATCGTGCTACTGTTTGCATGGTTCCTCGCTCGTCGCTGACGTTTTCTGGGAGTAGGACGTATTTCAGAGATCGTAGCTGCATTGGAAAGTTGGCATTTGGCTTTCTGACTCGAGGAAAGTAACTTACCAGGAATAGAGCATTTGCGAGAAATGTGTATGCAAAGACTGTCCATCCAACCCATCCACCAGTACCCTTTCCGCCATTGAATATCTCACTAATGACAATTGTGACAATTGCCCCAACAAACTTGTAGCCCGAGTAGGCAACGAGATCCAGGAGTTGTGAATCGCTGGCGATAGAAAGTAAATAGGCTCCGAGTTTGAGAAGGATGATCTCTACGCCAACAATGAAGAATGACCAAGTTGCTGTGTATCCCAGCAATTCGGGTTCAAATGCGCCTCGAAGTCCAGCAATCATGCTGTAAAGGAGGATGTAGGTAACCAGAGCCATCACGGGAATGTACATATCTGGGCTATTCAAATCGTCTCTCGGTGGCATGAACCATCCTTCCTGACCGTTTGGACCGAGTGTCTGCTTGCGCGACCAAGGCTTATGTCTCCAAGGGAACAGGACCAGGAACAGCTTATTGACCACATATCCGTTCGAAACGTTGAAGTAATGTTTGAGCGCGGAGAAGTTGACATAACGGTTGATCTGAATATGTTAGCAATGTCGCAACTTAGAATCATGACATTAGCAACTAACATTTTGCTCTACATATTCTGTTCCATGCTTTAATGCCGTCTGTCCAACCTGAAATCCCATCTGGGCCGTGGGATCTGACATAAAGTTTCCGTATGCGCCAAAAGCATTAGCAGCTCCTTGAGGAGCCTGCGGTTGGTAAGGGTTTCCATATCCGCTTTGTTGCTGCTGTTGTGACATAGGAGGTGGAGGTGAGCGTAGCTGGGGAACTGTCGAGACGTGCTGAGGAACGGGATGGTGAAGTGGTGGAGAGGTTGCTGGGGCAGGATGCCCATAGTTTGTTCGTTGCATCTTGATTATGATGCGGGTAAAAGGGCGTAGGCAGATGACCTTATGAGGTGGGGGTCTTGCGTCGTAGCTCCGTGGAATAGATCTCTGTCAAATTCAATGTCGCGAGCGGTGTTGACCACATTGCCATTGCATTTTCAGAAGCCAGAGCTTCGCGATCCTGCTTACATAATAATCTTGATAGTGAGCGCCAAGACCTCCCTCCAGCCTTATCGGAGTCAACCTCTTCGGGACACTTCCAAAGTCGTCAGCTCTGGTTGTGACTTTGGAAGAACAAAATTCTCCAACTTGCTCGAGATGTTGGACTCTTTCGAAATCCTCACCACCTCTGGTGTCGTTCTATGGTCGAGATCGTATGCGCCAACAAGCCCCGCGATCATCAATAGCCTCATCACCAATGTCTTCATCGAGGAGCGCACACTTCCAGGAGCCGGCATCGTAGACGATATTTCTGCGGCGCATAACCCTCCATACAAATATGAGCAACATACATTGAAATGGACGACAGTGAAGGAACTTAACCTGATCTTTGTGGTACGTCGGGCGCGGAGCCAGTCCTGCCACTCAATTGGTGCTAATGCTCCAATAGGCTGTCTATCGGTCACTTCTACACCTGTCGTGGATTGACAAACTCGTGGATAACATCAAGACAATATTTGTGGACTTATATGGTGATCAATTGAAGAAACCACATACCACTGTCGTTGAATGTCATTTCGACGAGTATTTCGACCAGCAAATACAAAAGCTCGAAAAGACTGCTTTGAATCAAGACACGAGAGTAGTGGAATCCTCTGCATTTGTCAAAGAAGCACCACCATCAGTATCTGAGAAGTTTGACGATGAACCTCCGCCATTGCCTGGACTCCTTTCGAGAGGTATATAGAATGTGGCAAATACATGGACGAAGCTGACTCTGCTTTAGGACAATCAAAGAACAACTATAGAGACCTCACTTCGAACGACTCGACACCTATTGCGACGCCTGATACGTCGCGGCCAAGCACACCAGCAAGCCATATTCTGACTGGAAAGGCAGGACCAGGAGGCAAAGGGTCCCGAAGAGCTCGAAAAGCAGCGAACACACCAACTGCCTATGCATCTTCTGGAGATGAATCGTTCTTGAAAAAGAACAAGTCAGGAAAATCTGCGGCTCCAAAGAAAGGAAGAAAATGGGACGCTGACGGACTGGCGGACGAAGACAGCGATCCCCCACTCGATTACTCTGCACCAGCAAATGGCGCAACATCTGGCGAAGATGAGGGAAAGGAACGACCAGGAAATATGGAAGAAGTGGACCAAGCAACTTGGGGATCTAAGACTGGAAAAGGACAGTTCGTCTTGAAGGATCTAGATGACCAAGTCAACTCGATTTTGGCTTCCGCAGACGCCAAGAAAGCGGAAACGGCAGCTCCAGCTACGGGCATAGTAGGATCGAGCTTGAGTGCGATAGGAGGACTTTTCAGAAATGTTGTAGGAGGCAAGACTTTGACGAAAGAGGATTTGGATAAAGCAATCAAGGGAATGGAAGATCATCTGCTGAGGAAGAACGTTGCGCGAGAAGCTGCCATACGGCTGTGTGAGGGTATTGAAAGGGAGTTAATTGGTGTCAAGACTGGCAACTTCGAGAGTCAGTTCCCCTTACAGTGGAAAGTATGACCGTCATCTAATGTAGAGTAGGTGTCCAATCGAAGATTCAGACAGCTATGGAGTCTTCACTTAGGAAGATCCTGACGCCAACCTCATCGCTTGACCTTCTTCGAGAAATCGACGCTGTCACAGCACCTGCTGCATTATCCTTACAAAAACGACGCCCTTATGTCATGTCGATTGTCGGTGTCAACGGCGTTGGGAAATCTACGAATCTGTCCAAGATCTGCTTCTTCCTTCTTCAGAACAAGTACAAGGTTTTGGTCGTTGCTTGCGATACCTTCAGATCTGGTGCGGTGGAGCAATTGGCTGTTCATGTCCGCAACTTGAAGGAACTTACATCTCGAGAGGGTGGAGAAGTTGAACTGTACCAGAAGGGTTACGGAAAGGATGCAGCAAATGTTGCAAAAGATGCAGTGACATTTGCTGCGCAGGAAGGATTCGATGTTGTATTGATCGACACTGCTGGTCGTCGTCATAATGACCAGGTGAATCCCCTAATTGGCTGACAGTTTGAGTTTGCTAACAATTCTCAGCGTCTGATGTCTTCCCTTGAGAAGTTCGCCAAGTTCGCCCAGCCTGACAAGATTCTCATGGTCGGAGAAGTAAGTCCATACACCTTCCGAAATCTGGGCCTTGCTAATATCATACAGGCGTTGGTAGGAACAGACTCGGTCGCTCAAGCGAGAAACTTCAACGCGGCATTTGGAAGCGGGCGTTCGCTTGATGGCTTCATCATCTCCAAATGTGACACTGTAGGAGACATGGTCGGTACTCTGGTCAGCATGGTACATGCTACCAATGTTCCAGTCCTGTTCGTTGGTGTGGGGCAGCACTACAGTGATCTCAGGAATCTTTCGGTGAAATGGGCCGTGGAGAAGTTATTGAGTAGTAATTAATCGACTAACATTCTGCCACCCCAATTGACAGTCCAAGCATTCTTTCATCGACGTGTGAATGAATATTGAGTATACTGGGACGAACATGGGACGAGTCTAAACTATTAAGCGACAGCAAACAACCTTTCGGCAACACGTACGATCTTCTACCTAATGGCCGCAACTCAATCGATCGCAACTGATGATTTAAGCTTGATACCTATATAAAAGCACCGCATTTCGTTGTCTCGAAAGCACCGCTACAACAACCAAGCATGGCACCACGAAGGATCCCCGCAATGAATTCTTTGTCGGTTCTTACCCTCAAGCTGCTGGTGTTAATGCGCCGGCAGGACTGGACAAACTTCAAACCCGCAGCTTGGAGCAGTCTCCGTGCCATGGTCGACATAGTCCCGTGTCCTCATCTTCTCCTCGCGAGCAGACCTCTCTGGATCGTCTTCCTCATCTACTCGACCCTACCTTTGCGTGAGGTTCCGACAAACATGTGTGAGTATGCATGGGCACTTATGAGAGCACACATATTTGGACTTCTACTCCTCTCCACATGCAACTTCAACCCCGACCACATCAACGATCTCCCCACCGAACTTCTCAACCAGATCTTCCGCGATGCCGCGGCAGACTTACCATCCCTCTCCAAAGTCAGTAGACGCTTCCATGGCATGGCTCAGCCGCAACTCTACAAGAACGTTAGTTTTGGCAAGGAGCCGCAACGATTTAGCTCATGCTCGCTGCTGCTGTTTATGAGAACGATCAGTACTAGTCCAGACCTAGCGAAGAAAGTTAAGTCGCTGGAAATGAGCTGCATGCAGAGGTGCTACCAGGGAGCAGACTGTGGTGACTTCCAGTGGATGAAGAAGGAGGAACGAGTTGCTATTGAGAACATCTGTATGGGTTATGTGCAGAATTTGCAGCTTTGGTCTCGATCGGATTGGACTCAGGAGTTAAAAAATGGCACAATGTAAGCATGCAGAAAACATCTGAGTGGCCCAGACAATCGAAGTATGCTTCGTTTCTGACTAAATACATAGAGGTGCCTTTACTCAACTCCTCCTTCTGTGGCTCCCAAATCTCGTATCTATTTCCTTGCAAGGCCAAACCTGGGACGCATTCCACCTCCTCACACTCATAAGCCGGACCGTCCCGAAGAAGACAATGTTTCCGCATCTTAAGCATCTAGATCTCCGCTGCAAGTCTGATCATACTGGTAGAAAAAACACAAAGTTCGCTTTTTCTGGATTCCGATTCCTCCTGCGAATCACTTCTTTGCGCAGCCTCACGGTTGACATGGACGAGCCGAGTACTCCGTGGCCAGCTGCTCTTCATGCTCCTAGGGAACCTAGCACTCTGACATCTCTTGTGAGTAATATTCCTCTTCGGCCAATTTTCTCTTTCGTATTGTCTTCAGCATCTGAGAGAGTAGACTGTGCACCTCAGGAGGGTATTCAACCGGCTTCGTGACCTCGTTGATTTCAATGAAGCGCACCATCTGAAGTGCCCTAAAACAAGAAGCTAATTACTACTCTCATTGTAGGAGATAACCCTTCGCCATGAAGAGAATATCGGCACAATCCTCCACCTTGTCCCTTACCTTCAAAAGCTCACATGGAAAGTTTCGCTGGAGGATAAACGAAACTTGTCCTGTGATATACTCCAGACAGCACTGTTAGGTTGCAGTACGTTGCAGAAAATTCGAATCATCCCCAAGCCCGCATTCGGTGTTTTCGAGCAATCCCCAACCGTAACATTACAAGGGACTATCAGTTTCATCGACTTCCATCACCTCCGTAATTTAGAGATTCCATTCAGCATGCTACTTGGGTGGGGAGAGCCGAATAGGGTGGTTCTAACCGATGTCTTGCCCAAATGCCTGCACCACTTGATTGTCCTGGGAAATCGGATGGTGAAGCATCAAGGGGAAATGTGGGGTACGATTGGCCTTCTCAATGTATTGCGACCATACTTAGTGGATGTGATTCATGGGCAGGGCCCTGTTCCGAGGGAGTTGAAGACGTTGACGTCGAGGATTGGATCGTATCAATCGAGGGAGCACGTGTCTGAGCAAGTTGAGAGCGAATACCGACCTGTGACGAGACTGAATGATGAGCTAAGGAGTGTTTGTAAAATCGTGGGAGTTGAGTTCAACCCGTAGTGATGAGAAGAAGTGGTGATTATTGGTTTGGTGGACTATTGCGCAGTACTGGGTCATGAAGTAGAATTGGACAAGCCCTTAGATATGCACTTTTGCTGTCAAAGACATTCACTTGAGGTGCAGCTGTCTAATACATGCACAAGATTTGATCATAAATTATGATGTACCCCCATAATCTAGTTGTGTAGCTCCTCTTGCTGCTCCAAAAGATCCGCAAGACTTATAAGATATCAAACAAATCAGGGACGGCGGCTTTAAACACAAATCTTCAATTAAAGGCATACTTCTAGTGTACATGGCTCGGAACATTCGAGCAATGATGCCCTCAAAAGATGCAAGACATCTAATCCAGGGAGGGGACAATGGAACATTGGATGATCGAAGAGGGCCTGAGTGCCTGACCATAGTGACAAGAATGTTTCCCAACAAGTCATCTCGTCATGTGGGTACACTCTCGGCTAATATGGAGAGCGACTTCATCAAGGACGACAGCCAAACAATCTCCTTGGATATCTTTGGCCGAAGACGAAGTATGGCAAATTCGATTCGATTCTCCACAATGAGGCGCGCTACTTGATCTTCACCATAAATGCTGAATCTTTACGCAAGCTCTCAACGACGCTTCACGACAAAAACTGGTCCTTGCGACCAGCCCGTTTATTACTGACCGGAATTTTTGAGCAGCCGCCAAGACTAGGTGTTCAAGGTATTTTCTTACTCTCATTATGATCTCAAATCATTTCAGAAAGAGAGAGTTTCTCCTGTCGCCGAGGTTGAGACCTACTCGGCATTCGAATGGCAATGCTCTCTTGGTGTTGGAGGCATCAACCTCAAAATAGGAACTTGGGAGACTTTTCATTGACACAGTGCTCGTCATCTAGGAATAGAGGCTGCTTTCCATACATTCTAGTAGCTTGTATCCAACAAGGGGCGCATCCTGCAGTGATCTGAGAAGTCAAATGTCACGCGCAACGAGTCCACCAGACTCTTCCCTTAATTCAACGGCAACCATGGACTTCAATAAGAAGCCCATGCTTGTCTTCCACACTCCACCACCTCTCGATCCAGTATGGCTCGCCCATGAGAAGTCTGCAAATCTGCTCGCCCCAGCACCCGTCCTCACTTCTTCCAGTGAGAGACAAAAGCTCTACGCTGACTCCTGCCGAAAGCTAAATGCTGAGCTCCTTGCTGGACGAGACAAACACCTCACTGAAGGAATCAAGATCCAGGATACAAGTATCGAGTCCAATTCTGGCACGTCAAACCCTGTAGATGTTCCAATTAGAAGCTACACTCCTGCTGGGACCGAGCCAGACGCCGAGAACGTATCCATAGTGATCTACTTCCACGGTGGCGGTCTCTACGTTGGTGACCTCGACAGCGAAGACCTAACTTGTCGCAGAATATGCAAGTCCTTGAACTGCACAGTCTACTCAGTGGACTATCGCCTCATGCCCGACCACACAGCCTCAGATGCACTCGCCGATGCCATCACTGCTTTCCGGGCTATCACATCGAGCAGGAAAGCCGGTCATTGGATCGTGATGGGAAGCTCGTCCGGTGGACAACTCGCTGCGCAGGTACCACAGCATTTCTTGAACAAGGATGGCAAGTCGCAAATTCATGGTGTCTTGCTGAGAGGACCAGTGACGTGCGATGCTACGGATGGTAAAAAGAACGTTCCTGCGAGGTTCAAGGAATATCACACGTCCATGTCTGAAGCGTTCTTTACTTCTCTCTTAACCAATGCGGCTGTGAATAGTCAGAATAGAACGAAGGAGCCTTTGCCGCTGGAAGTGGAGGATCTGTCAGGTATGCCGAGACATTGGATCCAGGTCTCGACGAACGATCTGTATTATTCAGATGGTTGTTGTTATGCGGAATCATTGAAGTGGAGTGGTGTAGATGTCAAGTTGGATGTTGTTACGGGTTGGCCTCATACCTTTTGGTTGAAGGCGCCGTACTTGGAGAGGGCAGTGCAGGCGGAGAGAGATATGATTGAGGGGTTAAGATGGTTGCTAGAGAGCGAGATTGAGCATGAGCTGTAAGGGAAGTTGCCCTTAGAGGTTTGCATTGATATGCATAAGGAGTGTTTGTCCTACTTCCAGTTCGGCTAGGGATATGTGAAGAGTACCTGAAGGGGGATCGAAATTGATGAATCAGGGCAGCTCAAGGATCCTTTGGTTGACATGGAGAGCTGCTGTCAACCCATGAGTGTTTGTATACTTGAAGCAACTCCACTAGGCATAGACGTCAGAATGACTGGCACTTCAACACGACTGGCTGGCTTGCTCCTGAGGATGGGACTTCTTGTTCTGATTCTCGTGGCATACAGAATACTTGTCATAATTTGGTACCCGTGCTGGCTACAGCCAATTGCTCGTCCATTTCACATTCTGTAGATCTCTGAATGTTCTAATCGAGGTGGACGTTATTCCAATTAGAGAAGACCTGTAGACTGAGAATACCATCTGTGTTTGCTCTTCTATCGGCCAACTATTTACACTAGTACAGGGGACATAGGAAAGGATGCGAGGGAACCGTCTACAGCAACGAGAGGTCGCCGAATTTCTCCTATGAGGAAGTTAGCAAGCCGGGCCATCATCGCAGTGGAGTTTTCCATAAAAAATCGTACCTTGTAGCCTGGTACAGACCAGCGTCCCTTGGAAACGAGTTGGGATGTCTTTTCATCGATATCTGGGCGGGCAGCAGCAACTTCGTCCTAAAAGCACACATCGAATCAGTTCCATCCCATAATCCCAATCCTATTACCATAGTGCTACATACCACAGTGAGATCCTCGAATGGTCTCGCCTCCTCGATATTTTTCAACGTCGCAGCCAAATCCTTCAACTCCATATCCACACGTCCCTTAGTCTCCTCGGCATTCTTCACAGCCTGTGCCTCGAAAGCCTCAATGGCCTTGATCTGTCTGCCAACATCGTAGGTCGCAGGCTTGAATGTGGAGAAGTGCTTCTCGATCTCCTCGACCACAGCTTGGTTCTTCAGGATAGACTTGTAGTGCGCAAAGTCGACCTTCGATGGCTGCTCGGAAAGGATCTGAACCCGGCGGCGGGCGTCCTCGTTGCGCTTCTTGAAGGCCTGGAGGGAGGCGGCCGTTTGGCCTCGGAGACCAAGGGATTGGGTGACCTTTGCCCAGTCGAGCTTGAGTGCTGCACTTCGCTGTGAAGGTATATGCATTAGCTGGGTGTTCAGATGAGGAGGTGCGAACTTCGGCACGTCTCGGAGAGGGGTGTCAATTGTGATGGGTCTTGTAGATGAGGTAGAGATTTCGCAGATGCATTAGGGATCAATTGAGCGATTGAACTTACTCCGGCTGCCATTTTGATGTGATTGGGAGGATTGGGGAGTGGAGAGTTACGTTGAGGCGGTCGTCAAAAGCTGGAGAGCTTCGGAATTGGAAGAGCTAATTTTCAATCACGTGACTATCCGAACCAAAACAGATCCTCGGCCATGCTTATCTCATAAATCAGACCCTCCTTTAGTGGTAATTCGTGCCACGCCTTACATATCTAGCCTTTAGCGTCTCGGTAAGTAAGTTAGTATAAATTAAAGTAAATTGAAGTAAATGGGCTAATCAGATACTAGGGATAAGGCGAGCCTACGAATTCCCACCGGAGGGTCTGAGGGAAAATAGTAGTATTTTAGTGGTTTGCGCTATACTTTTAGTGAAGAATAGCTAATATCGAACTACCTACTGCGACACGGTACTTCTACCTCTTAACTACAACTGATTGCAATTATTAAAAGTGCATTTAAAAGCTCTTTTTAACCTCTATCGATTGTGCTAGGCTTTGTTTATTGCATTTAGCCTAAATCGCGCAATATTCCGACTTAAACACGATGCCCGCTTATAGCGCTTCCGGTATAAGTAGCCCCTCCTCACTACTATCTTTACCCCTATTACGTGAAGGACAACTGCCACTTATGAGGCCTTATATCTCTAGCGAGCTTTCGAACCTCCTATCGAGTCTATTTAATATCTCCAGTGAGCTTTCGAACCTTCTATCGATTCCTCTACTTTATATTTCTAGCGAGCTTTCGAACCTCCTATCGAGTCTATTCAATATCTCCAGCGAGCTTTCTTTCCTACTGTCGACCCTACCCTGCCTATTCTACTACGATTCTGATAACAGCTCTAGTGGAGACTCTACTGATAGCTCCGATAGAGGTTCTAGCAGCGAATCTAATAGCGACTCTTAGGGAGACTCTAACAGTAACTCTGATTCTACTGATACTATACGAGGAGGATTAGAGAATATATAATATTAGCGAGCTCTAGGCAGGATAATGTTACGAATCCCTTAGCGCTACGGTTGGCACCCAGATGCTGATAGTACCATCAGTGGTACTATGGGGGCATTGGTACCGACGAAGGAACAGTGCTATCAATAGGGTAGTACCGACCAGGGAATGATACAGGACAGCGAGTGGTACCGTTGTACACTCACGCTCGGTAGTAATGGTTACCTAGATCACGGTGGACGATAGGTCACGTGATGGATCCCTGGATCCCTGGATCCCTTTGTGGGGGAACGGATCCAAGGATCCAAGGATCCAGTATCCAAGGATCCAGTATCTCAAGGGATCCAAGGAGAACGAAGGTTCTATATAAGACTGGCATGTCTGCCATTAGATAGGAGCTTCGTGCTCAACTTCAAATAGTATTCTGATACTTAGTAACTGTCTTCCCGTCTACGTGATACACCTACCTCTCGATCATCAGAGATCAACTGCAGCCTTCTGTATTTACAGCGAGTAAATACCGGACCGTTACACTTTGAGCACCTTCTCGTCAGAGGTACCGACTCACGAAGACAACATGTCCTCCGTCAAAGGATCGTCGAACGACCACTCGGCTCCCGCCAAGGCCTTCGACCCAAAGAACATACCCAAGATCGCCGCCCCGGATCTCTACAACGGAGACCGATCCAAGCTCAGAGCATACCTCACGCAGGTTAAGCTCTATACGGGCTTCAACGGTCACCAGTTCGCCACGGAGACTGACAAAGTCCTTTGGGCTTCGTCCTTTCTCCGGGGATCTGCCTTCAACTGGATCGAGACCTTCCTCTCGGACTACATTCAGAACCGAACCAAGGATGGGAGAGTCTCCACGGCAATGACCAAGGAATCCCAGAAGATCTTTATGACCTTCGAAGGTTTCGAGCATAGGATCAACCGCGTCTTCGGCGACATTGATCAGAACCGTACCGCCGAACGGAACATCCAGAACCTAAAGCAGGTCGGGTCAGCGACCACGTATACTGCCGCCTTCCAGCAATTCGCGAATCAGACCAGCTGGAATGACGACGCCCTTCGGGCACAGTACTACAAGGGGTTGAAAGACGGAGTGAAAGATGAGATAGCAAGATCGGACGCGCCTACCGACTTGCAAGAACTCATCGAGATGGCTGTCAAGATCGACAACCGAAATTACGAGAGGACACTCGAGAAAAAAGGCCAATACCGCTCCGGAACGCACATGCACCAAGGAAGAGGGGGCAATAACAAGAAACCATTCTACCCTCGGGAAATGGAACTCGATGCGACGTTCCGGAAGCCAAGTCATCAAGGAAAGCCACGCAGCGGCGGGCTATCTAAGAAAGTCATGAGCGAGCGACGAGAGAAGAAGCTATGCTTCGAGTGTGGCCTCCCTGGTCACATGGCCAGCTCTCATCGACAAAAGAAGTCGTGGACAGACAAGAAACATGCCAACGCAATGGGACGTGGCTCTTACAATGAACCAACACGACAACTCGCCGCGACGTATCGACACATGACTACAGACGAGCTCGAGGAGAATCACATCCACACCCAGTTGGGCGATTCTGACGACAGCGAGCGAGATTCCGCGAGCGTCGTGGATCAGCTCGAGCAAACCGTCGTCAGCACGCCCCCTGAGGACTATGTGTATCGAGACAACGACAGCTCTGGGCCAGACGACGACACAGAGCTAATGCCAAGTGACAGCGAGGAGGAGGCCCAGGAACCTGAGTGGACTCCAGAACCGGGGCCACCTCAACCTGAACTCTCAGGACCAGGAGTGGGTGAAACTTGGGAAGTTACCCAAAGAGAAGAGAGCCTGTATCAGGTTAGCTGTAACACTCGCCACTGGACCAATGTAGCCACCGGGGTTACTTATCAGGAACCAGGCCTTGTCGGCTTGGGGGGTCCACCGTGGGGGGCAAGGTACGAAGTAGTCTACCGGGACTATAAGCGTATCGGATGGAGAATGGCCGGCAGCTGGGAAGGACCGACGACCTTTATGCAGCACTTGCCACTCCAGAATACCGTCATTCTTAACACCAGCGCGCCACCAGAGGTGGGCGAGGAATGGGAAATCATGGCTGAGAACCGACATAATAGGACATGGGTCCACGTCAATGATAACGGCCGGTACTATTACGAGATGTACAACCCAGTAACATACACCGAACTCGGAATAGGGCTCGTATACAAGGTCAGCCTAAGCTATGGCAATCGAAGGGTATGGGAAAGTGTCCTCGACCATAGCGTGCATTGGGAATATTTCTGTGTGCGGCAACTTGCCGCCATTGGAGATAAACACCTCACGTTGGAGGTTAAAATCAAGGGAGTCAAGCTTCAGGCGATGGTAGACTCTGGGGCACAAGGGAACTTCATGTCTCCTACTGTTGTGCTCGAACACTACCTGTCAACCGAAGTAAAGGACAAGGGATACCATCTGGTACTGGCGGATGGCAAGATCGCCTCCGATGGACTGATCGAGGTCCAGACCGCTCCAGTCCATATGGGCATCGCCGGACACTCCGAAATAATCCAATTCGACGTCGTCAGGATTGGAAGGCACGACATCATCCTGGGGTTGCCATGGATGGAAAAGCATAATCCTGTTGTCGATTGGCAGACAGGAAAACTTGAGTTTAGTCGTTGCCAAGACTGCTGTTATCCACCGGGAACAGAAGCAGTGAGCATTCGAGAGGTTAGCGCCACCTCCAAGGAAGAGCTCGGACACCAAGACAAGGGTCCACTGATGAAGGATATACCATCAGCATACAAGAAGTTTGCGGCACTGTTCAAAGAAGAACGAGGCATCGAGGCCTTGCCGAAACACCAGGACTACGATCATCGGATCGAGTTAGAACCAGGTACCAAACCGATATTCCAACCACTTAGGGAATATTCGGCGACAGACTTGATGACGATCAAGCAATACATCGATGAAAACCTAGCGAAGGGATTCATCCGAGAGTCCAAATCCCCATGGGGAAGTAACGTCTTATTCGCAGAAAAGAAAGACGGAGGACGACGAATGTGCATCGACTACCGTCGATTGAACGATGCCACAAAGAAGGATCGTTATGCACTACCATTGGCCAAGGAACTGCGGGACAGACTCGTTGGAGCCAAGATTTTCACTCAGCTTGACCTAAGAGGAGCATACAACCTCGTGAGGATGGCTGAGGGTGAAGAAGAGAAAACAGCATTTCGCACTCGTTTCGGTCACTACGAGTACACGGTCATGCCCTTCGGCTTGACTAACGCACCAGCCACATTTCAGCGTCTGATCAACAATGTTTTGCGGCCTTACTTAGACGTAACGTGCATATGCTATTTGGACGACATACTGGTCTACTCCAAATCAGAGGAGCAACATGTGAAGGACGTCACAGCTATTCTCCAGAGGCTGGAGGACGCTTACCTGTTACTCAAACCAGAGAAGTGCAACTTCCACGTGGACGAGGTTGTCTTTCTAGGCTATGTGGTCACCACCGCAGGATTGGCTATGGATCCCAAAAAGATCAAAGCAATCATCGAGTGGACAGGGCCCACGAATGTCAAAGAAGTACAATCATTCCTCGGGTTTGCCAACTTCTACAGGCGATTCATCAAAGACTACTCGAAGATCGCCGGGCCACTCACGGAGTTGACCCACAAGGACAAGGAATTCCACTGGTCCGACAGCGCACGAAAAGCGTTTGAGGCACTCAAAGCGGCTTTCATCGCGGAACCAGTACTCACTTCCTTCACCCCCGACAAAGAAATACGCATAGAGACAGATTCTTCGGACTACGCTATTGGAGCCGTGCTCAGCCAGCCGGGCGAGGACGGAAGATAGCAACCAGTCGCTTACCATTCGCGGAAACTATCCCCAGCAGAACTCAACTATGACATATACGACAAAGAGTTGCTGGCAATTGTGGACGCAGTACGCGAATGGAAGGTCTACCTCGAAGGCGCCGCCCACGAGGTACAGATCCTAACGGACCACAAGAATCTCATTTACTTTACGACTACCAAGGAACTGAACCGACGCCAGGTTCGATGGTATGAAACACTCTCTACTGTAAAACTTCGAATTTCTTATGTCAAGGG